ATAATAGATTGAAAAATATATCATCATCTTGTAAGAAAATTAATTTATCTTTCTCACATTAGACTAGACATTAAAGAATCAATTAGAGTCCTCAACCAATTCATACATAATCCAAAGGAAGTTCATATTTTGGTCACTAATACATTATTATAATTTGTAAAAGAGATGCTTAGCAGAGGCATCTTATTTAAGAGAAATAGAAATAGAGATATTGAAGTTTACACTAATGTTAATCATGTAGGTCTAATTGTTGATTGATGAACAACCTCAAACTATTATACATTTTTTAGCAATGACTTTATCACTTGATACAACAAGAAATAGCAAATAGTGGCAAGATCGAGTACTGAATTTGAGTTCTAAGCAATCATTCCAAGCATATGGTGAGCAACAGATTAAAAGATATGTAAATAATCATATTAAATTATATTTTATTAATAAATAAGTCATAAATATAAGTTACAATTTAATATAGTATGACTAGACAATGTATGTTGAGATAGATTGACACTTCATCAATAAAAAGGTTAGAAAGGTGCACTATTTGTACTCCATGTCTAACTCATGATCAGCAATTGGATGTACTTTCTAAGAGATTAAGCAATCTTACATTTCAAACACTCATATTCAAGATGAAATTGGACAGCATCCACTCACTAACTTGAGGGAGAATGACTGAACACTTTATAATATTATCATACCTTCATGTATGTACAAGTTTACTCATATCATAATTTATTTATTTTACATTAGATTTGGTTCTGTTTAAAGGATGCACGTTCCATTGTTTGAGTCACTTATAAATACTTGTATCCATTTACACAATATTAATCAACTATTTATATCAATAAAAAAAACTATAGGAGGCTGTATTGATGAGATTCAATGGTGAACTGCTGCCCAAAAGAAAAACCGCCTAGAAGTCCAATGACTTTTTTTGTCATTCCGTGACTTTGGGGTGTAACAACTCTCTTTGGCAACTGAAAACCTAAGACTTCTAAAAAAACTTATGAACATCTATGTCCTTAAAAAGTCAATTGTAGTTGTTGATGGATGCCTTCATTCATTCATGAGAGTCTCAATGCTATGGTGCTGCTCTCTCTCTCTCTCTCTCTCTCTCATTCTTCCCCTCTCCATCAAGGATAGATGCATTTAACTTTTCATAGTGAAACATCTATTCTCTAATGAACTTATCTCATTCCTCTACCTTGGTGTAATTTCACTGAATTTGATCTTAAGGAAGCCTCTAAACCCAGTGGATATACTTTAGTTCTTTAATGATTCAGTTGATTTCTATTACTTGTGAAAATAATTACCTGATCTATGCTTCATTGACTTATGACCATCTGGATTGGAACCTTTTCAATACCCTCTTGAAGATTCATGCGAGAGTCAGATTCTCTTTCCAAGGTTGTGCCATCTTAGATGGAGGTGACAGTCAAAGGTGCCCTAATTCCCCATGTTTATTAATTTGTGGGAGCATTGTAGCTTTTGTGCATCGTGCTCAACCTCTTTTGAACCTATCTTCTAGGTTTTCTATGATTTTCTATGCTCTTGAACTCATTTGACATTAATACTGTAGTTTGGGAGCTTATCGATATATTTTATTTTATTCCACTGTGTTCACTGATGCAGCGGCTGTCAGGGGCTCTCTCTCTCTCTCTCTCTCTCACTCACTCACTCACACACACACACACACACTTATCGTTATCATCCCTTGCCTTCCTCCATTATTCCATATAACTATCGCCCTCTATTATCTCCCTCTTTCAATATCATTGCCCTTATAATTATCCACATATCAAGAAGGGTCTTACCACATTCCCAGTCGGACTTTGACCACTTGGAGGTATGGTCCCGACGCAAAGGCCCAAAAATTAATTTCATAAGTGCGATGATTTGGCCACATTGTTTGAGAATGTCAAATGGACGAGCCTGGCTCGAACCTAACCAAACCTACACCGAGCCTAGAGATCCTAGTGCTCGGACTTCGATTGGATTCAAAATGTAGGCCGAAGTTTGACCTTGGTCAACGTCTGTGGTGACAAAGCTCGACCTAGTGTTTGACCTGGATAGGCCGAGCATTGACATAATCTTGATCTGTGAACATGGATGCGCCACCTCCCTGTCACCGCAGTCCAAGATCTGTACTTTGTTTCTCCAGAAGAGTGTATTCTTCTGGTTGATTTCTTTTCTTCTCAGATGAACTGTTTCGCTTCATGAAACCTGACTATTTGGGACAATTCTGAATACATTCAGAAACTTTGGTTTTTTCATCCAAGTATTTAAGCTTTTCGCGCATTTCCTTTCTGGAATGCATCTGCATTCCACAGCGTTTAGTCAATTCGAGGTAGATAAAAACGTGTGATTTGGCATCAAATCATGCTATTTTCGTGTGGACCATGTGGCTGCCGTGGTCATTCTGGATTGGGTCGGCCGATTTCATCCCTCACATGCGTTAGTTTGGGAGGTGGGTGGAAGCTATTGATCAACCTCTTCCGTTCCATGAATGCAGGAGGAAATGGTGGGCGGCGGAGGATCAGGAAGTTTCGTTCTATCATCACCGCAGCCTCCACGTGAGAGTTGACTCAACGACTCGTCACCCTCCACGGTCGCCGTCGCAGTGGGGAAACCCGGAGGGGCAGCTCTCCGTTGTGGCCAGCCCGCTGGCCATGGATTGCCGTTGATCTCCCCATTAATTCTCCCGGTGGAGTAAGCGCTCTCCTTCTCTTCTCTTTCTCTCTCCCTAAGTATAAGTTTTTATTTCTTGTATCATATAGACAAGTAATCAAGGTTTAATTTTTAACAACTTACAAAAGATAATGATGGTTGGTGGAGTCAATCCATGGCTGTTGCTTTATATGTGAAAAAAAATAATCCAATATTGATGGTTCAGTACCCAAATCCACCATAGTGGATCTCACTCTCCTTTCATTTTAAATTTGAAGTAATAATGTGGTCGTTTTGAATTAAATCTCTCAAGAAATCTTGCCTATATTTATGTTTTTGGGTCCTGCAAAGTAAATTTAAGAGTCTCATCTTAGAGGTAAATTTCATAAAAATAATGATTACATTGTTTTTAAATTATCTTATAAATTATTTAATTAAAAAATTATCAAAATTATTGTGTAACATACTTCTCCAAATTGAAAGCTATTTCGGAGGAATTTAATTATTTTTTGTCATCATGTCCTTGTTATAAATGTTCACACGGAGGTATTAAAGAACTATAATGCATATTTTATATCATCTATAGAGATAATTGATAAACAATAAATACATCATCTTCATTCGCAACAAGCACATACATCTTAGTTGTTTTAAATCTTTTTTTTTCAAAATTATGGAAAGTTGATTTATGTGACTCAATATAGATATATTCAAATGGTAGTGTGTTTATTTCTCTATGTCCAGTATATAATTCAACTATTACTTTACCTAACAACACTCATATTTTAGTAGGTTGCTTGCTGATTTAAGATTTTATTCTCAACTAATTATTAAAGATGTTATATATGGTTCTCAACTGAATTTTAATTTACTATATGTAAGTGACATGTTGATTACAGCATGAGCTTCATTGTTTGATTAATTAGTGATTTAGAATCCAAAGAGCAAGGTAATGATTAGCAAGGAGAATAAAGCATTAGACACCTAATGAAAACTAGATAATTTGAACATTTGTCTACAATGTTTTGATTTGCATATAACACATTAAATTTAGGTAATTTATCTTTGAAAATATTAGAGATAATACAAAAGCAGATTTTTGTTAACTCCTCAGCATGTAATGAAATAACTTCATATTATATTTATCTTTTAGTAAAGTAGCGGAGATTACTTTTTTTTAATGACAATCATATTTTTTAAGCATCTTTTTTGATCTTTGTGTTGTTAGACACTCAAGTTATCAATCTACAAAATATAATAATTAAAAATCTGATATTACTAAAGAAATTGAATTCAATAATTTATTGACTAAATATACCATTTTATATCAACATTTCTTGAATGGTATTAAAATTTTATTTGTTTCAATCAAATAAATATTACAATTTTGGAAAAATTATAAATTTAGATACACATGTAATTCACAAAGTACTGGCACCTAAGTGGACTTGGCTAGACCTTGTCCCTTCTTCGTCAGGGACATTGACCCTAAGAAAGTAATCCACACATACCCATGTGTTCAGCAAAGCAATGCAGCCTCAACAACCATAAGTAATATATGTGGCCGAGGAGATAAAGGGGATATAATCTATTATTTGTATATACTAGATTCGGTGATTGTCCAATAAAATATCTAGAACCAATAATCCTGATTAAATATTTTTTAAAACGAATGATACGACTAAGGTCACTATGCTTCAGCCTATTTTCTCTACATAGTAAGATTCCTCGATTCTAGTGTTTCAGGGTTACTGTCGCATTCCTTTGTGTCGCTTATTCGATCGTATGGTCCGAATTCGTTGATAGTGGATCGGACTTTAGTTGGTTCTTTGCGGTTCAACGGGTGGCGCCAGTGGGCGGCGATTGGCCCGTTTGGGAACTCGACAGGACACGGCCCGTCCCCTACCGCCCTCCGTCGTGCTCTGGCGAGCACCGTCTCCGTCTCCGTTGCCCTGGACTGCAGTGTAGTGGGAGGGCGAAGCAGGCCACTTTTGCTTCTCTGGCGCTTCTCGCTTCTTCCTTCTCCCGCCGGCATCCGCGCCGTTCTGCTTTCCGATCATGGAACCGTGGAATTCCCCTGCGGCGGCCTTTTTCTCCGATAGATGGCGTAAACCTGGATCTTCTCTTCTTCCATCGAGCTTTTATCCGATGTAGCTCTTTCTGTAGTCATCCACTCCCCTTCGCGTCTCCGTAACAGAGAGAAACCCTCTCCAGACCTCCGCGGCAACGCAGGAGGTTCGAATTCCCGACGTCTCTCTACCGCCTTACCCGAGATCACCTGATTTTGCCGCTTCTCTCACATTTCCTTCTCTTCTCAACAGATTAACGACATGGAGGATGGTGGTGGCGACTCCATTACCCCTCACGATGCTCCTGATGAAGGTTGGTTTCTCTCCAAGAAATACATTTGACATTCTAAGTTTTTAACCATGGTTATACATGGTAAGAGGACAAATATTCAACTCGCCCCCTCCCCACTCCCCCCCACCCAACATCGCTCCTTCAAAAATCCAAGGTGCTACATCCTTGCGTCATTATCTGGGGAAGACTGTGTTGATGTTAATTTCACTGGCAAATGTTTAGTATTCGAGGTAGCTATGTTACGTAAATCGCTTTTCTATTTCTATGGAAATTGGAAAAACTCGCATGGCGTTAATTGTAGTTGCGCTATCATTTCTGATCTAAATTTATAATTTTATACAATTTGTTATTGCACTATCATAACTGACAAAAGTTATCAATTTACGTGAATTGATTATTCTTTCTCCTTATCTTTATTTCGACTTTTCTAGAGGCTAGAGTTCTCGTATGCTCTCCTTCAGTAGATATGAGAAAGCAGATGTTAAAGAAGTTATTCTTGATTTATGGTGATAGTGGCTCAAATATGGCTTTCTGGGTGTCATGGTGAAGATATGCTGTATAATGTGGTCTCTTGATCAATGAATGGAGTCTTCAGTGATTCGAAATACCGTGTTTTAATAAAATAAGGGTAACATAGGACGGAACACTGCGTTATGGCCCTCGGCTGACGGAAAACATCTCTCCAAATCAAGCAAACTAAGTTGTGAAGTTTTGGTTTATTTTTAATTTATATGGATCGGCCTTTTTCTATTATGTTTTGCGAGTCTTTGATTTCTGCATCTTTTATGAGCTTCTGTTACAGGTCCGTGGAACTTGATTTGAATCAAATATCTTCTTTCTATGATTTGGGAAATGTTCTGTATATTACCCTTTTTAATGCTTCCGTTTTTATCTCAAGTTAAGCCTTTTGTTCTAGGTATGCCCAGATGACTTACCGATGATGTTTATTGCATGCATCTACATTTTGGTCGTTTGGCTTGCTGATTATTGACAGTTAAGATTCTTACAATTTTTTATTTATATTGGGAAATCTGGTACAGATGATGAAGATGAGTATGAAGAACAGGGTGGGGGCAGTCGGTTACTTGGCTTTATGTTTGGAAATGTTGACTGCTCAGGTGATCTTGATGCTGATTACTTGGATGAGGTGATGTTTTCACATTCCAATGCTCCTCTTGGTTCCAGAAAATTCTGATATCGGCTTGGAATAGCATGATGCTTAATATTATCATGCAATGGTGAAAACACAGATCTAGTAACCTATCAACTTGTGAGCCGTGTATAATCTGTTAAATATTTATTCACTGCTTATTTGCATGATTATTTTGAAAATAAATTCATTTACTTAAACCTTGAAGAGGACTAATCTTTCTGTGAACTTTTCTACTAAAATAATCTTTGGTTTGACAAACCCTCAGACATGTTGCTTTTGTTGGCTGATGAGAACGAGGAGGTGACCAGAGACAGTCACCGACGAAGAAATAGCTATTGTTGGAACGTTGCAGCCTTCTCTCTTCCACCATCCCTTTTCCTAATATTCTCTCTTGCTTTCCCCATGTTTTCTGATTCTTCAGAAAATCTAGTACGTCTGGAGTGAAACCAGTGGAGACCAAGACTGGACTACCGTTTTTAATTCTCAGCTCTCAATATCATGTTCCTATCTACCTCTACTGTCTAAATTTTGTGCGGTTGTATTGAAAGGGTACATAAACCAGTAGTTTTAACTTGATCATGTACCTTTTTGGTTGATCCTACCTTACTCCATGTGTTTGTACTCCATGAACCTACGCTTCAATTCACCTTGTGCCTGCGCTCTCACATAATTGCTGTCTATAGTAATGTCCCTCTATCTCTCAGGCTAGTTAGAAAGCTGTTTACAGACATGCTAATTGAACTTCATTGTCTTCATTAAATTCTGGCATCATTTCACTATTTTTTTTCGTCAGGCTGAAAAACTAAGAAAATCTAATTGCCCACCGCTGGAATTGGATGTTATTGTCCTTTCTTGTCTTGGACTAGGCTTTGTAACTTTTGTATCATGTCTTGGTGTCGGATTCCAGCTAGAGTCAATCTTTCTATTGTAAATATTGCTGTAGGATAAAGGAACTTGTGTTTATTCTAACGTTCATGATGAGATCATCATCAAGCTTGAAATATAAATCTTGAAAGTGGCTTTAGGACAGGCTTTTTATGTAATCAAGCATCAATAAGGTAATCATGCTGTGGTAATTCTTTAAAGCATGCACATACAAGCAATCAACCTCATCTCCATCCTCAGCATCTTCATGTTCATTTTCTTTTTCTCTAACCACATCTGTAAGCAGCCTGCATCATTTGGACGTGTCTCACTTTAAAACAGCCCGCACCATTCACATTGAGACATGAAGTGGGTATCCTAGCTCACATTGAGACTGTTTGCTTCCCTCTTCTCTTGTCATTTTTCTCTGCAGAGTATTTAGATTTTTTTCTTATTGTTTCGTATCATTTTGCATCATTATACTTGTGACCGGACAATTTGAACGGCTTATGAGTCTTATCATTTAGTTGTCCCTCCTGATGTCTTAGATGTTGGGCATCTGAGACATCCCAATAGGACAATACCCTTGATTTCCCTACGTTTGTCAGGGCATAGCTATTTTCTGAATGTTTCTACGAGTTGCATTCATCTCATTCTTGTGCCTGATTAACCAGCTATTCAAACTCTCATTGTCAAACTGTCTTAATCTGTTGTATCTGTGGTAACTTGTCGTGCACTTTGTCATTCTGAGGCACGCTGAAATAGACAACCAACCCTTCCATAAATTCTATCATAGTACGGTGGCAAAGATGGTTTCCTTTTTTATCGTTAATAATAGTAATGCTATGTGATCCAGAAACTTAAAAAAGATTGTGGCTTCTTGTCTGTTGTATTAAGTTATTGAGTTTGAGGTTTGATGCTATTGGAAGCATTGTATGATGTGCATTAAATATCTAAACACCTGGGTTCCATTCATACTATTATTGGAAGTGTATCTTCATGCGAATGGCTGAGATAAGGACCCATATAGGGTTCTGTATCTATCATCATCTATTGGTGTGGCAATGTAAATGACTTCGTCCGCTTCAGAAACAAAATCTGCCTCTCTTGAAGTTTATGTGATTGGGAGGTTGGTAGTTGACGTGCTACTTTTTCTTGTGTGAAGGTTGCATTCATCACTGCATTCGTGGTAAGGATATGCCTCTCATTATCTCTGGTGTCATGTTTCTAAGCGTTGATCCCTTACTAACCTCTATTCCTTTTTTTCTTGTGATGCCATTATGTGGGCTTTGAGATTAGCAATCTGGAGCCCCTTTTCAACCGTTCAACATATGATCTTAGATTAAGTTTAGATGCCGGACGGAATTTCTTTCAATGGAAAAGGAAACAGAAATCAAGAGAAAGCGAGGACATGAGAAAGGTTTTGATTCAATATAGCCTGGGTCTTTGTGTGTGCATAGCACAGGGCATTTGTCCTTTTTATAGAGATGCATAGATGGAAGACAGCATCCTCCTCAGCATTGTAGAAGATGAACTCCACTGAGGAAATATTTCTATCCTTATAATGATTTGGAAGGAGTGTTATTAAAATGAAGAGAGAGAAAATGGACGGTGTGGAAGAGGAACTTTCCTGTCTCAGAGTACAGGGGAAAGAGCAGGAAACCACCTCATTTTTCATTGACATTTATCACCCCTTAAATAGGGAGAAAATCCTACATGATCTTTCCCCATATACCCTCAGGCTACAAGTTCTCGTGATGGCCATCATCATGGGTTCCCATACATGATGCATCATGACCTAGAAATCCTAACAGCTACAAATTCCTATGATGACCGTCATGACGGTGTGAATTCCCATACATGGGTGCATCACGATTTAGAAATCCAACGAGTGTAATCCATTGTCGCTCATAACTAACATATCTTAGGTGGAATCCTCAAGTCTCCAGAGATACAAGTGTGGGAAGGTGGCAAAATCTTGCATCATGTATTAAAATCAATGTACCTTGAAGTTACCATATATGGTGTTATACTCTTGAAATCTTGCCATCAACATATCATCACAACGCACACGACTTTTTTTTTTCCAGGATGCTAAAGAACATCTTTCTGCGTTGGCTGACAAATTGGGCCCATCTCTTACCGGCATTGATGTATGGATACTATTCATATTGATATCTTGAATCTTTTTTGCATTATTTTGTCATCTATATAGTCTTCATTAACCGAATTCTTTTGCAGATGACCAAATCACCATCTACTGTTACAGATGCTTCAGAACAAGGTAGCTTTTTCTACTTGTCCGCATAAGGTTTTAAGCTTCTTGAAATTCATTCTCCCTGGTTTACCGTCTGATGTTCCCTGGTTTTGTTATGAGATCAATGCGTAATGTACATCTGAATTTTTAATCTTGAATTCTAGAAACTGAGGTGAAGCAGACGTTGTTATGAGCTCAATTTGATCAAATCCAAATCGTGTAACCTTTAAGCAACTTGTATTATCATTTTTTTCCTTGGCATCATCACTGACACCATGTAGTATTAGCTGGTAAACAGAATCAAGATTTTGTAGCTTGGGAAATGGTCAAAAAGTCGGACAAAATAGTAGAGACTTTTGTGATGTTTGACAATCTAATAGATGGCTAAAGTTTTTCTACGTCATGTCAGTTACACCAAGTGATCTTTTATTTTATTACCAGGCTGTATATGTTTACTTTTTATTCTATTTTTATCTGTCTTTTTATTGCACAGTACTAGTTGCTGAGTTCACTTTGATGTGTTTCTCTCAGAAACACGTCTACAATGACTCTCTTGGGTTATCTAGGCGGATCATAAAATCTGATGACTTTTCTTACATGCAAAACTCTGGGCCTTCTATAATGAAAAATAGTCAAATTTACAGTGGATGATGTTGTTTGACTAATAGGCTCGTTCAGTGAGTGAGTGAACTACAGTTTTTTCTCAATGGAGAATGATTACTGTTTTTCAGTGTATTGGGGTGCCAATATATCCTTCAGTATGTTGCCTTAAACTACTCTTGTTTTTTCAGTGCATTCTGAGGCTGTACAGGATCATCCTTTTTCCTTTTAAAATTTTATGAACTTTTGGCACCACCATTTTTTTTTAAAAGAATTTCTAATGCTGAAGAACTTTTAATAGTGTCCTGCCCATTGGTGCTTATCCAACCATAGAACCTGCTATGTGCTTTGCCACAAATAATTGATACTTTTCACCTGTTTTTATTTATATCAACTTCTATTATTGTCATTGCAATGCATTTGTTTTGTGAGTTGTTCCCAGATTTAGACCATTGCGTGTATCACTCATCCTTTATAATGTTTTTCTAAGTCTTTTGGATTTGCTCTGGCAGCTTTTGTTAAGTTCATAAATAGGACGGCTGTTTACTTATTTGTTCTTCTCTCTCAGAATCATTATTTCTGCTATGCGATTGCCTGATTATTTTGCTTTTCTATTTTTAATTGTTTCTTTTCCATTTTTGTGTTAGATTATGATGAAAAGGCAGAAAATGCTGTGGACTATGAGGACATTGATGAGCAATATGAAGGGCCGGAGGTCCAGTCAATACCAGAGGAAAATTCTCTGTTAGCAGAAGATTATTTTTCTAGAAATATTTCAATATCCTCTATAACCCATAAAGTGCCTTTATTTGATGAAGAAAATTATGATGAGGATGACGATAATGAGAAGGAAAATGAATTTGTGGAGGTCAAATCGGATGCTGAATTTTTTTTGCCAACAGGTTGTACTGTAGTTTACTGTTATTGTCCAATCAAGTTCTTATTGCCAGTTGTTTGTTAATTGATATCCTTTGGCATTTATGTATTTTCGTTGCTTTATTAATTTAATTTCCTGTCACTTGTTTTGCACCCAAATTTCAGTCACCACGACTACTATTATTCTGCAGTTTGTAAAAATGCTTTTTGTTTCGGATGTACTTAAATGGGGAAGCTGATGCAGATTGGCTTTACATGACTTCTATAGTATTTGAATTTATATTTTATGAGGACTAGAGAAATCCCATTCCATTCATATTAGAGTGGAAGAATTCTTCTCTAAGATTCAAACTTTTCTTTGTACTTTATTACCGAAAGTTTTCTGATCAGTGGCCTGGAAAGAAGTTTGGTGAGAGTCTTGGAAATGGGATAGTAGAGAACTTACCTGTCCTTCATGTTCTTTGGCAATCTGTTGGCGAACGAGTTAGAAATAATGATCATCTCATGAAGGTATTGTTGCAGAAGAGAGACAAAGATTACCCGATCTGGAAATGAAAACTCAAAAAAGTTTGTAGCTCCACCTACGTGGCTGACTCATGAAGGTCTCCTCTGCGCCAATTATCAAGCTAACCCTTTCAGTACTTTGCTAATGTGATGAATTTTTGGATCCCAAAACACTTGGGTAAACCAGTCCTGACGAAGGAAGAATACTACTGAGGAATCATTACATCCATGTTTCAATCCTAAAGCTGTAGCTTATGGTTCTGTCTTTGTAGTGTTTTGCCAGCCTAGCCTGTGCCTGTTTTTGTGCACCATCTCCTAGGTCCATTTCTCGACACTGGTTTGCCTTTTTTTCGTCCGAATTTATTTTCAGTATGTTTTTATCAAATTTAAATGTTGTGGGCCTCTTTGTCTATTTGTCTGTTTGAATGAGAGAGAGGATGTGGTTTGATAGAGAAAAATTACTAGTTTTGCCCATCTTGGTTACAAAGTCTAATACTGATTCGGTGATTAACAATGGTAAATCCTTATTGCTCTTGTATTATCCAAGGAATTATAGCAGGCTCTCGGTGTTTCCCATGAGTCAGGGTCACATACGTTTGTGCAGACTATTTGATTACCTGTGTAGAGAGGGGCAGAAGATCTTTTTTTCTGCCTGTATTCACTGTTTTTCTGAAACACATTATCGTCCATGATTGGGTGGGGGTGTCCCATATGTCAACCGTTTGCGTCCCGAAACTCAAGTTTGTGTTCAGTGTTCTTTCAGCCATCCAAGACGGGAAGTCTGTGTTCTTTATTTTGAAATCCAATTATTTTTCATTTCAAAAGGATTGGAAAATGCTTCAAAGAATCATGTTCTAGGCCATTAACTTGTGCAGATTTTTTCAAATTGCTTCTCCGACCTATGTCAATTTCGAGTGAGATTAGCAGCATTTTTGACAGAATCTCTCTGGAAATGTGGAGTTGGTTCATGCATCACCAGGATGTCCTCATCCATATCTGGTGGCTTCATCTATTCATTTCAATGAAATTTTGAAAATAACTCATACCAGAAGGTTCAAGTCACACAGACCAGATGCAAGATTGTGAAATGAATTTTCAGCCTGGCAGGTGGATATTCAGAAAGAGGTCATTAGTAGAATATTATGCCTTTCTTATAGAAGGGATAGTACCAAGCATTGCTTACTGGCTGTAGGATCTTTATTTGTGCCCATGCTTGGAGGTGAGTTTCTGGGTTCAACAGCCACAGCCGTCCAGGACACAGGGAGACAGGCATGTGGGTAGCCTATGTGTTCACTCCAAGGGTTTATCATTAACAATTGGGTTTCTATTGACCAAAAGACTAGATAGTGTGTATTGCATAAACTTGCTTTAAGTTACCTCATGTGCAACTGATTGTTCTGAATTCAAGTAGCTTTTTAACATCAAAATTTTCTTCGCAAACTCATAATTAAACAAGTAATTTGTTTCCTAAAGTTATCTCAGTCCTTTTGATTTGATGTATTTTATTAATTTAGCGGCTTGTTTGGCGCTCTTCTAGATGAAAAGAAATTGGAGCCGTTTTCAAACATGGTGGAGTCACAGTTTGACGGAATTTCAGTTGCTAGATCCTCAGAGGATGATCAGACAGCCTTTGATTCAGAGGATTTTCAGGTGATTTACCATCTTTTATTTTCCTATCAATATTAAATCTTTACATGTTTCTGATTTCTTAAAAAAACGTATATAATATTCAGTAGCACAATCATACAGTGTGCTTAAATTTAAATTAAAGTTCCTGCTAAACTGGAAATTCACTTTTGCTATACAAAAGTGATGGTTTTCTGTACATCTATATTCGTTTTTCTAGTCAAATGTTGTGGCGTACCTTTTTTATTGATCTTAAAAATGGCACACCTTGCTCATAGTGCTGTTTTCTAATTTGTGAAAATTGTCAAAATTTCTTTAGTCCTTATTTCAATGTTCATAAACTTACCTAGAGTTTTTTTAACATGGACGACTGAATATTTATAGACAAAAGCTATATAGGCTAATGTTACTAGGTTTCTGAGAAGAAAAAAACGAGAATGCGTCTGTCATTCCTCTTCTCATCTATCCCTTCATATTCCTCGGTTTCTGTTCTAGGTAAACTTTTTACTCTTCATTCTCTCAGTTTATTTTTCTTTTAGATTTTATTTATCCCCTTTTTCTTTGTTACTTTGCTGGTGAGGTGCCTTAATGGAATCCCTGAAAGTGGTAATAAGAAGATGAAAATTATTTGTACATGAAAAAAATGTGCATTTCACCAAAAAAGGGAAATAAAGAGAGAATGAAGGAAGGGAGACACTTTTTAAAAGGGAAATGATGAAGGGAAATGGAGAAGAGAAGGGAAAAGTAGAGAAGGTGGGTGAATCAGATAGATAGTTGGTCTTCCCTTCTCATCTTTCTCCTCTAATGAAATTGCGTAAATATGCAGTTTGATGGTGTTGTGTTCTGATGGGATTGGAGCAGGGGGCAAGCCTTGTTTTTTCCTCCTGTTGTTCAGGCTACCCTAGTTTGAGTCCAAAATAACGGCAGCATCCTCGACACCCCATTGGAATCGACACCCCAGAAAGCAGGCTGTCACCATTTTTTTTAAAAAATATTTGCAGTATATGTTTGATTTTTCTAAAATCATATCCTGAGCCTTGCACTCAGCATCCTCGCTCTGATCTGTTTTCGAGTTCTGCCAGCTTTCGTTTGTCAGGCGATTTCCATCTTTCTTTTATCTGGATATGAAATATATACCGATGCGTGCAGCTAAGAATTCTATTGGATTGGTATGCTATGTGTGGTATTGCAGTCTGAGATGCATTTGTTTTTTTTTATAGTTTTCTTTGTATTGTTAGAGGGGGGAAGCCCATGATTTGAATCTAGAAATTCTTTTTGTTCGTCGTAATTCGTCTGTGCACCTAATTTGTCCATGACATCATGTTTTCATTTGTCATTAAATTTTTCGACAACCTCTGGCAAATTTTTGTCTGGGTGAAAGACAAACTGGTACCTGGATTCGTTTTGTTCCTATAGCAACTTATCCATTTTTATGGTTTATGCAAACATTCGTAGGAAGATTATGCTGCCTCAGAAGAGTTCAATGATTCTACAAGTGGAGCTGCCCTTCCTGTCTTATGCGTGGAGGACGGGACTGTAATATTACGTTTCTCCGAAATTTTTGGCATTCACGAACCTCTGAAAAAGATGAAGAAGAGGGACAAACGTAGGTATCACAATGTTTTGCATATGGAACAATCATACTGAAGTTGTATGGTATTCTGCTGTTCAAATGTGGGCTTATTGTGAATGAGTTTATCAAGTTTCGTTGGTCGTAGAGTGCAATGCTTTGTTCCTGGTTCAGTATTTACTCATCCATTACATAACGTAACAATGAGAGATCTAAACAGATTTAGTTCAGATCTTTTATAGATAGAATATCCAACAAAGAATCATGAACTGCTGCATTCAATATTTGATAATAGCTCAGCTACTTTTTTTCTGAAACTTTATTTAATGTTAACTTAATTTCGAGTACTTTTTCTTTAATCTGGAGAATACACTTTTAAAAGGCATGCAAATAGATTAAGAATCAGGAGAAAAGGTCAAGAATCCGAAGCAACACTATGGACTGTTACACAAATTACAAAGACCCTTCTCGCCAGAAATTGATGAACCAGGATGGTAGAACGGACAGTTAGGTAAAAATTTAAGTTGAAACAACAGGTCAACGGCTCAAGCAACGAAATTGATTCAGGAATTTTCTAGATGAGATAAGTGGCATGGTGAAATATGGGAAGAGTATGATTGTGGTTGTGACTCCTAATAGGAGGGAACATAGAGTAGTGATCCGGAAATCTGTAAAGGATTTTCCCTATCTATTTCTTGTCTCTACTCACCAAGGGTGCGTTACTTCGTAGGGATAGTGTGATGATTCAATCCAATTTGAAAGCAGGACGACATGATTGAAAAAAAAGTATCTTCAAGGCAGGAGCCTTAATTTATGAATGGTAGTTTTGCTTAGGCTACCCAAGTACTACTTATCCTGGTCAACTATATTTTTTGGGTATGGCATAGCAGGTAGGCATAGATGATAGCATGGCATCAAGTGGTAGTGAAAGTAAAACCTTGATATCGTCTATACTGGGGACTTCACTGTCGCACTACTCAAAAAATGGCTATAAATTTGAGCAAAAGGCTGATGGCTTTGACCATAAATAATACAGAAGTATTAAATAATTTACTTCATCAAATTTGTTTTTTGGGTAGGACCTGACATTTAGATGAATGAAATGCGGTAATGGTCGGTAACTTTGAATAGGTGTTGCATGGAGCATGATCCCTTGAAGAGTAGTTTCCAATATTCAGCCAACGAAAAAAGTAAATTTATAGTTTCAAAGAGATGATTTTAGAGAAGTAGATTTTGAGCCAAACCCCCTCTGATAAGTCATAGGAGGTGATGAAGAGCAGAGAAGATTGAAGAAAAGGAGGAAGAGAAGAGAGACCGTCGTATACGCGTGAACACTTTTTTTAAGTGGTTCAGATCCCCACATCAATGCTCACACTGAATTCACTTTCAAACAATAATTAGGATTTTTAGAGGGGAAGCGATCCTTCAAATATAAGCCAAGGGGACCACGTCTCCCCAGGGAAGAAGGCTCCGAACTCTAAAAGTGTGGATAGGGGGTTAAGGTGTATGGTTTCGAAGAACTCTACTTAACCAAGGGTAGTCATGTAATTGATGTTGGATTCGTATCTGAACTATTCAACCACCATAACGATATTTATAGCTTAATTTCTGTGCAACTAGTCATGCCTTTGCTATCCTATCAGTCATGTATTTTTTTGGCACAACCCAATTATTTCACTCCCCTTAAGCAACGTGACTGTCCAACTTCAGTAAGATTTCTGTGCGGCTTTTGATCTAATTCATAGCTGTATGCGCTCGTATTATCCTGGAAAAATAAAGGGGATGGTACCGACTCATTAGATATGAAAAAAGGAAGGGTTGTATGTGTTTATATTCAATCTGCTCTTAAAAACTCATACGATAATTATGGTCAGAATGAAATTGGTGTACGTAACTACCCGTAACACCAAAATTAAAAGCTCCTTTAGCACCCTTTTCTCAAAAGCTATGCGTTATTAATACCCAACTCTCTTTGTTACTCTATACAAGCTTAATGGTCTGCATACAATGTAAGACACTATGCTTTCTGACCTCCTTAAGTGTCCACTGCTTGATGTAACTTGCGAATTACTCCATTCATGTATCCATTATAAATTTATTGTGCAGGGTAACATCTGCCCAATCTCCAATGGTGCATCTGAGGAACAAATAGTCTAAAGGTTCTACATCCTCAGATAGACTGTAGTAGGTGCCGGAACTATCCATATATAGAGCTAGTCAGTCGTATGTAAGCCCCCAATGCGAAATTCTCTCGTTAGTTGCCCCACTTTCTGTGGGAGTGAGTCTTTTAAAACTTGAGATGACAAATTCTGACTGGCTCCTCCATTGGGAATAATGTGATAAGCTTGCCTGACTCCTAAATCTTCCTTTCTTCTCTCATTCCATCATCATGCTTCACTTGTTCAAGAAGGCAGCCTTCAATGGACCCTGGAAAAGACAGAATCAGCAATTTTGGAAGTTCTCACTTGCCTCTTACCTTCAATAGTTTAACTTGATTACTTCTTATTGCACGATCACAATTTTTCTCAAAGGTTGTCAGAATGTATTAGAAGACAAAAAGGACCGTAGAATGGGTTTTGATTGTATATTCGTATATCCTTTTCGTAATTGAAATATTCCTAAATGTTATTCTTAGATGAAATTCGAGTTAAAATGGCTAAAAAAAATTAAATAACTTTATGAGTGGTAGCCTGCAAGAGTCATTTAGGAATACTAGTGAATAGGAATAATACGGTATAACGTTATGAGTGTCTCATTTCAGATTACATTCTTTGTGCACACATTTCTTAATGAAGATGCTGATTTAGATTTGTTGGAAATATCTTAAGATGTCTCACTATGGAATCAAATTTCTTTATGTGAAGCTTTATTCAGTTCTCCAATAGGGGAAATCATCTTCTGCTAGTATAATTATGAGCATTTCCCTGCAAAAATCGTTCAATGAATCATATCTTTTTTTTTTGGAAGATTTATTTTCTGTAAGATGATTCAATTATTGGTGGTTGATGGATTATCTTAGGCTATTTAATCCTGGAATCTGCTAAACTGCTCAATTAATCACCTTACAATTTTACTTCTGAGAGTTATTCATTTACACTTATATTATTGAGAATAGGACATTTTTGTGCAACAAGAGAGGCGTTTTATAATTTTAGGCTTTCTTAAACATATCATTATCAAAAACATGCAGATAGAGTCAAAACCATGGATCTTCCTGTTACCATTGAAGAGGATGAGGAGCTGTTCTTGCGTGGTTCAGTCAATGATCGACTTGTTGCTAGGGATCCTAGCTTGATGGAAGAAGTGTACGAGAAAATTGAAGAAGATGACAGTGGAGCAATGATTGTTGAATACAGTAAAGACTCTTGCTTGTTCTCACAGCCTATGAAAGAGGATGCCCAAATTGATGCACCTGCAGAATGGAAATCTCCTGTTTTTCATGAATTGTATCCTCTTCATCAGCTTGAGTGGGAAGACGAAATTATGTGGGGCAATTCATCTCCTATCCTAGTCAGTCATGGGTCCTCACCGAGTAGTGTGATCTCTGAACATGACAGTGATCCGTACACAAATCTTGAAAAGGGAGAAGAGGTTACTGCAGACAGTAAGCAAGGATTACCGATTGTGCCTGATAATCACTGTTATTTGTCTGATGCTGGTTCAGTTGACCCACTTGGTATAAGGGATCTAGCCGAAAAACCATTCATGCAATCAATGGACAAGAATTATCATCCTCATGCTGATGAGTTTACAGATGCTAAAACTCCCAAGGGTCTTGACGAAATTTGCAATAATGACACTTCAAAGCGTTTCAGAAAGTTAACCTTGCAAAACAAGGATTTTTTTGAAGGGAACTGGTTGGATCAAATTATATGGGATCCAAGTGACTATGTTCCCAAGCCAAAGCTGATATTTGATCTGCAAGATGAGCAAATGTTATTTGAAGTTTTAGACCAAAAAGATGTTGAACATCTTCGTTCACATGCAGGTGCAATGATAATGAACCATTTGTCAAAATCGTCCACAGGTTATTCGTTTGATCTTTCTAGCCAGAGTGGGGCTTCTATTGGAAGATTTAACATTTCTAATGACAAGTATTACTCCAATCGCAAGACTAGTCAGCAGTCAAAATCCCATGCCAAAAAGCGTGCTGTTCATGGTCTCAAAGTATTGCATTCTGTGCCTGCACTAAAACTACAAACTATGAAACCGAAATTGAGCAAGTGAGTAGAGCAGCCAACCTCGTCTTTTCAAAAGCCATTTATATTTGCACACCTTTGCAGTTATTAGCCTGAGGAAAAACTGTGATATACTTTGTGAAAGTGCCTGAATTCAAACATTTTTTCACTAATGATATAATATTGTTGGGGTAATTGTTTTCTCTCAACTATTGTTGAATTTTTAAATCCTTATGGATTGACACATTTTTTGACACGTGTATGTACAAAAGAGTGTAATTCAAGTTATTTGTTTTTTTACAGGCAATACCATGCTTTGCTTTTATTTGTAAAATATAACTTTTGATGAATGTCTATTATTCATTTTTACTTCACAATACTATCTCAATTAGCTTTCTTCTCCTATTAATTATATTTGCGTGTATGTGATGTAACTTTTCTTATATGTTTTGATCTTTCTGATTGGAAACAATCAAAATGCTGTCTTGGAAGTACTTTATATCTCATGCTTTTTACATGTCATACATGCTGTATTGGAAACTCTTTTCTTTCTCTTCAGATGTATTACGGGTACATCCGTAGGTTAAATTGAAAAATAGCATGGCCCTTTGAAGGACATAGGGTCATTTCTCTGCACTATTTCTACCTTGTTTGTCCACCTCTGATTTCAACTTGGAGGTTTGCTCCCTGATGTTCTGGATTCTAACCTTTAGGAGAATGGAATCGTGACAAGTTTACCTCCTACATCCACCTGGCCTGATCAATATGTCTCTCCTTTCCTTTTAAGTTAGAGCTTTTTTTAATAACAAAAAAAGAAAACGGACGTAATCTATGCCAGTTTAAATTTTTATTTTTCACCTCTGGTTCGTATCCTGTCACTTAGGCCTTACCTTTTGTGGGCTTATTATATGATACTGTAGCATGATTACCTATTACTCTTTCACAAAAACTCGAATCTACTTTTCTTGATGTTGAGCATCTTTTAATCTTCTTACAGTGGAGATTCTCCTCAATGTACTAAACGAAAGGTTTTATTTTGATTGATATTTTATTGACTCATTATATTTTCTGTGCTCTTGTTATTCTTTCATGCTGTAACAATCAGCAAAGTTTTATACTTCATCCTTTATGCATTTTTCTTATCAGTATTTTCTTGCTTTTAGATTGACCTTTTTTGCAATTTGATTCGCCGGTAGTTATATTTATTTAGTTATTTTTATCATTCTCTAATTCTTCTTGCTTTTGCCAGTAAGGATATGGCGAACTTTCATAGGCCGAAAGCTCTGTGGTATCCCCACGAGAATGAGTTCGTTACCAAGATAGAAGGAATGCCCTACACTCAAGGACCCATTAATATTATTTTGAAAAGCTTAGGGGGGAAAGGGACCAAGTTTTTTGTAGCTGCTGAGGAGTTGTTGTCATCTTTAAAGTTGAAATTTGCAAAGAAGCTTGGTTAGTTACACCTTTCGTAGCTTTGTCCTCTTTTTATCGTTTTTTCGTTTGCTTGTCATGATGGCATACTCTTGTTTTCGTCCAGTAATGATCATTGACATTTATGGAAAGGCTTCTTAATGCTAAACGTCTTGAACTGTAACTTCTTGTTCTTAATCAGATTTCAAACCATCAGAGAAGGTCAAAGTATTTTATATGGGAAAGGAGTTGGAAGATGAGAAGTCCCTTGCCTCTCAGAATGTCCGGCCAAATTCTTTGCTTCATCTTGTGCGCACAAAAATCCATCTGTTGCCAAGAGCCCAAAAATTGCCGGGTGAGAACAAGCCTCTTCGTCCCCCTGGAGCATTTAAAAAGAAATCTGAGCTTTCAGTGAAAGATGGACACGTATTCCTCATGGAGTAAGACTTCGTAATATGTTCTTTGAATGCTTTACCATTTACACCTCTTTCTTACGGTGACTCTGTTACATGCATATGCACATAAGCACATCTTCCTGCTTTTGCCAATAAATTTCCTGTTTTCTAATTTCACTGTGTAGTATCTATCATTATCTTCATGAAACTAAATTCCAAGTCTATAGACCTTTGTGTGAAAATTTACCAATCAATTGTAAACCATATGTCCCTTGAATCTGGCAGGCACTGATTTGCCTCAGTTTTTTCATGTTTACGCAATATTTGTGACACAAGTCAGTGAGCTATCACTTCAGAAACGAGAGAAGATGAGCTCTGTTCTTCTGACAGCTGGCAGTTTTTATGCACTCTTTCACGAGTGAAAAAAAATCAATGAATCCTTTTTTCAACAGTTTCCAGCTCCACTGTTTGGACTAGTGTTAATTTCTTGTAAAAGGATGACTGTTATTTATTTTCCCTCTACCAGACTCAGCGTTATAACTTTTATATTTTTTTATTTTTGGATTGTAACTGGATGTTATGTCCATCGTCATGCATTATAATTTAGGATCTTTCACTTAGGTTTCCTGTACTTTTTATGGAAAATGTAAACACGTGAGTAAAAACATGACTTGCTCATTTATGAGAAAAGCAGCCATTATAAGAAACAAAACAAAAAAAGGATTGCATCTCAAGCAAGAAAATATGGCCGATGATTATTTGGAGAAGAAGGAGAATATGGTGATCATATGTCAGTTGTCGAAAGTACTCTTATATTGGTTATTGACAATGAAACTACTTCACTCTTCGTTGTCCTTGAGTTGGATAGTTCCGTGACTTCTTTTTGCATCAGAATAGATATGTCCGTGAGACAGACTATAAGTCATCTTACATGTGAGAGAATATGTTCAAATTTATCTCATTTTTGGTTACTACAAAAGTAAATCAATGAGTTCATAGCAAATTGGTTTTTAGTTGTATGAATTATAACTTTAGGGCCAATAAACTGTGTAAAGTTCAAAAATTCATCTTTTGTAGATGACCCGTGTCCTTGTTAGAATGGCAATACACAGGAGGATCCCTTTGAATATAAACCGCCACAGAAGTCACGTGATATCACTGGGACGACTTAGCTACATATACCTTTGCGCGATGGATGACTGGAAAAATTTACCTTATTGGCTTTGCTGTTTGGCATGGACCAATTTTTATCCTAAGAAGCAGAAATATCCAATACATTAGAAAAAAAAGCTCATCAAGAGTGCAATAATATTACATTACATGAAATTTAAATATCAACTTCCATGGTGAGGACGAGCTCCCAATCACTTTTGATAAGGTTGTCGATATATGCCTACCAAACGAGATAGTTGGATGAGACTGAAAGTCGTTCGTAGATCCCAGGAAGATTTTCAATTAACCTCTTTTATTATTTGAATAAGTTTGATATCAGCAGGATTCGAAATATTGCTGGGCAAACCCGAGTTTGACTAATATCTACAGATAGATCTCTGTAGACATTGTATTATTGTTATAGTAGATTATGTTACTACTCGTTTTTGTGTCGCTTTAGTTTTCATATTTAAAAGGCTAGGTTTATATATAAAGAGGCTCTAGGATCTCGTGCAATTTGGAGAGGATTGTGATCCAAGTCTTTCTCTCTCCTTTCTTGTCCAAGTTTGTCATGCTATCAGTTCTCTTTGCCCCATTAATTGTCTGCAGCGTCCGGATTGCTTCTCCCTCTCCATCGTTGGGTTCCTTTGGTGGCTGTTGATAAATCTGCCACATTTTGTAGGCTGCATATCATGGAAATTTTGAGTCAAGAACATTAGGGTTTTGTTGATTGTATTAAAGAACTACCTAAGGAAGAATACTGTTCAGGAGTACAATGTTCTATGACTTTATTGTTGAGCTGCATTTCTATCTTTGATGAAAATGTCCCTGCTGAGGCTCTAGTGGTGGTTCAAACATTGCAGGAAAATAACATGATAGATCGTTGTCATGAACAGCTGTGCAAAGCTAAGGGGGATATGCAGAGGAAAAACTCAACTCGTATTCTCATCACATATGACTGACATACAAGTACCAGGGCAACAAGACAAAGAAACTACCAAACCACTAGGAAGCCAACTAACAAGGAAAAGAACCAGCAATCTAGGAAATGGTCCAGATTAGAACCGAATTCCTAATTACATATTCTTTCCCACAACCACTTCTTCGTAAAGCTAAGATCTGAGGAAAACAGTACAACTTGTTAACTGAATGAGACGCCTCATGGTGTTGAAATTCTCAGCCTACCAGAATTCCCAGTAAACCAAAATCAATTTTTGAAAAACTATTGTGTCTGTCTTTTAATATCGAGCTCTCTCCACACGTGAAATAAAAGTAAAACGTTTTTTCCTATTTAGTCTTTTCAGGAAAAACAACAGACCACCAAAAAAATTTAAATGATAACAAAAAATAGAATGCTGGAATGTAACAGGAACCTCAAATATTGGATCTTTCCTCTGGATTATAACAGTCGGGTTAGTGGTTGCTGTAATCTTAATATAATCTACCTGGTTCTTGCTGTTGAACCTGATGAATTACTGATACTCTGGCATCCACAGTTGAAGAAAGGGAGATAAAAGGAAGAGGAAAGTATGACAGGGAAGATGTTTGGGATGAAGGGAAATGACTTGTCTGCTGTTTCTTTTTGCCATATTACTGCACAATCAATTGCATTTCAGTCTTTTCTGTATTGTATTTATGAATATTCATATATTACATTGAGATTTCGTACTCATGCATATTTATTTTCATGAGTGATGTGTCAGTTGAGTCATAATAGATCCCTCATCTTTGATGCGATTTCAGTTCAGTTATCAGTCCTATCTCTCTCTCTTTTGGCGTTAACCCCTTGTAAAGTTAGAACTCTTGTTTCTTTGTTAAAAATTGAACATGGTATCCAACTTATTTTTCTTTTCCTGACTAATGGACAGATACTGTGAAGAGAGACCTCTCCTTCTGGGAAATGTTGGGATGGGTGCTAGACTTTGTACTTACTATCAGAAATCTGCACCTGGTGATCAAACAGCGGCAACCCTGCGAAATGGAAACAGTGATCTTGGTAACGTTTTCACACTTGATCCAGTGGATAAATCCCCATTTCTTGGCAACATAAATCCTGGCTGTTACCAGTCCAGTCTAGAGACAAACATGTACCGTTCACCCTTATTTCCGCACAAGTTGTCATCAACGGACTATCTTTTGGTCCGGTCAGCAAAAGGAACATTGTCACTACGTCGGATTGATAAACTATACATTGTTGGACAACAGGTAGGATTCCATCATTGTATTTATGTAACTAATGTTTGATATCTGTTTACACTCGCAAGCTGAACAATTTTTCAATGATTCATTTTACTCGGAATGGAAATTCAGATCTATCTGAATTTGTTGCATCCATAGGTGGGACACCCAGTGGTGACTAGTACATAACATGATGCTAATATGTATTTGTCCCCGCATTGTTGACCGTCACATCACTTTGTTTCTGGAAGCATGTGTCACTGCTAATCAGGATTTTATGAAACATTTTTTTCCAGATGGTTGATTCATTTGAAAGGTTTATTTTCTTCTAATTATCCTAGAATGGTCCACCATTGCCTCAAAAGCATTGATTCGACTGGAAACTTGACCATATGAGTTTAGCAAAATGCACACAGATTGCTAAGTTATCCTGGCTTGCAAATCATATAAGTGCACTTGTAAAATCACACAGATGCTTCCCGTTCTCTCATTAAAAAATTTGAAGGACCCATTGCCTTTTCCAGTTCTCATCATTAGTGAAAATGTCTTTCACTTAAAGAGAACCTCTCATGTTGTCTACTAAGAAAGCCCACCCCAAATGAATTTCTGTTCTGATGTCTTCTAGCGATACCCTAACATGAGTGAGTCATCTAATCCTCTTCTGCTTTCACATGCAGTTCTTTAATATATTTATCGACCTTTGGTAACCATCTCGTCTTGTTTGGCATGGGATGTTTCGCTTGTCTCTCTGCTGATTTATTGCATATCCCGCCTCTTCAATCGATCTAAAATATTATTGTGGAATTTATGGTTGTAGTGATATTATATGATTGTCATCAGACACCACATGTCATGGAAACATGAGACTTTATTTTCTAGCCTGGTGGAACTAGTTGATGCTAGTTTTGAGAGTAGTTAATGACTGAATCATTGTGTGCCTCTTGTGTTTGTATGGATTGTTTGGCCAATGGGAGTTTTTTTTAAAAAAAATTATTAGGATGCTATTTTTTGTGGATTAGCTATTTATTTAATCCCTTAGTGTTTTGTTTGACGGCATGCTTGATTTCCCTGCTCAGGAGCCTCACATGGAAGCAATGTCTCCCGGGACAAAAAATGTTCAAAACTATATTTGGAACAGGTTGTTAGTGCACGTGTATCGCGAATTTCGTGTCAAGGAGAAGCCCGGTTTCCGTCCTTGTGTTCGAGCTGATGACCTATCTTCACTATTTCCTAGTTTAACAGAAGCTTTGATTAGGAAAAGATTAAAGCATTGTGCAGATTTAAAGGTGATGGTCCTTGTTTTATAATTCTTTGAAGTTTTGATTCAATTGGCATCTGTTGAAGTACCAGTGCTGCAAGATGCAGAGATTTTTTTCATTCATTTAACTTTATTGAATTCTATGTTGAATTCAGAATGTTTTATTGTGGTCTCCTAATATAATAATCTTCATAAAAATCCCAGAGGGGACGAACTGGAGCTTTATTTTGGGAAATGAGGTCCGATTTCCACATCCCATCAGAGGAAGAGCTTAGAAGGATGGTGACTCCTGAGAATGTAAGCTTTTCCAAATTTTATGTCAAACATACCTTCCATTCACGATCATAACATAAATAAAAAAGTGACAACTCTGAAGTGATAATTATGGTAAGTCAGTTATATTCTTCACCTTGTATTCGTCGGATTTTTTTCTTTAATAATAAAAATGAACGTCCAAACATTATGTAATCTGTTTCTTTTCTGATTAGCATTCAAAAAGTCATATTCAAGGTTGACTGTCACAGTATTCTCATGGAAAACAGAAGACTATTCAAATCATTACAACTTAGCTTCTATCATAATAATCTGTGCCTAATCAGGCTAAGTGATGTTCACAACTTCTAAACATAACATGCCATATGTTTTATGCCTTCAATTTCGTGGCCTCCCTGACTTCAAAACCTTTCAGAGTTCAAAGCTCTGAGCAGGGAAATGGCCCCAACCCCTGTTATCATACTCTCTGGACAGCAGGAATGTTCTACACCAAATGGGGCAGACTATTCAAAACTATAAAAAATGATGCATCATGCCCTTCCTCGTTAGAAATCTCCTCGGATTTATGTCAGCATGCCCACTCCTTCAATTTATCACGTATTAAAGTAAATATCTTTCCTCTGAATAGCTTTGACTTTCAAAAATGCACATCTTCCTTTTATTTCGTATGGTCTTCAGGGTTTCTTGGAGACCAAGACACCTTCTTTTCTGGTTCTCATTGGATTTCCTGTGTTGGTCCGCCTTAACTCTAAATCCTTGAATTTTTGTCCTGGTTTGTCCCAATTTCACATGAGGCTGAGCAGCTTGGAATATAGACTCCAATGTTTCCCTAATTTTCCATGTAAATTGTGTGGTGCTGATGCCATCAGTATACAGAACAAGTCAGTTATATGTGGGTAATGTCCCATAGAGTTCATTTAGCTAACTAAGTCACTCTTTATGTCTCTAATCGCTATCATGTTAGATATGCTTTTTGCAACTGTATGCGTACATATTGGTATGAATTTCAATTTTAAAAATCTTCTATTTTTCAAACAATTTACCAGTGCTTTTCTTTTGCTTTCTTTTGCTTTTTTAATGGGGTTTTTATGATGAAAACCTATTTCATGCATGCTCATTTTGTCAGGTTTGTTGTTATGAAAGCATGCAAGCTGGTCTTTATCGCTTAAAACAATTGGGCATTGGAAGGCTTACACATCCTATTGGTCTTTCTTCGGCAATGAATCAACTGCCTGATGAAGCCATTGCCCTCGCAGCTGCCGCACATATTGAAAGGGAACTTTTGATAACTTCATGGAATCTAAGCAGTAATTTTGTTGCTTGTACAAATCAGGTAACACTTAATTTACACAGTAATGTAACTTTTTAAATCTTGTTGACACCTGTTTTCAGCAAACAAAAATAGTTTTATGTGAATGTAAAATCATAGAGCTTTATTAGGAATATCTGGAAGATGTATGATCTTAAGGTGTCATCACTATTGATGGATAATATAATAACATATGAAAATTCTGCACCAGTATTAACGCTGGGAAAGGTGCTCATTGGATAGATAGTCATTTGTGAAAATTGCTGTGCTGTCATGGTTTCCAGACCCTGCGCAAAATGTGCTGACTTGTATAATTTATGTCAGTTTTTCAAGTATACTAGGTGACCGTAGCGGGCATGCATTTGTTGTAAATTTTGCGAGTTAACTAGAACCAGTTAAAGTCCCTTGGAGCTGTGTGACGCCTTTAACACGAATTTTCCCTAATCGCTCAACTATTGAGCCATAAGTAAACTAAAATGGGAATGGGTGATTATATCCCCAAGACAATCATCGTCTTCATGTAAATAAATTGCTCATAAAAGATTATCAATATTTTACCCTGTGAAAAGATTCAGAAAGGGCAAAGGCTATCTGCATACTCTGATTCATACAAAAACAACGTATAGTTAATTAGGTTACTGCGTAAAAAAGTGATCAGATTCTTATTGTTGCAGTTTGTACAACATTAGGGGGCCTATTAGCTTGATAGAGTGATTAGATGGACGTAAATTTCCTTGGGTTGAAAAAAATTAGTGGTTATTAATACTTCCTAAATTGTTGTGGACAATGTGGAGGGAGAGGAATAGAAGAATCTTTGAAAGTGAATGTAAAGGTTTTCAAGTTGAAGTTTAATGAAAATTTGGTTTCAACTGTCAGCTTTGATAGCACAAAATAGTTCAGGTTGGTACAAAGAAACGCTAGCATTTTTTTCCAAGAGCTTTCTGTCTTTTTGCTTTTTATTATTTTGTCTATCGTTAATGCAAGGTTAAACTTTGGTGAGTAATCTCCATGGTCCCATCTATACTTATTTTCTATCAGTGTGTTGCTTTCCACTACCACAAAAATGTCCTGTGATTCATATTTCATGCTGAATTGTGGAAGTCTTAGGCATTATAGAGTATGTTTCATTCATCATTATGTCCACTGTTTCCTGAGTTGAGAACCATGTCTCAACATGGAATTATCTTTCAACTGTTTTTATCTAAAAAAGACAATGCTGCATTTTTCATTGATATCTCGATGATATAAAGTTGAGTCAGGCTTCATGACGAGTTTCCAGTCTATTGAGCAGTGTTCCAGATACATCAAAAGAGAAAATTGGAACACTGTTTGCGGAATTCAAATTGTTCCGTCATCCATTTGTTTCCGATTCGAAATTTTGACGTGGATGTGGAGATTTTCGTAAAATATTATGCACCGGGATGCAAAAGTAAACTGAAATTTGGGATTGTGATGTGATTCTGGCCATTCTTTCTGATTTTACATGTGTTTTCACTTCTGCACTGAACTAGGATATGTCTGTCTTGGGCTTTGTGCTGAATTTACACTTATTTAATGTTCTTTAGGATCGGGAGAACATTGAACGATTGGAAATCACTGGTGTTGGTGATCCATCTGGGCGTGGATTAGGTTTTAGCTATGTCCGTGTTACACCCAAGGCCCCCTTGACAAGTGCAGTGGTGAAAAAGAAGGCATCTGCTGGTCGTGGGGGGTCAACAGTTACAGGAACTGACGCTGATCTTCGCAGGCTGAGCATGGATGCAGCGCGTGAGGTAGATAACCTTCATTAAGGGTCTTTTTTCAATGGATACAAAATATAACACAACCAGAAATGTTAACATTTTTGTGTAACCCCCCCTCTAGTGCTGTGTTATCAATGAAATAATCTTTTCATGCTTGCTTTCTGCATTTTATTCATCAATCATGTCATGTGGAGAGTCCCCCTCCACCCCCCAACTCACCCTCCCTAGAAAAGGAGAGGGTGGATATCCAGTAGCTCCGTTCAATGATACTAGTAATGTTTTTTGTCCAGTGAAGTACTTTCATTTATCCTAGATTTTATCAATTTGTTTTTTATTTTGTGAGATTTTTTTTTTATGTTTTATCGTTTTTAATATGTGTTGTTCAGACATACAATAAATGTATCGTTTTTCTTTTTTTTACTGTTTACGAATCAGTGAGTTGTATTGAAATGACTCATATGCTAGAGAATGAGTTGCACTGAAGGCGACACTGTATGGAGTTTGCCAAAATGGCATCTAATGATCCAACCATATAATGCACCACTCGGCTGAACCCGTCAAGGATGATGTCTCACATTTGTTCCAGTCTATATCGTTTTCAAATTTGGGAAGTGAATATTCTTTTATGTTTTCTTTGTTATATTGAACTGTATGTGTTGCACTATTCACCCTAGAAAAGAATCCCAAGTGCCAATTCGGACATAATCCAGTCATTTCTAGAGAATGACATTGTGTGAAGAAAAGATAGGTGCAATTCTTGCTGTTTGGAAATCGTCTTTAAAACTGATCGGGTGTATGCATGATTTATCAGAAAAGAAAACTCCTTTAAATATGGGCTGAAAGCCCTATTCAAGGATAGTTTATTAAATCCAATCCGATCTGAAATTTTAGGCAATTCACCCTCTTCATACATTATTTATAATTCAAAAATGTATAAAAAATCCAGTTAATCTGATCATCAGTTTTAAATTGTTTCAATTAGCTCTCAAAATCTTAAAAAACATTGTATTTGCTTATATTAGTATAGCCTCTAAAAGGCGGTTTCATATATTTTTTGCATGGACCCAGTCAATAAGAGGAAGGCTTGATTCTATTTTTATTGTAACTTAAACACCGGAAGATGTTTATTATCCATTCAAATATGTCAAACTGTAAAATCTTTATTATCCAGTCAGGGCCATGTAAGGAAAAACTGAAGTGTAGAAATTCCCCAAGAAATTTGATATGCAGTAAGAAGAAAAAAAAGTGATATAAGCTGTGAAACATCTATTCAGAAGCTGTTTGTTTTTTCATCAGTCCCTGCTCCGATGTTATCAGTATAATCTTTAGGTTATTTTTTTGCTTCTGCACTCATCAATCTGATCTATTTACAGTAGTAAGAAATTATATTTTAAATTTTTTTGCTCTTATTCTTAATGAACAAGGATATTATTCTGTTCTACTTTAATGCTGAACTCTAATCCATATGTTCAAATCGTAGAGATTTGTTTTCGTCACTATTTCTTTTAGATATTAGACTTTGTATTCAGTAAATATGCCTGGTCATCCATAGTCTCTTCAGTCTTCTTTTATTAAGTGATAAGTTTATTGAACTGTAAAATCAGTATATTTTCCTTACAAATTATAACTCTTAATTGAGTAGATCCATGGAATGGACTTCATTTAATACGCTTACTGACATTTCCATTGTTTTTGTTATTCTTCACTGCTTTTATAGCTTCTTGATTGGCATGACCTAATTAAGAAGAAAAACCTAGCTCACATGATATAAATCAGGACCTAATGTTCCCATGAATCTTATCAACTTTAAAAAAAATGTGGTCGAATAAATGCTTTCATATTCAATTAAATATGGTCTCCTTGTTCAAGTTAGTGAACTACTTAACTCAAAACCAATTGGTAATTAGCAGAGTAGGTCCATATTGATGATTATGGGTTATTTTTGTTATAAGTAAATAGATCTGTAACATGCTTCTCACATGCAAGCTTACATTTTAGGCTTTATCATGTAGACAGCATAGAATGGGTATGTTCAGTTAGTCTACAAGCAAAGATTGTCTCTGATATGATGCTACATTTATTAGACCATCCAACTCATAACTGATTGAAATGAGTATATTCGGCTTATGTTTATAAATACAGGTTTACTTTCGTAATACCCAGTTCAAAACCTTCTTTAACAGTGCAGCTACATAAAAATGCTTAGATATTTTTCCCAAAATAAGGTGGAGCTATTTTTTCCCTTAGAGAGCTAGTACCCCAAGTTTTCAATTATTGAACTAGCTACTTCTATTTTGTTGTGTGCATTGGGCCTTTGTGGTTATGGTTTTTTCAAGTAGGCAAGGGAAATTGGAAGCAAATGTATTAAGGTGCTTGTTTAAGCGCAATAGCTCATCAAGACCGTTTAAAAGTTCCTCATTCGTCTGATTTTAATGTCCCCGATTATCTCTGTTTGTTGCTTCCTAGGTTCTCTTGAAGTTCAATGTTCCTGATGAACAAATTGGGAAGTTGACGAGGTGGCACCGAATTGCAATGGTGCGAAGACTTTCAAGTGAGCAAGCTGCTTCTGGTGTCACTGTTGATGCAGCTGCCCTCAGCAAGTTTGCACGTGGACAGAGGATGTCCTTCCTTCAGCTTCAGCAGCAAACCAAAGAGAAGTGTCAAGAGATCTGGGATCGACAAATTCAGAGTCTTACTGCTGCAGTAGGCGACGAGAATGAGAGCGATTCTGGAGCAAATAGTGATCTTGATTCTTTTGCTGGGGACCTTGAAAATTTGTTGGATGCAGAAGAGTGTGAGGAAGGTGAAGAGGGACATTTTGATTCTAAATCTGACAAAGCTGACGTTGTTAAAGGACTCAAAATGAGGAGGTGCCCGTCTCAGGCTCAAACAAAAGAAGAAATTGAAGATGATGAAGCTGAGGCTGCTATAATCCTAAGATTACTTGAAGGTATGAAGAATTTGCCTGTCACATGCCTGACTTTGATTTTTATTTGAACTTATCCTGATTTCATTTGAACTCATCCAGCATGATAAAAGTTCTTCCTTGTGTTCTCCTTACGTTAGTAAAGTTGGATTTCTTTTTCTTCTTTGGCTTGATGGGGAATGGTACTATCAAAGTCTAGAAATATAAATTATTTTTAGTATGTGGATGTACATCATCTTCAACAGTTATATTTTTCATTTCTTCTGCTCCATAAGCCTCTTTTCCGGATACAAAGGGTCTTCTCCTTGTAGTTGTTGGTAATCGTGGAATAAGCTAGTGACATATGCATAAATATCAAACCAGGATATTAGCACAGAACGTTAAAATATTGAACTGAACGATACTTGCACTGCTAACATAGTCCATACACACAAAAACAGTAGAATAGATGCTTGCTTTAGATCAGCATTCTATTGCTGAAGATAATTAGATACATAGTTTGGATGGAAGCAAGCTTAAAGGATGTGCCCATTGGAACCAGGCACGGCCTCAAATGCTTTGCACAGAAAAGCTTTCCATAGGTTTAGTTGTTTCTCTTTGAAATTCATTTAAAGATGGGAAAATGCTCAGCAGTCATTTTTTAAAAACTGTTTCCAGGCGGTGCGATCACAACTAAAAATCTACTTTCAGAAATTGATGTGTGTGAATGATCTATGAAAGGCTAGAGTGCCGAGGTTGAGTGGGATGACATTAAGTTCCTTTCGAAACGGAAAGAGTGTTCTCAGTTGGGAAAATGATGTTGAAGTTTATGTCGATTGTACAAAAGCATGTGTCTTGATTCAAGTTCCTTACAGAATGCACTTGGACAAATTCCTGACATCTGAGGTCCAATCTCTCCAAGTTTATTTGCCTAAATAGAAGCACCTTGTAGGCCTAGTCTTATCTCTGACAACAAAGAGGGAAAGATGCGCAATATGAGATCATTATTTGGCATGTTGGTTTCAAAGACATGGTGCCTAAGTGGTTTTGAGAAGTTCCTCAGGAAATTGAACTGCTAAATAGTATGTTTTACCGGCTGAACGAACCTCTTAAGCAGTAGAGTTGGAACTTAGATATGCGAACAAGCTGTAGATATTGAGCAGAAAAAACAAAACCTATGAAAGAAAACAAAAACGCCAATATTGTTTCTTGAAGCAAAAATATGCTGAATGTATATGGTGGATGAATAAAGTGGAGAGGAGACGTGTGGCTAAACGGGGATAAGAATGTAACCTTCATGGTAGGTTGGTCTAATATTAGCCAGTTTGAAATTGATTGTGTCCAAGTGAGGGAAGCAGGAGTTCATAAGAATGAAGAACTTCAGTGAATTTTTCTAATGTTCTTTTTGAGAGAAAGTTTTATGGGTCCCACCAGTGGTTGTTGGTTATCTTTCTAGAATTGTTGAAACTTAGATTGAAAGGATTACAAAGCAATTTGTTGACAAATTGAGCTTTTGAATTACCAGGGCCAGCGTGCTTGTCTGATGATCGACAAGCATTTTTAGTGTATTAACCAGAAAGGTCGAATTACCACCTGTAGGTGAATGAGAAAGAAATGCCCTATGCACCAAGCCTTCCAACTTCACTAAAATTATATGGGAGGACTGAGATTGAGAACTTGTAGAACTTGTAGACAGCATTTGGAATTATTTTCAGGTATCGTGTACGACGATGAACATGAAGTGGATAGAATTCTATCTGCCTTTCTAAAAGACTCATTTGTCCTTGATAATTTCCTGTCACGTCATGAACTTTTAGATCATAACGGGAGCTACAGGCAAGAAGAAATATCATGTTTCAGAGGTTCTAGTCTTTCTGGTCTTACATCAGGCGCCCAACAACTGTTCTGAAATAATCAGCCTGCTGACAATCGGCTTCAGTGAATGAGACAGAGACTTCAATTTTAATTATGGTTCAGATTTCAGCCACCAGGAGTCTTACCTGTTTTGTCCATGTCAAACTTGCTCTATAAATTTGACACTGATATTGAGGTTTAAGTAAATAGGAATAACAGCTTGCTCGCCAACGTTGTAGAAAATTATCCATGCATGATTTGCCTCCATCAATCGTGTAAATGACCGTTTCATTTTTCTGGCAAATTCACACATCTCTCATGTTCCCTTATCCGTTCATTTTAGCTGTTGTACCCACCACTTGTGTCCCGACAATTGACCTCTATGTTTGTGCAATGGAGTCAAATTGTTTTCTTCCGGCTTTAATTACTCGTATGTTTGTTGTTTGTTGGTTGTATCTTGCACGTGCTTTGTGGATAGTTATTGGGCCCAGTATACATATATTCATAGAATACATGAATATATGCCCATTCATACGCGCACATTCACATGCTTTGCATCCCCCTATATCATTGAAGTGAGGGAGAGGGAGAGTACCCGCATTTATCTTTAATGAGGATTACTTACGGTTAACTTGAATGGTGCTTCACTGGATTCAAATTTTACAGCTGTTAGTTACACAGATATAGACAATAGCACAAGAGACTTCTAACAAAGTTTGCATTATATTGATTGCATTGACTTTTTGTAGATGATGAGACAGAGCTGAAGAAAAAGAAGATTCAACCTCCGGTGGCTGGATTTGCTACTCAGTTTGGTTCTGAAAGTGATGATGTTACCAAGAAAAGTACTATTATCAAACGAATTGTTACTACATTACCACAACCTACTTCCTCATTTACTTCAAAGGAGATTAGCATGAGAGAGCCAAAGGAGGTACGTTCTAGCAAATTTATCCTCCGAATCCCAAAGTTTTTTTTTTCCCAACAAATAGCATTTTACTGCTAGTAGTGCAAGTTTGAAGGCTTCGGGATGGGTAAGTATGCATTAAACGTTGGTGATTATGTTTACTTCAATGACATGCTGTCAGCTTGACAGACGGTTTATAAAGCAGTTGACGGGCTCAACCTGTGATTTCTCAATTTTATTGCAATAGACCAAAGCATGTGTAAATTATGTTGCATGCATGCAGAGGGAATCCCTTCTTACTGAAAAAATTCTCCCTGTGAAGGGAAAAGTGGTAAAGGCTGATGAAAAGACTGATGAGCTACTTACTGGCTCAACCAAAAAGCAATACAAAACCTCAAAAGATGGGCAAAAGGTAGGGACCTTCTTTTCATCTCTTATATATCTACAAATGTACAATTGTTCATAAACACTACTTTGAATTACTTTTTTTTTTGGAGTAGTACACAATTACAATTTCCAATACGTTTGTACCAGAAAACCATTGGCTTCCCAGAACTCCAAACTGTCATTTAGGGGATTAAAAGCTAGAGAATATTTTTAGTACCTTTTTATGGTTGGTGAATAAAGTGATTTATTTAAGCATTGTTTTACTTAAGAACTCTTACAAAAAGAACAGCGGGGTGTTAACTCTCCAGGATACAAAATGACGCTGCAAAAAAACAGCGGCAATTGCCTTTGCGCTGAATGCAGATGTATCAAGACGGTAGATGAACACATTAGAATCAACAAACCACAAACATGAAAACAACACTACTCATACATTTTATAAAATTTTCCAACTCAGTTTGCATGAAGTTAATTTCCTTGCAGAATCCTCACGTATATCTAGTTATTCACGCAACCCATCATAGAACAAACAATGATTTTAGGTTGTCTTCCAAAACCTTCCTCAAAACCGCTGTCTTCTGTAGACTCACTCATCCGTGTCCTTTAGTACGAGGGAAACAAGCAATCTTGCATTGTTCGTGAATGGCAACTGCATTCATAGAGTGCGATTTGTGATGGATTGTCCCTCTGTGGTCGGATCTAAGTTCCAGAGAATCACCTCTGCTTGAGTAATATCTCTCTCTCTCTCTCTCTCTCTCTCTCTCTCTCTCTCTCTCTCTCTCTCAATGGTCATCAATCATCAAATTCTCCATAAATGTTATCTAGATGTCATCTGCTCTCAGTACGTTAGTCCCTATCTTAATCTCTCCTCCTCACTTCTTCCCTTCTTATTTCCTATCACAATCTCTCGGTCAGGGCCATTGAGCTTCTTCTTCACAAAGAATTTTTCATCAAAACTGAATTTCTCCAGAGTTATCAGGCCCTCACAAATGTTGCAAACCCTGAGACAATTTTGGTGTGTTTACTGACCTAGATGTGGCAATCCTTGCCACCCTCCCCCTCTTCTCCGGACTATCCTTGCCCCAGGGGATGCATCGATGGAGACTATCTTGTGGTTATAAACCTGAGGGTTTGCTACCTTGATCTGGGCTGTACCCTTTTTATGGTGGTATGGGATATCCTATGGATCCTCCTCTGTGAGGTTGTGGAAACTTTATTCGACGAAATTCGTCAGTGAATCTACTGTTTCCTTTGGTGCACCTGGCAAAATGCCTTGAAGAATTTAAATTATGTTTTGAGGGAAAAATGAGCGAAGTGGACCACTGTTGAAGCATGAGAAACCAAAAGGAGCGAAGTGTGTGAGTGGTTTCTGATACTGTTAGAACAAGAACACTTTTCTGAAGTTGCTTGCAAATTCAGAAGTGACACTGTACCCCGTTGACTTTAGTTCTCTAATAGAGGCGTTGTCGCATCATAATTTTTTTTTTGCTTAATTTAGCATGCCCTATTGGTAAATAGCCCTAGTCACAAGAGTGTTATGGACATATAGTTTTCTAGCTAACCTTTTGTGGTCAAATTCGTATGTGATTTTAGTTTCCACAACAGCATCGTTTGAAATTCCGACGTTCGAACTAGCATCTTGTCAGATCAGTTTCTTATTTTACGAGCTAATTTGACTAGTAGTCGTTTCTATTTACGTGATCTTTGAAAATTCAGGTTACCAAAGAGAAGAAGACAACTGACAAACCAGTTCGAGAAAGCTTTGTCTGTGGAGCCTGCGGTCAGGTGAGTGAGTTGGAAATATCAGGAAGCAACAGCTTGATGATTTTTAGACGGCTCCTGTTGGGAAACATTGATGAATATCTTTATTCTGCAGATGGGTCACATGAGGACGAACAAGAATTGCCCGAAATATGGAGAAGAGTTAGAGACAGCAGAAGTAGAAAGCGTTCCATCAAAATCTCATCCATCTGAAGCTGTGACCCAACTTCTACCAAAGACGGCAAACAAGAAACTGGCAAAGACAGAAGCATCTGAAGGTGCCGAGAGACCAGCGATAAAAGCCCCAGTGAAGATTCTCCCTTTGAAGTTCAAGTATGGTCCTCCAGAAACTCAGCTCGAGAAGATCTCACCGGGACCACAGAGTTCAGAGAGACAGACAGCCTCGAATGCCGGAATGGGGGGGGCTCAACCATCGAAAAAGATCAAAAAAATCATCATCTCCAATAAAACGAAGTCTCAGGATACTCAACAGGAAGTGCAAAGGCCTGCTGTTGTGATACGGATACCAGCCGAGTCTGATAGGGACCAACCTCGCAAGAAAATCATCTTTAAACAGACCAAGGGCGCAAGTAATCAGGAAACTATCGGACAGACTCCTGAGATGGGTGTGGATGATGGATTCCGAAAGATTAAGAAAATCACCGAACTGGCCAGTACAGAGACACCTAGCAAGCATCCAACCCCGTGGTTAGCGGATGAGGTCAGAAAGGGTAAGTCAACAGGAGGAAGGAAGTCCTTGAAAGAAGAAGAAAAAAAAAAGAGAAAAGAGAGGATAAACGAGGAGAGAAATCGAAGGATGCTTGAGGAAGAGAGGCAGATTCAAGAGCAGCAGAGACTCCTCGAAATTAAGAGATATGAAGACGCCGAATGGGAGGACAAGCAGAAAGAAGTTAAGAAGAAGGAAAAGAAGAAAAAGAAGCCTCTGCTCAAAGATGAATACGCAGAGGAATTTAGGGCAAGCCGGAGTGACAGAAGGATACCTGAAAGGGACCGAGCAGCTAAGAGGCGGGCTGTGGTTGATTTGGTGCGTGATGCTGCAGAATATGCACCGCCAACAAAGCGCCGTCGAGGAGGAGAGGTAGATCTGTTTCCCTTTTCATTTAAAATACTGATCCTTTCTTTTTTTTTATTAGTTTTCTTCAACCATTTATGTCTGTGATTTTTATTTTTTATTTATTTTATTTTGGGAATATCTGGCATCTCTGTTTTTCAGGTACTACTATGCAACATCTTGGAGAATATAGTGGACAGCTTGAGAGACCGCAATGAGGTTTCGTACCTCTTCCTCAAGCCCGTTTCAAAGAAGGAGGCCCCGGACTACCTGGACATCATCAAACGCCCGATGGATCTTGCGGCCATTAAAGAGAAAGTGAGGAGAATGGAATACAAGGGCAGAGAGGACTTTAGGCACGATGTCTGGCAGATCACCTTCAATGCACATAGGTACAACGACGGGCGGAACCCTGGAATCCCTCCGCTAGCTGATCAGCTCCTTGAGCTCTGTGACTATCTGTTGGAACAGAACGACCAGGGCTTGACTGAGGCTGAATCTGGAATTGAGCACTTGAAAGAAGATTGACCGACACACCTACTTATCTATAATGCTGTGGAGAGAGAGCCCCTCACTAGTTTTTAACAGATGTAGAGAGAGAAAGTAGAGATTCGTCTGTTCTGAACCCAAACAGACTACAGAAAGAAACCCACCCACGAAAAAAGTAGAAAAAAGTAGAAAACGTTGCACTCGTATGCTTTCCTCAGGCTGTTGGTAGGTAGGTAGCCTGTGACTAGGCACCGTTGTCTCTGTAGTCAACGTCTCTGGCTGCTCTGTAAATAATTATTTTATTTATGTTGAATGATTCATGTGAATCCTGCTTCAATGGTGATTCTTGTGATGATGAAATGTGGCCTCACCTTTCTCACCAACCGTTGATCCCACAGTCAACCGCATAGGCCTTTCTCCTTCCCCTTACAGAAACTTGCCCCTTGAAAGAACTGAGAGAGTGTTATCTAAAAGTCAACGGCTTGGGACTTATATATATCTTCCTATAATAATTTATCTATCTATCTATATATTACATGACTGAGGTTCATCATATTTTCTTATCTGAGACTTTGGAAATCTATTTATTAACATCATAAGAAAATCCGCCTGGGGGTGTAATGGGCCCCAATTGTCCTTAATTTTGGGCTGTAATCCGGTGACAAAATCAGGCCCATATCGGCCCAGTCCCTAATAGGGAGGGGAAAAGAAAGGGGGAGGGGGCCTATATATACCCCTGCCTGACAAAAGGATGATCGTCATCCAAGTTTGCCTCATCGAAGACCTCTAAAGGCTTCTCTATCTTGCCCTAACCCCTTCTCTACCCCCGAGCTCTCCGCCGATTCCCCCCGAGGTAGATCTTCTGCTCGAGTTCGTCGATCGAGGGCGTCTGCCTCCTCCCACCAATCCGTTTCTTCTCCTGAAGTTTCTCTTCCGACGGTAGGGCGAAAGCTTCGGTCGCTATGGCGGCCCTGAAAGATATACTGCCCCCCGTGAAGTCGACATCTGCAACCTTCTACGACCACAGCAAGGATACGTGGTTCAAGGATCGTTACAGTGGCTCCGCCGCGGCGGACGGCGATCGCTCGGCCGCGGTGAAGCCGAAACCTGTGCCCCCCTATGGGAAGCGATCGGGGTTCGTTCCCCGGAAGCCTGAGGAATTCGGCGACGGCGGGGCCTTCCCGGAGATCCATGTGGCGCAGTATCCCCTTGGGATGGGCCGCCGGGACGGGAAGGGCGGGTCCCAGATACTTCCGCTCACCGTCGATGCCCAGGGCAAGGTCCGGTTCGATGCTGTCGTCAAGCAGAGCGAGAACGCCTCGAAGATCGTTTATTCGCAGCACAGGGACCTCGTCCCGAAGGTCGTCGTAGGCGAGGATGGCAAGGACGAGGAAGAAGTGGAGAAGGAGATCGAGGAGACAACTCAGCGCACCAAAGCCGCGCTTGAAAAAATCGTCAATGCCAGGCTTAGCGCCGCCCAGCCGAAGAACGTCCCAACACAGTCGTCGGAGTCCAAGTTCATCAAGTACAAGCCATCACAGCAGTCGTCGGCCTTCAACTCTGGCGCGAAGGAAAGAATCATCCGGATGGTGGAGATGCCCGTTGATCCGCTGGAGCCTCCAAAATTTAAGCACAAGCGAGTTCCTAAGGCGTCAGGGTCCCCCCCCGTGCCAGTCATGCACTCCCCACCCAGACCAGTGACCGTGAAGGACCAGCAGGACTGGAAAATCCCACCTTGTATATCAAACTGGAAGAACCCCAAGGGCTACACGATCCCTCTGGATAAGCGTCTTGCTGCAGATGGCAGGGGCCTGCAGGAGGTGCAGATCAACGACAACTTTGCTAAGCTATCTGAGGCGTTGTATGTGGCCGAACAGAAGGCTAGGGAGGCCGTTGCGATGAGATCGAAGGTTCAGAGAGAGTTGATGATGAAGGAGAAGGAAAGGAAGGAACAAGAGCTCCGCGCTTTGGCCCAGAGAGCACGATCAGAAAGGACTGGTATCGCTCCAGCTCCCACTGCTGCTGCTGCTCCATCCGCTGGCATTATGATGGAGGATGATGACGATATGAGTGTAGAGCGTATTGAAAGGCCAGTAAAGGAGACGAAAGAGGAGAGGGAGCAGAGACTGGAGCGTGAGAAGATTCGTGAGGAGAGGCGACGGGAAAGGGAAAGAGAGAGGAGACTGGAAGCCAAGGAAGCTGCAATGGGTAGGAAGAGCAAGACAACAAGGGACCGGGATCGTGATGTCAGTGAGAAGGTTGCACTTGGTATGGCTAGCACTGGAGAAGGACGTGCTGGAGAAGTTATGTACGACCAGAGGCTTTTCAACCAGGATAAGGGGATGGACTCTGGGTTTGCTACGGATGATCAGTACAACGTATACGACAAGCACTTGTTTACAGCGCAGCCTACGCTGTCAACACTCTATAGACCCAAGAAAGATGCAGATGGTGATATGTACGGGGGTGCAGATGAGCAGCTAGAGAAGGTTCTGAAGACAGAAAGGTTTAAACCTGACAAGGCGTTCTCAGGCACATCTGATAAGGCATCAGGCAGCAAGAGAGAAAGGCCTGTAGAATTTGAGAGACAGGAAGAGAACGACCCATTTGGGCTAGACGAATTCCTGACAGAAGTGAAGAAAGGGAAGAAGGCTATGGAGAAAATTGGGAGTGGGGGCACAATGAAAGCAAGTGGTGGAGGGTCATCGTTTAGAGAGGATTATGAAGGTGGAGGATCTGGGAGGACACGTGTAGCATTTGAAAGGGGAGGTCGATGAGCAAGATTTGAAATGTAAGCCTTCTGTATGTATTTCTCTTCTTTTCACGTTTACGTGTTTCTTTCGTTTCTATGTGCCAGCCACCTCGATATCTGACTTGCGTTTAGCTGCAGGGCCATAAATTCTTTTAGTGGAAAAGGCATCTTTATGTTTCAGTGTATGACATATGACCGGAACTTTTCTTCTCCTGATCTCAACTGCATCTCCGATGTCACTGGATTTATTATGGTATCTGACATTTACAGTGGTTCTGCTATTTTAGCATAACTGACCTTTCTTTATTACCAGCACCACCCAGTTTTTCTTCATTTCCTTTACTTTTTTTGCCATCTGGTTTAAAAAATAGACTACCCCATCTGGCTGTACTCTCCTTTACAAGTCCACTGCACAACCAAATGTAGACCTTTTGTTAAGTCCTCCGACATATGTGTCCATTATTTTCATCTTTTTCTCTTTGCTTTACAGCTTTGTTCTTTCCAATACTCAAGTTAGGTTTTCCAGAGCTCACGCCCCAATACCAGTGGCGCTGCCTTCTAAAGACTATAAATTATCAATGACATAGTAATCTGGGTGTACAAGATACGATCATTATATAAATCAAATTCTGTATGACTGACCCAGGAATGTGGAAAGCACTCCACAGCAGATTCAGCTCATCACAGGAATGAAAATCATATACCTTCTCCCATCAGCCCAGTTTTTCTCAAATCCAATTTAGGATCCCAACCGTCTACCTTATAATTGACATAGTTTCCCAACCGTCTACACTTCTGAAGTTCACTCATATCTCTTCTTGATCCCAAATCAAGCACTAACCACTGAAGGAAAAATCTCGTATACCCCCCTGAACTTGGAATAAAGATGAGCAGGAAAAGTGGAGAGATTGTGGTGAATTTTTCAATCCCAAATGTTTTTGAAATATTTTTGATATCGCACTTTCTTTGAGGCGATTCAATAATTCCTCCCATGTTATTTGATAATGAGGGATGATTTTTCCACTAAGTTTCATCTGTCAGTGAACCTCACTGCGCATTGCAAGAATTGCAACGGAGCAGGTTTTAGGTGCTTCTCCGGAAATATTGGGGATATTCTCATAAGATTTCTTTTTTTGCCATAAATGGATGTCTTACAAGCTAAATGAGATTTGGTCCTGCGGGCCTTTCTCGAGACGCTGCAGAAGTGGGCTGAGATTCATCCCTCTTCTAATCCTTTTGATCTTTTGTCTAATATTCCTAATAATGCATGGAACCTTCTCCAAAGTAATGATGAGCCATTCATCAGCCCGCACAGAGACTTTTTAAATCGACTGTTGCTACAGAACTCTACGCTGCACTAATCGCTTCCAAATCCAACCTCGATTCCCGCATTCTTCAAAAGCTCATAGCTTCTGTCAGTGATCTTGAGAAACTCGACATCATCAGTGGATTTTTCTTTGCAGCGAACGGGCTCTCTGATCACTCTATCCTCTCTCGAAGAAAATTTTCCTTGAGTCCATTGGCTAATAATTATTTAATTAATAACCGAGTGGATCATCTACTGACCCCTGCAAGTCGCCTCGTATCCAAAGCTATCTGCTGACAATTCTTGTTCCATTTCTCATCGTCTCTCTGTCCTTTTTCATACCGCCGACCATACTTAATATGATGATGATATATTTTTTCTTCTTTTTTTCTTCTTTTGGAGGGGGGGCAGGGGGCAATGACACTTCATCTATAAAAAGGCTGTTCTTGACCCCTGCAAGTCTCCACCCGAGGCAGGAGATGGGATGGCTGACAGCAAACGAAAGGAGTACCAAGACCTTAAGATCCTGTGTATGTTTGGCGTTGATTCTAGAGCCCATCGGATGCCTCCTTCGAGGGCTTTATATGAAGCTTGTGAGTGGAGCCGGAGGACGAAGAGAGAACATAAGAGAATGGACACAAGTGTGCATGTACCTTTAGCCGCTAGATCTAAGTTGCCGCCATCTGCTGCCAGAATTGTATTCGCACAAGCACATGCAGTGAAAGCCATGGCTCTATGGACTTAGCTTCCCCTTCCATCTTCAGATACTCACCTTCCTTCTAGCCCCCATCATTCACAAGAATTGTTCGAGATGGATAGGGATCCTAAAGCGAGGGCCATTCCAACGGTTCTTATCAATCCTGCTATCTTCGTTTTATTAAGATTTTGATTTTTTATATTATTATTATTATTATTTTATGATGCTGGAAAAGTTGATGCGCGAAGGATACCATGCACAGTTATGGAAAGTTTTAGAACTTTCCTAGTCATAATTACTGATGAATAAAGAGAGCTTATGAGTACTTAATTAGGGAACCTTGTTTAAAACGAATTGCTTGATAGTAGAGGAGGGAGATCATGTGCTTAATCCAAAAGATTAGATGATCACTCGTTAGTGTAGCAACTTTAGAGAGAGACGAGTTAGTCAAACAGTTGATTTTTGCTTGGGTTAGGCGTTCGGCTTACCCAACCTTTTCATACATCTACGTACTATAGACGGTTTTTTCATGAATTATGCCCAAAAGCTATGGCCAAAATCTTTTCATGAATTATATTTTGTTCTTCTACCCGTTTTCCTCCACTCCTCACTTCGGAGGAGGGCATAGTTCATATTTTTTTTTGGCTATTTTCCTTCATCTTATCTCACTCTAATTCTTGGACAGATGACTGAAATCTAAGCGGGAACACACCATCTTGGACTAACGCAATTTTGAGTGAGGTGAGTTTTTCTATAAAAACCCTTAGGAAAAGCCGTATTTTATGAGGCATGCCCCCGCTTTACATGAGCCAACACTGAGCGCACCACCACTCGGTGTTGTTACACTGAGCAGGCAAAAGTAATACTAAGAGGGACATGAATATAAAAATAGACAAATGGTTTAGGAGGAGATTCCTCAGAGAGAGCACAAGCTCAAACCCTTGACGTCACAGAGGTGGGGGGACCAAGGAGCTGCTCCTCCACCTTGCTTGACCTTTTGAGAAAAGATCAAGGTTGATACTTATTTACCCATAAAATAAATTATTAATTTCTCTCACCGATGGCATGGGAACTCTTTTCGTGGGCCGATTCAGCTTTCAACATTTGTGTGTGTGCGTAGAGAGAGAGAGAGAGAGAGAGAATAAATGGGCCTCTCATTTAGATTGGGCCTTTTGAATTGGGCTGGATATTAATTTATTACCACATTGATTTTTGAATATTATAAAATTGCGAAGAAAAATGGATTAGGAGGGAGGGATTGGGTCTTTTGATGAGAGAGATTGGCACACCGAATGAGAGTTAGGTGAGCTGGGCTGAAATATATGGAGACAAGGAGGGAGCTTTAGGGAGTGTGGGGTTGGAGCCTTTCGGAAATGTAGGGCCCGCTGACAGGCGTGATGCGGCTAAAGTGAACGCGGAGATGGGACCCACTATTTATGCCCAGACACTCGGATTTGTGATGAGCGACTGAAGTTTATTTATATATCCCTTATATCCCTATACTACGATACATTTGTCGTGACCCCCGTACTCTATTATAATTGTTTTATGGATTTCTGATATCTGTAAAAGCCTTTGTCATGGCACCCTCGAAAATTATTAAGAGAACACCTAGTGAACTTATTGATGATTTTATAATATTTAAAAATAAAAAATCTTTACTTTTTGAATTTGGTTAGGTTGATGAATATGGAGATGTGAAAGGTATATTGGCAAATAAGGATTTTGTAAAGGGGCAGTGAAGACCATGAAATTTGAAATCATCGGCCGTTCCGTCCAAACTGGCCGAGCAGTGACGCGTCCGCTGAAGCGCTCTCCGTCTGCCTGCTGCCCCGTCCTTCCAGGTGGCGCCACCTTAAAGCTTCCGGCGGCGGCGGCTCTCTCTCTCTCTCTCTCTCTCTCTCTCTCTCTCTATCTCGATCTCTGAGTCTCAGTGTCTCCGTCCGTCAGTGTGTCTCGTCTCTCCCGTGGGTCGTGATCATTTTCCCGTTCTTTCTTCTTCTGTGCCGATGCTGCTTGTGTTCCTGAGGCATTGTTGATGTAGTAGGACCTCGGAGTGCTTCTCCAGGTTGCGGGAAGAGGACGGCAGAGGAAACAGCATTAGCGGCGTAAACTAGTGCAGGGGAGAGGGAAAGGGATATGGCTGCTACTGCTTTTGGGTATGTGGGCGTGTTGGTGTCAGATCCATGGCTCCAGAACCAGTTCACGCAAGTCGAGCTTCGATCCCTCAAGTCCCAGGTGAAGGTCTTTCCTCCTTGTCCTATTTAGACTTCTGGACTGGAATGGCTGTTAATATTTTTCCGCTTTTTTTTTTGGTGCTGTTCCTTTGCTGCTTGAATATTTATGCTTCGGTAGTACCTCGCCATGAGGGATCTCTCCGACGGTGGCATGAAAATGACCGCCGCTGACCTAGCCGGTAGAATGTCGGACTTGAAATTGGCCGGTGGATCTCTTAGCGGCGAGGAGAGGGGGTCCTTCCGGGATTCCTTTCCCGACCTAGGTCAACCGGCGGACTTCGAGCTCTTCCTCCGGGTACATCCTCTTATTCTCGCTTTCTTTCTTGTCCTGTTAACATCTAAAGCAACAGTGTGAATTCTCGTTACGGGAATTTTGCAGATGTACTTGAAGCTTCAAGGGCACACAGGGACCAAGAACTCCTCTGCCTTTCTCAAGGCTGCAACAACGACGCTGCTTCACACTATTAGCGAGTCCGAGAAGGCCTCCTACGTTGAACACATAAATAACTACCTTGCCGGAGATGAGTTTCTTAAGAAAATCATCCCAATCGATCCTCTCACTGATGACCTTTTCGAGATAGCAAAGGACGGTGTTCTCATGTGGTGCGTTTTCCTCTCCTCGAACTCGTCCATTTTCTTTATTTTTTATTTTTTATCGGTGAGAGGAATGGTTTAAACGGTGGACGATGCAATATGCAGTAAGCTCATCAATGTTGCTGTTCCTGGAACTATTGATGAGAGGGCCATCAATACCAAGGCTCTGCTCAACCCGTGGGAGAGAAACGAGAATCATACCCTCTGCCTCAATTCAGCCAAGGCCATAGGTTGTACAGTAGTTAACATTGGGACAGAAGACTTGATTGAAGGGAGAGTAAGTTGTCATCTCTGTTCTGTGTTATGGCCTGCTTTATTTTGAGATTGCAGGATCCAGATAACTCGAACTTCATAATGTTTTTTGGTTCCATTTTGCGTTTGTTTCTCTCTAGCTTTCCTTTTTCTCATTTATATAATTCCCCTCATGAACGGTTGTCTACATTTAAAATAAGACGACCCATCGTCTTATTTTAAACCGTCTTCTAGTTACCATCATTTCCAGTATCAGAATCAGGAAAATTGTTTTGTATCTACTAAATGACTGAAGATTGATAAAGACTTTACCAACTTTTTCAGCCTCATCTTGTGCTTGGGCTGATATCGCAAATCATTAAGGTATGCAATGGCTCTCTTTATTTATGTATCTTATTGACGGATTTTGTCCATCATTTTCATCCACATTGTTCCAACTATCTGTGATCATGGACATGGTTGCTAGCCCGCTATTCCACTTCATTGTATTTTTCTTAATACATTCCAGGATATTTTATTTTCGTTTTCTCCACATTTTTGCCCTAAAAAAATGATAACATGCCACGTAATTGGTGCTCATATTGGTTCCTGTGTGTCACGTAAATTCAAACTTCTCATTTGGAGTTTAATCACTTCGTACTCACAGCAGATTGAATTTACTCCTTCGAAATGATATCCTAGTGTTATAATTTTAGCACAAGCTTTTTCAATATAAATCCACTTTTCTGGTATATTCCTCAAATCCACTATGGCATCTTTGACAACAGAAATGTTTTTACAATAGATAATCTCTGGATTCATGCTATGGTTCCCAAGGAGTGTGGAGGTTCTATTGTACCAAATCTTTCAATGTATGTGTCTACGCTGAATTCTGGAGAAATACTTAAGCGTGCACATTTCTCAAGTTTTTCCCCTTACAGGAGTGTTCAATATAGCATCACCAGTGTCGCCTTTGAGATTTATTTTGTTTATAAATGTTTTTTATTTATGTTGCAAACAGATACAACTTTTGGCTGATGTTAACTTGAAGAAGACTCCTCTGTTGGTGGAGTTAGTTGAGGAGAATAAGGTGAAAACTTTTCTTTCTCTTCCTTTTGGTGGTTCATGTTTGTTGTCAGGATATTTATTTCATATGGAGGTTTGAGTGAAGAAATTTGTAACTGGATATTTTCATTCCTAAAACTTTGCGACCTACAGGATCTAGATGAGCTAATGAATCTTGCACCTGAAAAGATTTTGTTAAAGTGGATGAATTTCCAACTGAAGAAAGGTGGTTACTCAAGGACCGTGACAAACTTTTCCTCAGATGTGAAGGTTTGTGCTAAGCTTGTTTCTTGAACTGCTAGGGGCTTAAGTTTATTACAGATTCACTTTTTTGCAACTTAGAGCAATAACTTGTTGCATTTGCGGCGATAGTTCTTAATGGCTACTTTTATTCTGAAAACAAGCAAAAAAAACATAATATTTAGAAAAATATCGCTCACACTCATTCTAGTTCCACAAGGGTACCTGTGGATTAGTAGTACTGCCAGGGATTTGTTTGACCTCTTGTCTGGGTTGGCTAGGGGCCGTCGTTTTAAAAGGTAAAACCTTGCAAGAATCCAGTAGGATAAAACCTTTAAAAGTCGGTAAGAACTTGCGTTTAACTGGCCACATAATTTTTTCCGAGCACAGTAGAGTAACAACAATGTAGTGTCCTTATTTTTCTTCCTCATACTCAGGGAAAAGGTGACGTGACAATAATGTTGAAAACTGTTTTTGTTCAGTTCTCCTATACGGATTCGTTTTCATTTCCTTTCTCAAATGGAGGATACACGGAACAGAACTTTTCAAGCAACATGTTTTTCTATTCTGTAAATGGCAGGATAGCGTTCTTTTCATTAAGAGTGCCATGCTGGCATAGGCTCAAACATTGGAAGGTACCATCCATGGTATGCTGAAACAGATGTTGATGGTCATGGAGGATACTATGCAATGTACTTGTGGTCATGAAGGGTAGTATGTAACAGAGGTCGAGAGCCAAACACGGCAATAAGGGTTCTAATAGACTTGAGACAGAGGACGATGTTCTTTGTTAACAATCACAGTAATATCCTGGTTTGATGATCTTCAAGGTGAATCTAGTGGTATCCTCACCAATTAGTTCCGGTTATTGATGGGGTGAGAGAAAGGTGCTGACCTTGTGGGCAGGTTAGCCCAATGTTGACCCAATTTCACCATATGTTGTCAAGAGCTGTAAAGTTCCTGCCAATGCATTAGGGAGTCACCATGAATATGTTGCATGTGGGATGCCACAAATGGTTGTTTTAAAATTAATAGCGAGATGCACAAACGGATTCAGAGATTAGGTCGCTATATGTATAGGATCCCCAGGGGACTAATATAGGAGGCAAAGTGGTGGCGGTCCTCCGGGCTGTAAGCCAAATTTATATCTTTACATCGGGAAATCATATACAGTTCTGATCTATAGAGGAAAATTTTATTTATCCATCCATCTCATGTACTTGTGGTAAACAAACTTGTAGGACGCTACAGTTTTCTGTTGCTTTCTGACAATAGTATGCTGTAGATTTTTCTTCTTCTGATAATTCTTTTTTTTTAGAGATTGATTCCAACTTTCCGTAGAATCATTCTGATCTGAATGAAAGTTTCAAGTTAAATTCCCAAAATTATCTTTGCCAGTTCAGCCTTGTAGAACAGTTATATTCTGCTCATGTCTTTGGAATATTTTTCAGTCTTTGAGTTGGTGATTTATTTGTGTGACAGGATGCAGAGGCTTACACTTGTCTTCTGAATATTCTTGCTCCTGAACATTCTAGTGGGAGTTCTGTGACTGTCAAGGATTCTCTAGAAAGAGCAAAGTTGGTTCTTGAGCATGCAGAAAGAATGGGCTGCAAAAGATACCTGACCCCAAAAGACATAGTCGAAGGTTCAACGAATCTTAATCTGGCTTTTGTGGCACATATTTTCCAGAAAAGGTGAGAACATTATGACACCATGTGAAGTTATCAAAATTACGACGTTAGTATTAGAGCATTTTTATTATTTAAATTTCTGGAATCATTTGGCAATTTCCGGGCACAGTTTCTGGTCATAAATTACTTGCAAAAGTTGATTTTGGTTTTCAGGACATTTTGTGAAACATGAAATACCTCGATATTTTGAAATGCATCGACCGTTGGTCTTTGGTTTCAATTAGTCCTTGGTAGAGTTATGACCCTTTTAAGTAAACCAGGGAGGAAACCAATAAACGAAAATTTTAGAAGTAGCACTTTCGGAAAAACTGCAGGTGGGGGATTTTCCCAGGTTTGGATCATTCTTGAGATTCCGCACTATGACAAAGGATAATGTGAATGAATTTTTTTTATATTAAAAACTGATATATCATGGAACCGGTCTTCCTGGCATTCCTTTTGCCTTCAGGATTTTGATCCAGAAATCTTATCTATTTGACTCTTTTTCTGTTCGCACCATATGTTTTAGAGCATATCGATGTGATAGTTTACAATTTTTCTAAATCCACTGCCCTTTACGGTCTGTTGTCAGAAAATTTATGAAAATTATGATGACCTCAGGAATCCATGGAGTAATAAGTTATTCACTGTGCATGGTACCAGTTATAAATCTTCTTTTGTGATTTCTTTTTCATGAGTGTGCATAATCGGATGAATACAGGAATGGTCTGTCCTCCAAGGCGAAGCAAATCACAATCTTCGAAACAATGGAGGACATACAAGTTTCTAGGGAGGAGAGGGTCTTTCGGATGTGGATCAATAGTTTGGGAATTTCAACATATGTCAATAATATATTTGAAGATCTTCGAGATGGGTAAGTATGGTTTCTGGAATGTTTGCAAGTTGAATGGTTGACGACAGGATATGTTGATGAAATTCTTGCTTTCTTTCTTTCATCCTTTCTTTCTTTGTATAGACTGATGGTCATTGATAAAATATGCTTTACTATTTAGGTGGATACTCCTGGAGACTATTGACAAGATATCACCTGGTACGGTTTGTTGGAAGACTACAAGCAGGCCTCCAATCAAGATGCCATTCAGGAAAGTAGAAAACTGCAATCAAGTCGTGAAGATAGGGAAGCAATTGAAGTTTTCCTTAGTTAATGTTGCTGGGAACGATATTGTGCAAGGGAATAAAAAACTTATTCTAGGTGTGCGCACTGTGAGACAAGACTTTATGTTCTTTCCTACTTACTATTTCTTTGCCCGTCTTCGATTTACTGTGCCCTTGAGTAGTCTCAAGTGTTTGCAATTTAGTGTTTTCAAGTTGCTTTGAAAAAGGACTTCTTACCTTGGCCTGTATTGAAGAAGCTTGTTGAAAATTCTATTGGAAAGCTTGATGATAAAGTTTCTGCAGTTCAGCGATCTGAGATTTTCATGGAATTTGTGCATTACTCTTTCCCTTCTTTTTCTGATTTTTTTTTTTTTTTTCCCCCTCCAGGGTTCCTTTGGCAGTTGATGCGATACAACATCCTCCAACTGTTAAAGAATCTGAGATCTCATTCCCCTGGGAAGGACATAACAGATGTAGATATCTTGAACTGGGCAAACAATAAAGTGAAGGATTCAGGAAGGCGGTCTCATATCGAAAGCTTAAAGGTTCTCCTCCTCCTCCTCTGTTTTTCCTTCTTAACCCATGTTTTCGTTCACGCCTCACTGAAATGCTTCACACCGCATATTCTTCTTAAAAATCTGTTGATTCCTGCACCTTGGCATATTTTTCTCTGAGGTATGAGCACACCTTCGCCGTAGAAACTCAAGCCTAAAGTCTTCTGGCGTGAGGTTTTATTTGGCTTCTACTTTTGACTGAACAGTATTGTTGGTGTAGACTTCGTCGTTACTCCCATTTGATCTATTAGTTGATCCACAGTCGACTACGTGGCTTTGTGAGAAACTAAGGGATATAAAAGTAGTTGATGCGGAGGAAGGAGATTGCCAGAAAGAAAGCTGGTTTGTGCGATATGATTAGTGATGCACATTGAAAATATGATCGTACGTGATGATTTCCTTGCTCCCACCTTCTAATTAACTTCAAACCAGCTATGATGCTTCAGGTTCCACACACACACACACACACACACAAAAAAAAAAAAAGGGATCCGACCAGTATTCCCATTTTCTTGAATCAAGGCGAGGTTCAAGACCATTATCCTCCTTTACATCCAATGCTAGTTGCATTCTTATACCTAGGAAAGCACGATTAATGATGCTGTTATTTCATGATCATGTTTATATGATCAACAGGCACATATTAACCTCACATTCATTGTGGGGACAACTGCGAATCCATAGGGTTTTCTGTTGGCACCACTAAGTACCTTCAGCACAGTGGAAGAAGAAGGCTAAGAGTGGTTTAGCTTTCTATTGGTACATTTGCATTTTTAGAAAAAGTGGAGTTCAGTTGACTTGGTTATCCAAGTGCTGCTGCCTTTAGAATGAGAAGGGTCCATCCACACACAAATTAAAAAAAAGAAAGGAAAACAAAAAGGGTGAAAGAAAGCAAGAAGAAGAGTGGAAAATGAGGTCAATGCATTACGGTTCACCACCCTCAAAAATTAGAATCTTCTGGGCTTAATTATCCTTCGTCTGTTCAAATTTAGATAATGGTTCACCCTTCCGTGAATATTATTCTTATAATAATAATAACATTGGGTCTTATCTCCGTTGACCTTCATCAATTCGATGTCTTCCTATCTCTCCAGGACAAGACTCTCTCCAACGGCATCTTCTTCCTCAGTCTTCTCAGCGCGGTTGCGCCGCGAGCTGTTGACTGGACTCTCGTGAAATCAGGAGAGACAGGTACACACACATACTCACACAATCTCAGTTCTAAGCTCTCTGTAACGATCTCTTTCTTTCCGAAAATGGCAACATTTCTGCCTTTTTTTTTTCTTTCTTTAAATGAAAAGCTTCTTCTCCTGATTGCCCTTTCATTATTCTCCTTGGTTTCTGCAGAAGATGAGAGAAAACTGAACGCCAGCTACATCATCACGGTAGCCAGGAAGCTCGGCTGCTCCATATTTCTGCTGCCAGAAGACATATTGGAGGTACCAACGGCACCAGTTTCTGGCCCCTCTCTGTCGGGGGTTGCCTTGATGAACACGTGGCCTCATCCTGTTTCCTTTTGGGCAGGTGAATCAGAAGATGATGCTCACGCTGGTGGCCAGCATCATGTTCCGGTGCTCCCGGCCCTCGCCTGAGGACTCATCCGGACCGTCCGATACCGACGGGGGGAGCCCATCGGAGGACTCCGCCTCCGAGACTTCGACGGAGGAGAGCGGGAGCGGATTATAGCCTGAGGACCACCACCCTTCCAAAAACTCTTCTTCCAGCTGATGTTGTATAGCTGAGCTATATTCGTACTGTATAAATATAATCTATACATCTATTTATAGATACCATTTCTTCTACAAGGCCTGTTTACGAAAATACCCAGGAAACTGGAGTAGGGTAATTATCCAATATTCCGAATATTCGGCATTATTTAAATCTGATTTCGTACCAAGATCATTAGAAATCGCTACTCAGTGTTTGAATTTTGGGTGGGTGAGTAATATTATTTTCAAATAAAAATTAAGGTATACTAAGTAAAAAAACATGTTTCTAGTATTCAGGTTTATTTGATTTTTTATTTCTTGACAAATGGGTAGTTGACCATGACGCCATGGGCGAACGCTGTAAACGCACCTGAACAAAGATCGTAGATCCAAATTGTCCCCCACGTCGCCGGAGTTTTGCGCCTCCGGCTATTAATCTATAGAAGATCAATTGACGAGATTCCAATGCTGGAAGCCGGATCGAGAACAAAGAGACGGGAGACGACAAGAGAAGAAAAAAAACGGATTTTTACAGGATCCAGCGCGCAGAGGATTTGAAAATGGCGTTCACCGAGTTCGCGATGAGAAGAAGATGGCTCATCCATTCGTCAAAGATCATAAAAACCTGGTCTGAAACTGCCGCAGAGCCCACGAAATGCCTGAACATGCCGTCGGAGAGGCGATCTTCGTGGGGCTCAGGAGGATGCCGGCCAGTCCTTGCGGATCTCGAAGTAGTAGCTCACGTCGAGGTGGCATTTCCCGTCGTCGTCCACGAACTGAAACCCCGCAGCGAAGCGGCCGTGATTACAACGCAATGTTTGGGAATATGCCTGGATGTAGAAGGAGCTCACCTTCGTCCTCGCAGAGTAGGATCCCCTGGCGAAAATCCCCGAGGGGGTGGTCTCCTCCTCCAGCTCGTAGGTGTAGGGCTCCTGCCGGGGGCTGAAGGTCCCCAGCATCACCTTCGTGCTGTCGACTGCCACGGAAGAGCCATGGAATTCAGGATGAGGATGATGATGAAGAAGAAGGTTCTGCCGATCTACAGAGCAGGAGGAGGAAGGCGATCAGGCCTGATAGACCTCTGACACCGGTCTTCCAGACGGTGTTGGTGTACTTGAGGCCGGAGACGATGTTGTTGGAGACGGCGAAGGACAACCTGAGGCGGTAGCGGCTGCCGTCCTTGAGCGTGAAGGCGTAGCCCTTGGCGTTAGGGACCAGCGGGAACGGAAGGACAATCTCCGGGCGATCGGGGGTGACGATCGTCAGGCTCAGGATCAGCACCTCCGGTTCAGCCGTGTCTGCACAATTTTCGCGTCCTCCGTTAGATGATCGTCGATCTCTGCGTAGAGGCCGCAGGGGAAGCGCCTCCTCCCTAGCTAGTACCTCCCACGGCGGAGAAATCCACGCTGCCGAGAAGCTGTTCCTTCCACCTCCTCAGGCTCTCATCGTCCTGCGCCAACGCCATCGACATAGAAGATCCGCGCAGATCAAGCTATGGTGGATCAAGGAGACGAAAAGGCAGGGGAGGAGAAGCACCTTGTCGAGCTCGAGCTGCTCCTTGAGGGGAACCTGGGGACCGAGGAGGACGGCGCTCTTCTCGTCCTCGTCGTCGCCATTGCCTTCCTCCTCGTCCTCTTCGTTGTTGGCGCCGGTGGAGCAGACGGAGGCCTGGCTGAGCTTCCTGATCAGCCTCTCCTTCTCCTTGTCCGAATCGAGGACGATCTCCCCGCAGGCCTTGCTCGACGCCCCGCTCCGCTCCTCTCCGATGCCCCCCGGCAGCGCCGCCGTCTCCCCGTCTCCGCCGACGCCCACTGGTCCCTTGGAGCTCGGAGGATTTCCCATGGCCGCAAACCACATTCCCCTCTCCTCCTCCTCCCCCACCACTCCCCCTTGTTATCTCCGATCGCCCGAAACCAGGTTCCCACCGTCCCCCCCCTCCCCCCCGTCCCGTAGAATGCGGGGGGGAGAGAGAGAGCGAGAGAGAGAGGAGAGAGCGCGAAACGGACGGAAGTCCGTTTCTTCCCCTCTCTCTCTCCCCACCCTATGTGAGTCTTTATTTGCAAATATTTGTTTTTTGAATCAATATTTTCAGGCTTGTCCTTGGTTCGGCCCATTTGAAGCCCAGCTACAGAGTGAAGGTGGGACAAAAATCAAAAACAAAAAGGCGGCAAGAGCTCCTCGATCTCCATTCAAAAACGCGGCGCGCGCTGGCTGCGGGAAACGCTGTTCTACGACCGGTGCAAACGGCTTGGATTCCTCGCAACTCGCGATTTATTTTTGGTTTGATCCATGGACGGCATCACCTTAGAGATTCTACGTGTTTAGCTGCATTTACACGTTCTTTAGGGTTCCATACCAAGGTATGAACAGGCTGATCCCCATCTCGAGTGATTTTTTCCACTTCAACACTCTTTCTACTGGCTTAGACCTAGAAAAAAACACACGAAATCTTCTCTAGAACGTTTAAGGCTTGGAAATACATTTACTCTTACTCTCTCTCTCTCTCTCTCTCTCTCTCTCTCTCTCTCTCTCTCTCTCTCTCTGTGCCTAGTCGTTAATATGTATTTGTATTCGTTTTGAGCTCCGCCTAATCCTGAAAAGATTGCCAGAAAGAATACTGAGGAATGTGTTTCTTCCTGTCATTCATTCGTATTCGTATCCACAATGATCCTAAGATTGTGAAGGAAGCAGGTATTTCCCTGGAAACTTACATTATTAGTAAATCGTTATAATTGCGGACCGAAGAACTGAATGATCTGTCAAATGGTTTAAGGGGCAAATAAAACCTGTACCAACAGATAACTAAGATGATAATTCTTCTAAAACAGATACGAGCAAACACTGCTACAGCAAAGATTTACAGTATATCGTTGTACTGTGTAGCAGGACAAAAGAGGAAGTGAAGGGATCCAGCCACACGTATGGAGCAGATTCTCTACAAAATACTTCCTTGGACATCAGCTGAAGCTACCTTCATCAGATCATCAGCTGCATGTTACAACGTCTATCCACCTTATGCACATCTTATACGATGATATATTCACAAAGAAGCATAGAACTAGCTTCTTCCAAAGTAGGAGAACAACGTGGCTTGCTCGCCACCTGCAGACTTAACGATCTTTCCTTTTTTCTTTGAGTCATCAGCGCCCACAGCAGGAGACACTGAATCAGACAGAGGTTGTCCATACCCCCTCTTTTTGCTATATTCCTCGAGTGCTTCCTTCGGGGGACGGGCAATGTGAGTCCTACTCTCCGCCTTCTCATTTTCTTGTAGACCTGCTGGAAATTCCCTTTTTACAATCGCATCCTCTTCTTCCTTAACATCCTCGAGGCCATGTCTTTCCTGCACACTTTCAGGCCGGGCCGCAGTGGCAGATTGTGGAGATATTATCTCATGCACAGCTGACACATGTTTCTTCAAGAACTTTGAGAGCGAGCCCTTTTCAGCAGGTTTGGACTGTATCTGCAAGTTATTTCAATGAAATCACATCAATATTTCTAGACATATCCGGTAAAAGCCTAGAAGAAAAAAAAAGTGGCATTGATTGGTCTGATGCATGGGCTCGATCATCTGATGCATTTGGTTCTGAAGTTTAAGTACAGAGGTTAAAGACATTGCTTGAGGATCAAAAGAAAGAGTGGAGGAGGATGAGAGTTCAAAAGATGGGGTGGGGAATACTTTCCATTCTTAGAAACCAGGATAGGGAAGAGAATTGAAAGGTAGAAAGAAAAAAGAAGAAGGTTTTCTGTGAGAAAGTTGTGCACCGCCTGTTGACACGTAAAGACAGGACCCCTTCCAGTCATCTATTATTATGTGCAGCCTCCTAGGCAGAAGAATTAGTGAAGGTATCAATGGCAGAGCAGTTAGGAGGAGAGAAACAACACATGTTGATGAAAATATACGATAATTTAGATGTGAACGTTGAGTTTGTGAAAAATGGTCCCCATATTTTCTTCCTCTCTTTAATCCAAGGAAAGTTGGGCATAAATTCTGAAATTGTGAAGACATGAACTTATCGAATGCTCACGTAGTGTGATTGGTGTGGGTTCTATGTTATTTTTAGGAAAAGCTAACATCTTCTAAGAAGTTTAGAGACAAAATCCATGTTGTAGACATTCCAAAACATTAAAAGATTAACTAATAAAGTCAATTAAAATACCTCCTTAACACACTCTGGTCCATCAAATGATGGTTTACCCATCGCAGCTGTCACTGGATGCCACACCTGGGAGATGACGCAACAAGGCGTAGGAATAGACAGAGAGGGGGGCGGTGAATAACATGAATGCTAACGAAGAACGTTCATATAGCAGAAGAGAAGCTTAGCGGGCATCTGAAGGGTTATTACCAGATCAGGACCTTCATATGGGCGGCCAGCAACAGAGTCGACTTCTGAGGCGGAACCATTTAGCCATATATCTATCGAGGTCTTGTCTCCCAAAATCACAGGCATTCTGTCTGCAATTCAATGCCTACTACAGTCAAACAACTGAAGAAAAAAAAAGACCTAAAAATTATGCTCTATGAGGGTTTGTTTTAAATATCTACTAATTAAAGAACAGAGACGAGTTAATGCTATGATAATAATAATAAAAGCCTGTGGTCTGTTATATTAACCCACAGGGGCAACCCTGACCAATTAGGGGAATAATCCCTAGAGATAGGAATTTTAAGAGTCATAAGTGGCAACCACAATTAGTTGAAGCCTTAATTTTCTAGAAATCATGTGAACTTCCTTTCATGGAATAATAAAGTGACTGATAAAAGTGAACCGAACCAACTCAAAATGTTGTTATCTCCGGAAAAGGATAGAAGGTAACATGACCAACCATGGAGCCACTGCAGAGCTGACGAGGAACAAGTTGTCAAAATGGTGAATGTGTAAACAACCTCCCCTGCGAGAGACATGTCAACCTGTTAGCTATTGATATTATTTGATGGCACTTCCCTTGGGGATAATAAGACTGTTGCAAAACCTAGTTGTGAAGAAATCGAGAGAAGAATGAAGTCAACGCTTTTTATCACCTTCATCGCATTTTCAAACCATTACTGCATGATGTTCTAGGGCATGGTATTCTCATTTTTTTAAAGTATGAAGCAGCTCTCTATGATTAATCATTCATGGAAGGTTAATCATTCATGTGCATGGTATTCTCATCCATTGCCATGAAGGAAACATTTAGGGCAACGGCTATATCCCAAAGCTTGTTGGCCTCCCTCCCTTCAACAGTGACTCGTATTTTTCTAGGACACCAGCTTTTATCAAGTTTCATGTCGTGTTCCTGTATAGAGTCTGCAATTGGCTTTCCACAAAAAACTAAATCAATCGTCGCCTTGATACGATCAGAACAAATCGGTTTTATACTCTAAAAAGGTCGACCTTCAGCAAAGAAAGGTTTAGTCTTCTATCCAAGAACATAGCAAGGAAACCGACGAAAAGTAGGATGCTAAACTGCCTGGCCTAAAACCTGAGCACAGACCCTGGCCAGACAAAGAGATCAAGATGTAATTTTGTTTCAGTGAATAGGATGTAGCAGAAAATGGTGATGATTTCAAGCATAAGAGTAAGATTCACACTCGAATGTATCAAACGATGATCACAGTATGTTGGGCTACATTCACTGGTAAAGGTTTATGAAACCCTGCCGCTTTTTTCTATGATGGTTAGGATGGAACTAGGAGTTACTAAACTTCCCACTTTACACTGAATCTAACAAGGCTTATTTCAGATTTCCAATATAACATTAAAACGAAATGTTGTGCAAAATAACTATATTTTCATGATTTCTTATGCTGAAATTACTATTTTCTCTTCTGTAACTACAGTGGGCATCCACAACAGCATGATAGGAGAACTTTCCTTTACAGTAAATTAGGACTGAAAATAGTATGTCAGTCCCCTTTTTACAGTAACTTAGGACTGAAAACTACTTTATCCTCTACACTATAGCAGTCAACGGGCACAAAGGAAACGATGGAATTACTCTAGGATGGAAGAAATTGGCACAAAAAATTTGGTTGGAAAATGTCAAACTGGTCCATGAAATTAGATTTGTGTAAGAAAAGCTACAAACCACTTTACCTTCAGAATTATGCCAAGAATCATAAAGAGCAGCAAATACAAGAGGTCTTCCATCCTTGAAATATATGTAGTATGGCTGCTTTTTAGATCCATCCTTCTTCCACTCATAGAAACTACAATAAAATAAACAAATGGATTACAAACAGATTGCACATGAAACAAGTTATGTATATGCACAAAAGGTTCCTTACGCAATCCAGCAAAAAACTGGAGCAGACAACAAATCACCAAATGGGGACACGACATATAACCAAGATCTTGATCAACTTATGTCTGATCAGATGCTTGACTCGTACACTTCAAGATAGGCCAAACATGGAATTATGCTCCAATCAGAGGGAACATAAAAAGCAATGGCAGCAATGGTAAAATTCATGTATTATATACGGTACAGATAAGCAGATTACTGCCTGTGAATTGGTAAGATATTCCACAGGCAGAATAACGTCATTCCTAAGATTTCCTACTAAAAAGGGGATAAGTTTACTAAAATAGTAAACAGGGGACTAAATCGGGCCTACCTGTCCAGTAATCTTATATGCTTCTGCGGATGTGACGCTCTCCTGTTTCTATCCAAGGAGGCCTCCAAACCTCAGCTAGGATGAGAAGCAATGGTAGCAATCCAAATCTGGCAAACCCAACTAATCAGGGGAAAACAATAAAAGCCAAAATTTTGGGGAAAAATAAGGTTTATGCCACTGCTCAAGGGAAAAGCTCCCCCTCTGAAAGCGGCCTTCCTCTGATTTCTATTTTAGGAACGGAAAAGTGTTCACCCTCTTGACTACAAGAATGGCATTGCAATGTAGCAGCTACAGACTACTTGTAAAGGAGAGTCTTGAATGAATGATAAAGTACTTGTCTTCGACAGAGGGTGAGTACTAGCCTCTAGCGTGAAACCAAGTTCCTGCCTTCTTTCAAGAAAATTTTCCGGTTCCAATATAGTCCATACTTCAATTGATGTATAGTCATTGGTTCAATTGATGTTCTCATATAGAGCTGATTAATAGACAAAGGCACCGGAGTATCTCCGCACCGGGCGATTACACAAAGCTTTAGAAATTCAGAAGATACTCTGAAAATTTTGCGCAAAAATGCCATGGAAATTTCTTCAGCTACAAGTAGAAACATCAGAAAAGAAACAGATATATCCGCAAGATGTTATTCTTCAGCTTTAAACATACCCTTCCATTGCCACTAGGCAACGATTCTTTGGTATGAGTCGACGAAATGATGCCTTCTCTCTAATTGATTCTGACCGCGCATTAAACTACAATGAATAAAAAAAAAATTGTATATGACATTAGTTAAGCAAAGAGTGTACCATCAACCAATAAAATCTTCGCTGCCCCAGATAGCAACGATAAAATTATGCTTATAACGAAAATAAATAACATTTTTTTATCAATAATCAATGATAAGGTTGACATGCAAAAATCTTAAAATTAAAGTGCATTCAGGCTTATCAATTCCTTTTTCTAAACTCTCCTCTCTATTGCTGAGCCTTATTTAAGATATATGTGTGTGTCTACAATTATACAGCTTTGGCGCTTCTGCATACAGATTTTCCAATGGAGACCGTTATGTAGATCTATCAAAATTATAAAACAGGTGAGAAGATTTGTGGTCCATAGAATTCGTGACATTTTAAATTAATTATTTTCAAAAAGTGTCTGCATTCAATCGGTCTGAAGGAAGAATACGAAATTTTGTGTGTATGAATGTTACGAACAAAAAATACAAATAGTGATGAGAGATTTACTAACATACAGAATTAGAATTACTTCAAAGTTTAAAGTACAAAGCTAAAATTAACACTATCATAGATGTTAAGAATCGTATATTTGTGGGTTGACAATTCTGAATTTTCAGAAAAAAAGCAGTAACTAATTCTACTGATCATAAGATCTATTCATTGGTGAAGTTAGAGAATGTTATGTGGATTTTTTCAGCCAAAGATTAGTATTCTAAATGGCAAATTACAGGGCGACAAGATGCACCGAAGCACAGTTAACTGACAACAGATTTTTTTATTGAAATCACCTGTAGGCTTATCTCAATACATAATTACAAATTAATCAACCATTTATGTTCCAAGGGATCTTTCTTTTATCTGAGACTTTCCTAAGGCTTAATAACCCTGAAAAAATCAACAGCCGTTTCATGCAATGCACCTCTTTTCAATCAACGGGCCAATATTCTTGACCTCTGAATCCTCAAGGTGACTTGCACTCAACTCTTGACAACTTGGTCAACCGTGTGTTCTTTTCAAAAGCATTCTATAAAGCGCCAGCTTCATCGTTCTTAGAGCTCAAACACCACTTCATAAGGTAGACTGCAAGAGCTTAAGTTGATGTAGGCCCCTCCTCTTCAGGATGCTTCTAAATTGTTATGGATAAAAGATGAGACTGATGAGTATTGGAGCTTACTGACTCCAGATTTCTAATAGGGACCGATACATAAAAGGAAAATCAGAAGAGGGTGTTGACTACCTGAAAAAGGGTCAAATTCATTTATCCCCGGCCAGTTTAGGTTCTCTATAGCACCCAGTTGAACCAAGTTCTTCTCACTCTAAGAACAGTAATTTTTTGATGTTTCTGCTTCCAAAAGTAAGGAACAGTATCGGACGATGATCCATCAACATGTCCATTGGTATCCTCAACAATTTCCGTTCCATGTTTCAGACGTTCCATCTTCGAGTGAAGAGCAGAAACATTTCGATGGAATTAAATTGATCAAATAAAACATTGAATAAAGGCTCCTCATGACAAAAAAAAAAAAAAGGAACCAAGAGAGGAACCAGAAGAGAGTGAAGACTGAAAAAGAGGCAGAGGAAATGACGGCCGCACCGTACCATCCTGTAGTGATCGGGTTTATCAGTCTTCTTAGTGAAGCTAGGGACAAGGCCCCACTTCATACAGACCAGGACGGGGGAACTTTCCCCTCCCCCCTCTTCTCCTTCTGTCTTTTTTTCCCGCCGTTTCGCCACGACAGGAAGGTACGCCCCCGGCGAGACATTATAAGAGGGCCGGTACTTGTCGAGGTCCACGGTGGAGACATCACCGGCGTCAAGTTCCCCAACGCAGCAGGCCCTGGCAACCTCCTCCGGCCTCAGCGTGCACCGCCCTCTCCCGCACATCTCCTCCTTGCCCCAACGCACAGAGCTCTGATTTCGAGGCGGGAAACGACAGAAAGCCCCTGCCTTGGTCTACCCAGAAGGCGGTTAAGGCCAGCCGCCTGGCCTGCTTGAGAGGCCTTTCATGGAGTACTGATGATATTACCGTTAAAGGTCTATTACAGTTAATTGGGCCTATACTAGTATGGCCCATCAACACATTCCTCTCTTCGACCAGCCCGTGTTGACCCAATTATGGCCCATTATGTTATAGGGAAACGCACATCGATGACGCTAGAAGGTCCAGTCTACAAGACGGCCCATTATGTTACACTGGTATGGAACAGTTCCACAAGGTCCACGACCAAATTCAAAATGAAAATTGACTCATCTTTGGGCCCAAGTACATTATAAATCATTTGTATTCTTACTGGGGGTGTGATGCGCCTACAAAGCCCATTAACCTTCGAAGAGACGTATGCGATGGGCCGTATTACATTTTTGGGTTCTTATTACTAATGGGCTAAGTTTTTTAGCCTAACGGCCCGTCGAAGACACGGGACGTGAAGAAATATGGAGAGGGAAAGAGATGGTCGTTCTCGGCCTCTTCTCCATTTTCCAATGTCCACTCTGCCGTCCCTGGCGAGGCGGGTTCTGCGGCGGCAGCTGGAGTGGCGGCCTTCCTTCGGCTACGAGCAGCTGCGGAGGTGGTCCCCGAGGCCGAACTCGTCCCGGGGAAAGTCTCCCCTGCGGATGATCCCGGGGGGCCGCGGCGATGAGCCCAAGTCGGAGTGGTGGGTGGTCGACGGGGAGATGCACGAGATCGGGGACCACGTCCCTCCGAGGGAGCGGTTCGTCATCCCGAGGGATAATCTGCCCAACAGACGCCGGAAGCAGCTGCGGGAGCAGTTCATGCGCCGTACTCGCCTCGTCCTCAAGGAAACGGTGAGCAGAATCTCGAAATTGTGAAATGAATGTTTGGATTTCGTGTGTAAGATGCTTTCGTCTGCCGGAGTTTCTGCCGACGAAACCTTCCGTTTCTCCGGCCGGCCTCTTTTTCAGCCCTTCTTTTTTTAAGTGTACATCCTCACCATCTAGGGGAGAACTGTCAGAAAAGAAACCCCTCCAGGGATCAAAAGAGGAAGTTCACGTCATTGCTTGGAGGATAGTTCATTGCCCTCGCTTTGGGCGCGGGAATTTTCTCTCTAAATATGATGGAATATCCAAGAGGAAAGGAATCGGACGATCTCCAATGGAATGGTGCTCTTTGAAAGAGGAATTTATGAATGATTTTTCACTATTAATCTCCCCGGATTATGGCATATACCAATTTGTGCATGATTCAACCGACAGTTCTTGCTTCTATCGTTCTGTTCATACATTCCTATTACGAAGATCCTGCTACCATAAGCACGAAAAATGTACAGGAGAAGTATGATATATTAAGATTTTCTGGCGGCTACCAGAGCCATCAATCTCACATTAGTTCAATCGATTATGTTGCCTTACATGAACAGATTCATTTTTCGCTTCATTATTCGCTCTTTGTTTGTAGAAACGTTGTTTGTTCCATCTAATATCTTCCAGGCACTGGATCCCAATCTCCTACCCCGATACTATTTCCTCTTAGAAGTCCCTTAATTCCACTCATGAACCTTCCCCCCTCTCACATTTTTGGATCCATGCAGCAGATTTTCCATGACTTCGCCATATCTTTGTCTTGGATTGGTGTAAACTATCTGAGTACACGCTCTTTGACTTCATGTGCATTTAAACTTTGTCTCTTTTTTTTTGTCTCTCTTGAGTCTGATTGTCCTTCTCGAAACAATTTTCCCCCAATTATTTTTGATTATTGTCGATGGTATATTGAATAAATAAATTGGGATTCTATTGAAGCCCTAGAAATTCGTATCATTTGCGTGAAATACCTGACGAAACTTTGATGGCTGACTTGAAAGGAGCATGAACCCTGGTGCAAAAGGTATATGGAGCTCTTTCAGGAGCTTAGAGAGAATTGGGAGAGGGTCTATTGGGATGAAGGGTATTCCAAGAAACTTGCCAGCGATCATGCTAGCTACGAATCCGCCGAAGATGATGACCAAGACTTCTCGCCATACAGGTTAAAAACCTCCTCATTCTTCGGTACACTCGTCTTTAACAGCCTGAGAGACTCATGGGACGTGCTATCTTTCCCATTTCAGAAGAAGAGAGCCTCATCTCAGCCAAGATAAGGTGCTCCACTCCATCGATGATTCCTCCCCTCTGCCTGCCTTCTTTGGCTGTGTTCTTCATACTGTGGACTCCATTGCTTTAAGGAGGTTTTTTATGTGGGAATCTCTTTGTAGAACATTGGGAAGAGGGTGGGCTTCATGGTAGGGGGCAATGGAAGGATGTGAAGGAAACTGGATTGGGTGGAGAAGGTAGAAAAATGGTGTTGACTTTGTAGAGATCCAGGCTATCAGAGCATGGGGATTCTGGGGTATGCTGGAAAAAGAAAGAGAGTGGTTCTATCTAGATTTCTACGTGTGCCATTTGGCTTTACATGTTGGCATTTCCTAACTATCCTTGGGAAATTATTCACATGATTCTAGGGTTTGTGAGGATGTCAGGTTGACTCTATGTGGGTTGACAACTTTGCTTGCAGGACCAAGGATCCACCGGAAAGAGGCCTGCTGGTGCATGGGACATGGTTGGCCAGATGCGGGACAAGTTTGAATATGATAGAGAAAGAAGAATGAGAGAGAAGGGTAAGATGCCCCATGCCATGCCCTCTGTATAACTTGATATCTTCCAGCGGAAACCAACCCCATTATGGTCATCTTTTTGCGAGCTTTTTTTTTATTAAAACCAGTCAGATTGGTAGCTAAGCAAGCATATCTCAAGTAAATGTCTCGGTTAGTGGACTTTGACACGTGTCGACCATGCAGCATTTGCTCCGATGCACGGCAGGAGCTCCGTGGAGTCGCAGAGGTCGGATCCCAACGGCCATCAACCTTTTGACGTTGACAAATTCTTCCCTAGATCTTCGTGAGGGCTCGGCGGGACGGTTCTCGACGGCGCGCTGGAGTATTCGAAAGTCAACGCCATATGTGGTCAACGATGAGAATGCTCGGCGGGAATTTCAGATTAATGCCGTTTCTCAATCCTACCCGTTACTCAAGGCAGATCCTGGAAGGCTTCAACGACGGAGTTTTCTTTCATCTGGACTCTCGTCATTACATAGAAAACCCTGAAGGCTTCAAATGGGAAGATCCATGCAGTTAATGGGCCCGCCAATGCTTCAGAAGGCATCAATGGGCCTCTCTCTCTCTCTCTCTCTCTCGCTATAATCTTCTGGGTATCGTTAGAGGAGCGACGGGAGATCGGCCTTAAGTTGGTGTGGCTAAACTGATGGGGGGGTAGTTGTAGAGAGAGAAGGGGGGCCAAACCTGAGGAGGCCATCAGATTACTGATGGTGGGGATACGCAATGGACCGCTCTGTTGCAACCTATAAAGTGTTTTCCAGCAGGAGACATTGATGAACACGGCGGCGCCGATGATTAACTTGTGGCTCGCTCCCTCATCCATTTTGTAGCCGACCACTTCTCGCCCTTGAGAACTTCGCATCCTCCATGTATGCTTCTAGGGTCTGTGCTCCCGTCAGGTCCCTGCAACCCGTCAGTAGTAATAATAATAAGAAGAAGAAGATGGTTAATATTCTCAAGGCGAGTAGACTATCTTTCGGTGAATTATCAAAAACAGGGAAAGAACCACAGACCATGCTCCAGAAGAGCACAGCACCCCCTTTGCTTGGTTTCACGGACATCCCCTTCACGGTCTTCCCACCGCAGCTGCATTGTCCCTCTCCAGCCTGGGGAACACACCATCATAAGAAAGAGAGGGAGGGGGGGGAGAGGGGAATCAGAAATCTACTCTCCAGTCGAACGGATGAAGAGAGGAAATGAGAATTCGATGTTTGGAATTGCCGAGGAAAAGAAATTTCAGATTCCACACAGGAATTCGGTCGCCGGTCGGCACATCGAAAGAATGACTATAGATATATGGGGCTTGGCTTCAAAGTAGCATCCGAGAAGATAACGTGAGAAATGAAGAGGGTGATAACATCCATCACGAATTCCATCCCATGGGCTTGGAAAGAGGCCCAAATTCCCCCAAAAGGGCTATGGGCCCCCACACCTAGATGGCAACGGAACCTCCAAAGCAACCACCATGATTAAGAAATTTATCTTAGCTGGGAAACTAACCATGGGAAAGTAGGTTTCCCCCCCTTCCACGTTGTCACTTAAGTACATAAGCATGGTTGCTATCCTCTGGCCTCCCCTTTTCAAGTTAAACTGCAGTTAATAATAAATAATACATGATGACTGTCATAACATTGATGTGCCTACAACGAATAAATAAATAAATGAATAAACAGATGATTTATAACTAGCATCGGGAATCTCACGGCGTCTGAAAAGTAATCATGGTGGGGTTTGTAATATTGCTCCTTCTCGTACCTGCGTGTTTCCAGATTTAGATTCACATAATGGAGGATTTCATGATGATATGATTATTATGAGTATTATGTGTTGATGATGGTAGGTGCCTACCTCAAGACTTGAATGAGCTCTCCATTTTCTGAGGGTATTTGGGAATAGACCGCGATTCGTTTCTCAATCGCCTGATTAAATGGGTGATATTTAGATCCATCAGCAAACAGACGTGGTTACGAATGCAGGCACAAAAGCATAGCAATGAGTTTCTATCAGTTCCGAGAACAATACAAGGGGGAGGGGGGGGGGAATACACACTACTAGAGGCCTAGGTTGAATGAAGCATGCCTTGGCCCCTTCAGCTCGGGCCTCCCCAAAGTGGAAAAAGGAGACCCCATCCCTCTAGAGGCCTCATATTTTTCTCACCTATCATCCGCTGGTGTACCTGAATAATTGGGTATTTCCTTTCTTCGGAATTCAGAAACATCCCAGAGCTCGTGCGAACGTCGCTCTTGATTCCCTGGAACACACAAAGAACTGATGATTATATAGACAGGAACTCCTAACCGACTTGTTCACATTATGCTCTCGGAAGGTACGAAGGATTTTCCAAGGGGATCCAAATTCCTTAGCTTCTATAAACTTATCAATAATTAAAGAAGATCGAGAAGAAAAACTAGCATATCTTACACATAATGCTTCAATGAATAGTTTTCTATACAAAAAGATCCTACTTCAGGCTCTCCGAATTTCTGAATTATGAAACGGGAAATGAAAACGGGAATGGGATAATTTAAATTGTATGAGAGGAATAATTAATAAATATGCTTTTGGGACCAGGAAACCATTGGCGTAAGGTATAGAATGTGTTCATTCTCATCTGATGGCCAACCGTGAGTCTTCACTAAATTTATCATGCGCGTGTCGTTAGGAGCATCGTTCAGAGCAGATCCAGCAACCTGCTTTTCAAATGATATGGACCGTTCTTTTGTACCAAGACTCAAGTTTGTCAATTGACCTAAACTATGTCTCAGAAAAAAGAAGAAAAAATCACAGAAAGGCAGATAATATGCGAGACATGAGTGAGTGTTGCTTCAAAAGAAGAAAGGAGAAACCATATTGCCATCCAGTAGCATACAAGTGGCCCTCTGTTCTTCGTTGAAAAGATCTTCAGTATTTCAGGAAGACTGATCCCCACCACGACTTTCAATAGAGAATAGGATCACTCTGTCGAAAGCCACATAATTTTGGCAAGATATTTACAGAAAAAAAATCATTGATAAGCATCGGCCCAGAATCCTAGAATTTTAATACAGATCAGTAAGTATAGTCTCATATGACTTGTCAGAGATTTGGCTCCATAATCCAGCATAAGCAGACATACACCAGATGTACATCAACAATGGGAACTTTGGATAACCACCATTGTACAAGCCAATTCGTCTGGGTGAACTACACACAGGGTAATGAAGAGATATTGCAGTAATTTTACTAGTAAAACTAATGAAAAGCAATTGACCACAGATAACACGTCAGAGAGCTTTTAGGAAATTATTGGCACAATACTTTTGTACTTGCCTTTCCAGTTTTTGCATCAACAACAGTAGAAATCTGCAGGCGAGGTCTTGCGATTGCTTTAAGATAGTCACATTCCTGCAGAGATTAAGCAGCAATATTAGCATTCACATACAGACACAACCAGAGATCCAGTTAAGTTAAACTGCTCGAAAAACTTTGCATTAGGTTTCAAAGATTGGTTGATGTTTGAGTATTATCTCCGAAATAAGAAAATCAGATAACATAGCACATAAAAAATTATAAAGTGGAATGTTCAAAGCGTATCAGAATTTTATACAGTGGAATGTTCCTTCAAAAGAAATGGAGAGGCCACATAAAACGTGAATGGATTCAGAGCGAAAAATAACGAAATAACTGCTATTATGATTGCTATGGGTCTTGGGGGAACTAATTCACGGAGTGGTTTGATTATCTGCAAGGTAATTCTACCAAGAAACCACAAATCGAGTCGCTAAACCAATGTTTACTGAAACCAAGTCGTGAAATATGACATCCACCAATTTAGCCACTTGAATTTTATATCATTATCCAAGAGATTTCGTTTCTAATATTGTATTGCGAGTCAGCTGTCGTTAGAAAGAACTTTGGCATCTTCTGAAAGGCAATTATCCAGCCTGTTCAAATCCTCAGGATTTACCAAAGAAATCCTGAAGTCAGATTGATTGCAGGAGTCCTTAGGATGATAACGATGGAAACAATGATGTTCGAAGCTTCTTTACATTGATCTAAAAAGAAATTGACATCTTAGCAAAGAAAGGGTAAATCTCACAAACTCCTTTCATATTTATAAGTCAAATTTGAGACATTCAAACCCTAATGTGAATTTAATAAAAATGAACCAAAACATAGAAAAATAATACCTCCATGCTCAGAAAATTATGGAAGACTATAATTCGCGGTGACCAGCTGATTACCTCGGGTTTCACCTATAATAATCAACGAAAAATAATGTAATCATTTTTTTCAACAATCTATTACGAGGCCGAAGCATCACTACACGATGAAGGTTGCTGCATTCCAAGAAAGAAACAGGAAGAAAAAACAAGAAACAAATAAAATAATTATTTCATTTCCTGATGTATGAATGTAAGACTCCTAATATAAACTTCCAACCAAGCCAGGGAGACTGGGACAATATTTATCCGAATGTCAGTTAACCCTCTATCAAAAGGAGAGCTTTCTCACAATGTTCATCCCAAAACTTATCTTAAATATGCAAGAGGTTAGCGATCTCTTCTCCTGGTAATATTTATCCTCACAGATACCCATCCCTATCTTTAAAAAAACTTACAGCTGAAAAAATTAAGATCACGTCATCAAGTAATATCGTATCACAACATCATCTAGGAAACTCGAAAGAATTAAACGCAGGTTTTAACTTCGTCATAAACATAGAATGGGTAAGCTTTTTATTGAACTAATGTCTATGGACATTTTTCTTCCTGGAAACAGCATATTTATTCACATTTTTTATCATAACAACAAACATAAACCAGAACAAGTAAGCAATCTGCACAACTCATAGGAAGAAAGGAAAGACATGGGTAGGACAAAAAGGCATGCTGTGAATGGATAAGAGAATAGGACAAGACATATAGGTGGTTAGGCTCTGCACATTTCTGGAAATATCGTGCACGTGAAGTATCAAGAAACGTTAGCCATGATCACTTTTCAAAAATGGTAAGGACGGTGGAACATAATATTAAATACAACCATATAACACTCGAATAATCAGCCTTAAAACAACTATTTCATTTCCTTTTCCTAAAAAAAAAGAGGATAAAGATAATGTCTCCATTTTACTCAACAATTTCTTACACAATGTTTATATAATCCTTGAAAAAGGGTCTTTTCAAGTCTGCCACCTTATTTGGAGATGTTACCTACAAAAAATATGAAAATAGGATGGAACAAAGATCCTCTCGAATGGGGGAGACATATTTTGCGCAGGAATGTGCTACCTCACGCAATAATAAACTATCTCCGATCGGGATCATAAAGATAGAACCAAGGAGGAACGGGGAGATGAGGACTAGATTGTACTGGTACAACCAAAGGGACAGGAGATGAGAATAATGTGACGTTAATCGGAGAACAATTTACAGACATAATAAGAATGGAATATTGGGTACCATCATTAAATGGATCTCAAACGCGCTTTACTAATGAAATGGTTAAGAAAGTTGGGCATCTACGACAATGACACCTGGTTAGAAGTGATCACACAATAATTAACATAAAGACGAGATTATGGAACATGAAACCAAGCCCTAAACAGTTTGGGTCAGCTTTGTCCAGAAATGAGGTAAAGAATTCAATTATAAAAGCATTAATCTCTTGAGATTCCATCTCTAGAAGAGCGGTTTCCATTACCTTAGCAGGGTGACAGAAGATAATCGTGCTACCATAGCAGAGACATTTAAATCTAAATTTGGCCTATTTGGCTTGTTTGAAAAAAAGTTCAATCCCAAGGAAAGAGATGGATACATTGGCATACAAAATGGGATGGCGATGAAAAATTCATAATTCATTCGACCAGCCATATCATGTCAGATCGAAGCATAAGATATCAGATGGCTTGTCATATATGGGGTCTGGTTTCTCTTTTGAAGTTATTGAGAGGAGACCATGAACATAGGACCAGCTTATTTCCTTTTACCATATTAGAGGCCTGCTACAACTTAGGTGGATGAATATTGATTGTACATAAACTGAACTTACAATAGTGAATTGAGGAGCAGAAGACATCAATGATAGATATTTAAGGGGATGGAAAAGCTAGGCAGTTTATTCTGAATGTAACATGTTGGGTCATTTAGGATGAAAGAAATAGCAAGCTTTTATGGTACAGTCACTGGACGTATAGGGTAGTCACTTGTATCCACAATGAGGGAATACATATCCTGTAATTGGGAAGGGCTAAATTCCTCGATTTTAGAGGTTGGGATCTTAGCTTGATCTTCACCTTCTCAGTGGAGAATTGAAGATCTTGTATGTGGGGGTTCGTTTTAGAACTCATTGGCCATATACAAGCATATCCCTAACTCCGTTTTCAATAGTTAAGAAAAGTATGGCACTATTCATCAGTATATTTGGGCATAAAGTCATCATCAGTTTCCATGTTGCTCAAGCGTTGTCATTTCTAAACGTGTATATGCTAATAGAGAGATAGATAGTTGATAAAAAATAACAAGTTATTCAGAAAAATCCACTTCTCAAATAATAATAATAATAATACGTAATGTTTAATTTATAGTCACTCTTCAGATCGTTGTCCTCATGTTGAACAAGAGAATCAAATTTCCACTTTTTCTGTTGTTTTTATTTAGCTTTCATTATTTTTGAATCCGTAAACAGCTGATTAGGAATCACCAATATGTCCACTTCATTGGACGATTACACTGATTTACCTATCAGGCATAACTGCCACCCATCACTATCATTTCAGTTTCTTCCATTTAACATATAGATGTTACTGAGCATGACATTTTCCATTATATAGCACACATTTCATGCAGTAGAACAATTGTCTCTGTAAGCAATCGTTTTCACTACATCCTGAGAATGTAGCAGTTTTAAATTTGAAAATAAATTGAATCCAGTTCTCGTAGATTTTAGCACATAGTTCCCCACAAAACTCAATCATTTACTGAAACTTTCCTGACGGCTTGTAATAATTAGGATATCTAAACAATGTTCATAATGCCGTGCTAACAACAATACTTCAACATAATAGCGTCCCAAGATTACTGGTAAGTTTAATAACTTTAATTTCACTTATGAATTAGGGAAGATAATTAAGAATATTGACTCAAACACTAGAAAGTGATTGTGAAATAGAACATACATATCCAAGACGAAGTATATGTGCTTCATTGTCGTTTGCCCAATTGAAATTATCTGCAATTGAAAAAACACTAATGAGAGCTACTTTTGGAGTCAGTATCATCAATTTCAATCTTGAACAATGAAATATCTCAATCCTACGTATATGCTCTTGATTCGTGAGAAGGAACCCAACTCTCACCAACTACTATCCAATAAAATGTATTGGTTCACATTTCAGATTGAAATGTAACGATGTTTAAGAAAGAAGTACAATAACCAAGACTGGGAGAACAAAAAAACCGTATACAAATATAGAGATGCGTTCATTTTGGTTTGTATCTTAAAATGGAAGAACAAATAATAAAAACCAATGCAATGGCAACCAGGATATGGAAAATAATGGACGCACCACAGATAGAGTAGACATAACGGCCAAATTAGTGGCAGCATAAGACTGTATATATATACGACACAAAATTTATTAAAATTTTGAATTCAAGGTGGACTCTGGAAAAAAAAACCATGATAGGATTAATTGGGGATGATCTATTCAACTGTCAATGATGGAGTCCAAAGAAAAGGGGAAGTTTGGATAGAAAGTTAGTTGTATTTCAAAAACCAGATTCCCTACCTGGATGGACGAGATAGGGCGTGGCTATGTTGGTGGCAAGAATTGAGACAAGGAACCGCCTCCTCGCTTTTACTTGTGACTAATTGGTCAATATATGAGCATTTTGCCATTTCCCTAGCAGATTTTACCTTTATCATTTTAGGGTTTCGCGGAGGAAAGCAGCAGGATCTTAGAGCCCCCTTGGGCCAGAGAATAACGGGCACGGAAGCAGCCAAATGGGCAGTGGCGACCAAGAGATCCAAATTGCCATCATACCAGAATGTAAGGGATGTATGCATAATAGTTATGATAAAGTCCTGGCTGAAAAAATAGCCGCAGTTTTAATTAAATAATATTTCACAGAAGGCATCTATGCATATTTTATACTCTAGGGAAGCTGTTTGTAATTTTTTGCCAACTTTTTGAGACAATTGCAATGACCATCTACACAGCAGAAGACAAAGAGAGCACCTACAACGAGAATCTACAAGGACGAGAAAAATAAATTGGTGGAAAAGCAAGTCCTTGTGCAGTGCCCTCTTCTGTAAATAAGAAGAGCGATATCTGGATTTATTAGCAACTAGGAACTAACCAACAACTATGTCTAAAATAAGGGATCACCAAAAAAATAGGAAACTCAGAATAACATGAGCTACAATAAAGGATCTCTTGGAGCGAAAATCAAGTAAACATGAAATCATTTCACTATTAATGGAAACACAAAGATGTATCCGAAATTTCTTAAGCCTCATGGAAAACATAACTGAAGTACTGAAGTAATTGGTCAGAGTCAATTCAACTTTTCAACAATTAAATTTCTCGTGACAATTAAGTGCTTATAGTGACAGGCAGGGATTCGACTGAACTTAGATATCATGGCAATTAAAAGGAAATCAATTTACCAGAAGATTCTTCCAATCGCCTGATGAATGCTAACTGAAATAGGGCACCTGCGTTAATGTACAGAAGGCCAGCGCAAATGACAGTACTTGGTGAAATGCTTTTAGAATATTTGAAAATATTTTTCTGTCAAAAGGTCACGCTAGGATAATTCCATGTAAAAATATCACATGCCTGCCAACGTATCAAACAACATACATAGAGAAGACAGAATAAGTGGAAGATAAATATTTCCATGTTTTCTTTTAGCGTTCAGATGAACCTCTCATATTATAGATAATAGGCTGCAAGATAATCACAATCTAAGATTACAAGTCTACAGCCGATATCAACCACCTAGAACTCTCCCTCATGTTTTGGCACAAGCAAGTCATGAGATTCAAGCATTATCAAGGTTTACGTCATCATGATCACATTTATAGAAATAATGGGAGCTTCCTGTTTGTTTCTGCTCATGAGGAATATGAATCATTTTCAGCAAGAATAGCACAATGAATGTTAAACAATCTTTTGAGATATTTTATGATTTTATTAATAGATAGGCATCTTTTAAACGAAATACAGTAGATATGTTCAGAAAAAAATTAAGGAGAAACTAATTAGTAGTCGACTGCTAATAGCTAGTTATCAATGCCCTCGATATATTATAACACAAAGGAATGGGGAAAATTAGACACATGATGTCATATGTAGCGCATGACTGTTTGTAGAAGATCATACCCCACTTTGTTTTCAGTGACCGTCGTCTGTGTTCATGTTTTTCAAGTTCGGAAACAGTTAGAGTTGATCATGTACGCAAAAAATGTGGTGGGGTCATTGTAGCATAACATTAGGGCTCATTTTCATGTGACTTCCAAAATTTCGATCACAAGCTAGTGGAGACATCCGAAATTAGTTAAACTCTAATGTGAAGGTAATTTGGTGGAAAAAGGTAACTGTGCGATAGTTTGGGACTGCATGATCTGCATGAGACAGCCGCTAATTGCATGAGCTCCATATTCAGTCCAACTCTATTCCATTTTATGCGAGATAAATAGGGTATTTCACCAGCCATCCATTACTGCCGCCTAAAACTCCAATAAGACAAACTTTGGTTCATCTTCCACCTTTTGAAATAGGTCTCACTTCACATTTTAATGCGACCATCATATTTTATTAGTTTGCCTCATTTCTGCCTGTTCCTCCAATCATCTGTTCACTGAGATCGTACGATCAAGATAGCATCTCCCAACAAATGCATTTTCTTATTGATCTGAATTCGTTTGGTCGCGTAGATTGTAAGGAAAAAGGAACCATCGGCAAATATATAAAACGCCAGCATAGTAGAGGATGGACAACGCGTAGATTAAAGGGAGAAAGGGAAGAAATGTCATCGAAACTTTGAGACAACAAAAGAGACTCCGCGTAAGCCAATCGATACAGCTGACCTACCGATCATCATCCCGATGGTAACGAACGTGAGCAGGCCGAGGATGAACCTGCCCCGATCCATGAATGTCCGCCAGGCAAAGTCACCGGAAACGGAGAGAAAGGTGTGGAGACTTGAACGGCGAGGTACTCTGCTCTCCCCGCCCCTGCTGAGGAATCTAACACGTCCCGAGGCGGAATTACGGACGTCGAGAGACGCGGAGTGTGGGAGAGCGTGGAATCGGTGCTCTGGGCCTCCCCTGACCAGGCCTGACGAAACACAATCCAAGAACCGCAGACAATAAAGTTCGATCGTCCTGTACCTGTCTCTTCTTCGTCTTCTTCCGACCTGTGGTAGGTGAATCGGCTCCAAATCTCTCTGAGTGATCGCTGTAAGCAGTGGGGGCCTTCGAGGCGCTCTGCACGCCGACTCCGAGATGCACTAGAACCGAGTCTTCGCCAGAGATGTGCCTCTTTCTCGCCGGCCGCCGCGACGGCGATTTCGATCGAGCACGAACAGTTCGTCGTTCTGGTACGTTGACCAGCTGAAGAACGTCTCCACTCCCAATCGTGTGTAACAATATAAGAACCTCTGCAGTGGACTAGGTTGGGCCTATTCCAAACAAAGTCAACTAAGTAGAGCCAAGGAGAGTTCAAATTGACCCAATAAAACTCCGAATCGGCCCAATAAAGACGGTAGCCCATTCCACGTCACCACCGGCCCCACACCCGTTGTAGGACACAAAATTAAGATATCTTTCTCCTCCAAGCTTTTATACAAATATGTACCATAAGTAGAAAGAGATACGGTCGTGGCCCAAAGCCCACTCTGTAGAACCAGAAGCCCAGAGCCCCATGAAAGTTCAATACGCCCAATAGAGTCCAAATAGGTCCAATATGCAGGGCAGCCCAACCCACGTCACAGGCGGCCCCACATCCGTTGTCGGGATCAGGTGGCGACGCGTCAGAGGACATAAAATTAAAATATATTTGTACGTTGGACGTTTATACAAATATTTATCATAAGTAGGAAAAAACTCATCGTGGCCCAAGTCACACTAACCCGCTAGTATTTACTGCACTCTTCGGAAACGGTGCGGTGGTGAGCGTCGGCTGGCACCTCCCACCGCCGGCGTGGTCCGCACGGCCGGACGGTGCCGCACGTACAGTGGTCCACGGCCGGCAGCGGCACCGCGCAGCTGAGTGAGGTCCACACGTCCATGGAACAAGAATTTTGCTTTTGGCCCTCTAAGAAAATCTCACTCTTGAGATTAAGCCCCCTACCCTGCCTCTCTCTCTCTCTCTAGGGGGAGAAAGAAAGTAACGGCTTTGACTCGGCAAAACCGAGCACACCTTCGAGGGGCTGGCGGGGCTTTACACACACGGACATGGCGATAAAGGGGAGCACAAGGAGCGAGAATTTTTTTCAGTAAATGCGCGATCTTTTGCCCAAAGTCGCCTGTCCGAACTCGCAGAACCAGGCGGCATTAAGGCGGGGAGCTCCCCGCCCCCCCCGCACCTTTTGAAGAAGGTCACGGCTTTCCTCCCCGGCTATGTGAGCTGGATTGGACATGCCCACAAGGAGAAAAAAAGTCCCCTGAAGGGATGAGAGGGATAGAGAGGGAGAGATGCAGGAATCTTCGTCGTGGCCGCTTTCTCATGTGGGTATAGCGAGGGGTCGTCGACTGTTTGCTAGGCTTTGAGCAGACCAAATGATGAGGAAGAAGAGAGCCCGAGGTAGAAAGAAAAGCTCGCCATATGAGAAATCAATGCCATCAATGGAGCTGCCCACCCCCGCTTGCGTGAGGAAGAAGGGATGGGGGGGGAAGGAGCCTTGCCAGGATCAAATTCTTCCCTCATTTAATGGCGCGGTCTCCCTTCGCGTCCCTCGAATCTCTCCAAAGAAGAGAGCGTGAGAGATCACAAGATAGAAGAAATTGAGTAATCTGAGTAAACATATATTGATTAATACAAGGGGGACGACAAGATCACAAGGGCAAGAAGGCATTCGATTTCCTTCCACGTTTAAGAAAAACCCAACACGTGAATTACACTATATCACTCGAGCTCACTAGAATCACAGAACCAGTGAACAAGTTAAACAGCAAGCTTGGTTCGTCATGGTCCATCGTCGCGTCCAGCTCACAAAACGAGGCCAAGAGGGCGGGCCGAAGCTACTTCTCCATGGCATGGCGGCAGCAGAGTTTCAGACGATGCAGTTGAGCCCCAGGCACCTCGACAGGAAGTCACATACCACCGGCTTCTTCTGGTTAGAGATAGAGACAGACAGACAGGGAGAGCTTAGATCAGGAAGAGAATTGAGAAGCCTGGATCAAACAGAGCCCAATTGAAGCTACGATATTAATGATATGGCCCATGCAAGGAGATGGCCGTCACTGCCGCGACTGTCACGGCACAGGAGATGTTCCTGCAACAGCGCATTGTGGAGAAAGAAGACACGACGCAGCGCTCGTTAAAGTGATAGAGAGGAAGAGAGACGAAGAGTGGGCAGCTACAACGACCAGAGAAGAAAAGAACGTAACAGAAAAAGACAAGAGGAAGAAGTTCTTCGGTCCTGTCGTTAGGTCCTCGCTTACTTACCCTTTGCTTCCGGTACAGAAGTTCGGGCGGGATCTTGTAGAGGTCCTCGTCGACGGCCTTGGCCGCCCTGTGCTGCCGAATGGATTCCTGGGCGGCGGCCAGTTCGCAGTCGAAGACCTTTGCCTGCCTCGTCCTCCGCGGCTGAGGCGGTGGTGAACCGTCCTCCCTCACCGCCTGCTTCAGCTGCCTCAGCTGCTTCTCCAAAGTGGTCCCTCTTCTCGCCTGAGAAAGACGAAGGAGCGGTCATCCATAGCTGCCGAATCGAAAAACGCCGGAGAGAAAACAGGAACAGACGACTTGGGTACCTTGCGAGGGTAGGCGCTAATGGCCGCCGGTGGCTGGAGTGGAGGAGGTGGCAAGCTGTAGAGGTCTTCGCCGGCGTCCTGGCCGTAGTAGTAGTAGTGCGGGAGCGGGGGAGGGTACAGATGAGCTCGGTCGAAGTATCCTCCGGCATAGCCGCATCCTCCGCGGAACATCCCCCCCTGAGAGGCCGACTCGAAATACTGAGTGATGGGGGAGTCATCGCAGTACTCCCAGTTGCCGAACGAGGGAATGTGCCGCCGGTGAATGGCGTCCTGCAAAAAAAATCGAAATGCAGGAGGATCAGCACCGTGGAGCTGTGGCGCCGCCGGGGGGAGGTGAGGAGGAAAGAGGTCGCTGGAACTGACCTCCATGCTCATCCAGTCTAAAATGAAAGGGAGGGAGGAGGAGCTGAGAGAGGACGGGAAAAGGAAGCTTAGAGGGAAGGGAGGAGGAGAAGAGCTCGAATGAAAGGGTGAGGAGTGGGGGGGTATAAAGAGATGGTGCGGGGCGCAGATAGCGCGAGCTGGAGGATCCTGACAGCGAGAGGATCTGGACTTCGGACAAGAGGAGAATGGCAACCATTAGGTGGGCTTTATCATGGGGCCCCAGCGCACACAGTCCCCTGTTTCCTTTATTGGACATCAACTTCTCGTGCCGATAGAAAGAAAGCCAATAGGCTCCTCTCTCTCTCTCTCCCCTCTTCTCTACGTCTTCCAGTCTATCGAGAGCTCCGTTACATCGCATGGACCACGGGAGCATCAACACTTGTCTCCAGGCTTGGAGACCACGAAAAGCGGTCCGAATATCCTCCAAATCGCAACAGACAGGATCGTCCGTAGCCAATGGGCAATCGCCGAGTATCCCGGATGCCGTCCTCCTCAAGCCATTCAGCCTGCAATTTTTTGGACAGATATAAACACTTTATCACACTTTACTGTCATTTTTGGCAAACACTCCCAGCATCATGCAGTATAAACTTCCGAATTAGTATGTTTTTATTATATAAAAATAATTGACATGATTCAGATCAGATGGTCATAATTCTACAACCTATAGTTTTTTTTATGACGCAAAAAGTAAATTAAATATCCATTCTTTTTTTCTAATTATATAACACCCTCTAGTATTCTCATGCCTTCTCCCAATATTTCACAAAATTCCATAAATAGTGAACTAAATATGCAAGTATCGTAATAATAAATCTAAAATATTAGGATAAATCGAACCCATGATGCGAAGTAGGGTCTAATGTGCCATTTTTATAACTCTCAATAGTTTCATTTTTACCAACAAATATTCGGACATAATTCTTTTTTAATAAATGTGGCAAATTTAATGGAAAAGTACGGCATTACCGCAAGGGATCTTGTTTGGATCCGGTAAGAGTTCCTACGCAGAGAGTTGACCGTAGCTAGACCGAATGGCAGATTATTCAAAAGTTGGAACTTATAATAGTCGTACATTTTTTAAAAAAGGCTAAGTATTTAATTAAAGAATTCCTAGAGAGAGAAACGTAATTAGATGAAAGACGTAGGTCGGCATGGGTCGGGTTGGCGCAGTATTTATAACTATTTGCAGCAAGTCTTGTACTTTGACGGTGGGGAGGCTCGCATCCGCTGCGGCTTGAGTCGGACGAAACGAACGTTACGGCGGCGCGAGCCGTCCTACTGTCGCCGCCTCTGGTCAGGTCTCGAGATCCGCCACCCTATTCCCCATGCCCCCGGCACAACTTTCCACTGCGGCCTTTCCACCGCCGTGCCTTCCACGCTCCCTACGAACCCGTTTACTGACGAACATTGACGTTGGGCAACTCCCCCGTTAGGCCGACGAGGAAATCGCCGGCAAGTTTTAATGGAGTCGCCGTGCCCGGCGCCGGCGCCGGTGGCCGCCGGCGAGGGGCCGACAAGGCCCGTCCGTTGACACTATTTTTATCATTAGACGCATACGCAGGCGACTGTTCTGTTCTGCGGAGGTAGGAATCTCGGGAGAATCGTCGTGGTGGAGGGTTGGATCGGCGGTGGACGTAAATCCAGGGATGCGCTGACAGGCTCCGGCGGAGGAGAAGGAAGGGGCCCGCTTTTTAGCTGGAATTTGGGTGGGTAAGGAGAATGTGGCGTCCTGCCCCGTAGGCAGTAAGTGCTCCTCCACAGCGGCGCGTCTCTCAAACCCCGCACCTCCGCAATTAATGGCGGCACAGCTGCTGCCGCAGCCACCGGATCCTTCGCGTCCCTCGTCACGTCGTCGCTTTGCCGTTATGCTATAAACAGCACCTCTCTCTCTCTCTCGATCTCTATCTCTATCTTATCCATCTCTCAGTCTCTCTCTATCTCTGTCGACGAGACGGATTACTCCGCCGGCAAGGTGGTGGAAGGGGAAGGGAGAATGGGAATGAGGAGCGAACGATAGGAGTTGGGATCATCTGATAAGATGGCCAAACGCGTCGTTTCTGACAGGGCCGCTGAGGTCCCAGGTATGAGCGGCAGAAAAAATACCGGTCAACGTCTCCGTTCAGCAACAGCTGTGCCAACCCACCTCTCTCTCTCTCTCTCTCTCTCTCTCTCTCTCTCTCTCTCTATCTCCTTATGAGTTCACCGTTGCACCCAGTTTGAGAGGGGTAAGAACAGTGGGGCTCAGCTGAGAACGCTCGGTGGCGACCGATGAACAGCAGTGTTCCTGGGATCTTCCATGAGCACGGTGGACTTTTGCTGTAAAAGCGAAGGGGAGACCGGGACAGATCGAATTAACTGAGCCAGGGGTTCTCTCTCTCTCTCTCTCTCTGCGCCAAATTACGCCTCCACCTACACCCCATATCGACGAAAAGGAACTTCTGCAGGTTCGCCCATAGAGAGATCGCCGACAGAGAGAGAGATAGAGAGGGAGGAACGATTTGAAAGTCCACACTGCTGGCGTCGATTAAGAAAACAGAGCTATGCAGGGGTCAAAATTATCTCTGAGACGGTGAGCGAACGCCCCGAGGAAAATTTCTTGGCTTTGGAGGATGGCCAGTACCTGGCCGGCCCTCCCTTCCGAAGCTTCCTTTGACTCCGTGCCCGTTGGCCGGCGGTGGTTTGACCGCTCAGTCATCGCTGTTACATTGGCCGTACAGGCCGGCGGGATACGAGATATCTTCTCCGAAACTCTCTCGACGCCCTTCTTACCTCATCGCCCTCCGTAGAGTAAAGGCGGTAGCCCGTCGGCGGCCCCGAGATAGAATCGAATGTCGGGGGCGAACACGCGGCGGCGCCGCCGAATCCGTCGGCTGAGCTATGAATGATCTCCTCCATAAGCGACTTCCACCCTTGCCTGCACTGTCTTGCAGCAGAGAGCGGTGCCTTCTCCCATCGCGGACAAACGGCTGACTACTTACTGTCAACCAAAGAAAGCTGTAATCCCACATTTTTATTTTAATAAAGCAGGTGATTGGACTCGTTTTGACTTAAAACCATGGAAAACTAATTTCCTGTACACGTACTAGTTCAGGATCAAACCAGAATAGAATGACAAATGAAGCGACGTCTCTCTTCGAGATGTACGAGGCGTTTAATGTCTCTCTCTCTCTCTCTCTCTCAGAGAGTTCTACTGTAGCTGCACTGGTAGCCAGCTTGCTTCTCGACTACGGAAACCGGAAGGAGGATTTTTTGCCTTTTTTTTTAAAACGACCATTTATTTCACGGCACATGCGGTGGGCCCTGGTGCCGCCAGGCGGAGCATACATTTGACCGCGGCGGCCAACGCCGTCCGGTCTCGATAGCTCAGACATCGAGTCCGCAGCATAGCCCACCACCCCCCCACCTCCCACTCTCCTCTCTCTGGATCATTCAAAGCCTCCACCTTACCGTCCGCCGCCGTGCATAGCACGACGCCGGTGCCCACCGGCAAAGATTGGCTTATCGGGGGAGGACGAAACCGCCGCTAACGGGGTCGTTGTGAAATTTATAACGCAGTGGAGCTCTGCAACTCCGGCTTCCGCCGGTCATGGCCGCAACTTCGCCTGTTAGCACTATTTTACGTTTTGCCTGCACAGGCTGACGACTGCTCCGTTCAGTGGCCGGCGTCCTGCAGGGACAGACAGGCTCCGAGGGGAGAAAGAATGTAGCTTCCTCTACGGGTAGCAATTGTACCTTCCGCCGCTGCGTACTCCGCCGACGATTAAGGCCGCCAACGGCCGGCGCTACCGCAGCCTCACCTGACCCTTCATTCTTTCCTCTACGCCGAGACCCCTCCACCCCCCCACCCCCCCCGGCCACTCTCTCTCTTTCTCTTTCTCTCTCTAGAGCGCCGCTTCATGGGCAAATCTTGTACAGTGGGTGTTCTTGTTTACCGAACTGAACTTCTAGCAAGTACGGATAACGTATATTATGACGCCATCAATGATTTGAAAACTCTTTCGTAGGCGGGTTAGACGGGTAAAGAGCGCCAGTCATACAAGCGATCAACTTCGTAGGGGTGTTCGTGAGAGTCAATCAGGTTCGCTTCAGTCCGGTGAGGTCTCCAGTCCCGCCGCCGGCGTTCCCCATGCAACCTCACCTCAACGTCCCCTCGCACCCCGGGCCGCGAATTACGGAAAGCTGCCGCCTTTAAACCTGCCCTCCGCCGGCAGCACGGTGAAATCGAAACAACACCGCGGAAGAACGCCGGTGATCCGAGTGTTTCAAAGGCCGATCAGGCTACGACATTCCCAACGATCGCCGTTGTTCGGTAGAAACGATGCCATTTAACGGAGTTACTTCAGGTGACGGCCGCCACGGCCGAGAGAGAGTTCAGTCCTCCCGTTATGCAGTCTGTTCCCCCTCCCTCCATCCCTCTCTCTCTCTCTCTGTTTCTAGATTCAGAGAGGCATTTGACATAAGACTTCAGAAGGTCTACTGGCAGAACTGGAATACTTGGACAACAATTGGCCCAACACTCTGAGCGAGGCCCAGAAAAAACATTAATATCGGCCCACTATCAGACGGAAAGCATATTCCAAGACCGCTGACATATAATACATCACATCCCCCCCCCCCCCATATTCCACGTTGACCAAAGTTTCTTAGTAGGTGCTCACTGTATTTGCCAACTCTGTTGTTCCAAGCGAATCAAACATCAAGATTTCCACTGGCCATGTTTAAAACGCGAAGCATTAAATAGATAGGAAGAAAATAGGAAAATAGTTTATATAGAGAGATTTATAGATTCTCTCCGTACGTCCAGTGTCGGTGGTAGCGATGCTGATCGATAGTGACGTCATCCGGGTGTCTGCAATGGAAATCATTAAATATAAAAATACGGATTTTAACTGAATCGGCAGGCGTTGGTCGGTGAGGCCACGTTAAGTCAACCCGCCGCTTTCGGTGGGTCGGACGGCCTCACGGGACACAGTTCAGACCGAGGCAGCTTGACAGAAGCTTGCAACTGGTCGTCCTTTTCTGGGGAATGGAGAAGGAAGAAGGAGAGGGAGAAGTGAGAGCCAAATCAGGAAGAAACAAGAATCATAGCTAAGGCACTCCCTCTGAGAAAAAATCCCGAAAAAGTCATGCAGAGAGACACCAAGTCAACGAAGTAGACTAGAGGAGATAGAGAAAGAGAGAGAGAGTCAACGAGAAATAAAGTAGGAGATAGAGAGAGAGATGTGGGCAGTAAACGGAGCGAGATGGGAGGAAGAAGATGCGTTTACTGTTGTCTTGCAGACTTACGCTGGAAGGCTTACGGTGGAGGAGATCGGGGGGGATCTTGTAGAGGTCCTCGTCGACGGCCATGTGCACCCTGCGTCCCCGAGGGAGCTTCTGCGAGGTCACGTCTCCCTCACACACATGCGGCCGCCCTGCCTCTGCCTCCCCCTCCGCCTGTTCTTCCACCTCTCTCTGCTTCTTCTCCTGCGTCTTCCCTTTTCTCGCCTGAGATGTCGTGCATGTTGACTAACAGGTCGCCCAAAAAAAACAAGCAAACCGAGAAGGGAGAGAAACAGACGGCGGATCAGAGATGAACCTTCTTAGGGTAGGCGGCCATCATCGCCGCCGGTGGCGGCGCCGGAAGGCCGTACAGGTCGTCGGAGTCATTGCCGCAGTAGAAGTAGTGTGGGAACGGAGGAGGATAGATATGGCCTTCGACGGTGCAGCCCGTTACTCCGCTCGCCGCTGCCGGAGAAGCAGGATCGAGGTACCGACCGATGGAGAATTCCTCGGGGTATCCCCAAGAACCGAACGAGGAGACGTGATACCGCCGCTGCCGCCGCCGCACAGTATCCTGCAACGCCGCGAAGATGAAGATGAGCGCATCTGTAGAGGAGAGTAAGCGCAGCATCAGATGGAGATCCTGATGCTCACCGCCATAGCCGGGATCTGTGACTGCATACTAAGAACGGAAGAAGGCGAGGTGCGTTCGCTATCCCCCCTCTCCCCGCCGAAAGTTACAGATGGTGTTAGGGCGGTTTACGCCGCCGACGGAGGCGGTTTTTAAAGCGTCGGTGGGTTACAAAAGTCTCAGAGACAAGAGAGAGACTCTCCCCCACTCCCCCTCTCTCTCACTCTGTCTCTGTTTTTCTCTCTCTCCCTCTCTATCTATCTGTATTTCTCGGCCATGTTCATCACACGTGAGGTATCAGGGATGTCGACTGTGGGAGGCCATAAAAGCCTGGGGGCAGGAGAAAGCGTCCTATTTGACGTTCATATGAAACAGGAATTGCCTGATGAGCTTAGCGAAAGTCTTGTGAAAGTCTACACCAGTTCGATGGTGTTGGGAGAAGGGGAACTAAACGAAGACTTTTCGATGGAATCCAGCGAAGTTGCTGACTTCCAGCCACTCGTTGGTAGGAGGCTACTAGGATTTTTAGGTTTCAGCTGTAGGGTTCTTCGTCTGGCTCAGGCGACCGAAGTGTTTGACGAATTACCCGCCAGATTTTCTTCTCGGATGACGAGCGCTGAGGACAAAAAACCCGACAGCCGATAGTTTCTGGCAAATTTGGAAAAAAAATAGATCGTCGTGATTTCGAAGATCTTTAATCTCTGCACGTAATTGAACATAAAACTTGCCATTAAAAGTAATAAAATAATTTTCGGAGCCTCATTCCCGATCATCCCTTGGAGTGGGGTCCCGAAAGTCTGGGTGACTATCCGTAAAATCACACGAGAAAGATACCCTCTATGTCTGTACCAAATGATTGAGAAACTCGGTCGGCAACACCAAGAAAAGAAGAACAAGAAGGAGAGTCCGGACGCATTTCAATGGGTGGGGAAATCGTAATGAGAAGATCATGATTTTGAGAATCAGATCATCTGCTCTTCTACAGTTAATTCGCCCACGGCGCGGCTGCCGTCGCCGATATCTCCGCCAAATCGTGAATATTTTCTAACGTTGCATTTTCTGCGCGTACAGGCGACTGGGGGTCTCGGGAGCACCAACTAGCCGGGGACCTGCATCGGTCGTGGAGGAAAAATCCGAGTCGGAGATGGCAGGCCCTTCTTGGCCGGTCGGCGATGGCCAGTTACTACGGAGAATGTGGCGTCGTCCTCCTCCTCGGCGGGCAGTAACTGCTCCTCCTGCCGCTGCACCGGCTGCAGTGGCGTGTCTCCCAAGCCCTCCTTCTTCGTCCTCCGCAGGAGGCGATTAATGACTGCCTGCCAGCCGCTGCTGCCTTCGCCACCGCTGCTCCGATCTGACAGCGCAACCCTTAGTCGTCCCACCCCTTCTCACGGCGGCGACTGGAATTATAGGTGTGAAAGAAAGAAGAGCGAACCGCCGGTCAAACCCTCCGTCCGGTAGTATCTCTCCTCCCTGCTCCGACTGTTGCACTCGCTGGGCGGGGGAGAGCAGTGGAGCTCCAGCAGGGCGCGCTCGGCGGCGACCGATGAACAGCGGCAGTGCAGGGAAGGGATTTCCCACGAGAAGGGCAGATCGAATTAACCCGCAGGGGGCTGCCTTCTCCGGCGCCGGATCATAGCCTCCAGCCTTGATCCAATGCGCGAGCCAGAATAAATTATACCTCCTGCCATGGCGGGATCCGTTGGTCCACGCCTGGTTGGTGCCGTCAAAACCATTGATGACCCCGTTCCGACTACGCAGGCCTCTGCAAGGAAGATCTACCGGATTTGGCACACTGCGGGGCACCTCACCGCCCACTCCCCACCGACGAGCGGTCCTCGCTGGAGGAGTATTCATGGCGGGAGGCTCTGTTCACACGTGTCTTCGAGAGCCAACGTCATAGCTTCGTTCCCCGGGCATGAACAAAGAAAGGAGTCATAGATAGCCAATTCGATATAATCTAATTACCTATTTGCAATACGAATGAATTAAGATAATATATTACCATGATGATACCCAATTTTTACCTACCTTTGTAGGCTCAACAGATGAAATTTCCGTCTGGTAATGCGTAGGACGAGAGAGAGAGAGAGAGAGAGAGAGAGAGAGAAGAACCAGTAGCCAATATGAGGCCTTCCCCGAGAGGATAGGAAGAACACGACGACGGCGGCGAATAAAATCCGAATGCCGGCAGATTCCATGTTATCTTTTAAGGACGAGACGGATACCGAGCCGTCTCGAGACTGCGTAGGGCGGCGACTTGACGATAGTTTTCAATATTTTCTTTCTTTTCCGTCAGTCCCGCCGGCGGCTGCTCCTCGAGTCACGCCGATGGATTCCCCACGGCACATCGCGTCAACCTCGCTCTCCACACCGTAAAAAATGGAAGGCCGTCGCAAGGCGGATGGATCGTCGGAAGCTTGGACTGTAGGACGAACAGCGAAGGGAGGCAAGTCATTGAGAACCAGAAAGAGGAAGATAATTGATTCCCTCTTCGGTGACGACGACTGGCGAGTTTTTACGATGATGCTTTTCTTGGGTGGCCGCCGGCCACCGCTGCCACGCCCGACAGATCCGCCGGTTCCTGTTATTTTTTTCTATATCTGGAAACTGTTCTGCACTGTTGCACCGGCAGGAGTCCTACATGGCGGACCGAGAGTTTGCATGGGCGGGCAGAGGTGGAAGCATTCTCCGTGTGAGTACAGTATGGGTTCCTCCTGCCGCTGAGAGCTCTGCAGTGGCGCCTCTCAAAGCTTTCTTCCTCATTCATTCATGGCCAGTTCACTAATGACGTCATGAGAACTTGCCGCCTCCACCGTCACCGTCCTCCTAGCTCAAGCTCGAGAATTACTTGAAAATAGACACCTCCCTCCGCTCTCTCTCTCTCTCCTCTCGTTCTTGATGGGAGGGAGAACAGAAGCTCTCCGATTGGGCCTGCATGGCGATGACCAGTGAATAGCGACGTTACCGGCGGCTCCATCAACCTTTCCATGCAAGAACAAATGAACCACATACCTCCCCTTCTCTGGGCTATGGAGTGAAAATCTCGTCTCCGAGAGACAGACACAGGGAAGAGAGAGAGAGAGGATAACATGGTGAGATTGTACTGTTACGTTCATCAGCGAATTGACTACCACAGGGGCGTTCCCGAGGGTAGCTCTTCGTCAACCGACCTCCTTGTTGCAGGATTTGACGAGCCATCTACAGGAAACCCGAACGAATAATCCAAGCTCATTAACCTCCGACCCATTCCCGAAATGGCATCCTTTTGAACGAAGAAGTTCAAAGTTTGACTGGGAATAGATAGCTTAACCCAAGTTCTTTAAAGCACATGTACACATCGATTTTAGACAACAGAAGAAAAAAAAGGGCTCCTAATACGATGCAGACGCAGCTAAGTCCACGGGAGCCGGTCAGCCGAGTTGACGGTTTCCCGTTCCAAAAATCAACGAGTTGGCGAGCGACACTACCGCTTCCACCTCCTCACGGGATGCAGTTGAGACGGAGGCACCTCGCTAGGAACTCGCATGCAGTCGTTTTCTTCTGCCCAAGATGAAACCATAGGAACATGAAGAGAGAGAACAGATAGCGGGACGAGTCCTGAGGAGGAAGCTTACCCTAGTCTTTCGGTAGAGGAGCTCGGTGGGTATCTTGTAAAGGTCCTCGTCGACGGCCTTGGGTCCGCAGTGCTTCCTCGGAGGCTTCTTCTCTTCCGCCGCTCCGCCGCCGGACGTCTTCACCGGCGAGAAATGGTGGGAGGAGGAATACTCTTCCTCCGTCCGCTGCATCAGCTGCTTCAGCTTCCTCCCCTGGGTACTCCTCGCTCCCTGCGACTCAAGGGCGTAGAATTCATCCGCAAACCTCAACCACGAAACCGACAATCAAGTTTACCAGTAGAAAGATGAAACCATGGAGAAAGACCTTGCGTGCGAACGGAGCTTCCGCTGCGCCCAGAGGCTGCGGCGAGATGCGGTAGAGATCCGTTTCAGCGTCTTGGGAGAAGCAATGATGTGGGAGCACGGTAGGATAGAGGAAGCTTCTTTCGAAGAGTCCACTTCCATTGCCGCAAAGAGCCGCCTGATCAAAGTAATTGGCGATAGGGCAGCCGTCGTTGTAGTCCCAGTTGCCGTAGGAGGAGAGGTTCCGCCGCCAGCTAGCTTCCTACAGAAGCGCGAGGATGATGGTCATCAACTGCCCTAGATAAGCATAAGAAGGTGAAGATCGCCGCCAGGGAACGCCTGGACATCTTTCTTTCGATCGAGCTTACCTCCATTTTCATACAGTGGAACTGAAACCGAAGAGGAAGGAGAAGTGGGGGGAGGAACTGGTGCGGTGGGGGTATGGACGGCGATTTAAAGAGTGAGGAAGAGGGATGAGGGCGATGTTTTCTGGACTCTCGTGGACGAGAAGGAAGGTGGCGAGGTTCAGGATGATGGGCGGAGCTCAGTGCGACCAGCGACCTTTACGGGATACATCCTCGAGTCGATAAAAAGAGAGGAAACTCTGTCTGTCTCTCTCTCTCTCTCTCTCGGTGGGAGTGCAGAGGGATCAGTAGCGGCGGCAGCGCTGGTCTCCACGCTCTGGGGAGTTCACCGGAGGGCGCCGCATATTGCCGGAGTTTCTTGTAATGTAAGGAATGCCTTAATAAGCGAGATCTGATCTGCTCGCTATGGGTGAATATCTTTCAGCCCAAAAAGCCTCAACTTTTCGTAGACCGCCACCGTGCTTGCTACGCCGCCGCGACGGCCGGCGGAGACGGATTTCGTTTGCCCGCAGACATTCGGTGGACCTTCCAAATCCAGACCCTGGGTTTCCTCTCCTCCCATGGCCGACATCTCCGTCCAGGCGTATGCGGGCCACTGCTCTGTTATTTGAGCAGTAGGAACCTCGGGAGAATCGGCGCCACAGACCAGCTCTCTCTTCCTCTTCCTTCTAGGGATTCAGCCAGGTGGACGAGTACGTGGCGGCCGCTAAGAAGGCTGCTGAGAGCTCTGCAGTGGCGTGCCTGCCAAGCCTCCTCTCTCCTGCTCCTCCGCAGTGGCTATTAATGCCGTCGACAGCTTCCTGCCACCGCCGCAGCCGCTGGAGCGGTCCCTCCATCCGAACCGAGATTGGCCATCGGGGAAGCCACGCGGTTCTTCGATCGATGAGTTTGCTCCTCCGTCGGAGCTGCCACCACCCTCGAGAAGGAAAGAGAAGACGGGGTTTACGCACATTCCTACGGAGGTTCGTCGTGGTCATGTTTCAAGAGCCGTCTTTTTACGAAACCTTTTTGTTGCTTCACCCGTAGCTATCGACCTGGTCCCCCCCCCTCTCTCTCTCTCTCTCTATGTGCAGACCCCCAAGCTCTTTAGCTGGACTGTCTCTCTCTCTCTTCTCTCCCCCTTCATCTCTAATTACTGCTAATGCTTGGTAGGGAGCACCCACTGAAACTTTTCTTCTATCAGGCTCCATCGCTCATTACTGACGTTCTGAGTGCTTTGCTCTGTATCTCTCTCCTTCTGATTACTCCTCACGCTGGGTAGGAGTACCTATTGAAAATTCTTCGTCTTTCTATCCGCCTACTATTCATATTGGGTAGGAGACCCTACTAAAGGCCTTATTCTCTCTCTCCCGCTCTCTCTAACTACTGTTCATGTTGGGCAGGAGTACCTCCTGAATGAAAGCCATCCTCTCTCTCCTTTCTCTCTCCGTCTGTGTTTAGTGTGCATGTTGGATAACCCAGTGTTTACCTGGTGAAACCCTTCCTCCACAAGTACCTCTCTCTCTCTCTCTCTCGGTGATCACTGTTCCTTGGGGTATCTCCGCGACGACCGACGAACAGATCGGATCGACGGAGGGGAGGCCCTGCACCTGCTCATGTAATCGATCTCAGAAGAACGCTCATCCCCCCTCAAAGATCCTCATTTCAGACGGCACAGAAAGAGACAAAGAGAGAGAGAGAGAGAGAGAGAGAGAGGGAGAGGCCGATGGGGTGAACACTGAACAGAACAGTATCTGGAGGGAGTTCCCCTTCCCCGAGGAGGGAGAAGATTTACGGCCGGGGAAGAGGGCGGCGGAATGCCTCCTGGTCGGTCCTCTAATCGTCCCCCGCATTGAAGCTTCCCCTGGAGACAGTCCTCGCCGGAGCTACTCCCCTCTGACCGCCGAGTCCCATCGGAGGACCACGCCGTATCCTTTCCTCTGTCCTCTCCGATACGAAATATCTTCTCCGAGCCTCTCGCTCCGCCTCCCCACCCCACGCCCCTTCTGTACTTCATCCCCCTCATCAAATTTATTAGCCCCTCTCTGCTCCGTCGTACCCGCGGCGGAGACCTCCGCCACCACCGCCAGCCGCCGTCGTCTCCAGGCCGGAAGAATATAAGCTCCAAGTCACAGCAAAAAAGGGCCTTTCCCCAGTAGGCCGATCAGGCCCATCATATTAGGCCCATTAGCCATATGGACACGTCACGTCAAATATACCTTCTAGGATCCTTCACTTCGGAGAAGCTCATCCACTGGTCCTAGTCAACAATTCAACCTTGCTGACCATGGACTAATCCATTGACCGTCTAGAAAAATGGAAAAACGGGGGGCAAATACTCCGGCTATTAAATGCTGATTGCTGCCACGTGTTCACCTCCATCCCGCTCGCTAACGTGGGAGGGGACTCCGCCTGCCTGTGAAGACCAAGGCCGCAAGAAATAATGGTGAAGCCGCCGCCGCTGCCCCCCTTCGCCGCCGCCGTCCTCCTCCTGGTCTCCACCTTCCCTTCCTCAGTGCCCAGGGAAGAGAGCCAGATTCTTCTGCAGATCAAGAAGGAGTGGGCGAACCCGCCTTCTCTCAGCTCCTGGACAGATCCTTCTTCTTCTTCATCGTCTTCCACCTCCGCCCACTGCGGTTGGAATGGCGTCGAGTGCAACTCAAATGGCTCAGTCATCTCCCTCTCTCTCGTCGACCAGGGAATTCGTGGCAGCGTTCCCGCCGCCACCTGCGAGCTCAAGAACCTCTCCTCCCTCAACCTCTACAACAACTCCATCGGAGGCGGCTTCCCTACATCGCTCTACGACTGCAAGAACCTCCGAGAGCTCAACCTGTCACAGAACCTGCTCGTCGGCGGGATCCCCGGAGACGTGAGCAGGCTATCCTCGCTGCAATTACTCGACCTCTCGTACAACAACCTCTCTGGCGACATACCCGCCGCCATCGCCCTCATCCCGGGGCTTCGCCATCTCAGCCTCCAGAGAAACCTCTTCAACGGGAGCTTCCCCAAGGAGCTCGGGGAGATGGCGGCGCTCGAGTATCTCTCTCTGGCGATTAATCCTTTCCGGTCGACGATGATCCCCCCGGAGCTGGGGAGGATGAAGAAGCTCAAATTCCTCTGGATTTCTCAGGCTTCACTTGTAGGACCCATCCCGGAGACGATCGGCGATCTGACGGAGCTCGAGCACCTGAACTTGGCGATGAACAATCTCAGCGGGACGGTCCCCGCCAAGATCTGGCAGCTGGGGAAGCTTCAGAAATTGTTTCTCTACGAGAACAAGCTGTCGGGAGAGATTCATGAAGTCAACGCTTTAAACCTGACGAAGATTGACCTCTGCATGAACAATCTCAGCGGCCCCATGCCGGAGGGCTTCGGTAAACTGCTCAATCTGAATTCTCTGGTACTCTACAACAACAAATTCACCGGCCAGATTCCCCAGGGTATCAGCAAGATACCCAACTTGGAAGATATTCGCCTGTTCAACAACCTCTTCACCGGCGTCGTTCCTCCAGAATTAGGACAACACTCCAAGCTGATCTACCTCGAGGTCGACGGAAACAGACTCCAAGGCGGACTGCCGGAAAACCTGTGCGCAAATGGGGCGCTGAATTCTGTGGCGGCGTTCGACAACCAGCTTACAGGGAGCTTGCCGGAATCCCTTGGCCATTGCCAGACTCTGCGGTACATTCAGCTACAGGGCAACCGGCTCTCCGGCGAAATTCCCGCCGGAATCTGGTCCTTGCCGAGCTTGGATTTCTTACGGATGGGTGGTAATGAGTTCGCCGGAGAGTTGCCGGAGACCTTGCCGCCGTCCCTCTCTCGGCTGGAGATTGAAAACAACATGTTCTCCGGCAGGTTGCCGTTGTCCTCCCAGAGCCTGAAGATCTTTTGGGCAAGCAACAACTCGTTCTCCGGCGAGCTCCCGTCCAACCTGACGGTCATGGCCCAGATCGACCAGCTCCTCCTGGACGGGAACCGGATCTCCGGTGAGATCCCGCCGGCGATCCAGGAGTTGACTGCTGTCACCGTAATCGACCTCAGTAGGAACCGGCTCAGCGGGAGAATCCCCGGCGAGCTGGGCTCCCTTTCTCAGCTGACTTCCCTGGACCTGTCGGAGAACCAGCTCTCTGAGGGGATTCCGCCGGAGATCGGAAGCCTGAAGCTAAGCTTTCTAGACCTCTCCTCCAACTCCCTCTCCGGCGAGGTTCCGACGGCGCTACAGATCGCAGCGTACGACGGCAGCTTCCGTTCAAATCCCAGGCTCTGCACCTTCTCCACCTCGCCGTTGAATCTGCCCCCCTGCGCCGGCGCCGGCGCCGGCTCCGGCGGGATACCCAGATGGCTGCTCACCTTGGTCCTTGTGCTTGCCGCCGTCGTCATCTTCTGCTCGTCACTCTCCATCTTCCTCATCAGGGGGCACCGGAGGGGGAGGAAACCCACCGCCGCTGATCTTCTTGCCTCGTGGAAGTTCACCTCCTTCCAGTTGGTGGACTTCCGAGAATCCGCCATCATCCGCGGCCTGCATTCCGGCAATCTCATCGGCAGCGGCGGCTCCGGGCAGGTCTACCGGATCCCCACCGGTGGCAGAGCCACCGCCGTGGTGGCGGTGAAGAAGATCTGGAGCGCCCAGAAGATGATGAACCCGAAACTCTCGCAGGAGTTCCTCTCGGAGGTCAACATTCTCGGTTCCATTCGCCACACCAACATCGTCAAGCTACTCGCCTTCGTCTCCGGCGCCGACTCGATGCTCCTGGTCTACGAGTTCATGGCGAACGGGAGCCTCGAGGGCTGGCTCCACAGCGCTTCTCCAGAGAAACGGGAAGCTCTGGACTGGCCCAGGAGGCTGAGCATCGCCATTGGCGTCGCTCAGGGCCTCTGTTACATGCACCATGACTGCAACCCCCCGATCATCCACCGAGACGTGAAGTCCAGCAACATCCTTCTGGACTCCGAGTTCTGCCCCAAGGTCGCCGACTTTGGCCTCGCCAGGTTCATGGACGGCGCCGGCGAGCCCGAACTGGCCTCCTCCGTCGCCGGCTCAGTGGGCTACATGGCACCGGAGTGCGCCTACTCGAGGCGGGTCAACGAGAAAGCCGACGTATACAGCTTCGGTGTAGTTCTGCTGGAGCTGATCACCAAAAAGCCCGCCAGCGAGGGGCAGAGCTCCCTCGTGGAGTGGGCCTGGCGGCGCTTCCAGGAGAGTGCCACCCTGCCGCTCGAGGAGACGGCGGCGGCGGCGACTGCCCAGCACTTGGAGCAGATGACGGCGGTTCTGCGGCTGGCCCTCTTCTGCACGGGCACCCTGCCGTCGGCGCGGCCGTCGATGAAGGAGGTCTTGCAGGTGCTGCTCCGGCTGGCGGAGAAGGAGGAATCCCAGAATCAGACGGCCATCGCCGTCGAGCACGACGTCGCTCCGCTTCTGCGATACGCGAGCAAGAATCGCTCCAGAAGGAAGAGCCCCTCTGGTGGGCCCGACGGAGGCGAAGGGGACGATGATCTCAGTAATATCCTCAGCTGTAATAATGTTTAGTAGAGGCCTTGATCAAGCAAGAATCAATCACGGCCGTCAGAAATGCTTCAATTGGACTGAGTATATCATATTATTTTCAGATAATAATACCAATTTTGTCCCATATTATTCTCGAAATAATGTATACTTAACTAATTTTGTAATATGGAACAAAAATGGCAGTACTGTTAATAGGCTGATTGGTTGATTAAGCCCAGTGCCGGACCACTTAAAACACCCCTTAATGGACCCCGAGATCACGGTTTTCGATTACAGCTGTCCGCTCCAAAGTGGGAAAGGGGCATGATGTGGTGGGCCCCTGTTGTGTTGTCTCCAGAGCGCAAGAAAAGATAAGGGGGCCAACCCGTCTCCACGCCACGACCGTCGATTTCGCCCTTCCCATCAGCCCCGGGCGACAGAGAAGGCGCTCCAGCTGCCCCCATCCCGCCCAAGGCTGGACCTGGTCTGAGATTCAGCCAATGAGAAATATCCACGTGGAATTATCTCTTCTTCTCTTCTTCTGCCGACATTGCTGTTGACCCTCGACTATAAAGCACCTCTCGGAAACAACCCAGACCAGTCATCGTCTTCCGGGCGTAGTCGGGCTCTCTTTCTCCTCGCTCTTCTTCCACCTCCCCATGGCTATCGTTGAAGTAACTTTGGTCAAAGGGACTCCCTACCAGAGAAACGTGAGAATGAGTGAGAGAGAGAGAGGAAGAGAGAGGGAGAGAGAGAACCGTCTGCATAAACACAGTTTCCTCCTTTCTTCTCTAGTCTCATGATAGAGGTGGTCGTTGCTTGTCGCGGCAGGTGGAGACCCCCGTCGCCTCCGTAGAAGCGGCGGCCGCTGAGGCTTCGGCATCACCGGAACCCGAGCCTAACTTAGTAGAAGCGGAAGCGGCGCTGGCGGCGGAGGAAACACAAGAGTCGAAGACCGAGTCGCCGGCGGACGTCGCAGTAGAAGAGACGTGGGAGTAGAACCTTCGCCGATGGCGGAAGCCTCAGAAGAGCCGCCGGCGAAAGAGGCTGCTCCGGCAGCAGAGGGACGGGTAGAAGAGACAGCTGCTACGACACCAGACAAGGAAGCCGCGGCTAAGCGGAAGGAGAGGAAGTGACTGGAGCACAGGAAACCGAGGCACAAGACGAGAACCGGGTGAAGAAAAACCTGCTCCGGCGGCGGAATAAGACGTCGGAGACGACGTGCATATTCGCTCAGTGGGGTTTTCTTCTTCAATAAGTCATCTTTTGCAGGACCAAGTGGGTCTTCTATCCGTCATTATCTCTCGTCCGCGTGCGTCAGATCTCAGTTATCGATACTTCATCGCGTCAGCTTACCACAAGCGTCAGAATCTACCGAAAGACGGGCAAATATAATAAATATAAACCGAAACAAAAGTCTATCATCGGCGCGACTTTGGCGTATGGCTATCTTACGAATTCGCGTTACGTTAAATTTTCCCTTGTAGCATCTCAGACTCTCCTCTCTCTCTCTCTCTCTCTCTCGTGCAAGATACATGCGTAGTGAGAAGTAGGGAACGAGGTGAGAGATCGAGGTTGTCTGAAGAAGAGAGTATTATGAAAGATCCAGTCTTATTCGGGTGAGACAATCATATTAGTACACGCGTCGGGGGACTTATTATTTGCGGCAACACCAGATCAGCAATTGACTTCGCCGAGGCCGCACTTTTTCGGCAGCTTCATGGCGAGTTCAGGGTCAACGCCGAAGTCGGGCAGCAGCTTCGAGTAGGAACAGAGGCATTTCAGGTCCGCCTTCTCCACCGCCGCGCAGCACGCCCTCGTCGGCGGCGGCGGCGGTTTCGGCGGCATCGCCGCCGGCTGGCACTCCTGGAGTTCGTCCCACGTCACATTGCAAATGTCGGCGCCGCCGGCAACGCTGAGGGCCAGCCAAGCCGCTAGCGCCGCCACCACCAGCTTCGCCGTGAAGCCCATCTTCGCCCGCCGGGTAGGAGAAGCGTCGTCGGCAGTGCTTCTCCCGCACCGGCGGAGGGCCCTTTAAATAGAAAGATGGCCATAGCGACAGGCAACGCTCGGCGGTTAACGAGAGGATGCAGCCGAGAGCCCGTGAGGCGGCGCCGCCGTGGGGATGCATGGACGGCTGAAGGAGGGTCCCCGGCCGTCCTTCTGCCTCGTCCTACGGCAGATTAGGGGGCGGGGGGCTTTGCCGTTATCTTCGACGGGGGGGATGTGGGGGGTTGGCGGTTGTCCGCTGACCGAAGTGTGAGAGCTTTTTTTAAATGAGACCCCTCTCTTTACTTTTTTCTCCTCGAAAAATCCACCCTATTTAATTTCCCGAATACTCTCTCTTTAATTTTTTTATTCTAAAAATAATATATTGAACGTATATTCTTGTGTGGCCACGTTAAAAGAAAAACCACGACATTACACACTGACATTGAAATCCACATAATTCTACAAAAGTCCAAAGTAAGCTCCCTTTGGATTTTATACTATTTTAAGAATTATCGTCCTCCGTTAATTCTATCACGTTATCGCGGGTTTCGTGGCTTGAAGCTGCGCTGTAAACTTTCCCTATTTATTCACCTTTATATAATTTTTTGTATATTAAAAATTCTCACAATATTATTTAAAAAATAATGGTATGATGCTTTAGGGAGCCCGTACGAATCAACCCGTAGAATATTTCCACCTCATACGGGGTATCCGATTCCGTTTGATGCATTTCATATCAGCCGTTATATATTTTCCTTAATTATAAATGATTTATTCTACGTTGATAAAAAAATCACCCCGAAGATGTTGGTCCGTATATTAATCTCATTTAAAGGAAAAATTCCGAGGTACGTGGACAAGATGTCGTGAAAATACGCTGCCAAACGTGTTCACGATTTTGTCTAAGAAAGCACGTCCAAGTCGAGGTCATTAACTGGCATTTTCTTGGTCCTCGCCCGTCAAAGTCGTCGCATTCATAAGATAATTAGTAAATAGGGCGGTTTTTTATTTAATGGATGACAAAATGCGTCCATAGATGCGTAGATTCACAAAAAATTAAAGGGAAGGGAGAATGATTCAACCCCACGCTCGCCGTCTGTGAACCCTTATGCCGACTGGTCGGGGAATGTTGACTCCATTGACCATTGGTCAACATGGTCAACAATCCACGCTGGCTCGAACCATCGGATCACGAAGGTTGTCGTGGCGGCAACGATAGCGGGGCTCCTAACTCGGTAAGGAGTTAATTAGAGGCGGTACGAGTACCGACTGCAGCAGGTGCAGCTGACCGGTGATAGCCGGTGGGCCCCGGGGGCGGGGGGGAGGCTTTACTGTCGTGGGGCCTGAACTAAAATGGATAAGGACCGTTGTGTCCCTACGACGCCCGCTAGGGCTGGGCCCACGATCAAACCTGTCTGCGTCAAGAGGGCGACGGGGAGTGATCGCCCCTCCCAACCAGATAAACGTGACCGTCAGAGAAAAGAGGGGACGACGGAAATAATTAAAAATGCCACCAATCCGTTCAAATATTTACAAATGAGCCACCATTGGACCTCGAATGCTACGTCTGTATTCGGGGGACGTGGGTTTGTTCTTTCATTTACGAAATAGAATAGGATGTGCCCGTATTTTAGGTATTTGAGGTCGAAGGCGTTCTATCTCTTTTTGACCGTTCGATGGAAGTGGGGCTGACGAGGAGCTTCGCACACCATTCGATTAAGGCAGGGCTAGCAGCGAGGATACCGAGGATGGTGGTATTTTTGTAGTTTCCTTAAAAATCCCGGACATCAAATAACCAACCCATCGCCCATCACCGGGCCTATAAATAACACTCTATCCGACAAAGAATGCCTTCTTCCTTTCATCCTCGGCCAGTTTTCCCTTCGCAACCTCGTCTCGTCTTTTCCGTCTCTCCCCCTTCCCTCTTCCTCTCTCTCTCTCTCTCTCTCTCTCGCTAGTTCAGTTTCGTTCTTTGCTTGGTGATGGCTGAGGAGGGGCATGTTGAGGCTGTGCCGATCGCAGCGGAGCAGAACGGATGCACAAAGGCAGCAGTGCAGGGGTTCGTGTCCTTCAAGCCACAGTTAGCAGTACCGGCGCAGAAGGCAGAAGAGGCGGTGCTGTTCTACAAAGAGGCTTTTGGAGCCGAGGAGGTGAATAAGGTGTGCTGCCCTAAGCGGAAGGCAGATCAGGAGCTCCCCTCGCTCATCTGTGCCGAGATCAAGATCGGTTCTGCGTCAGTGCTTGTGTGCGACCGGAACGACGACACCGACGGGTGAGTCGTCGGAGTGCTCTTACCTTCCGACCTTCACCGCGTATTTTTGTATGTTCCTGACGGATCTACTATTTTTCTGTTTCAAAATGACGGAAGTCGTCTTCCGTAGACTTCTTCATCCACTTAAATATTGTCAGGCGCCATATCTCCGCAACAGCTGACATACGTTGCATAATGCATTCTATATGTATTTTCCATCACGTACGGAGAGTCTGCGTCGCTTCCGACAGATTTCAACACATCTTACTTCCGACAATGATTTTTTATTTCAGTGACTTAGTTAGAGATCAAACTCGTGGAAACATTTTTAATGATATTGCCTTATTTGCCCTCATCATTCGGCTCAGCAAATTGGTTATTCAGGTTATGTTCAGGTTGTTATTTATCTTGAAAACTGGTTATTCAGCTGATCTACGCAGGCTTCTTTCTTGGAGCTTTTTCTGATAAATAAATGTTTATATGTTTAGTTTTATTTAATTTTTTTATTTTGCTCTTTTGAAAGAATCTTCTCTTTGACTGCCTTGTCCTTTGGTTTTTCAACCAATCACTTTATGCTCCTTCCCCTGTAATATTGGTCGCTATTATCCTTGAGATGTTTTGACACGTTTGATGTGGCCTATTATCCTACCTGCTCTCTCTCTCTCTCTCTCGCTCTCCTTCTGTCTCTATCTCATCGAATCGTATTCTTGATGTCTAACATTTACAGTCAGATGGTGTAAGGTTATTTTATGATTTGATCTGAAACTTATCCTCTGATACTTACCCCCTATCTCGCTCTCTCTCTCTCACGTATTATGTTATCGACATCATTCATCTACAGTCAGATTGCGTATGATTATTTTGTGATAGATGGGAAACTAATCCTCCAATACTTTTCTTTCCATAGCTTGAAGACGGCCGGTGGGGGAGCAGTCTTTCGACTGGAGACACAGGACGTTAAGGCGGCCGTGTCTAAGGCCGTGAAGGCTGGTGCTGTCCTGGAAGGAGAACTGACTGAGATCGATGGTCCCAATGGCGGGATCAGCGGAAAGGTCACTGATCCATACGGATACGTCTGGATAGTCGCTTCCGTGGGGAATGCCTGTGTCACTGACGCTTAAACTTCCATGCGTGTTTTTTCTGACTGCCAGCAGTGGCTGGCTTTCGGTACTGGGTACCGGACGGGACAACCTTTTACTTGACGGTTTATTCTCTGATTTCTCGTTGCATCGAGACAGAAATGTGTGGAAACTTGATGTCGGTTAAATCTTTGGTACTTTTTTTTTTTTGAAAGTTTTCTATTCTTCTAGGTAAAAATACCGGCGCTCAGTTCATATCTTCCGTTTTGATCCTTGATCATCAAGGAAATCATTTACAACTTGGTTATTTCTTGAATCTGGCTGTCACGGTGTTCAAGAGTGTTTCGGATTTCCTTCAAGGCCGTTGTGCCCGCAGACCGGCTTATGTAGTTGTATGCCCACTTTTTGTTTCTCCCATCGAGAAACCGGCATTGTCACCGGGAAGCATTAGGCTTTGTCGCACTCTGCAGTGCGGACTCCGGTGTGGAAGCAATTCGGCCTGGTATACGCTCCTTATGTACAGCACCTTGTTTCTGTAGCCGGTGGTTTTACCGCGAAATTCGAGCTCCGATAATGATTCCGAGGCGACGGCCGGCATCTTCCGCATTAAATTGCGATTTTATTGAATGTCCGATTGACGCATTAATATCCCCTTGGTCGGCGGTCATCGATTGCTCCCTCCGCGCGAAATGGTCCCCCTCCCCCACCCACCTTTCGTGGTGCTTAACACTCCCTTCCCCTCCAACTTAGCCTTCACTAACTGCTCCAGCATGCGGCGCGCGTGCAACTCTCTCATGTACCTGGTGCCAGCTTTCATGCGGCGCTCGCGGGGGCAGTACGAGGGTCGGGAGATCTGGCCCACGGTGGCGGCGATAAGAACCTTGAGGGTTTTTATTGATGGATATTTTCTTTCTTGTCCGATTGCATCGTTGTAGTTTCGTCATTGAGTGACAATGACGCAGGACATCCCAAGACACGCCATTTCCTCTCGTCTCCAACTGGTGGAGGAAGCGGCGATCCGACGGTCTGCAGGGGCCTGTCCGGCCACAAGTCTACGATGGGTGGGAACCCCCTGCTGTGGAATGGAGGACCATCTTCCCGTGACCGGTGGGGTGTAAGGAAGAGGGCGATGGCTACATTCCCCTGGAGAACAAACGGCGCCCAGCCAAACGGTCCATCTCTCTATCTAATCCAGAGCAGACTAGGGATGCCGAAGCTGCGGCCATCGGAGGATTCTAGGCACAGTTTGGAAGGCAATCGAGGTAGCAGAAAGAAGAACATTCTATAGCGCCTTAAAACGACGTTCTTGAAGGAGAACGCTTTGGTTTCGATCTCCACCTACCAGCGGCCTGAGATCCCATCGGAGTCAGTCCACGGATTCTTTGGATGAGCGGATCTCGCTCCTGAGATCGCGAAACCTCTTAAGGAGGTTGGACTTGTGGCCCTCCACCTCGGAGAGTTCGGGCGAGCTCGGGGTCGAGGCGATGACCGGACCGGCGCCTGCCTCGTGCAGAGCCGCCGCCGCTACTTCTGAGATTTCCAGAAAATATATATAAATATATATCCAAGTTCGGTTGAAGACGAGAAAAACTAACCGAAGGAAATAAGATCTTTGACGAGAAGATTTAATCTTATGATGTGATCTCAATCTGCTCCCAAGAAATGCATAAACACTGAGGGTTCTTGCATTACAAATAGCCCCATATCCACATAAGTTATAGACCAAGAGTAATTTAGTCCCTTCCCTCCATCAGGTTTACGCTCACTGTGGAAAATGCTAGAGAAACACCCTACTACGATTTGAACGGTTCAGTTTACTTGTCTTCAAAGGCAACCATACCTCGTTTTTTCTCAAAGGAGACGGTGCACAGAGAGAGAGAGAGAGAGAGAGAGAGAGAGAGAGAGAGAGAAGCTAATCTATGACAACTGAGTAAGCTGGTCATTTCCAAATAGGGTAACCCTGGTTGAGTATGTAATCTTCAGTAGGAAGGAAGCGCTAATGGAGGGGTGGGCCGAATGGTAAGAGGTGTATGATTTTTGCGAGGACCCAGCAGGCCAATTGAAAAAGACAGATTCATCCGTAATTCGACTGGTCTATGGGGAGGGAAAGACAAATAACGCAAGCCATTAGTTTATTAATGCTCGGGAGACAACATCTCACCTGACCGAGAGAGAGCGACGAGGGCTCTCAGGGCTTCTCGACGGGTGCGGTCATCCTTGGCGCCCTCCAGCATGCTCAGAAGCGGCCGGGCGCCGCCCATTTCTATGATCTTCATCCTCCTTTCATCTGTCCGAGAAAGGAAAAGAAAAGGAAAGCATGAGAATGACTGTAAGAAGTCGAGGAGATCTTGGCTTGCTGGGGGGAAATTCTGGACCGACAACCTGGTGATAATAAACAGAGGGCAGTCAAATTTGTATACACAATCGCCTGATTAGGTAGGATAAAGATTGACAGTAGTTGACTTCTTGCTTTCTCCATATTTCCTGAGTTGGGTTTGGGGGCGGGGGAGCTGATTGTTGCCCAAAATGGGTGGCCATTCTGAACTGGGGAATCTATCTACCTCATCTCTAAGAACTCCCTTGTTACCACCATCCATTCTCCTTTCATAATTTCTCAGCTCATAATTTCCCCACCCAATAATTTATTTATTTATTATTTTTAAAGTAAAAAACTTCCATCAGACTTCCCATCTTCTGTCAAACTTTCTCACCAATTTTTCGAGACTCTCATGGCAATGGTAGAGTCAATGAGAAATCAAGTGCTGAAATAAGTTCAGATAATGTTTTCTATTGGCGATAAAGCCACCGACATATATTTAAGGAAATGGAATGCTTCTTATTCATCATCAATGTTGAATGTAAGAACACCACATATACGATCAAAATGCTGACATCATCTACTGGGAAAGCAATCACCATACAACTATTCCAAGGAGAAGAAAGTAAGACACCATGGAACTATGTCTGGATCTTAAAAAATGCAGAGTAAATACCGTCGATTGCAAAACGTGCCAATCTGGATGCTCCCATTCTCTTAAACAAGGGATCTTTGACTTGCAAGAGTGAGATAGATTGCTGCAGCAAATTGTCCCCTGATGTACATTTTGTAAAGATGATAAGAACTACAAAGAGACGATGATGATATCACATCTCAACAAAAGCTTCAAGAAAAAAAAAAAAAAGGAAGAAAATGGTCATACGGTGATTTTGAAGGATCCATACCCATGTATGGGAAGAACTGGAACGCAACGTAGGATGCAGTTCCCGCGAAGATGATCTTCAGCAGCCACCCGACTTTCCTTTCGGCATCCTCCTCTATAGAAATCTCATCTGAAGCATGAAGTGAAGATCATTATTCATGTTGTTTACGTCTGTCTCAGACCTTTCATCTATAAAGATAGTTTACCTCTTCCATGTGCGGAGAAGAACCGCCTCATTTGAGCATGGCGAGTATTCCCTCCACGCAGACGCTGTAAATAACAATAGTGTTTAAATCCACCTATCACTGAAACCAGAGATCTAGAAAATAAGAAGGAAATGGGCTGTGCCAAGATCCGTACATCTCCCAATCCTGTGAGGGGATAATAAAATTCACACATACTTTTGACTCTAATGAGTTAAAAAGCCGGGTGGTCATCGCAAAGAATAAAGAGAGCAAGCTTGATCGGGTAAGACGTGAAAGAGAGGGAATGCGCAGCTCACCGTCCTGAGCTGTGACATCAATCTTTCCATTAGATCTGATGCTTTTTCGAAGCGAAGAGGCGCTTCCTTACCAGCAGGATGACATCTACACTTGAACACACAAGAACAACAGTCGTGATATCAAGCGACAGAAATTAACAGCAACATAGTCAATCTCAGCAAGGCCTCTATCGGCTGGAATATGCCTCAATAACATTGTCGGTTTCATATGATCGATCTTCATTTTTTCGCTACTAATGGATTGATCGCAGGTTTCACCGAACAACACAGAACTAAGGAACCAGGAAACAGGAATAGGACTCACACCTCTTGGAGGCTACTCCATCGTCAAGCCGGAGACGTATCCAGAACCGTGCCCCAGCGAGGTGTCTCCCTGAGATCGGCCGGCCTGATTCCACAGAACAACTAAAGGTCCACTATGAAGCCCCGAATGATGGACACAGATGCGGACGGAATCGGCGGCCACGATAGGTGCTCCCGAAGTTCGCCGCCCGAAGTCACCACCCGACCGGTGGAGATCTCGAACTCGCCGGCGGCGGAGGGAGGAGGCGGCTTGCCGGATCGACGCCGCTGGGGAGGGAGACGGCCCCGACAAACTAGCGATGACGGAGAACCGAAAACGATAATGGGCCTCTAAATAAAACCCAGATTGGGTTTAAAATATTCAGGCCCAAAAAGGCCCGAAAACCAGCCGCCCCCCAATCTCTGTCACTCCCGCTCTCTCTGCGCGCTAGTTAGTACAGAGCAGGATTGATACAATCTAATGGGCCGAGAGGTAAGAAAGCCCAGCCCATATTTTTTTTGGGTTTTTTTGTCTGGGTTGGGCAAAATTCAGGCCCATTTTACACGTGTCTTCTAAATGGTGGATATTTAATATATAATATTTGTATATTGATTAATTTTAATTTATTTGTATCGTAATATTACGGACATCGAAATTACTTAATACAGCTGAGAGGTGTAGGAAAACCGGGCCGGGCCTGAAGCGGGTGAATTCTAGCCCGGCCCGTCGGAATGGCATCTTCCCCCTCCCCCGCGGGAGTAGATCTGCTGGGGTTTTGGAGAATTGGGAGGTACAAGGAAGCTATGGAGGCGTCGTCTCTTCTCCTCTCGCACCAGTCGTTTCTCCCTCTCCAACCTTTGTTGTCGTCCTCTACAAGCCGGTCGGCCTTGACCTTGTTTTCACGCTCTTCGCGTGGGAAACTCTGCACCAGTGCCAGCCTCCTCCCCTCCAGCTCTTCCTCTTCCTCTCACTATTGCTGCTGCACGTTCCCTTCCCCGCCTTGGTCGAGCTTTTGGGTGAAGAATAAGCAGAGACTGCAGGACAACGTTCCCACTTCCGTTGCCTCATTGTCTTCCTCCTTCTCTTGCCGCGTGGGTGAGATGGGGAGCGTGTTCCCTGTGGACAGCGGCTTTGGTTTTCCCGAGGAGGAGCTCGAGAAGTGGGACTCCGCGAAATATGAGGCGATCCTCAAGGGTGGGGAGCAGGTCACTTCCGTCCTCAAGGAGATGGTGAAGCTGGTACTCGACTGGTCTGGAGCTTTGGTTATCCGAATTATTTAATCCTATGATAAATTTTATCTTGATATTTATGTTTTCCCCTTCCTTCCTTTTGGCGTCGCAGTTGGAGGACATGGAAATGGACGAGGCCTCGGAGGCCGCCGCCGTGGAGCTTGCGGCGCAGGGGGTGATCGGGAAGCGGGTCGACGAGATGGAGGCTGGATTCATGATGGCCCTTGACTACATGATTCAACTGGCTGAGAAGGACCAGGATGACCAGGTCTGGCATACTCCATTTTTTCTCCTCCTCTTCGGTAATTTTTCATTAATTTGCTTCCCATCGCTTAATCAGCCCGCTCTTTGTTTTGCTACAAGAGAAGGATTGTTCTTCGTCTCGGTCTAAATTCTGCACTTAAATCACCCATCTAGGTGGATTGTTAAGCACGGGGTTCTTTTTTATTATAGCCGGATTGTTAACTCGATGGATCGTAAGGTGAAAGAGTTTCCCTGGTCTCATCAGCCAGTTTGGTTCATTGCTCTCTGTCAGCTTGAGTATGATTGAAATTCTGAATCCTAAGTATGCACTGGGGTGCATATCCTTTGTTTTTACGTTATCTGTACGGAAAATGAAGGCAAGAAAAGAACTTTTTGGCTTTATCTGAAGTGGCTTTGTTTATATGTGAGTAGTCAAACTAATTGAATGGTAATATGTCGTGCTGGTATGGTGCATGTAAAGCATTATACATGCGTGATCTATTGAAAATCTGTTCCTCAATCACGGTGTCTATAAATCCTTCTTGAAACAGCCCCCCTTTTCCTTCCTGAACTCTATCTATTCTTCCCATCAGATCCCCTAAAAATCTGTTGTAGTGTCGCCTCTGCCGGCCCTGATCCCTGCAGCCGAACTCTTCTCCTCGAAAGTAATCTTAGGCTGGCTACATTCTGAAGTACCTCGCTCTCATGGTAAAGTAATCTTCGGCAAATGGATAACTTTCACAAGAGGATTTCATGGGCCAGTTCTGGTCGTTAGGGACACAAATTAGACATTGATTTAAGAGCATGCAGCAAATTGAAGAGGAATTTCTCACATCCATCAGTTGAGTTAACGAAGAAAAATAAATGCTAAAGAACTCCAGCTTTATTCTTGTCGGTTGTCCTAGCTATAGCTACCTTTCACCGAGCTGTTACCAACTGGGCTTCTTTCTGACAATCTTCATGTGGGACTATAACGAGATGTTATCTCCACGTCCTGACGGTTGACAACAATTTGATTAAAAGTGGGAAAAATGGGTAGGATTGTGCAGGCTCACTTGCAACTCGGGGGGCGTCTTCTCTCTGATGTGCTATTTTCTGTACGTAAACTCTTCTAAGGATAATAGGTTGCTTTTTAAAGCCTTTGACTCTGAATCTTTGCCGATTCCACCCATGCGCGAATAGGAAAATTGAGCCATATCACATGGCCTGATCTGAGCTAGACCGATCTTCAAAACGTGGCTTGTAGTCGTAATTTTTTTGGCGATCTCTGCTTAAAGGTTTGAAAACACCTGTTTAGAATTCTTGAGAAGAGAATGGTCACGGTGTAACTTTTTATTTTCTTTAGTAAATCTTATCTCTTGGCGTTCAAATATTATGATCCGTGGGTGGGTGTGTATCCATGATGTTTGAAGATAGAATCATGTATGGCTGAATAACTTGTTTAGTTCAGGCATTCGTGCCGTTCATTCAATTCCGTTGCTGCACTTTTCCAGAGAAAGTCGCTTCTGGAGGTGATTAAGCAGACAGTGCTCGACCATTTGACAAAGAAATGTCCCACACATGTGAGGCTTTCTTCCCCAGATCGTTTCATGTAAAAGATCTTCTTTCATCATAACCTACATACCCCGTATGAAACACTAATACTGTAAGGCCACTACCGTTTTGTCATAGGTTCAAGTGATTGGCCTGCTTTGCAGAACTCCAGGGAAAGAAAGTAGGCATGAGTTGTTACGCCGAGTAGCTGCTGGTGGTGGCGTATTTAAAAATGAGAAAGGTACTAAGGTTCATCTTCCAGGGGCAAATTTAAATGATATTGCAAACCAGGCTGATGATTTATTGGAGGTAAAAATCCATTTACCAAGGTCTCTCTTCATCTTCATCTCCTCTTCTTAGGATGCTGTTTCGTCACTGTTATTGTTATTGGTTCCCTTGTGATAAATTAGTAAAACCTTATATGGATGAAACTTTAATGGTGAATCTTGTCAGCATTTGACTTTACCCTTACACATTTACTTGCCATTTCTTGCATCCAATGCGATCAATTTGAACCTGTATTCTACTCAACATTGAAGGGAGATCTAGTTACTTAGCACAGACGTCTGCTGTTATGCAGTTTAGTGTGCGTTCAGTAATTTGATATAAAAAATGCTTTGCGCTTCTTTTGGGAGATTAATTTTTGATGGGATAGTGAACCCCTGCTTCAACGCGAGTGTTTGTGTTCATTGAATTCTCTTTTCCGTACTCAATGTAACTGGAAGTTTCAATTTTCGTTATTTTATATTGGACTGATTTTGGTAAAACATCGATCATAGTTCGTCCAATCGACGTTAATCATCTGAAAATTTCTGGCAAGTCTTTATTTTGACCCAGGAAATAGAAAGGATTATCTTCTATTTCTTGTATAGAACATCTGCACCATTCTGGGATATCTTGCTGTGTCTAGATTATCTTCTATGCTCGGAAAATCTCTTCTGCAATACCTTACTACCCAGGATCGATCCTAATTATCTGTTTACAGTCGGTATTCTCCCCTAAAATAGGGTAAATACTTTGAAGTGGGTTGACCCAAAATGCGTCCAAACAACTCTTCCTAATCAAAATGGAGTTTCCTTCTGGAACGTGGCCAGCTCTCACTGTTCATCTTCCCGACGATCCATCTTCCCTCGTTCCACCTGATCTTGGTGAAATAGCCTAGGAAGCGAACAAAAAGGACGGGCAACCCTTGTTCAGCTGCTGTTGACGCGCGCTTTTGCAGACAATGGAGTCCAGAACCAGCATTCCCGATAGAAAACTGCTCGCGAGGCTCGTCTTGATAAGAGAGGAAGCTAGGGGCATGATGGGCGGTGGAATACTGGACGAGCGGAACGATCGTGGCCTGAAGACTCTGCCCGAAGCAGAGGTCCGTGGCTTCTGATTTTTGTACTGAATTTTTTTTCTTCTTAATCTTATGCTCTTTCTGGTTCGATTTCACCCACAGAGAATCTCATTTTATCTTCTTGGTGCCAAGCAATGAACCATGGTGTAAAATAATTTCGCTTTTTTTTTATACACATTAATGTTGGTCATTAGATGGAGTAGTGGGTCTGTCTGTCTCCTTCCATATTTTAATTAATTGCGCATCATCATGTTCTTTTGGAAAGTTAGATCTCATAGTTCGTTGATTGAGTGGCCTAAGTTCAGGTGAATTTCTTGGCCAAGCTGATCGCGTTGAAACCCGGGGAAGCCGTCCTGGAGATGATAAAGAACGTCATGCTTGGAAGGGACGAAGGTGCTGAAGACCCCGGCAGCAATGACGAACACTCCAAGAACAGACGAACCACCTCTGGTGGCATCGCAGGGAGGGTGAGTTGACTTCTCGTCCCCGTCCTCCCGCCCCCTCCTCCATCGCTATGTGCTCCAGCGGCGGTAACTCTATCTTCCCCTGCTTCGCCCAGGGAAGCGTCACTGGCCGTAAACCGCGCCCTGTTCGTCCTGGGATGTTCTTGGAGACAGTTTCAAAGGTACCCAGTGATAAGCTCCCTCTCTCTCTCTCTCTCTCTCTCTCTCTGGTTGCAGTGTCGGCGAATTTATCTGCGTTTTGATTGATCATCAGGTGCTAGGCGGGGTCTACTCTGGGAATGTATCAGGAATGACCGCCCAACATCTGGAGTGGGTGGGTGATCCCGTTCGTGCGGTTGACTACCACATTTTCAGATCTTTGTTGATGATAAAAAAGTGGTTGACCTCCCTTCCTCCACTTTCAGGTCCACGAGAAGACCCTCCTAATTCTTCAAGAGATGGCCTTCTAAAATAATTGGCCGGCGGGGGGGAAGTCAACCCCCACCCCTCCTTTTTTTCTCCCTGCTTGAGCTCTTGTCCGAATTATAGATGAGACTTTGATTAGAAGAAGATGAGGATAACGATGATCAGATGTAGTAGTTCATTCCTACTTGCAGCATGTTCTTGTTGGGGATCTGCAGGTCCTCGAATCCTTGCCTGGAGTTCCTCTTCAGGAAGTCGTAGACGTAGTCAACCACCAGCCTCTTCAGGAGGCTGGAGTCCTCGCTCGTCCTCACCTCGCTGTGGCCCAGCAGGTACACCACGCCGGCGCCGAGCGACTCCTCCAGCTGTCTTACCTCCGCCGCCGCCTGGTCTCCTCCTCCCCAGCTCTCCTCGTCCTCCGGGGGCTGCGTCTCCGCGGCGATGAAGGACCTGAGCTGGTCCATGAGGCGAGACTCGAACTCAACGTTGCCGAGGCGGCGGTCGCGGTAGCCGTACCGGACGATGCAGCGGTACATGCGGTGGTCCTTCAGGCCGACCCGCCGGAGCAGGAAGCGCTCGCCGCCGGGGACCCGGCTCACGGCGAGGTGCTTGACGGAGACGAAGACGAGGACGGAGTGCACCGCCGGGAGGTTGGCGAGGAAGTGGCGGAAGATGGCGGGGACCCCCTGCGCGAGCTCGGTGTATAGGAGGCCGACGCCGGGGACCCGGTTGATGGCGGCGCCGCCGAGGCTGGACAGGTACTGCTCCGGCACCTTCTGCTCCACCTCGAAGGCGTACCGCCTGGTCTGGATGTAGTGCCAGATATACATGACGAAGAAGAGCACGGCAGCGACGGAGAGGGGCAGGTAGCCGCCCTTATCGAACTTGTAGAGCACGGCAGAGAAGTAGAACAGCTCCAGAGAGCCGAAGACGAGGACGAAGGCCGCCACGAGGGCGAGCGCCGTCCGCCACACCACGAGCATTACCAGGGTCATCAGCGACGTCGTCACGATCATCACGGCGACGACGGCGATGCCTGCGCAGATAGATTCTGTCATCCCGACGGCGGCAGAAGCAGCGACGTCGGCGGCGGTGGCTCACCGTACGCGTTGCCGATCTTGGTGGTCTCCTTGAAGGCAGCGGTGACGGTGACGCAGGCGGCCATGAGGAGGAAGTTGACCTCGGGGATGTAGACCTGGCCCTCGTGGCGGCGGGAGGTGTGGACGACCCGTACCCGGGGGAAGCATCCCAGGGCCACCGACTGCTTCACGATCGCGAAGGTCGCCGAGATCATGGCCTGGCTGGCGATGATCGACGCCATGACGGCGGCGGCGAACATCGGCCAGTACGCCGACTCCGGCGTTGACTTGTAGAAGGCGTCGCCGGCGTGGCCGGGGAACTCGCAGAGGTAGGCCGCCTGGCCGACGTAGGCGGAGATAAGGCAAGGGTAGACCAGCCCCGCGAAGGCAATCTGCAGGACGAAGACGATCAAGGCAGGCGGATGGGGAGAGACTTCAAAAGAGGAGAGACGCCGGCAGACCTGAATCGACCGGACCGAGAAGTGACCCAGGTCGGCGAACATGGCCTCCGTCCCTGTTCCTTCCGGCGGGGAAAGGAGGAAAGAGCTCAGTCTGCCGGTGAGGAGATGCACTGGAGAAAGAAGCGCGCGGGGGGAGGGGGGGATCGGTTTTGTTACCCACCGGTCATGCAGAGGACGATCCCTCCCATGGAGACCCATGCCCTCTTCGGATCCCTCTTGAAATAGATGAAGGCGTGCGCGGGGTTGAAGGCCTTGAGCACGGAGGAGTCATGGCGGACGAGGTTGGAGACCCCCGCCGCGCAGATGAAGCAGTACCATATCAGGATCGCCGGAGCGAAGGCGTAGCCCACCTTGTCGGTGCCAAGCCTCTGGACGGAGAAGAGAACCACCAGAATGCCCACCGAGATCATCACCACCGCCTCTGGACCGGCGCCACCGAACGTCAGCAAGCCAAAACCCGGTGGGGAGGAGGGAGGGAGGGACTCCAGGGCCCTCACCTCTGGACAGGGAGGTGTCGACCTTCTTCACCCCGTCCACCGCTGATAGAACTGTTCAGGGAGGGGGTGGACGCTTCCAGTTAGAGAAGATGCCGAAGATCCACGGATAGGAGGAAGGAGGGGCTGGTTCTCGGTACCGGAAATGCAGGGGGTGAGGATCCCGTCGCCGACGACCATGCAGGTCCCAAGGAGGGCGACGGTGAGGAGGCAGGCCTTGGCCCAGGGACTCCCTTCCATGGCTCGTTTGATCCTCTCTGCTCTCTGGAGGTGCTCGCCGGTCCCCGGCGGGTTGCCGGCAGGGAGCTCCACCTCCTCCGCCTCCACGGCGGGGACGGCGCCGACGTTGCAGTGCCTGCATATCAGCGAGTACATGGCAAAGGTCCCCCCTGCAGGCCGAGGGACGAAAGAATCAGGGCAGCTCACTCTGGTTCTTCTTCTGCAGAGTCTGGTCCGCCGAAAGAGGGGGGAAGCTCACCGTCCCCATTATCGTTGGCATGGAGCACGATGAAGACGTACTTGAGGAGGGGGAAGAGTGTGAGGGAGTAGATGATGAGGGAGAGGGCCCCCAGGAGGTCGCCATGGCTGGGCTCCCACCCGGCGAAGGTGCTGGAGAACACGTACAGAGGGGACGTTCCGATGTCCCCGTACACCACGCCGACGCTCTGGAAGGCCAGCCGCAGCGTCGCCGCCGTGGACAGAGCCTGCTGCCATTTTTGGAAAAGAGAAAGAAACAGAGACCGGGATAATGAGCGGAGCTCTAGAGTGGCGTTCCCTCTGAAGACCGCCGCTGCTCACCGTGGTCCCGCCAAAGATTCCGGAGACTTTGAAGGGCGGCGGCGGCGGCGGCGGCGGTTCTTCTTCTGGTGGGTCGTTCTCCTCCTCTGCGACGACTTCCTCTCCCATCATGTCGACGGCGAAGAGGAGGGGCCTCCTTCCGACGGGATTTTTGTAGGCCGGGTCAGAGAGTCGGCGGGGAGGATGCTGGCGAGTCTTCGGATGTACACGTGGCGAAATAGCTGTCGGCACCAGGGGATAGGGGTGGCGGCGGGAGCTGGGCCTACGATGACTTTGGGCTTTTGCAAATGGCTAGGGTTGCCGACAGAATGGTGGACGTGGACTTGATCATGTAAATCTTGGATCATGGTACTTAATTTTACCATTTAGATGTGGTAAGATACTGAGTTGACAATTAGAGAGTACGTCAACAGCTCATTCGTGTTGATGCAGAAGTCAATGCTCTTCCAGATATCTTGGAGCATCAATTATATATTTCTATATATATATAAATAACAATACAGATGTCCTTGGAAGATCAGTACATAGAATTTATTCTTTTTGCAGCAACAGGACCATCCACGAAGAAGATCGAGCAGGAGGGAGGACGATATTTGCTCTGAACTTCTGAAGACGGCTAAGAATTATGCGCAGTGAAGCTCCCGCTCATGGCGAGACCCTTCTTCTTCCTCCTCTTCTGCTTCTGGTGCTTTATCAGTGGGACTCGGGGCGAGACCTCCATTGCCGGGCCTTCTCAAAGCCGTTCTTGAAGAGGCGGTAATCCTCGAAGGTCTGCTCGATCTCGGCGTGGGTGTTCATGACGAAGGGCCCCCACTGGACGACGGGCTCGTTGAGGGGCTGCCCGCCGATGAGGACGAAGCGGAGGGGATCACCGGAGTTGTTCCACACGCTGAGCCCGTCCCCGGAGCCGAGCACCAGCGTGTGGTGGGCCCCGGTCGGCGAGTCGTCGGCGCTGCCGAAGACGCCCTCGCCGTCGACGACGTAGACGAAGGAGGTCCATCCCTCCGGCACCCGCTGGTGCACCTTCGCGCCGGGCTTCAGCGTGAAGTCCAGGTACATGGTGGGGGTCCTCGTGTAGACGGGGGACTTCACTCCGAAGGACTCGCCGGCGATGATGCGGACCTCGACGCCTTCTCTCTCCACCTTGCTGATGTCCTTGCTCTGCAACTCCTGGTACCGCGGCTCGATCCTAGGGTTTCCACTTCCCGGTGAGAAGAAAGAAGAACACGGTGGCGGATTGGAACGAGGGAGAGGGGGGGAGCAGAGATTACATCTTGTCCTTGGAGGAGAGGTTGATCCAGAGTTGCAGACCTTTGTTGACGCCTTCGCCGGCCGGCATCTCCGAGTGGATGATCCCTCTGCCAGCGGTCATCCACTGGCGTGGCGGCGGATCCAACACGAGGATGAGAATGTGATATGGAACAGAAACTCGCTCGAAATGTTTCAGAAACGCACCTGGAGGTCGCCGGGGCCAATCGTCCCCTTGTGGCCGGCGAAGTCTTGATGAGTGAAGGCTCCCTGCCGGGCACGTCGAGGATCGTCGTCATCGACGAGAAGTTGAAATTGGGGAAGAATTTTGGCGGATCGATCGGGAGTCATACCTCGAGCATGTAGGTGACGGTCTCGAATCCTGCGAGCAGACGTCGAATTGGAGAAGAAAGGAAGAAGAAGAAGACGATTTACAGATTCAGATTGATCCTCCGCGTGACTCGAGACGAAGACAGAAAATATACAGTCGAGAGAGAAAGGGGCGGACCTCGATGCGGGTGGTCTGGAAATCCGGCGGGAGAGGCGACTGGGAAGAACATGGGATCATTCAGCGACCGATTCGTTCAACGATCGAGAAATAAACGAAGATCTGAAGATACCTGAAAATTCGTCCAGCAGGAGGAACGGATCCAAATTCTTCAACTCCGGCCTGAATCCCCGAGCAAAAGAGAACGACCATCAGAGAGAGAGATAGAGAGAGAGAGGGGAAAGGATAGAGAGAGAAAGAGAGGAGAGACCTTCCGATACTCCTCCTAACGGTCGCCCCATCGCCCTCGCTCTGGGACTTGGAGAGAACCTTCTTGACGACCTGCCTGGGCCTCTCGAACCCTAAGGATACCTCTGCTTCGGACATGGTGGCGCTCGTTCTGAACAGGAGGAGACGGCGGCGGAGGGGGATGTCCTTGTTTCCTCTATCGGACGACGACAACGTCCCGGTGGATGCGCTGTGGCTGACTCTTCCTAGCAAAGGGGAGCTCGCTGGGCTTCTCTGGAATGAGGTAGACCTCCACAGTAGCTGGGTTTTTATAGACGCCGCCCCTCGCCAGGCAATCATCGTCAACCCCTCCCTCTCTCTCGCTCTCTCTCTCTCTCTCTCGTATGCATGCGCCATCTCTCCGACCGACTTGGCTCGGGATATAAAGGGGCCCTGGTGGCGCCGGTGGCTGTGATTGGATTTTTGGCCTCACTCTCGAGGAAAGAGATTCCTCTTTTTCTTCCGACATTTTCTGTGGCGGACACCGCAAAGAGGCGGATATCTAAGACTTTTCTGACATCATCTCTGCGTAATCCTGATGTGTCTCTCTCTCCCCCCTCTCTCTCTCTACATATATATCTATCGCGTGTATATTTCTATTTCGGATTTTCTGGATATTCCTTTAATTGGTAGCATGTCAATCACATTAAGAACTCGAGTTTTTTAAAAAATAGTAATAATTTTTTTTAATGCTTCGAATTTGCATTGATTTGAGCTAATTAATCCACGTCTCCTTTTTTAACGAAAATATTATTATTCGCAAAATTAGTGGATATTTCATGGAAACATGCCCTATTTGACCTATATTATCCTCAAAACCAACAAGCGTTGACGTGACTCAACAGTATCTCGACGTTCCAAAGAGGTCAATCCCTCGCGCTACCATAAATGGAAATCTCTTCGTCCAAAAAAGAGAAAGTATTGACATAAAAGGGAATATACGAGTAATTATAGTGCACACATGGCGTGAATTATTAATTAAAAGGAATAGATAATAGTATTAATTAGGTGGGCTGTGACCTGACTTATTAATTTTAATATTAATAATCGGGGTGACTGTTTACATAGCCAGGAGATTTATTGGAAATATATATTTAATATCCGGAGAAGATTAGCATATTTTCCCACTTTTAACCATTTCATTTTCGTTATTGCTTCCCCGTCCTCAAGGAGAGGGCGGCTGGAAAGGCAGGCCGCCCAATTATATGGGGGTGTGTTGACCCCCCCACATCCATCCTTATCCGTTTTGTCTTTTCGCAGAGCCAGGTCAAAACCACGTTCCGATAAGATGACGCCACGTCGACATGTGCCATGACATGGTAAAGTTATATAATAAGTATATTATGATAGTTGGAAGAGACTCATCCAATCTAGCGTCTTCCAAGTGAGATGAAAGCCATATAACGTCTAGATGTGGCCAGAAGTCTCTTATTTGTTGGGAAGTCAACGCTCCGTATCTACCCGCGCATCTAGATCTAGAAAAGTCAAAATACCCATAAAATTCTAAGGTAATTAGTCGTAGATTAATGAACCAAATCGCCATCGATTATCAGGTAACCGCAAAAATTCCCTTAATCATCAAGGGACTGTCAAGGGCCCCGCTTATTGGGCCCAACCCGCACAGTTAATGGGCCGGTCATGTTGACTAGTTTTCAAGGGTCCTCGAGAGTCGGCCCGTTGACAAGCGGGATCGACGTCGACGCGGAGGACGATCGAGGGGCGGGTGGACTGCGCTGCGTTCGCGGGGGAGCTGGCCACGTCAGACGAGCGCAAGGGGTACGGTGTCCTATTTATGGGATCCGGTTAGTAAAACTATCTTGGGAGGATCTCAAGACCGCAATCGTTAACGGGTTCACTCTTCCGGTTGGCTTCCGGACTCCGTCGCGCGGAAGGAGGAGCAGTCGGTGCGCGTCCGTCCCCTTTCAGCTCTCGCCTCCGGCCGATCTCCGCCGACAGATGAATAGAGGGGAGGAAGGATTTCGACCATTTCGGTGAGGAATTACGTGCGCAGGGGGAGGTTTGAGGTGGCGGTGGGAGGGGGGATCCTCGCGAGAAAGGGCGTCCCCGGCGACGGCCACCGGGCTCGGAAATGGCATCCTACAGCGCTGCTGTGCTTTCACGCTGCTGGGCGCATCGATCGTTCGCGAATTTGTGTCTTCTCCTGTTCTTGGTCGTTTCCCAGAGCTTTCCCTCGTTGGTTGCCGGGGATGACGTCACACACGAGGATGGATCTTTACACTCCTCTCCGGTTTGCAATAACAAGTTCCGATTGGTAAGGGCAGTTTGGATCGTATTGGGTCGTCGGATGCGTTGGGATTTTTTTTTTCCCCCCCGTTTGATGGCCGTTCTTTTGTTTGCGTTTTGATGCCAGTGGGGGATGTCTTCATGCGTTTTGAATATTTTCCTTTGCCTTCCCTGACTCACTAGAATTCTGCGTTCTTTCTTTGATATTCCGCATGGTTGTTGACTGATAACTTCTAAAGATTGACACGTGATATTTTTGTATAATCAGGACCCATAACCGAAACATTCAGCTTTCCGTGTTTTAGCTCGCTAAGCGTCATTTTTGCATAGAATATCACGATGGAAAAACCAAGCATAGAGTTTCTCTTTAGGTAAACGTATGCCAGCTAAATCAAAGTCCTCATTAAGAAGAATATATTTTTATTCTATCCTCTTTGGAGAGAGGGTCCTAGGGGACAGGTTGACGATGGATGTACATTATTAGACATTAATCCCGAAAAAATGTATCCATCATTTGAAGATAACCTTAAATTTTGAAAGATATGAAAGTACGCAACAAAAGACTTTGGTAACCATTGGTTTTTCATTGCATCATGTGAACTGGAGATTAAAAAAAAAGCATAAACTTATGATGATGGTAATGGGCAAAAATATGCGAAATGTAGGAATCTAGAAATGGAAAGGTCCCTAAGTCATCTGTCAAGCATTTGAAGCCACAGAGTTTCCTTCATTCTGTAGTAATGGGCTTTTGTAAACAGAAATCGGAGATGGGAAAACGGTTTTAAGCCTAGGGCTTTACCATGTAGATATTTGAGATCAGGTCAATAGAGTGGGTATTGGAGAATCTGCATGCTATTCTATGGCAGAGGCTTGTAATGTGCAAAAGCTGTTCATGAGAAAGGGTGAAATCCCAAGAGGCTAGTGGTCCTCGCCTTTGTGACTGGAGTGGAGACTTTGAAGCACGACTATGTGTATTGTGCTTTTTTATCATATATGCGGGGGAGAGATTGTTTGGTGAAGAACTAGTGGCATGATCAGCTCTGGTCATCATTGATGAACTGCTCTGTTGATAGTCCTGGGACTGGTTGCCCATTGAGACAAGACGATATGGTGGATAGTGTTGCATGATTTATGTCAAAATTTCACCAATCATAACAACAGGACTGTCCTTGTGGAGAATCCACTTTTTTCTGCATTAGGGCAGATAGTTGAAAATTAAGGCATCTAGTGGCGAGGAGTCTGGGATGTTGTAGACCAGGGGATCTTGCTTCTTTCCTGCAGTTTCAAGTCATGGCTCCGAGTGAGATTTTCAGAGTCTCATCCCCTGTACACCGGTAATTTTTGATTTCTTGACTCCTGATGTCTCCAAAAGAAAAGTTGTCAAATCACCACTACACTTGCAAAACCCATTGGAGAACATTTTTATGGATCTCATCCTCATTTTGGAGCCGGAAGTCAATTTGTTTCGTTATAAATGATCAAGATTGGTAACTTCAAGATTTGGTACACCTCCAGGTAAGGACAGACAAGACAGTTGTGTTTCATACGGGTTTTTTAATCAAAATATTTTTGAACAATTGTAATCAATCCTCATATAAGTGCTTACGTTGACACGTTTTCTTCACATCCTGTAAGTCTATTCATGTTATGTACTAATTTTCTTCTATACTTTATTATTTCGGTTCTATGTCATGGTAGACTTCTCTTTCATTCGAAGCATGGCTTCAAGTAATTTGGCACCCTATATTCTCCTGTCTTATAACTGCCATTTGTGTGGTATATGGCTGATCTAGTAGAAGGTTGGGAAGAAAGTGAAATTTTGGCGGAAATATTGTCCTAGGCTGACCCCAGATTTATAGAACAAGTATTTATGATGAAGATGGTTTCTATTATTGATTCTCTTTAGTTTAAGTACACGGTCATCTGTAATGAATTGGACTATGTGCCCTGAGAAAGATTTTCTCTGAGTAGAATTTGATTTAGAGAGGGTGCTATTCACATAAAGTCAATGCCATAAGAGAACTTCATTGTAACTTCTACGTTTTCATCTCACATTTTTCCTTATACGTTCACTCCCTTATGCTAACCATTTGTTGACCCAAAGAACGTTTTTCCTGTAGATGATGAATTATATCTCTGTAAGATCTGTGGAGTGGAATAACTTCAAGTTCATTACGAAAAATTTGGAGAACTCGGTGTTTTTTCACTTCTCACCGCATGACGGTGTTTTGACTAGTTTGAGTTTCTTGGATTTATTTTCCAGGTGAAGGTCATGAACTGGGTGAATGGCGTTGAAAGTCCAATTGTTGTTGGCTTAAGTGCCAGATTTGGTGCTGTCTTGCCCAGTGATGTGGCGGAAGCTCTCAGATTTCCCGCTGTTCTGGCAAACCCGATCAACTGTTGCACTAATTCCTCATCTCAGGTTCTTGATTCTTTATGCTCAAATCTTTCTCTCCTTTATCACGCTTGAAACTGTAAGCAAGCATTTTTTTTTTCATTTATCTTCTACTTGGTTTCCAAGAGAGAAAGGCCGTTTAATTAGAAGCATGATGTTTAAGGAACTGGAGATACTATGCCTTGTATCACAGTTATTTATTTATTAATTTTTCCTTTTCATATTATTTACGTGCAAGTCTGTTTCTCAATTCTTGTATTTCTTTCTGAAAGACTAACGATCTGACCTCCTAGCGTCTAATCAGTTATGACATGATCATCCTCTATTGTGAAATCTTATTGTATTTAATTATAAATCCTATGACTTTCAGTTTTTCAGTAATTTCTCTAAGAGTATTACAGTGGGATACTCGCTTTTATCTGGGAGCAGGTGATTGAGAGAGTCGCTAAGATGAATGCTGGAGACACTGATTTAGCTATGTGTTTGTTTGTTGTCAGGCATGTTGACCAACTTTGTTATTACTCTGTCAAACTGGAAGAGAAGAAGACCTAATAAAGTATGATGATCCAGGTTGTAGTAGTCCCAAATCATACGAACTTAGCTGATCTTTATGAAGCAGTTCAAATGATACGAACTGCAGAGAAATCTAGGAGTGGATGGAGAATATCTTCGGGAGAAAGGTGACTTGGCCCTTATTAAGCTTTGTACGAACTGATATATAAGGTGTGTAAGGGCCACTGACCAAAGAACTGTAGGACAACATCAAAGTGTGGAGGGCATGGGAGATGATGTCATCATCATTGTGTCTTGACTGGGGAACTGACATGCATCAAATCTAGGTATGAACTGGTTGAGGGTCCCCCCTTCAAGGTCCAGTATAGGAGGGGATAATGGATTTTTCGTCCACCCTCTTCTATTTCCTCACTCTCATTAGTGATTCCTCAACCTTTCTGCTATGGAAGAAAAAAGCGCCTTGAAGCATTTGTGGCTGCTGAATGTTGTCCCAGAGGATGGAGTTGATTGATAAGTTTACATAGATAAAAATTACTTTGGTAAAGAAGATTCCATCTTAGAAACATATGTAGAGTGTGGATGCATACGAGTTTGTAGACATGTAAACTCTCAAGTGATCCCCGAGGAAACTCATTGCCAAAGAAGGAAGGTAAGAAAAAAAAACGAAAAAATCAAATTTAAAACCTAGTGGCAAGCTGAAAAAGGGGGGGGGAGCACATGACAAGTCTTAGTAGCAATTTAAGAGGAAAAAGAAAGGGGCCAGAATCGTTAACGGGGAAAGGTGTAAAAACGCCAAAAGACCCAAGGCAAGACAATTTTTTATTCAAGTACCTAAGAAAATAATAACGATACTTTCAATTGGAGGTCTCCCCAAAAAGTGAGTTTTTGGGCTCCAAAAATTGTTTACGAAGCATCTATTTGATGGCAGCTCGATTATTTTTACGTCCAGACAATTTTGTCTTTCCATCAAATATATAACTAGCTATAACTTGCCATCAGTATAGTTGAGTTTCATGTCTTACCTTTCTTCCCATTTCTTTTTTCTTGTTACTTTTCCCACAAGGTGAGTATACTAGTAATTTTTTTAAACGAGCTATTTTTTTTCGCAGTTGTTAGACTCGATTGCCTTAGCGAGACGGGGAGACTGTACCTTCACGGCCAAGGCAGAAGTTGCAGAATCAGGTGGTGCAGTAGGCTTGCTGGTGATAAATGATAATGAAGGTGGCCTTCTATAACACATGAAGAATCTTAGCCTAAAAGTTTTTTTTTTTTTCCTGTTTGTTTGTGTCGATGGTCGTTCTAGCTCCGATTTACATACTGTAAAAGATATATATTTTTTCCTGACGACCTTTGTCTATATAACAGATCTTTATAAAATGGTGTGCTCTGAAAATGACACTTCCCTCAATATCACAATTCCAACTGTGATGATTCCAAATTCAGCGGGAAATAAATTCGCAGACTATCTGAATTCTGGAAAGCATGGTGAGTTTATGTGAAAATTTTGAAAATGTTGCGTTTAATACTTACTTAAGAATCTACTCTGTGAATGGAATGATGTTCTACTACTAATTTACATTTCGTTTGGCCTCGTGTCTTAGTTCTTCTGATCTCGAAAATTAGGCCTCATGTAACTGGTTTCTGAAGGGGAAAATAAGTTCCATGCACTCAGCCGATCTGCTTGTTCTCGAGACCATGGTACTTGCCCTTTAAAACAGCTTACGTGGAAGTAACAGTGTTCATTGTGTGACTGGACTGTTCGTCAACATTATGTAACCAAATCCTATCTCGAGGTGGGAAACGTTTATGAGGGAACAAGACCGTACTTGTCAAAATTGTATATCCTGGTCCCAGCAGTTTTGAAGTGTGTATCTCATATTGCTATACTGACTGACCTGACTCTGAATCGTCTGAGACCGAAAATAAACCCATTAACAAATAAAACCTTAAACCGTTGTATTGGTAGATCCGAATCCTGAAAACTGATCAAGACAACATAAGTCGGCTGGCGTGGTAAGTTATCAGTTGCTTTGTATCCTCTTGTCCACTGAGTTTATAGGCTTAGTAACTTCCCCTCTTCACCATTTGTTTAATTTCCATTTTGTACCAAAATCACAGAAAGCTGTCAGGGAACGAGAAAGGTGATTCTTATGTGGATCTCTCACTGGAATTGATTCTTATCATGGTCAGAAAGACGCGGGATAGAATTTTGTTTTTTTTTTTCATTGACTACCCCAGAATTGTGTAATACTTTGAACTTATATCATGGCTATTTTCGTGGACTTGTGTCGCAGAGAAAAACTTGTTTGTTATGGGAACCCCTAATCTTTTTGCATCTTTCTTTGTGCTTAGATTTGGTCGCTCAGTTGACGCATTCCTTTGGAAAGAGGTAAGAAGCTGGAAATTCAGAATTAAAAGGAACCTAGTGTGTTACATGATGAGAATCTTGAAGAATTTTCAATGAAAGTAGACAATTTTTACAGGATTGTTGCTGCTAGAGACGTTGTGATCATCATATTCTCGTGGTGACATCTTGATGATATTTTGGTTGAGAATGGGGAATCCGCCTCCTAATATCAACCCCATTGGTCTTGCATTTTTTTGGTCTTGAGGGCCGTGGAATTCATACTAGTCGGGAGTGTTAGTATACCAGACTACCTATCCTCAGTGACATGGGAGTGCTAATGGTTTAGACTGTTGAACGCATCTCTGAGCGTGCCGATGCAAGTCAAATCTGTCATGATCCATGATTGGGTTCATAGTCAGAATGGTATAGTCAACCGATTAAATCGATTGGCCCTTCTTATGTGCCACCTGGAATATCCGGACTGGGGTGAATCATGCAATCTGGCCTGAGTTCATTGAATGTTTGGCCGATCTGTCCCAAGGGGCTGACAAGGCTACCCTTGTATCGCTAATTCTAAGTGATGTCACACGAGGCTTTCTTAGTGTTTTGTGAAGATGTTGATAATTTCAGTGTATAGTTAATCCCAAAGATCTGAGTATGGAGTGGAAACCATTATACCAAGGATGTTGAGGATGGCCACCTAAACTACAGAAAAATCTGGGTGGCTTCGAGCACTTCTGATCCTATTGGGTAGATGCATATCTTTCATTTTTTAGGAATATAAGTATTTTTTTAATAGTTATGAGTGCAGTAAGATACTTGATGTTGCTTAATAGTGCGAGGATTTAATTGTTAATGTTTCAATTAGTGGGCCAATATGATTAGTTGATTAAATTATTTATGTAGCATGTCAGAAATCTTCTAATATTTGAAATCCTTTTGTTATTAATCTCAAGTTTTATACTATGACATGAATATTTATCTTTAACAATGAAAGTGCACTCAGTCAAGTAGTGATAATAAAGAAAATATCCAAGTTGTACGACAATGCAAGCATATCTTTCTATACTTCGCGGTCATTCAGGACTTCCATCCTTCAATCCCAGCGCTCAAGGATAAAAGGCACAATGTTGAAAAAGATAAATTCTAGGTCATCCGTTCATGATTTGTTGACTTCGTGTTCTTTTGACCTGACTTGTAGGATGTGGTTTTTTTTCCCTGCCAAGTCATATGTATTCGGTTATTTTGAAGAAATTTTGATTATATAAAAGAGAGTTTTGTGGACAGGCTCGCATGAGCCTCAGCTTGATTGGTATCAGCTCTGTTTGATAGTATACTCTGACTCAGTTTTTAGTTTCAAGTTCTTGATACTGTCCAAAGTTGGCCTTCTTTAAATGGAAGAATATTGAGTAATTTACTACTGGTTATGTGATTGTTGGATGATGACCATTAAGAAAATTCTGTGATTCGTACATATTGTATCATAAGGAATTTTCCACAGTTGAGCTGGAGATTCCTTCTTTCCTGTTAATATGGGCTTGGACAGGTTGTTGCATTAGTGAATTTGAATATGTGAACCGGAAAAATAATTGTTCAGTTGTGTATGAAGAAAAAAGAAAACATAAAACACTGCCTGGAACTTCTTGAAACCTGGACGTGTTGATGATGTCATACTTGTAAAGTGTATGAAACTTCACATGGTCACTACTATGAACTGTCATCGACCTTAACATCCATAGATCGTGTACTTTTTTATTAGGAGACGAATTTAAATTTAGTGACCGCAATTTTTTTGGGAAGAATGTAAAAGGATGTGGAATACCAAGTACAAAGGTTTCATATGTTCTTGTGCCAAAAAATGCATTCTTTATGATTGTTCTACTTAGGAACTAGATTCTGATTGGAGTGTGCCTAGTGTGCTGTTGAAGGAAGAGACTTGAAAGGTACAGTTTCCAACGCATCAAGTGTAGTAAGAAACTTAAAGATTCAGGAACTGGATTCAGTAATAAATTTTTCTTAATAGAATTTATAGTAGGAGAGAACTCTAATCAAGTGCAGGACACGAAGGAACCAGTGTATGAAGTTGACCAAGAAGGAGAAAAGTGGACCAGAACTGAAAAATGATGGACATTATGCTTGCACATGTATGCAACATACTGAACATTATGAGAGCACAGGGATAGTCTCGAAGCCATCATCGCCATATGATAACTAGTTATTTTACCAGATTAAGTTGTCGCATTTTAGCTAGTGAAGTCACGTGATCTAATACCGAACTGGAAGAGAGAGTTTCTGTGAATATTATTGACAATGCAATTTTCTACGAGCTTTGTTCGAGTCAGGAGTGCAGTAGAGAACCCCACTTGCGGATTGTTACCTGTAATTTTGAATTTTGGGTGACATTTAGATAATGCAAGTTTTGTTGTCTGATGATTGATGCTATCATTTATGCTTGACATATTATATATGCTAATATTTCTTTGTTTGAAGAGTCAGAGATATTGAATAGCCTTTTCTGGGCCTATTCCGTGGAAGTCCTTTAAGAGTTTTTGATCTTTTACTTCTCTTATTTATTGCCTATTCGTCATATTCTACTTGAATTGATTAATAGATTAATATGGATGCTTTGCTCATTGCAGTGGAGATTCGATTATATTCCCCAAATCGTCCAGTAGTTGACTATTCAGCAATCTTTCTTTGGCTAATGGCTGTTTTGACCATTATCTGCGCATCAGTTTGGGGGGAATTCATTGCGTGCGAGAGGGCTGATGAGCGTTATAATCATCTGATGCGGAAGGTTTTTGAATTGATAACCCTTTCATTCAAAGGAACGCTTTTGGTTTTATAGTATCTGTCAGTTTTCTAGAATTTGCTGAAGTTGAGAAGCACCGAGATATTTTATTTGATACATTTTTCTCGTATTTTTTCTTCGTTTTACTTCATTATCATTGCGATTCTCATCATCAGCTTACCTTTTCGTACTGATTTATGTTTTCATCATTCGATTGTTGTTTTCTTATATCGACAGCCTTCCTATTATCAGATATTTTGCTTCTTGCAGTTTATTCTATTTTTTTACATCAACTGGCAATCATTTTATGAATTAGAGTGAGATTCTGTTTATGTGAATATGATAGCAAGATTATGTATTTTTTTCAACTTCACTGTTGCAATAGTGTTAGTAGTGGCATCTTTAAGATAACAAATTTTCAGGCGACTATGAGACCACTCACCATCACTGCTCAGAGTTTTAGGAAAACCCAAAGAAGATTATCCAGAGTGATAAGATGTGAAAAGTATCTCTGATCAAATCAGAAACCATTTGTCGGCTTTGAGTTGTTTCAGATTGATGAGAAAATTGATGCTTGTGCCTACATAGTGTGACTGGCATTGAAAATTACTTGGATGGAGATCGTTTAAAAGGTGATATGGCTGGACATTTTTTAAGTAGAAAAGGCCACCATGAAATGCAAACTGGTCGTCCTGACCTGACTTTGCCAAGGTAAAAAAGATCCTAGATAAGCACATTTCGACCCATAATGTTGGGCATAGGCATACATGCTTAAAGCCCTATCTGATGGGATCTCCTCGATTGTGCATTCCCCTCGCAAACTTTAGCAATTGCAAACATTGGAGTTCTCCTTGAATGCACTGGCACCTTATCAATTTGACGCACGATAACTAACAACAAATATTTTGACTGTCTTTCTGGAGGGCTGATTAGTTACTTTGCCACCAAAATTTGACTGTTAGTAATAGCTGCATCTCTTTCCTCTATTGATGCTTGAGGAAGCAATATCGAAACCTCTGCAAGGATCCTTGACATCCGTCCTTCCAAATATTTCATCGAAATTTTGGATCAGTCTCGTTATTTATCACTGCCGTGAACATTGTACTTGATGGGCACGAGGTAGCTTGGCAGCCCATCATATTATTGACAATGGTACTCACTATGGTCGGCCGTGAAAATGCCACCTTGAAGTTGTTAAAATGGGTTGCTTTCATCTCCTTTAGAATGTGAGCAAAGTACTGTCCAATAAGATTGTTGGAGGATTGGGATGTAAAAATGCAAGATGAGGTAGAAGAATGAAAGGTCTACTTGAGCCGTTGAATAGTGCCTTCTGGAATTGCGGGGATGGGAAGATGTTTCATGAAGTTGTACTATGACTGTCCAGTCCTGCCGGCTGGGTGGCGGGGGGGGGGAGGCTCGTTTGTAATGATTGCTACACAAGGTCTTTCTTGTGTCTTAAAGCTGAAGAAAAAATCAGGTTCTTTGAGAACAACCTGGTGGCGTAAGTGAATGTGACATGGGCGATAATTCTTTTATGCTGTCTTTTTTTATATTCTCGTTTTTGGATTTTTATTGTCCTGATCTATAATCAGCCTTTTAAACAACCTCGGGTTTTTGTTTGGAATTTTAAAAGTTAATTGTGAGATCATATGTCTCGAATACATTCCTGTACACCTTTACACCTCAATAAACGGCTCCGCAGTGTTGAAAGTAACATTAAAACTCACCATTGCCGATTCATGTTATTCTATTGTATGAGTTCTTTTTTTCCCTATACCCTATTGTCTTACATCGATTGTACTAATCTCGTCTCTTACAAAATCCTAGTTGTTTGGAAGGATATATATTGATCTAACTGTTTTATGACTGTTTCGTTAAGTCCATAGATTTTCTTTCAATGCAAATCGAAACAAATGACTGACTTTTATTCCACAGGAACCATCTGACACCGGAAGTGTAAACAAAGATGATTCTGAAAAGGAAGTGTTCGAGATTAATGCCAAAGGAGCAGTTGTTTTCATCATTGTTGCCTCCGCATTTCTGATGCTCCTATACTTTTTTATGTCTGCTTGGTTCATTTGGTTGCTAGTTGTGCTGTTCTGCATTGGTGGTATGGAGGTACAGTTGATCCTGGAGCTTAACATTCTCAGAGTTCGGTTTGAAATTGCTTTTTCTTTATTGTTTGAAATCTCTCCTGGAGCCTTTTCCTTTTTAGGAAGGTTTTTCCTGATTATTTTGAAAAAGTGTGCTAATACATTTAGCCTTCCAGGTTAAGCTAGGGACTCTGATTTTGGAGTCATAGTTTCGGATTAGTGTGCTAGAAAAATGCCAAATCAAATGGATACTTGACAGCAAATAGGTGTTTACAACCTTTTGTTCGTATCTCTGTTGAAGCTTGAATTTTAATTCATCGAAACCCAAATCTTTCAATATTTACTTTCTAAATTCTGAGGAAGTACTAGATTTGTCACTTCTCCCAAAATTTCTCAAGAAGATTGGTTCATTGTAGCTGCTATGTTCTTTATCGTTCTCACCTCTAGAATGCAGTCACGCAATACCTTGTTTGTGTAAGTAGAACTGACCTGTAGCCATGAATCTCTGTATTAAAGTGTCAGGAAGGCATCTCACCTTTCAAAACTTCAGGGTCCATTGGACTGGTAAACCTTACCGGATCCCACTTCTCAATGCACGCAGTCAGAGGACACTGTTCTTTTGGAGTGTTACATCAGAACAAAAGTAACTTATGAAAATAATTTATCTTACCTTTTAGCCATGACTGTTGGGTAGGCTGCTTCCAGCGAGAAGTGCACCACTCTTAATTGGGGTGAGGGAGCTAGTGAGTGAATTTGCATATCTTTGTATCTGCATTCAAGAATGTATTCTGAACTTTTCTGCGTGGTGTGGTTAAATTTGCCTTTAATTAATGGTTCTTGAAAAGTTATAGAAATACCCTGGAACATTAATCCCGAACTGAGGCATACACTCAACGCTGTGTCTGGTTCTACTTTATATGCTACATCCTGATAAGTAGCTGCCAAGACTCGAAATGATTTTAATTTTTTTTTCGTGTAATCAAGGTTTCTTGTAATGCTGTTCAGCATTTTGTCCATGAAATACTGGTGCTTCTTTTTCTTGACAAAGTAACCTATCGTTCCTTTTTGTACCATCCTTGACTTTGTCGAGGAATATTCTTTACCAGATGTGTTACTATCTATTTACTTAACTGTAACTTCCTCTCGATGTATACTTCGTACACTGTTTGTATTTGTCTGATTTTTTTTATTCATGTAAAATTATTTCTTTTTCAGGGGATGCATGTTTGCTTTGTAACAATAATGTCAAGGTAACGCAGACCGCAACATGGTTACCACACCATCATTTATGCTGATCCTTTTTCTCCTAACGTATTTTATTCTTTCATCTCAGAATATTGAAAAAAGGTGGACAAAAGACCTTACATCTTCCCGTGCTGGGGGAGGTTTTGGTACTTTCTGTTGTGATCTTGCCATTATGTGCCGCATTTGCAATTTTCTGGGCTGCAAATCAGCGTGCATCATTTGCTTGGATTGGCCAAGATATCCTTGTAAGTTTTCGTTCCCGAACTCTTGCTTCGCTGGGCTATTTTTTATTGTGTAATTCGCATTGTTACTAATGAAGCTTTATAAAGAATTTCAGTCCTTTTCTTTTGATCGATAAGGGGACCCCCTTCTTATACTTCCACATCCGGGGATCCGAACTATATTATTGAGAATAAGATAATAGCAACTGAACAATATGGCAGAAGTTTCAATCAAGAGTGAGAGTGAGAGACAGAAATTGCTTGAAGGTCGGCTGAGCCAGGCTTGATTACGAGCTCTATAACCTTTTACACCAAGTGATTGGATCATATTAGCCGAATCAAATTAGCTGGATGAGTTAGATCAATACGGATCTAATTCCCCGGAAAGTGACTAATGTAATACAGTCAGATAAAAAACCCAATTGCATGCGATCTGACCCTGTATGCCCATATCATGACTGTCTGCGTTGTTCTTCCCAGCAGTATTGTGTCGAGGAGCCACATCTCGCGTTTTTCCTCTTTTTTTGGAAGTAGCTTCCTAAAAATGTAGTTTTTCCCTCCTCATTTACAGTGCCTACGCTTTTGTTGTTTTATGCTACTTATACAAAGGATACTGCTATAAGTAATAGGGCCAAACTGCTTATTCCTTTTCGGGATCTCAACTAAGGTATTATATAAATGGTACTCTCTTGGAAGCCGATGATTTTTTCTCATTAAGCTATCCCGTGGCTGTTTGATGATCTCAGCTTCAGCCCATCATTGTCGTTGTCGTTCTGCATTCAGTTACATACTGCATTCATCCTTATAAACAATGTAATATAAGATCTAAGAGATAGTTCTGAAGATTTACCCGTCAAGCATCTAGAGAGGGGTTTCCTAAAGAGATAGCTTCATCTTTTACAGGGCATTTGCTTGATGATTACAGTTCTGCAGATGGCTCGCATACCAAATATCAAGGTACCTTTGATGTCGATCATCATACGTTGTGTTTGATATGTTCCGTGTCATGATTCTAATAGATTAAACTCTTACTGCAGGTCGCATCAGCACTTCTATGTTGCGCATTTGTCTATGACATATTCTGGGTATTCTTATCGCCCCTTATTTTCAAAGAAAGTGTCATGATCGCGGTACGTTTTCTAACATGCGCATGACTTTATTTGTTAGGAATTCGTTTACGACGCCTCCGAGATTTTTTTTTCATCTTTTATAAGAATTTTTCTAACCGATAACATAATTTTAGTATACATTTTATTTTGCATTATATGTGATGCCATCCAGTTGAAGAAAGGAAATGACTTTGCAACGCCGCTTACTGCGTGTGCATGCAAATCATTTATCACTCTGTCCTCGTCTTTATGTTAAGTTTTCACGTGACTGAAGTTCTTGATGTGTATTTTATCAAATGTCTACTTCTATTAGGTCAGAGAAGAACTGTGACTTTGTTTTACCCCAGATTAAAGTTGTTACCCTGTGATCCCTGTGGTACTTTTTCTTCAGTTCTTTGTGATAAGAAAAAAAAAGAAGGAAGCTGGTGCAATTATCTATTCGCAGACGTGTTCAGCGTGTCAATTCTTAGTAAATATGTTGCTCTTTGGGTTACCCAATTTTGCATTTTCTCAGAGATATGGGATGTTGATATCTATGAAATATTTATACGGATAGCAGTCTGAGACTGGAATTTGCGTCTGGCCTTTATGCATTCATACTTTTTATAATAAGAAAAAATCCAATGTTGCTTTATTTTTTTTATCTTTTTATATTTTTTAAGATCTAGTGTTTCCTAATCTTCCTTGAATTTTAAAAGTCAACTGCCTCCGACAGTGACTGCTATTGCTACAGACAATGTGAGAATCGAGGTTTCAATCATTCTTATTTGATCTGTAGGTTGCTCGTGGCGACAATAGTGGTGGAGAATCAATTCCTATGCTTTTGAAAATTCCCCGATTCTTTGATCCATGGGGCGGCTATGATATGATTGGCTTTGGGGACATCCTCTTTCCCGGTCTACTTGTCGCATTCAGTTTCAGGTATCTTTATCATTTTCCGAAGCCTTTCAGCTTGAAGGATCCTTTCAACCTAAAATTGCCGCTGCAATGCTCTTCATATCGTAGCTTAAATTTTCTTGTTTCTTGATATGTCACGGTAGATATTACTTCTGTTGAAAAGATGCATACATACACTCGAGGTAGCTTAGATGTTTTGATGGTGCGGAGCAGTAGACCATCTGTATCTTAGTTAATTACATGTCGCCCCCCCCCCCTGATGGTAGGTAGGTAGTATTGGAGGTGAGAGATTGCCTGCTTTGGGTAGTCGACGTCTTAATATTGCCGATCCCACCGACCACCATAGCTCGTTTCTTAATGAACCCATAGAAATACAAAGGATCTAGGGAGAGGAGACTGACTGATACAAGGGAAAGGATAAGATGAGCATGGTGGGTAGTCAGGCATGTTGTTGTTGTGCATCAGATGCCCAACGAAAGCGAGGCAAAAGTTGTCCCCTGAAGCTTGAATTAGGCCATGGATGACCCCGGTGAAAATGGGTATGGCATTCCGCCCCCGCCCTGAGGGGCCCCAGGTTTCTTATGTAGCCATGGCACGAGTAGCTTGCTTTTGCTGTTGGAAGAGCCACGGTCAGAGTGGATGAGGGGCCCCGGCAGCTGGACTCCTTTGGATAGAGTTTCTCGATATGGCAAATTCTATATATATATAGACATCGGCTCCCAGCATACACAATTCTTTGTCACCTGATTTCCATCAGTTCAGCTTCCAACTTTATATCTCTTGTACATGCAGATATGACAGGTCGAACAAGAAGGGTCTATTGAATGGGTACTTCCTCTGGTTGGCTCTCGGCTATGCCTTCGGTAGGTACCCGGGGAACCTGATTCTCCTCCGGTTTTACTTTGTAATAATATCAATCCATGATCTTCTCTGTGTTGCACGTACTTGCAGGTCTCTTCCTCACATACCTTGCTTTGTTTCTGATGGACGGCCATGGCCAGCCGGCGCTGCTCTACCTTGTACCATGCACTCTAGGTGACGATTCCCCGCCGCCAAATCTCTTTCCCTTACTGCCATGGAGACTGTTTTGAACATAAATCCTTTAAATCTATTCAGTCGTCTCTAACCCTTTTGTGTGTGTCTCATCTCAAATCCGTTTGGCTTTTGTTCCTTATCTTTTCCAAATATTTTTTATTTCTTTATTTCTAGATTATAGACTACTTCCATTTATAAGTTTTAATTGTATTTATTTATTTTTATTTATAAATTGAAAACATATGAGCGCCCCCCCAAATTCACATATATAACACTCTTCTTGTGGGTGGAATCAGGTCTTATCGTCGTGCTGAGCGCTGTGAGGGGGGAGCTCAAGGACATGTGGCTCTACGAGAAGAAGCCTCCCGGCAGTCTCCCCCCCGGGGAGGCGTGAGGGACCGCCGCCCTTCACCCTTCTAGGGTTAGGCCCCTCTGTTCATACACTGACACCTCTCATGCTTCTGCCGCCGAGGAGCTTCGGTTACTATCGAGGAAGGTCGAACCTGAAGCCCCGCCGGCGCTGCGCAGGATGTGGGCCCAATGTTTTTGGAGAGGAAAGTACCTCAGCGGTCACAGCCTGCTTCTTCCATGTGTTGTCGATTCATCTTCTCTCAAAGACTATTGGGAATCCTTCCCGATGCTGTAATTTTTCTCGCACTTATAGACTTGTGATCGGAACCACTTGTTCTAATGATTGTGTCCTGAGTTTGATGGCACTGTTCTACCGTGCATATTCTCCTTGTTCCCCAGGTTTTAGTCGCCATTGCAAGTCCTTTAATCCACTTCGTACCAATTAATCGACTTAACTAATGAAATGAAATCTGCAGGGAGTGCCTTATTCGACAGGCTTTTACTAGTAAAAATGTACCTCTAAAAGGAAAGGTTTGATAATAAAATGAAATTAGAAAAGGTGACCAATGAACGTGGCCAAGCTCCCTGGGTCTCTTCAATAATAGAATGACCCAGTTTCCATAGATTATCTGCCGATACAAAGAACAACAGAAAGAGAGAGAGAGAGAGAGAGAGAGAGAGAGAGCATCCACTAGACAAATCTCCAAGTTCTTGCTATCGGGCCGTTGTCTGTAACAGTGGATGACAGAATATTGCAGGACAAAAAAAGGGGCACAAGAGCTCTCCTAGAGAAGAACAAAAAGACATGGTGAGTGGCCGAGTCAGGCAGCTCACTCATCTTCCTGAGAACGCAGCCTGGCCAGCTTGTTGGTAACGACGATGTCAAGTTGGGCGGCCCTCTCCACGATGTCCTTGCGCTTCCTTGTCGAGACATTGTGTGCAATCTCAGCACAGTACGTCCTACGCAAACAAAAATTTAATAAAAAACGTAAATTGATTAGGTAGGAAGCACCTGGCATGAACAGCACAAGAATCTCTAAAAAACGAGAGGGAAATTCCTTCTAACCAAAGAAACACATGAAACATTACGAAAATAAACACCTAGTCAAAGTGAAGGACTCTTCGGAATCTATACAATGTGAGAAACGTTGACTTTTTTATTGGGCCTCACCTGTTGTGCATCATCAAGAGTTCCAAATCCTTGACATTGTGAACGACAAACTTCTTGAAGCGATTGGGAAGGTAGTGACGGGTCTTCTTGTCCGAGCCGTAACCAATGTTGGGCATGAGGGTGCATCCTTTGAACTTTCTTCTAACTCGTGAATCAATACCCTTGGGCCTGCGCCAGCTCGGCTGTGGTAAATGAAAAGCAACTATCAGACCCTAATTGCTACAGCTTCTGAAGAAGAAATGTAAGCAAAATAAATGGTAGACACGCATGATTCAACTGCTGCAACAGTGATTGGCTGTCTCTTTTTCAGACAGAATGACCAAAATACACTTCCGATGTATGCTTAAAAGGTAATATCGAAGAATTGAAGCTTCGAAAATAAAATGACAACCTAAGAATTTTTTACATGATAATCACAACCATATGTAATCAATCATAAAAAGACAATCTCTAGCTTTCATAATAATTAAAGTTGAATACCCGCGTTTCTAAAAAGATGAAACAAAGGAATGCGACGAAAAACTGGGATGACGATGCGTAGATAAACTTTAATTATTACGAGCATTACTTTTCAACAAGCCCAAGGCAATGTATGATTCAAATGAAATGCAGACACAATCACTTCAAAGTGAAAATTGGACGAAGGCAAGAGGAGATTTTTCTTCTCGGCACCTTAACGGAGATCTTGCGGTCGCTCTGCGGCCTCTTAAACTTCTTGGTGCGCTTCTTCACGATCTTCTTGCTCAGCAGCGGCACGGCCATCTTTACTTACTACCTTCCTAACAAAAAAAACAGGAACAGGAAATAAGAAAACATACCTAGTCCGTAAAAATGGAGAAATTGACAGGTTCCCCGGCAATAGTAGTCAGCATAAAAAGAATCCCCCTCCTCCCGAATAGGAGCTAACTCCGGGAAGATCCAACACTAAGCCCTCCCCCATGAGGAACGAAAACAATACTGCTGCACACGATAAGGAGTGGGGTGGAGGCCAAAGCGGGAATCCCAACAGAGAGAGCGACCGCAGAAACATACTCCCCCTCCAGACACTAGCCCAGCGAAAAGAGAGGAAACGGACCAAGAGAGAACGATCAAGAAGCTTACAGTGGCGTCGGAGCTGCGGCGCGCTCCTCGGTCTATGCCTCCGCCGGCAAAACCCTAATATGAGACGGCTAAGAACAGGGCGGCTGCACAATATATATGGGGTGGCAAACTCGGATTTGTCCACGCGGATCGGGTTGGGCCTGTCCAAAGGCATGGCCGGATCAACATAGGATCCGTTTACAATTAAATGGGCCGGCCCTGGCCCGGCCACAGAGAGAGAGAGAGAGAGAGAGAGAGAGAGTTATCATTTTGGGGCCCGTCAGCCCAGTAAAACCGGCCTGGACTAGGTCAGACAGATCTGCCCATCTACCCCTCGAACTAGTTAGCTAGCTTGTTAGCTTGTAGCAAGTACAATACATCTGCATATATTCAGATTAAATTAACACATTTTAAATTTTATAAGAAGAAAAAATCAGTTAGGGGTAAAAATGCTTGAGAAATGGTCTCTCGGTTGAGCCAATTTATAAGTCGGGCCCGGCCCGTTTGAGACCTTGCTTACACGGAACCAGTCAACTGCCATTCGAACCAACTCCGATTATTCAAATAAACATTCACATCCCGTTGCATGGTTGACTAAAAAGCTGCATTCGCATGATTCCGGAAAGCCAGGTACAAGTGCGTTCATCCGCTGACCTGGCCCCCTCTGCCTTTCATCACGTGCCGCCTGAGCCCGGGGATGTGGACGGTGGAGATGTAGTCCTTCCACCGGACTGCCCCCACGTCGAAGCCGAATGCCCTCCTCTCCTCCTCGGACATCTCCTCCAGCAACTTGGTGGTGTTCGTGTTGTCAAACCTGCGTGCTCCCACGGAGTCAACGTTTACATTCGGTCAATCTCCACGTCACTCATTTCCGCGTCAAAAAGTCAAAAAAACTCCCATTTCCTCTTCTCTCACCTTCCGGCGTAGAATGTGTAGGGGCTGTAAATTTTGGCCAAGTGATCGGCCTGCGCCAGAGACTTCTTGGATATGTGCTTGAGCCTGAGGGAGAGGGCTTCCGAGTGGGAGGAGGATTTCAGCGCCGCCCGTTGACTCCTGTCGGCGGCGTCCGCCGCCATGTGAGAGGAGAAGTCGTCGGCGTCGAGGAAGAGCTTGATCCTGTCGACTTGAATCTGCCGCCCCGTGGCGTCCACGTAAGGGGAGGCGCTGAAGTGGTCGAAGAGGGACGCCGCGAGCTCGCTGAAGACCAGAGGGTTGACTACTGATGATGCCATGTGGTAGACGTGCACCCCTGGGCCTCTCCCCCCGCCGTGCTTCGCCATGGTCGCCAGCATGGCGTTGACCACCATGTCCGCCGGAACCTGCGCGGGATGAAGAGAGAGGGTAGGAGAGAGAGAGAGAGAGAGAGAGAGAGAGAGAAAGAGAGAACGTGGTTTCAATTGAGCTCTTACGACGTCGAGAACTCCTTCTGGGTCAGCGAGAAATCCGGTCAGCTGCCCCTTCCCGTAGTAGAGAATGATTGGGTCCATCATCCTGTGGACAAGCGGAGAGGAAGTTTCTCTGTCAACGCTGACGATAGAGAGAGAGAGATGTTGTCCCAGTGAGTAGAGACCTGTTTCCTTCCATCCACCCGGGGAAGGGTTCTCTGTAAGTACTCTCAATGACGCTGGGGCGGATGGTGACGACGGGAATATCTCCTCTCATGCTGTTAACGACCATCTCCCCCATGGCCTTGGTGAAGGCGTACGTGTCCTGCCATCCGTGGATCCTCGCCCTGTCCAGAAAGCTCTCCTCTCAGAAACCCTAAACCCGCAGATAAGACGGGAAGAATACGAGCGCCTCACCTCTCCAGCCCCAGGTTTTTCATCTCCTGAGCCAGATCGTTGACCGGAAAAGTCGCCGCCGCGGACTCGGCGGCCAGCCTTAGCTCTGCTTTGACGTCGAGCTTCGGAGTTGACTTCGGCGTGTCGACCATCTCCGAGGCGATGGTGTCCCCCATGGAGAAGGGCTTCTCGAGGATCTTGCCTCGCCTCTGCCCATTCACGTAGGCTGCACCGAGAGAGAGGTGAGATGGGAGGGAGGAGAGCTGGACCGGGGGATTTGACTTTCTGAGAAGTCACCTGTGGAGACTTGGAGGAAGAGCTCGACTTTCTCGCACCTCCTCGCCAAGCTCATCAGTCTGCACGGACCGACTGTGTTTATATCCAGCGCAACGTCGTATCTGTGGAAGAGAATCAGCGGGGTATTTGAGGAGGTTTATAGACTCAACGAGAAGATTGAACGATAGGTTTATGACTACCATCATAGATTCTGATATCGTGCTGTTATTTCTACCTTTCGTCGAAGGTGGTGTTCGCAGCCGAGTTGACGATGATATCGACGGCGGCGACGATCTCGTCGATCGACTCCAGCGAGATTCCGAGGTCGGGTTGCCTGACGTTTCCGGCAACGGGAACCAGCTTCTGCTCCATGAAAGCTTGGTAGCCCTCGCCATGGATTTCCCGGAGGAGCCTGAACAGTTCGGAGTTGATGACCTGAAAGAGAGGAAAACTAGACAAATTAGAGAGAGAGAGAGAGAGAGAGACTCTGATATTTGCGTGGAGTACATACCTCAGACTTGAGTCTACGCATTGCAGCTTCTTTGTTCTTAGCCTGGATGAGCAAGTAGATATTGCCGACGTCTGGTGCAACTCGGAGGATCTTCTCGATGAGAACTGGAGGAAAAGAAGAAGGTTAAAGCATGGATGAAATCTACTGAGAGAGGATAGATAGACGGAAGGACAGACAGAGAAAGAGAGCACGGCGACCTTTGCCAAGGAAGCCTGTGCCGCCGGTCACAAGAAGGCACTTTCCCCTGAGAAAGTCAACGATACCGAGGCCAGAGACCTCCGCGTTGGCGGCGCCACCGATCATCTCTCTATATGACAACTGCTCGGCCGCCTCCAGGCTGTTTCCAAAAGGAGAGGAAATCTGCGTAGGAGTAGACGAGACAGCCGCCTTCGCCGTGAAGGCCACCGGCGCGCCGGCGCAGCTCGCCACCTTGCCTGCCATGCTACAGCAGGAAACCATACGATGGCACCTTTTCCCGGAGCGGATGCAGAAATTGTCAGATGTTGTGTGCGCCGCCGTGGCTGAGCTTAGGAAGAGGCTCCGCATCTCGACAATAGAGATCAGGAAATGCAGAACTCCTCTCTCTCTCTCTCAGTGGAAGGAGGGGAGAAAGCCCAGGTTAAGGATGGCTGAAGAGGAGTGAGAAGATGAGGGCAAGCCAACCAACAAAACAAGTGAGCGATTGAGAGAGAGCGGGGAGGATGGAGTGTAGTTGTTGGGGGAGCCCTGAACTGGGCGGAGGGTGGGAGGCAGGTTATTAAGGTGTGGGAGGGGAGAGGGAAGGAGGGAACGCGAAGTTGTTGGGCTCAATTCTTTAAGAGTCTGGTTGGGCCGGCTCTCTTTCTCTTTCTTCTGCAACCACCTCCCTCCTCTCTCCTCCCTCTCCCTCTCTCGTTCATGCTTTCTGCCTTATTGATGAAGGGGTTCACCGGCCACAAGAAAGATTTTAAGTGTATGATAAATGATGCATGGAGAGAGAGAGAGAGAGAGAAGAGAGGCGGGAAACGTATTTTCTTGTAAGTGTTGTTATGGGATTCTCCGATCAAGGCAATTATTCATAACCTACACATAATAAAGTTAAGCTTACGTTGGGAGTATGGTACAGTTCAGGTTTCTCTCTCTCTCTCTCTCCCTCTCTCTCCCTCCGTTCACTTTAGAGCCCATTTTCCAGGCTTTTTCGTTGGGTTCTTCTCCAAGTTCGGGCCTTCCGAACTACATCTTGTTTTCCTCCAACTGTGAATGAAGTAGAGAAAAAATCCTGATGAAGTTAATAACCACTTCCATAATTTGATTAAGTTTAATCGAAGACCCAACAATTTGACGATTTCTGTCGAGAAATTCCTCCGATCGATTTTTCATCAAATTATTTATTTAAACCGCTAAAGACTTGAAGAATAGTGATTAATATGCCATCCCCACGCCCTCAAATTTATTTGGATAATTTTATTATCCAATTTTTATTATATTTCTCAAGGCGATAAATTTTTAAATATAATAAGTGATAATCCAAAATCATTTTTCCTAATTAAATGTTACTATTTAAACGTAATTTAAATTAAACCAAAATGATAATACCCAATAGTTTTTTCGTCATCAAAATATATTCATGCTATTTTTTAACCACTCAGAAGGTCAAAAAACTGCCTTGCCGCTCGGATTCTAAGGACATAGCGACCTTAGGTTGAATATAGGTTGGGATTTGAAGTAAACCATATGGGTAGCGACCTTAGAAGAACTCAAGTTCACCAAAGGAAATAATGGGCTGATTAAGTGAAACCTACTAGGGCCTCCTGATCTGCAAGGCCCGATCTGGCCATGAAAGAAGCAGGCAAAATGGGCCTTTGGACGTAGTTCGTTCAATTCCATGGCCGCTCCTCTCTCTCTCTCTCTCTCTCTCTCTCTCTCAAAGAGAACCACAAAGTTCAACCCAGCCTACGTCCATTGTACTCCTATCTCACATTTAGAAGTTGTCGTCTAATTGCAATGCTATTATTTAATCACTCATATGTATATTAAGAATAAAAAAATTATTTATTTTCAGCTTGTGCATTCTGATATCATCTTTTAGGTTAAAATGCCGCAAAAAAGGTGGACTTTGTGCTTCACTAATTAAATAATACAGTTGTCACTACCATCAAAGAACTTGAAAATATTTAATTAATGTCAAAATTACAGATTATATTTATTTTAGTGTTAATACCTTTATGAATAAATAGCCATTTAGTAGCTAACAGCGAATTGCTATAACTCAGACTAAAAATTATCATAGCAAAGCATGTATCTACGATATGAGTATTTTTTTCTCACTTCGATCTATACTCATGACAACTAGCATGCCATCTTTGATGAGATCAACGGACCCGTTTTCGACCCTATTAATTAGATGCCGATTCACATGCCACCGTGGACATTAATGCAATAGACCCTTTTAACGATATCAATGACAACTAGCATCCTACTCTAGAAGACGAGGATCTAACCAGGAAACCCAAGAAGATGGCATCGGCCACCAGCAATTCCTGAGCTACAGAGCGGCTTCCCTTCCGGGTCAAATCATTCAATCAATACCATATTTCTATTATTAAAGATAAAAAGAATGAAAATATACATCGGTGGAGTACAGCAGTTCAATTTTTCTGTTGATATGAAGCTGTTCATGTTGAGAACCGATGGAGAGGAGCATGGTTTTCCATTTTTCTGACATTTACATAAGATTGCATCGAAGAGAATGCTGCGGTCAGATGGATTGGGAGATATATTCAAGCATCTGCTCGATCGTAGAGGATCCAGAAGAGGAAGAGAGCTTGCTTGGATTGGGGAAATTGGGAGCGGAAGGCAGTCAAGAGAGAGTGTCTGACCGCTGGCATGAAGCGACGTCCCTGCTGTCTCCACAGATGGAGCAAGCGGGCTGATCAGAGCCAGACCGGCCGGAGAAAGGAGGGATTCTTGCTTCAAGACATGTCCAGCTCTTCATGTCGGAGGATGATGACCTGCTAAAAGCTGGAAGGGGCCAGGAGATTGTACTAATTTATGCTCTGACAGAGTCTGAAGGTGGAGAAAGAAGACTTCTGTGATGGTTTTATTTACTGGGAAGGAGACGACGGCGTCCAGTGCTCGCCGGAGACACCCGCCCCAGGTGGTGGCGCCGGCGACTTGGGAGAACCGAGAACTATCCTTTTTTTGGTTCTGTACAGACCCATCTTCGAATCCAATCGAACGCACCAGTAGTAGATACAGAAGTGTCAGTCTTGCTTACCGCATCGGGAAGACCATCATCATCGCCGTGGTTAGACAGAATGCGCCACGCCCCTCGTCCGGTTCATCCTCTCCAGTATCCCCGCCGCCTTCCTGCGTGCCCTCGAGGTCCCGTTCTGGGCGAGCTGCGAGATGGTGCCGTTGAGGTCCTCTTCCTCCCTGACCTCCCGAAGCTTCGTCCGGTCGTTGATGCAGATGGAGTGGAGGACCACAGCGGAATTCTCCCTGTTTCGGCCGCATGTGCTCTCCTTGATGATCCCCAGGAGAGAGGGCACCCCACCGTTGGAACCCATATCCTCCACCGCCTCCTGGTTCCCTGCCAGCATCGCTAGGATGGCCAGGGACTCGTCGACGAGAGTCTGCTCCGTGACGGTCTTCAACAGCACCCGCACCGCTCCCTCCTTCACGGCCCGGCTCCTGTTGTCGTGGGCCACGCAGAGGTTGAAGATGGCGGACGCGGCATCCTTCTTGGCCACTGGGCTACCCTCCTCGAGCAGCTTTACCAGGGGGCCAATCGCCCCCGATTCCCCGATCCTGAGCTTGTTGGAGTCGAGCGCCGAGAGGGTGAACAGAGCGGCGGCAGCGTTGCTGCGAGTCTCCATGTTCCCCGTCCTCAGGGCGTCGATGAGCAAGGGGATGGCCTGGGGGTTCTCCCCAACGACCTTCTTGTTGTTGTCGTGGATGGAGATGTTGAGGATGGTGGTGACGACGTCCTCCTGCATCTCCGGGTGCTGGCGGAGCTCGGAAGAGGACAGCAGAGATAGGAGGCGGGGGATGGCGTCGGGATTCTCACCGAGGAGTGTGCGGAAGGATGGTCTGCGCTTAGTGAGCAGACGGAGCTCCCTCACCGCGTTCTTCTGCTCCGAGACGGAGGGGAAGGAAATCTTCTCCAGGAGACCGCAGAGCTCAACGCGTTCACCTTGGGTGACGACGCTGGCGGCGTCGTCGCCGCCGTCGAGAGTGTCCCTCGGGGGAAGATCCACGCCGTGGGAATCGCACCATTCGGAGATCATGCGGCGGAGGATGTGGTTCGGTGTGAGGAAGCAGTGAACAAGCACCTGCTCTGTCCGCGGGCAAGTCCGGTGGCCGGCGTTGAGCCAAGCCTGAATGAAAGGACGGTCGTACGTCTGCGCAGAAAAAAAATTGCCAGAAAAAACCGAATAAATAACATCCATCCAAGAATGAGGAAGAAACAAGAAAGGAATCCCTCTGGATCGGACTCTGTGCTTCCACTGTACAGCTTGCTCATCTTCTGTACGAACTGAACACCAATTCTTGAGCATACAACTTTCCGGAGTCTACTTCGACGAAACCCTCAGCGAAATAGCGTCGATCGAATGTGTAAGGAAGTCGAAGAAGAACAACTAGAAGACTAATTCCAATTGCTCGTAGGATCGGAAAGAGGGAAAAGTGTCGACTACGGAAGTGATAAGACCGAACCATACCTCCCCTGTGGCGAGGACGACAGGTTCCTTCATTATCTCGGAGGAGATGGGGCAGAGAAAATGCTCAGGTACGGCGCCCTTGCCGGCTGCCGGGGACGGCTTTCTCTGCTGAGGCGAGATCGACGACCTCATCCCTTTGCCGCTGACGCCGACACCGCCCCCCTTCCTCTGGCAGCCGAATTTGTGCTCCCTCAGCGCAGACAGAACCATGGACGCCCTATCCAAGGCCTCCGCCGCAGCAGCATCGTCCATAGACGGCTCTCCGCCGGCAATCGCGTCTGCCAACCTTCGGAGCTCCATCTTCAGCTCCCCCTCCGCCAGTTTCTCCATCCCCCCCGCCCCCCGCCGCCTGGCTAACCCCATCATCTACCTCCTCCGCCGAGATCGCAATCGCTGAGACCGATCAGAAGCCAGAGAGTCGGATTCCCCCCTGCGTCCTCCCCATGGAGGAATGTCAGAAGGAAGCCGATGAGAAGCGACGGCAGCCACCTGAAACGGAAGCCACGCTTTGACACTGGTTTGGGGTGGTGGCGGCCGTGGCGGCCGCGGCGGCGACGATGGTGGTGCCGCCACCGGTCCTCTCCTCCTCGCCCTTTCTCTCTTCCCACGACGGCCTTCGCTCTCAGTAAATAGTCCTAATTCGCATCGTCATTAATCACCGGCCTCTCGTTGGGGTTTTCGTATTTAACCACACAATAAACGAGATCGAGAGTGGCGGCGTATCCCGTCCTCTGCTCCGCGGCTGCCTGGCAGCTATTTTGTCCGCCACGTGGCAACCTCCGCTGGAGAGACCCCACGTGATAGCTGTTCCCGGGAGTCACGTGATAATCTCCTGCCCAATCATCTGCCAGCGTGGACAGACAGCTGGTGGCCACATCCGGCCCACCTCGTCCACATCGCTCGATTGAAACGTTTTTGTCGGACGTGTCACCTCTGTTGGCGGCTGCACACTGTCCCCGTCATTTCCCGCCAAAAAATCGAAACCAGCTCATCCCCCATTGGAGCCGACTGGTTGCAGCTCCTCGCCGTGATGATCAAGCAGAACCGCGTGCCCGTCTAGCGGCGCCTCCGCCGCCGCTGCCACACCCAAAACCGGCCACGTGTGACAGCAAAACCTCCAGCGGTGACGGTGCCGCCGACACGGGCCTCTCTCTCTCTCTCTCTCTCTCTCTCTCTCCGGATGCTCTAATAATGGGGATTGGTACAGACTCGAACGACTCAGGATGAGGTCGAGGGTTGACTGCACTGTAATTGTGTGGACCCATAGCTGACTATTGCGTAGATTTGGTCGTTGATCCGAATGAGAGCATCCAATCCTCGTTCTCGATTAATTAAATACTATTTCCCGATCGGAATACGTGATATTTCGTAAATAGTAGGTGTCACTTGATTTTTAATAAAGCAACTTTGTTCGTGGCGATCTAACATTAGTTTGATACAATAAATTAAAAGGAGAAAGAGACGTGTCGGCAAAGAGACCCTCCGGGGAATGGAAGGTGGCTACCGTGCCATAAAGTCAAAGCTTGCCCATTACCATCGATCCCGTGACGGTAGCAGGGGTGTCTCGAGCTCTTGATGGCCTACGGAAAACACTCTTCTGCGTTGACCGGAGCCGTGAACCTTCGTAGAGAGAGAGAGAGAGAGAGAGAGAGAGAGAGAGAGAGAGAGAGAGAGAGAGAGAGAGAGAGAAAATCCGTCTATTAGTAAATAAATTGTCAGAGTTTTTACTTATAAGCAAGTATTATGCGTCAATGTTCCAGCTGGGGGCCATATGCTACAGCACGTGCCAACTGGGCCCACCACACCCAATTATACTGCGTGTCGAGGAGATACAATGCCGATGCTTCCAATCCTCTCAACTTGCATTCATTCCTTCTCTACGTAATTGGCTAGTTAACCTCTATTCAAAGAGTCAATCCTCATTTGGATGACGGCAAATGCATGTTTAAATGAGGAAAGTATGAGGCACGCATACGCACCTACCACGCTAGCCAGTTAAGTCAACGATGCTAACTTGTGGTGATGAACCTGCTGCAAAAAGATTCCTGTAAAAATAATTGGTCAAACTACATTCACATTAATCAATTCTTCTGTACAGTTTATAATTAAGGTGAATATTCCTTCTTCTGTACACTTTATCCTTTTTGGGTTGATTCCGGCGCCGGCATCATCCCTTCACCGTCACGTCGTCGTGATATGTAAGTAAGAGGGAGGGAGCGGGGAGGAGGCGAGAGGGAGAGAGAGAGAGAGAGGAATCAAGAGGACCTATCGATCCTGATTAAGCAGATAATTAATGCTCTCATCATACGAGCTGAAAAGGTGACCAAGAAGACATGCCGGAGCGTGCCGACGCCGTCTCAGGTGTACAACGATCGACGGCGCGCGTGCCGGAGGGGAAATATCCTCAAGCCTCCGATGTGTGGGTTGGGAGGAGACTAAAATAACTTATTGCGTCACCGTTCCTTGATAGGATGGTCTAGCTAACTCGCTTTCAAACAAATGAGATGTGGTATCCACCGCCCATATCACTTCCTGTTTGGTGAGTGGTCATCTCATGATCCCTACCTCTCTCTCTCTCTCTCTCTCTCTCTCTATATATATATATATATATATATATTGCTATTTGATATATTTGTTTGGGTAAGAACAAAGTTGGATTATTTTTACGTTTTTAATGGGATTTTCTTATCTACGAGTTCATCACCATTGCCAACTTTAGAATCAACGGGTCCCTCTCTCTATCTATAGAGATACGCGTATATATATAATATTTTTGTGGGTCTAGAAAAATAATTGGATTTATTTGAATAAAAGACTGAACTATTGGAAGATTTTTGATAAAGGACGTTGTAAACCAGGTTTTATTTTTTTTTATTGTGGCAAACTTTGTTAAACGTTTATCTTATATAACCTATCGAGTAGATAATGGTGGAGCAACATGGCGAGAGAACGTGGGCTCTGGACAGCTGGGCCAATCGCGATGAAGGGCCAGGAGAGTAACTGGGCTGGGCGGGCCGGATTTTATTTTTTCGGTTCGAATCTTTAGGCCCGAGCCCGGGAAAAAACCCCCTGACTATCGCGCTGTCGATGCCGCCACGTCTTTATGTAGTACTCTCCAACTCATCGCGATGGTCAATGCATGACCGTGATCAGCGACTTTATCATCCGTCGTTCATAGTCAACGCTATGTCGCAAAATTCAATAACGGTAAGGAAGCTTGTCTTGGGGTCGGCCGACTGGAAGTCCCTTGTTACGACTCTCTCTCTCTCTCTCTCTCTGCCCGTCGCCTCAGAAAACATCGAATGTGTCGAGTAAGGCCAGTGAAGTCTTCTCTCTCTCGGTCCTCTCTTGGAACATCCCACGTGTCGGGAGAAGACGTAAGGCTATATCTCTCCCTCTCTAAAAACACGGCACGTGTTTTCGAGTGCAATCTGGCTCCTCTCTCTCTCTATCTGTCCTCCCCCCTGTCCCTTTTTGTCTCTCTCGGACGTGTTGGGGATTCTTGTTGAGATCAACCCATGAAGTTGGGCACGGCCGACGAGTCTCTCTCTCTCTCTCTCTAGAGAAAGACCTCTAGTTTTCTAAGGCGAAGGCAGAGAGAGAGACGACTGATGCCGTGTCTGAAGAGGACGACCAATATGCACGCCGAGGTGGAGCCCAGGGAGCCTTCACTGGATCCCGAGGGAGCCTTCGTTGGACCCCAGATGGAACGGCCACGTCAGCATACGACCTTTCAGCGCGACCCATCGGTTCCTTCCTGTAAAAACGAGCTCCAGGCAACTGTACAGCTCGGCCCAAAAAATATGGGCTTGGGCTTAAAATAAGTGGAAAGTAGTTCAGCCCATTTATTTTATGGGCCTGGTATAATATGCAGCCCATAGAGTTGTAGGCTTGATTTTATCCACGTGGTCCCTCTCTCTCTCTTTCTCTCTCTCTCTCCTCTCTCAGCTGCGTATGGGGCTTGGGGCCAGTCCTATTTTTGGGGTTTTTCTGTAATTGTGAGATTTATTGATAGATATCAATGCTGGATTGGGCTCGAAAAGCCCAGACCACTTCAATTGATCAAACCTAAAATGTGGGCCGATATCGTAATTACGTGGGCCGATGTGACTCGGGCCCGTGTGCTCATGAAGAAAGATGAGGATGGCTTTTCCGGGCGGGGTCCAACGCGGGTGGAGAATATTGACTCTTGACTCTCTCTCTCTCTCTCTCTCTCTCTCTCTCTTTGTGCTGTTTAATCCGGAGAGCAGAGCGCGGAATCAGCCGACTGGACCTCCACGGAGCTGTTGCCTTCCAGTTGAAGCAAGGAGAGGGAGAAGAAGCGATGCCCCGGGGAGTCCCTGATTCCCTGCGCTCATCTGTCCCACCTTCCCGTCGACGAGGGGAGTCCCAGGAATTTTAGATTTTGATGGGAGGAAAAGGGTAGAGGACGAGGAATTTCGTCGTGATTTTTCGCAGATTCTCTTCCTCGGGACTTGTTGGGAGGGAGGAGTGGTGGTTTGCGGCGATTCCATCTTTTCAATCTCTGCGGCGGAGGAAAGGAGGTGAAGGAAGTAGGGGAAGGACGTGGTCGGGGGAATGGGTCAGAAGAAGCCCTCTCTGCGCAGCAAGGCGGCGCATCTGGTCTCCGATATCACCACCGTCCTCCTCAATCCCATATCCGACGAGCCATCTACTCCACGTGTGAGTGTTTTCTCCTCCTCGCTCCATCTTGCCCTCCGTTTGGGGCAGTTTCCGAGATGTTTGTACGCGATCATCGCTTTCCGTCTCGAGGGCACGGATTTTAGACAAACTGGTTCTCGTCCCACGAGAGTGATCCCACTGGAGGAAAAGATAGCTTCAGCTGTTCTTCAAGAAACCGAATAAGCAGAAGGATACTTAAGATTTTTAAGGCTAGAACAATCTTTCAATCGGAGACGCACCATTGTTCTGGATCAAAACAGTTGCTCCTCCTGATCAGGTCGTGCAGAGTGGACGCCACCTCATTTCGCGGTGTTTGCTTACCTCATTCGCTCGATTATACTGTCGTCTTATGGCTCATCTCAGGAAAATCTGTTGTCTCTAGGGTTTATGTGGCTTAATACGATCGTGATCAAGAATTTACGAATCAGCTGTAATTTTAAAATCGAGATCATCCAACTGTAGAACGCCCTCATAGTTGTTCTACAAAATAATTTTGATTTATAATGGCATCTTAAAATTTTGAACGGGTATATCTTCTGAGTTGGGCGTCTTGCATTTCTTCCACAAAAAAAAAAGAAAATTTGGCAAATGTTTTAAAATAATTCTCCGTTATTACATTACACTAAAAATCTTAGAGAGCCGCCGCCTCTCGGGAGCTCATCGTTTTCTTCTGATCGTTGACCTCAGTTTTATCATCTCCTTACTGTTTTCCTCGTATCGGATTTGGCCAGGGGGACGGTGCAGCAAAGGAAAGCCCGGAAGAAGAAGCTCCAGAAACCGAGTCCAAGGTCCTGGTCGGGCCCGATACATCCTCTTTTACCGCGTTCTTGGCTTCACTTCTGTCATCTGCGGAGTCTAGCGATCATTTTAGCGTTCAACCCGAGGAACCCCGTGCCAGGACGGAGGAGGTGGCGTCCTCCTCCTCTGGGATCAATGAGAATGCTGGAAGAAAAGGCTTGTTCTCCAGAGGGAAGCAGTCCCTTGGTAAAGCTCTCCAGAAGGCATCTAGAATGGGTGGCTATAGAGATAAAAGATCACACCCAAGGTCTGACTCCGATTTGACGAATGGTTCGAGCCTCTCTTCGCATGGGCCGATGCCGGTGAACTCCCCCAAGAACAGTGCGTCTCAGATTAGTCTTCCAGCGATGTCGGAGCCCTCGTTGCTTCTTTCAGAAAGCTTCCGAGGTGATCTTTATGCCTCACTGCCGGCAGTAACACAGGGGAAACATTGGGTCCTTCTCTACAGGTGCGCATATGGATGCTCGAGGCGGAAGTAACTCCGATACGAGGACTAAGGAATCTGATCGCTGATAATTTCTTCTGTGTGTTTTTCAGCACAGCGAGGCACGGGATATCACTCTCCACGCTGTACAGAAGAAGTTTGCTTTGCCCGGGTTTCTGCTTACTGGTGAGGACCCAACCGTGGATGTTTATGTTCTTTACCTCTAGAGGTAGAACGAGCATTAAAAATCTGCGCACCATTTTTTTTGCATTCCAGTTCTTTATATACATTTTAATTCAAAAAGAGAGCTCAAACAGATGGATATCATATTTTTTGAGCTAAATCTGATGAATTTTGGAGATCCCCTGCTAAATTTCGAGATAAAGGCTTCTGATCTGATGTATTTTTAGGCCGGATCTCTGGAATCACAGGTTCTTCTCCCGATAAAAATCATCCCTTTCCACCCTCAAATTTGCAAGACAGCCTGAGATATATTCGGCTTTAGAACCACCATCGGCTCTGAGACTCTGTTCAAATTACTGGCAGGGCCATGTCTTTATACTCTCGATGATGCTAATCAGATACTCTTGCGTAGGTTGTCGGGGACCAGATGGGCGCTGTATTTGGGGGTTTGCTTGAGGCGCCGCTCCTTCCATCCAGTAAGAGGAAGTATCAGGTACCTCAGAATGGGTTCTCCTCACTCACTACTCGCAACAAATGCAGCTAATATTCGCCAGAGTTGACTATGTATTTTGCCATTTCAGGGAACGAATAGCACCTTCATCTTCACCACTCTCTCTACCCCTCCCTCCATTTTCCGCCCGACAGGTGCCGGACCGCCCATTTTTGACCGATTAACCATGCTTTCTCAAGCACCTGACCGATGATCGGACGCCTGCAGGAGCTAACCGGTACTTCTCCTTGTGCTCTCCCGACTTCCTGGCCATCGGAGGCGGTGGGCACTTTGCGCTCTACCTGGACGGCGATCTGTGAGCGCCCTCCCCTTGCTGAGACCAGCTTTTCTCTCCCGTTTGGCCATTTCTGGCCATTTTTCATTCAGCTCCACGATAAGCTAGACTCCCGTGCTAAAAAGAGACGCTTGGGTCAACAGTCTGAGCGGATCGAGCTCCACATCGGAGACCTTTGGCAACCCCTGCCTCGCACATTCCGAAGATTTTCAGGTCAAAGAAGTCGAGGTACGAGCATTCTTCATCATCTTTATCTATCTTTCTTTGAGCTTATGGATCTTTTGAGTGGATAGAAAGGGAGAGAGGGGCTGAGGCTGCTACTTCTGCTGCTGCCTCTGTGAAATGCAGCTGTGGGGCTTCGTGTACGCCTCAAAGTATGACGAGATGATGGCGCTCTGCCACGCCGAAGCCGCCGCCGGCATCTGCCGCTGGTGAATTTGTGTAGAGGAGGAGGACGGCACCGGCACGTTGACTAGCTGAGAGAACCTCCTCCTGCCTGATCGTTCACCGAGCTTTCTTGTGACTAATCCTCCTCCTGTCCTTTAACATGTACATATTCTGTATGGCGGAAGCCATGGGCTCTTTGATTCTGAAATATATTTCACATTAGTATTTGGTATGTCGATAGTTTTAGAAAAAAATTGTGGTGTTTTCCAAGCCGGGGATTCGTTCACATCGAGGTCATGGAGATTGTATGCATGAAATTGGGGGTCCGAGGTAAGTATTTTATGCTTATAGAGGTATTTGACCTTTGCAGATGGGTCAAGTGGGAAAGAAGTCAACCTTGTTATACTCTTATGGGTAACCCATCACAGAGATTCAGGTTGCAGACGAGTCAGAGTCAACCCTACCCTGTTTAGATTAGGGTTGACCTGGTTTCGGGTTCATGTATTTTTAGGAAGTTTCTATGGAGAGTTAAATAGCCGTACTTTTTTCGCTTTGAGGAGTTTGCTAATGGTGGAATAAAAAAGAGAGCATTGTGATGCGGCCTGGACTTCAATAAGATCTGGAATGAAATCTCAGCTCCCTCATTTTTCTCGTTCTGTAGCTGTCTGGTGTTCACTTGTTTGACCCTCTGTGTGTGTGTTTGTCTCTCTCTTTCGCTGTATGTACACATGGATATGCATTCATGCATAGATACACAGATGATCAAAGTAGGCAGTTGGGGCATCATTCAGAAGACCGGAACCTTGCTCGGCATTCCAAAGGCTAGAGTGAGAGCAACCGGCGGAAGCTTATTCATTCAAATCTTATGATAACGGATGATGAGGTTAAAGGCAGAAGACAGTAGAGAGAGAGAGAGAGAGAGAGAGAGAGAGATGTGAGGGGATTATAGGCAGCAACAGTAGAGGCGGTATTGGACGTTGACGCAGACGCCCTCACTGAACTTGAGGGTCTTGCAGTGATAGAGGCAGTTGTTCGCCCTCTCCAGGGGCAGCCGCCCCTGGCATTCCCCGTAGCAGCCCCCCGGATCAGCCTCCACCTCAACCACCACTGCGTCCTCCCATCCACCCAGATTTATCGGATCAGAGAGAACCACAATTTCACCAGAAAAACAACAGGCAGGGATTCATAATCATATACTTTTCGATCGAATGGGTTAGCTTATTTCATGACTCATGGTGAAAACCAGGGGCCAGGATGGGCTCGGTCGTCCTCTACGAAGCCCCAGGTTCATATCCTGAGGTTTGGAGAACAGCCCAGAAGAGAGAGAGAGAGAAAGAGAGAGAGAGAGAGAGTTCACCTGAGGTTGATGATACAAGAGCCACGAGTAGAACGACGGCCGCAAGCCGTCGAGCATGGATATCTCCGCCGGCCATTCTCTCTGCAAGGGAGTTCTTCTGATCCGGTTTCTCGGCGACTGTGGAACCGCAGCTCTTCCGCCATTTATGGCAGCTGTCGACTGTGGAGAGCTCTAGATCTTCTGATATCCCCGGCGGTAAACGAGGAGCCAGAAAGAGGATGGAGAGGTTCCACGTGCCGTTTCAAATCCTTGAGGTAGAACAACAGCCGTATCCCAACGTTCGGATTCGTAGCCTGGACGAATAATGGCCGCAGATCGCTCTCGCAATGGAAAGTTTTTCGCAGACTGCCTAGGGAGGGTTTGGCGGATTAACTCGGGTGGCAGAACCATGAACAGGTGGAGATTTCCATATTCAGATCGATCTTTCATTCTCTTTCTGCGATTCTCGAGCAGGGTTTTGAATCATAATCCGGGAGATTCAACGAGTTCTTCGTTCCAACGCGATCAAAGGCGACGCGTGGTCCCCCAATAAAAATCATGCGAAAGAACTGGGCATATCGGAAAGTCAGACGCATCGTGGTCCAACCCAGGAATCTTTCAACTCGCAAGCTGGTGTCTTTACTGTTAGTTTGAGATTTAAGGGTTTAGGGTTTTTGAGCTCAACGTTCTAAATGGGTTTGACCTTCGGAAACCCCACTCACGTCGGATCTTGCTTCGAGTATTTTCTCTCATTTTTATATCCTCACCCACTTTATTCTTCACGAGGGTACCCGGTGGTGGGATTCAGAACGCACGGCTTCAAGGATCTTTGTTTACTGGAAGATCAGAACGCTCTCCCTCTCTCTCTCTCTTCTCCCCATACCTTCCCCCTCTCCATGAGCCATCGTAAATAATGAAAGTTTCTTAGCCACCAAATACTCACCGGGAGAGGGAGAGAGAGACAGAGATAATGATGTGCCCGTGAACTGAAGAAACTCGAGAGATTGGGTAGAGGGAGAGGGAGAGTGTATGTAAACGGGGAGTGGGACATGGGGATAAGAGAGGGGAACCAGGAGTGGCCGAACCACTCCGCTTGCCTCATTCGACGGCGACAGTAATAATGGTGGTGAGGTGACATCTGCTCCTGCTCTTCATCCCCCCCCTGCGTCCGTCTGCGTCTTCTCCGGCGGGGCGGCGGTGGGGATGGACTACGTCTTCAAGATGGTGGTGATCGGGGACTCGGCGGTGGGCAAATCGCAGCTCCTGGCGAGGTTCTCCAAGAATGAGTTCAACGCCGATGGCCGCGCCACGGTGGGTGTGGAGTTCCAGACGAAGACCCTCCTTATCGACCAGAAGCTCGTCAAGGCGCAGATCTGGGACACCGCCGGGCAAGAACGCTACCGCGCCGTCACCAGCGCCTACTACCGCGGCGCGCTGGGGGCGCTTATCGTCTACGACATCACCAGCGCCGCCTCCTTCGAGCAGGTCCCCCGCTGGCTAGAGGACCTGCGGGCCTACGCCGACCCCGGCATGGTGGTACTCCTGGCCGGCAACAAGTGCGATCTCGGAGAGCTGCGGGCGGTGCCGACGGCGGTGGGCCGGGAGCTGGCGGAGCGGGAGGGGCTGCTGTTCCTTGAGACCTCCGCCCTGGACGCCACAAACGTAGAGAAGGCCTTCCTCACCGTGCTGGAGCAGATCTTCTATAGGGGTGCTGGGAGGAGGTCGCTCGCCGGCGACGAGCGGCCGGCGATGGTGCTTGAGGCCTCATCTTTCAAGGGGACGAAGCTGGAGCTGCCGGAAACCGGCCGGCGACCCGGCTGCTGCTCCCAGTAGCCTGATGGAGGAGAGAGAATATTGGTTGATTCGTGATCAACCTAGGAGAGTCTGTGGGCATTCATTCTCTCGGATCAGTCGACAGGGTTTGTGGTATCTGACCGAAATCATGTCCATATAGGAGCTGTATTAGATGATGGATCGATCGTTCGAAAGCTAGCGCTCGGATGCGCCCGAAACCATGTTTCCGGGTCAACAGGTACAAAGGTCAACTGCCAGCATCCGGTCTTTTTTTCCATCAACGCAAATAATGCGCTGACCGATTTCCAGTCCATAAGCCATAAGCCTCGCTAACAGCTCCTCTCTGAACTATACGGCCACTACATCTCCTGATAAGTATTAACTCAGTCGAGTGCAGCCGCAATACTACCATCTTTCATTCTTGGCACATTGCTTCTATCCAATCTTCATCTCATCCACGGAAAGAAGGAGATACACTGGCGAACAAAAGTCGATGCGCCTACCCTCCCAGAGAGAGAGAGAGAGAGAGAGAGAGAGAGAGAGAGAGATAATGCCAAATTGCATGAAACATGGATTTTGGGAAGAAAAAAAGGAGTATTAACACCCCTCATCACTAAGGTGAAGCTAAGACAATCAGAAGTTCAGATTATCATCTTCTTAAAAAAAATAAATGGCGTGTGGGCTTTCATTTTTCACTCAGCAAAGATCTAAGCTTGATATTCCTGCTCTGCGACGCAGAGAAGTCACTGGGGCTTCTCCACAGATAGAAATCGGGGAGTCAGGGCTCACTGGGGACTTCTCCAGAGGCAGCTTTCGGTTTCAACCTACAGGATGAAACAAGGAACACGATCAAAGATTGCATAATATTTAACATAAAATGTTAGTGAAATGTGGCGATCAGTTGCACCATCCACGGTATTTCGGTGCCCAAACAAAAGCCTCCCAGCCTCCACGGTGGTATTTATGTATACAGCTTTTTCAATATTCTAGACAATGAACTAACATCAAGAGAGAGAGAGAGAGAGAGAGAGAGAGAGAGAGTCATTACAAAACCAAGAAGAAAGAAAAGGGAAATCACTGGATCGCTGAAGGAATCGTTCGTGGCTGTGCATATGTTTTAGAGCTATATATCTATCAAATATAAGCAAAAATATGAAAGATAGCAGGTTTTCGCAAATTGGAAGCATAGTAAGCTCTGGGCAAAAATGGTTGCTGGAAGAAAAATCCCTCTCTTTCCAACTAATTATCTTCTTTTTTATGGCCAATAAATACATAAAATGCTAGATAATGATCTCTTGAGAAAAAGGCATTTTCAGGGGGAAAGGAGGTCCAAAAACCTCCTGATATGATTTTAAATACAATGATACGTATCAGTTTTGGGAAGCTGCTATCTCCAAATCGTCTCTAATCACGATAGAATTCCTTTGTTCATGGTAGTTCGAACCTGAGCTGTTCCAAGTGGCGCCGCCGTCCATTTGGTAGAATCACACAAACGCGGTTAGGAAAAGTGTCATAAGACAATACTAGTGACCGGAGGAGAACTACATTAATAAGCATATAAATAACTCAACTCAAAAAATGACACGACGCATAGATAAGATAAATATATAATCTGTCATGGCTTCGCACACCACAAGAGACAGTTCAAACCATAACAACATAAATATATTTTAGATAATGATCTCTTGAGAAAAAGGCATTTTCAGGGGGAAAGGAGGTCCAAAAACCTCCTGATATGATTTTAAATACAAGGATACGTATCAGTTTTGGGAAGCTGCTATCTCCAAATCGTCTCTAATCACGATAGAATTCCTTTGTTCATGGTAGTTCGAGCCTGAGCTGTTCCAAGTGGCGCCGCCGTCCATTTGGTAGAATCACACAAACGCGGTTAGGAAAAGTGTCATAAGACAATACTAGTGACCGGAGGAGAACTACATTAATAAGCATATAAATAACTCAACTCAACTCAAAAAATGACACGACGCATAGATAAGATAAATATATAATCTGTCATGGCTTCGCACACCACAAGAGACAGTTCAAACCATAACAACGGGAATATATTTTCTAAGATATCGATCTAAAACAAAAATTCAGAAATAGTATGAGCATCGTCAAACTGGAATTTCTGAAAGACTGAGAAAATTTAGACGTTAAAAAAACATCAAGGCACACAAGGTAAATGTCTTAAGATGTCAATTGTCCATTGTGGATACAGAGAAGGATACACGTGCAGAAAAAAATCCTAAATCCAGAGTGACTTCATACTGCAAAATTTTCCAATAAAAAGATCCAAGAGTAAATAGGAAGTCAATAAATATGAGCTGTAACATGAAAAGAATAAAATAAATGGAAATGAAGAGGACTTGAGTACCTGCACAATGGCACCAGAACTTTTCACGAGTTCTTATTATTACCACATTTATGCAATATTAGAAAGATGAAATTTTTATAAATCATCCACACGTGTCAAAAGGGTCATATCTGTCCTCAAATGTGGTCTCTGACACTGGCTCAGACCTGCGGAGGTCACGACTTCTGCCTCTAGTCTGGTTTCTTCTCTCGGACATGTTACTGAATTCTTCGTTGATTATAGAGCTTGAGGACAAGGATGAACTATCGGAATGGTCCTTGAATGAATAAGAAGAAAAGGAAGGTCTTCTCTCATACTTTCTTCCACTAACTTCCTGTGCACCTTGTTCCCTCTGATGTGAGCGCCGATCATGTGACCGCCTGTGACTTGTGTATTTCGTAGACCTTTCATGTTCATAATCTGTACGTTCACCTACACAAAAGCTTCTCCCAGAATTCACCTGATTTCCATGGACTATGTGTCTACTGGCCTGGGTGATACATCTATCTCTGTGACGAGCATCCTCCGCCATGCCAGCAGTGAGATCAAACTCCAAGTAACGTGCCTTTTTGTCGACAGTTGAGTCTCTCACACTAACTCCAGATGGCTCAGATTCATATCTGGCCACATCTTCTGCAGCTGCCTCGACCTCATGACTAGATCTAGAACTGGGCATCTCCGAATCTGCAGATCCTTTAACGTGACATCCAATTCCACCTGCGTCTGTGATTTCTTGCATGTGTCCTTCAATTATGTCACGTATTACCTTTCAAGTATGAAATAAGAAGCAAATTAACTATTATATAAACTCCAAAACCTGATATTTAACATTACAAACGTGTGTGAAAAGAAAATTTAGTACATGACAGTCAAATGAAAATTTATATATAATTGAGTGACTGAGCCCTACTCACGTATCATAAGAACAAGTACAGTGACTAAAGGTGTAACAAGACCACAAATACAAGTGGTTCAATGCTACTTGAAAAAGAAAAAAAACCATCAAGCAGATGTAAAAAAATGAATTATCAAAAAAGAGTATTGTACACAAAGCTGTTGTGAAGAGCCTTAGATTCCTTCAAAGTAGAGTCAAGGATTCAACAGGAAAGAACCTTTAACAAACCTGAGTTGTTGTTCGCTTAACTTTCCTGCCACGGTAGGACATTCTTCTACGTTTATAATCTCGTTCCTCAGCCAAGAGCTCTTCTCTAGTTTTCATCTTTGTCATGTCCTTTATTTAGAAATATGATAAAATGTAAATGATCTGAATAATGAAAAAACATACCAACTTTCAACACAGAAAGCAATTTTCTATAGTAAAAATAATGCTGTAGGTGATGCTGGCAAAACATTTCCGACCTTACATTTCACATCATATCCATACAAGATGCAAAAAAGGCACGAATGGGAAAAAGTAAACGGATAATATGAAAACGTAAACGGATGACCTTCAGTCAGCACTATGACTGGTGCATTAGAAAGACACGCGGTATCACATAATGCAAGAAGTACTTTAACGGTGCGTCCTTCCTCATGGACGCATGTATTAAATATGAATGCCAAAATCCCCTGTTTTCCCGAAATTTCGGGGGATCCAGAACCCTAGGCTGTAATTGAATAAACTTTTTACTTTTTTCCCCATTTCAAGGGTACCAAAAAAGAGTACAGTGAAGAATTATGGAATATGATAGTTACAGTGATGACAACAATGCTGTCTTTCATTATTTCGTGGGTATTGATGGGGAGCCCGTTGGAAGTTCGTGAGCTTATATTATATGGGGCTTGGGGGATTCATAGCAGTGTTCTGTTTTGCTTCTCCTCCTGGTAAGATGATCCCAACATGGATACTGACCTAATAACTGAAAATTCACGTAAGAAATAACATAGAAGCAAACACCCCATCATGACGTGATCACTCTGGTATGGAATTCAACATAAGCTCAAGATTAAAAAAAAAACCAAGGTCGGTACTGATCTGATCAGTAGAAACCTCAAGAAATAAATTTTTTGAACTATAATGACGAGACAAGTTTTGGCACCTTTTCTCTAATCTAACAAATTTCATCCGTGAGATTACTGTCTTCGTGTCTATCACATACCTGGTTATGCGTTTTCTTCCAAAGAAGACCGTCATTGTCCAATATAGGTCTGTAATTAGGGCGTCTTGCACGCTCTTCCTGGGCCCTCGTTGATACATTTGAAAGCTCATATAGTCTGCGAGAAGAAGTCAGGAACATAACATAAGAAAGACAAAATGAAAAAAGTCAAAATTTTACTTATAACATCAATAAATCTTTGGCAGATAAGGACTTCAGTCATACATCATAGGCATGACACAGGCCTTTATAGTTTTTTTTCTGATCGGCTTTCTGTATTAGTACCCAAAGCATTTCTGATAAAACATCTGATTTCTTTTAGATGATTTGCGTTCTGACATCTCTGATAACGGTTCAGAGAACCCATACTGCACAAAATACACATCTACAGGGGATAAAACAGTCGCTCCAGTGCAGGGGTCAGAGAATGGATCCTACAGCAACTGCCATATTGATAATATAAAATCTTATGTCTGCAGTTCATTTGTTTCTGTGCATGCTTTTAAAAAAGAACACAGAAAAAATCACTGGCGCATGTTTGATGAATATTCATGCAAATATTCTGAGCCTAACCTATGGGTGTTAAAATAACGACTTCTTGTCCAGGAAAAATTGCCGATAGTTTACAAAATCACTGATAAATAAGGGATACATATGAAAAAAAGCCAAGATAATGAATTAATAAGACTGATTACTGCGTAGTTTGAGAACACATACAGCTGATGCTTCGAAAGTGGCTTAGGGAGTCGCAATTGGTTAACCCTGTCTTCTAACAGGGCTCTTTCATGTAATGCAGCCACTGCAGCAGCAATCTGTGACACGAAAACTTGTCCCGAGCACAGCTTCTCAAGATCACTAGCACATCCATTGTCTTTGGAAGAAACTGACTCTGCATCTCTCTCACCAGCATTGACATCTAATTTGCTTCCATGAGTTTCCTCTCGTAACCCACGAATTTCCGCTGAAGTGCTCCATTTATCCAAATGGAACAATAAGAATCTGGAGCCAGCACGCGTCAGAGATTCTGCGATCATGCTGATGGCAAGGCTCTTGGCATTTCTTTCCCCATAGAGAATGCTCAGCTGCGATGCCAGCCAGCCTAACGTTTGAGAAAGGCATGGGCACTTGAGATAGAGAGATCTTGGATCAAGACATCCATTGTTGCCTGCAAGAAGGTCGAGAGAAGCAAGAGCCTCCCGCCAAACTGCTTTCAAGCAAAGCTTCAAAAGTAGAAATAAATGATCACTCATCGCCGTATCAATCACGATGCCAAAACGAGGAGAGATCGATACGATCCACTTTCTAAAGCCGCAATCCCTAGCCTCCCCTAGGCATGAGGCAACCTGAGCAGCCACGTACGTGTACCTCTCTGGGTAGTCCCTCCATGCTTCTAGTTCCTTCCTGAAAGCCCAAAATTCCGACGGTAAAATACGGACACTTCGCCTATGCGAGATCCCATTTTCCAACATACTATTGCCAGAAATGAAATTGGCGCACTGCGCAGACAGGACTCTTGGGAGTGTGAAGGTCCGGGCAGATACATCGGGTTCTGGGCATGTTACAACGCCGGGGCAGTCCCTGTAGAAGAAACTGGAGCCGCCGACGTCTTCCAGCTCCTTCTCAAGAGAGAAGCATAGGTCGGCCCCGGATTCGGGGAGAGGGCGGACGAACTGATTCTCCCTCCGGAGTTCTTCCCCGGACTTGAACGTGCTGGGGTAGTACATCGTCTCCACGAACCCTTGGTCGGGAACCGGGCCTCCAGGGGCGGAGGGGCAGCGGAGCCAGTGACGGAAGAGAGACTCCGGCGGCATTCGGTGTCTGGGATCGTACGGGCAGCAGCAGAAGCCCTTATTGGCCAAGAGATCATCTCCATCCTCCGACGAATGATCGGCGGAACGGCAGAGAAGCGCGTAGACGGAGTTGATGGTGGCCTCGGCGCCGGCGGCGAGGTCTTCGATGAGCGAAACGGTGCAGCGCAGGTCGCCGCCGGAAGAGATGCCGTCGTTGTCCGAGTTGCAGATCGATTGAGGAGCGACAACTGAAGCCATGAGAAGCAGGTTCTGGCCGTCGACGGCGGCTACCCTCGTTCTTCACGCCCTGAACCGCCGTCGCAATCGCCGGCGGCGAGCTCACCGGACATCGCCGTCTGCCACACCCTAGGATTACTGCCCTCTAATTATACATGATAAAATAATTATGCGTATAATAGGCATTGCCGCCTCATCTTGGTTCTTAGTGGGCCTGCTTGTTCCCGGCCCATATAAAACCCGTGGACAGTAGGTGGTTCCAACTTGGGCCTGACGCCGTTACAACTCACACGAACGAGCCCATGCGGCCCACGATTCCGATCTCACGTCCACATTTTATCGAGATAAATAAAATAAATACGACCTTAATCTAAATATAATCATTTTATTATTTTATAAATTAAATTAAATATTAATTTTACATGTTAAAATATATTACCAATGTCAGGTTAATGAATTTATATAATCGAGAGTGAGAATACTTGGAATTTGATACCAAGACACTCCTAATATTTTTATATAAAATAGATTAAGGGGAAAGTTAATAAAATACTTCCTGTTGTTCGAAATACATTATCGATTGCTCATTTAATATTTTTTAGAAAATATTATTTAGTGTGTTTTTTAAAAATCAGATTATACAATGTTTGAGATTGTCTTATTTTTCAATGAGACGAGAAATGGAATGAAAAATAATACCACTATTAAACTTGGGAAAATATTTTTTCCGTTTTTTTATATTTACAGAAATGGTATTTAGTCGGATTCTATATTTATGAAACATCGTTTGTGTCTCTGTGAGTGTGAATAGAGAGGGAGAGAGAGAGAAAGAGAGAGAGAGAGAGAGAGAGAGACGGAGGGAGGGAGGGGGAGAGAGAAAGCGGAATTCGGGCTGAAGGGGATCTCTTAATGGGCTCAATAGTGGTCAAGAAAGGCCCATCGAAGCTCGCCAATGTCTCCGTTCCACGTAGCTGCTCTCTCTCTCTCTCTCTCTCTCTCTTTTCTCTTCTTGTTCCCTTTTCTCTTGCAGGCACATACTAATACACACTCCCAGATTCCATGGCTTCCTTATTTTTCTTGATGCTGATGGTGCTGGCAGGGAGATGAGGGGGAGCAAATCGGCGGGTGGGATGGGACGCCGCGGCCTGCCCTTGGCCCGAGAAGGCCCTCGCTATCGGTGGTTGCTTAGTGGAGAATTTTTACTCTGATATTCGCTTTTAGGGATTGAATCAAGCTCGGGGTAAGACGTCTCTTGTGTAGTGTTTTACTACGCTTCTGAATCATGCGGCTGGTGAGGTATCTGCGGTTGTAGAGGCGGGCCAATCTCCTCCCGTGATAGGGTCGGGGGGCGGGGAGAGACTATCTTTCGAAGTTTACCGTGAACCTTTTCCAAGATGGTCGACAATTCGTCCGCAGTGAGACATGCTTTGAGGATTATAATTTTTCATGCTGGTAGGGTCCATGTGACAGATTTTGTTTGATTTTCCTAATGTCCTCGTCCCCTAAAAACTGACGTTTGTAGGGTGTAATCTGGCCTGACATCTAGTCTACACATGCTTGGGTACATAAGAACTATTGGGGTTTGTAGGCAGATTCTTTCTAGCAGTTCTGGGACATGATTTATCATTTCACATGCATAAATTCGTACTTTTTCACTCCTTCCTTCTGATCACTTTTTTTCCCGTCTTTTACCTATTTTTTTCACATATTAATTAATTTTTCTGTGCCATTTTGGTAGACCAGCTGAGATCTAATTTCACATGTTAATTAGTTATTCATTACCTATGGTGTCTGTGTTAGACTAACTGGGCGCTAAATGCATGTGCTCACGACTTGTTTTAGTTGGGATTGGTTTCGTGATAGTATTATTTGAATATTACATTCAATTCCCGTAAAATTTCACCAATTGATGCATATATTTAATTATATGCCTTTATTTGCTTCTTATTGATTTTTATTTTGTCCCATTTGTTCTCAAGTGATGCAATTGTTATGTTTTTTCTTACAAGTAACATTGCAGTCCTTTGATACACACTTTCTAAAAATGTCTTTTTTTGAAAGTGGATCGTATCACATGCTCGTAGCTATTGAGAAAAAAAGAGAGAATATTTTCACGTACGCAGACAATCAGCTCACAAAATAAAATAAACCTCCCTATAGATGATTGATAAGCATACACATGGAAAGTGCTAGGAACTCTAATAAATCATAGTTTTCTAAGCGGAAGAATCGTTTCTCTTCCCAGTACAAAAAATCATAGTTCACTATTGTACGATGTATTTTGTACACCGAAATGGCCGACCTACTTCAAAATGAGACTATTCAGTTTCTTCCCAAAGGGTTGGATTCAGGATGAGTCACCTCACCACTTGATTTCCGTCAGTGTCCCAACTCCTTTCCCATCTTGTCCATGCCACATTCCGATGAGTAAGAATGGACTCCTACTGACTGAAGAATTGTTCTGAAATTTCTTGCACCTAGAAGAAACACCTCCGGAACAAGTGGCCTAAGCCTTCATCTTTAACTCCATATAGGCATCCAGAAATATCAATGCTGTCTTAGAAGCGGGATAAGTGAACATGAGTGGACGGCCAGCCACGTGAGACCTCCAAAGTTATGATTCTCATGATGTTTGACGCCACCATTTTCAATACGGAATTTGCTGATCTAGTTCAACATTTGGCACCTCTTCCCCATGCCCAATTTCACGAATCTTCTTTTCAACCTGTGAGTCTACCCTCAATTTCTTCCATCATAGATGACTAGACCCTCTTATTAATTGTACTTACTGTGAGCGGCAGCTCCATCTATGAGATAGATAAGGTAACTCTATATTCAAGTCATCGGCAGTACTTTTTCCATAATTGACATTCAAACCGTGGTTTCTTTGCAAAGCTCCGGCAACATCCTGATGACATACAATTGATCTTCCTGATGCTGGAGGTCTGTGCTAATATGCATCCGAAAAAGTTTGGATCATTTTGGTGGCAGTTTCTAGATCAATCATTTGCGTCAATTGTTTTGTTTGCTGAAATGTGTTTGGCTTGATGCTTTGGAAAGGTTGTCTCAAGTCATTTGATTATGTTGTTTTCATACTTAGCTCATCTTTTCCTGGTTTCCTTCTCTTCTGCAGGCATTCAATGAGATGGCATCTTCTCAACATGTCGAAGTGGAAGCCGCTAAGTTTTTGCACAAACTTATTCAAGAATCAAAGGATGAGCCTGCAAAACTTGCAACAAAACTTTACGTGGTAAGTGTTTTTATAAGCCCCTCTCTGCGCGCAAATAGAATCTTCAGTGTTGGAATACAATCCTTATTTGCTTTCTGGAATGTTCCAGATATGCCAGCATATGAAAATGAGTGGAAAGGAACAGTCATTGCCATACCAAGTAATATCAAGGTGAAGTACTCACAAATATCTGATCTGTAATTTGAATCTGTTGCTAGTGAATAAAACCTCACTACTTATATGTATTTTCATAAAAATTCGGTATCACTGGTAGAAATGAGTTTACTTTGTCGTGGGATCTTTAGGGTAGTATATGTAACCATCGGTGGGCCTTTGACTTACAAATGAGGAAAATAATATATACTATCCCCTAACAATTTTCTTATCAACCATTAGTAAAAAAGAATTATTCTATATTTTTGACCGACTAGGAGGAAACATCATGTACGATACCATTAAAACTTCTTGCCGTCTTAAGGGTTGTACTTACAGTCATTAGTGGACCTTGGAGCCTGCAGTATCCTAAAGGATGTCTTATATAAATCATCAATAACACCACAAATCACAGAGAGATGTTTCTCTGTTCCCCTCCACCATAGGGGATACATTTTTCTTAGTTTTCAGGTCAGAATAGAGTTAATGTTATTCATTTATCCTCACCTTCATAGTTTTAAAACATTCCATTGTAGAAGCAGTGGGTTCATGAGAAGGTCTTCTATCAAGTTCTGCACTTCCACCTTCATATGGTTTAATGTAGATTCTCAATCTGAAGCTGTTGCTCTAAAAGCAATAAAAGTTCTTGCTATAAAAGCCTGGTGTAGTTTTTTTTTCTTTTTATGAGGAAGTTTCTATACATCCGTTATTCTTCCTCTGAGTTGAAATTACTCTCCTATATCCACTTCTATATTTCTTTAGTTATGAACCATCTTTCTATCTTTTTCATTCTATATTCGCTTCATCCATTATCCGATGAATTTCTGATATGTATTTATCTTTGGAAAACTTCACTATTCTTCCTTTACCTGTCTGACTGGTGACTGAACATATTACAAGATGGATCTCATCTCCCCTCAGCTGCAGTAATCTCTGGTTTCCACTTTTACATAATTCGATTGATTTTGCGGACAATTCCATTCCATTACTGTCGACATATGTTAGCATTGGATAATGGATCCCAAATATTTGGTAGGAAACGAAATGTTCTGCAGCTGTATCGAGAGGCAAAACGTAGCATTCTGCTTTGCTTTGTCTATTCCCATTGCCTCCATTTTGCTAAAAATAATCTTGAATTCTATCCATAATATTTAAGGTGTTCCCCGAGTGACCCCATACAACAAGGTGGCCCAGAACTCGAGGCATCCAGGCCACCTAGGCAACAGGCACGAAGTCTATTGGGATGAACATGAAGCATTTCTAAAAGAGTGCAAATCCTCATGCCTTCCTAAATGTGAACAGTTTTTTGTCCAGCAGATGCTGTTTGCATTTGGGTGAACACTCTGTTGCTTAGATCTTTGTAATACATAAGTACTTCATTATTCATATTTCTCTATTTTAATCATTAACACAACTTTATTTATGTTATACTATATGTTTAATTTTTTGAGTAAACCAGGCTTGGGGAAGCAATTGCTTTAGTATATGTTGGCATCTGGAGACCTACCATAGCTGAACTGTCGTTGAAAATCCACAATTCATCACTCGTCTTTATTTACTATTCCATTTTAGGAACACTATCGGGCTTCATTTTATCATCTGGGTTGCTGAATGTCAACACTGAAATCTCACAACACATATTTGACCTTCCATCCTTTTTCTGCACCGCTATTCTCTAGAAGGGTTAGAGTGGAGGGAAGAGGGATCAAGAACAGCAAAGCTATAAAATAAAGAGAATTCTCCTTTTCTTTTCTTTTTCTTTCTTTTGTCTGATTTTCTGATCAGCTTGTATCCTTTCTTTTTTCTTGGACTTCGCAGTGATGGGAATGTGATTAGCCTTCTAGATTCAGCATGAACCATGACCTTTGAACCCTTGGTCTTGTATTGCTTACCATGGATTTCTTCCTCCACTCCCTTTGTCAACTTCTTTATTTTGACATGTGCTCTTATGAGGCCACTATATTATACTGCTAAAGGCTGTACTGCTGCCCATTCAAAGTAGGAGAGGATAATACCACTGATTTAGCTAATTGAGCCTTCTCTCTCCACTGGCGTGACTGCCCCACTATTTTCTGCAGTGTATATCTTTGGGTGCCAAGGACCAGCTCTGTGAGCTGGATATCTGGATTGCATGTTTTTTCCCCCTTGAACCATTCACCTTGTGCCCATTTGAATTACCCTGGAACAGTTGAGGTTATGGTTCTGGAAGTACGATACAGTCACGATTGAATTATCTTAAAAAACATGTTCTATTGGCGGTCATTTTCCTGCGTTATGTGAGTAAATTGGGTCAGTATGTCTTCATATTTATGCTCACCATTTTCACTTTTGGCTGTGACTAGTCTTCTCTTCTTCTCCTTTGAAACTTTGCTTTTGCTTCACCCATCCGAATATTACTTTCTCTTTCTTATGTATGCACGGAAATTTCCCTGCTTTCTGCAATTGCAGCAGCTTTTGCTCTTGACCTCTTATTCATTGGTTCTGCAAATCGGCTTTTCTGCTGATCTGAAGACGATAATGGATTAGCAATGACCTAGACATTGAAGCTGACGTATTTAATTTCAATTTTCTCTTGGGCAAGAAACTAAGTGTGAACTTCTGTGACTAGTAAGTAATCTCCAAAGGACTTATGTGATATTTCAAAATGACTCTGTACTTCCTCCCTGTTTTATTACATTGATCAGATAAGCAAACCGATCCATTGCCTTCTACCTTGCGTTCCCCTCCACTAAACTACTGTTCAGACAATATATGCAGAATTGTTATTTTCATTCGAGAAGTTCCATCACTATATTCGTCCCATTTCCTCCTTGCTTCACTCTCGTTCTTAAGGATTATCTACTCACTGGGAGATCCCTTCCTATCCTCATTCATTTCAGACTTTGCAGCACGACCTGCTCGTCTTCTTTCTTTCCGAGGGTATTAGGTTACCTTCCCACTGCGTTCATAAACCCATGAGAGGCTTTTTTTGGTATGATGTAGTTTTTATTTCTGAATTTTGCTTGGTAGAACTAGTACCCGATTCAGTAAGACGACAAAGCAGGCATTCTTATAAACAAAGTACATCTCATGATCTTTCGTTATCTCTAGCCTAGTGTTCCTCAGACACCTCTTGCATTATTTGTGTGGAAGGGGGAGTAACAGAGACTCTACCGGTTACCTGGCAGCCCATTCTTTCTTTTTTTTCTAAAATCCATCTTTCATCTGCATTGGTTCTCCTATCCTCTTTGCTCTCAGATTCCATCAGAACATTCTTTTTTTTCCTCTTGATTTCCATGGGTTTAACTCTTTACCTGTATCACCATGTTGACTGATTAGTTGCGCAGGCATTTGTCATGTCTGATGATATGGAATTCTAAAATCCATTTAATCATGAGTAATGATTAATTTTAGTTCAATATCAACGTTTAAGAAGTCTAACTGTGTAAAAACATCTTTCTACGAAAATATTGTGGTTATGAATACATTTTCTAATAGACAGGTTTTGAGAACATTGCGTTTGGAAACGAGATAAATATGGCTGTCATAGGGTAACCATTTTTGAGACATGCTGTTTTGCGTCTGGACAACCATATAATGCGTCAAATTTAGGGGGTGTATTGTCATTTTATATTTATGAATTATTTTGGCAAGAAAAAATAATGGGAGATGGCCGCTTATGATTCATTTGTCTGACCAGAATTGATTTTTGAAGAGGAGATTGGGTAATTTCAATGCACATCCTTTCTTGAATCAAACGCTGGTGTAGGCTTCCTTCCTTTTCTAGACTATTCCTCTTTATTTCTTCCTGTAGCTTCTAGAATTTTCCCTTTTCCTGGATTGGCTTGTTTGAGGTGATATTACTTCAATTTCTCAAATCTGACTTTTGACTGGAGAGTACACAAGAGAGTGCACTATTCTCAAATCTGACATTCCTGTGCTGGGACATTCTTTGGACTGATACTTGCCAAGTTTTGGAAATGATATCTGTAGCGTTATCATCTGTGGAACCAAATTGTTATACTTTTAACTAATTTTGAATTATGTTTATCCATATGATCATAAGGATCTTATCTCTATGATTTGTGTGTAACTACTGATCATCACAATTTTTTTTCGTTCTGTTGCGCTTGTTTTTAATCTTAGTTCAAGGTTTGCCTTCGTTAGGTTGGCAAACTGTGTGATATTTATGTCAATGAAATTTCTATCCACTGTTGAGAGAGTTTCCTGAAGACATTCTTTCATGTTCGTTATCTATACCTGCTACTCATGATAACTATAATAATGTTTTCTCATGCTCCATCACTCAAGCTATGCCTTTCTTTTGATGGCCTAGAATATTTTCAGTCAGCTTGATGATTTGCCTCTCTCTGCAGGGCGATGGAAACAGTCATCAGCCAGCACAGGCTTGATATTGATGTTCTGAGGTCCTCTCGGCTGTCCTTAGGAAGTGGACCTCAGATGGGGGATTCTGGTCAAAGGCAGATTGATAATAATGCACCGGGGTCTAGTGCCGGAGTTGATATGCCTCAGAAGGGCACAGCTGTTGGTACGTGGCATGCTGTACAAAACAGTGAAGCAAAGGATGAGGCTTACAGCGGCACTGCACAAAATTTTATGTTGTCTGGGGATTGCAAAGTAGCTGCAGGTGTGAGTGATCCAGGCAAGCATGAGGGAGCCAGCTTAGATAGGCCTCCAAAGGTTGACTCTTTGAGACATGATATCATCAACCAAGGATCTGTCTCCCAATCTCAAAGAAGTAGCAAGTCATTGGAACATGAAAGCCCAGCAAGTGTTCCAATGGAGGACTCCAGATCTGCAAACTCACAGGAAAGGCATAATTCCACAAAGTCTGATACACAGGCTGGCAGGAAGGATGCGAAGAAGACTAATACGAAGCGGAAAAGGGCTGAATCAAAAGAATCTTCAGACGCTCATGGGGATGATCCTCAACAGTCAGACTCTGTAAGCACTAGGTTTAATGCAAGGAAAGGCAAGCATACTGGGAGAGGTATTGCCCAAAGTCACCTTTCTGTCAAAGGTGGAGAACGTTCTCATCTCGGTTCTGTTCAACAGACTGCCCCTATGGAAGAGGTATCACCATTTTTGGGAGCTGGTGTAAATTTAGTTAAAAGTAGACAAGAAAGTAGTTTCACTTTAATGGAAAGCAAAGTAGATAAATTTAAAAAATTAAATCCATCATCATTATCTCGTACATCAAAGTACCTTGAAGAAGAAGTTTCTTCATCCCATCCTTCTTCTGTAGCGCACAAAGGAGACATGCCGCAGTCACGAGTAATGACTCTGGGTTCCATGGGTGTTTGGAATCAGAATAGGATTGTCCCACCATCAGAGGTTTCCCAAGATTTTGCTACTGGATTGGCGGATCCACAGGGCCTTGACATGAATAGAAATACTCAAGGGGCTGAAAACAATGGTCTTAACACTAGCACTGCAGAGGATGCTAATCGAGTCAATGGAGGAATATCCGGAGCTTTTAGTTCATTTGGAATGTCTACGGGGGGCTTCTCCAACCCATTACAGTCTACATTTTCTGGTCATGACTTGGGTTTGAAGGTTCGTAAGGATAGAAACCCTGATGTTCCATCAGGTTCAGTTATACATTCGATGGAAAAGGGCAAGAAAGTTTTGGGTGCTAACGTTGAAATGAACCATCCTTCTGGTGACATTGTTTCTTCTAAAGAGCCTGCTGAGTTTGAGAGTGGAAGGCATGGTCTCGTTGACGCAGTTTCACAGCCTCCTGAAAAAGCTATGGACGTTCATTTGAGTTCATCCCATGGGTCAGCAACCCCAAGATATCTTTATTCAGGAAGGATTTTAGGGCATGAGGGAGGTTCTTCACACACCACATCCAATCCATACACTGCATTTCAGGTATTTGCTTTCTTTTTTAGATGTTGTAGCATTTGCAACCGACAAATAGCTCAGAAAGGGCTAATTGTGGCGTAGACCATCAAATTTCCTAAACATTTGTTGGTTAGGAGATGGAAGAAATAGTTGCATTGAGAAATTTAAGAGGATATCAGGGCTACGCTTATTGGCCTTGTGGGACAGCAAGATGAATGGTGTGTAAAAGAACAAGTGGTCATGTAGCTCAGTGTGTGAAACATATTTTTATTGTAGAATAATACTAGTAAAACAAAAATCTGGTGCATTCATGTTTTCTGGGTTTCTGTCTAAATTGAACCTAAAAACTTCTATTATACCATTCATTTATTTATAAGTGCGAGTAAGGATTTGGTGGATTTAGGATTTATTAAATTTTCTATGATCCTCACGGAGAGGACACTTCTCAGCAGAACATTTGATGTGGTGGACAATTTTAACTTGTTTTCAGATCATGTAATAGGAGTGGGGTTGGTCTACTAGATGAAATGAAATGTTCGTTGAGCGGATTCAGGCTCAAGAATTGTAGTCGAACGTCCCTAATCTTAGATACAACTGGACTAATGAATGAAATGGGGGTGCTTTTTATATGCAGGATAAGTTAGGTTCTTATTCCTGTGGAAGTGTGTTGGAATCAGCGTTTTCTCTTAAAAAAGTCGTGAAGGTGGGCAAACCCAAATGGATAACCCATTTCAACCCATCAAGCCTTCCCAAAAGAAAGAGCAAGAATCCTTGTAAAAGCCTGGTGCAGCACCAGAAGAAATGACACAAGCTGCAGCAAGGCCATAGATGGCCTGACCCATCTAAGCTCCATTGGTAACGGAAACTAGCTCCCATTGCTCATAAGCAGAAGAGGATGCACGGAAGCCTTGCAGTTCGACTCTTCAGTCTTGTGACTCTCAGGCAGAAGGAATGTTGGCCAGTGGAGAAGAAACCCACTGCAGTAAAGCAGGGTATCATTGCCAGCAAAGGGCCCACGGAGAAAACTAGTGTTTTGATGGTGATGCTGCCATGCTTATTTCACAGACTGGTGTGCCGAGCTCACTATTCCATTTCTGTGGTTATCAAGAGGCTCAAGGAGCAGAAATGTGACATGAAGGTGTAGAAGAGGGTCACTCTGTCTCCTGATTAGACTCTTTCAAGAAGAAGAAATCTCACTGTAACACTTCAGCCAGCAACTCAGGATGGATGAGGAGAGGAAGTGGCCAGACATGCTGGTCCTATGTCTCATCTGAGAAGATACACACTGACCAAGCTGGAAGGCCTGTTGCCTTCTGGTTGAGGAAGCACTGTCAGATGTGGTTCTGGGGTACGGTTGTGGGGGGTGGGACATAGAAATGGAGAAATGACCGGAGAAAAACTCTTGGATAAGAAAAGGGAGACAATCAAAACTTTCCTATTCTCGATTCCTGTTTGTTGGGGTAACCAAAAGATAGAAGCACCCCTGGTTAAAATGCATTGTTCTAGTAAATCTGATCCAAGAACCTCTATAGAAGGTCGTCCTATTCTTCCCCATGGCGGATATAACCACGAGGTATTCCATTGTGAGAATAATAGTTGTCAGAAAAGAAACTAGGCACCAAGAGGTCTGTATGGCCCATGCGTGACATTTTGAGAGGTAAATTTACGTGAGTTTGTTTTGCACCTAGGTAATAAGCACATGATCAGGCCTAGTCATTGGTGAATGCTATTAATTTGAGGAAAGTCGTTTAGGCTAGCTAACTGGGATACCATCAATATTGCCTGAAATGTACGTGGGGATGAGGAAAAGGACATGAATCACGTGTGCCTGTGGTCCTCGTCGCTGCAGATCTGGTAGTTCTAAATGAGAGGCACTAGTTGGCGTCTTCTATCAATTGAGGCAGAGTTATAGGGAGGACATGAATGACACTGGGCATGTATGTGACCTTATATCCCTGAGACCCTTTTTAACCATGTTGGAGATGGAAAAATAATTGCCTGCTTTGGCGCAGGAGTAGTTAGATAGGATGTTTGTTTTTGTTTCCATCAGGGTGAAAGTCTGTGCAAGAGTTCTATTTATTGAGGAAGGAGCTGGTCGTACCATCTTGTGATCCTTGGGTTTATTACTCTTGTATTAGCTTTTCTTAGAGCAAATCGTACACATGTCGATTTTGTTTATTATTGATACTTGATTACTAGATTAGGTATCTACTTTCCTGAGAAAGTATTCCCACAATGTAGGTCATTGCCGTATTAGACACCTCATCGACTCATTTACAGTGTACGATTTCTTTTTCTTCTTGATGGGCGGACTTAATTTGATTATTTGTTGAAAAAATTGAACTGTTCTTATCTCCAACATACTTCAGCTTCGTCTTCAAATGGCAAGATACTTTGTTGTTTGACGTTTTTTGACCTCTTTTATCCATTGTTGTTAGCATGACAAGATACAAGACCTCTTCCCCAAAAACTCTCTAAAGGAATATTTCTCAGCATATTCAGAATTTCCAAGGTCAATCGATTAGATATTTAATATTGATGCGATAAATTTCAAGGAAGTGTGAGTTCTCTCATTGATCGCCTGACTTTCGTGGGATCTGAATTAGAACATCTTCATGGATAATGTGTGTATGTGTTAAGCTGGGAGATAGAATTTTTCCCTGATCAGGAAATGAATTGATTTTTCTAGTCTAACTTTCATCAAGATGCTTTGATAGGTTTACATTTCAGCTACGAACTGATCTATTGTCAATTCTCTCTTTGGTAACCTAATTTGAGGACTTAAGCAGATTAGCTACGCCAGCTGTTATTGACTAGAAAAGAAATTTGATTTGATGATTTCTGGGCTTTGCGCCTTTTGTATTGAGAATGGACAGATTGGGGACTAGAGAACGAATATCAGGAAGAGCATCGCCTATAGCTTGCTTTGAGTTATTGCATGCGGGAGAATTTTGCACTTGCATGAAGAATTGTGAATGCCTCAGATATGGATGGACTTGGTTTTCTGGTTATCAGTCTGTTGTGGAACACGGCTACAGTGATGGAGAAAATTGGCGAGTGCACATTTTGTTTATTGTTTTGTATCAGGAAAAAAAAGTGTATTGATTGAAATTTATGTTTTGGTTCTGATTTTATTATCCTTCAGCAAAAGACCCTTTTTGTTTTTTCGTATTTTTCTAGCCTAGGATTGTCTCCTATCTGTTTCATTCCGAAATTTAACTATCCTCATGTCATGATGTTGTTTTACCTCAGACTATGTTGTACGAATGCAGGGCAGTGAAACAGGACGGCAGTTCAAGGATAATACTCGTGGGGATGGCGATATTGTTGAGGGGAGAGATACAAATTCCCTTTCGATGCTGAAGTCAGAAAGAGCCACAAGGGATATTGGTGGAATTACGACATCTCAGTCTTTGTCCTCAGAAATGCCTTTTAAGGAGCAGCATCTGAAACAGCTTAGAGCCCAATGTCTTGTCTTCCTAGCATTCAGGCATTCCTCTCTTCTTTTTACCTTGTTTTTGGATTGAATAACCTGCTTATGAATGCTTTCTGCAATCTAGACATTTTCCTTGTTGTTTTGTCTGTGCTTTATGTTTATAGTAATGTAAAACTGTGTTACAAATTATGAATTTGGACGATTATTTTAGAGTTTTTATCTTTGGACCTAACCAGTATCATCAATTGTACTCAGAAATAATGTTCCTCCAAGGAAGCTACATCTTGAAATTGCACTGGGAGAGAGCTATCCAAAGGAAGGCAAGTTATCTTGTACACACATTGCTCATCTGAAGAAGCTATGAACTTTATCAATTATTTTATCTAGAGTCATGCTCATATTGTTAAGTTTTTGGATAGCAGGTGGTAATGCAGATGGAAATCACCGAGCACCAATTGAGATAAAAGGAAAATCCATGTCATCAAAGGAGTATGGCCACTGTCTGGAGAGCCCAGGTCTATTTGGCAGACCAAATGATATGATAGAAACAGAAAAAGAAATGAATGCCAAAATTCCTCCAGGTTCCTCATCTTCTGGTAGTCTAATGGAAACTGAATCTTCTTCAAAGGACACAGAGAACACAAAGAAGAAGAGTAAAACAGTATCAATTTCCGAAAGGTCAGTGGCAGTGGAACAGTGGCAGTTATCTTCTAAACAAAAAACTGAAATCTCTCAGTTGAAAGCTGAGTCGCATGGTCCAGTAACCTCACCAGTGGAGGCTGAATCTTTAGCAAATGCTAGCAGATGTTTTTCTGAGACAAAACCGATTAAGGACAGCTGTAACCAAGCAAATCAACCAGGGGTGTGGGCTAATCAAAACTTATCTTCTGTTCCTCGGAAGAGTAGCATTCTGAATCCTGAAGTGACTATGCCAACCACAGCCGGGTTTCATACGATCGCTTTTAAAGATGTGGTATCATGCTCTGTTGGCCAGCTCCAGCATGAACCGGCTTCTGAAGTTAGAATTTCCCCTCAAGAACAATCTCAGCCTTTTTTTGTTGGCGAGAGGGCAAACAGACTATCTAGGCCAGAGTTTCCCGTCGTAGAAACCAACGTGCTTGTAGACAGAGGCACGTCTCTTTTGACAGCGAAAGATCAGACTCCACACTTTACCGTTAAGGACATTGAAAACTTGAAGTGCAGTATGAACTCTCTAAGGGACGTACATGCTGAAAAGCTCTCCTCTACACCGGAGCTCGTAGCCTATAACGATAAGAGTGGTTTTTACTGTGGTACCGAAATTAATGGATTAAATGATCAGAGGACTCCTGATATTCAAAAACAGGCCAGTTCTGATGGATTGAAAACTATCATATACAGTGATACATTGAGGGGTGGAAATCTAGGTAAAGTGCTGGAGAGATCAACAGATCCTGACGAGGAAAACAGCTTGGAATCCAGTGACATGTCTATTTCTCCTCCAAAATTTACTACTTCAGAAAAATGGATTCTTGAACAGCAGAAAAGGAAGCGTTTTGAAGAAGAAAAATGGGCCTTGAAGCAGAGGAAAGCAGAGGAACGGATTGCGACATGTTTTGAGAAGCTAAAGGTATTATCATATTTCCTCTCTCCCCATTTATAAGACTATCTTTCGCATAGCTTATTTCAATAGTTGAAGCATTGTACGGAGTCTAAGTAATCCCACTTTTTATGCTTGTGATATATCCAGTTTCCCCGCCAACGTTGTTCTCTGTCTAAGATATATGCGCGCAGAAATGAAATTGAATTAAGCACAGTATCTTATGTCGGTTCTGTAGGTTTTCATATTGTGTAAGGTGTCTGTATTTGAAGAGGAATAAGATAGTGAGAGTGTTCTTGTGTTGACAGGCTCAAACTTTATTTATCAGAAAAATATCATCCATTTGCTTTTCTCAGATTCAGAAATCCTTTGCTTATTCCTTTTGGCATGATAATAGTTATCCTACTTATCCTGATAACCAGCAGAACGAAAAGAGCATTCTAACTATTTGAAGAATGAGAGTTGAGTGCAAGTTACTAGAAAGGAGACGAGTAAGCAGAGAGGTAACTCATTGAGCCAACTTTGATTCCGTTGTGGTTTTGGTGCGTGTAATTGGGGAAGATCATTGTTCTGCAGAATGCTATGTGTATCTAATTGTGCTGCTGTGGAGAATCATGAAATGGGAAATTGAATGTCTTTTATACAGAGGGAAATAGAAAAGTTAAATCCACTTAATAGATTCCTCAATTTCTTGAGGTTAAAGCAGTCAAGAAAAGGATCATAAGTGTGTTTCTTTTAGATAATGAATTGTACGGATGGGGTTACAAAGGAACGGTCTGGGAACTACGTGATAGTTCCCTCCAAATTATCTCCATGTTCTAGTGAATCATTATTTTTTTTGTATTGGGTCTCGGGAAACTTTGTTTGGCATCTCTCTTATGATTCCTGGTTGGTGTACTGAATTCAGTGTTTATTTGATGTCATACTTTATCTTTTGACAGGAAAATGTGAATGCGTCTGAAGATATTTCAGCCAAGACAAAAAGCGTTATTGAATTGAAAAAGCTACAGCTACTTCGGCTGCAACGACGATTGCGGAGGTTTGCTCTAAGCTTTATAGACTTGTTGTTCTTTTTTCCCTTACTCTGGTTTTGCAAGTACCTCTTACATTTTATGTTTGAGAAATATTTTTTCTTAATTTTTTCCCATTGCTTCTTCATTTATTCAGTGATTTTCTGAGTGATTTCTTCAAGCCCATCACATCAGAAATGGAGCATTTGAAGTCTGTTAAGAAACATAGACATGGAAGGAGGATTAAGCAGCTGGAGAGATTTGAGCAGAAGATGAAGGAGGAAAGGCAGAAACGAATTCGGGAGAGACAAAAGGAGTTCTTTGGTGAAATAGAAGTCCACAAGTCTGTCAGCTTATGTCTTTCTAAGATTTGCTTATCCTATTTAATTTATTATGATGTAGTGATTGAATAGTTTGGAACATTGGAAGTAGATTTTGATTAGTCATAAGGCTGGACTGATGATATACTGTGTCCTGTAGGTTGTTTGCTAACTACTTGCTTTTTATGCGTGAATCTCCAGGGAGAGACTGGAAGACTACTTCAAGGTTAAGAGAGAACGCTGTAAGGGGTTTAACAGGTATGTGAAGGAGTTCCACAAAAGGAAAGAACGTATCCATAGAGAAAAGATTGATAGGATCCAGCGTGAGAAGATTAACCTATTAAAAGCCAATGATGTGGAAGGCTATCTACGCATGGTTCAGGTTCGATTAGATACCTTCATTCTAGTTACTTTGATTTAATATTCATTTTTTTACGTTATTTTGATTCGCTTTTAATGGACTAGGATGCCAAGTCAGATCGTGTTAAGCAGCTTCTTAAGGAAACAGAAAAATACCTTCAAAAGCTTGGTGCAAAAATACAGGAAGCAAAGTCTACAGCTAGATGTTTTGGGGGTGAAATGGATGCCCCAGATGCAGCTATGTCAGAAAAAAGTGAGGTTCCAATGGACCCAGAAGATGAAAGTGACCAGGCACAGGTAAGCATGTCTGTGGATTATTTTTTGTTGTCATTTTATCCATCTTACGTGTAAGAGTTTTGGTTGCAGCATTACCTAGAAAGCAATGAAAAGTATTATCTAATGGCACACAGGTACTTATGATTCTCCTTTCGATTCTTATTTTTCGCATTTTCCTTATGTTTTACTGAAGCAGACAGCCGATCTTAAGACTAACAGTTGATAAGTTGGTCAGCAAAACCATCCAGTGACATCCATTCGCGTATTATACACGGGGTTCAGATAAATGTCGTAACCAAAAGGTCGCTGATTATGCCCCATTTCCGTTCTTAAGCTTGCCCATGAACAACTGGTCAGGTCTTCAATAGGGTGTTGGTGTTGTCCTCAAAAGGGTTATAGGCGGCTCCCCAACTGTGGCCTGACAAGTTAGTAGTCTGGTCTCCTGGTAGAGGTGGAATTTTTCCTCAATCTAAAAATAATGTACGATCAATTTGGTGGAATCCATCAGGTGTGAGTTTTTATGGCAGAAACCCTACTGAGAGACTTGAAGACATTTGGTCAGTGGATGGCCCATAATCAGGATTAATGGTAGGTGATTGTGGGATCGCACCTTTGGACTGCTAGAGGCAAATTGGTCGTTTATGTATAATCAAGGCCTTTTCGGGTTAATTTTGCGCATAACAATTGGGAGTGCTTTATTCTTTTGGATGAAAAGTTTATTTTTCCTCATTTTCCTGCTTGAATTTTCGCTACCTGAAGAAAGGGAGAATACTATTTGTTGTCTTTTTTCAAACAAATATTTTAATGGAACAACATTTCATTTTGCAGCGTGAAAGAGACCATAGAAGAACAGCCGGTTTCCCTGCGGGGTGGAAAACTGAGGGAGTGAGTTTCATTCTTATAGATGGTTTCCTCAACGTTAGAGCATAGAATGTGATCTTTCTAGTTATATTACTTGTTCTTTTCGTAATATTTTTACATTTTTTTATCGTTTTTGAGTACAGATACCAGATGAATGGGTTGAGATGGCTGGTTTCACTATATAATAACCACTTGAATGGGATTTTGGCAGATGAGATGGGTCTTGGTAAAACCGTTCAGGTTTGCTGCTGGAGTACACTCTTCTGACGATTACATCCTTTATTGTACCACTAACATCTTCCCATATTCTGATGTTACATTTAGAGGGGCTTGATATCCTTTTATTTTGCAGGTTATTTCGTTAATTTGTTACCTCATGGAAACCAAAAACGATCGAGGTCCTTTTCTGGTGGTAGTGCCTTCCTCTGTTTTGCCTGGATGGGAGTCAGAAATTAATTTCTGGGCACCTGGGATAAACCGAATCATGTATGCCGGATCACCAGAAGAGAGGCGCCGGCTTTTCAAGTAAATTCTGATCAGTGGGTGGTATCTTTTTTATCCTTTAACAAATATTTTAAAGGTGACTAATTTATCTTATTATTTCAGAGAAAGGATTGCTCATCAGAAGTTTAATGTGCTCCTGACAACATATGAATACTTGATGAACAAGCATGATAGACCAAAACTGAGTAAAATTGATTGGCATTATATTATAATTGATGAAGGTCATCGTATAAAGAATGCATCATGTAAGCTTAATGCAGACTTGAAGCACTATCGAAGTTCCCATCGATTGCTACTGACCGGAACTCCTCTGCAGGTCAATGCTCAATTGCTTTCAGTTTATGATATTGTCTGTTCCCACAATTTTTACTGTTATGTGTTAGCAAACTTTCATGCTTTGGTTGATGCAAATCCTGAAGGAGCATGATCTTTATTCGAAATTCTGCATCATGAATGTTTTGTTAGGCCTTTGACAACTCTGAGAAGGGATTATTCTTGGCACGCAATTATTCTTCTGGGTTCTAAATTAATGAGTCTTCTTTAATGTAGACAGATTTTCCGCTTCTAGTTATAAACATCTGGATTGCTGCTGACCATAACATGAAACATGACGTTGATTTCACCTAACTTCATAGGTTCTGAAGCAGCATGTTCTCTTACCCTGGGGAAGGAACATGTAGCCTGAATTAAGAAGAAGTCACTGCTGAAATCTTTTGAAGACGTCCTAACCATCCAGGTGTTGATTGTGCTCTGACTGCAGGAGAGAGAAATTTCAAAATATAAAAAGTCAGCACTTGTAGTAAACCTGAAGATATGGCTTACAGATCACTACTTCCAGAATGAAGTTGCCACAGCAGAACTAAAGGAACAATAGCCCCAGCTTTTGAAAATGGGCACGGCTCCTTAAACCATGATCTGAAGATTTCTGATGGCTAGGAAAGGAAATCCTGAGCGGAGCAGTAGATGAAGAGAAAGAGGGGTTGGAGTCTGTTGTTGGAAGAAACTAGGGATATGATGAACAACATTTATAATATCTTGCCACAAGAAGCAAACAGCCGGATAGCCTGTTTCTTTCTTCGAAGTCGTGAATTTCTTGACTGTTCATTGAACTGAATTCCAACATTTGAGAACCCTTGAAAAGGGTCTTTAACAACTTTTCATCTTAGGGGTGCCCAATGGCCACTGGAAGAAACCTTAGATAGGTCCCCGTTTGCCTTTTTGTTCTCTTTTGTTCATGATGTTCATCAATCATAGAACAGGAAAACTCGGATTCTGAAAGAAAAGTCCTTGCTGTTTTCCTGTTTGTGCTTTTGTTATCATTTTATCCTTGTACATTTTTTCCTGTTTACCTACAACTTGCTGCATTTGAGGAAAGAGTCGATTACAGGTGGATGATTCAATAGTTAATTTGCTTTGTGACCCTCAAGGCTGTAGGATCTACATAACCATTAACAAATTTTGCACCTTTCAGCGTTGATGTTGGGTTGAAATTTGCCTGCCTGGGTTGAATGTACATTTTTGGGGTTTTACTAGATTTTCTTTGCCTTTCTTATAGCTGAGGTCCTTAAATTGCCATTGTACCTTGGGTCATGGCACTAGCTCATTCATATGCTTGATGAAGCGAGGAGTCAGGTTTCTGACTTATTGTCCTATCTCATAGACACTGTTTGTGAATTGGTGCAACTTCGTTGCTGCAAGAACGTGTACAATATGCTGTAGTCATTTGCTGAAAATGGACTTTTGTAGTCTAAGTCATTTTGACTAGGATGGAATCCTTTGCCTTTTGTCCTCTCTCTATCACCAACTGGGGATGATAGGTGAATTCGTGGTGAATTCTTGATGGTAAAAATATGCATGTTGGTTGTTATTAGTTTTGCACCGGATGCGAAGGCAGCTGATTAACAAAATATCGTGCTACTTCACTCTCTGTGATGAGCATTTTTCTTAGATTTCTATGGGTCCGAGGAGTAAACTTACCGCTGGCTGATTCCATTGTGGTTCCTCTTCTGGGCTGGTTGGTGAGATTTGTGCTTCGAAGGGCAAGGTAAAAAAAAACACTCTAGGAAATTTACAGTCAATATTGCTAATGGCGAATAGCTGCTGGTTCTTCAGTCATTTGTACCCTTTCCTGCAGTCACCTGTACTTGTGAATTCAGGGAAAATAGTCGGTGGGTTGTTGGGGATGGTGGGCAGTTGTCATTTAACGAAGGGTAGGTGTCATCCTCCTCTCCGGATTCTTCTTTTCTTCGGTGAGTCTGCAATTTTATCAAATGTTAACTAGTTCTAAGCTTGGAACTTAAATAATAGGATTTAATTTATGGTTGCTTTCCAGTTCCAACCTTAAAATGAGTTGTACTGGAATATAACTGAACATTTTGTTTTAGTTCGACAAATTCCGGATCAAGTTGTTAGGTTTTTCAATTCCAAGTATTGGTTTATTACTTAGGGGTTGTGTTCGATGAATAAAACCATTGAGTTCTTCATCGAATTTGGTTTATTTCTGTGACTAGAGACGTGTTGCAAGGAGAACTCTATGGGTTGATCTGTCTGTGGCAAACGCTCATCCAGCCTTTAATCTTAAATGAACTTGTTTAAGGTTCATTGCCCCGGAATGCATAAGTTCGAAAGAGAATTGAATTTCAGTTTCATTCATTGATGTTGAAAGTATGTCAGATTGAATTGTTTACTGATAACGCCCGAAGGATGACCAGGAGTACTTTCGAAAGAAATCTGAGTTTACTATTTATAGAATCCATTTTTTCTGTTTTTTTGAAATTAATTGGACGAGATTTTTAGGTGACTTTTTTTCTTGAATGTGACTGTCTTTGCTTAACAGAACAATCTTGAAGAACTTTGGGCACTACTCAATTTCTTGTTGCCCAATATATTCAACTCATCAGAGGATTTTTCTCAGTGGTTCAACAAGCCATTTCAAAGTAATGGTGACAATTCACCTGATGAAGTAGGATTCCTTCACTTTTTTTTGTTTATTTTCACCTAAATGTAAATGCCATTCAAGAAATTCTCATGTTATTTTTGTGATTGATTAGGCTTTGCTCTCAGAGGAAGAAAATCTTCTAATTATAAATCGCCTCCACCAGGTTCTTCGACCTTTTGTACTTAGAAGACTTAAACATAAGGTCTGCATGTTGATATTTTTGGATTATTCAATTTCATGATAATTTATCGTCCTGTTGCCTAGATTTTTTCTCCAGAGGGTGATACTTGTACCTCTGTTTTAGTTATATTTTTTTGACATTTGTGCTATTTATTGAGGCACTTTCTCTTTCTCCGGATATATGCCATCGTATTACAGTTGTACATTAATTGATGTTACTGTCTTTTTTATTTGTTTGTGTTCCTCTTTGGTTTGTATCCCAAGTTGTATTTTTCTCTTTGGTTGTTTCTATTAAGCATTCTATATGTTCACTTTTTTCTTGTTTGCTGCTTGTGGCTTTTGGTAATGAACCCACCAATTTTTGTAGCTAGATTGCTTTATGTCCTTGTTAACTTGATAATAATTTAGGCCACTTTAGCAATTTGATTTTTTTCTTAAAGTGAATCCTAGAAATGTCGTTTCCCATTAAGCTTTGTTCACCAAATTTTTTGGTGTGCATATGAGTTTTTCTGTTTTGAAAGTATATCTTGTTCTTTTATTATCACTTATTGCTATTATGTTTATTTGATCTCATTTTACTATGATTAATTGTCTTTTCAGGTTGAAAATGAATTACCAGAGAAAATTGAAAGGCTAGTAAGATGCGAAGCTTCTGCATACCAAAAGCTTTTAATGAAGCGGGTGGAGGACAATCTTGGGTCGATAGGAACTTCAAAGGTTTATCTCTGTCTTGGAATTATTTTATTTCCTAATCTTGGATTCAGTTTGGAAGGTCAATCTTATAACTGTCTATGATCAGGGTCGCTCCGTCCATAACACTGTAATGGAGCTGCGAAATATATGTAATCATCCATATCTCAGCCAACTTCATGCTGATGAGGTGATGCTTAAACACATATCTGCGAAATATATTATACTTAAACACATATCTGTTTGTGAGTTTTTATGAATGCTACTTGTTTCTTGCCTTTTTCTTTTCTCAAAATGCATCTTTTTCAAACTTCTAGGTTGATGCTTTACTACCAAAGCATTATCTACCCTCTTTGGTGAGACTTTGTGGTAAGCTGGAGATGCTAGATCGCCTATTACCCAAACTAAAAGCTACTGGTCATCGGGTACACGATTCGTTTCTGAGGATCTCATTTTTTTATTTTTTTTATTTTGAAGTCTTTATTGCTTTTGATTCGCTGCTGGTCTTATTTATTTTCCCGCAAATTTGCAGCATGATTGAATTATTTCCCAATTAATACCTTTTGTCATGGATTAAAGTTGTCTTGTTTGAAAGCTGGTGGAGTGAGTTTGTTGTCGAGATGTACTTAATAACCTATATATGCCTTACATGTTTACATATATGTCCTCGTGTACTTTTCATTTCGTGTTACATCAGCATGTCTAGAACCTTCCAGGGATCTGGTATAAATACTGGATCCCGCTCTCCTTGTAAACTGTTTTTTTATCAATAAAGTTAGAGGTCTTCTTACTCGAGTGCTGGGCGCCTATCAGAGCTCCAGGCCGTGTGTTATCTCGACTACAGAGTTCAATATGGATAATTGTGTATAATGAAAGGTTATTTGAAATTCCTTTATTTTACTTAAGGAATTCTTTCTGTTCTTCCCTTTATCTGTACTCTTTGTTGGTTTGGCTGACCGAAAAAAAGGAGAACAGTCTACGATGACCCAAGATGTTCAGTAAAATTATGTCTAACTGAAGGTGTTTGCAATCAAGGAAAAACAATGGGAAGAGAATGTAGGGGAAAAGGTTGAAAAAAGAAACAACACTAAAAAATGAGAGAGTAAAGGGATGTGCAAAATGGCTGTCTAGTTTACCTATCCGGCCACATGAAGTTAGTGGTATGGTGGTCAGAGATGGAAGCATCTATTTGTTGAATGATGCCTGCTGAAGTTTTAGAAAAATAAGCCTAGGGTCTGCAATCCAAATCAGATTCGCCAATTCTGTATGACACCCATCTGAAAACCGTTTCCATAAGGGTTTGGGGATGTCAGATGGGGCATACTCCTGTATAAAGCCAGCCAACCCATCCAATCTAGATGTGTTCGGCTGACATCGTCTAGAGTATCATCTCACAAATCCTGGTTTGTTGACTACATTTCTTTTATGTTCGTAGGTTTTCTGAATTGTATATTGGAAACCGTACCAGTACCAGAGTAAAGATTGAGCGTCATTCAGTCACTTATTTTTTAATTTTTGGGCAATTGAGTATATTGGAAGGAGATCAAGCACGAAGTCTATAATGCTAAAACACACCTAGTATTATGAGATATGTGGATAGGCCTGAAATTTAGCCAGTTTAGGGAATTGATTTTCAAGAATAATTTATTCTCTATCTTAAATGTTGGGTTAACAAAAGGGATAAATCCCTATGAGATATCTAGGTCTGTCACTTTTGGACATCTGACAGAAGTGAAAATTTTCATCACCAATTGTGGGAGATGGAAAGTCAAGTTTCTGAGTTTTTTTTTTTTGGGTGGTGGGAGGGGGTAACGGACTTTGTCCCAGGATGTTATTTCCAGCCAAATATCTTTTACATGTTCCTCAACCTCCTAGAGAGCTGAAGCTCTATGAATATTTTTTTTAGAATGGAGACAATAAGGGACGAGAGGGTATCATCTAGTAAAGTTGGATAGAGTGTAAAATTGAATCCGATAGGGTTGTGTGATTGGAAAATTGTGAAAATTATACTAAAGGCTTGTTGACTAAATGGCATTGGATGCTTTGAGAAAACAATTTTCTATAGTTAGGAGAGATGTACTATTGACAAGGCAGCAAATGGAATGCTTACCTTGATTGTTGATATTTATTTTGCACGCTGGAGAATATATACTAAAGGAGGAGTATTTCATGCCTAAATGAGCATCTTACACTTAGGTAATGGGAGATCTTTGTAGGGTTGGGAAGACGTGTTATTCAGGTCAACCTCTGGAAAATAAATTTTCTTCAATTTGCCAATCATACAATAATAAAATGCAGATCCATTTTTCTCATAAATCCGGGCACAATTGTCATCTTAGGCACGTTTTGATATTTTCGTCTCGACCATTCTGTATTAGAGAATATTATCATCATCAGTATTGCAACTATATGTAGATCAACTCAAAAATGTAATTTGGTTTCAGGTTTATCACAACTGAATATGTCTGGTTGTTGATGCTTTTTTTATTATTATTATGAACTCATTTTCTTTGCATTTTTGTTGTATTTTCCTTCCACGAAATCTTACGTTTTGAGTGGCCTAAGCTTTTTGTCGATTTCGAGGTGTTTGGAGCGTTGCCTACAAAACCTAAAAGTTTGGGACTGCTAAGGAAATATTTCATTACGCGGTTCAGGAAGAGAGTGTTCGTGGAACAAACATTTATTTATTCTAGGTTGAAAGAAATACCATACAAAAGGATATGCTTTAATTGATCTTTGCTTGCTCCTGACATGATAGAAACCATGGTCGTAAAAACTGTCTTTGATAGACAGCATGTAGAGCTGTTATGGTACCAATTGAACAATTTTGGTGTGAGACACTATGGATTAGCTCCAAATGCATTCTGAACAAATCCGTGAGAGTCCCGCCTCCAGCATTGGGTACAGTGACGACAGTGAGGTTTATTGACGGGAGTATTATATTTTTTTTTTTACTGAAATCAGTTTCCTGTATGTTGTTGACCAAATCAGTGGATTATTTTTTTGGTATTTGTATATCATTGTTTTGTGACGTTGTTTAGTTTTCTGTTCTGTTATGTTGCGGTTTCTTTGATGTCTTTGGGTGATTAATACTACCAACACGTTCGATTAATTCATTTATGTTCCAGGACAATCGATGGGCGTAAAGATTAATTATGCGTTACCATTGCCTGACCCCTCAGATAACTGATTTCTGGTTGGCCGTTTCTGGTTTTTATCAGCTTGTAGACTGATGCAGCCCTCATATGATATGCAGGTTCTCTTCTTCTCCACAATGACCAGACTTCTGGATGTTATGGAGGAATACCTACATTGGAAACATTATCGGTACCTACGTTTGGATGGCCATACTTCAGGAAGTGACCGCGGAGCTCTCATTGAGGAATTCAATCGACCTGATTCACCCACTTTTATATTTCTTCTCAGGTATATATAGGCGCAGATTTTTTTTTTCTATAGATTTCTGATATGTTTTTATGATGAATCATCTGTCCCATGTTCTTAATGTTGTAGCATTCGAGCTGGTGGAGTTGGTGTGAATCTTCAGGCTGCCGATACTGTTATCATCTTTGACACGGACTGGAATCCTCAGGCAATTTATAAGCGTTTGTTCTTCTGATTGACACTAATCAATGGCAAACACTCTGATTGTCTTTTGCGATTGATTTAGGTTGACTTGCAAGCTCAGGCAAGGGCCCATAGGATAGGTCAAAAGAGAGATGTCCTGGTGTTGCGCCTGGAGACGGTGAACATTATATGCATCCTTTAAGTTTTTTTCGTTTGTATACTAGAATTGGCTTGTACGACATTGAGTGTTCATTCACCTTTTTACTGTATCTGTTTCTTTAGTTCCATTATCGTCTACTGGAAATATTTTCCTTTTATTTTTTCCTTGTTTTAAAGAAAGAAAAGTTCAAGATCGTAATTTCAATCAGGATACTTCTATATTTTTATCTACGGATGCTAATCACTTCGTTGAACTGTGTTGCTATATTATACATTCCCAAGAATAAATTTCAGCTCTTGTCCTACATTCATTTACACGAAACCTTCACTATCTAGAAACCTCTCATCATGGATGATAGATAAATATATCTGAGGGACAGGTGATTTTTGGATAATGATCAACTCGATGTTGGTATAATTTGAAATATATATTAGATTGAATAATGTCATAATCGCATTCATTAGACGTGAACATATGGAGTCTTAGTTTTGTGCTATTCATGTAAGTGATCAACTATCCTACTACTTGTCAAGAGATTGAGGCAAATACAACGAACCAAAATGTGAGAGTTATTACTTTTCCGCTGCTTCTAACTGTTGATTGATTACATAGTATTTGACGTCATATATTTTCCTAACAACAGGAGTAGTTCTCCCTTTTCCTGATCGAGGGAGTTATGTAGCCTTATTTTGGGAAAACGAAACAGGCATGGGCATAAGGTGGTGATCTTATAAAATCTCTGGTTGAGTGCGGTCCACTGCGAAGTTATCGAAATTAACTCTCAATGGATGCCACTTTGTCAAAACAGATTACGCTGGTTACGAATGTCCGTCAGTGAAGAATCTGGACAGCCAACTTATCTTTAAGAAAATAATTCATGAAATCTAGTGAGGAGAGGGCTTTTAGAGACTCATGTCATGGGATGAAAATTGTCATGAAATAATGAAAGCTAAATGGAGGCAAGGGTGTGGAATTTGGCTGAAGGATGCTTTATACTTTTGTTAGTCATGGTCTATGCCTTGTTTTCTATGGTTGTGTTGTTTTCTATCGGTATCCATCGGGTACTTGCATGTAGGACTTTAGGTGATGCTAGTCATCCATGCCAATGCTCTTCTGAAATATGACTAACTATCAGGAAATTAATATTTACGTACAACAATGATTAGGTTAACACTGTGGAAGAACAAGTTAGAGCTGCAGCAGAACATAAACTTGGAGTTGCTAACCAGAGCATAACTGCGGGTTTTTTCGACAATAACACCAGGTAAAGCTGGTATTTGTAGTGTAACCTCTTTTATCATCCAATTCGTGCCTTTCCTGAAGCATTGTTGCATTTTTTCTGTCATCGTAGTGCGGAAGATCGAAGGGAGTATTTAGAATCTCTGCTTAGGGAGTGCAAAAAAGAAGAAGCAGCTCCTGTATTAGATGATGATGCTTTAAATGATTTACTAGCCCGAAGGTAAGGAAATCCTCCATTTAATCAAATTACATGTAATTCATTGAATGTTCATTGTTCTGATCTTGTTAAGAGATGCGCTATTTCTCATTAAAGTCACAATTGATTCTACTGAACTTACCTTTTCTTTGTTGTGTGTTTTGGTCGGCAGTGAAGCTGAGATTGATGTGTTTGAATCAGTGGACAAACAAAGACGTGAAGAGGAGGCGGTGTGTACTTTCTTATATGTGGATTAGCTCCATCTTTTATGTTGACACATTTTGTTGGTTTTGATGGACACGAAGTTTTATGCCTCACCAAATGGTCTTCTTTGGCTTACTATCTCCAGGCAACATGGCAGAAATTGATCCAAGGTAGAAATGGTGATGGGCTAGATCCTTTACCAATCCCCCCTCGCCTTGTGAGAGATGACGATTTGGAGCGCCTGTATCAAGTTCTGCGCATATCAGAAGAATCTGCTGCAAGTGTGAAGAGAAAAGGTGACATTAGTCTTGACACCCAACAGTATGGAAGGGGAAAACGGGCTCGTGAGGTTGGTTGGATGGCTCATATGCGAAATTTGATCGTGTTGCTGGTTGGGTGTTGATTAATCAATGCTGTCCTGTTGTCAACAGGTACGATCATATGAAGACCAATGGACTGAAGAAGAATTTGAGAAACTTTGTCAGGCTGATTCACCAGGTTCTCCAAAGCTTGATGAAGCTTTGAAAGGTACATCTTCTACCAAGGATTCTAGTTTGCCTAAGGTCGATGAGCAAGAAGCCCCCCAGCTTCCCTTAAGAGAGATGCAGCCTCCAGAAGTAGAACAGTTGTCTCTTCCCAATGATCCAGTATCCCTGCCAAAGGAGCCACAGTCAGCGATGAAAGATAATTCAACACCTGTGAAACGTGGAAGGGGAAGGCCCAAAAGAGCGCCAACTGATACCTCATCACCTTTGCTTCCCGCTCATGAATCGTCTGAACTTATCATCAACCAAGAGAATGATTCACAAAGCGCAACCCTTTCTTCTTCTGCTACCACTGGCGATCTCGAACCTTCAAAAGTTGAGTGTGGGATGATCAAGAACAAGCCCACAGGAGCTACCAGTGTGTCTGTATCCACTCCTGAACCTGCTGCTAACATTCATGCCAAAGGGCTAAGTCGAAAGACACAGACTGGGGAAGCATCTCGAGGGCGTGCAAGGAAAGCGTCTGTTTCAGGTTCTGCTCCTCCCCATGGAAGAACTAGGGTTATTAAAAATTCTTCAGATTCCAAGGCATCTAATGTCAGCCACGAAGTCAATCCTAGTGGTTTAGGGCTACAAAAAGGCCCCGAATTGTCAAAAGTTCAGGACTCCACTGTGCAAAAAACCGAGGAATCTTTCAACACTCAGAGCCAGCAGGTCTGCGTTGCTCAAGGAAAAGATGAGAGTATCATCTCACCTGCCTCAGAGAAAATAGAAACAATCAAGGAAACTCTGGTAGGGAGCAAAGAATCTTGTTTATCGTCAACAGGTAATTTGCCTACAGTGGTAGAGCCTGTGGGAGAGCAGGCATCAAAGCCTCCTATGCTGAAGGATGGTAAAGGAAAGACGCTTTCAATGGGCTCTGCGGAGATGGCACCCAATGAGAAGTCAAAATCAGATAATCGTCATAAAGTCAAAACTGTGGAGGTTCTTAATTCGGGTGAAAATGTCAGAAATCAAGATACTCGACTTCTTACCAAAACACCAGAGGCGAAACCTGGAAACATGAAGAATGAAACAGCAGTACCTATGACAACTTCTGACCTCACAGCTTGCTCTTTAACCGAGAAAGATATCATACCATCTACTTTAGTTAGACGTGGGCCTGAAAAGAAAAATTCTGTGACCAGCAAAAAGGCAGCTGCACGTGAAGCAAAAAATATGGGCAGCTCTGCCCATGCTGTACGTAGAAATGCTCATCCTTCTGGTTCAAGCTTGACGGATGGCAAGGAAAGCAGCTCAAAGTCCCTTCGTATCAAAAGCACATCAGATAATGATGGCAAGCACGGTGGAATTATCACAGCTGTTTTAAGTTGTAACTTGGGGAATTCGACTGTCACATTGTCATCTCAGAAGGAGAATTCGACTGGGAATTCGGTAATTACACAATCCAATCAGAAACGAGAGCCGGATGGCAACGGCAATGAAAGCTCCTCGAAGTCTGTTAGTGTAAAAACCATGCCAGATGATGATGGCAAGAATGGACAAACTATCACATCCACTTTAGGTTGTACATCAGAGGAGATAAGCCCCAATCATTCCATTCCTATTCCATCATCTCCTCAGAACGGCAACTCAACTGAGAATTCAGAAATTTTTGCACAGTTTCGTCAGCAACAAAAACCATCAACATCTGGGGGAGATGCCTCCTATGCTGCCATGGTCTCGTCAAGTAAGGAAAAAGATTTGAAGTATCTGGAAAAGGATGTTCAGAGCAGTGATTTTAAAGCAATGGAAAGGCAACTCTGCATATCAGGACTAAAATCTGGTGGCTCATTGCACAACGTCGACTCACTTCCAGCTAAATTGGATACTAAGGATTCCAGGGACCAATCTCTTCTGTCTTCCTTGGCTGATGATCCTGCCATAGTGAAAGGGTCACCCGAACATGCCCCCTCAGAAAGTGAATGTGGGCATCGTGCATCTGAGAATGTTAGTGATCCAATCAGTGTCAAAAATGACGTACAAGTCCGTCCTTGTGTCCTTGAGGACACTAGTTTCGAGTCTAGCGCTTCATTGTGCTCAGAACTGACGATTCCATCTTTTCACAAGCAGTCAAACGATTGTGAGGAAAACATTCCAAAACAGCCTGCTGATCAACTTACTATGCCTCCAGCGGCCCATTCATCAGTAGAAGCTGGCTCAGGGGAAAGTGATGAGCCTTCTGCAACGGTGGCTATGATTTCAACTGATTCAGTTTCCATGGGTGATGCCCCAAAATTCGAGAGAGATAAGGTTGTGGATGGAGCAAAAGATTCCCTCATTACGGGTGCTGTTGGAGAATCAGTAGATTTCGCAGGAGCAAGTAAGAACATTCTAGCTTTAGACTGTCTTACTACAGAAGAACACCATGTTACATCCGGCTCTAATTTTATCAACACTGAGGAGACCCGAGCCTGTACTGACGTCAAAAGAGAGACAGCAGATGCCATGCTTGCTGTAACTCCATTGGCATTCTCAGGTACATCAGTGCCAGAAGAATCTCACAACGCTATGGCTGATGAAACAGGGACAGATCCTAAATGTGATGTTTCGAACCTTTCATCGTATGTTTGTTCTCATGTGCCAGACCTGACTATTGGAGAAGCACGATCACCTGCGGAAAGGTTCTCCAATGAAGTTTTGGCTGAACCTACCGCAAGTCAGTCTTCTCCAGGGGGAAATGCGCAAGTCTCCCAAACGAGTCAGAAAGAAGGTTTGGGTGACCCTGAGGTCATATACAGCAGAGAAGATAATGCAGTATCTGCTGTGGATAATACGTCGGCTGCTTCTGCATCAATCATAAACATTGACAAAGACACTGAATGTGCTACAGAGCATATTAATACCGGAAGCATTGCTAATTTGGGGACAGATGTGGGTTCTGCTTCTTCTGCAATTCCCAGGGATCAAAAAACTGTTGAAGTCATTGAACTTGTCAAAGACCCATCACAAGAACTTAATAGCGGTTCTGCATCTTTTCTCACATCTGTCGATTCCAAGATTCAAAATGCAACGAATGTATGGGAATGTCAAGAGCGATCTGGTGATGTTATCGTTGCTCCTCAAATTGCACAGGTGCACGAAGATGTTGAAGGACTTGATGAGCGTGCTGAGGATAGGATTAGTATCAGTATGCCAGATAACACTTCTGCGCCTTCTGATATTCCGGTTGAAGCAGAAAATTCAGCCGAATCTTATTTGAATATAGGTGGTGTTCTATCAAGGAAAGATTCCACTCCAGAGGCAGGTAGTGTCAATGTGAATTCCCAGGCTTCTGACATTGCAGCCTCCATTGAGGTGGGGAACACTGTTCCGAGTGCATCAGACATGGCATTGAAGGAAGCAGAGGAACCTACGAATCTGACGCCTGTGGAAGAGCCAGAAATTTCAGATGCCTCTCCGGACTTTTCTGCATTTCGATTAGACAAAACTGATGACCCTGGCGATCTGATTCATGAAGGTGGAGATGCTGTGGTTGTTGCACAGGAAACTATGGACGATTTTACTGTCAGCAACAAAGATATCGGATTATCTAAGCCTACGGAAGTTCATGACAGAAAGGAGCATTCTGTTGGCAATGCATCACTTCTCGCTTCATATCCAACTTCTTCAGAATCACATATGGATGAGTTGACCTGCGAGATGAATGTAAATACAAAGTTATTGACCTCCGAGGTACCCCAACCTGTTGTCACGTCCTGTAGTGAAGCCTTGCAAGATGTCACCGAAGCCAAAAATGGATCGGTCACAGAATCTGGTCGACCAAATTTTGTCATGCCTTCGGGTTCTGTTTTATCGGATACGACTGAAGCTTGTGGCTCATTAGTTTCAGAGACCACCCTTCATCTTGGTACCACCATGGGATCTAACTCTGATAAAATAGATGAAGCCACAGACAGCCCTGCATCAGTCATGGAACCGGCTCAGGATCTTTCTGTGGTGTCTTGTAGCCATAGGTCCCCAGATATAGCTGAAGATATCTGCACATCAGTCTCAGAAACGGCTCAGGAACCAGCTCAGGAACCATCAAACTCTATGTCACAGGATAAAAATCAAGACTACAATGCGTCAGTCTCAGTAATTGATGAAACTCTTGCTGTTATGCCTCGAGTACCAGCTGCCTCTGAAGATCACACCCTTGCAGAGCCGTGCGCTAGGAACGAGGAGACAAGTGATTCATTTTCGATAGTGCATCCTGCTGTTTCCCTGCCTTTTAAAGAAGCTTACCCTGAGGATCTTTCATTGAATGAGAAAAGTATCGGACCCTCAGTCCACCCAGCCCCAGGAATCAACTCATTAGAACCTCTGCTGGATGGGAAAAATGCTGAAATTGATTCTTCTTTGGGTGTTTCTCAACCTGCTGTATCTGCCCCTTTTAGGTCATCCCTTTCAGAGGGCTATTCAGCAGAAGCCATGCATGTTGAGGACGAGGATAATGGTATTTCCTTTTCGGAGGATATTCGTCCTGTTTCAGTCTTGGCTTCAGTCCAGTCTCCCCTTGGAGTCCAGGGGTCAGAGACTTCAGAGGACGACAAAAATGCTGAAAGTGCTTCTGCCTTGGATGGTTCTCGACCTGCTGTTGATATCTCTTTTCTGTCATCTCCTTCAGTGGGTGATTATCCAGATGATGCCTCTACAAAGGACGAGAATACAAATGGTTCAACTTCAGAAGATACGCATCTTGTTTCTGCCATAAATTGCGTCCAGTTTCCTACTGAAGTCTACTCGTCAGAAACCTCACATGATGGCAAGGGAGCTGAAAATATTCATGCTTTGGATGCTTCTCAACCTATTGCTGCTGTTTCTTGCGTGCCATCTCCTTCGGAGGAGAATGCAATTTCCGCTCCAGAGGCGAAGATTCTTCTTGATACTGTCACATCTTCTGTCCAGTCTCCCCCTGGAGGCTATTTGGTGGAAGCCTCACCTGGTGGCAAGCAAGCTCAAGGTGCTTTTTCTTCGGATGCATCTCGACTTGACGTTGATGTTTCTTGTACAACAGCTCCTTCGGAGACTTTAATCGCAGAAGCCAAATGTCCTAAGGATGAGGGTATCGATATCTCAGCTTCAGAAGATACTGCTCTTCATGTTTCGGTGCTATCTTCCATCCAGTCTACCCCAGGAGCCCAGTTAATGGGAGCTTCACATGATGGCGAGGGAGCCGGAATCACTTCTGATTTGGATGCTCCTCGAACTGCTGTTGCCTTCTCTTTTGTGCCATCTCCTGCAGTGGTTGAATCACCAGACGCTCAATGTCTCGAGGATGACGGTACTGTCGAATCAGCCTCTGGAGCTATTGGTTCTGTCATTCCCATGCCTTCCGTCAGTTCTCCACCTGAAGCTAACACCTCTGAAACTCCACACCACAACAAGGGAGCTGCTGCTGACATTTCTTACACTTCAGCTCCCTCGGAGAGTTTTCTTGCAGAAGCTTTACGTGTTAAGGATGAGGGCACTACTAGCGTTTCACCTTCAGGATCTATCCACTCTGGCTCTCCCATCTCTCCTGCCCAGTCTCCTGCAGGAGCTCCAAATCAAGGAAATGGAGGTGAAAAAACCTCTGCTTTCGATGCGTCTGAATCTGTTGCCGATGTATCCACTAAGTTGGCTCCTTCAGATCATCAACACCTTGAGGAAGCTGCTGTATATGTCGAGGCTGAGGGTAATGATGGTTCAGCTCCAGAGGCTACTCATCCTGCTGTTGCCATATCTCTCATCCAGTCTTCCCCAGGGAAGCAGATGGCGGAAGTTTCTCATGAGAGAGAGAGTACTTTCACCTCCTCCTCTACTTTGGGTCCTGCTGAACAACCCATCGCTGAGGACCACTCTGTGTCGGCTCTTTTGGGGAGTGGTCCTACAGACGGTGTGTGTCTCAAGGATGAGGGCAATGATTCCACAGTTTCAGGAGCAGTTCATCATGTTCTTGCCGTATCTTCTGCCGAGTCTCCCCTAAGAGCTGTCTCGTCGGAAGTTTCCCTGGGCAGGATACCTGAGACTGCTTCTTCTGACTTGGATTCTTCTCAACCCATGACTGCTGATACTTGTCCGTGGTCTACTTCGGGAGAAGACATATGCGCCGAGGATGTGGGAGTCCGCTTGCCTGGTATGGATGCTTCAGTTGATATTTCCTCCATTTCAGCTTCTGCAGAGAGTCCCGAAGCCGCGTGTGTTGACGAAGAGGGTGACGACATTTCAGCTCTACAAGGTACAGATTATGTTCCCACCATAGCCGAATCTTCACAAGAGAAGAAGGGACTAGAAAGCACTCATCAGCCCATTGTGGGTTCTCCGGGGATGTCAGCTCTTCCACAGAACAGTTCTGAAGAAGCCATCTTTGCCGAGGACGATGAGGTTATCAGTGATGATGCTCAGTGTCTGGCCCCTTCACCTGAACTGGGAGAAGCTCCTCATTCTGTGGCAGAACGTGAAATGACTGAAGCTGCTGATCCTGCCCCTGGTTCAGGCATCGGTGAAGAGCTCATTCATGAAAACCCTGAAGCAGGCCTATCCCCGCCTACACCGACAGCCCCTGTTGCGCTCTGCGTGGAGTCCGGCGGAACAGGTGAAGTAGATAGACCGTCCGCAGCCACTGCTGAGGCTTCTGTTGCAGAGAGTACAGATGAACCATCTGCGGGAGCGGACCAGTCTGCACAAGCCGTGGAAGAGGGAGCCCCTGCAGTTGCCAGTGTGTGATCTGATTCTTCTGGGGACGTGATGGTGGGGATGGATGGCTCTTAGGAGCCCTGCCAGGGAGAAGACTATGAGGAGAGGGAGAGAGAGAGAGGGCTGCTATGCTCAGTATATGAGCTCTGTAATTTAACAGCTGCTGACCTCATTTCTCATGGAGAAGAGGCGTTGACTTGGATGCGGGAAGAGCTGACAATTAACATGACCAGAAGGTTTGTCCAGTCCAGTCACAGGCCGGGCTAAGGTTTGTGGGTTTGATGTGGATCTTTTTCAGGAAAGCAGAATCAGGAAGCAAATAGAGCTTGGGGTCTCTTACCCATCTGATTTTTTACTTGAGAAACCGTGCCAAATGGAGCAATTACTTGAGAATTCCACGTCTTAAGATCTTCCTCAAAAGGGCCCCGGTCAAAGTCAACGTTTCCCGATGACTTTCTGTCCACTAGCACACTGGGTTCTCCCCTTTAGGATCCTCTTTCTGGGTGGTGGTGGTCTTTCCAAGTGATATCCCTCAATTGAAAGGAAAGTCAGCGTGATGACCGTTATCTTAGTTAGGCTTTGTCACTGTTTGTCTGGGCTCGGGTTTCAATGTCATTAAGAGATTTCGGCCCGGCCCGGGGCTTCCCTTGCGGGATCTGGTATGAGTTCTGTATTTTCGGGCTCACTCTGGGCTCGAATTGGGTCATTTAGAGCCCATGGCCCGATATCTGATTTTCATCAGAGTATCCTATCTAGTAAATGACAAATATGCCCTCTCTAGCTACGTAAACTACAATATGGGCCCCCGGCTCCTCATTTAGAGAACCAGGTTAGGGTTCTGCCAACGGGGAAGGCGCGTGGACGTGAGGGCGGCGCGGGGGAGTTTGAGCTCAGCCGCCAAGATGGGTAAGCACTCCAGATCTTGTCGCTAGATCAGGCCGGAATCACGTCGGAGATACTTGTCCATTGCTACTTTTCGTCCAACCATGCCGGGTTCTTGTGTCGTTTGCAGGTATTTCCCGGGATTCCATGCACAAGAGGCGCGCGACCGGAGGGAAGAAGAAGGCATGGAGGAAGAAGCGAAAGTAAGTTCTCGAAGACTTCTTATTTTTTTCTGTTACCTTCCCTCAGATTCACCGGCTTTCATTCCAGATTTCTCGTGGTGAAGTAGAGGTTGATCGAGTTTAGCGGTGATTCGGGCTCACTGTTCTTGTTTTTTGGTATTCTGATCCGTGCTGGTGACATTTTTAAGGTACGAGCTAGGGCGTCAGCCGGCGAACACGAAGCTGTCGAGCAACAAGACCGTGAGGCGAGTGCGTGTGAGGGGAGGCAACGTCAAGTGGAGGGCGCTGCGTCTGGACACTGGGAACTACTCATGGGGTAGCGAGGCGGTGACCCGGAAGACCCGTATCCTGGACGTGGTCTACAACGCGTCCAACAACGAGTTAGTGCGAACGCAGACACTCGTGAAGAGTGCCATTGTTCAGGTCGACGCTGCCCCTTTCAAACAGTGGTATCTCCAGCATTATGGCGTCGACATTGGGAGGAAGAAGAAGACCCCTGCGGTAGCCGCCAAGAAGGAAGCCACTGAGGTATCCTATTCATCGTTCATATCCTGTTCCTCTGTAACCGGTGAATATATAGATTTTTGCCGTCAGTCTCCTTATCCTGCAATGTTTTGAACTCTATCGTAGTTTATTTTCCCATTCATGAGCGATTTAATTTCTGCGGTGCTCGTATTGTTTTGTTGAAACTCAGAGGCAGTGATGATTTTGTCCTGGAACCTTACTTTCATGTTTACTACTCTCCTCCCAAATCTCACAATTATGTTTTCGTGGATTGCCCATTTCTTGATTGAACGCAGACGTGGATAAATTGAATATGTAATATGCATTTCGAGCATCAGCCCCATCTCTTGACTGGCTCTTGTCGAGCTATGTCGTAGGATGACCCCTAATCAACTCTTCCTCTCTTCCTTCGCCAGAAATCAGCTTTTCTTCACTGTGTCCTTATCAACTTTTCCTCTCTTACTTTGCCGGAAACCAACTGTTCTTCATTGTATCGTAATCAACTTTTCCTCTCTTTCTTCGGCGTAAATCAGCTCTGGTTCATTCTGTCCCTGATGAACTTTTCACGCAACATTTCTCCCGGCGAAGTAGTTTTTCCCCTTTGTGCTGTGGGGTTGTAGAGCTGCATATAAATCCCAACCAGTGTTGCTTCGCATCTCGCTTGTGAACGGCTTCTATTAGGCGACCTATTCTTCCTTGGAGTTTTCTAGCATCTGGAGGATCAATATCTTCCTCTCCTGCTTGAATAGACATAGTGCATTATTGGGCGAGCCAACTTTCTGTCTCTCTATTCTGATCTATCCATCCATAGCTGCCTAATTTCACCCCCGATAATCCCGGTTCTAAGCCTCTGAAACATGTAGTGGGTGCCATTTTCTAGCTGTCTTCATGTATGAGATTTATAGAGAAGAAATTATCCGGTAGTTTGGCATTAGAGACTGACTGCTGCATCATTGTCGAATTTAATCGAGAAGATGGAACGGGTTTCTCGGTCTTGGAAAGTAGGCATGAATGTCCGTGATCGTCATTCTAGTAGGAAAGATTGCAGGGGAGGGAGAAAACTTCTGACGGTTCTTCCCTTGTGGAGTAATTTGAAGCCGGCCATGCGTTCCAGATTTTCTTACCATAATTGAGGATGAACTGGTCTTGTTCTACATTTCGTTAAATCAGTAGCTTTTCATCGGCCTGCTGATCATTGATTTATCTCGGATAATCTTTCCGGACAGGAGGGCGAAGCCGCCGCGGAGGAAGGCAAGAAGAGCAACCATGTCACTAGGAAGCTGGAGAAGCGGCAGCAGGGCCGCACCCTCGACTCCCACATCGAGGATCAATTCAGCAGCGGGAGGCTGCTGGCCGCCATCTCTTCCCGCCCCGGCCAGTGCGGCAGGGCCGATGGGTGCGGCCTCCAAAATCAGACCCAGACCCTCTCTCTCTCTCTCTCTCTCTCTCTCTCTCTCTCTCTCTCTCTCTCTCTCTCTCTCTCTCTTCCTTCTGACTTCCGATTCTATTCTGGTCTCGTTTTATTGACTCAGTTGATTCCCTCGCAGGTACATCCTGGAAGGTAAGGAGCTGGACTTCTACGTGAAGAAGCTGCAGAAGAAGAAGGGCAAGGGTGGAGCCAGCGCCGCCTAGAGGAGGCTTTAGTTGGTCCACTCTCTCTCTCTCTCTTCCCCTATAATTTCCTCTGTTTTATGAAAAGTCCCGCGGTTGAACTGAGGGGAAGACACAGCTGTTCTTCCTCGAACCCTAGAAATTTTGATGTTGATTTCAAGAACCATGAGAGGTATCTATCGTTTGCTACGGTTGACCTAAACCCGAAGCCAAAGCACTAGCTTATTATTATTATTATTAAAGTATAAACATTATAGGTCGGCTTGGAGTGGAAACATTGACTTTGCAAATATCACGTCCCCGTCGGCGTAGTGTCAACGTGTGCCGTATGAGTGAATGTGGGCATGCCGTCGCCTCCTCAGGTGGGTCAGCCCGAGTGCAACAAGCTCTTCTCCCCCGCGGTATTCCCGGGCTGAGCTATCCGTTGCGGCGGGCCGGCGGCTGGTTGGATTACGTCTACCTGTTCATTACAGAGATAGCGAGAGAGAGAGACAGACAGACAGACAGAGAGCATTGTCGTGACGGCGGAGATGCCCAGAGGGTAGGGAGCAACGCCGCCCCGTCTTCAATGGCAGCGTAGGCAACGTCAACCTCGCCTACGCAGACAGGCCACCGGCTCCGGCGAGGGGAGCCGACCGGCGGGGGGAGGAGGAGGGGCAAGGCTGAAGGTCTTGTCTCTCTCCGACATCAATGACCCTCGACAAGGCGACGCCAGCATGGAACTTCCATCCCGATCGGCGGAAAATAAAATTAAAAAAAAAGGAAAACCAGAAGGAGGGGGAAGCCATGATCCGTCGCAGCCGATCCGGTTTCTGACAGCGATAGGCTGATGAGCCCTAGAACCTGAAAGAGGAGGAGAGGAGGAGAAGATGGTTCGGGCAGATTGGGCAATAGATGACGAGGGCTGGCTCGAACTGGGAAATCGGGATCTGGGTCCCCTCTGATACTCTGCCCCGTCTTTGTTTCTGAGAAGAGAAAGAAGGTCGTCTTCAACCTTCTCTCTCTCTCTCTCTCTCTCTCTCTCTCTCTCTCTCTATCTAATCTATTTTTCTGGGGTGAATGAGGGGATGTTACAGTCTGGTCAATGGAGGAGGGCGATTATAGAAAGCCCGTCTTCTCCAGGAGGAATCCCCCTTCTCATCCTCTCGTCGTCCGCAATTAGAGGACCACCGCCGGGGGTTCTGTCGCGGCCGGGATTTGCTCCGCCGCCGTGGTCCCTGTCCGAATTGGGGCACGGCGAAGGCCCCGCCGTACACAGACACGGATCGCCAAGTTGCGGCGCGTCGCTTTCGGATCTTTCCCAGAATCCCCGCCTCCTCTCCCGGGTTAATCGCCCCCTCCATCCTCATATCCCTCTGTAAGCAACCTCAGTTCCGTTCACTGGAGATGATCCCACACCAGAGAAACTCTGTATCTCTCTCTCTCTATGCCTTAGTCTGAGAGGCGCAGTAAGGGCCATGTGAGTTAACCAGGGGGTCTATCCTGTAGACGTCCCCCTCCTCCGACAACGACCGGAGACCTTCTGCGTGCGAGCTCGGGTCCCCCTCCGCCACAGTGCCCGGCTCCAGCGTAGTCCACGCCAGGAAGGAAGAACACTGTGCGGCGCCGCCGGCGCCGGCGACCTCCCCCCTTCCTCCCCTCTAATGTCGGCGGGCTCCACCCTCTGACAGTGACCTGATTAATTACCGTTGACAATTCCCGGAGAACAGCGAATAATTACATCTTACATGTGGCGCTAGAAATCTTCGCACCACTGGATGCCACATTAGTCTACTTTAAAATTTTACAGCCGGCGATCGTCAAGAACAGCTCCAAAAGAATCAGAGTCTTTCCGGAAGAAGAGCGAGAGGTGGGTAAAGAGAGAGAGAAAGAGGGTAGAGAGGGAGAGGCGGAGCAGCCTCCCGTGTTAGTCTGATGCTCCGCCGCCGCTGGCTATGTACAGAGGGGCCGGTTCTGGAGGGCTTTCTCCGGGCATCAGAGCTGGATGGTCATGTGGGTCGCCGCCATTGATGGAAAGCTCTGAGAGGACAATGCGGCCTCCTGGTTCTGGACGGCGCCCATCTGAACGACGCTGTGAAGGTCGTCCTCCCAGAACGTCATCAGCTGGAGGAGAGGAAGAGAATGCGCCACTGATCAGTAATTTCTCTCTCTGAAAAACCAGAGGAGGAGAAAAGGACGTCGTCGGAGAGTAGGCGACGATCACCTGAGAGGAAGCGTCCATGAAGCCGGCGAGGGGATGGTGGTGCTGGTGGTGGTGGTGGTTCATGGGGCTATGGCTCTCCAGCCCGCCGCCGGTGATAATGCTCTGGAGAGGAGTCTCCTGCTGGGCAAATGAGAACGCCGGCGAGGTGGTCTCCGGCGGCGGGAAGACGGAGTGCGCGAGAGATCCCCGCGGCTGATTCATCTGAAACAGGCGGGGGAGTGATGGACCCAATTTTGACCTAGAAGAACCCCCCGGCGCCAGAGAAGAAGACGAAAATCAGACATCGGATTTACTTACCCCCTTCGGGAGGAGGCTCTCCACGTTGAAATCCAGTCGCGGGTTCACGGTGGCCAGCTTCATGGAGAGGAACTGCGAGAGAGTAAAGCCCCGGCGAGTTGTTTCAGATTCAAAGGCCGGAGGAGGAAGAAGAAGGCGGCGGCGGAGGGGCGGCCGCTTACCTCGACTTGGCGCTGCAGCGACTGGACGTAGTTGATGATCTCGTCGAGCATCAGCGCCTTTCCGGTGACCTGCAAAATTTACAGAGATTTGGTTCTTCCCAATGTGAGACGACGATCATTTTTATTTTTTCCAAGGAATTCGACGAGGATCACCGGGAGAATGCGGACCTTGTTGCATCCGGGAACAAGATCTTGGAGGAACTTCATCCGCTGGCTGATCTTCTCTCTCCTGACCTGCGAGAAGCAGAGGGGCGAGGTGAGAGAGGGAATCGAAGCACCGGAGACGGAGATGTGAGTGGAGAGAGAGGAAGGAAGAAGCGGCGGCGCCGCAGCCGCCGGCGACTCACCCTCTCTGCGAGACTGTGGCTGTCGGTGGCCTGGCCCCTCCTGGCTCTGACGTGGATGTAATCCTGCTTAGGGGGCTCCGCCGGCGACTTGGAATTGCTCCCTTTGTCGTCGCCGGAGTCGCTGTTAGGCTCCGCCTTGGGCTGCTGCGGCTGGACGTCGTCCTCTCCGGCGCCGGCAGACTCCTCTGACTTGCTTCTCTTCGCATTGGCGTCCTCCGCCGCCGCCGCCGCCTTCTGCAGAGAAACGGGGAATTCTCCGTCAGTCCCTGAGGTAGGAGGAGAACCCAGAGGAAGAAGGGAGAATTGCAAAGGGAGAATTTACAGTTTTGCCCCTGTGAGCCGTCTTCCTCTTCCTCCCAGCGCCGCCATCATTACGGGCTCTGGAGCTCTGCTGGACCACCGGCGCCGGCGGCGGCTCCTCCTCCCGAGCGCCGCCAAATTCGGCGTCGTCCGGCGTGGAAGATCTCGAGAGTCTGGTGCTGCTGAGCCTGGACCGCATGTCCACCTCCAATTGGGACCCGTCAGGCGGCGCCGCCATGAGAGACTGGCTGCTGGAAACCCTCGACAGCCCTATCTGGCTGCCGTAGCAACGGCCCCCGAAGCAAGAGAGCCTGGCGGCCCTCTCCGCAAATTCCGGGTCAGCGGCGAAGGCCGTAAGGTGGGTGGTCAGCGGCGGCGGCGGCGGCGCGGAGTTGCCCAATCTGGGAAGATGGTCCACCATGGTGGAGAGGTTGAGCTTTGGGGGGGAGTTCAGGGGGGTGCTGTAGCAGGAGGTGGCGCCGCCGCCGCCGCCGAAGCGGTGGGACTGCGGCGAGATCTCGCCGGAGTTGCAGATGCTCCCCAGCCGGCCGATCAGCTCGCGGATGACGAGATTTTCCGCCGCCGACGGCGCCGGGTTGGTGGAGGAAGGAGAGGAGACCATGGAGCTGAGCGCGGACTCGAAGTGGGCGGCGGCATTCTGGTCAACGTCCCAATTGAAGTGCACGAAGCACGGCGGCAGCTGATCGCCGCCCCCAGCCGCCGCCCCGCTGCTGATCTGCGGCGGGCATTCGAAGATCTTCTCCTCCATGGCGAAGAGAAGACCGAGAGATGAGAGAGAGGAGACAGGGAACTGAGGAGAAAGGAAAGTTGGGGATGAGAGAGAGAGGTCTGGAGAGGTGGGGAGGGTGGGATTTGTAGTGTGTGGAGAGGAGAGAGATAGTGATATAGAGAGAGAGAGAGAGAGAGAGAGAGAGAGAGATGTGGGTGAAGGGGGAGGGGATTAAAAAAGAGAGATGTTGACCTAATACGCTAGAGGGACTTCAACCGCGATCGACGGTGAGAAGATGCCGGGCCTCGAACGTCAAACCAAGCTGCTGGCACCTCCTGCCGTGGAAGCCCACCGGACAGAGGAGAGAGAATGGGACAGAAGAAGAACCAGGAAGAGATAGAGAGAGAGAGAGAGAACGGATGAGGGCAGTACTCGAAAGCCTTCCCAGCGCCAGTGGACAGAAGAATAGAGACTGACGGAGTGAGAGAAAGTGTAGAAAGAGAGAATCTTTACCGTGTCAAAACCGGAATAAAGGGAGCTCCCCATCTTCTGGATACTCGGGCAATAAAAGTTGAGAACTTTCTCCTTTTGCCAAGGTAATCTCGGAAAATGTGAAGCCCTAGAGAGAGAAGCAGACGGCGCAAGCAAGGGATGACAGATAGAGAGAGAGAGAGATGAGAGATGAGAGGAGGGAGAGAGAGGGTTCCTGTATTTCATTCGTTCTAATATACTAAAATTCCCTGTTAAAAGATTTTGTCATACAAAACACACCCCCACACCATTTATTTCGAATATTGAGAAATAATTCCGACAGCCTCGCCACGTAGGCGAGCACGTGCATGCTTATTTGGCACGCGTACGTGCGTATGGTAGCATCGGCGGCGTAAAGGAGGGGAAGGCGGCGGGTATCTTTCCGTCCAGGCTGTTGACGACTATGGCTTTTTGGCCTTTTGGAGAGTCAGATGTCCAGCAGAAAAATACTTAAAACTTTTCAGGGTTTAATGATTAATTTTCGAGACAATGGCTTCACGGAATTTTTTCTCTCCTACCCCCTTTTATTATTATTATTTATCGACAAGGGATGCCGTACTGGTCGGCATTTGTACGAAAAAACCCCAGAAATGTCCGTCTAAAGCAATGGAGGCCAGACTTTTGGCATCCCCCTTATTGTTGAGAGTGATTTAACAATTCTTAAAAAATGGGCGTTTTTTGAGTTTTCTTTTAATATCCAGGACAATCATTGCTGGCACAGTGAAGACTGTGGGAGAGGTTAAAAAGTCAAACCGCGGGAATAGAAAATCGGTCCTGGGGAGTTTATTGTTAAGAAAAGTCGGTGGCGAGGGTTGTTTGTTTTTTTCTTTCTTCATCGGTTCGGAAATTTTATTTAAAATTTAGCTCGCTCTTCAATCATTGTCACTAAATCCCCCCAATCGCGTCGTAGATGAAGGCCCAGCCCGGTTCACACGTGGAGATCACACGTGTGTTGGGGGGAGGAGCTGGGCCGAGGTTTTTACTGGGCCGCCGTTCAAGGAGCACACCCTCTCTCTCTCTCTCTCTCTCTCTCTCTCTCTCTGTCTCTCTCTCTCTCTCTCTCTCTCTCTCTGTGCCCGGAACTTGACAGGTCCACCGTGAGGTCAACATCCTCGGAAGAGGCTCAGATCCCTCTGATCTCCATCCCTGTCAGTCCCACAGACTCAATTTACCCTGAACTTTCAGAGATCAAGCCGTTGACTTGAGACACTTTTGGTCAATTCTTACGGATTTAGTTGTCCGATCTCGTCGGAGTAGCAGGGTAGATGCGGACGTAAAGAGCTCGATGGTCGGTGTAGAAGACAGAAAACTCTCTATTCTTAAGCGTGATTGACGTGGAAACGTCCCCATTTTATACGTGGGATTGAGCTGCATGCAATATATCCATAAAATAATTTTTTTATATTATTCTGATGATCACCGAACTCGGCAGTTTCATCTGAAAAAAATTATTGTGTGACCCATGACACGTAAGTCAATGGCGAGAGATATAGGAAAGGCGGCGCCGGTCATCTTCTTCTTCTTCTTCTTCTCCCGGGATCGAGAATGGAAGCGTTCGACGGGAAGCCAAAGGCCGACCCCCCCGGCGATTGCCGTCGGCGGTCGACTTGTCGTGCTGTCTCTGCGCGCCTGCTTCCCTCCGCGGGATGTTTGAAAAGATAATGGGAAGGGCATTCTCAGCGGAAGAGAGAGGAGAGAGAAGAGAGGGGAGACCTGGACAAACGGCAAGGGCATGTGCCCTGCGACTGGTGGCATCTGCCCTGCAACATGCACCTAACGCTAATAATGGAGCCAACGAAGGGAAGAGGTAAGGAAGAGATCTCTTCCAAACCCGGAGTTCTCTCTGGCCGAGAGTGATTATAATTGGCAAGCGCTTCTCCGGCCGGACAAGTTGATGTGCACCACCTGCAGCAAGCAAATATTCCCATGCAGCTCTCTCTCTCTCTCTCTCGCGCTCGTCTGAGGGTGTTGCGGAGAGGAACCCAATTGAAAAGATGGCAGCTGGGGCTCGGCGGGGCGGCTGCATGGAGGAGGTCTCCCCACCGGTCTATCCAGAACAATAAATATGGTGGGGGGTCGGGCAAGTTAGATGCCTGACATCGATACCTAACGCTTAATAGAGAATTGAGATTTGAGAATTGAGAAGAGGGAGTTGATGACATTGGGCACGTGATAGCCTTCACGATGTATCACCTTTCTAAATCATATGCTCCTCTCTCTCTCTCTCTCTCTCTCTCTCTCTCTCTCTATCTCTATCTCTATCTGTCTACCTATCTATCTATGTAGCCATCTATTCATTTATCTACTTCTCTCTCGCTATAATAATAGATATACATCTGCTATCCCAGAGAGGAGGAAGAGAGCGTAAAAGAGAGAGCGACAATGCCCAAGACGACAACAGGAACATCACTAGCGGCAGGAACAGACGGAGGAAGAGAGTAACCCCCCCTCTCTCTCTCTCTCTCTCTCTCTCTCTCTATCTCTAGCTCGACTTGAACAATATGGTTGTGCAAAAGACAATCCAGCTTCGAACTAAGAATGGGCAGGCAGAGAAGCAACAGGACAGATTTATTTTCCAACACGGCAAGCTTCTAACTATGGGTTACAGTGGTGTGATGGCGAACGTGGTGTACAGGTCGGTGCGGCCTGTGACCCGGCAAAACGCCGGAGAGGGAGAGAGAAAGAGGGTTTCGGTGGAGGAAGAAGCACTTGAGAGGTTAAACAAGCGACTCCCTAGTCCGGTCAATATCACATCCGCTGTTTATGCATATATGAAATATAAATATGTAGAGAGAGAAAGAGAAGGCGGGGACTAACACGGCAGGCGAAGCATCTGAACGACACGAACAAGGGTCTGACCTACTTCTCTCTCCTCTTTATTAAAAACGAAATATCCATCTCCCTCTATCTACACCATCATTATCAGAATCATTGATGAGTGCACGCGTAAATCCTCATTAATCGTGGATCCTTGATTAGCGGTCGGATCTTTATATAGTCGAAGAAGTAATCTAAGAGCGAGAGAGAGAGAGACGGTAGCGAGGCTGCAGAAAATTGCCTGGATTTTTCTAACACTGCAACAGAAGTGCTGGGGACTCTTCTTTTGCGCCCCCCTTCCCCCCTCTCCCCGGGCGCTTGTCCCTTTCTTTCTCTAGGCACTCCACGCCGATGGTCCATTTTTCATTTACAACCCTCTCTCTCCCCATCCATATATATATATATATGAGTGAGTGAGAAAGAGAGAGAGAGAGAGAGAGAGAGAGAGAGAGAGAGAGATTTAGTAACAAGTCCTTCAACAGCATAAGCAGACACCCCTTGTTCTATTCTTTTACCTCGATCGATTTTGTGAAAAGGAGTTGACGTTAAGTAATCCCTAATCAGATCGCTGTATCTGAATCGCAACATTCCGATCAAAATCAGGTAGTTCGATTTATGGGGATATTTTAGAACCTGGGTTCTCGTAAAGCTTCTTCTTTCTTCTTTTTTTTTCTTTTTTTTTGTAAATGAAGTTAATCGTGTGTATATACAGTCAAGGAATTTTCTGATGCATTATTCTATTTTCTCAATTGGATTATGGAGCTCTAATTTGTCGGGCGCCGTACCTGATGAGACCAATTAAATACCAGACATTAAGCTACAAGCCATAAAGCCAGAAATCAAGACGAATAAGTATACACGTATACAGTTGATTCAAGCCCAGTTCGAAGGACGGATTATCCTAGAAATGATCGCCGTGGGTAATAGAAAAAAGATGGCATTTCTTTACTTGGACAATTCCACGGCCACCGAAATCCGTCGGCGCCGTTGAGAGCCCGCATTCTTGTCCGAAGCCGGTTGACCCGGCAAGAGGCCGAAGAGTTCAAGTTCCGATGTACAGACCGCCGACTCCCTCCCTCCGCCGGCATCCCCTTCCCACCCGGTGGGCAGATGGGCCAGCGGCTCCTGGTTTCAGACCTCTCTCTCTCTCTGGGGGGGGGACGGCGGGTTTTATTTCACGCCCGACGCAAGACCGTAAGATGGGAATATTCTGTTCAGAGGATTGGGGGGGATTGATTAATTAATGGCATCGTAGGGGCATAGATTAAGGAGGGAATGGAGGATTATATAAGAGCGTAGGTTCGTTCATACGTGAGGACATCACTCTGCATGGAGCGGGGAGGGGGGGGTGGGTGGGTGGTGGGTGCTGTCGGTGGGCTGTTCCCATCCGAGGCTTGACGAGGACGTGGCAACCACCGCCGGATCTCCCCCGTCGGGCCTCGCATGGATCGTGATCGGAGAAGTTTATTAAATTAAATCCACTATGGTTTTCTTCATTCCACTCTATCTTTTCCCTCTTGATAATTCGAGCGTCTTCGTGACCGTCGAGATCCGAACCACCCGCCCCCCTTCTGTCTCTCTCTCTCTCTCTCTTTCTGTGAGAGAGTCCCACCTTTATCATTGGCTATAATAGTATTCACAGATTTGCTCGGGAATCAAATCGCTCCGGGCATCGTCAGAACGTCGTTACATTATAAATTCATGGAGCTTTCATATTCTTGCACCCGGACTCGTACCGGTTCATTAATGCATGAGAGAGAGAGAGAGAGAGAGAGAGAGAGAGAGAGATGTTCCTTGTCTGATGGGGTAACCCCAACCGGCGTCCATTCAGAGCGGGGACAGAGAAGAGGGGGGCACGCCCCCTGTACACCTTCGCCCAACTCTCTCTCTTCCCGCAGGTATTCAGGCCAAGGGCAAAGACGAGGGAGGCACGCTCCGGTACACCTTCGCCTATTCCCTCCCCCGCCTCCCGGTGTTAAGGAAAGGGACAAGGAATAGGGAGCCACGCACCCGATCCCCTACCCCCCGCCCCCTCTCTCTCTCTCTCTCTCTCCCCACCACACAACCCACGCAGTTCATGTCCATAATGCTAACGCAAGAACAACGTACATATGAGAGTGTATGAGAAGAAACACACATTGCGCAAGTCTCCACATTTACGTGAAGGATCGTTTCGAGTTGTACGGCTCTAGCGAGAGAGAGAGAGAGGGGGGGGGGGAGGGTGTTTCTAGTCCAACCGTGTTTGATGGGATGCGCCTCGAATTCGGGTGGTGGTCTGTTGCCTCCAAATTCGTAGTCTAGTCATCCCATATAAGTCTCGTCAACCAGGGACCCACGGGGGAGGAGAAAACCCTTCTTCCCGCCGCTGGAGAACAGCCCAACTCAGCCCTCGCTCTGCACTTATCAGAGAGAGAGAGAGAGAGTATCTGGCCACTACCCATCTCCTCTTTCTAAGCATGACCAGACTCTCGACTTGCTAAATATTCGTCTTATATGAGTTTCAGACTCAGAATCTACACCAAATTCTTCACATCATCGACCATCTTTGTAGGTATTAAACCAGTCCTCTCTCTCTCTCTCTAAGGTCAGGGAGAGCAGGTTTTGGGGGTGTTTTTCCAGGCCAGGCTGGTTACAGCCGGACTTCAGTCGTAGAAATGAGAACACAACAGTGGCCATCATAGATTATTCGTACTTGTATTTATGTGGGTGAAAACCTCAGCTTTGGACGATGGGCATGAAGATCGGGAGCAACGGGGGGGATGTCTTCTTCTTCTACTGTTCATCAACGTAGACAGCAGCCGGCCGAGCGAGAAAAATCCCCCCCACTTTAACGGACGCTGCCGGCCCATTGACTTCCCCGCCGTCCGGACCTCCGGAAAGCTTCCGCCCTCTCACTTTCGCCAACACGACACGCCATGGCAGCCACGCCGCCGGACCCCCCGCAGCCGCGCCCCCCCGGTAACAAGTACACAGAGAGGTGAAGATGCTCAGCGTGAGAGGAGAGAGAGAGTTTGAGGGTCGACAGCATCCGGAAAGGGAGGTCGACTACCACGAGGATTGTTCCGTCATTCGAGGAAGTCGCACGTGGATGGAGCTGCATCCGTGGGAGGGCTTAATAAAGGGCCTGAACTTGTGAAGGCCTACCAGGATAGAGCCCAAAATGAAAGCCATTAGTAGAGGTATTAGCGGGCCGAGCCCGCCGAAGCCCCATTTTTTTCAGACCGCCAACTTTTAAGGGCCTCCATGGCAGCAGCTCTGCCCCCAAGAAAGCCCAATAATCGGTGGACCAGCCGTGCCAAAGCACGGCCCATTTATCAGTCTAGGTTCCTGAACACAGAGAGAGAGAGAGAGAGACGAACGAGAAAGACGAGAGTTTTACGAGGAACAGGCATGCCCACATCCACGCTCCAGTGTCTTCATCATCTTGAAGGACTTGTGCTTACCAGAAGAGAAGAGGCGCCATCCGAATGTATAAAGATTCTAGAGCAACAATGGCTGACCGGGCTCATGATTAGCGTTTCGAGGATGGATGAGGGAATCTCCTGGTCATTCCAGGCCGAGGGACCTCTGATATCATCTGGGGTTTTCTCCCGATCTCTCCCTAGTCACTGTTATTCACAGGGGAATGGCCATTACGGAGGATTCGCAGCAACAAGTACAAACTGGTTTTTCCGCCCCATTCATGGCGCTTCTTCATCGTCCTCAGAGGGCCCGGAGTGACACCTCCAGGTGCTCTATTCTCCTCGCCAGGTCGAGCTTCCCGCAGTGCTTCAGCCCGTCGACGACGAGGTCGAAGTTCTGAGCCCTTGGCATCATCCCCATCTCCGCCATCTCCACCAGGTAGTTCGCCGCTTCTACGAATCTCCCCCCTCTGACGCACATCTTCACCAGCATGGTGTAGACGGGCCTGTTGGGAGGGTGACCTCTGGTTTTCATGTCGCTGAAGAAGCTGAAGGCGTCGGCGAACCTCCCCGCCCTGCAGAGCGCCTTGAGCAGCGGCGCATAGAGGCTGGGGAACGGCCGGTGGCCGTCTTCCATGGCGGCGTGGATCAGCCGGAACGCGTCCTCGATCTTCCCCTCTCTCGCCACCGCCGGCAGCATGACCTTGTAGGTGGAGATATCCGGGCAGAGCCCCAACCGGCTCACCTCCTCGAGCAGGCCGGAGCAGAACTCCACCTCGCCGGACTTGCAGAGGGCCTCCAGCAAAGAATTGAAGGTGTCGACATCCGGCAAGAACCCTTCCTTGGTCATCCTCTTCACCAGGCCCTTGGCGGATTCCAGGTAACCCGCGTTGATCAGCCCGTCGATGAGGAGGTCCCTGCCCCGCACAGGGGGGTTGAACCCCTTACGGCTCATCTCCTCCAGGAACTCCTGCGCCTCCCGGAGCTTCCCGGCGGCGCACCAGCCGTTCACCAGCACAGAGAAGGTCTCCCTGTTGGGGGCGACACCCTTGCGGACCATGCGGCGAACCAGAGCGTACGCGCCATGGAAGTTCTTTACCTCGCAGAGGGCGAAGAGCAGGGCATTGTAAACGGCGGCGTCTTGGGGGCAGCCCATGCGGGGGAGGCGGTTGAAGACCTCGACGGCGCGGTCGGCGAGGCCGGCGGCGCCGTAGGAGGAGATGACAGAGGCGAAGACGGATGGGGAGAGGGGGAGGGAGAGGGACTTCATCTGCTCCGCCACCTTCCACATGGTCTCCCAGTGGCGACCGGAGCGGGCGAGGGTCTCAATTAGGGTTTCGAACTCGAGGGTGGTGGGGACGTAGGAGCGGGAGGTCGCCACCGATCGGGCCCAGTTGAAGAAGCGGAAGGACTCGACTGGGGAGGAGGAGCAGGCGCGGAGGACGCGGTAGACGAGGTCGGAGGTGACGGCGATCCCTAATCGGTTGAGCGTCCGCTCCAGGTAGAAGTCTCGCCGGACGATGTTGGCGACGTGGTGGACGGCGGCGAAGTAGTCGTCGCGGCGGCCCCCTCCGCCGCCTGTCTCTGGCGGGGGCCGACGCGACGCCGTGGCTGTGGTGGCTATGGTGGTCGCGGTAGAACAGTCGAAGTCGCTGCTGTCGCCGTCATCGTCTTCCTCCGGCCTGGGCATCCCGTGGGAGCGGGCCCTGGAGAGTAGAGTAGGAAAGAGGGAGCTCTGGATGGCGGAGGCGCAGAGCTGGTGGTGGCGGAGGATACCGGCAGAGGAGCGGAGAAGGAGCATGGCGCAGGCGGGTGCGTAATGGAGGCCCGCCAACTGTTCGACCAACGCCCCGACTGAAATCCAACAGATCCGGTAACTTTACGAGGCGAGCCAGACCCGACAGAAACGCCCCTCTCTCTCTCTCTCTCCTCATGAACATTAAGAATATGGATACATATTAGGAATGGTAATGACAGTTTAAATTTAAAATTGATAAATAATTTTTTTTGTTACCGTTCTATTACCAACATGTTCAACTTAAGAATAATTAAATTCATAGGATGTTTAACTGTATTATTTATTTCCATAATCAATATCAAATTAAGTTAAAACTTGATACACTAACATTCATATGCATCTTTATTAGATATTCAAATGCTAAAAATAGGTATCAATGTTATAACCCCCTAGCAAAGAAATTTTCGTCTGAAGTGATGTAACCTTTAGTGAAAAAAAGTCTTATTTTGATAAAAATCCCTAGTAAAAGGAAAAATTATACTACTAATAAAATTACTTGTAAAAGGAAAATATGAAGTTAGGTACTAACAATCTCACCATTGAAAAAATCTACATCTTCCAAAAGTAATTCCATTGAATCTCTTCATGATACTAACAACAAACAGGTGAATCAATCATCAATTGTTCAATCTCCTACATCAAAGTAAGTTAGTAAAGAATTGTCTCTATCTCTTAGGAAAAGAAAGAGAAAATACATTAGGAATCTAAGATATACTCTCTCTTTTTTTTTTTATTTAGGCGTCCATCTCAATATTATATTAGTTATATCCCAATGAGAAGATGAAGACGTTAAAGAATAATTAGAGGTGAACATTAGTCAAGAAGATAGATGCAAATAGATATATATATATATAATATTAAGTATAAGATTGATGAGACAATAGAATGACATAAGACTTGATTAATAGCTAAAGGTTACACTCAAGCCTATGAAATATATTACATAAAAATATTTTCTTCTATGGTAAAAAAATAAGATATCTAATTATGAATAGGATACATAAGAATTTGATGTAAAAGTACAGTTCTATATGGAGAGCTAGATGAAAAAGAAATATATCAACGTTCTCTACATATATGTGATTGGTCCAAATAGTGTGCAAGTTGAAAAATATTAAATCAAATTCAACAATAAAAAATAGACTAGTTTGAAAGGTTCACCAAGGTGATGCATGAAATAGGATATAGACATAATAATGGGGATGATACTTTATTTCTAAAATATTCAGCTAGAAGGAAACTATGACCTTTTCACATATGTAGAATGGCATAATGGTGACAAATAATAATGAGAATGAGAAGGAACATCAAAATATTTTTTGATAGAGTTTTACTTTAAGATATTGGGAAAATCCATATATTTTCTTAACATTAAAATATCACACTTAAAATAAGACATATTTAGATATCAATAAAAGTATGTCATTAACTTCTTAAAGGATACAAAAAAGTTGGGTTAGAAACTCATAAGTACTCTTATAAATTTGAATCATAAAATTAAAAATATTACACAAAAATGTTTAAAAAGATACACTTGGTAGAGTAATTTTATTAAATAAATAAATATATATATTGATATTGAGTTTTATTATTTTGTTGGTTATGCAAGTGCGATTGTCAATTAAAAACTAGTAGTGACCTAGATCAAATATTGAATTTGAATTTCAAAGAATAATACAAAAAGAAATATATGAAGCATTGTGGGTGATAATCATTTTAGAAAACCTTATAATTAAATCGTAAGATCTCATCATACTAATTTGTGACAACAAATCATCTATAAGTATTGTACACTATCTCGTACAACCTTATTAGATCATAACTATTAAGATTGATTCACACTTTATTGAAGATAAATTAGATAGTTTCATCATTTACACGTATATTATAACTCATGAATACCTTAAAAACATATGAAGGATTAAATGAGCCAATGTTTGACATAGTTATATGAAAGTTGAAATTAGATGACATCTATTCAGTAGTGTTAAGGTGCATGTTAGAATATAAGATATTATAGACATACCAGTTATTTTGTGTAATTTTAGTTGTAATTATATCCTTTTTTAATTATATTTTTATCTGTTTTTTGTTCTCGTTGTATTGGAACCATTTAGACTTAAGTGAACCCCAATTAACTGAATGCGAATAGCTAATTCTCCACCGGTGGCACCTACTCCGGCGACCAGCAACTTAGGGCAGCTCAAGCAGTTCAGACAAGATGAGGACTCGTGGGAACGAAATGTGGCATTTCCTTTTCACACGAAGCAAACCAAGGACACGTCTAAAATGGTTCAGATCAACGAGGGCGAGGCCATGGATGCCCGTCCTCCGCGAGATCCCCCGAAGAATTCCCAAACTCCGACGCCCATTCTCCTCGGAGAGAGAGAGAGAGAGAGAGAGAGGGTGCGCTCTGTATCTTTTCCCCCCTCTCTCTCTCTCTCTCTTTCTCTGTCTCTCTACATGTAGACGGGGGTAGCATACAAGATGTTAGGGACGGGACGGAGGGGGAGGAGGGATCCCTGGCCCTCCCCTTTCTCTCTCTAGGAGGAGACGGAGGAAGAAGAAGGGACCTTGGCTTGGCTTGGCGGGGGAGGCGGCGGGCTCACTGGAGGATGTCCCTGGGGATGATGATGTCGCCGATGTTGTTGTGCCATGGGTCGGCGAGGTGGGTCGCCAGGTTCTCCAGGGGGCCTGTGCCGGGGTACGCCGACTGCTGCACGCAGAACCCGACGAATGCTAGAAGAGCCAGGCGACCTGCGCTTGGTTGAGGCAATTTTCGGTGAGCGCCTTGTGGGATTGAAGGGGATCCGCTGGAAGGGGACTGGGGGGAGGAACTCACCGTTCTTGATCTCCTTGACCTTGTATTCCTGGAACTTGGCGGGGTCCTTGGAGTAGCCGAGGGGGTCGAAGGCGCCGCCGGGGTACTTCTTCTTCTCGGGGTCCTTCTCCATGCTGCGCTGGTGCTCGACAAAGGCGATGGAGAGGAACTCGATGACGAGGATGGTGGGAAGGGTGCCCCACGGTACCGGGTTGCCCAGGTAGGTCGCCTGCCCGCCGGGCACCGCCGCCCACTCCTGCGCCTTCACCCAGTTCCCCAGCCCCAGCGCCTCCGGCACCAGTATCCCCGGCTGCATGCACACAGCGAAGAAGAAGAAGACCAGATTAAGCAGGCGATGATGATGATGATAGTGGTGGTGGTTGTGGTGGCGGAGGAGCTACTGACCACGGCGAGCATGGCCCATCTGCAGTGGATAAGCTCCGACTCCTTGAACCGCTCGAGGTTCTCCGGCACCTCCCCGAGCCCCAAAGGGTCAAATCCAAAGTCCCTGCAAATAATCGCCCCCAAGTTCAGAGTTTCAGGAACCGATGGGAGATCGATACAAGGAGGAAGGAAGGAAGGAAGGAGACGATCGGCGTTACCCGGGGGCGGAGCCGTCGAGGTAGGGGGGACGCGGCTGGCCCGGCATCCACTCTGCGGACATGGAGAAGCGGGACGCGCCGCTGACGGTGGGGAGCTGGAGGCCGCCGGCGAACTTTGACCTGGAGGAGCCCAGCCGGCCGGGAGTCGCCACCGCGCAGCAGAATCTGAGCGCACTCGACGCCATCGCTGCTCTCTCCTCCGCCGGCCTGCCTGTGAGCGTTAGAGAGAGAAAGAGAGAACTAGAGAGAGGTTTTTTTCAGGCGAGGGCGATATGTCGCCTCCCCGGAGGAGGAGATCGGATTAAGAAGAAGAGTGACAGCCGGGGTGGAGAATCCGGGCGGCGGCTGCTATTGGATGCATCTGTTCCTGGTTATCTCCTCATTGGTCCACGTAGGCAGGTGAGCAATCTATTGCCCGACTCCGGTACGTCCACGTGGCAACCTAATCTATCTCCTGCTGCAATCTCAGCCGCGGAGGCCGGGGTGTGGGTCCCAGGAGCGCCACAATATCTCGTCTCGATCAGAGACCCAATGGGCCGTCTGATCTCGCCAGCCAAACTGGTCCTCCAGAAAGCGATTCCAACGAAGCTGGTTAGCTTTCCCATTTTATTTAATTACTCCGATTACTCCAAGGTTTCGTCTTTTTCTTTTTCAGTCTACATAGGCCTGTTTTTTTAGCCCCAATTCTAAATAAAACCAAAAAAAATAAAAAAGTGCAAGTCTACCCAGTAAGGTAGTAGATTTGGAGTATTTAGAACTATCATAGAGTTGACTTTGGCCTCTCATACCCTTATCTTCTCTCCCATTTACTATAAAGCACCTCACGTCCACACACCCAAGATACAAAATCTATCAATTAATTGATACAATTTAAACATGTGATATATATATTTATATTTATTTTTTTGCTGGGAAAAATTAAAAAAAACTTGATTATCAAAATGATGGATACTACCATTTCTTGTTGGCCTCTATGTGGGAGCACAATATGAAGAGGAAAGATGACTTGATTGTATTTTTTAAAATTATCTTCTTTATAAATATTTTCTACTTCTATTAAAAAATTATCACCGCAATTTTAATAGTTTTTATTCCTCTTCACCTACATACACTACTCTCCAAGGATGGAGTCCTTGGGTTTGACTATTTGCCTAGTGAATGTGTAAACTGAGTTCCATGTTCATCAACCAACTAGACTTGACGACTCCCACTAACATGGTATTTATCAAATCTCTTTCTAGATTACAAGACTCTGGGTAATTTCTCACAATTTGATATAAATAAGGGGTGAATTTCACCGAATGAGGATGATTCCTTTGTAAACTTTATTTGATTTCTCAAATTCTCTTCAACTGGGTCAGAAGAGGCTGCACTAATTGCTGCTCTCTCAAGTCATGGATGGAGAAGCATCAGCCAATTGGAGGTGACTCCAGCTCTAAAAGGAGAACGCATGATCAAATGATGCTGGCCCAATCTTCTTCTTTTTATTTATTTATTTATTTATTTATTATTTACTGTTGCTTTCACGTTGCAGGCAAAAAGAGATTCCCATTTCTTTTAATGGTTGGAGTGCAGTGGAGATGAGCTTTCTTGCTACTATATCAAGCAAAGGATGCCAGATTCTTTGCTGCTATGGCATGGTGGAGATGAAATCACAACATTTTCTATTGTTGGGATGATCAACAGCAAAGGTGTTAATTAAATGATATTCTTCCCTTTTCATACTAAAAAAATATATATAGAGATGATGGGTTTTTAAGTGGAATCTCCGTTACATAGCCAAACTGGGCCGTGTAGATGACACATATGTACAACGGATAAGTATGTCTACCTAAGTGCTCACATGCATACAGATTTTGGATCCACATGTCATAATAGATAGATCCATTTACCCGGTGTTGACCCGAAGTTTTGTATCATGGATCCGAAAACTAGATCCAATATTCCAAACGGAATATCTGACATGCCTTAAGCTAAGGCCCACTAACCAGATCTACCATAGTATTTTTATGGGCCCAATAATCAGACACAATGCTCAATAAAAGTGAAGCCTAATAGTAGATCCAATATGCTCTGATTCAAGCCCATTAATATTATATATTACTCGGATTCAGGCCCAATAACAGATCCATTAAGCCTAATTCGACCGAAAACTAATAGAGATAAAATGCAGGAGTATTTCAAAAGTATTTCACGCTATTATTGGTAGATAATGATCAGATGTACACTCCCAAGGTTAATAATACTCTTAAGCTCACCTATAAATATTTAAAATATTCATAGTATCAAGTAATGTAACTCCATACCCGTATTTCATATGTTGCGGTCATTATCAAAACACTTGATACTTCAAGATCATCAGCACTTAGCACAATATATTTGTAATCATATAATTTTAGTTATTTAAATATCAATGGATCCACCATTGAGCCAATCTATGCCTAGACCTTTCCCATGTTTAGAGAGAGAGTGTAGTGACTGTTTTCATCTTTCATTTTTTGTATAACGTGTCATTGGTTGTTCAAGTTGGGTAGAGCTTTATCACATGATTTTAATAGAATAAGGATTTTTCCATTTATAATTCCAAATAAATAATACCCCGATGTTATTAAATGTGATAAAATGTGTGATGATAAAGTTAGAATAAATATAAAATGTGATTTTCCATGTTAAATGATCATAATTAGAAGAAGATAAAAATGATCAATAAATACAAATTACCCACCGCATTTATCTATGCTCCCATGCACGACGAATTAGGACATGTATGTAAAGTAATAAAATAAATAAATTTGGGCCTAAAAAATCTGTAAAAACTAAAATTAATCCCTTATAGTCTATTAAATCTCTCTCTCTCTCTCTCTCTCTCTCTCTCTCTCTCTCTGTGTCCACCCCTCTTCAATAGCGGCATACGGTAGGCGGGTCCATTCCATGTAGAATGGTATCTCCTAAAGTGCTCGAGCATAACCTATTTTACTGGCTTTCTTGACTTTTTTTATATGGGCCCATTCCATGTGCCAGGCTCGTGGGCTTCTCCGATTCGCCCGTTGACCCCACATCTTCCTTATTTTATTCTAGGATATAAATGTCTCGGCAATGCGTTCACGGGGAGTTTCGGCATGGCGGCGTTCGTGGCAGTCAGAGCTCATCAATGAAGGAAAGTCTTGGGGGATGGGGAGTTGAATATTTATATGGACGATGGGTTTGTACGGTGTACGCGGTGATTGAGTATCTGGAGACGGCCGTATTTGTCGTCCACCGACGGCGGCAGGTCAGGCGGTTGGTTCGGAGGGCTCGGTTCGCTAAAGGAGGGTTCTTGCGTGTGGGGCTCTGAGCCAGCCCTCGCACGGCGACGGCCCCAGAGCTCCAACGCGCCGTTCCGCCTTTGGGGAGGGCCCACGCGGTTAGCATGGTGATCCATGTTTGAGAAATTTTCGCATCGTCGGTGCTGGGCCCCCCAAGCCTCTCTCTATCTCTTTCTCTCTCTTCCTCCTCCTCCCCCTCTCTTACTTAACACGGGATCTTGTTGCCTGAAGACTGGCTGCTACTCGTTCCCCGTGTGTCTCTGGTAGATTGGGGATTCCTATTTCTTCACTTAGGTCCCTCCGTCTCCCTCGTCTTGCTCGGCGGGGTGTCGGTGAGGCGGTGGGTCGGAAATGGAGCTGTTCTACATCTTGCTGTTCGGGGCGTTGTCACTGGTGGTGGCGACGCTGGAACTGAGCAAGAGCAGCAAGGATCGCATCACCACATCCTCCGCCTTCAATTCCTTCAAGAACAACTACCTCGTCGTATACTCCCTCATGATGGGTAAGCGGCAGATCTCTCTCTCTCTCTCTCTATACCCCTCCGATCTGCTTTCCATTTCTACGGTGCGACCCAGATCTCCAAACCAGAGAATGAGGGGAACCCTGGTCGGGGAACTGGCCTCAGTTCAGACCAGATCTGGAATCTCTGGTCCCGACCAAGCAAGGGAAATCCTGCTCGAATGACATCTTTGAACTTCATGAGAGTGAAGAGTGACGGATTTCGGCATACTCGCACACCCAGTGCCCGTCTAATCCCTTAAACCGGGCGATGTCTTCTGCGTAAATTCTTCGATTGAACGCGAACCCTCTCCTGGCAATGGGGTTTCGTGAATCTGAAGGGACCTAATGCTGCTTATGTTCTTGGTTCTTCACAAGACTTGATAATTTCTCAGCTGATTTCTTCACCTTCCTTCCAAATGAATCGGATTCGACTTGTTCTTCGATCACTATTCTAAGTTTCTTCTTATGTGGTGGTACAAACGCATGGAGAATGAGATCTGGGACCTATGTTTTCTGAAGGACTGCTTTCCTTTGGTCTGGAGAAAAATATATATATTATTGGAATGGGTGATCTCAGTATATCGAAAGCTTTTCTGCGCAAAGTCAGTTTTGGGATTGCCGAGTGCTCAAAACAAGTCTTCGGAAACCTCCAACCCTAAAGTAAAGTTCATTATTCATTTGAGCTCAACGCCTTAATCTCTTCAAGTAATCTGTTTTTAAGCTTTAAGACTTCCTGCATGCCGCAAGAACATCAATGCCGCTTGAAATCTGGCCTTTCGAGTTCATCACGGTGTGGAGAGTTGTAGTTATCAGGGACTAATCAAGTAGAATAATATTTTTTCTAGTTTATGTTTGTTGCATTTAACATTGACTAAGGTGAGCATTGATACTGATTTTTTCTTTCGGATCACCCAGCGTCAGTGAATGAAACGTTTTAGGGTTTAAGTGAAGCGTGAGAGAGAGGCATCACAATTTGGAAGAAAACGAGTGCAATTCTTTTTCCTTCATTTTTCCTAAACGTTGGCAGGGATCAAATAGTAATGGATCATCATTCTGAACTGATTTTCAAAGGATCCATTTTTAATTTTTTTTTGGTGAAGCAAATTCCATATTTTATAGGTCATGTAAATGATACGGTATACAAGAACATCAAGCAAGGAGATTTTTATTATTATTATTACATTGCAAACTCACTGCTATTTCAGAAAAAAAGGGGAATTGTTCAAATAAAATGCGAATAAACTTATTTATTACGGTGTTCTGTGTTTAACATGATATCTCATTTTCCATAGAATGAAAATGGAGTCCAGAAAATAAAAGAAAATTGAAGATTTTTGAATTAAAATGCTTCAATGGGGCCAAAGTTTTAAATTTTCTGCCAATGGATTGAAGATTTGTGATTCATCAATCTAGCCTGACAATTATTTCATTCCCGGCAACAGCTGGGGATTGGTTGCAGGGGCCCTACGTTTACTTCCTCTACAGCCATTATGGCTTCGACAAGGGGGACATTGGGCGGCTCTTCATCGCCGGTTTTGGATCCTCCATGCTCTTCGGCACCATTGTGGGGTCCCTTGCGGACAAACAGTGAGTCCTCACAGTTTAATTCCCTCCTGTGGCATCGAGCCAGCTTAACTCGCCATTATTATTTTTCTGAATTCTCTTTCTGGTTGTGTTGTGCTGGATGAAGGGGCCGGAAGCGGGCCTGCGTGACTTACTGCATCACCTACATCCTTAGCTGCATCACCAAGCACTCCCCACAGTACAAGGTCCTGATGGTGGGCCGCATCCTGGGCGGGATTGCCACGTCGCTCCTCTTCTCGGCCTTCGAGTCGTGGCTCGTTGCAGAGCACAACAAGGTCAGACCACCCAAATTGGCAATCTGGTGACGGGCTTGATGCCATCCTCCTCCTCTGGTCGTTCCTCTTCTGTTCTGAGGTCCACTTTGATGGTTGCAGAGGGGGTTCGAAGCGCAGTGGCTGTCGCTGACCTTCTCCAAGGCCATATTCCTAGGGAACGGGCTCATTGCGATCCTGTCTGGGCTCTTCGCCAATGCCCTAGCTGATAACCTGGGCTTTGGCCCAGTCTCCCCCTTTGACGCTGCAGCGTGCTTCCTGGCGATCGGCATGGCGATCATCTTGTCGTCGTGGACAGAAAACTACGGCGACCCTTCGGAGAGCAAGGACCTGCTGACCCAGTTCAAGGGTGCCGCCACCGCCATTGCCTCCGGTCAGTTCCCTCCCTTCCATTCTACCTTTCATCTCCTTGATTGCAGGCCGATTTCTATACTAACCAATTTGGGGTTTGATCAGTTGATTATTATTGCCCCTCTATTCCTCTGAGTTGATGCGGGATCTCTTCTATCTTCTAACTTTGCTGCGGCCGGTTGGGTGCTTGGTGGATCAGATGAAAAGATTGCTCTGCTGGGCGCGATCCAATCGCTCTTCGAGGGATCCATGTACACGTTCGTGTTCCTGTGGACGCCGGCTCTGAGCCCGAACGAGGAGAGCATCCCCCACGGCTTCATCTTCGCCACATTCATGCTGTCGTCCATGCTGGGGAGCTCCATCGCCTCGCGACTGATGACCCGGGCCTCCATCAGAGTGGAGAGCTACATGCAGATCGTCTTCGTCATCTCCGCCTTCACCCTCCTCCTCCCCATCATCACCAGCGTACGCGTGAATCTCCACCCTCCGCCTCCATGGATTGGATTGGATTGGGTTTTTTCAGGTGGCACGATGCTGTGGCTGATGAGGCTTGAGACTTTCTCGTAGGACAGCTCCTCGTGTCGCCCTCTTCGGTTAAGGGGGGCAGCATCTCCTTGTCGGGCTCCATCCAGCTCTTCGGCTTCTGCGTCTTCGAGGCCTGCGTCGGCCTGTTCTGGCCATCGATCATGAAGATGAGGTCTCAGTACATCCCCGAGGAGGCGAGGAGCACGATCATGAACTTCTTCCGGATCCCTCTCAACATCTTCGTCTGCATCGTCCTCTACAATGTGAGAATCATCTAACCCATTATCTGTCGCTCTTGGAGTCAAATCAGATCATTGGTTGACCGTTGCTTCTTGTGGGACTACTATCCAAGGTCAACGCGTTCCCGATCACGGTCATGTTCGGCATGTGCTCCATCTTCCTCTTCATGGCATCCATCCTGCAAAGGCGGCTGATGGTGGTCTCGGAGATGCACAAGAGTGGGTGATTCTACTGAGAGATCTTGAGACATCTGATCTTTACTATTATGATTATGATTATGATTGTTATGATTATTATTTTCATTCATACAGAGCCCGAAGATTGGTCGGCCATGAAGGAGGACCCGGACGAGGAGCCGCTCAACTATGACCAATGAGGGAAGGAATCGCCCGGTCTCGCCATTCTGGTCGCGAGGATCTCAAATAAAGAGAGTCAAAGACTAGGACTGGGTGCAGTTAGATGGGAAGATCACGACTGGAATCGGAAGCTCTTCCGGTTTTTTTTTTTTTCTTTACATTTTGGAACTCGATGATTTATTTATTTTTCTTCTCCAGGGCTTGCAATTCCCTGCATATCTCGGCGATTATATATTATTATTATCATAATTATTGCAATCCATGTTTTTGTTTTTTGCTTCCCAAGGTGCATTTTATTATTATTTCATTGCAAAGTCAACTAATATCAGCAAAGTGTTCATAGGTCATCTCACGGACCAATTCCTATAAAAAATTGTCAGAAAATATCTGGAAGAGGTGCCTGGTGGGCTTCGAAGATGCCCGGCCCGAAAGCCCTCCACCTCCTCCCCACCATGTGAGTCCCATTCGACGGTTTTAAGGGTCGGGCTGGGCTTGGGCTTCTTAACACAGAGGATGGCCCCGGCCTGTTTCGTCAATTAATGTGGATGTCGGTGGGTAGGCCCAATTCTTGCCGGGCCCACCTCGAATTAGGGGCGCCGACCCCTTGAAAGCTCGGGCCTGAGTTGGACGAGCCCGGCCTAGCCTTCTCCATATACCTACCAGCGAGAGAGAGAGAGAGAGAGAGAGAGAGAGAGAGGGGTGGGTAGGTGGGTGGAGGTCTCACTGCTCTCTTTCTCTCTCTGGACAATTCCCTTTGTCTCGGAGGTCAACCGCCGATGAGGCTCTCCTCTCCTTGGTACTTTTGGAAGGAATACGACTTCAGTCCGTTGCAAACGATCACATATCTTATTAATCTTATTGAATTATAATCTTGGGTCGAGTAAGTTTTCCTAAAATTGGTCAACTTCAGCCTGGTGTGAGTTGTTCTCGCTTGTTTGACGTGATTCCCGCCCCGAGTCGTCCTGCATGGAGAGAAGGCGGCGTAGAGTCTGCCCTGGTAGAGTTCCGAGGAATGTAACCGATCGGACGGAGTCAACGCGAGGACTGAGATCCTCAGCCGACTCACTAGGAAGCCGAGCGGCGGCGCTGGCGGCGGCGGCGCCGGATAAGATTCTGGCATTTCCTGTGAAGCGTCTCTCTCTCTCTCTATTATCAGACGAGAAAAGGACGAATTACGGGGTCTGGTGTGAGGACAAATCTCTCTCTATCATTCTCTCTCTTCTTCGCTCGTCGTCTACTCGAGGTCCAGCTGAGTGGGACACTGGGCCATCTCCAAGGAGTCCACGAATGCCATCAGATTGCGATCCGATGAGCCGCCTTCCTTCACCGCCTCCCGTGCCCTCCGACTCCAGGCCTCTCCGTTCCGCCGGATTTCGCCGTCGTCCTTCATCACCAGCTCGATGCACCGCCGCAGCTCCGCCGCCTCCAGGAGGCCGCCGGCGTTGACCTCCGCCCTCACGCCGACGCCCCACTCCGTCTCCGCCAGCCGCGCGTTGGTCGGCTGGTCCGTCCACTGCGGCAGCCCCACCGTCGGCACCCCGCAGAGCAGGCTCTCCACCGTCGAGTTCCATCCGCAGTGGGTGACGAAGCAGCCCACCGCCCTGTGGGAGAGCACCTCTACCTGAGAGCACCACTCCACCAGCTTCCCCTTCTCCGCCGCCGCCGCCGCCTCCGCTCCTTCTCGGCCCCCCCTCACCACCCACAGGAACGGCCGGCGGCTCTCCGCCAAAGCTCGGGAGATCTCCTCCCTCTGCGGAACCGGCAGCACCGTGAAGCTGCCGAAGGAGACGTACACCACCGACCGATCCTCCTTCCCGTTCAGCCACTCCACGTACGTTTCCTTGGCGTCTGGTTTGAGCAGGTCGCCGCCAAAGGTGGTGTCCTCGTGGTTCTTCCCGTCGGTGTAAGCGGACGGAAGGAGAGGTCCCACGGGGATGAGCTCCATCGTCTCCACCGCCGCCAGCTGCTCCTTCTCCAGCTCCTCGAAGGAGTTCACCAGGACCTTGATTTTCTTCTTCTTCTTCTTCTTATTATTCTTCTCGTTCTCGACAACTTCCCGGTCCAGAGTTCGGAACATCTCCTCGAAAGAGGTCAGCACGAAGGCGTACTGGGCGGCGGCGGGAGTGGCCATGAACGACGGCAGGTCCCTGATCCGCAACCGCGGCATTCCGGGCAGCTCCACGGGGCAGGAGGGGTCGTCGCGGTGGGAGGAGATGAGGCCGTCGAAGCCGTGGAAATAGTGGTAGTAGACGCCGAAGACGGTGGCGGGTTGGATCCAGAAGAGGACCGATGGCACGCCAAGCTCCTGCGCCAGGTCGGCGGCCCAGGGAAGGAGGAGGGTGTAGATGATGCAGGTCACCGGTCGGCCCTGCGCCGCCAGGGAGCGGGTGGCGCCGCCGAGGGTCTCGTAGCCCACCACCTTGATCTGCGCCATGTAGCCTTCGGTGTCGCCCGTGACAGGGTCGAAGCCTCCGTCGTACCCGTCGGAGTAGGGCAGGAAGGAGACCGGCCCCTCTGGTGGAGAGCCCGAGGGGAACATCTTCCGGTGCCCGGAGATGGTGGTGGCGAAGGTGACGGCGGCACCGCCGCCGCCGCCGCTCCTGCTCAGATTCTTTGCGAGCTGCAGCGCCGGGTTGATGTTCCCCTGCGCCGGCAAGGACACCACCAGGAAGTGCTGCCGGCGCCGCTGCTGCACCATCTCTCTCTCCCTCTCTCTCCCTCTCTCTCTTCTTCGCTGCGCGGGGAGTGGAGAGTAGACGGGCCTCGACGGTGGGTCTTATAGGATGAGGTGACGTCTACCGTGACACAATCGCGGCCTGCTCTAGGTGATGGCGGTGGTGGCGCCAGTGGCGGAGGAGAAACCAGACACCGCTGGAAGAATGATCGGCCATAAATCGAAGATATGGGCGATGGAGCTCACCTTGGCGAAAACAGGACCACGGGCTCCAGGAGCAAGATCTTGTGGCCGGTGACCAGATCCCAGAAATCCATAACTGACCGGGGCCAGCGGCCGGCGGTGTCGTCACTGACTGCCCCGCCAATTTCCGTTTTATGATAAATTCCATATAATATGACATACTTTTATAAAGTGGATTAGTTAAAACGAAATTCGAAGATACCCTTCCTGGATGTTGACGTAAACCCCCCCCCCCGCCCCAAACGGCTTTATTCCCTCTTTTCCTTTATATCCTCGTTTTATCCTCTCCCTATTTATCTCCCATCTATAAATTATTTCTAAAATTATTTTATATTTAAGTAATTACTGATAAATATAGCTTCGTATCAACATCAGAATCTTATCCACGCCGCATGATTCTTCAACTATCCATTGTATTATTATACTTATATTTGTTTTTATAATTAGATGTGCCCATTTTCTCAAGGCCTATCTTGTCATTGCCAGCGTGAAGGAATATTATTCGGGCCATGGATTAATCCATCTAAAATGTTTTATTATTCAGTTTTCGACCAAAATGAGTCATTTATATACTTCTGACTAACCAAGTCAACTGAATATATGACATGAATCAATGTGGGTTGACTTTGGCCTATTTCATCACTCGAAGATAACTCGGCTGGGCAAGTGTTTGACTCCATCGGTCACGGGTCATCGTTTTCTTAGATCCAATCTGACTATTCTGACCAATCCGACTGTCTCAACACACACCACCGGGCTGTATCCTCCAGCCTCTTTCTCCTCCGCTGCACTGCCTACATCCCACCCTCCGGCGGCGGCGACAGCACCGCCGGCAAGTGGACGCCGGGGGCGGTGGCGGTGGACCGAGGCCACTGTGGGCAGTGGCGGAGAGCAGTGTCAAGCGAGGGCCCTCTCTGACGGCGCCACTGGCCCTGCTGTCTGAGCCTCCGCCATCGTTCAGTGAGGACCACCGCGCACGCGTCCACCACCTCCAACACCCCCCCGCCGGCGTTGAGGATAAGCCTTCCAGCGGGGGGGGGGGAGGCTCCTGCGGTGGTCGTTGCTCTAGTGCCCGACCATTTCGGAAGCCCGGTCCCCGCCCGTTAGTTTTTTGGGCCTCAACAAAAGCCCATCGGATCTCTGGGCCAATGCCGCACGTGCGGGGAGAAGATGGGGGAGGGCGAACACCGCACGAGTTAAACGGCTGCGACACGCGCAGTGGATTGCTACTGCTACTTCTCCGATCTATTCTCGCTCGCTGGTCGCAGAGACGGGGTGCCGTTCTCGCTCCTTCCACCTCGGGCACATCGCCGCCGGTGCCGACGCTCCTTCTCTGGTTATCTGTCACCGGCGCCGCGGCAGTGGCTGCGGCTCTGTGCTGGGGGGCTGATTACTCCTTCCTTCTGCCTGGATTCGTAAAGATCTTGAAGTGAGATGGCTTCGGCATCGGTCCCCGCGGCCTTTGCGGCCGCGTCCTCCGTCGTGACCGGCGCGGACATTTCATCCTCCACTCCCCCGAGGTGTTCTCGTGCCAGTGGCGTCTCTCTCCGCCTTGCTCGCCGGCCCAAGCTCGCGCTTATCTCTTCCAAGGTTCGATCCGTTCTAAATTAAGATTTGTACATTTGTCTCGGTTTATGGCGGGTAAAGGCCAATCGCGAAGCGAGCAGACTTCGTTCTTCGGTTGGGCTAGTTATCAGTTTGACAGAGTTGGTAGCTCTGTGTTCATTTGTTCCGTCAATCTCGATCACTGCGATGGATTTCTGTCCTTGGTTGAAGTTTTGTTTTCTTCTCGGTTCTGTTGGTTCCTCTTCAGGCGCGTGGAATCAATTTCTGCGGCGACAGATCTCGTGGCTTTGTTACGAAGTCCCAGACGAGTGAGGTGAACCTCATCACTGCTGATAGTCAAGTCGCTGATGCTGTTTCTGCCATCCTCTTCGTACTTGTCGCTCATTACCTTGCGCTCTCTTTCTTTCCCGTGTTTAAGGTTGTAGGCGGGCTGTCCAATGATTCCATAGCTGTTGACCTGAAACCTAAATTGCCCGAGGGCGATAGTGCAGAACCATCAGCGAAGGGGGCTGTGGCAGCCCCCATGTCCGAGGAGGCAGTCTCGGAGTTCCTAAATCAGGTTTCGAGCCTCATTAGGTAGGTCCCTCTTTGCTTACTCCGTGTTTTTCGTTTTATTCCGTGGAAGTTCTGCATATGGACAGACCGCTTCATGCCTGATCTGTGATGCAGGCTTGTTGATTCCAGAGATATCGTTGAGCTGCAGTTGAAGCAGCAAGACTGTGAGCTGGTCATCCGCAAGAAGGAGGCCTTGCCTATTCCGCCTGCTCCTAACCCTGTTGTCATGATGCAGCCCCAAGGAACATCACCTGTCTTGCAGCAGCAATTTGCACCTTTGCCACCTGTAGCCCAACCACAAGCAAGTTCTGGTGCTTCGCCTTCACCCCCGTCCTCACCTGCTGCTGCAAACAGCTCTGCCAAATCGTCTCATCCTCCGCTTAAAAGCCCCATGGCGGGAACGTTTTACAGAAGCCCAGGCCCAGGACAGGCGCCTTTTGTGAAGGTGATGATGGATGGATGGATCCCTTCGTCGTTTTGTAGCAACGAATCATAAGTTATACAGCCTCCATTTGATTTCCCGGTAAAGAGGAATGTTTCAGAGCTACAAAAGCTTGTTAACTCTCTTATTGGACTTTAAACCTTTAGGTTGGGGATAAGGTCAACAAGGGTCAGGTCCTTTGCATCATTGAAGCTATGAAGCTGATGAATGAAATTGAAGTAAGACTGAATCCTGATTCCTTCATCTTGCATTGGTTCATTTACCTTATAATTTATTTATTTTTTTCCTGTACGAGAGGTTCAAGTTGGCTTCACTGAATATGTTCTAGTGCTCGCAATGGAGTGTTTTTGGTTGTGGATGGTGGACAAATTTCTTTGTCCGTTCATAATCTTCACATATTGTCTATAGATTGGATGGACATCTTTTAATCTACTAAACTTCTAAATCTTTCAGTCTCACTTTTTTTAACACGCGTAATGTTCTGATTTATCAATTCTGGATTGAGTGTTTGCTTGAGTATGAAACCTCTTAGATGCTGTGCGTAATTAGAAATCGGTGAATGATTACTGAAGATATCTATATTTTGTGTGATGAAGCAAAATTCATGTTTGTAATGGACTCTAAAGAAGGTAAGGCTCTTTTTTGTGAACAGATTTGTATGTTGTTGTGGAGCTTTATAGAGGCATCATCAATTGTTTGTTTTTATATTTTTTTAGTCGTCACCTAAGAAATTGATGATGCTTTCCCTTTTTGTCTATTGGCGAGTTTTTTTCAGGTTCATGTTTACGACATTAAGCTGTTTTTTGTCTTCTCATTTCCTTTAGTGCCAGGCTCCTGAATGCTGATGTAATATTTAGGATCAATTATAGAGTATTTTTTGCTCTGTTTTTTTTTCCTACCATTAAACTAGGTCAAAAGTTAGCCTACTTTTACCTTGAATGCATGATTCATCAAGTCAGTATTATAGGTGGCGCTTAATATTATTTTGTAAATAAAAGGTTTTCTCAATGAGTACCGAAGGTTTCTCAGGGGCATCTCCTTGAAACTATGCGATTGGCGAAGGAAAATAGTTGTTATCCTAGTAGGCCAGTGTGAATGCTTCTGTAATCTATCTGGACACGAAATGTTTCTCGTTATAGAGAAAGAAACGTAGATGATGATCGTAAATTCTGCACCTTGAGATCTTCATGTAAATTTGGCTGTCAACGGGTAAATGGCTGTTAAAGAAAGAGCTAGAGGTGTTAGATTGTTTGTTGAGTACAAAAACTTGTGATTCTTTTAATTATGACTTTTACTAATTTAATACCAAGTAGCAATGAACGTTCGTGGCTTATGGCATTGGATGGCGGCATTTCCCGTGAGTGGCATTCAATAGAGACTACGACGAAGGAGAACATCTCTAGGAGTATACGACATTGATGGTGGATAGTCTGTGGTAGTGCCATGGTGAGTGCAGTTATCTGGGATGACTATTGCAGTGGTGAGTGACAATGTCGGTGTTGATGCTTGGCGGTGACGAGGGTAGGCAGTGATAGTGGTGGATGGGAATTGAACACCGGTGGTAGAAATGAATGACCGTTGCAGATGACTTCTCTGTCATTATCTTGCATCAGTGGGAGGAGACAGTAGTGGTAGGTTGTTGCTGATATCTATATAGATGAATGATAATGGCTTTAAGTGGTGAGCTGGAGGTTGTTGGCGCGCCAAACTTGTGCCCAGTGAGGGTGTCCTATAGTTGGATGCATATGGGTATAGTGAGAATTTTAATGGCTTTTAGGTCCTGTAGACGAAAAGTTCTATCTCGTTTGGACTCTGGACTCTGGACTTTGGACTTTGTTACTCCAGCTGGATGCATATGGGTATAGTGAGAAAGTTACTCCAGCTGGACTCTGGACTTTGTTTCAAAAAAACTTTTCATGTGGACCGCACTTTTCTCCTGCCACGAAATCTTTCCATTTTAAGTGGCAAAGGATTCCTATATCTCAACTTTACTTCATTTTAACCATTATTTTTCACTTTTTATTTATTTTTACTCCACGAAATTCGACAAGTGGTATAATGACGCACGATTTGTTCTCAACTCTGACGAAGCCCAACACACATGAGTTGCTTTGAAGTCCTTAATCAGCAGAGGACTCTGACAACCACCGAAAGCCGAGTCATCTCTGTGGGTGCTTTTCAAGCTAGTCAAGAACAGTCCCTGGTTTTTCTCATAAACAAGTGGTCTGTTTGTCCTCGTAGCTGATGAATCTGATGAAGTGGATAAAAAGGACGGTGATCCCTAACTTATTGCGATCACTTTCATAGATATTTCCATAACGGGCAAACAATTTATTTGTGACGTTAAATAGATTATTTCCGAAAACAAATATCAACCATTCGGAAGAAGTTTTGACGACAACAACTACTGATATATGCTTCTGGATTCCTTTTTTTTTTTTTTTTTCTTTTTCCCTTTGTCAATCTGAAGCTTTATATTTTGTTAAAAAATTTATGGTTCCTCACATACTAAAATAAATCCCACTACACTTACTTAAATAAGCTGCATTTTTATAAAATGGCTCTTTTGGCAGGCTGATCAAGCAGGAACTGTGGTGGAGATTTTAGCCGACGATGCAAAGCCTGTGGGCATCGAGCAGGTAAATTTGAGCGTCATCTTCCTGGGTCTCGCATTGCATCTACGAGCTCGCATGATAAACCTAATTTTTCATTGGATTCACCTTCTGCAGCCGCTGTTTGTGATTGAGCCGTGAAGTGAACATACCAGAACGTGAGTGAGTTGGTATCGTAGTCAGAGTAATGCCTCTTCTGAACCAAAACTGAGATATGTTGAGATCACTAGTTCTTGTTTGAACCCTATTTTTCGTGGACTGGAGACGATGGTTGCATTCAGAGCCCTTTTTTTTCTATCTTTCTTACCTTCTGTTTACCAGAGTTTGGTGTTTTTGGACCTTGACTTGGACTATTGCAATGGCGAGCGGCGTCTACTACCTCCTGTTCTTGCAGTCTTTTCAGTTCTTCAAGAATCCGGTGGAGCTCAGACTGGTAAATTGACTCTCCAGCCTTGTTGGGTAGCTCGATAATAATCTTTTAATGAATTGGACTATTGCATATATGTGCCTTTTTTCAACAAGGACATGTGGGAGGGCAAATTCGTCATTCCCTCCCATGTAAACCAAACACTCTTAGAGAAACTTGCAAGCAGGCAAGTACTAATTAATCATATGAATGTTCTAAATAAAATTAACACTCTTAAAACCCTAAATTCTCAATTTCTATATTTATTTATTTATTTGTTTATTTATTCAGAGAGCGAGAGCGAGAGGAGGTCTCTTTTTTTTTTTTACCAGGATAATGGAAGGATAAATGCGTTATTTCTGCCTTTGGTAATTAGTCAAAGGAGAGAGAATGGATAAGTTTTCTAGAAGAACCCTTTTTATCCAGAAAGCTTGCACATAACAACAAAAGTATCCTTGTCGAGCCTTGAACACATACGGTGGATGGTCAGCGATTGACAGTTGTGTAAAATTTTGAAACAGGATATATGCGGTCAACGTGGTATTAAATTTTTGAGTTCTATACACAACCTCGAGCATGTTTCCTCAAAGTCTTGTGCCATAGAGGAAGGGAGAGAGAACCCTCATCTTTTGTACGATGTTTCTTGATCCTCTTATATTCCCAACTATTATTTTCTAGATCAACAACAATGCTGAGGAAAATATAATGATTAGGAGATCAAGATATCGATTTGTACGGCCTTTTAAAAAGTAGATAACACATGATCCACTATCTGGGTGTTATCGATAGATAATTGATAGAGTGATCAAGAAAATTTAGGGTTTGTTCAAGCGTATGGACTGATTTTACGAATTATAACGATTAAGTTTTTCTTGGGATTGTTCAAAGATATCAAGAACTCTTGGAATTCCTAATTTTCAAGCCCACGCCGTGAGACCCAAATAGTGGATTTTATTTTTATAAGAAATTTATTGATTACACGAAGAACATTTTTAGGGTTTGTTCATTGATGTCTTGGATTGGAAAATTTTCCAAATTATGAGTGGATAAAAGGTGCACCACAGTGTAAATTTGAACCTAGCAAGGTTGATGGATTGAGCTTCCTCCCCAAATTCCACAGATCTGTGAAATTGGGGAAAATTTTCAGATCTCTGGATAGAAATCCCCACATGTTTCTTGCTCGCGTCCCCTAGAAACCCGAAACTCTCCCGGGCTTCTCTGGAGAGAATGCCATCGACCTCCCGGGCTTCACTCAGAGCCCCCCCCCCAGTTTAGCTAGCTATTGTCACCCGGGAGGGGACGACCCCTGTAAGAAAAGAGAGCACAGCCGTGAATCGATCGCCCAACTTGCTCCTTCTTCATTCTCCTCGCCGCCTTTCTTCCTCGGTGGGATAGAAAGCGAGGCCGACCTCCAGGTTTCAAGCCGCGTCGGCAACGAAAGAGGGGCTTGTTGCAGAGAGGCCCATGGGACCCGTCAATGGTCGGTCTATGGCTCCCGAGGAGATGGCCGCGACGTACCCCTCAGCCCGGTGACCCGGCGGCGCTTCTCGATCGTGGAGGGGAGCAAATTCAGAGGATTCTTCACCGGAGTAAAATACCTTTCGGGGGTTCTCTTCCCAGTTCCATCGTCGCCTGAGAAGAAAGGGTAGGGGAGGGGTTTAAGGGTGCCCTCGAACAGGTAGAGTCTCTTGGTCTCCCAGATTCTGGTTTCCGGTGGTTTGAAAACCCTCGAGGGAGGGGATCTCGGGTTGGTCCGAACCCCCCACATCCGGGTATGGCCTCTTACAGGCCGTTCCCCCCGCCGCCGCCGGCTCAGCCTCCTTACCTGCCGCCGGCGCCCAACCAGGCCCCGTTGCCGCCGCCGCCGCCGCCGCCTCCCCCGCCGCCGCCTTCCAATGGCGGGAACTACCACCCCCATCAGCCCTACCACCATCAGCAGCAAGGCAGCAGCTATGGTGGAGGGGCCGTAGTGCCGCCTCAGCCTCACCCCGGTGCCGCCCCTTCTTCCTCGTCCTCCTATCCTTCCAATTACGGGCGTGTGCCTCCCAATTCTGGCTATGGCGGCCCCCCACCTCCCTCCCACCATCATAACCCTCCAAGGCCGCAACCTTACCATCAGCAGCACCACCAGCAGCCGCAGCAACAACAACAGTACCCATATCAACCGCCGCCGCCGCCGCCGCCGTCTGGGTCTATTAATCTACCTCCACCACCCCCAAGGCCAGCTCAGTACCCCCCCCAGCCTTCCACAGCGTCTCAGCCCCCTCCGCAGCCTCCGGCGCCCGTCTACTACTCATCATCATCATCGATATCATCATCCCACTATTCTTCTCAATTTAACCCCGGAAATTTGCCTCTGCCTCCTCCCCCTCCTCCGCCTTCTTCGCCTCCACCAAGTGCCTCCCTCCCTCCTCCACCACCTCCGCCCATTCCACCTTCATCCCTCCCGCCACCGCCTCCGCCTCATCCTAATGCCAATGCTAAAGAGAGCTCCTTGGGCACACACTCGCTTGATGCTTCACACACAAGGCCTCCAGTCCCAACCAGTCAAAATAGGGGATCCTCATTCAACCCTGCGGCGGGGTCCTCAGGGAAAGATGTGCCGAATGTGATGTCAAACGCTTCCCATCGGAGGGCCGAGACAGAGGAGGAGAGGAACTTGAGGAAGAAGAGGGAGTATGAGAAGCAGAAGCAAGAGGAGAAGAGGAGGAACATGCTTAAGCAGTCGCAGGCCACCGTTCTGCAGAAGACTCAGACCATGTCATCGGGCATGAAGGTTCATAGCTCAATGGCAGGCTCTCGAATGGTTGAGAGGAAAACAGCCCCGCTTCTGGGCGGGGATAGAGTTGACAACAGACTCAAGAAGCCGACTACTTTCTTGTGCAAGCTCAAGTATGTGCTTCCTTTGGGCAAAAGCTAGTTCTCGTTTGTCTGCATCTTTACATTCAACACCAAATAGCATTTGATTTTTACTTGAATCTGTTGTCAACTACCCTCCTCTTACACTAAAAATTCTCATCGGCAACTACATTTTATTCTGTTCTAATTTCAGCCGTTACACCATGTTTTAGGATTTGTAAGTTTGGAAAACAGTTAATCATTAGTTATAAAATGCCCCCTGACCATGGTTATAAATCTGTTTCAATAGCTCCCCGATTGATGGAATAAAGATAAAAAATTATTAGATTCGGTTGAGATAGTAAATCCTGGCATAGCAGGAGGATTAGTTGGATCAGTTTTTTCGATTCATCATCTATTTTGGAAGAAGTACTTGGGTGAAAAGCATACTATCCAGTATTTCTGTCTAATGCTTGGCGAAGCTTTTCTTCTACATCCCGTTTCTTTTTTTTTTTTCTTCATTTTTTTCTTTAACCTCAATTTCAGGTTCAGGAATGAGCTACCAGACCCAACGGCACAGCCAAAGTTGTTGGCTTTAAACATTGACAAAGACAGGTGCGTTATCATCCCGAGCACTGTCTTGTCTCATTTTCATTTCTTTTCCTTGAATGTTCTATGTTGGAATTCGTCTTACTCGGAGGCTGCTTCATGTTGAAGAGAATACTTGAGGAAATTTATTACGGTGCTGTCATTGTATACCCCGTTTCATTTTGAAGACCAGACATTTCTTCAATTTTCTTTACTTCTTTTACATTCTGGCATTCCCGCCCGCTTAACAGCTGCATTGCCTGGATCCTTCGTGAGGGAAGAGGCACCGCCCATGATGGATTGCACTAATTTCTGCGTTGAATATGATTCTGCGAGCTGATTCTAGTTTATCGAAAAAAAGATGAAATCAGGAAGAAGAATGTGGTGTTTTTTTCCATAAATGATGGTATTCTTATAATGTTCTTGAATCTGGTTTTTTTGCTAATCCTTTATTGAGCCCTCCGTGGAACCCAACTGAGGGAAGAAAAAATAGGGCATAGATTACATGCCTGCTCAAAGATGAGATGGGATTCTTTAACCGTACTAGGCGCCCCGAACCCTCTGTGGTATGCATCCTTCTCCCAAGCAATAATGGATCCAGAGGAATAACACTTGAGAGCAGGAAGATTTTTTTTGACAGGAAGACATTTGATAAAGGAATTTCTCTAAATTAATGCAGTACAGTGTTGACTGAATCCCAATGGTTGTCGGAATCAAGTTAGTCCCGCACGTCTGTTTGATAATCTGAAAACTTTCTTGTGCTCTTAAATGCAGTGTTGGCTACTATTCAAATGCTGATTTCTTTAGATATTTCACTATCATAAGCTGGTCTTGTGGTTTTTTTTTTGTCTAATTCTGTGTATACTTGTGGCAGATATACCAGGTACAATATTACTTCATTAGAGAAAATGCACAAGCCGAAACTTTATCTTGAGCCAGATCTTGGGATACCCCTTGATCTACTTGATATGAGCGTATACAAGTAAGCCATCGGGTGAAAACTCCGCTAATTTCTAGAAAAAATTGATCCATAAAGTCTCACTAGATTGCACATGTTTGTGCACCAGTCGCCCCAAGGGGTTTATACCCCTTGATCCAGAAGACGAGGAACTCTTGCGTGATACTGAAGTAGTGACGCCCATCAAACAGGACGGTATAAAAAGGAAGGAACGCCCCACTGACAAAGGCGTTTCTTGGCTGGTTAAGACTCAGTACATCTCCCCTCTCAGCATGGATGCAGCGAAACTGGTATTGACACATCTGTCACATTCTTTATGAATAACAATATCTTCAATTATTTACAAGTCCATGAAGAATTTAGATGGGTTGTTTACTCAAGCATTATTGATTCCAGTCCATAACCGAGAAGCAAGCGAAGGAAATGAAGCAAACAAGAGAGGGTCGTAGTATCTTAGAAGATCTCAATGACAGGTTTGTTGATGACAACAATCTTCGGAAAATTTATCATGCATGAGACGAATTTCCAGAGCTTTTTTTCACTTGAAATTGTTTGCAGGGATAAACAAATCGAGGCCATTGAGGAATCGTTCAGGGCTGCAAAATTACGGCCTGTACATCAAACGAATCCTAGACTAGAGCCCGTTGAGGTTTTGCCGCTTTTACCTGACTTTGATCGGTAAGATTCGTGTGTATTAGTATGAAATCTAAACTTAATATGATATATTTCAGTGATTAGTAGAGCATTTGAAGAAGTAGAGGATAAAAGAAATATTTATTTTAACCTAAATCAGGGTTGGAGACCAAAATGGAATCCTCATTTACTGGCTCTCACACCGCAGTTTCAGTGAATCAATTCCCATGTTGTTGATACCATTTCAATGAAATACCTACTATTGGGGTATCCAATTTTTATTCTTCTCTTTGTGTATTTGTTCTGGTTATGTTGCCATAGCGAGTGATATATTTCTTGGGCTTGAACTCACTCATATTTTTTTTTTTTGTAATAGTTACGAAGATAAATTTGTGACCGTTTCATTTGATGGCGATCCAACCGCTGACAATGAACTCTTCAAAAAGTTGGATAAATCCACCCGTGGTGAGCATGAAGCAAAGGTGATTAGAAACTCGTTTTGTAATTTTATTTTGGGACTAACTGGTGATGTCAATTGTCTAATTTTAATTTCATACTTGTTTGTACTCTAGGAAATACCTTTATTGTACCATTTTTAACTTGTAATGTGTTTACCAGAGGTTCTATGCTATCACCAGCCAGTCCTACTCTTGGGGAGTTACCGTAGAGTAAAATTCAACCTATTATTTTCTGATAGATGAGCGTGGAGAGCTGGTGATGGAGTCCTATCCTTTGGCTCTTTGAAATTTCAGTTTATAGGGTTAGCAGAATCCCCTTCATGTTCAAACATTTTTGTTTTTATTGCATCTTAACTATAGGTTATTCGAATTAAACATATATTTTCTAGAAATTAAGATTGAGATTTCGATTGTACCATCAGCTTTGGCGATTATTTTCAATGGCTCCATTGACAAAGAAAACCAGAAAAAGAAGAAGAAATTTTCTCCGTGGCCATGTGGGCTTTTAATCAGTTGTTATTCTTTTAATTAGTCGTCTTTTGGCTTCTTCCCGCTTTACTTTTCAGGTATATCATTCCATTTAATGTGTGCATTATCATTCTCCTGTGTGCTGATGGCTTATTGATGGCAGGCCATAATGAAGAGCTGCATGGCGAGTGGTTCAGATCCTGGGAAGCCAGAGAAATTCCTCGCCTACATGGTTCCTGCCCCAGATGAGGTGACCTTACCAGTCTCACTTGCCCATTTGTGGTTATTTGAAAAGGCTAAAAAATGGGCCTTTTCCGGTACCTTGAGATACTATTTAGAGAATTTCCAACCCTAATCGCTCATTCATAAAGTCAATTCTTTTTTCCTTGCCAGCTTTCGAAGGACATTTATGACATGAATGAGGAGACAACTTATAGCTGGGTCAGAGAATATCACTGGGATGTACGTCTCAAGAACACGGGGGATCCATATCTTTAGGTTATATCTTAAACCTTGACTTGGGTATCTCTTAAACCTTCCTCTGTGCAGGTAAAGGGGGATGATTCTGAGGACCCAACAACCTATCTTGTTCATTTCGATGAAGATGGCGCCCGATACTTGGTGCAGTATAAATATTTTTTAAATATGGAATTAATCGAATATTCGGCCTTCTCTAGCCCTCCTGATTATACTCTTCCTCGTTGTTTGCAGCCGCTGCCCACCAAGCTGGCTTTGCAGAAGAAGAGGGCTAAAGAAGGCAGATCCACTGATGAGCTTGAACAGTATGCTGTACCTTGTAGGGTTACCATGAGGAGGGGATCAGCTGTCGCGGTGAGAGAAGGGAACGTACCCGGAGGAATGCCAGCAAGCCATGTAAGCAATATATTTATATATCTATATATATATATATATATAGAATTACAAGTATTTAGTCATTCTGTCCCATTTTTTTCATGAGTTTGGTGTTTCATTGTTCCTTGTGGCCCACAAGTGCATTCCTTCTAATGCAGCAAACCTCCTCTCTCCTCCCGCCCCTTTGTTGAAAAGGGTTTAGCAGTCTGAGTAGCGAGAAGTTAAATCCATCACTTCCTGATCAATAGAATGATAAAAAAAATCCAATCTTTTACACCTTGGGCTTCTCTTTTCTTCCGTTTCCTACAACGGGTACACTCTCGTTCAAGAGGGAAATCTGATTCTTTCTGATCTGGGTCGACATTTTTGGTTTTGATTTCCCAGGACTTCGAGAGCTCCAAAGGAGATGTGAAGAGACTGAAGTCTGGGATGGTTGATGCCCCTGAAATGCGGCACAAGAGCTCGCAGAAGGCGGTTGTTGATGAGTACAGCGGAGAAGAAGATGAGTCGGATTAGAAGGAAGAATCGCTAGAAGTGGAGGAATAATTCCTAGGCTTCAGAGGTCTGACGGCTGGGGTATGTTACTCGTTGGATCATTAATGATCATCACTGATCTTCAGCATTGTTCTCTTTGATGCAAGGGATGCTATTCTAGTCCTCTGAACTATATGCAAATGAATGGAAATGCCTATTATCTTGTTATTATTTGACCAAATCCTCAGAATCTACGCTTTGGTATGAAGAAGATGAGCTACTTGCTGGCGTTTAAGCCCATCGAGTTCGGCTCTTTCTTCTGGTTTGTCCCTTCTAGTACCTTTCTCTCTCTCTCTCTCTCCCCCCCCCCTCTTTCTAGTAGCTTTTCATCCATATTCAAATATAAAGCAAGACCTGCTCTGATAGTAATATGAGATTCAGGCGACATATATGAAATGAGAACACAGCGCGCCGGAGTCCACAGAGAAAGAACAGCCCGTCAGAGCAGAGAATAGACGGCGAGAACAGGAATGGCTTCTACTCTGTACTACCGACTCAGCTGGCGGCGCTTGAGAACTTGCAGGACCCGGCGCCTGCGCAGACAGAAGAACCCCCACAGGAGGATGAGAAGAAGAGCATGATCATCGTCAAGGTGAATTCAAGCAGGAAAGGAGGTGCGGCTTACTGGGATCTTTAATGGTCTGGGTGGCGAGGCCGTTGAAGTAGCAGGTCCCGCCGGAGCTGCGGAACTGCTGCCAGTACAAGTTGAAGGCGTAGCCGGCGTGCCACGCCGGCGAGTCTCGCCGGTAGCAGCTCCCTCCCGGGCTGATGGCCCTGCAAGCTCCAGCCTTCACCTGCCCGCAGGCGTACGCCACCGCCGCCGCCAGCTCTGTCGTATTCCTCTCCTTCCCCGGCGCCACCACGCACCATATCTTCCCCTTGAAGGGCTCGTTGTTCGTCGCCGCCGGCAGCGGAGCGAACGCCGCGTCCGGCTTCTTGCCGGTGAGATCGATCCCGTAGACCCCCGTCCCGTTAGGGTAGAAGATCCCCCAGTGCCTCTCAGTCCCCGGGCCGGGTTTCTGGTCCTCGTTGAACAGGGAGAAGACGAAGGTGGGGATTGTCGCCCCGGGCCTCGCCGGGGTGCCGGCTGGCGGCTTGGCGGACATCCGGCGGGCCAGGTTGCGATTAAAGATGGCGGCGTTGCGGACATTGGCACCGATCTGGTCGTAGTCGCCGCCGTTGGGCCACCCCGTCTCGGCGATGACCAGGGGGACGTCTCTGAAACCCAGGCGGGTCATGGCGGCGAAGACGGCGTCGAGCTGCTGGTCGAGGAGGTTGGTGTAGGTCAGCCCGCTGCCGGGGTCTGTGTAGGTCTTTGCCCCCTTCACCATCAGCGCGTAGTCGAGGGAGATGATGGCGGAGTTCGCCGTCCAGGGGAAGTACGGGTAGGCGTCTAGGAAGAAGAAGGAGCGGCTGCGCAGGAGGAACCGGAGCAGGGGGACCATCACCGGGTCGGCGATGTCGGAGCGGAAGACGCCGGCAGAGGGGGGGAAGGAGGTCCCCAGGACGTCCATGGCGAGGGTGGTGCCGACCTTCATGCGGCGGAGGGAGTGGGTCTTCAGGGAGCGGTGCAGTCGCTCCATGGCCCGAATGAGATGAGGCCAGGTGGAGTTGCGGATAGAGTAGTCGGAGAGGATCTCGTTTCCGACGAGGAGGAAGCGGAGTCGGACGGAGGATCGGAAAGGGACGAGGTTGGAGGCGACCCAGAGGTCGGCGAAGGACTGATTGGCGGCGGCGGCGGGGATGAGCTGGTTGGGGAGCATGACGGAAGCTTGGAGCTCGGTGCCGGCGAGGGTGGCCAGGATGGCGGGGTTGGCGTCGTACAGCTTGACGCGGGCGGCGCCGACGGAGCGCAGGAGCTGCACGGCGCGGGAAGGAGGAGGGAGGTCGCTGCCCAGCTGGCCGTAGTTCACGCCGAGCGCGCCGCTCACGGCCGCCTGCGCAGTGACGGCGCCGACGACGACGACGACCACCACCACCACCAGCAGCGGCAGCTGCAGATGCAGATGAATCTGGCGAAGGGGAGCCATTTGGGTTCTCATTCCCAGCCTCCCTCCGATCCCGCCGTGTCCTCCCCGGCCTGAGCGAGCTGGGTTTTTATAGTGCTTCGCAGGTCATGTGCACAGTGGACTGGCGGCGTAGGTAGGACGGCAGAATCCAAGATGGGTAGCTGCAATGACCAGGAAGCAGCGGCCGTCTCTCTTTCTATCTCTCTGAGAGTCGTTAGGCCCCCCCCCTTCCCTCGCCCTCCCGAGTGGGTCTCCACTGTTCCGATCTGCTTTATGATATCCCTTTCTGGTTGAGGGGAAGGAAGAGGGTGACTTCCCCGATAGCAGTGGGGGAGCTAACAGAGGAGGAAGAAGAAAGGGATAGTGGGACCCACACGGCGACTCTTTCTCAGACCGGGCTTCGGGCCAGGCTGCCATGAAGCCCGGGCCCGTCCCCTTGACTCAATTTGTACTTCATTTTCGAGCCCAGACCCATAAAAAAAGCCCAACAAGACCGCCGGCCCGAAACAACCAAATCCTCGAATTGACAGCCCAACTAGAGTACCGTCACACGATTTCTTAATACGTCCGATCTAGACCGTTCGATTCGGTTGCTTCGATCCGATCATGATTCAAAGTGCAGATCAATCAATCCACACATGGCTCATCATAATCCGCCTAAAAAAATCGTATAAAATGCAAGCATAAATTTAGTTTGATTATGTAAAAATGAATAAAATGGGCAGACCGTATTTTTATTGTCGCTATTTTGCTACTGATTTTTTTCATAATAATTAAATTCCATTTTAGTCTAATAAGCTAAGACCGTTGAAATTGGGAGGACCCATTTATCCCTTTTGCGAATTTTACCTTTTTCATGCCATTTTCTAGAATCACTAAAAGCTAATTTCTGCGCGACTTCCCTCCACCTGGCCGGCTTTTTGAAAACCCGGGCAATTCGACCGTTGACGCCGTCACTCCGGGCGAACCCTCGAACAGTGAGGGTCACGTTCGACGTGAGGGCCAGTGGAGTGCCGGTAACCTGTTCGTACAAATGCGCACAAGAGGAAATACGACTGACCACTGGATAGACCATAAATGACTGTTGTAGCCGTTACACATGTCCCGAGGAAGAGAAGTGATAGGTCCAATAAGACGCGCTACCGGCATGTAGGTGGCTGGGAATCGGACACGTGTCATGTACTCGAATCTTAAGCACATCTCTGATGGAGGTTTATGGGCTGCTTTCTCCGGTAATGACGCGAGTCATGACAACGCTGATAACGGCCACCAGGCAGACCGCCGGCGGACCGAGCATCGGCTGGGAAACGTCTGCCTCGTTGGCTGGTGGCCCAGCCCCCCTCCCCCCATCTCTCTCTCTCTCTCTCTTGGTTTCTTCAGGACGTCTCTATTGTTCCATTCATTGTCTCTTCCTATACCCCGCCGGTGATTCTCCGGCGAACTATTTCGAGTGAGACAGACGTCAGTGATGCCGAGTTGCGTCCATCCTGTGCTCGCTTCCTTTTTTCCCAACCGGCCACCGGCGTGGGGATCCGTCCGGTCTGTGTGCTTGGTTGGGGGATCCAGGGGGGTCCCGAAGGGATGCTCGAGCAGCAGCTCGTTCATTGACCGGAGACCAAGGATTCTCTGCGGGGCAGCGGTGAGGCGCTGGCGACCCTACTCGTCGGAATTACTTTATCCTATCCGATCGCTTCATGATGGCAGTTAGGAATGGTCCTTTCCAATGGTTTTTTTATGTCTTTTCATTTACCTAGTGATTTCGGCGGGTTTAGTGTTTTTCTGTAGTAGGGTGAACGTGCCCAGGTTATCTGAGAATCAGTATGTTGCTGCATGATAGTTTTATATTATTTTTATCGCTGTGTCATGATATCTACACCTAAAATATCAGACGATGTCCTGATGTACTCGGAATATTATAGTCCACTTTCCTCTCTCTTTGAAGATCGCCGTCTGGAATCATGATAAAATGACCTGTGATGAATCGTGCATTAACTGATTAATTGAATGCTAAGAATTGGAAATGATATACTATTTTAATTGGGTCACAAAGAGAGCTCTGCCCCTTTTTTCTGACCTTTTTGGGATATACTACATTTGAACTATGGTCTCTGGCATTTCAGCTGTTGATTTGATGTAGCGATGTGATCTATCTCGTGCACAAGTCGTGATGTGGAACCAATATTTCCAGTTGTTCATCGTAAAAAAGAGTTTGGTTGCCTCACATTCGATTCATATATATATGTGAATAAAAAAAGCCCGTATTGGTGTGTTGATTATTATTGACTCATTGTGAGTCGCATATTCAGTATTAAAATTCAGGGATCTTTCCTTGGAAGTTACAAAAAGTATCATGTGCTTCTTAATAAAAAGTTTTGTGTTGGAGTCTGCTGTTGGGTTTATGCTACTACATTCTGGTTTAATGGTTCATGATCTGATCATAGGTGTGTGGTGATTGAGCAATTGGATGGAGGTAAAAAAAGTTTTGCAGAAAACTAAGTTTGAATTAAGTAATTAAAAAAACATCATCTTAAATGCTTCAAACAGACTTTCTGTGAGATAAATGCTTGAAGAGTAGGGTTAATGACGTGGTGCTTTTTCAACAGTATAATGGCTATAGATTCCCTCTTAAATCTCACTTTCTCCTGTTGGCTGCAGGATATCCTTTTTATATGCATTGCCAACAAAAAATGTTCAATTTGTTATGCTATAGGGATGTTTTTATGTAGATTAGGGGGAAGTAGAACGATGCCAGTACTGAATTCAAGAAAATTACAGCACGAAATATCACGTTCCAGCCCCTATGATTTCAGTGCCCCCACCATGCATTATTGCCCTTGTGAAATTGTGTTGATGAGAACATCCAATATGTCTATGTGCTGTTTGCTCGTTGTTTTGGTTATTTGTGAGAAGGTTTGAAGAAATTTTTGAGTAGCATGATTTAACAGTTCTCAGGTCTGTGTTCCAAGGCTTATTGCAGCATTCCTGTAGAGTTGGTATTATGGGTCCATCTTTTTGCATGTATGCCAATATTTCAATATACTGGATGTACATGTATTAGTGGGTGTGTATGTGTGCATTTGATTATGTTAGAAAAACAAAGAAAGAGGAAGGACGACCTCTATCACGGAGGACATAGGGGAGAACGGCAGACAACCGCCTCATTCTTTCTCTCATGTTCTAAGTCCCTTAAATAGGGACAAACCTTAGAGACACTTTCCCAAAATAGCCTTAGCCTTTTATAGTATTTCTTTAGGACATAGAACTTTCGACATTTTCCCTCAAGATGAACTTTAGAAAAGTTCATCTTGATTAAGTTGTTGATGAGCATTCACTTATTGGAAAGCGAACTGTGACGACAATGATTTGTTGTGGTAGCAACTCATGTGACTATGACAACTTAGAACCTTCAACAGTTTACATGGGGTCCATGATTTCTCATGAACGCATTCAAGGTATGGTACCTTCAACAGTTTATATGTGATTGATGATAGGCGTCCTTATACGGGTATTTATTTTTTTTAACCTGTGCTTCCAGGTTTCGGTTCCTTCCCCCGCTCATGGAGCTAACAAGGCTAATTCTTTCCTGTGAGCCAAATTGAATTACACAAAATGGATATTTCAAGTATGGTCCATAAAATACTCCGTCAGTGTGTTTTCTGTGTAACCTTGATTTGATGCCAATGATTAACGGACTTAGCGGTGGTGGATGGTGGCATAGGCTTTTTCTATCATTATGGCAGCTGTGGATTGGATTGTATTGTTGTTACATAATATCTGGCCATGTTTACCTGCAAGTGATGACATGAATTCAAGGTTGTCTGCTAGTCGGTGATGAGGTTGAAGCTCTTACAATGGTGAAGTCTTCTGGAGATTTTTCATTGTTAAGATATTGCCAGTCTAATATCTTTAAATAGTCTAGAATTTGTCAAATTTTGTAAAAATCAATGTTGCTTGTATGATAATATGTCTCGTAAGATCTCAAATGTTAGGCCAGTTATTCAGTAACATCTGGCATGGTATCCTCTGAGATGTGATACAGAGGCCTCAGGTGTCTAGCAGGCTTCCCAAAAATGGAACTTGACAGGTGAGGTAGTTGAAGAAAAGAATGCGTTTGACAGATATGCGTCTTTGGTGGTCAATCTGGGATCTGGAATTGGTGAGCATCAGTATCTGATAACAAAGCCATGAAAGAGTTGAAATATCTTGAAAAAAATATAATTAGGCTGAAGTAATTCTCTTGTGGAAGCAATATTGTGTATGCTTTCAGGAGGGGTTTGCGTTTTGACCATGCGTTGGTCTGGATTTCTTTCCTTTAAGAATTATTGCATTTGTCTTGGATTTTGTTTTTTGGGGGATAGTTAGTTTTGTTCTTGAGCAGGATGAATTATTTCAATGTTTTCATCTTGGCCTCCTACATAATATAAGTAAATAAATGAAGGAAGTAAACTTCAGTTACTCTGACTTTGCTGTCTTGGTACTCATCATGATCGACAATCTTTTTTAGCTTGGCTGGTTTTGCTCTGTTAGTTATTGTTTTTTACCTTACTTTTGTCAATGAATCATTCATAAGAGTTTGCTTCTTACGAGTGAGATTCTGCAGTTTTGATTCTGTTCTATCTGATTGTCACAGGTTATTTCTTCTGTGTCATCATTGCAGCTCATATTTTTCATAGAATTGCACTGCATATTTGTGTTATACAAAAGGTTATTTTTATTAAAAGTTTTTGTTGGGTTAATTAATGCAATAATGAACTTCTTAACAATGTGTTTTTTTTTCTTATGATGTACAGAACAGCCATCAGCTTGAAAGCCCACAACTCAGGAGGTACTCCCCTCTACTTGAGAGTGCATTATTACCAATCAAGGATGTGGTCTCAGGCGAGTGGAAGGCTGTTCCAGACATCTGGAAGTCAGTGGCAGAGAAATATGGAGATAAAGTAGCATTGGTGGATCCTTACCATGATCCACCATCTGTGATGACATACAAGGAGGTACATTCTGTTCAATAATATTTTCAACAATTAATTTTCCTGATAACCATAAGTTTTGCAAATATTAACTTTTTGGAAGCTGTCTATCTATCTATATATATAAATATGTATATATGTATATTTATATATTAGACCCAAGTTGCAGCTTTTCTTATTTAAAATAATATGCCAAAATGACCATCGACATCTTGTTTGATAAACGACCGGGATGCTTTTTTTGAGGAAAGGGTGGGGTAATTTACTAAATGAGAGCTGAAGTTAACATTCCAAATTTCCAACTTTTCCTGCTCTGTCTTTACTGTCATGAGTTTAGTTGGTCCATGATGCTTTCACTACATGTATATATTGAAATTATAAAGGATCTTTGTTTCATTTTGTAAAAAAAAAATAATTATATCATGGAGCTTCTCCACATTGTATGCTACTATCTTTTTAATATATCATTCCTTATATCCCAGATAACAACATATTCTGGCATTGACACTTTTCGGATTGCTGAAGGATATTTCTACTATTTTTGATATTGTAATCTTATTCTTCATGGGAGGGGGATCCAATTCGATATAGGTTCAAATTAGATCCATTTCAATGAGCATAGAATTATAATAACAGAGTGATAGAAAAGGGAAAAAAAAATACAAGGAAAATATAATCTCATTCAACACCCCCCCTCAAGCTGTTGAGTAGATATTATCCGTTCCTAGCTTGAAAATAAGTCCCTAAAAATATCAGATTGCTCAAGCCCTTGGTAAGCACATTTGGTTGCTGATCATGTGATGATATATATATGGTGTACATATAATACAAATTTCTAGCTTATCCTTGACGAAATGCTGATATATTCCAACAGCATTTATGAGCCATATTGATGACTAATTTATTATCGTAATAAATTTTGATAGGATCACTCAATTCAATCTTCAAATCTCCTAGAATGTCTCTTACCCATCGCTTGAAATTCAGACTTTGCATTTTGTCCCTTAGAAACGTAAATAGCCAGAGGTAGACATTCTGTTGATAATTGATCCTACTGTAAAAAATTTAAAGGCTCGTATTTGCATTATTCTGGAATAAAATCTCTCCCAGTTGTTTCTTTGCAATTAACATAACACTCTATAAGCTGGTGTAAATAAATTTTCCTAAGGTTATCATGAATTGACTTTGAACTCGCACTAACTCTGCAATGTTTGGTATTAATATCAGACAAATCATTCTGTCAACTAACTGTTGATATATTTCTCGGTTAACCACGTTATCTTCCTTTGTGTTACTGAGTGTATGTATTTGCTAGTTTACATATAGTTTTATCAATACCTTGGAGAAGATCTGTAATATATTTGTGCTGTGAAATAAAGATATTAAATTTTGTGTATGCCACTTTGATTATGAGGAAATACCTTAATTTTTTCAAAACTTTGATGTCAAATTCTTTTAATAACTGTTGTTTCAGGAGTTTTGCGTCCCCTTTATATTCAACATGTACAAGTAACTCTTGTAAATCTGTCAAACCATGCTCTAGGTGATTGTTAGAGTTTGTACAATGATTTTTTTAATCTACATATTGAATAAACATTTGACTTCTTTTGATATCTTAGTGAAATATCCATAGATACCTCTTTTTCTTAATCCTCGTGTAGAAAAATATTTTTAACATCAAATTATTGTAGGTTCCATCCTTAGTGTGCTACCAAAATAGTTTTATAATGTTCTTTAGAACTATTGGCCTTATATTTCACATCATACACCCACTTGCAGCTAACATTTTTTTTCTAAAGCCCTCATCTCTTCATCCGTAGCTTATAGAACAAAGTGGATAAAATTGCATGGTGTCTAGGGTCATAAGAAAGACTCTATAAGATGGTAAAACGTGCTTGCATAATAGTTTTCTTGCACCCTAATTCTTTTTCTAAGAACAATAGGAAGCTTTTCATCATCATTGTTAGGTTATGGCTCAATAATGATCGTCAGAGAAGACAAGGGTAGTGTTTCATTGGTGTGGCCATTGTGTGGGCAAGGTTCATGGCTTTGTCTGGATTCAAAGGTTTTCCCTCTTCTTTGAGAGTATACTTTGCAGTTCATGTCAAAGAAGGAGAATAAGTTTTTACTCTCAGTGGGAAGTATAAATTTTCTTAATTCGTATTTATCATTGTTATTATTGACCATACTTAGATCTTCAATATAAGGTATTTTGAAATAAGGTTCATGTTTGTTGAAGGTTACATGTAGCATTTTATAAGGTTACAAGGAATTTTTTTGACAAGGGTTGATAGCATTTATACCCCTTTCGATTTCTACAAGAAGACACATTTTAGGCCTTAAGATCTAGTTTTCCTCGAGTTTGATCATGAATATAGATAAGAAATACACGGCCAAAAATTCTAGGTACTAAGTTATTTTTGAATTTGACATTTGGATAATGTGAGGCTAATACTTCAAGGACTTTTGGACTCTAATACTTGAGTTGATGGATGATTTATCAAATGGATAGCTGTCAAGACTGATACAACTGACACACTAGCCCTAAACTTGATAATTATACCAGTCTAGAAAGACTTAGGTGGGCTCGTTCAGCCCAAACTATTAGATGGGCCAATCCAACTCAGGCTCACTGAATTACATAACCTAACAGCCCTCCTCAAGCTTGTTACATGTATCATATTCTCCTCAATTGTTCCATAGAAATTCCACCCTATGACCATTTAGAGTTCTGGTGAATTTCAGCAAGTTGATCTTTGGAGTTAAAATTTACAATGGCGATTATTGTGTTTCTCTTTGATGAAGCGACAGTCACTACTTCAATGTGTTTTGTCCTCATGAAAAATAAAGGATTAGAGGCAATATGGATCACTGCCTAGTTATAACATTTGAGCTCTATAAGACCTAGATGAGGGAAGCCAAGTTCTTTAAGAAGATATAAGTTCACATATAGTGTGCATGCACTATTGTCTTGTATTCTGTTCAGCACTTGATCGTGAGATTACAGATTGTTTCTTACTTTTCTAAAACAGGGTTGCCACTATGAGAAATATAATATAAGATATTGCCTTATCAGCATCTTAAAAGCCTTGGACAATTGGATGACCTAGTTTTGCTTACCTAGATTTTGTTGTACAACAGTCCTTTACCTATATTTCTTTTGAGATATCTCAATATTTACATAATTGCATCTAGATGTTTGTTGTACTGTCGTTATATGAATTGACTAAATACACTAACATTAAAAGAAATATTTGTTAGAGTGATGATCAAATAATTCAATTTACCAACTAGACGTCTGTCTGTACCTCAGATTCTCCAATACATGAGTGGTAGTTGGTTTTGTACCTAACATATCAATTTCTACAAGGAGATTAAGGGCATACGTTTGCTGGTTAATTGGAATCTCCTTGGATCAGAAAACCTCAACCTCAACCTCAACCTCAATCCCTCAATCTCCTTGGTTAGAAATTGCACTTGTAAGAATTCTTCGAGTTGAGAAATGCCTACTTGATCAAATTTCTTTGACCGTGGGAATACATAGAAAATTTTCCACTAATTTTTGGACCCATGGTGCTCGGCAGCTATGATTTAATGATTGCCTCCTCTTTCCATTGGCGATATTGGAGATCAGTAACATCAAGAGTGAGACCAATTAAGTGATTGAATTTTTCTCTCTTCATGTCAACACTACTATATATTCACACCACCAGGGTAAGTGCCTGCCACCTATTCTGAACCGTGCAGAAATTTTATGCAATTTTAAATGTAGCATAGACTGGTCTAATACTGGGTGTCTGTACATAGAAACGATGTCTACAACGTTAGACATAAAATATTGTGTGAAAATAAATTGTTCCAATTGGGACGAAGGTGATAGGTGTAACTGCCAAGAACTCTCATTCTTCTCTTTTTACCAAATCTTAAGAAGGGGAGAAACAGTTTTTAACACTTCCTAATTAGCTCTTTATGGGTGAAATATGATTTACAGGCTTTGAAGAGTGAATCATTTTTCAGACTGAATTACAAAGGGCAGATGGTCCCAGTTCCACATGTCCTGGCTCTGTTGATTCTCTGGGTTATTTACCCTTATTTCCAATGACTGAGGATACTTCCTTGTGATTTAGTCTGGAATACCTTACTATGCCAGTTATCTTATGGCTTTCATACTCATAATAAAAAGAGCATCTACTTTTCTAGTCCACATATTTATTTCATTTATTTTTTCTTTTATGGCAGCTTGAGCAGGAGATTTTAAATTTTTCAGAAGGTCTAAGAACTATCGGACTTAATCCAGATGAGAAGATTGCATTATTTGCTGATAATTCTTGTCGATGGTTAGTTGCTGATCAAGGTTAGTATTCTTTTTTCTAAGTTTATATTATAAGTGGCCATTATTTTTCAAAGTAGGTGCTTAATCTTTTCTTTATTCTATTATTTATACTCTATGGTCGAGTGTTTGGTTAATTACTTTCCTTGTCATCATTTGGCCACCTTTTACATGATTAGGAGCTAGTGTGTGTTCAGTTGCTGGGCACTTCAGGATAGTACTTTCTCATCATCACTTCGGGCTCATGCATAATACTACACAAGAGACCAACGGGTGACTTATCGGATTTTTTTTTTGCCATTGTCGTCCATAGTCAATGTGGAAAATCGTAGATTTGGAGGAGAAACAAGTAAAACCTGAAAACCCTCGGTGAGATAAAGGGGAGAATAGGTGAAATAGACTCCCAAAACCCATAGGCCAAATAGCAAATAATCTTTTATTTCGAGCACATTCATGCTAAAGGGCAACATTACATATGAGCTCAGTAGTAGATGTTATAGCGAGCCTAAAATGAACCTGAGATTTTAAGATCCCGAGAGGAAAACAGATGACTCACAAGCACCTTTAGATCTGGCTGGTGGGTAATGTCTTAAAAAGTGTATACAAATAACTTTGAAATAAATTCAAGTATATCGAATAATGTACTCAAGGAAAACAAGCCCAGTTAGTTCATTCGAACATTTCGTGTTGTAAGGTTTGATTGGTTGGAAGGTGATGATACTGGTCTAAGGTATCAGATGTGTGAGGTTGGTGGCCGTATTTACCTGAATCGTGATAGGCAGTATGAATAAGAATAGAGTGGAAGAGAGAAACAATGATGCTTACTGATGTAATATGGGAAAGGGAATTGACTTGCGTCGTTGCCACTGGTTACATATTGGACAAGAGTTTCCTCTGCCCTAAAATAACGAAAAAGTAAATAAAAGACCACTGCAAGTTACTGTTTTTCCTGCTCAAGACTTTCAATTGTACGCATTGCAACTTGTATAGAGGGATAACAAATCAATGGTAATTCTATTTTATGATGTCCATTATCTTTATTTGGTTTGACGTGGCCATCAATTCACCCTAACTACCACTCAAGCTCGTCAGAGTCTTGTATGCTGCAGCAAGAACATCAGCAAAGTAAGTCTCAATAAGCACATTCAAGCCAGAGAAGGAAGATTCTAACTCTCCATAAGCTTAGGCGAAAGCTTCCGATTTTTTTTTGGGCATCCAGATCCAACACGAGTGTCGGCTCATCAAACTGGATCCAAGAGGTACCTACTTCCTTAAGCTCAGCAATGACTTCCTTGTATACAGGGAGAACATTTGGCAGCAAAGAAAGAGGGGAGAAGGATTTCTCAACTCCTTTTGCTGGCTTTGAGGTAAGTCATAGGTCCAATGAGCACTGGAACAGTATCCACCCCAAGCGCCTTGGCCTCTTTATACTCAGACACAGCCTTGTGGGAGCCGTAGGAGAACTTTGTGTTTGGCCCAAGTTCCAGGACGATGAAATGGTAGTTAGTGTCGAACCACTTGGTCATCTCCATAGCAGGCAGAGTGCCATTGCCCCTAGCCATGGAAAAAGTAGATGTCATGTCCAATCTTTCCACTAGTGTAGCCATATCTGTCAGGAGCGGCCCCAAGCATTGCCGTGGTGTAAAGCACCTGGTCGTAGAATGAGAAGGTGTTACTGGGGATGCACTTAATCCCAGCATCAGACATCTGCTTCCAGATGGAAGACCTCAGATCAGCATCAACTTTCTGCAGATCCTCAGTAGCAACTTTCTGCAGATGGAGTCATGAGGTAGGTGACAAGGTGGCACCAAGCATGCAGAGAGTACCCCTCTGCTTGGAGATCTGCATAGTGCCAAGATCTGATGCAAAGGCTCCCACCTATAACGATTGATGTGACGATGGGGCTTAGCTCTCAGGAGAGGTGTAGGCCGGCAACCCTTCCACCGATCGAGTAATGAACTCGCAAAGGAACTAGAAGGTGAAGACCTTTTCGATGAAAGCAGAGGTGAGCAGCCAAATACCATACAACATAAACTATAGCAAAGTGGACTGTGGAGAACCTTGGTCACCAGACTAGGGAAGACATAGAACTGATGCTGAATAGAGGGAGACAGACTGAGGAGGACGGAGTACGACACTGAATTGAGACAAGCGTGGATAAGAGGTTGATTTTACCTCTCATAAAATGCTGATGAAGGTGGAAACAACGGTAATGGACCTAGATATTTATTCAGCCTCTAGACAGAAGGCTTGATGCAGACAAAAATGACGGCAATGAATTTGAAGATGTCGTTGACGAACTTGCTACTGATGAACTCAAATACACTGCCAAATGACAGATGAAGATCAGTGCTCTCTCGCCGTAGAACTGGCTCGCCGGGAACCTCGCCGGAAGAGGTGATGACAGTGAACTCGTCGTCCCAGATTAGAGGACTGACGAAAGTATAACCGCTCTAAATGGCGGAAAGAAAAACCGGCTCGAAATGGCAGGATATCACGCCTTTAAACGGCGGAAAGATAACACGCCTCCAATGGCGCAATAAGTGCAGCAAGATGATGCCAGAAAGGCACTCGGCAGAGGCGGAAGGCCTCGCCGGAAAGGCACTCGGCAGAGGCAGAGTGCCTTGCCAAAAAGATACTCGGCAGAGAGGGAATGCCTCGCCAAAGGTACTCGGCAGAGGTGTCAGGCCTCGCCGGAAGGATACTCAGCAGAGGCGGAAGACCTCGCCGGAAGGATACTCAGCAGAGGTGGAAGGCCTCGCCGAACAAAGAGGGGTTTGAAACCCTAACCTGTAACCTGTCTGTCGCCAGATGTTAGTGGTGGCATCGACGCTCCCCTAGACAAGCGACGTCGAGCATAACCGACGCGGAACAGAGCTGGCAGCAGCAGCAGTGGCGCTCCCTCAGGTAGGAGACGCCAAACAGAGGCGGCAGCAAGAGTGGTGGAGGCGATGGCGCTCCCCCAGATGACAGAAGTCGGACAGAGCCGACGAACCTTAGCGGAATGAACCCGCTCTGATACCATGTTGGAAATAGAGAAAAAACCTCGTCACGAAGGACAGAGGGGAGAACGGCGGAAACCGCCTCAAGATTCTTGCAACTGTGACCCCCATTATATAGGGTAACGATACATAACTTTTACCAAAACACCCTTAAATAATTACACTATTTCCCTACGGCCTAGAACTTCCAACACTGTGCATCTACCCCGTATTTTGAGATGAAGGCAGTGTGGGCTGTTATACTTGTGTAATCAATTGAGTTATTGACTGAAGTTCTGCATCACCTGCTTTGTGTATCAAGACATTAGTTTTGTTAGATGTCGGACAATCACATTTCATTAATAAAACAGATCAATCCAGAATAGTCTGTGTACAGAGGTCTGGGAACAACTACCGAAACGGTTCCAGAACTATGTTGTATTTCCCCATTGAGATTGATCTTCGAAAGAAAATAATTAACCGATTATATTCAAGTTTGCATCCTTCATCGGAAAGCAACCTTGCAAGTTCAATGTAACATTGTCTTGTTGAAAAGAAACTGATCCTTCATACCCCCTTTGTATAAGCTTATTTTTTAAAAGGAGCTTCTGCTTTCTTCCTTCACCTGCTTGTCCATCTGTTCCTGCTATTAATTTCCATATAGAGTTTGTGAAGTCGTAGAGGTGTTTTGCCTGAATCTCCGTTCAACCTTGGACGAGATTACCTCCGTAAAAATGTTATTTCACATGATTAATTTTCTGAAAAGAGATTCAATCTACTACCGTTCCTGTGGTATTTTTGGCTTATATGATGCAAAACTAAATAACTTCCTCGTTTCTAGGCCTCTGAAACCATTTTACCAAATGAACATTCCTCTGTAAAGTCTTTGTCTGTTCTTTTCAATGCTTGTTGGTATCTTTTGTGCTGGCATAAACTGTTGACAACGTCCGTCTTTTACCAAATGAACATTCTATTTTTCTATCTTTTTTATCTATACAATTTTCGCCAGTAATAACCTTTGACAATCCACAAATTCTAGTCCCACATTCGTTGTAGGCAATTGATCAACTTAATGGTATTAAAGGTTTCCTTATAGTGGTGTCCAAATAAGATGGTCTCACCTGTGATTGGGGGGCGGGCTGGTATTCTCCATTCTTGTCTTCACTTCCTTAATGAAACCTTTAGGACTGGTCTTACTCCTACCACTGAGATTTTGGACCATTAACAAGAGCAAGTATGACATGGTCTCTCACTGAGAAAAAATTGTAAAATCTTGCTGTGGATGTAGAACTTAAAACACCATTTTTCCTTTTTTTCTTTAATCTCATGGTCATCCAAGTCCTATTTATCACAACTCGGCTAAAATTAACTTGCATCTTTCCTGGTAATGGATGGCTTACATATACTCAGGGAACTGCCCCTGCCTATATCTTCTTGAGGGAAGCGCATTGCTTCTGAATTCTGGTTTGTCCATTGTCGCCAATCATTCAACCATCATATTGGCAATCCTGTAGCACTTGTTAATCAAGAAAATGGGTCTAAAGCCTGCTACATTCACTTGGTAGCGTTCTCTCTCAAAATCCCTTACTGTAGGCATTTGGCCATCCTTGACCATCTGATAGTGCTTAATAAAACCCTGCTGAAGCTTCAGCAGATCATAGGGATCCATGAACATCCATGCATTGTGAATGGCAAACTGATGCTTCCTCCCTATGCTAGGGTTTCCAATTTTCCTTAGGCTCGTCTGAATTGTAACATTCATGATATAATAAACATCCCTTCCATCCTTTTTAATGGGTTTAAAAGTTTTCAAAATCTTATTCTTTTTGTTGCAACGTCAAAATGTGATGTGGTCTCTTCTCCTCTTCTTGTCCAATTTCATCTGCTTTTTCCCTGTGCTTCAGATCCTCCTGATGTAACGGCCCCAAGTTTCTTTGTTTCCTGCAATGTAGAAATGTTAACAATATATGCAGCGTGTTGGTCTTCTTTCTGCTCAAATTACTAGTTTTCTTGTTTTCCTTTTGGTCATGATTGACTCCCCATATCTGCCAACACCAGTGTTTCACATTGTTCCACACCCATCCCTTATATTTGGGTTCCCATATATGGGCAGGCCTGTCCATCATCCTTCATTAACTAGTTCTATAAATCCGTTGAGTGCTCCTGTAGTTTTCTCTCGAGTCTAAAAATGTGTCTTTATTTCCTATATAGTTTCTTGTATTTGATGGAATGATAGTGATCTGAAGTAGTCCTTGAAGAAACCTTTGCTTCGATCTACTAGGGTTTCCGATACGATCTCACAGAAAAAAGATGGACGTGACCTATAGAGGTGCAGGGTTCTCAGGGCGGAGGTACGTCTAAATTTTTCTTCCAAGAATAGAATTTCCCAGGTAAAGACAGTTTCTTGGTATGATTAGTTAACCAGTAAGGACACCAATTGTCACGTCCTGCCATTATAAGAAAAGCTTGGTCGATGGTGTAATTGTACTTGAAAGTACTATTGTGTTAGAGAGCACTGTTGACAAAAATAGATATTTACAGAAACCGAGGCTGATGTTAGGACAGTTCATGGGCAGAGAAAATAGGCTTCAGTCTTCTAAGCTCAAGAGTGTTGTACTATCTTATCAATGTTAGGTTTTGACGTCCAAAGTGAAAAAAAACCGGGCTCCTCTTTGGGTTTCTTCAACTATTGTCTCTCTTAGTTTACTTTGTTGTAAAAATGGGCTTATATATACTTCTTAAAAAGCATCATTTTGTTATTTTAGTTTTTTGCCTAACGGCTTTTCCAGTAGATCAGCTGACTCAGCTGAACCAATCCTGATCTGGGCTGGAATAGACTTGGCTGATTTGCCAGACATATGATTTGGATCACCATGTAGGCTAGGAATATCCACGAACGAGGCATTCACTCTTGCAATTAATGTATATCGCAAATCTGCTGCAATAGTCTGAGTCAATGCTAGAAAAGTCGTCTCCTATTCTATGTTCTGCATAATATTTGAATATCCGGTTTACTGTTTGTGCTTATTTGAAAGTTTAAAGAAATCCCTACCCATAATCTCTTTTAATTATTGGGCAGTCTTATTTTAGTCTAAACATTGACCTATGTCTGTTCCAGTGTGAGCAGTTCAGAGTGGACGTATATGTCTAGAGCTTCTGGGTCATACTTCCTATCCATTATTCAACAGTTAATTATTATCGACGAAATTTAATTGGAGGAACACAGCTCTATAACTTAAAAATGGTCCTTGTGCTTTATGATTTCTCCCTGCTAATGGATCGCACAAATTCGTTTTTATCTTAGGCATCATGGCTACTGGGGCAGTTAATGTTGTTCGTGGATCAAAATCTTCTGATGAAGAGATATTGCAGATATATAGTCATTCCGAAAGGTGAAAGCGACCGTTCAATTCTTTTTGCTGGCTGTTAGGTTCATGGTTGTGTCTTCTAAATTATGTCTAAATGTGGCAGTACCATCAACCTGGAGTTTCGCAATTATGTCCAAAATCGTATTGTCGACAAAAAAAATTTTTAGGGCCTACAATATTTTCCTCAATTCTTATATACCCTCATTTCATGTCTTAATATTTTCGTCGTTGCAACATTTAACTGCATGCCTAGTTGAGGTGCTACGAATGCTAGTTTGTAATATGCCAACATCTTTGGGAATGCCAAAAAAATGTTTCATGTACGGCTTTGATGTGAAACCGGAAAAGTACTACAATTTGAAATGACTACCAGTAGCAAAATTTCAAAATGATAAACCATACAGTTAGAGACAACGATTGTCTTGATATTATATTTATTGTGGAAATTAAAAATGCTCATAAAGAAATTGGAAACAGTGACTGAAACAGATGCCACGTTTTGCAATGTTATTGAAATAGATACTTTACCTTCGGTTGTTACCGTCTCTGCTGACTCCAGTGTCCTTCTTTCAGATATCAGAACCTGTGTCTCCACTCCATTTTTCTGTTGTAATAATATGAATCAAATCAGAATAAAGCTTAAACATCCCATTATTATGAAGTAGCAAAGAATCTCCCTTGATGTTCTAATTTGGTTTCTTCATATTGACTTTTATTTTTCCTCCCAGTGTTGCTGTGGTAGTGGACACTCCAGAATTTTTCAATAGACTAGCAGAAATACTGTTTCCAACAGCTGAGATAAGATTCATCATATTACTATGGGGTGACAAATCAATTCTGGACAGTAAGATGCTATCCAAGATACCAATTTTTAATTACGAGGATATTGAAGACTTAGGTGAAAAAAGCCGTGATTCCTTGTTGAACTCTATGGAGAGAGGTAAATTCATGTATAACATTTTTAATATGACATAAAAATTAGTAAATCATTTGACCAGAAAACCATAATGTCAAAGATATTCATCTCTGTTGTCCTGGCTAAATTAATCTAATGTAGTACTTATGAATTTTGAATTTTTCATACTTGCAATTAATTAATGTTTTTGTCCATCGACAACTCCATGGAAATGGTCAAGATCATTTCTTTTTAAAAATATCTCTAAATACCACAAGAACATAAATTTTATTGATTATTTCAATACCTCACTATACAGTTGAGCATCTAAGTTAAATTTAAACTTTTTTGCATAGAGGTTCGATGATGATCACTTAACAATAGGATTTCACTGCTTGTTATTTTCATTTTTTTTGCTGATTGTTACCATGGTTGGACGTCAGTTCAAACTAAACAATTCTCTGGGGAAGACACGAGTTGTCGTAGACTTTGAGAAACTCTTAAAGTTCTGCAAAAACTCCTTTTTCAAATTAGATATCCTACGCCATGCCAATGTTGAGCACCGTAGGCTGAGTGCAAATAATGATGCCGTAAGTTATTTGATATGGGATACATCATACAGGTGAGTGATTTTAAGAGAAATCAGTTAATATCTATTTATATGAAGCTTGGCCAAACAAATAGATATCCTTCTTGTGTCTTGCTTATAGAGCCAGACCTACATCGTGAGAAGCAAGAAAATTCCTCTGACTATGGTAGTTGTTTCTTATTTGTTAAGAATGAACTCAAATAGGGAATAAGGATGTAGGGCTGGTGAGAACTTAAAGTTAAGTCTAACCAACAATAAGAAGATAGATCCTTGAGTTAATTAGAATGTTCAGAATAGGATTGACAATTAATATAAATGGAATCTATGGATGGAGACTTGTAGATGGCAATATTGGAACAAATAGCCTGGTAACTATGCTCCCCTCAGAGAGATGTAGATAACCCACTTCAGGGCCTAAAGGACGATAGGAATCAAGAATAAGGATGATAGGATGTAGCTTGATACTTTGGGGCCTTGATATCACACCAGCGGACCTTTACAACGCACTTTGAGAGAGACCTTAGAGCAAAATTTTCGATAAAAAGGTTTTTTTTACATTATGTTCAGTCTCCTTTGTTTGGGCCTATAAATCCCGACAGTTCTCATTACTAATGGGCTTAAATTTCGGCTTTAATAGGCCTCAATTCCTAGAAATGGCCAAAATAGTGAAAGAGAAACTTCGGCTTAATAACCTAGGAAAGTCAGCAGAAGTATTTTAGAAGGGTTTCTTATTTTAATAACACAGAAATAGAGATACGTTTTCAGTATATTTAATAACCTAACATGCTTCATTGTCTTCACTGTCTTCACTGTCTTCACTGTCTCTATTGCTGTGTTACCCAGCTTCCTAAATCAGCAAAAGTATAGAAAACGTTTGGAATACCCTAGAGTCTTTAACAGACCTCAAATAACCCTGAAATTGGCCATAGTGAAAAATATAAACTTCGGTTTATTAACCTAGGAAAATCAGAAAAGGAATCCCTATTACATTGTTCACCAAGTCATATAACCATTTCAATTTTAGGACCAGTCCTTGACCTCAGGGCCCATTATCCGATGTCTTTGCCATAGAATAAAAGGTAGACTATGTGCTTCTTTCAAGTGTAGACCTTGACCAGTGCATGGCGTTGGCTCGATTTCTTCATTACTTTACCATGCGCAATCATGTAATCACATAATACTTAAATGGAGCACTTAGGATCCCAAGGAATCCTTACTGTTGACATTCTCATAGTGTACCTTAGATATTTTATTGAGGAAAATTGTGCAAAATTACCTGGCAGGTACCTAGGAAAGCTTCTCAAGTCTAATTACAGAGCCTTCTAGTGGAGATAGATGAGAGTGGACGCTCCTTGCCCTTGGTGGCTAGTACACGACATTCTTCACCTGATGTAATATGCTACCTTAGGCAAATGGTGTGGTTTCTTTAAAATTTTCCTCATGATATTTACGTCCAGTTATTTAACGGGGTTTCCATGATTGATGAAGATTTTATCTTGGATTTTTTTTGCAAAATTTAAAAACACAGTACTTACGTTTTAGGTCAGCATAGTTATGAAACCATTCGCCCTGATGATGTGGCAACACTCGTTTACACTAGTGGGACAAGTTCAACACCGAAAGCTGTAATGCTTACACATCAGAATATTTTGCATCAGGTCTGAGTAATTACAGTCTGATTTATTTTTTGTCCATACTCTTTGATTCTGTCGCTGCATTTCCATTCCGAAAGTTTGCAATTTGTGTCTTTTATGTGAATGTTACTATAACTGTTGTACAGATATATGCTTCAAACGAAACGAGGATGAAAATGAGGACTCATTTTGGTGGTGAGATAGACAAGATAATAGGATAGAATCTCTTAATACTCCTGAGATTCGTTGTAAGGGGAATGTTGTGTGTATAGGCTCTACAATGCAGCTTCAGTAGACCCAAAGTGGATCCGAGACCCAATAGGTTAGTGGCCCCAAACAAGATCCAAGATTTACTAGCCTCAACTAACTGTTACAGAAATAAACAAAGAGAGGACAACGGGTTCTCTAGAAGAAGATGAGTAAAGTGCTGGTAATTGGGAACTAGAGTCAGGTGTTGTCTTAGTCTAATGTCATCCTCCATCCTCCTCAGTTTGACTTCTTTTGTTCTGCATAAGTTTGACATCCTCCCTAGTCTGACTACTAGAGTCTCCCACAGTCCGTACAGTATGACAACATCTCATGCAGTCTAGCATCAAAAGGTATCATTGTCCTATGAAATAATTTTACAATATCACAACTTAGTAGAAGAGGAGTTTTTCGACGTCATCACAAAAAGAGCTGTTCCCACAATAGATCGTCGCCGTTATAAATTCACTTTCCAACAAGTGAATGCTCATCAACAACTTGGTCAAATTGAACTTTGAAAAAGTTAATCTTAAGAAGTGTTGAAAGTTCTAGGGTATAAGGAAATAATGTCAAAGATTGAGGGTATTTTTGGGAGAGTTTTTTAAGGTTCCTCCCTATATTAAGGGTGTAAGAGGTGAATGAAGATTGAGGCAGCTTTTGCCATTCTCCCCTCTGTCCTTCATGACAGGTTTTTCTCTGTTTTCTAGAATAGGCATCTCAAAAGCACACAGTACCGTGGCTAGCTTTTTCCTACTGAAAGACCCTTGATTTTTTCTTAGTATGATATTGCTAATTCCGGTAGTTTTAGTACAAGTAGACGGTCCACCATCAGGTGGGGTTTCTGATTTCATGGAAATGATAATGGAATGATCGAGTCAAAAAATCATCAGAGCCAGAATACAGACCAATGTTTTCTGTTTTTGTTGAGACTATGTAGACCTTGGGATTTCTACAAACTAAAAGAAACATCATTACGTGATGATAGTGCCAGTACAGCCAGCATTTATGAAAATGTTGTTTTCACGACAAAATCAAGCATATTATGATTGGTTGTGCCAAGTTCACAATGCATACAATTGGCAGTAAAATGCCCCATTAACATGGAAAATGTTTTCCTCGTGATGTGGCATTGTTTAAATAGGAAATTAGAAGCAATCCAGTTGTCTCAGCTGATCCCCATATCTTATAAATTTCTTCTGAAATGTCAAACTATCATTTCATGGATTTACCCCGAGGATATCTATTATTGAGGAATCTTTAGGTATTTATCTTCAATCATTATTTTTATGATCTTAACTTCAGGAAGATACAGTGTCAATTTTACAAATTTACCTTTTGTATCCTAATACGGCCCTGCCTTTTACAACTTGATTTTGTTATTTTTCCTTGTTGACATTCAATTTCTATCCATTTTTCTTCAGATAGAGAACTTGCGGGAAATTGTTCCTGCAGAACCAGGTGATAGATTTCTAAGCATGCTGCCACCATGGCATATGTATGAACGTTCTGCTGAGTACTTCATGTTTTCATGTGGAATACAACAAGTGTACACAACTGTGAGAAAGTTGAAGGTATTGTTCGAGAAACCAAGCTGGTGATCTCATGTTTGGAAGTATAGGCCAATGACATCGATAAGATTATTTCGAATCATTTTTCAGAGATGCCTATGTTCTACAAAATAGAATGTGAAATGGGACATTTAGCCTTTAACTTAACTATACTAATTTTGAACTTGGCAGGATGATTTACGGCAGCATCAACCCGATTATATTTTTTCTGTTCCTCTGGTTTATGAGACACTTTACAGGTTTGTGCTGTTAAAAGGTTTGCATATATTTATTTTCTAATTAAATTGTTGATTTCCAATATGATGATAATTTATTATCCAGCATAGACAAAAAAGTGATGATCAGTCCTTTTTCCTTTTTTCAATATGATGGTAATATCTTATGTTACGCAGAACAAGTTTTTCTATATTAGGCTTTCCTTCTATTTTCCTTTCTGTCCTATTATTAGATGTATATCCTTTTTCGTGTTTCAGTTATTAGACCTTTCTGGAATACCGGAGAGGTTTATTAGATGCCAATATAAATATTGGTGTACTGCCTTGAGAAGGGCTAAGTCAGTTTTTCCCTTTCTTGCTTCCATTGTATTAACATGGTATTAGAGCTTTCTCTCTGATCCTGCGTGAAGACCGCTGATGAAAGATCAACCAACCATGGTGGCGACAACAACTCCACACTGTAGGGAGTGTCGCCTGGTGATCTTCTTCCTGCCTGCAGTACCTGAAATTGTGAGGTTTCTTAGTCATAAGCAGACCGGAGGATTCTTTGAAGAGTCACTATACCATTGCTGTTTCTTGACAATGAGGGACATCTACAGATACACCATTGTCAATTCTTGACGGTGGCAGGACATCTACGAATACATCATTGCCATTTCTTGATGGTGGCAGACGTCTGCGAATACACCATTGTCATTTCTTGACAGTGGCAGTCATCCTCAATTTCTTGAACAGAAATTGTTATTCGGACCACTTCAGGGAATCTCTGTTTGAGATATTTTTTTGGCTATCTTGTCATGGTTGAAGAACATGGAGACAAAGGTCAGTGAATCTTCCTCCTCTGGCCTAGGACATTCATTTGAAGTAATTAAGGTATGTTTAGATCTACCTAAAATTGCTGAGAGATTTCGACTTGATGGAATCAATTCGTTCCAATAGACATCATATGTTGAATTTATTCTACATGGGAGGAATCTGGATCATCACTTGACACAACTCTCGCCAAGTACGATTTTTTTTCTTGATGGAAAGAAGCAGCATTGATTCAATATTGGATGCTAGACAATATTTCACCAAAGATAAGTGATAGATTTCTTTTTCTAAAACATGTGAAGGAATTATGCAGCAAGGTTCGTCGTGTTCACTCTACTAAACATGAAGAATCTCAAATTTATAGATTGGTACAAAAATTTCTGACTTTGGTATAAGAAACATTGAGTGTTTTGAAATATGCTTGCAAATTAGAATCTATTTGGAGAGAAATCGACCACTACAGACCAATCAAGAACCTTGATACTCAAGAACAAAATTATATCATGAAAGGCAGGTTGTATAAATGTTTGATGGGGATAAATTTAGCATATGAGACTCTAGTAAATCAGATCCTTGCTCGGGAAGTAGTACTAGGTATTGAAGAGACAAATACATTAGCAAGACAAGAAGAAAATACTAAAAATTTGAAAAATAATTTAAAAACAGAAATGCTGCATTCAGCACTCTCAAGGGCAAAGATACCTCTATATTGAAAAGAAGGGTAGTAAAGTACCATTCATCAAAGGAGACCCTAAGACTGATCCGAAGGCACACCTATTTTGCACTTATTGTCGGAAAAATCATCATACTTGGGAGACATGCTGGAAGATCCATGGCAAACCACCGAATTATGGTAAGTTGTATTTGGCTAATGCTCAAAATGAAGATGGTGTTGAGCCCATGATTCAAGGAGGAGAGAGTTAAGACGGATCTACTTCCTCTCAACCTTTAGAGATTGAAAAACTCAGAGAAGAAATTGAACAGTTGAGGAGGATGGTCAGCTCTAGTTCCCTCATTCATAGGAGGATGGTAAGTATTTTCCTAAATGTCTTCCAATATATTTAAATACCTCATCATTGGCATCACCTTCACCTCAAAATGTGTCCTGGATCATTGATTCTGAAGCTACTGATCATATGACACCATATACATCACTATTCATAACATACGAGGTATGTACCAATAATTGGAAGGTTATTACTACAAGTGGAGATTTGTTACTTGTAGCTAGTAGGATTAATTCATCTTGAGAAATTGAGGTCATTAAGATATGTTCTTCATGTTCCAAGCTTGAATGCATATCTATTGTCATGGAGAAAATTAGGTGAAGACTTGAATTGTCTGATATTATTTGACAACGATTTCTGTTTCTTCTATGGCAAGACTTCGGGCAAGAGGATTGGGCATGTTAGAGCATGGAATAGACTCTACTACACAGGGCGTATGGACAAGACATTCTTGACGAATTTCAGTCCAAACATTTCTACTTCTGCTTTTGCTTCTCCCTTGAACAAATCGTTGTTGTTGCATTGTCGCTTGTGACATTCATCCATAAAAGTACATAGAGACTTATTTTCAAAACTATGTTGTGCAATTGGTGAATCTACTTTCAGATGTGAACCCTGTCAAATAGCTTAGTGATGAATTTCATTTCCTCTACTGGAAATAAAAGTGAATCCCCTTTTTACATAATACATTCTGATATATGGGGTCCTTTTTACTATTAGATGACTGTACTAAGTTCACATGGATTTACTTAATAAAAATAAAATCAGAAGTTAGTAGTGTCATTCAGAGGTTTATCAAGCTAATTCAAAATCAGTTCAATATAACTCCCAAGAAATTCCGATCAGACAATACTAAGGATTTTTTCAATTCTATTGTCTCCTATTTCTTTGTTGATGAGGGCATTGTTCATGAATCTTCTTGACCCTATACACCCTAGTAAAATGAGGTAGCTGAAAGAAAGATTGGACAACTGCTGAAAATAACAAAGGATGTCATGTTTAGAGTCCAAGTGCCAAAGTACTTGTGGAGTGAGGCAGTACTAATGGCCACTCATCTTGTTAATTGTCTTACATCAGAAGTATTATTATTTAAGACTCCCAAAGCCTTATTGTAGGGTCATTATTTGACTGTGCATGCACTATGGACCAGATTTACCTCTTTGAATATTTGGTAGTGTTGCATACATCCATCAATCTCAAAATGGACTGTCTAAATTTGCCCCTAGAGCCATAAAGGTACTCTTTATGGGCTACTTCAATACACAAAAAGGGTATAAATTTTATGACCCAAGATATCAAAAATTTATTGTGACAATTAATGTCACATTTGATGAAAGTAGCATGTATTTCCAGTAGAAAACAACTCAAGTATCTAGCTGTGATATTTTTGTGCAAAAAAACACAATTGACACATTGAGATTCTCGAGGAGAATGAAGCTCCTGAAATGATACTAGTAAATTTTCTAGCACTTCCACCTCCACCAAATCGATTTGGTCGAAGTTATTATCAAAGAAAGTTAAAGATAATCAGAGATACTCATGAATAGGATCTGTCTGACATAGTAGATGCCCATGAACAAGATCTGCATGATGCAGCAGATGCCTATGATTCTATTGTTGAATGTGACAATCATCAATTGATCAGCATAACCTTCTTATTACTCAAGGAAATGAAATCTACCCTATTGCTCTCCGCAAAGGAAATTAGAGAATGTACAAAGAAAAAGGTAGATTCATCATATAATTATGTATCTTATCATTACCTATCTTCGTAATATAGGATGTTTATGTTAGTTATTGTTAAACACAATACTCAAAACACTGATGAAGCCTTAAGAAGCCCTCTATGGAAAAAAGTAATGGATGAGGAGATGATGGCTCTACAGAAGAATCAAACTTGGGAAGTCATGCTACTTCTTAAAGAGAAGAAAACTGTGGGTTGTAGATGGGTATATATGATTAAGTATAAATCTAATGGGACTATTGAGCGTTTTAAAGCTTGGCTGGTGGCAAAAGGCTTCACCCAATGTTATGGTATTGATTACATGGAGACCTTTGCTTCAGTTGCGAAAATGGGAATAGTTTCGATATTAATATCCTTGGCAGTGCATTATGGATGGTCCCTATTACAATATGATGTGAAAAATACATTCTTGTATGGAGAAATCTTAGAAAAAATATATATGGAGCTTCCACTAGGATACAAAGACCCAAATGATACTCTAAAAGAATGCAGACTTAAGAAGGCATTATATGGCTTAAAATAGTCACCAATAGCCTGATTTGCTTGCTTAACCAAAACAATGAGGGCTTTGGGGTTCAAGCAAGCAAATGGAGATCATATCTTATTTTATAAACGATTGAGTTTAGGAAAAATGACAATCTTACTAGTATATGTCAATGACTTGATTGTCACAGGAAATGATATGCAAGAAATCACTTCTCTTCAAAAACAATTGAGGGCTGTTTTTGATTTCAAAGTGTTGGGACAACTAAAATACTTATTGGAAATTGAGGTAGCCTATTCTCGTGGAAATTTATTCCTATCTCAAAGAAAGTATATTATAGATTTACTCAACTATACAAGCATAAGTAACTGTAAACTAGCATGTACATCAATTGAAGCAAAGCATTGTATTGGGGCTTCAAAGGAAAGCGATCAAGTAGATAAGGGCTCTTATCAATGGCTAGTGGGAAAATTAATTTATCTATCTCATACTAGATCGGATATTGCTTAGTCAATTGGAGTGCATAAGCCAATATATGCATGACCCTAGGGAGGTACATCATCAAGCTGCTCAACAAGTTCTAGCCTATCTTCAAGGAACAATTGGCATGGGAATCCTATTTAAAAGGGGAGATTCTCTTAGAGTAGACATCTATACCGATGTTGATTATGCTGGTTCAGTTGATGATAGGCACTCTACCATTTGCTATTGTTGTCTCATTGGAGGAAATTTGGTCACTTGGTGAAGCCAAAAATAAAGAGTTGTGGTTCGATCAAGTGCTGAAGCAGAATTTAGGGCTATGGCCCTTGAGATTTGTGAAGGCATTTGGATAAAAAATATACTAAATGACTTATAAATACCCATGGAAGGTTTGATTACCTTGTTCTGTGACAATCAGTCCGTGATAAGTATTGCACATGATTCTGTTCAACATAACAAGACCAAACACATTGAAGTAGATAGATATTTTATTAAAGAGAAACTTGAATAAGAGATGTTTTGCACAGATCAGTTGGGTGATATATTAACTTAGGGCATTTCTGCAAGAGAGTTCTGCAAACAAAGGAGCAAGCTGGGCATGAATGATATTCATGCACCAGCTTGAGGGAGAGTGTTATGCAGACCAAGTTTTTCTATATTAAGCTTTCCTTCTATTTTCCTTTCTGTCCTATTATTAGATGTATATCCTTTTTCATGTTTCTGTTATTAGACCTTTGTAATACTGGAAAGGTTTATTAGACACCAATATAAATACCGGCATACTACCTTGAGAAGGGCTAAGTCAATTTTTCCCTTTCCTACTTCTGATGATCTTGTAACAATCCAACATAGACCAAAAAGTGATGATTAGTCCTTGGATCTAGGCAAATGACAATACAACAAAGAAAAACCAAAATATGTTGTTGTCTCCATCAACATTCAACAATAATGTTTTTATTAGTCTTTTCAACTTTGTATCTAGAGAAAGAGGGCAAAAAGCACATGACAATGATCATAGTATGGTCTAGGGTTTATATTCAAACCCTAGACCATAACATAAAGGGTCGTAGCATTAGTTTGGTCACTAGAATGGGCCATAATGAAAGGGGCCAATTCAAGGGCCCACTATATTTAACACCCCTCCTCAAACTGGAGCATAGATACCATATGCACCAAGCTTGGTACAAAAAGCTAACACTTAAGGATCAAGAAGCGGTTTGGTGAAAAGGTTTGTAAGTTGGTTTTCAGATGACATTAATAGTAGTAATGAGTTGAGCTTGAATTTTCTCTCAAATAAAATGGTAGTCAACTTTGATGTATTTTGTGTGCTCATGGAAAATAAGGTTCGATGCAATATGCATGGCAACTTGATTGTCACATCAAAGTTCTATAGGACCTAGAGGAAGAAACTTGAAGTCCTCAAGAAAATGGTGAATCCAAATGAGTTCACATGTGGTATGTGCTGTAGCCTTGTACTCAAACTCTACAATAGATCGTGAGACCACTAAAAGGTTTATTAGACACTAATGACAAGTTGTAGATCTCCTGTCGATACTGCTTCCAATTCAATTAGCATCACGAAAATCTTGGATGTTCAGATAAGGTATCCACTATGATGTTGATCCATAAAATGATTTACAACACATAGAAAATGAGATGTTTGGCCAAGTGACAGTCAAGTAGAGGACTTTGTCAACTAGGTGTTGATATTGTCTTAGATTGTCTAATAATTCCTCTTCTACATGAGACAACTTTAAATGGGGATCCATAGGAGGAGTAGTTGGTTTTGCTTCAATCATACATGTTTCTACAAGTAGATCAGGAGTACACTTTCATTGGTTGATAATGATCCCTTCCCTAGAATGAGCAACCTCTATCCCAAGGAAGTACTTGAGATTGTTGGGATCCTTAGTGGCAAATTGACTCTACAAAAAGGTGTTGAGGTGAGATATACCAGCATTATCATTCCTAGTGATAACGATGTTGTTGACATAGACAACTAATAAGATACACCTAGTTGAAGAGTACTGATAAAAGACAAAGTGATCAACACCACATCTCTAAAGACCAAACTCACTCAAGGTGTTGCTAAGCCGACTGAATTATGGTCAAGGAGATTACTTCAAACCATAAAGGGACTTGTGTAATTGACAAATTATATTAGCCCCCATGTATACTAAATCTTAGAGGTTGTGTCATATATATCTCTTCTTCTATAATGCCATGAAGAAAAACATTCATTATATCAAGTTGATAGAGAGGCTAAGAGAAGAGAACTACCAAGGTAAACACAATACGAATAGAGGTAATCTTAGCAACAAGATAGAAAGTCTCTAAATAATCTTCACCATATACTTAAGTGAAGCCTTTTGCCACCAAATGAGCTTTCAAGAGATTAATTGTACCATCAGGTCCAACTTTAACTGTAAAGACCCATTTGCAACCAACAATGAACTTTCCTAGAGGATGTGAGATAAGTTCCTAAGTTTGGTTCTTCTCAAGTGCATCCATCTCCTTAATCATAGCGGCACACCATTTGGGATGACTTAGTACTTCTGAAATAGTCTTAGTAGGATAATGGGATAACGTAGATATAAAAACTAAGTAGGTAGGGGACAAGTGATGATAAAATGCAAAGTTAGACATAAGATAGCATATACAAGAACTTTTTTCTTTTCATAAGGCGATAGGGAAATCAAGATTATCGGTCACTAATATGCTCGCTTCCAGTTCCTTAGACATAGGAAGGATTGGTTGAGATGTAGATGCCTCAAGAGGTGTTGAGAGAGAATTCTGCCACGTGTACACATGTAATTTGAGGACATGTATCTTCCAGCCAATTATCTAATTGCTCAGAAATCGCACTAGGATTATCTACAAAGATAGACTCTACAATGACTAGTAGAGGTAATGATTCATTTAGAGAATTAGTACATTGTGACATAGTGGAGAAAGCAGTACTCTTAAATGTCTACGAAGTGAAGGACAATAACACATGTATAATCATTAATATGTAAATCCAAATCTTTTTGAGTATGAGAGTATCCTAAGAAAACACATTTCAGATACTTATGACCAAGTTTATCTCGACTTATATCATTAATGATGGACAAAATATGTACATCCAAAGATCTTCAATGGTACATTGTATAATGAAGTAATAGGATAAAGAATAGAATATGGAGTCTTTTGGTTGACATTTGACTAATTAAGTAGGTGGTAGTAAGAACAGCACTGCTCCAAAATTCAAGTGGGACATCCATATGTAAACATAATATATGAGCTATTTCAATGATATGAAGATTTTTCTTTTCTACTATTCCATTTTGTTGAGTATGAGGACATGATGATTGATGAATAATCATATGGGTGGTCAAGTATTGTGTAAAGGATGAACTAAAATACTCTTTTGCATTGTTAGAATGAAGTATTTGAATATTCTTGCCAAATTGATTCTTAATTTCAACATGAAATGAGCAAAAATTGAGAAATAACTCTAATCGGTCTTTTATGAGATTCAATTAGGTAACACAAGAGTGATCATCAATGAAAGTAACAAAATATTTAAAATTAAGTTTAGAAGTAACTTGACTAGGACCCCATACATTGGAATGAAGTAAATCAAAAATAGACTCTACTCTTGAAAGAGCCCTTGGGTTGAAGCTTGAATAATGACGTTTACCTAATTGACATGATTCACACTCTAATACTTTTAGATAGACAAATTAGGCATCATCAATTTGAGTTTTCTTAAAAATACATTGCCTAGTCGACTATGCAAATGAAGAAGCTTTTTCCTAGTATAGCCTCCATCTTCATATCCTTCGCCAATCCTCCTCCATGTCTTTAGGTTGTGAATGCAACACAAATTGGGAACGAAGGTTATTATGGCTTGTAGGGATCAAGTGAGTTTATTAATAGAAATAAGATTAAAGGAGAATTTAAGTCTGTGCAAAACTGATCTAAGAGGAAGGTTGGGGTTAAGATATAAGGACCCTATACGTGTGGTAGGTGTAGTAGAGCCATCTGCTAAGGTGACAGTAGAAAGACCATGATGACTAAAATAGGATATGAAATTATTAGATATACTTGTAATATGATAAGCAGCACTAGAGTCGAGAACCCAACAGGGTGATTCACCTCATATGTTCAAGGGTCCTTAATACTCTACTCATACAATGACCTATCTTCCCCTCTCACACTTTCTTCCCTACCCCTCTGTCCTATGTTTCTATTTTCGGCTATAAGTCTTCATTGGAACCTTTTCAATACTTTCCCCTATGATGAGCACATTGTCCTCAAGATTGAAATCTGGATACTAGTGTATGGCTGTGGCCAGCTCCCATGATGCTTCGAAAATAGACAGATCTATCTGTTGGTCAAGGACCTCAAGACCTATTGGGGTGTATCTTGTGTCAAGGATTGCTTGGGGCTTGACATTTCATCCAAAGTCTACACCTAGAACTGTTGGAAGCGGTTGACTGTGGTCATTACGGCTAAAAGCCCTACACAATTAAGAGACAAGAAATACAAGGTGAAGAGAAGAAGTGTGGGGAAGGTCCAGATGATAGGCAACCACTCCTATTTTTTTAAATATCTTATATGGGCCAAAGAAGTGTGAAGATGGCTTCTCATTCAGCTTCTTGGATAATGAAATTGCATTTGGTAAGGCCTAAGATGCAAATACACATTCTCCTTCGTGGAAGTTGACATCCCAACGGTGACGATCTACATGATATTTTATATGGACTAGAGCTTTTCAGATATGGTTCTTTAGCATCTGTAGAATTTGATCTTGTTCCTGTAGTAATTTATCTACAGTCATGACAGGTGTATAAGGTGATCCATAATGAAAATGTCATGTGGATCGTACATTGCTTTGAAGGGTGTGGTCTGAAAATAAGTGTGAAATGAGATATTATAATAGAATTCGGCCCCATGAAGCCATCACTCTATGTCTTCAGGTTCTACAATGTGAAGAAGTAGAGGTAATTCTTCAATCTTATGTTGACCACTTCGGTTTGTCCATCTGTTTGGGGATAGAAAGAGGTGTTGTGTAATAGCTGGGCCCCTTGTAGCTTGAATAAAGATGACCAGAAGATATTTGTGAAAATTTTCTCTTTGTCAAAGATAATTGAGGAAGGGAGTCATGGAGATGCACAATTTCTCAAGTAAATATCTCAACATCTTTAGCTATAAAGGGGTGCTTCAATGAGAGAAAGTGACCATACTTAATCTGTCCACTACCACTAAGATGGAATAGTACCTTGTAGATTTAGGAAGTCATTCCACACAATTTAATGAGATATCCTCCCAAATTTGTTATGGGACTGGAGGGGTTGTAGAAGACATGTTGGAGCTAATTTGATGCTTGTTTTGCTGAGATATAGAGCACTCTGACACATGTTGACGAATCCTCCTTTTCATGTCACTCCAATAGAATTGGTGTGAAATTTATTTGTAACACGTGTCCTCTGATGGGGTTGCCATGAAATTCTTTGAGAATAGGTGCAATGAGGTTTGAATCAGATGGAAGCACCAAACAATCCTTGTGAAGCAGCAGCCCATGCTTAACTATGTAGTGAGGCCGGAACCCATCTCCTTCCAAAATTGTTTGTCAAATCCCATTTATTTTATGGTCTGCCTCCACCTTCTTGGTAATGTGCTAGATGTCTCTTATATTGTTTTGAGAGAGAGTAATGATGCATAATTCAGTGATTGCTGGCTGTCAAAAGAGGGCATCCATTGTGTGGTTATGTGTCCCTACTTTATACTTGATTTTGAAATTATAGCCAATTAAGTTGATCAATAATTTTTGATACTGAAGTGGTACTTGATGTTGTTGTAAGAGGTGCTTGAGGCTACTCTGATCCATCTTGATAATGAAATGCCCATAGGGTAAATATGTTGAAATGTAGTATAAATATTACATTAGTAGTTGGGGTGGGGTGTATCGCATGCTTCACTTAAAGAAGCACGTGAACATCACATGTATGTCTTGGATGTAAGGCTCTACGTCTAGAACCTTCTCCCATGGATCTGTTATAAATAACAGACCCCTGCCTCAATGTAAACTGATCTTGAAGTCATTTTTTCCCTCATATGTTTTGAATAGAAGTTCCTTTTTTTCCTTTCAATGAACTAGAGGAAATTCAACATGGTATCAGAGCTAATCCACGTGTGATTACTCCTTTCTTATTATCTCATTTTGTATAAGAGATTTATGTTGTTTATGTGAGCCTCTTCTTGAGGACTTGGAAGATCAACAACATTCTTTGAGCCCCTTCTCAAGGTGATTATTGATCTTCCTTTGAAGACGTACGAGAATTACATTTTTTTTGTTCAATAAGCAATTGTTCCTATTCCAATTTGTTGTTTTTCTATATGTTTGAAGGAGGAGGGACCCAGTAGTTGATGTCTCTACCATCATTATGGAAATCGTCAAGATTTGATGATTGAACTCCTTGTCATTCCTATTGAATTTAAGTAGACTGAATATAATATCATCTAGTGGTCAAGATATATTAGGGAGGTTCTTACTAGGAGAGGGATGCTACATCATCTTGAGAAAACTACACTAGATCCAATGTCAAGGTAATATCAAAAATGGTGCGAGGAGGATGCCTTGATAAAGAAATGGATCTGGGGAACAATGATTCCTTAGATCAATAGAGATCTTTTCTTCATGAAAACTGTAAAAGATCTATCGGGAATAGTGAAAAACAATGAGTCACACATATTTGAAATCGAGATAAAATCTTAATCAATTGCTCAAGGTTCAAAATTAGTGATGGAGTACACATGAGAACTTAAAAATTTATGGTAGGAGCTTGATTATTATCTTGCTCTTGGGACTGAAGAACCCAAAGAAATTTCTACATCACGAAATTTTATAGAATGAAGGTGGGTCTTTAAATTTTTAGCTGGTTTGAGTCCTTTTTTTATCATATCAAACAACAAATTCTAGGACGTGAAAGGAGACTAGATCTGAATTAGGTGATATCAATTTTATTGAAAGAAGAGAGTCGTCGAAAATTGATGTTGTCTACTCAAGAGTCAGGTAATACATCATTTTTAGCCAAACTAGGACACACTATTAAATCAACATAATATTTGAATCATCAATCATCATCTGTGCAAGAGAAGAACTAGAAAAACAATTATAGAGATAATCTTTAGTACATTTATTGTAGGAAACACCATCATATTAGGGAGCGATGTTATAAACTCTATGGCAAACCACAGAACAATGAGAATCAAGTGAATCAGGTTTCACATGGTGATTGATTCTTCATCCAATCAGAAGTCTGAACAAACAGACCCAAGAAATATTGATTCAACTTCATCAAACGAAGTAGAGAAACTTCACCTTGAATTAGAGCAAGTGAAGGCAATGGTAACACAATATTCACAACCATCAACAAGTCATCAAATTGGTGAGTTCCACTCTTCTCTTAGTGTTCGAGCTCCATCCTAAGATATTACTAGATGTTGGGTAATAGATTTCATAGCAATAGATCATATGACAAATTCATCGTATCATTTCATTACCTACACCCCATGTTCTAGTGACCGAAAAGTGTCTATTGCTGATGGTACACTTCTTATGGTCACTGGTATTGGAGACCTGACTCTTGAACCTTTAGGAATCCTCACCAAAGTTCTCCATGTTTCCAAACTTTTCACCAACCTTATTTCTGTAAAAAGTCTTGTTCAAAACACACATTATTGTGCCTTTTTTGATGAAGACCTTTGTGTTATTCTTGATAAGGTCCAGAAGCAGAGGATTAGAGTTTCTCAAGAACAAGGAGGACTTTACATCTTGGAGGGATTTAGTTAAACCTGTCTTGTGGAAACGGATCCATCTCTAAAACATCACAAGGTTAGGCCATCCTTTGTTACTATGAAGAGTTTTCGTCTGTAAAAACACTTAAGTGTGACATATGTGAACTGTCCAAACATACTCGTGTTTCTTTTCCAATTAGAAATGAAAGGAGTGAGATCCCTTTCTCTTGCATTCATAGCGATGTTTGGGGACCATGTCTCAATGTAGATCTACTAGGTAATAGATGGTTTGTTACCATTGTGGATGACTACACTTGTCGCATGTGGGTCTTTCTTCTTAAGCAGAAATTAGAAGTTTCAATTGCGTTGAAACATTTCCGTGTAATGATCAAAATCTAATTTGAGAATCCTATCAAGAAATTCAGGTCAGATAATGCTAAGGAATACTTTAGCGATGATCTGAATTCTTTTCTTCAAGCTGAGGGCTACATAAGTCTTCATTTTTTTACACTCCTCAGCAAAATGGATTGACAAAAAGAAAAAATCGACACCTCTTGGAGGTTACATGATCACTCTTGTTTTAGGTGGGTGCACCCAATTTTTTTTGGGGTGAAGCTCTCTTCCCACTAGAGCCTTGGGTTTCCAAAGTCAAATGGAAAAGTTAGCTTCTTATTTCCCTCCTAATCATCTCCATATCTCATTAGAGCCTCGCCTATTTGGACATGTCTCATTCATTACCTAACATCACGTATGCAGTTAGTCTCTTAAGGTAATTCATACATCAGCCAATTGAATCCTATCTTCATGCTGCATATCAGGTGTTACACTACTTAAAGGGAACTTCTAGAAAAGGCATTTTCTTCAAACATAGTGATAAAGTAACATTTAGATGTATACTGATGCTAACTACGCTGGTTCTCTTTTAGATTGTCAGTCAACTTCAGGTTTTATGAAATTTGGTTACTTGGCACAGCAAGAAACAAAATGTTGTTGCTCGCTTAAGTGCAGAAGCAGAATTCAGGACACTTGCGCATCAAATATGTGAACTACTTTAGGTGAAGATTTTACTCATTGACCTAAATATTCATATGAAACTCTAATGTGACAATAAATCTGTAATTAATCTTGTGTACAATCCTATTCAACATGATATCACAAAGCATGTGGAGATAGACCGTCACTTTATCAAGGAAAACTTGGAATCTATAGAAACTTGTATTCCCTACACCTCCACTCAAAATCAACTAACTGATTTGTTAATAAAAAGTGTCTCTGCGACTCAACTACAACAAGTGTTCTCCAAGTTGGGAATGGATGATATCTACTCACCAGCTTAAGCAGCTGTGTTGAAATACAATATAAATATTGCGTTAGTAGTTGGGGTGAGGTGTATCACGTACTTCACTTAAAGATGCACATGAACATCACCCGTATGTCTCAAGATGTAAGTAAGGCTGTATGTCTCTAGAACCTTCTCCCATGGGTCTGTTATAAATAACAGACCCATGTCTCAAGAATGAATAGAAGTTCATTCTTTCCTTCTAGAAGGTCTGTCATTCTTGAAGAAATGAACGAACTAGAGGAAATTCAACAATCACAAATGATGGAGTCTCTATTACTCCATAATCCCACAAAACCCCTTATAGTTCTAGACATATTCAATCCAGCTTATATTTCCAACTTGAGGCCCTTGATATAATTGATCTCTATTATCTCGTCTTATATGTCTTTGAGAAAAGCTGATATGACCTCCTGTATTCAGTCATCATTCCTTCTTGATTGAGCTGCAAAAACTGTTAGCACACATCATTTGAAGAGGATGAGCTAAAACGTATAACTGTTGCGTGAGGTCCGACCAGTCCTTGAAAGAGTATCATTCTGCTGTCCACATGCACCATGTTAGGACATCGTCTTCCAAACTCAGAGCTGCCTCATCCATCTGTTCATCTGCTGTGTGCATTTTGAAATATAGTTCAAAACGAAAGATCCACCCCTTCACATTGGCCCTGCTGAAATGGATAAGTTCCCATCGTCTTCCTAGTTTCTGTGCCCCCCACCCACGTAGGGTTTAAGAGGTGTGCCTGATGTTTCTCCATCTTACAATTCCGTTGCTAAATGAGGAGATTGGTCATGTGCTAGGTCAGCCCGTGGTCCTTCCTCTGGTCACCCTTTGTCCTGGATCTCACTCCTTTCTTCCACTTGGTTTAATTGTTGGAGTTAACGACCAAACATATGGGAGAATTTCTCCTGTAGTTTCTGGCTCTCTTCTTGTGATTTTTGTATTTCTTCCTTCAGAACGGTGAGGACAGTTTTGATTCCTTCTCTCGCATTCTCAGCAGATTACATTGGTTATCTGAGAACTTTGGCGCCATCTCTCCCTAGTCATCAGCTCTGATGGCAAAATGGTGAGACTCCTTCCTCCAGCTGCCAAGAAAAGGGCTGAGGGGCAGAAAAAGAGAAGGAAATGGATAGGTATTCAGATGGATCAGATAATAAACAGGATTCCACAGAACCCTAACAGAATCTGGGAAGTAGTTCAAGAAGCTTTCCATTCCCTCCGCAGCTCAACCGAGCCCTAGAGCCCTCTTCACAAAAAGATGTCCCCCTTGTATGTTCAAGAGTCCTTAATACTCTACCTATACAATGACATATCTGCTTCTCTCACCCCCTTCCTTCCCTGCCCCTCTGTCTTGTGTTTCTATCTTCAGCTATAAGTTTTCATCAGAACCTTATCAGAATACTTCAATCAGAACTAGCTGGCAATATTTTTCTTTTTTTCTATCAAAAGTACTAGATACGCATGTAAATCGAAATCATCTCCTTGAGATTTGCCATGTCATTAGTTTCTAATCGACTCAGAATATGATATCCCTATTGTCATGTTAGTTAGTTTTTATGATGTGAATATTTCCAGATGTGTGCTTCAAGTTCCTGTCTGTTAAGCGTAGTATGTGATTGCGCCTATTTGTCTCTCCAATATCTGTGACAGTGCAATACAGAAGCAGATATCTTCAAGTTCTGCTGCTAGGAAGTTTTTCGCCAGTAGTTTAATCAAGATCAGTTTTCTATACATGGAGGCGAAAAGGGTTTATCAGGTCTGCACATATTGTGTCGTGTTTTCAAATTTCATTTGGTTCGTACTATAACTCACATTTGAAGATACGTAAATGTATACATATATATATTTATGTCTCTCAGTTACAGTCCTAGGACTTTGAATTTTCCTGAACTCAAAAACATTTAAGACTAAAAATGTTTTTTTATGTACAGGGTAAAGTGTTAACCGAACAGAAGGAAGAACTACATCTTGTTTCTGTCACTTTGGAATGGGTGCGGGCCAGAGTTGTTGCTGTACTTTTGTGGCCACTGCATACTTTAGCAACAATCCTGGTCTATAGAAAGATTTACTCCACAATTGGGATACGCAAGGTATTCATGGCAGTGGGATCGTAATTTTTGACTTTATCTTTTGCATCTAATTATCTGAGGTTTTTTATTTTTTAAGCTTCTCGTTCTAAATACCTGGATGTGCGACGTTTCAGGCTGGTATAAGTGGTGGTGGAAGTCTTCCTATGCATATCGACAGGTTTTTTGAGGTTAGATGACTCAATAAATTGTTCATACTGAACTTTTTCAGATAGCTTCTGTTAACTGTATTCTACTCTTTCAGGCAATTGGGTTGACGTTACAGAATGGATATGGGCTAACAGAGACATCTCCTGTAATCGCAGCTCGAAGGCCTGATTGCAACGTAAGAAATTATTTTTTTGGAAAAATTATCTCGTGTGGATGTTAACACTGTCCTCATTAAGGGTAAAACAGCATAAAAATGAAATTGAGTCGTTCATCACGTTTCGAATTAAAACTCTAGGAAAAAAAGATCCCTTATTCTAGATGTCCTCGAAAAAAGGATCAGATCATGCAAAAGTGAAAATGAAAAGGAATGTTTGCCTAAAATGTACAATCCTTTATTTAAATGACGCAGATAAATCACAAAATAATATTCATTGCTCAAGTTGTGAAAAATAACGTTTTATTTGATCATTTCGTATTTTTATAGGCACAAAAGAACTTCATACAATATTTGAATTAAAATTTTGTAATTTTAATCAGATTATTGCAATCACTCGACCATCAAGATTTCAAACGCCTAGAATTGACCAATCTAAGACTTTTATTGCCTGGCTTATGCACATGACTGGTTCCAACTGTATATCTGATGCAATATAGTGGTCATGATGGTCATCTAAGGTTCTTCGTTTCCTATGGAAAACTCCTGCTTGGACCTGAGCCATCAAGCTGCAAACCTATGTCTTGATTAAATGATTCCTTTAAGACAGTGAGATATGGTAAATTGACGTGACATGTAGAAAAATGGTCGAATTGCTGATGGTCATTGTTCCAGGCGAGAAAATCAGAAGAATTGTGGAAAAAAATTCAGTCAAAGGTCTATGGAAAATCGAAACATTTGGGAATTCCTTGTTACCGTCTCCCAGTAGCTAATTACGAGTAGAGTATCACAACAGGTTCATCAGATGCATAATGGTTTGTTTTACACTCTACTTTCTCATCGCTGCTAAAAATCTACACCTAACATGTCACATTTAGAATTAATGGCGTCATGGTTAATGAAAGAATAGATGGTCGTGAGAACAATAAAGCTGATCGAATTCTAGATGGTGTTTTTTCGTTGGAGAAAAACTTTAAAAAATTAGAAATTAATTTCAACGAAAGAAACACCAAGTCTATAAATTAAAAATCACTCAGCAGCATCTAACACCTAGTTTCGTGTATATAACTATGATAGGTACGGCAGATGCATAATATTTACATGTTATTTCATCATTTCTGCATCAAGCTTATCCTCCATTTTTGACATTTGAGAGCGAACATACTACATGCTCGCCAGTGAATTTGAAACAAAATACTAGACTAGATAGTGATTGCGAGAAAAGCAACAAATGGCCCAATCTCGTCTGTTTTACACGTGATGCTGATTATCTACTTTTCGCATCTACATTGATATGACTTTCTTTGACGCTGAAGGTGTTGTATATCTGTTTTTTTTTCTCTTTTACCTGGCTTTCTTACTTCTTTTTGCATCATTTTCCCCAATTTTCTGGCAGTAAGAGCCCAATATTCTTCAAATTATGAGGGAGGGTTTATATTCTTCATTCAGTAATTGCTCAAAAAATAATTTTTCCCCATGTAGGATGTGCTTGAACAGTGTATGGCATGCCTGAATCGGTTCATTATGATTGAGCAGCCCAGCATCTAGTTTTTTTTAATTTTTTTATTTTCAGAGGGTATAAAGAGTGGCTGATGGACAGGAAAATACGTGCACAGCTAATGCCACAAGCTGACTGTAAATCCATTTAGAATTGTGCAGATATAAAAGAGATGTGAAGGTAAAAATGAAAGAAAATCGTGATGTCAAAACCGTTCACAGAAGCAGCTCATGCATTAATGAAAATTTCATCATTAAGACCATTCTTCTTCCATTATGAACAGAGTTTGTATGAGCATTTTCCATTTCATACATTTAAAAGTTTATACACCCCAGAGCTTTCTTTCGGTCTCCTATATTATTCTCTCACTAAGCAGCTTTAAAGATCCACCACTGCTACACATGGAAACATGAGAATTGATATTGAGTCATCTTTCCGTTCAATTTGGCCAGATTCCGAGTTATTTCTGTAGTCTGTCTCTATTTGGATAGGAGAAAAAAATCAACTCAAATGAAATGAAAACGAAATTATTTTGAGAAAGCTGAGTGCATGTATGTATAAATACTTTTAGAACTTATACGTACAGTGTGTTTAATGTAAGAGTTGCTTTGAAAAAGAAGATCCTCCCTGCAGTACGAAGAGTGATGATAATAATACTAGTAACAATCCAAACTCTGTATATTCCTCTTTTTTTTTTGTTGGCCTAGGTTCAATGCTCATTACCTCTGTCCGCAATGCCATACCTCCTGGTACTTGTCTTTTTATGGGCATACTTGAATAGGAGATCGTCCCTTCATCATGTTAATATCTAGCACTCTTCCATAGTAATAATTTTTATGTATTCAAATGAAGGTTCTTGGCACTATTGGGCATCCGATTAAACACACAGAAATCAAGGTTGTGGATCCAGAAACTGGTCAAATTCTATCAAATGGTTCAAAGGGTATTATAAAAGTACGTGGGCCACAAGTAATGAAAGGCTACTACAAGGTACCAATTTCTTTCATTAAGTTCAAAGGATGACTGGATTTTTAGGATCTAGTTATGATACTTGTGTAGAATGGTCTCTTATTGAAAGGCTGACTAGAATTTTTGATCTTTGTAGAATTATTTCTTCTTTAAAATGCTTTTATGTAATGCTCAAGAGCTTGTACGAACTTAAAAATTCTTTGATTGTTAGTTGTACATCATTTGTTTTCCTAGAATTCATCAAGCACAAATCAAGCCCTGGACAAAGATGGTTGGTTCAATACTGGTGATATAGGCTGGATTGCTCCGAAAAATACAATGGGACGGAGCCGTCAGTGTGGTGGCATGATTGTAATTGAAGGGCGTGCCAAGGATACAATAGTTCTGTCATCAGGTATCTATGGATGCCATTGATTTTCGGACGATACCCTTATCTTTTAATTGATTTGGATTGAATAAAATTTTGATCCTCTAACTCATATTTTTACGTTTTCTAGTAAGCGTATGTGCTGAAGGTTTGGCAAGTAGAACTCTGTTTTGTTTAGCATGTTACACGGATAAGAGCGAAGCAGAAGAAAGAAATAAGTTAAAAATGGTGGATACTGTAGTAGCCTTGGAATTTCTTATGGGCTTGTTGCGTGTACTTTTCAGTCTTTGCCTGTACATTGCATTACTTGCCTAAAACATTCAATGCGTATACGCTTAAATTTTTACGGGAATCTACTCACTGAAAGCATCATATTAATGTAGATATGCATTTCTACTACCATCAATGCATAAATAAGGACGAAAAAAATCAAAAGTTCATTTCTCTACGAAGAATAGTCCCAAGATATGTGATCGTGTTTGTACATCCCCTCTTCCCCCCTTGTTATTCTGTCTTCTCTCTAAAGAAGTCTTCAAGTTAATCATGCAGAAACATGATTTTTAAGCGTGTTTCTAAGAACAGAAAATGGCATTTCTGGACGTAGTCTATTTATTTACTTCTGATGAGAAAATCCAAGTCAATGGATGTTGCAAAATGCTGTCTTGCTTGTGATTGTCTCATAAAGCTCAGAAAACAACCAATTTCGTTGATGTCAAATTGAAAGACATTATAAGAAAAAAGACAATATGTAGCGAGCATTTTATGGAAATTACTGTTCTAGCTTGATACCATTCTATTATGAACTGTTATATTAACAGTTCACGATTATATTAACAATTCTAACGTGAATTGGTTTCTTTTATGAACTGTTATATGTGTTTACATAACTTGCATGGGCCATCTTCCCAACATATATGTAGCGAGCATTCCAGGATGATTTCATTCTCATCAAGTTGTTCCTTCAATTGATTTTGAGAGTTTACGGAAAATTTCAGGTGAGAATGTCGAACCTTCCGAACTTGAAGAAGCTGCAGGGAGGAGTAACTTGATAAAACAAATTGTTGTAATTGGGCAGGTAAAACCTAATATTTTTTAAGGAAAATTGGAGCGAATTTTGAAATTAATTAGAACTCCATGTAACACATATACGAAGGCCTGTCTCTATATCTTATTTGATCTGAATTTTTCTTAAAGCCAAATATATACTCATATTTTTTATGTTTTCTGGCTCCATGTCGAAATATACCTCTACTCTGTGAATGTTCGATGTAAAGTAAATATACCTCTCCAGACAGATCGGCACATAAGTTGGGTTTGGAAGCATTTTTGCCAGTAGAACAACCTCCACGGAAACAAGTGTAATGTGGCTTGCACCTCATTGTGGAGACCTACTTAGAAACCAGAATTAGCTTGAACCCCTTTTTTCTTGAAGGGACCTTTTCCCCTGCAGCCATGGCAAAGAATACCTACCCCCGCCCGATGCCTGGACATCTTACACAGGTTGTGACCAATAACCGAGAAAGAGGAGATGATCAAATCTGTGCCCGTCTTTGAGCCGTCTTTTTGCTGCCACGGTCTTCACGTTATGATTTGACCGACTATTATCTTCAATGTTAGTCTAGCATGCGCCATTTTCATTTTGATGCGCTTCAACTGGTTTATCTTGTCTATTTTTAGGTTTGAATCATGCTGTGCTCTCACTCCTGTAACGGAGAAATCATTTTGATGCTATCTTGTCTTCATTTTGATGCGCCATTATTTAAACGAAATAATGTGAGCCTGGCTGATCCATCCTGTGCTCTCACTCCTGTAACGGAGAAAAGATGCTGAATGTTTTCATGACCGATTCAGTTTCCTCGTCATTCATTGATTAATAAACCTAATGAACGAAAAATCCGTTGAAATGCATAATTCGATGGAGTTTCAACTTTGGTAATCTATATGATTTTCAATGATCAATCATCTTTATTTATGTTGACCAAACTTTTTACATCGTGACGCGAAAATATTTTGAGAGTTGTAAGTTTCGATGTGAAGTTAGATAAACAGTGCAAAGTTCGATCATTCAGTTTATTTTTCTTGATCACAGAATTCTCACGATTGTATTTTTATTCCAAGGATCAACGCCGCCTAGGCGCTTTAATTGTTCCGGATAAAGAAGAACTTGTTTTAGCTGCGAAGAGACTATCTGGTACTCATTCAACATCTTCCGAACTCAGTGCAGATGAAGTCAACCGAATGATTCGGGGTGAATTATCAACTTGGTGAGGCTGTTTGATGATATGTTTATAATCAGTTTGCGAACTGGAAATAATGTGCAGAAATCATAGAACTAGTCTCTTTCTATGTCAATCTGCTTAGAAGTATGAATTTCTGTGCAAGATCATGTGTCTCCTCCTGTTGGTATTTAGGAAACAAAATCAATCTGCATAATTGCGTCAACTTTTACGGTGATAATCGGCATCAGTTGGTGTCTTGAAAGCCAGATCAGTTTAGAAAAATACCATTTCTTCCTCCCATTTCCGTCCAAGATTCCTCTTTTTGTCGGTCTGGTATAAGATCAAGGGATCCTTACCCTTGTGTATCAATACATTTGTTGAATGAAATGATTTATTTCCGCTAGAGATTCGTGTAAGTTTGTGACGTAATGATAATGTTAATGTTTCATAACCACTTGGATTTCAAACAAAAGTATAGCTTGTTCTCACTTGACATTGAGACGACTTGAAATCTTCAGCATGCATCATCATGCAGGACATCGGGGCGTTCATTCCAGATTGGGCCAATACTGATACTGGATGAACCTTTCACGGTATAGTTAACATGATCCAGTCAAGAACTACTCCTCTGACACAGATGATGATCGTTAGAATAATGATCGATTTTATTGCAGATTGACAATGGTTTAATGACCTCAACGATGAAAGTGCGGAGGGACGCAGTCGTGGATCGTTTCAAGGATCAGATTGCCAAGATGTACGAGAAAGATATTTAGAAGAGATGTCCTTCAGGAGGTATCCACCGCATAACCATGATATCATAGATATTTTTTCATTTCATTCCAATCTAAAGGGCCTTCATCGATAAGTTTACTCATTTATTCCCATACGAACTGAAATTTTCCTACTGAAGGGCCAGACTACCTTGAATTCGGTCATAATCAGTTTTTCTTCAGTGAAATCAAAACTTTTCATTTTCTATTTTGGAACTGTTACTGTTAACGATGAAATGAACCCATTTTTTGCTTGATTAATATGATAATATCAGAAAAATCTGAAACGAACTTCTGCTCTACAGATAATATCACCTTGCTTGCTTGTCGGGAGTTGTCCAGCATCTTCCACTCTGCGACGCTTTTGAGGTAACTAGGGCTTGATTTCAGTCATGTAGCTGAGACATTGGTACTTGTAATGTTGAGAAGAGCATGCTATCCATTCGGGGAGGATACTGGCGCTGGAGAGACCAGTGGTGTATAAAGGCTTCACCTCGATTCTAGCCAGAAACACATATATGACTAGATTTCTGCATTTTATTAATCAAGAACGCCGTCTTGGCCTTCCTTTCAATCCTCTGTTTATCCAACGATCACAAAAGAATGGCGGGCAGCAAATCTACAGACTGGCCCGGGTATGATCCAATCACAAGGATGTTAGCGCCGGAGAAGATGGTAATATTTCATGAATATCCAGCATGGTTGTCATCGTTCTTCATTCAGGGTCTTGCAGATTGCGCGGGAGAGTGTTGGTATCTGGAACATAGCCCCTCCGCTTCATCTCCACAACCAGCGCCTCCAGCAGCCCCAGAATGGCCTCCCTGTGAGGATGATGCTCCAATCCCCCGGCGGTGAAGGCGCAGCTCTCTCCGCCCAGCTCCACCCTGCTGCAACCCCGCTCCTTCCTCGCCTCCATCCTCGCCATCGTTTTCCTCACGCCTGCGACGGAATCCCACCGGCCGGCTGCTGCGTAAGTGTTGGAGAGAAGGACGTAGGTCGAAGAATCTTCTGGTTTCAAACCAAGCAGATGGTCTGCAACCCTGATGCTCCTCTCCGCATCTCCGTGTCTCCGGCAGGCGCTCAACAGGGAGCACCAGGTGGCCTCGTCCGGCGCAAGCGGCATCGTGGTGATGATGCTCTCGGCCTCGGCGAGCAGGCCCGCCCTGCTGAGGAGGTCCAGTAAGCAGGTGTAATGTTGCAGGGAGGGTCTGATCCCATGGTCTTCCACCATGGAGCGGAAGAAACAGCGACCCTGCTCGACCAGCCCGCCGTGGCTACAGGCGTGGATCACCCCGACGAAGGTCACCTCGTTAGGCTCCACTCCGGCAGCGACCATGCTCTCAAAGAGGACCAGCGCTGCCGCCGCGCCGCCGTGCTGGGCCTCGCCGACGATCATCGTCGTCCAGGAGAACACGTCCCGGACCGAGAGGCTCTCGAAGGCGGACCTCGCGGAGGCGATGCTGCTGCACTTGGCGTACATGTCCACCAGGGCGTTCCCCACGTAGGCGCTCCTCTCGTACCCGAGCGAGACGACGAGCCCGTGGAGTTGCCTGCCCAACCCCAGCGCCGCCATGTTGGCGGCGGCGCCGACGACCGCGGCGAGCGCGAAGGAGTCGTCGACGGCGACCCCTTCCTTCCGCATCTCCACGAACAGCTCCACCGCGCCGGCGTCGGCGCCGCTCTGCACGAACCCAGAGATCAGCGCCGTCCAAGACAGGAGACTCCTCCGGGGGATCCTTCGGAAGAGCCCGACGGCGTCCTCGTGCCTGCCGTCGGCGGCGTAGCCGCCGACCATCGCCGTCCAGCAGGCGGGGTTCCTCATGCCGATCGTCTCGAACACCTTGCGGGCATCCTCAACCGCGCCACACTTGGAGTACATGTCCACGAGGGCCGACTTGACGACGTCGTCGCCAGCAAAGAGCGACGCAGCGAAGCGCCCATGGAGCTGCCGGCCCCGCCGGAGGGCGGCCATGCGCGCGCAGGCCTTGACGAGCGCCGAGAAGATGAACCCATCAGGCTCCACGCCGTCGGCGAGGAGCATGGCCGGGAGGAGGGAGAGCGCCCGGCGGGGGTGGTCGGACTGTGCATGGGCGGCGAGCATGGTGGACCAGGTGACGTGGTCCCTGTGGCGCATTCCCTCGAACAGCTGCTGGGCATCGCCGAGGAGGCCGCACTTGCAGTACAGGTCGAGGAGGGCGTTCCAGAGGGAGCACGACTGCACCAACCCGTGCTTGACAAAGCAGGCGTGAATCTGCCGGCCATGGCGGAGGGAGCGGCGACCGACGGCGTACCGGATGCTGGCGTGGAGCAGCTCCAGAATCCCACCACCGCGGAGCTCATTCATCCGTTCCAGGCGAGGCCCCGCCGACGCCCGGAGATTGAAGATCCCCAAAGCTCGCCATTATCAACCAGCCTAAGCTGCTGACCCATCATCCATCACCTAGGCGCCGCCATTGCCGCAACCTCGAACCTCCTACCCCGTTGGAAGCGTTGAAGCTCTCAAACCAGGTGGCCGGTCGGGATTCTGGGAAAACTCGGATCCAAGAATCCAACATCGTTTGGAATGGAGGAATATCCAAGTGGAATCCTACGTCGCTTGGGCCGGCTGGGTCCAGATCGGCGCAAATTTCTACATGGCCCAGCAAGGAAGTTCTCCACAATCACTCGAATGGAAAACTGGCCTCGCCTGGCCCAAATCTTGTGGGAAAGAGTTATTTTATTACTTAAAGGGTGTTATATATAATAAGATGTTTTTCTAGGTATGAATGTATAAAAATTCCTCCGGGTGAAAATTCCTCCCCTCCTGTCTCTTCTTCTCCGGCAGCGGTCCTCTGGAGCCGTCAATCCTCGCTGATCCGTGGGGGAACGCAGGGTCGTCATAGAAGAGATATTATACCTGATTTCGAAGGAGAAAGAGACAGGCGACAGTTGCCGTGGGATCATTGCCTCCTCTCTAACCATTTCTCCTCGCTCACCGGCGATGGAGGCCCTCAGAAACCTCCTCACTGACAGTTTAGCCCGACGGTGTCACCGGCACCACGGGGGCGACGAGTGTCAAGGGCGTTCCCCGCCATAGCTGTTCTGCTCGCCGGTTATAATATGGCTGAGCAGTGTTTTCCTCCGCCCTGCATGGCGACCCCCACGACCAAGCCATTGTCGCCCCTAACGGTGGTTCTAAAACAGGCAATATCGCCCCCATTCGAGGTTTGGGGATACCATCTAATGATGATGTCGATTTCTCCAGGGAAAAATGGTTATGGTCTACGACCTCGGGAATATCACGGTTAACGAGGGCTCGGTGCTTGGGTAAGGCAGAGCGCGCCCCAGCTCATGGCGGCATTAGGGTTTGTGTGAACCCCATGCATGTAAAGAAAGCGCATGGCAATCAGGAAGTCGACCGTAGAGATGATACGCGAGCGACGGGGCTGTCTGAACGAGTGCAACTCTTTATTCCCTTCCGGCTCGAAGAACAGGAGGAATCTACAAGCTTAGGTGCTTGAAGAAGAGAGAGGATCAAGGAGCAGACGACCCATCGCGGCACCGATTGATGGCGAGGCAACCCCGGGTGTACGGGTTTGCCGGGAGGGGGGCGACTCTTCACCGGCGGTTTGCACCCGCCGGGGAACGGACACAGAAACATAGACTTCTTGATCGTCTCCTCTGCCGCCGCCGCCGCTAGCCACTGCCCGAGCGACAGCATCACCGCCAGCGCCACCGCCAGCAGCTTCAACCAAGAGAAGCCCTCCCCCATTCCTTCTCTATGGATTTGATGCCGGACAGGAAGGAGGAGCTCAAACTGAGGTTCCGAGGAGAGCTGGAGAGCTGGAGAGCTGGAGAATTCCCGTGATCGGCGGCACAACGATAAAACTTCCTCTTTTGGCGTTCAGAGAGGAAGCCGCTGTAATTACCGCCTATTAAACGGCGACAAGTCTCCGAAGCCTCGTAGAGAAGGAATTCCTTCATGGGCTGTCTGTGGAGGTACCGCCCACTATAATCTCAATAATAGCCCATTGTCGGCCCAACTCGGCAGAGAGGATAGTCGGTGGCATCGACCGTAGCGGTTGCCAACTGGCGCGGCCGCCGCTACGGTCGGCTCGGTAACGACAGATGACTTCAAGATACACCGCACCGTCGCCGGAATGACCCCCTGACCAGGATTAGCTCACTTTGTTTGCCGGAGAAGAAGGGGTGAATAAAAGGCCGAGAGGTGAAGACTTTCTCCTCACCACTGAAAGATACGTATGAGCGGCCATAAGGGTTGGATATTCTCATACTCAACTAAGTCATATGCCAAAGGTTGACTTTTTCCACTACATATTTGATCAAAAACGTGAACTATTGGCGTAATCCCTCTACTCCCCAGAAGTCTTCTCTCTCTCTCTCTCTCTCTCTATGGACGCGGCCGTACGTTAAGTCAACCCTTCCGCAGTGTGCAAGATAAAACAGTGTCCTTATTGGTACGTAAAAGAGGCCGTCGGTTTCCTGCCAAGTCCTCCAGCGTTGACCGGCGCAGGGACGTAGATGTTTACAATGAAACCCGAGAATCTGTCCGTCCCAGAGACTCCGCCATAAATAATATTGCCCACTTGCGCGAGGCAGGTTGTTTATTTCGTAAATTATAATTGGGTATTTGTCATCACCAAAAATACAGTCCACTGAACTCGTTCCAAAACATAAGCTAACCTAGACCAACGGTTTACACACCTCTCTTGAAACCAGAAACAGCGATCGTGATAGACTGGAAGCCGCACCAGTCTACCTGGAATCTTATCTCTCCTCTCTTCTCTCTCTCCCCTCTCTTCGAAAAATATTATCTTCCCCACTCCCTCCTGACACGTCATCTTCCTCTCAAAGTCATCATCTCTCCTTCTCGCCCTTTTCCTCCTCTTCGGCGACGACCTCTTCTTCCAGCGGGGGGATTTGAAGAGAGAAAGAGGAAGATGGTGATCGTCCTGCTGAAGGTGATCTTCTGGACGGTGAGCACGGCGGCGGACGTGATCACCCTCGCGCTCTTCAGAGCGGCGGCGGTGGTGATCGTGCTGGCGGTGCAGTGCATGAAGACCCCCGCCGGAGCGCTGCTGGATGCACTGAATTTCATAGCGAGCTTTGCCCGGTTGACCGTCGAGAAGGGCGTCGACTTACTGGTAGAAACGATCTTCTCTGCTGTCTCGCAGGCAGTCAAACACCTCCCGGAGATCACGTCCCGCGTGGCGAACCTCGTCTCCGGCATCGTGGTGGAGCTCGCGGAGCAGACCAGGGAACGGTTGGAATTCCTCCTGGAGATCGGCCCAGAGGCCGCCCAGAGCGTCGCCGAGATGGTGCACTCGATTATCCATTCGTTCCTCGAAAACTACAAGGAAGCCATAGCGTACATCATGAAGAATATCTGATCCCTCCATGGCCATCTATGCCTCTCCAGCATTCCCCACATCGTGTAAACTCTCTCTCCCTCCCCTCCCTCTTTCAGATGAGCGTTGACCATCTCAACCTCACACTGAACTCTGATGAATGCTGTTCATCGAAACGGAGACGACCCATTCAATCAAAACCCAGTCTTTACCACGAAGATTCGAAGATAGAAATAGGGGAGCAGGAGAAGAAGTCAAATCCATCGGGAGGGAGGGGCCTGAAGTTTCCGTCATTGATTGGGCCACGTCACATCACGCGAACAATAATATGACCCTCTTGTCACTAGTCTTTGCGTCTTTGACCCAACATTTTATTCAGTATCAATTTCCCACCAATTCACCCCCTCGAGTCTGTTGGTCCATTTAAAACCATACTGTTGCACGGTCGTCCTTTTTTCTGGTAATTATTTTTTTAAGTATATTTTTGTGCTCATGGTTCTCTCAGCGCGCATGGGGTTTATTCTACAAAAATACGAATTATCGTGAAAAATAAAACTTTTATATAAATAATAACCAGAAACATTATCTCTCTCTCTCTCTCTCTCTCTCTCTCTCTCTCTCTCTCTCTCTCTCTCTCTCATGGGCGAGTACAAATGGTCGTGGGCGGGACCAGATCGTGGCATGGGTCCGAGCCGAAGCATATTTTATTGGTTTCTTTCTGACCTTGCATAAGATGGGCGAAATGGGCTGGACTCGGCAAGCAGCCATCGGCCCAATAGCATATATATTTTTGCGTTGCCGTCAGATCTTCGGATGTTATTATTATTATTATTATTATTATCAAGACTAAAAAAACGTGGTGGATCGATCGGGAATTCCTTTAATAACACGGTCCAAAGTAACTTGGATTCTTCGATTCCAATCCGGTTCCGATCTGACGGCTCTGGTCGTCCATAAACGAACGGCAGGGCTCGATGCGGAGCCACGGCTCTGGCTCATCCCAGCCGTGGCTTCGGTGTTCCTTGAATTGGGTCCCACCTGATGTTCTCGCAGCTCTAGCCTTATCCGCTTAACCGATTTCCCCTTTTCTGGGAATATATTTTTCGGGAAATTAGACCATGAGGGGGGGGGGGGGGGGAATGTCCACGAAATGATACCACGAATAAAGAAAAAGTCAGATAATTCAGAATTAAAAAATTAAAACATTAATCACGAAGGAACTTCTCTCCGAAGGCGACGTCCAGTGTTGATTTGTCCAGAGATGGTGCTCGACTAATGGAAAGATAGCACGTGGCTGATGGATCATCGTTCCCTTCGAGAAACTCGACACGTCGGATTGCACGCGCCGGAATGTACCGGCGTGAACGCTATGCCCCGGACCTCAGGCCCACACGGAAGACGACAGCTGCACGATACATTGTTAATGACTTTATTACCCTCTCCATGGTGAAGAAATTGCAGAGGCGTGCTGCGTAGCCAACCGTAGTGGTACTCACTCTAGTAGTAATTTATCTGGTGTGTCGAGGGTATTATGATAAAATAGTATTACCTGACCCAAGAATAACCTACTGGTGGGGACCATCCCCTCCCTCCCCTACCTCGCTCGCCGTTCCTCCCACCTCCGGGAGCCCCTTCCCTCTCCCCCACCCTCCACCAGAGCCAAAAACATTGGCAGGCTCCAATCTTCTCAAGACTGTTCTCCCTTCGACACTTCGCGAAGGTGGACTCTATGCGGATCATCTGGTTGTTCTACAATCCATGGTGAGTCTCTCCCTCTTCATCTCTCACTTTGTGGTTGTCTGCAGTTTCCCTTCTTTGCCTCTCCATTCTCTCTTCTTTTTACTTCACTGATTAGAGGATGATCCGTTTCGTGGGTCATAGACACCTGTGGTGCCATTGGCGGTTGCCAATGCACCTGAGCGGAGCTTTTATCCTCTTCCCAGACGAGCGTCAGTGAATTCTTTTTTCTTCTTTATTCACGCAAAGAAAAAAAATCTGAGGTCCGGTTTTGATGGGATACCTAAAAGGCGTCTATTTTCGGGGCCCAAGTAATGGGGATGTGTTTTGATCGCTGAATTTTTCTCGTCTTTATTCTTTTTTATGCTAGAGAGTGAGTGCCCCTTTTACAAGACATGTTATTCCAAGTTGTGCTTTTCCTTGTTCCTGGTGATCTAAGATTCTATAGGTTGAATTTCTCGGTGACTACTGTACCCTATATACTCCCAGGAAATAATCCTAAATTAACGGAGTACGTTCACGTAACCCCGTATCTGTTTTATAAATATAAAGAAAACGACTCTAATCGTTGGCTTGAATATATTTTGACGATCCAGATATTAATCTCTCCACCGTGACTTTTTGTTGTAATGCATATACCCGAGATTCTCGTCCCTGTGCATTTTCGTTTGTTATTAATCTCAATGTACTGAGCACAAGTCTATCCATCGGTCATCATGTAGATTATTAATCTCAATTACTTTCTACACGTTTTGCTCATATGTCGCATGAAAGATCATGTTTCGTTCGTTATTTTGACGGTATATTCCCTCACATGAATTACACAATTCAATTGGAATCGTATTCCGGCTAATTGAAGTGATAAGATTTTCCTATTACTTTTTTTCACCTTTCAGGTTATTTTCGGACGTTTATGAGAGATGAACGAAATTTAACAACGTCCATGGCCAACTTTTGTTGTTTTACTGACATCCAAATAGGCATTTTTCAGCCCTAGGCAATCTTAGATATGTCGCTTTCTTGGCTTACATGCTGACGATACCTGCTCTTTTCAGCTGAAAGTGGCTGCGCTCATGCTTTCAATTATTTCCAAGGGTGATGTTTAATCACTCATATCATGAGACCCAGACCTGCGCTTTCTCTACCATTTGCTACTTGCTAGCAGCATTCTTCTCAGATGATCAAGTGAAACATGCCTCATGGCTGGCACATGGAGTCATGCTTCTGTTTCATTTACCAGTTGTTGACAGATCTGTAGCTTCATCATTGTATAAAAACAGCCATGGAAAAGTGAGTAAATTACGTTATTTTTCTCATGTCTTGCTATCTCGTAGTTTGATAGGATTCCTGATCTTTCCATCTGGACACTTGATTTTCAGATACATGCTTATGGAAGAACTTGGGGATGGAACCTGTGGTAGTGTTTATAAAGCACTCAATCTACACACAAATGAGATTGTGAGTAAGAAAACCTCTTTTTTAAATAGCTAAATTGGGCGTTTCCTGTTGTATAAAAATTAGGTACACTAGCCAGAGCTGTTAATAATTTTTGTTTTCAAACGGTTGTTTTTATTACCACGACCAATGTTAGCATTTACTTTTCGGAACTGATAATATTTTTTATTGTGTATCAATGGCTATAAAACAATTATTTCTCTTTCAGTTAACGATGTATATTAATTTCTTATGGTTTTGAATATAAGAACTTTTCAACGATGCAATTCCCTTTTTATTACACTTTGTTTTCGTCCATCAAGCATTATTATTTTTTCCACGTCGTTTATATCATTATGTTTATCGTATCAACCAGAATGGCTTTGCCACAACCTTGGAATCTAGATCAGGTGATAAATGACGCAAAATAATTGTGCGAAAAGGTTTATTTTTCTATGTATTCTTCTAGTCACACAACTAGATAGTCTTTATGATATAATCAGAAAATGCTCAGAACTTGTTTTCTGGATTATGAAACTTGTCAACTGTCAAAGGATAGAAAAACCCCTGTGACTAAAGATATTATGCATTCATCTGCGTTTTGATGTATGCTTGGCTTGGCATAAGTGAGCTTATTGCACTGACTAGGAGGATTGAATGGTAAAATCTGATTTGATAATCTGAACTTGTCATCATTGTAAAATACTTTAATATGCCAAGGCATGGATAAACGTGAACTATTCCTTGGAACAAGATACTTTTCCCTTCTTGAACTACTAGCCTCTTCCTATTATTTTTTTCATCATCATCTCATTTTTGTTCTCTGTTTTTTTTATCAACATTTCTTCTCTTCTCCCTTTCTCGTATAATCCATTTTTCCTCTCCCCCCCCTCTCTCTCTCTCTCTCTCTCTCCCTCCCTCTCATAGTCTTAATGTCAGCATCTGCACCATCTAGACATGTTAACTGATAAATGCAGTTCTGGAAGTCTTGCATCTCCGGTTTCTTTACAAATTTCTTGAACCGAGGATTCCCACCGTTCATTTATATATTCTCCTGATATGAATGAATAATACTTTTGCTTTGCACGACAATTTAGGTTGCTATCAAGAAAATGAAGAGAAAGTTTTATTTGTGGGAAGAGTGCATGAATCTGCGGGAGGTGAAGGTGTGCTTCTTACCTGCTGAGAAACAAATAGTACCTATTTTTGTTTTAGACAAGTTAACTTACATCAGATATGATTCTTTGCAGTGTCTCCGTAAACTGAATCATCCAAACATTATCAAGTTAAAGGAGATTGTCAGGGAGAACCATGAGCTTTTCTTTATCTTCGAATATATGGTGAGGAATTGCGAATTTACATCAAGTTGGAGATGGATAAATTAACTGAAAAATTCCCCTAGTCTTTGTTCAATATGGGTTTTTAGGAAACTTTAGAAAATGAAAACTATTTCTCTTTTCTTTGTTTTAGTAATCTCGAATAATGTTTGATCGTTTTGTTCTTTGAAGTTGTCTTTAACATGTTGGACTCGTGACCATGTATGCTTTTGTGATCCTCAGAGCACAAATTTGATATTTGTTTAAAATTCGTACCCTTCATGATTTACTGTGAAGAGTGACTTCCTCACTCTCCGAAAAAAAACAAGAAAATGATGTCAATTCACGTGCATAAAGAGCATCGAATTATTAGTTTATTGTCAAATAGGATTTCCCTTTGTAAGAAATCAGTCAGTTTCGATTTCCCGGGACTTCAAACCTTCAAACCTTCGAATTTCTGCCCTGGTAAAATTGCTTTGGATTGTTAATGTACAATGACCATCAATGTCCAAAATTCCCTTGGCCTGATAGTGCTGCATTTTTATAAAAAGTGGGCACCACTCAATCAGACCAAAACTTTAGGTCTCTTGGAAGATCCTAATGCCAGACGAAAGATCTGTGGGACAATTGTATGTATCGATTTTTTTCATAGTTGGAATACCGAAACCCCATTTGCCACATCAGACACGTAGAAAATCCACAGAATCTTGGATGTTCGTATCTTCTTATTGTCTCTGTTAGGCATGGATTAGTTTGTTTAAGTCGCTTATTTGTGACTCTAGTCCTTGTAATATGACATGAAATTGTGTTAAAAGGAGGCTTGCATTTTTGTACTCTGTTCTGTTGGTAATGAGAAGTTTTAGCTGTTGACTATAGTCCTGGCTGGGGACTCCTTGCTCGTATCAGGTCAACCCTCTTACATGATTTAATATCTTAATGGCAACAAGGCTACCAATTGACTGGCTTATGTAACTATTTTATTCTATTATTTGATTTTTTTGGAACTTTTCTTAATTTTTTTCATCAAACACTCGTTGGGTTCATGATTTCCTCGGGATACGCACATACAGGAATATAACTTATACCAAGTAATCAGAGATCGACAACAACCTTTTTCAGAAGCAGAAATTCGGGGTTATTTGTCTCAAGTGCTGCAGGGACTTGGCTATATGCATAAGAATGGATATTTCCATCGGGACTTAAAACCTGGTATTTGCATTATTGTCCATTGTTTCCACATGCGTAGTTCAAAATTCGAGTGTCATCCTCTGAGAAAAGTGTATTTTGCTTTTAAGAAAATCTGCTCGTGACAAATGAAGTAGTCAAAATTGCCGACTTTGGATTGGCAAGAGAAATTACATCAAGGCCTCCTTATACTGAATATGTTTCTACAAGATGGTCAGTACTCTCTTCTTCAAATTTCGGTTCCTTTCATTAGGAATCAGTATTTTTAATGAAAATATTTAACCATATCTTATGTGTTGTTGCTTCATTTCGTGAGCAAGGTACCGGGCACCAGAAGTACTGTTACAATTTTCGTCTTACAGTCCTGCCATTGGTATGGTTTCTTTGCCCATTGTCTACATATATTGACTGTTCCTTACCCAATCCCCGTAATTTTGTCCAATATCTACCTTGCATGATCAGCTTTGTTGTTGGCCAGTTTACATTTTCTCGCAAAGTATGTTTACCGAATGCTCTCTCTAAAGTTCTCACAAATAACACCAGTAAATAATAGATCATACGTCGTATGAAGAAATATTATGGTGTTCACTTTGTTTTTGCCTTGTTTTTCTTATGTGTAATGTCACTAAAGAGTGGAAGATTTCTCAGATTTGTGGGCTGTTGGTGCAATACTTGCGGAGCTTTTCACGCTGTCACCACTTTTTCCTGGCGAAAGGTAATGGCTGAACACCAACCTTTTGAATCAACAAAAGGGTTTATGTATATATAATATAAGTGCACATTATTTACTTAATTAGGTGCATCATGATGGTCTCGCTGACCTTCTCATTGGTTGAGGCAATCGATGTACCATATATTTTTTGAATGTATGAGAATTACGTATTTTAGCATATTTTACTGTAAAAATTTAAGATTGATGGTTAAATTATTTTTTCCAATCTTTAAATAAGCGTCATATGATGTGAATTCAAAATAAATAAAAAATACTTCATGTTCCTGCAGAACTTTCTATTACACGAGTTAAATTTTCAATTGAAATAATGAAATACTGAATATTTTAGAGAAATGACAGTGTGACTTTATCATTGTATATTCATGAAGAGGACAGTATATTTTGAAATTCAAAGCTCGGAAAGTCATTGGGTGATGTTGATGTTGTGTAAACTTGACTAAGATAGGGGTGAGATCTGGGAAGCCTAAACATGGAAGTGCTTATTGTCCCTAAAAACTTCCCAGACCATGGTTATCATGAAAAGTTACGGAGAAATTTTGTGGGGGATGCTTTATTCAGTGTTATTTTATTATATGTATAACAGTATCGAGGTTTTTTCTCCCAGACGTGCCTGTGTAAAACATTTTGATAACTATAGACATTTTTTGTCTTAATGTTTTGTTTGTATTTCTATTTATTTTCCTTCCCAGTGATTGTTGTGCTTACTTTTACTTTTAGGTTTGTATGTCATTTTTACCTCCAGACAATGGCTTCTCTCATTTTTCTGCTTTTGTCTTCCACGACCAGCTCCTCTCTTCCTTTTACTCTCCTCTCCTTCTCTCTCATCATTCAGTTTCAACTACTTTTGTACTTATTCCATCGATCAATCATCAAGTAGTTCTAGTGGATGTGGTAGTACTCCACTAGCAATACCTTGTAACGGTACAACTTATGGAGGGTTTGTCCCCCCACACTCGACAGTGTCAAGGCCTATGTTATTAGAAGTAGAAGGTGGGAGGTGTTTGCCATGTTGGCTTGCAGCTCCAAATATGGAGGGGTTGTTGATGGTGAAGATGATATTTAAAGTTAACGCAAAGGGTAATAAATGCAAGGGATCGGACTTCTCAGTGTCAAGGCCAATTATATGGTTAATAAATTACATATTTTTTAGAAATATTTTTTTTTGGTATGAATTATATCAGATATCTCATTCAGATCACATTTGGTAATTTTAAATCCAAAATGATTCATATCAAGCTGCCGATTTTACTTTATTTTGGTCACCTCGTCAGTTGACCCCACATAGAGTACATGTAAATAAATGTTAACCTAAATGGTAATCTGAATCTTGTGAGTTGTGTCAGGCATTGCAGATCAGTTTAAGAGTAGGTCGTCACCCGAATCTGATCCCCTTTTACACTCTCGCATCATTGGACCTATGATTTCATTGGGAGAGTCTGAAATATTTTAGAATGGTGAACTGGGGAAGATGCGATAAAACAGAATCACGTATGCTTGTATGCAGTTTTTTCCCCCTTATCTTCCTTCACATATGAAAAGCCCAGCTGCTCTATTTATCTGTTTGCTATCCTATTTATCTTTCTTGATGGAGATGGCTAATTACCCTGTGAATTCATTGGAAGTCAAATCATTATGTCTGTCAGGCTTGTATTAATTCATTCTGTTTAGGGTAAATTGGCCCAAATGACTCCAAATGGCCAATTCAGTCACAAACTAGCTGAAATATTTTTCATTTTTTCTGATTTATTCCTTATTGGTAGGAGTTATCCCTCTTCTAGTTCCTTAATAAATATTTTCTGCAGCGAAACAGACCAAATACACAAAATATGTTATATACTGGGGAGCCCAGACTTTAGCACCTGGCCTGAAGGGATTAGACTTTCACAAGCAATCAATTTCAAGTTTATTCAGGTTGGTCACATCAAACCGTACTTTCAAGTTTAAATGTGTGAGGTACGGATTCTCTTAACCTTCTTTTTTGTGTGGTAGACGAGGCCAATCAATCTTTTCGATGTCATTCCAAACGCTAGCTCAGTGGCAATCGATTTAATAATGGTAAAAGGGAGACAGTCTCTTTCGGTCTTTGTTGATCATTATGGCTTCAAATTTACTGTTGAACGTGTGAATTTTTCATACTAGAAACTCTGTTCCTGGGATCCCCAGAGGAGGCCTACTGCTGAGGAAGCACTTCAGCATCCCTTTTTTCATGTAATGGCATGTGTTCCTTATTATCTACGCGCATACAGATACATCTGGATATGGATTAATGGGCAAGGTTTTCCTTACGTGTGCTTCTTTACTAGGTGGGGACATGGATCCCGTACCCAGTGAGGGACACACCCTTTATGCCTAACCAAACTGACAATGGTGATATACATGACTTTATGGGTAAATATATTATTTCACATCTCGTGCATCTGATTGCGAATTCCGCATCCTTTTCTTGATATTATGTTCAGTATTTAAGGATTGATGTGCGACTCCTACTCTGGTGGTCAGGAGAGGGGCCCAAGCTTGAACTGAATCTATGGGACTTCGGGGCTCAGAAGGACGACTGCTTTCTTGGATTAACTCTTGGACTCAAGCCCAGTGTTTCTAGGCTCGGTAAAGCCATCTACAACTCTTTGCATACAGTTGTCCTTTTTAATATTGGTGTCCACTCTTTGTATACCGACTAATAATTCCTTGACATCTGTATATAGTCTCCAAAGATGCGAATTTTGGTTATGAGATGCATGACCTCATATGATTGGTAAAATATCAATCTTTTGCAAAGTACCTTGAAATTTTGCGATCATCCACAACGGTTCAGTTGTTTAATACAAAACACGTCTGCATACTTTCCCTAAATGCGAAATCACTGTTTCTCTAGATCATGCATGCCGTTTGTCTTAGTTTCTGTTCATGCCCACGCACTAAATATATCCGGGCCTGCCAAGTGACATTAACTACCAATTATAAATATCACCGTTGACCTGTGAGTTTTTTTGGCCGTTTGTTGAAGGGATTGTGTCTCCTGCGAGCATCCATGATGTCAAACGTAGCATAGAACAAATCACGCACTGCTTGATTCATCCTCTGTCTCAATTCGTAGTTCATCCCGTGGGTATGCCATTTTTAGGAGTAGAATCTTGACAGTATGACTAATTCTTGTCTTCGCCACAGATGCTTCACATCAGGCCTCTCAACGTGGAAAAGAGGTACGTCTCTGGCGTATGAGCTTCCCATTTGTCTTATAATCACATGGGCGTCAATAAATACTTCATACCACAATTTATGTAGGGAAACCTGAGGGCATCATGGATTTATTATTATTATTATTATTATTTTGGGTGTTTTCAAGACGTCCATGAATGTGGGCTCTTGAACTCTGCACCCGCTTCCTTCTGAGATTTTTGTGCCGGTTCAATGCAGGAAATGCTATTTTGCTCCGGAGTTCAAGACCATCCTGCGCAGTCAGGTGGCTGCCTCTACAACCGTTCATCTTAGTAGTATTTCACTCAAGAGAGGCATTCAAGCTGCACAATCAAAATCGGCACAGAAAAATAATTAAAAATAAATAAATAATCAGAGCCCAGTGATTCTGAACAATAATTTATTTTTCTCTCTCTGTTGCAGTGTTCTGGCCCCTGCTGTCCTCAGACTACCAGACGGATGAATCAACTGCGAGGGCTCCCCTGCCAGCTCCTTATGTTCTTAACAGGTAGAGCTCGCCCAAATGATGTTCATGGGGTATCTTTATCTTCCTCGGGGGGGTTTGATTGACCATCATGAGTTCTTCCCTGCAGCCCTACGGCGTTCATCGCCGGCCGGCAAACTGGCCGGCTGAGTGGGCATGGCTTCGGGACGATGATGAAAGTTTCATCGCCCATGCAGCAGTGCACTTACTTTGAGTGAGTGGGTTCGATAGTATGCCCAATATGCCCAATGATTTATAAACTATACATAGAATTTGGTATTTGATTGCCCGGGAGCATCGAGATCACGGAGATTGTTTGTAAATTAATGTGTTTTTTTTGGTGTTTTCTCTTTTCCGATTTAAGCGAACGCTTGCAAGATAAACACCCCGCCTTGCCCTATAGGAGGAGCATTTCTCTCTCTAGATCTACATTGCGTTTTCCCCTTCGTAGGTGCTGGAAAAATCCTGGGTGCCCATCTCTGGTAGAGAGAGAAAGGGAGAGAGGGAGAGGGCTGCGGCGGGGGGGAGGGGGGGTAGCATGTCCAGACATGGGAATCCCCCCCACAAGTCTTACATGGAGGTGTATTGGTTTTGAGCTTTTTCCCCAGGTTTCGTTGTTCTTCCTAGAGAGAGAGAGAGAGAGAGAGAGAGAGAGTCCAAATGAACCAAATCCTATTAAATGGCGTGCTCTAAAAAAATAAATTAGTATTTATGTTGGCCTGTATCTAATAAGACACCACAAGTAATTATTAAATTATGACATTTATATATAAACCCTGGTATTTTCGTATTTTCACTTTCATACGTTTAAGAACTCACTACCGATCTAATATGGATATGGGAGAAGGCCGGAGATGCTTACCGGACGGAGGTGGGACCCACATGCCCCCGACTACAAAAGGGCCAGTCTCCAGATATTTTCCCCACTTGTTTTCTTCGTCCGGGTTCTTAAACCCTAGCCGCTCCTGGGGCAACACTCTAAACCCCTCACCATTGTCACTGAGCCCCCCCGTCGTCTCACCGGAGGTATGGCTGTTTCTGGTCTCTGGAGGGCTGGGAGCCTCCTGTCGCTGGTTCGATTCATGCCCGAAGTAGTCTGTTATTGCTGCTGAAGTGCAGTTGTGTTTTTACTTTCGAAAATTTACTGTGTCGTCTGATGGAGTGCGTGAGAACCATTAAGGTGGAGATCATAAGTGATCTTCTGCCAACTGTTTTCTTTCTCCGTAATTTTGTTGTCCTCGCTTATTCCCTGCGATCGACTATTTCTCGTTGTATAGATATATGCTCGAAGAGGCGTTCATTTCTCGGCTGTTATGCTCTGCCGATGGGCGTGCTTCTGTGGTTTCGGTTTTTCGCTAGGCATCGTTTTGGATGTCGTGCTCTCCTTCTGGGCAACTCGCTCTCGGGCCTGCAGCCTTTGAATGTCATCAGCCTTCCCCGCTTTATAATGACAATGGAAATGATAGAGGATCAAATGGAACTCTTCCAAGGTGATCTGCTTTAGGGCGATCGCAGAAAACTTGTGAATAGTTACTGTGTTTAATTCGATTCTTGCGCTAATTCATTCTGGAGAGCGTGATCTGCTTTTGGGTGGGTGATTGCAGAAAACTTATGAATAAGTTCATGTGTTTAATTCGATATTCTGTGCTAATATATTCTGGAGTTTTTGTTTTGATCATAATCTGTGACAGAGGCATTTGAACTCTTAAACATTCTATTGGAAGACCTGTAAAGTTGAGGATCTCGCTTATCATTTGTACTGTCATGCGGGTTGCAGGGCATTTTGACCGGCATATGCGCGTGCCTTATCTCTTGCTTGCAGTAATTTGTGGCATAGAATCAAATAGGGTTTCAAGTTTAGCATATGTTAGAATGAAAATCCATGTTGTTTTTCAGGCAAGCCAAGATGGCGTTTTTAAGCAAAGTGGGCGGCATTGTCAGGCAAAGCTTATGCAGAAATGTTTTGCCAGCACAACATGTTCGCCATATGTCATCTAGCAAACTATTTGTCGGAGGTTCGGGAGTTCTTCCAGTTCGATTGATGTCAACATTAACTTTATTTTACATTGTGTTCACATTTGCCTTCTCTCAATTTGTCGTTAGGTCTTTCCTATGGTACTGACGACCTCACACTGAAGGAAGCATTCACCAGCTTTGGTGATGTCACTGAAGGTGAGTTATTATTCGTCATTCCTTTTACAACTCTTACAGCAACTTGTTTTTTTCCTGAAATGTCAATCACCCAGCTAGGCTAGAAGGCCGTACTTAGGTGTCAAGCTGGTGATTATACATCCATATAGAGCTAGTATATTTTTCTTAATCTTTGAACAGATGCCTGTTGCAAATGTTTTTCTCCGTTAATGAGGGGTTCCTGTCAGTGGTGCTGAATGGGTCATGTTTTGTCGCAGGGTTGAAGCATGTTTAGTTATATGAATTGCGAGCACCATTTTTATGCTTTCTCCCATTCAGAAAAAAAATTATCTGAGGAGTAACGTTCATCATGAACAGGCAGGTTTTTTTTTTTTTTTTTTTGATCTCTAGGGTCCCTGGTTCTGGTAGTTTTTCACATGTTCGACAGCATCCGTTGGTCCAAATGATCGATACATAGAAATCACAGTTTCCATAAACATAAATATAGCTGAAATAAAATAATTTTAATGATCATACCCAATGCAGCAAGAGTTATCACCGACCGAGACACAGGGAGGTCGAGAGGATTTGGGTTTGTGAACTTTTCCGATGGTGACTCTGCAAAGTCGGCGTTAGAAGGCATGGACGGCCAGGTTTGCCCGGCATCCCCCTCTTCCCCAATAACAGCACCATACAATTATCTCCTACGCAAATGCCTGTAATCGTTTTCTCACTCCTATCAGGAATTGAACGGAAGGAATATCCGGGTAAGCTACGCCAACGAGAGAAGTGTTGGAGGAGGTGGAGGAGGCGGTTTCCGTGGTGGGTATGGTGGGGGGGGCGGAGGTTATCGAGGTGGTGGTGGCTATGGCGGTGGTTCGGCCAATCAGGACGATTTCTGAAGACCTTCCCGGGGTCTTAGACTAGAGTTTAGAAGAGAAAATGTCTTGAGGTTGGATGTCTTCAAGAGTTTATTCTGTGATCTGTAGACCGCAGTCTTTTCCCTTTCTTGGGTCTGTGTTTGTTTCCTTGGCGCAGTCAACTCCTCTTGTTTGCTAGACTGTTAACAATATCTTACTCCTTTGAAAGGAAAAGCCTGATTTATTTCTAAATGCCCTCGCTGTCTTGTCACGGGCACTCCAGCCTATGGATCACAGGATGCTCACTGGCCATGAAACTGCCGGCAAGAACTTCAATCGTTGAATGAAACCCGGCCTGTGAATGTATTGAAAGCTGTGGTATTGGCAGCGGGAAGACCCAGCTCTGTAAGAAAAATCCCTCTCTTCGTGCCCATTTCAGAATCTGAGTTCATTTCTTCCTGTCAATCTCGAATTGACCCTTCTAGAATCTTCTTTTCTAGGGTACTGTGGGATACCATTTCTCGGCCCATGAAAATATTTTCATGTGCAAAATTCTCCGATACTTTCTATATCTGTACGCTCTATTTTTTTTATTTGGAGACATTATATTTCTTTGGTAAATCTTTGGGCCGGCCCCGTCCGCATCTTTGGCCCGTTGACTCTCTCTACCAAGGCCCCCGGCCCACCTTCTCAGCCCACCTGTCTCAGATCAGCCTGCTGTGTAGGACGTTGACTCGCATCCCCAATTCCATCCATCTCGATGTGACTTGGGAAGCAGCATACTAGAGAAGCAAAAAAAAATAAAATACAGCGATATTTAGAACGAACGGGGAAATAATGCCCTAAAACTTTGAGTTCCTCCTACAAATTACGGGAAAAAATAAAAATGGCGTAAAAAATATATCCCATATGATCTTGACTGCTGGTTCCTCCTCGGATGGGGAAGTACTACTCTTGACTAAGCCCGCCTGTATCTGTCAAGTTTCCCCACAGTAAATGACGCAAAAATAGGACTATATATTGACGAATAAGATTACGCCCGTGATTCTGATGGAGACTGCGACTGGGAGTCCCCTCTATGGAAGATGATGTCCGATCATCAATGCCGTCGGCTCGGCGGCGCCTTCGTCTTTATTTCCACTCCCGTCTCAGTTGGGTTGGGTTGGATGGGTTCTCTTCGTTGGCGGCCAACGTAGACCCACAGTTCACCTTCTACCCATAAATAAATAAATTCTTATGTATGCACGTATGTATCTAGAGAGAGAAAGAGAGAGAGAGAGAGAGCACTGTAAAGAGATAGAGGACGAAGGGGTGAGGAGGGAAGGAAGATGTAATCCAACTCGGTGCGGAAGCCATGTGAGCTTTTCCCAGTCAGAGCGGAGATTATCAAATCAGGTCTTCTATCCAAGGAAGAGCGAGCATTAATTAGATCCGGCGGTGGGCGGAGGGGGACGAGCCTCCATAAAGTTATTGTTGTTGAGATGTCGCGGACAGTTTGTCCAGCCGCCGCCGGCCTCCTTGTCTCGTGAAGGACGACGATATCCTCCGCCGACGGCCCTCCGCTACTCTTGGCTCCTCGCCGGGCCGTCCAGAAGAAAACGACGGCGAACGGCAAAAACACCGGCGACCCAAGAGAATTATCCCCATGGAAGGAGCAGGAGCAAGAAGGGGAGAGTGACAAACTTCCCCCGAGCTCTCTTTGCTCCTGCGGATTTCGTACTCGTCTTCTTTATGCCGAGTGGGTCAGCGTGAGGAAGAAGCTGGACAGTGGCCACGAGGCCAGTTCCCTCCCGTCTCATTCTCAAGTGCGGAAGTTAGAACATCCCCATCTCTCTCTCTCTCTCTCTCTCGATCACCCAACTTCGTCCTGCATAGAACCGAGGGGGGGCGGGCACGAGGTCAAAGGGTGGAGCAATCAGTGTGTTGATTTTGGGGCCCACAGCCTAGGATCCCGCCACCCGGTTCGATGGGCCAAAGTGGGCCTTCTGAAGAGACGGACCCAAGAGATTCCTACTGCCCCCCCCCCAACACATTAAAGGTCGCATTTAAAGCTCGGCAGCCCAGGATTGGATCCCATTTCTGGTACCGAGTCCGTGATACAAAATGATTCACATGTAAGCGTTTTATTATACTAGAAACTGTGCCGGATTATTGCTTATTATTATTATTTTAACTCTTGAGTTCGGCTTGGCCTATTCGTTCAAGATCCTCCGTTCGGGGTTAGGAAAGAAAGATCTAAGGAGACGAATGATATGCTGCCACAAGGGTTTTGAAAAATATTGCAAGGGCATTGAGGGATAATCGATTTTCAGTCAATGTTGGTAGATTTGATTTGGATTGTCGGATTTTGGGTCAACGTGAGTTTAATGGATTTCAAGTCGAAAGATGGAGAAAGTGTTCAAAGTTAAGCACTGGTTCTCTGTGTTGATGTGATATTTTTATATTTTAAGATAAATATGTATTTATGATAATATTGCAACCCTTACCACAACGAATTATATGAAAAAAAAAACCCAATAGAAATAAATTTGAAAGAAGAGAGATTGTAATAATAAAATATTAAAATTAATGGTTTATGTAGTCCTCATTGTTATTGTCTTTATGGTCCATGTTTGGCTCGTTGTGCCGACTTTAATGTTATATCTATTTATGAATAATTTATTTATAAATAATACTTTAATATTCCTGTCATAGGTATTCAATGGATTAGTTGAAAAGTCTCATTAACATGGACGTAAAATCTTAAAAAACTTGAGCTGAGTTGTTTAAAAAAAATTCCATTAATTCAGATCAAGGTGGAGAAAATCCTGATTTATAATTAATAAAAAATATTTATAAATAAATATAACATTGAAGTATCCTTAATGCAAATAGAAAATTGAGTGACAAGATTACTGATAGGAATAAGAAGGAAATGGATAAATAAAAAATGGAGTTATTTTCCTAGGATTATCGGTTCGTGATTAACTTGTATAAGTTTTTTTTTTAAAGAGAGTTTTTTTTCCATTATTTTTGTAACTATATTATTGAAATAAAATCGACGGAATTAAGGTTAATAACTGTTTTTGAAAGGCGAACGAGATTCCTGAATCCTGATTTGGCCGCCTGATTCTCTGCGCCGTTCTGATAGGCCCCCATCTGCCCAAATTAGAGCTGGCGGATCATCGCACATGGATGGGCCCCTCCAAGGTTCGATAACATGGACTAGCCAGACGCTCTTGAGACGTCCACGGGGGTCTTAGCTGGGCGCCCTGGCCCACTCCCTTTCCCCTGCCTTCTTCCCCGTTCGGCTTCCGATCCAAAACCCTAATTTGGCCCAGCGGCGGTGCCCCGAAGGAGAAGGTACTCATGGGGGACTCCGTCGGAAGTCCTCGTCCAGTGAAAAGCCGCAGCCAGACGACGTGCAGCCCGAAGCAGCAATCATGGTGAGAGCTGCTTTGCGGCTCTTCTGAAAGAATATCCAACGCGGTGTTTGATCGTCGGTTGTGCGGTCCCCTTCGGCGTTGAAAGGCCTCTCTCTCCCTCTCCCCCGTGGAAGTTTACCCCGGGGGGCGGATGATCGACGAAGGGTGGAATACCGGAGAGAAAAGGGGGGAGAAGCTGTAAAGGCCGTCGGTCTGACAGGCCTGCAAGGACAGCTGGATTGCTGTCGGAACCCTGAACCATAGCCCGCGGCGGAGCTTTCAGATGTCAACGTAGAGGGCTACGGTGGGCCAGACCCTCCAGGAGAGGATTATTGCCGCTGGGCGGAGGCGTTCCGCCGGGAAGTCAAATTCTACCGGCGAACCTGCTGAGCTGTCGGGACGGCACATTTTACCCCCATCGGTCAGACCCCGGCGGTGGAAACAGATCCAGATCGGTGCAGAGGAGGAAGACGATCCGAAAACACAGGAGGAACCTCGATAGCATATTTTTATTGAGCAATATGATTTGATATCTCTTTACACTCTTCTCTGTTCTTCTTCTTCTTCTTCTTCCTTGTCGCTCCAGATGAATCACGGAATACAGAAAGGGGGAACAAAATGAGAAAAAAATAAAATGCAACAATGTGTGTGTAATTCACAACAGACCCGTTGTGGCAGTCCCCGCCGCGGCAGGAACCCGGATCGCAAAATCGTACCTTGATCATCCGGTTGCCCTGCTCCCCGGCAGGTCCAGGGATCTTATTTTTTTTATGTAACACTTAATCGACGGAGTAATTATCATACACTTGATGATCGGAGAAGATGACGACAATGGTGATGACAGAATGGCGACGATGATAACAGTAATCTACAGTCCCGCCTCCCCCGAGTTGCTCTTCCTACCCTTCTCATGTCGCCGCCGATAGGGAGGAGTCCTCCGTGTCGTCGGCGGCGTCCCCAGCCACCCTTTGGGTCTCGGAGGTGGAGGAGGAGGAAGAAGAAGAAGAGGAGGCGGTGGTGGCTGAGGAGACGGGGATCTTGATGCCGTGGTAGTCGACGTACCACTTGACGAACTTGCGGAGGCCGGTGGCGAGGTCGGTGGTGGGTTGGTAGCCGAAGTCCCCGTGGGCGAGGCTTACGTTGGCGTGGGTGTAGGGGACGTCCCCATTAGCGGGCATCCGCACGATGTTCTTCTTGGCCTTCACCCCGAGCAAGCTCTCCAGGATGGCCACCAGGCGAGATACCGGCACCGGCGAGGTGTTGCCGAGGTTGTACACCCGGAGCTGCGCCGGCCCGCGCTTCTTCCCACCGCCGGGCATGCCGGTGCTCTTCTCGGCGGTGTCGAGGGCCCCCAGGCAGCCCTTTACGACGTCGTCGATGAAGGTGAAGTCCCGCGCCACCTCCCGCTCGCCGTCGGCGGGCTTGAAGACGGTGATTTGCTTCCCCTGCAGGATGTCCTTGGTGAAGAAGAAGTAGGCCATGTCGGGCCTCCCCCAGGGCCCGTACACGGTGAAGAAGCGGAGCCCGGTGAGGGAGAGCCCGTAGATATGGTTGTAGACGTGAGCGATCTCCTCGCCGGCCTTCTTCGTGGCGGCGTAGAGAGAGGCGGGGCGGTCGGTGCGGTGGGACTCGGAGAAGGGGTTGGCCTCGTTGAGCCCGTAGACGGAGGAGGAAGAAGCCCAGACGATGGCAGGCTGCGGGTCGGCACGCTTGGCGGCGGCCTCCAGCAGCGTCACGAAGCCGGCGATGTTGGACTGGATGTAGGACTGCGGGTTGCGCATGGCGTAGCGCACGCCGGCCTGCGCGGCGAGGTGCAGGACGTGCGTGAAGGGGACGACGTCGAAGAGCTTGGCGAGGAGGGCAGCATCGTTGATGTCGCCCTCCACCACGAAGACACCGCTCTTGGAGAGCAGCACCTGGCGGCCCCGCTTCAGCGAGGGGTCGTAGTAGGCGTTGAAGTTATCGAGCCCCAGCACGCCGTCGCCGCGCTTCTTCAGGGCCAGCGAGCAGTGGGTGCCCACGAAGCCCGCGGCGCCGGTGACCAGCACCGACATCCCCCCCGGCCGGTGCGCCGTCGAGGACTGCCGCACCTGGCGCTCCCACGAGGCGCCCCCCACGGCGGCGCCGCCCCCGGAGTAGAGGGACGAGGACAGGAGGCTCCGATGGGAGGCGTAGGGGACGCCGGAAGAGGAGTGGGAGGAGGACAGCGGGGGATAGTTGACGGTGAGGAAGAGGACGAGGATGAGGGCGGCGAGGAGGGTGCTGCGGAAGATGAGCTTCGACGACGCCGCTAGCAGCTTAGTGCTGTTGACCCGTCGGAGATAGCTGTTATACCGCTCCAGCTTTACCGTCTTACTCGTGTCCGGCGGGAACCCCATCGCCGCCCGCCTCCTGTTCCTGCGAACGGGGACGTGGCTCTCCCCCTTCCTGGCAATGGGCAGGGGGCGGCGAGATCCGCCGGAGTGTAGAGGACCGGGAGGCGGTGGCGGCGGCGGTAGAATCGGCGATAGGGAAGGGAGGAGGGAGGCAGGGGACAGATGAGTCTTCCTTCCCCTTCTCTCTCTCTTCCCAAAGAATGCAGGAGGGGGGGAGGAGGTGGATATAAAGGAGAGGTGGGAGTGAGAGTCTGTCGATTGCGGTGGCAGGGGGACGGATGCAAATAGGAAGCAGCTATAATTAAATGAGCACGCACTACAATTACAGATAAGCCCCTATTTTAAAATTATTTTACCCTCTGCTACAGAGATTTAATTTTACGCAGTAGACATTTGCCCCGCTTCTGGCTCGCGCGCACGCGTTCACGCTACCCCGAAATATTCGTACGCATCCTTTCTTTTTTATGCCGAAGATGCCCTCATCTTTTATTTAATTGCTGTCATCTCACCGAAAATAACGGTCCAATATTAAACCGGGCCATCATCCGATGATGCCGGAATGTTTTTACTACCCCTTCCGATCCCAGTTGACTCTTTTGACGAAACGTCGGTCATCTCAAAATGGTACCAAGAAAATCACAATATTCTCTAATTCCAAGGGAAAACAAGGGGAAAAAATGAGGATGATTTTTTATTATTATTAAAAAATCAAACGATAAACTGTACACTGCTTAGTTAAATAAATAATAATTAAAAAAAAAACAAGTATATAAAGCATTAGGTCTGATTATTGACTAGTCTTTTTGCCATTAAGGTTTGAATATGACCAGACGAGTAAAAATATCTCGCATTTATGATATTCTAGTGTTCATGTTCTTGAAAAATAAATATAAATTATTAATCTACGAAACTCAACATCAATTAGACCATTATTTTAATATATTAATATGAAATTAATGCTCTACACACTCCATGCTTGAACTATACGCATGATTTTTGGTCAAAACGGTAGTGGCAACACGTCAATTATCGAGCACATATATGGTTGAGGTGTCACTTACAAGGCTGGAATACAAAGTTCAAAGGATGACATGGGAAATGGAGTGAGACATTTGGTCTCCTTTGAGTTCTAAAAACTTAAGATGCCTGCAGAGACAAACGTCACTTGATGGTTTCTAGATTAGACTCAGCAACTAACGGATTCTATTCAGATTTAAATTCACTCTAGAAGATTCCAACCCATGAATGGTGACATGAAAACCATAGAAATCTATAATTATTTTAGATTCTTATGAAATTTGGGCTTGCCCGAGTGTCACCAATATGTATGCTCATACGAGAGAGAGAGAGAGAGAGAGAGAGAGAGAGTAGATGCTGCGGGTATGATTATCTTGGTGCAATCATGTAGAAAGCAAAATTGGCCTATGGACCAATATCAAGATACAATGAATCTAGATAGATATATGTGTATGTATATATGGGGGGGAGTGGGATAGATTACTATGAAATAAGGCTACAAGGGTGTAGAAGAAAAAGTATGTGAGAAAAACCGCCGAAGTGAGGGTAGAATCGTCCCAAAGAGGATAAAAGGACAAGGGGACGGAAAACGGGCTTTTAAATAAATTCGAATAGAAAGAGGTTGGAGAAAAAGATACACTTTATTTAAGAAAAGATGAGTAAATTGCCTCAGTAAAGAATGCATGTGGGTCCGTCGGTCCTGGCTGTAAGCCACCTCTAGCCCACCCCTCCCCCCTCTCCCTCTCTCTCTCTCTCTCTCTCTCTCTTTCTCTCTCCGCAGACATTTTATCTTATGTAATCCGAGGATTGACAGATTAGCACTTTTTTTAGATAATGTAGTATCTTGGTTGCCATTTATATCGAAATCTCTCGGCGTCTTAAGGTATCGAGAGAGAGAGAGAGAGGAGAAGGGAGAGAGGATGCGCTCCGCTGTGTTCGCTTTCACGCGTCACGGCGAGACAACGACAGGGAGGGAGGGGGTCGAAGCTCTTGCTGGCGGCAGAAATTGCCAAGATCTCCCCTCCCGTCTACTCCCTCCTCCATCGTCGTCCCCCGTGAGGGACTCCGGAGGCAATATTATATACCCCCCGCGAAGCTTACGACCGATTCACGATGGTGAAATCTTCGCGCCCTCTTCCGCCCTCCTGCTTTACTTGGCCACCAAGTCCCTCTCTCCCTCTCGCTCTCTCTCTCAAGGGAAAGAGGGAGAGAGAAAGAGAGAGGGAGATGAGGTTTGGTGGGCAGTAATGGCGGCGGCGGCGGCGGCGATGAGATGCAGCAGGTGTGGGGCGGAGGCGGTGAAGAAAGAAACAAAGGGGAGGGCCCAAGAGGAGGCCATTAAGATCGATCTCCAAGCATTCACTTCTGGTCACGGTTTTGGAAGCCGCAGGTCCGTCTTTCCACGCATGCAGACATCCACGTAGTAGATATGAGCCAAGAGCGAGAGAGAGAGAGAGAGAGATAGAGTAATCCTTCAATCCGTGATGAATCCTTTTACTCTTTATCGTCATTTAAATGCGAAGGAAAGAGAGAGGAGAGGAGGTGGTACAAGAAAGGAGGGAAATCTTTAAAAGCGAAGTCTGATATATAGATAGATGAGAGAGAGAGATGGGATGACGAGGGAGAAGTTCCCATTGGTTCGAGTCCCGCGAGGCCTCCCTTCTGCTATCTCACTGTGTTCTAGGCAGTCGAGGGCCACCGAATCGGCACCGGCAGTTCGCTGCATCCCCCTCTGGAGCCTTTTCTTCCTCTTCTGCGCAAGAATGTTACGCAGAAACTCAGAGAGAGAGAGAGAGAGAGAGAGAGAGAGAGAGAGAGAGACACGTGAAATTTTGCCTTTCTCTCTCTTCGTCGGTCTAGAGAGAGACTCACTCCAGTACAGAAGAGAGAGATTTTTTAGACCACATGGCTGCGCCGCGGCCATGCAGCAGGGTTTCTATACGCGGTTACTCCCTTTGAGGGAGAGCTGGGTCGCTGAAACGCCGAATCCGCGTTCTATTCCGACAAACGAACACGGAGAGAGAATGCGGCTCTCTCTGTCTCTGTCTCTCTCTCTCCTATCTCTCTCCTCGCTGTTGGCTGGCTGTCGGCGGCGCCGATTGGATTCTCGGGGAAGGAGGAAGTGCCCACACTCGCGGTGACAGTAAGCTGTCGAAAGCCCAGCAATCTTCGCTTCCGGGTTGTTCGCGTCAGCAATGACGATCTATCCCCGCGATGTGAGTCCACGTGGACAGTCCCAATCGAACCCCACCCTACCGTCCGTTCCCCGCTGATGGCGATGGACAAGCCGGCGGTGATTCCGGATTCGGTAGCGGTTGATTCTCTGACTGATAATGAAACCAACAAGCTAGGTGACGCTGTACGTCAACTCTTATGTTCACTTAAAGAAAAAAATCCGACTATATACTTTATTTCTTAAATTAAAATTATAATCACACCGTTGTTCCAACTATATTTGTTGAGCTTAATATTAATAAATAATTATCTTGGTACACCTTAATATGATAACCAGAGGCAAGAAATTGCACCGACAAGAGTTTTTGGCTCATGGAACTTTGGCTACTGATATTCCGGCATATATTCCCTGCTAGAAGGCCCTCCTCCCTCCAACAAGAATACGGTAAGGAATCGATTTGATTCATTCCAGGGCTCGTCTCCATTCTCAGATTTTCGTTGAAACATGAAAATCATGAAACTTAGTTTATGCCATTTACGTTTGGCGTTGTCTTATGGGCATGGGAATTATTTTCTTGGCGTGCTGAAGGCATTTTTTCTCTCACCTTATCACTAGAGTAAGGCAATCGCTGACCTCAATATTCAAGCCAGTTTAAGTAATTTTCGAGTTTTTTTTCTCACTTAATCAGATTATGGAAGGCTAACCAAACCCGTAGAGTAATTGGTTTGATTGGGATGAGATGCATTGGACATTACATATATATATTTATTTCATTTTCTAATATTCTTGGTTAAAAAATGTTCAGTGTGACCCCCTTTTTTCAGTCATTCTGAAATGTTTTTCCATTTATTGTTTATTCAATCATCAAAATACACACTCTCCATGGATCCATCCATCCATGGTCGGATTCAGACAACGGTGTTCATATTGGGGGTGGCAATCTACCCATGATGAGCGCCTCTTGTTTGCCTTCTCGTCGAGCAAATGGTGCAGTTCTTGTGGCAGCGGTTGTGGATAGAGCCTCATCTTTCTTGAAGGATTCGTCCCCATTGCCGAACAAACCCTGCTCGAAATGCCTCCTCGTCGGGCACACGGTGCAGTTCTTGTCTGTCAATAGTCGTCGACAACCGGTAGAAGCCGTCACCAAACCGACCCATAAAGCGATCGCGGCCGAGTGACACCTACGTGAGACATGTTGATGCTGAAGGAGGCGAGAAGTTGACGGGCCGTTCTTGGAGCTGCTCTGATTGATAGGCTGGGAGTATCGACAAAGTGTGAAGACGACGACCGTTTGAGAGGAGGAGAAATTTCATGAGACGAAGGAAAAAAAAAAAGAACAATTTTTTATATATATTTTTTAAGAAGTCTAATAAATTCAGATGGTTACTATGAGTATTCCACGCAATTTCAGTTATTTTTTTGCGATAGTAACGGTGGTTATTTGAAAGCAACGCTGCACCCGTTTGGAAGACATTTTTTAATGGCATGGGTGTCGCATTGATTATTCTAGAAGTTGACAAAAGACACCAAAAGCTACGTATGATAGAAGTGGAAGGGCGAGAAGGTGACCCTAAATGGGACCTGCCCAGGGACCTCCTACCCTTAGGTGCCGGATCGTCATCGCCCTCTCTAAGATATAAGTTTCCTAGTGAATATTTCAGTGCAACATTATATCAGCACAAATAATAGAGGACAAGGTAGGGATTTAACTAGAACGATACAATATGGCATCTGGAAATGAAGATCAAGACAAGGGAATTGGCCGCCGTTTGTCGACTGCGCTCGAATCCTTTGCTAGATCGCGCTCCTCCAGATCTTGTAAGGTCTTCCCTAAGATTCTGATTGGCGGTGGGATTATCTTAGTCCAGAAATGATAAATTATTTGTGGGTGTTGATGGTGAGCTTCATCCCGCAATAATTAAGATACTTGTTTATAAATTAAGAGGTTCTTAATCGAGGTTATTGGGGGTTGTCCTTGTCAAGGTTCGTCAGCTTGGATCGGGAGGATCCCTTTCGAAGCAGCTCGAGATGTTGCCTCCGAGTAATGGCCATCACATGTTACGATTAGCAGCCTGGATCAACATACCCTCCCCCTCCCCTCCCTTCGGATAGACAAAGAGAATACGCAAACGTCCATGTGCAAGTCGTGTTCTTCATGTACTTGATGTTTCTCCATTCGAAGAGACGAATCTCCAAGCAAGCTCCTGTCAAGCTGTGCACAGCCCATAGCCCCCCTCTGGGATTCTCTCTGGGGAGGAAATCGCGTCGGTGGATGGGATGGGCGCTGACCATCTCCTAGAACCTCGGCGTTGAATGACCGTGGAAACGACGTCATTACACCCGTAGAGCGGCTCGTTGTGCAACGTGAAACGGTGTGGATAAACCTACCTGACCGATCTTCATGTTCGCCGTCTCTATCTCTCTCTCTCCGCCTTCAAGAAACGTATATGCATCTGAATAGAGTATACATGCGGAGTATGGAGAGGAACGAAGGCAGCATAATACAGTTGCTGTTGGGTCGTCACCCACGGATGCTGAAAGGGAGGACCTTGACGTCAACGACGAGGGGCGCTGGGCACTTGTGGGGGTACTTCACCAACTCCTCGGCTCCATCCGGGGGTCTACCGGCGATGGGAGACTCATTTTGACGAGAGATGAAGGCCGTCGACCCATTTTGGGCTGGTCTCGTCTGTCGTAATGTGTGCAATAATTATGCGACCCCCCCCCCCTCTCTCCCCCCTCGCTTCGCTCGATTCGCCTGCTGTGGCGCGCCCATCTCTCATGGCGGCGAAGCCAGAGCACCGACGATGTTCCATGGGCGACCCAGCCAGGCAGGATAGCCAAAATTTCCACGATAATAGAAGAAGGGCCCATGGAAGAAGACAAGCCCGGTACGGGGCGGCGTGGATGGGAGGGCAAGGGACGAAGACGGTCCCGTAAACCCTCCCACCCGCCGGGCCCCCTCCTCCGACCGACACACCCCCCAATGGGAAGCTTCATAGAAGGTGAGTCTGCGTGCCCGGCGCTGCAGAGAGAGGGATATTGGTTGGCGGCGTCCGGGATGGGCCCATGCGTCGGGGGAGACGAGTGGCACATGCTCCACCGCTCGGACAGATGGGCTCCTCTTTTATTTATTCCAGTCTTTACAGAAGACAGCTTCTATGCAGTGGCAGCATTCAAGAGACTCCGGGAAGAACGGGTTGGGCTCACGCGGAAACAGTTCCTATTATTCTATTCGGACCGACTGCTGGACGGCGTCGCCAGGGAGAGCGTGGGGGGGAGGGAGAATGTTCTTGCCAAAACTTTCTTTATCTCCCTTGGAATTCAGCCCCGCCTTCCCGCGTATCAGTTCAATCATGGATATGAGCCCCCATCGCATAAAACTCGCCGAATTACTTACCCTCTCTAAACTGTCAACGCCCCCTCAATTAGTCTGGACTAACAACGATTACAACTTAAATACGATCGATACCCAACTTCATCAATCAATGCTTGCCACTTGTAGGAGAGTCATACGGGCTTTTTCTTTGGGTCAAAGAAGATCCCCTTTTTTTTTTTTAACTGTACGAGGCGGCGGAGGATCCGCTCTTTAATATCAAAAGTCAGAGCTGCGTATTCTACTCCGCGCAACGGGGGGTCAGCTCCGTATGGTGTGGACGGAGGATTTCTTCCTCGAAGAGAAATGAGCTGTAAAACGGCGGCGGGGAGGAAGCCGTTTGTATGGTGCGTCGGCGAGCCGTTTGACTCGCCCCGGTTCCTCCTCCATCCAGTCAGTGCTTCTCCGTCCTCAGCTATCCAACATTTGGTCGGTGCGTCTATAGGTTGGCTGGGCCTATTTTTATTGTGCTAAGAGTTGGGCAATCTAGAGAGAGAGAGAGAGATGTCAGGTAGGCAACTGTGGAGAGTCATACGGCAGGGGAAATGATGGCCTCCAAATTGGCGATCTATACACTGTTGGCGTATAGTTGGTCTCGGAACTGTCACGGCCCATTGTTCTTCAGCTTTCATGTACAGGACGAAGGTTTTAAATATACAAGTGAATGTACAGAGAATCTCACCTTCTTATTTCTTCTCTCTCCTCCACCCCGCGCCGATTCTCTCTCTAAAAGGGAATAGAAAGCGCGAGGTCGCCCCCGACACGGAGGACGCTTAATGGGCTCCCTCCGAGAACTCGGACCAACAGCCGCATCTGCCCAGCCCATCGCGTTCCGTCCAAAAATGGAAATGTTCTTCTTCACTCAGTCGAATATATCTTGCACTTCGATTATGCTATGCTGGCTGAAAATATCCGGAGAGAGAAAAAATACGGAGTGCATTAGATAAATAAAACTGGACCAAGGAAATTACTTTTTTTTTTTTCGAGGCTTCTTCTTACTGTTCATCCTTTGTGACGCGATAATATTTCTCGGCGTGCTGGCGCTGCCCGATCAGCTGGGCAAATCTCTCGTCGTGGGTAATGACGATCAGTTGGAAGTTCTCCTGACCCTTCCGGTCTTCCATTATTCTGGCCAAGGAGACCACGACGAGAAAGTCAAGGATATGGTTAAGGTCAACTGCCCGAGGGAGCTGGCGGGCAGGAGTTACCTCAGAAGCGCCGCAGCCAGGCTTTCAGTGTTCGGCCCGTCCAGATTGGTGGTGGGTTCATCGAGCGCTAGAATGCCGCAGTTGAGGCAGAATGTCTCCGCCAGAGCCAGCCTTATTATGAGTGAAGCTAACACCTGGAAGAAGCCGTTAATCATCATGAATGGGAGAAATTTCCCAGGAAACATCGATCCGAGGTTCTTTGAGTGGCGAGAAAATGGCTGCAATTGTCGGAATCCAGAAGTCAAAACAGCATCAAGAATCAGAGTTATGGTGGAGCCGGGTCAACGCGGCTAATATTGCCTTCAAAAGAGTATCATCTCTTCACTTGAAGTGTCGACTCAATACGAAGAAATACGATGAAACAAGCGTGCCTGAGAGTGTGTCCTCTCTCCTTTTCTTTCCTTTTTTTTTTTTTTTGAGAAAAAAATGGTTGCATTAAAGGGGATCGAAATATGAAATTCTTGAATGTCCAGGTCCTTCGTGATATCCCAAGTCAAGAAAATGAAAAGAAAAACTGCCATAAAAGTTTTCATCCAAAGATCTACAACAAGGAGCCGACTGTTCTCCAGAGCTCCATACATCTCCTCCCCATGATTATGTTACCTTCCCTGGCGACAGCGTAGTCATACACCGAACAGAGAGAAACCATAATCTACCAAGCTAACATTGATCGGGGCCGTAATTAATCATATTTATAAATAATGCATACATTTATCGTCAACATTGTGCAAGTTTGATGATTAAATGTTATTCCTGGGATGAACGAAAAATAAAAAAGTTTTAAATATACTTGGGCCAGCTAGAAAAGCCGACAGAAGAGGACAATATTTTTAAGCCAGACGGTCTAGGAAAAGATAGAGTGAGCCCGAATCAGAGGACCCCAAAAGTGTGTACTTAGGAAGCATAGAAAGGGCAAAGGAGTGATACCTTCTGACCAGCACTGCACCTTCCACGCATTTCTAGCTCAGCATCTCCGGTCTGCATCAGTACCTGTGGTACCGGTTCATCAAAGGATGGTGTCAGCATTCGCTGAAACATGTGAATTAGACCAAAATATGCCTTGACTAACCCTGTAGCTGTAGGATCTAGTCCCAGCGCCTTCAGAATCAGAATGAATACTAATGTAATCGATATCCTGTCCTCTATATGTTTGCTGCCATAATTCCCTGATAATCTTGTTTATCTCTTCCATTTTCATTGTGTGAAAACGCATCAGCGCCCTGCGAATGAAATATAGCCAAAGCCCAAAGCCAAGTAAACCAATTGATGCAATGAATACTTATAGTGACAGCTCGAGCAGATGATTCAACAGCATTCAATGTAAGAATCAACAGAATTATTTGAACTAAAGGTAAAAAAACGATATTAAATGTCGGCTATGTAGCAGGGTGATTGACAAGTAACTTACTTGTCAAGTGCATTATAATATCTGTCCAAATCTTTATTTGCCATTTCAGTTGTCTGCCGTAGAAGTTAGTCAAGGAATGTCAGTGCAGAAACCAAGGTGAGAAACCCAGTTATGAGAAGAGAGACAAAAACCTTGAGTTGAATAAGCTGATTAAAGTATCTCTTGTCAATGTCATTGTATTGTGTTTGCTTAAGTTCCAGTTTGCTCTTTGACATATTACTTTGATACACTGAAACTGTGCCATGAAACCTATTTAGCTGCATAAGGCGGAACATCAGTGTCGCACGAACGAAATAATCACAAGATAAACACTTATTCACCATTACCACATGTGAATAACACATTCACATAAAGCGAGAAAACCATTAAAAAGGCAACGCTTCCATGAGCAACTGCTCTAAGAGCCTCTCACGATTCTTTATGTTATAATAAGTTCAAATTTAATTCCACTGGGTCAGCATAGGATGCATTACTTTGGAAGGGAATGAAGAAGATCATAATGCCTACCATGCAACACTCCAAGATACAGAGATACAAAAATTAATTTGACAAGATGCCCTGGATACTGCCCCTCACTGTTACTATTTTTTCACCAAACAAGATCTTGAAATACTTTTTTTCCTGAAGTATTATGCAAGCCTTATAGTTATAGAAAATTCGACAGCATGATGACACAATTTAATCGGTGCCCGTGAAAATAAATGTACAGAACTAAAAGAGCACCTAGAAGAACTCCAATCAACCACTCAATACTACCGTCAATATCCACTGGAAGCGCCTTAAAAAAGTCGAATGCATTATTTCTAAATATCACCAGGCATTTATATCCAGGTATAAGCCACCCAAAACTCAAAAAATGTGAATCTCGGAGACCAAAATTTTAAATATCACAAGTCAAATGCTCATTATTTCTAAGTGTTGGCGCTTGCCATCTTTCCAAGTAGGAGGTTGGTCAAAACATTGGAGTTCGCTGGCGGAACTAGATAACACATGAATAATGGGTCAATACATTCATAATGATGCTAAGACTGCCAAGCCCAAGGAAGAATCAAAAGCGTAAGGATGCTCCGTAATTCAAAAACAACGAGCCTTTCAGAAATCATGGGAAAAAATTCAATGATTAAAGTTAAATAGGCTTGAGAAGTGTTTATCTTATCACTTCAAAAATATTGGCACATGCTCGTGTGCATGATCATACAGTGCATACGTTATACAGAAATATAATTCATGTATAGTTAATACATAAAAACATTTGTGCGCAGGATTCTCATGATAAAGAATAGTTCAGAGACTACAATGATTTTGGAAAGCGTCAATTACTTGTGTTGTGGCGCAATTTTTCGCACTCTGACACATCTATGTATGGCTATTTCCGTATCTAAATATATATATATAGGTTCACAGTTTTTTAACCCTAAAAACTCATTTAATCACAAAAAAATGCTCTATACTTTTCCCTGCTTTCTGTTGATCCAAACATGGTTACTTTACCACCTGAAAAAAATTGAACCTGCAGAGAATAGCCTATGGCCATCCATAGAAATCTGTATGTAGATGAAAAAAGCCCAATCATGAAAAAGAACTCACGTTATTTTTAGGAAATGATATTAATTGAGCAATTTTCACCGTTTCATAAAAAGTAAATCAACAATTAACCCGAAAAATTAGGACAGTGACTAGTGATTACCTCAGAAAGAAGTCTCTCCTTTTCTTTCAAATGTCTTTTAAGCTCAGCTTCGACTGCTGAAACCCCACCGATGCTCAGTATTTTATCATCCAACGATTCTATCTGATGAGTGAGTTCCTCTACTTCAGCTTTCGTCTTTCTATAATTGAGGTTGTCGTCAATATTTCTTTTTAATTGATCCTGATTTCTCAGCAACTCTTTACTTTTATTCAATTCAGCAGAAATTTCCTGTTTCCTGTCCTCACAATTCTGTAGTTGTGTTTCAGAGGCTGAATTCTTCTCTTGCAATTCCTGAAGCTTTTCTCCTTTCTTTGAATCAATGTAACTAGTCAAACATCCAAAAAAAATAAGGCAGTGAGAATATGAAACAAGGGAATACTTGTCTATGGCCGTCAGGTATATATGAATGGGAAGTGTTTTCTTTGACTTGAGATGATCACTATGTTTCCATAATAGACCAATCCTGAGAACAAGGCAAGGGCTAAGATATAAATACATGGGCTCAAAAACGTACTCTTTAATCTTTGACACATGTGTCAAAAGCATATCAATTTCTTGTTGGTAGGTCCTTTTAACTTCAGCCTGCTCATCATATTCCTGTTGAAGTTTCAGAAGCAAATCTGAATGATCCTGCAGAACCTTCTCTTTCTCCTTTGACAAAGGAATTAAAGCTGCTTCTAAGTGCTGAAAATTTGTATACAAGAAAATGAAAAGGAAAAATATTATCCCAAAAGAAAGATGTCATCATATACGGTAATTAGGTCAGTTTCAACAACAATAGAAATTTATTATCACTATTTATACGAAATAGGATAAGAATAATAACATCGACATTAAAGAAACATCAATCCATACTGCAACATATTGAAAAAGGAACCAGACTAATCATCTACCATGTTCTATAGGCCTATTTGCCATCCCACACAGATAAGAATGCTGATTCCCCATTGCACAGAAAAAATGACAGAACTCTGCATAAAAAAAGAGTAGTTTACTTATAGCAGTTTCTAGAGTAAAAAAGAATAATGAAATAAACAAACACGGTGTTTCAAGGATTCATATTTTCATACTTTCATAACATTATTAATGGAGCAGTGAAGAACTTGCATCATTTACGATGTAACCACACTAAAATAGCTTTATTAAACTGACCGAATCAAACATAATAATTTATTATAACATTTCATGTATTTTATCGCTGCACCTCTCGAAATTGATAACCATAATGATCAATAATTTCCTTCCGTGGAAAGATCTAGATGAAGAATCATCGTTTCGATAGAGCATTCCCGGTCATCTTGGAGATTGTATGCAACGCTAGTTATTAACTCAGTACAATCAGGCTCAAGCCAACTATTAGGTATCCAGTCAAGACCCACTAATTGAACCTCCACCTAACCTAAAGAGTTGCCAACCAACTGGAAAATGGGCAGAGGACCCAAAAGATAACAATCTAGTCTTAACTACTGTACATGAAAAATATTTCCCAAGGCAAATTGAAAAATATAAAATGAAATAGTAAGACCACCTTCTCATCAAATTCAACTTGAATTTTTTCCTCTTCAAGGTGAATGATTTCCTCGTCGGCCTTCTTAATTTTATGCAATATACCTGATGCTTTCAGCTTCTCCTCCCTAAGGGAGTGCCACCGCATCTGTGCATTTGACAAGTCACTGCTCATATACTTTTGCTCATCCCTCAGTTTGTCCATCTCACCATGCAAAGTTTCCCTGGTTGCCAGAAAAAAATATATTTTCTAAACATCTCAAACATATACAACACAAGCATAGCTGATTTTTTAGTCCACAAGACATAAGAATAAACAAAACCAAAGCTTCATCTGCATGCTTTTACAATGTCAAATGTGATATGCTAAGGGGGTCCAATACACACAACCAAATGAGAATCCACAGAGAAACCATATCTTAAATAAGAATGTACTAAATAGGCGCCAGTCTCTCGCGAAATTGGTCATTCGCTCAAACTTTATTAACTGAATCTACTGAAACCCTTTTATTGATTAGTTGAATGAAGGTCAGTGCTTAATTATAAATTCATCTTTCTTTCTTCTAGTTATGCCAGGCCTTTTGATGATCACAAATTAGAAAAATGAAAGAAAATTATCTTTTCATAACATTGCATCTGACCGGCAATATCTTCAGATAATTAGACAATGTATAACATATTACATGAATCCACTTTAATTAGACATTGTATAACACATTACATGAATCCACTTCAAAATATGATCACGCTCGATTATTTATATTCCAAGTTATGACATGATGTTAGAGACAAACCTGCCAGTACAAGGAAACCTGAATCCAAGTCATCCATTGTCAATCCAATAACATGACCCATTTTGAATTTCTATAGAAGATGTTGCGATCCTTGATATTTATTTCAATACATCAAAAACTTCTCTAAATGGTAAGAACCAACTTTCAAATTTCATGATGTTAAACGTGCCTTTTAAAACTAAGCAATCATTTATATTTTGACCTTTTTTAACCATGCGGCTATGAGAAAAATTAAGGGAAAAAAAGGACAAAACAAGGAATAGAAGTGGAGGTGGCTCTTCATGGCCCATGTGCCAACGGTCCCATGGCCCGCTCACACCTGAGGAGAGACCTGACAGTTATCGGAATAATCTGTAGCTTTCCTGACACCGAATGATTTCTAGGGGTGATAATTTCTCATTTTTAATCATATTTCCGTCTCTCCATCTGTACTTGTTAACTCTTTTAGTTCTTTTGCCAGAAAGAACTAACGGCCGACCAGCCAAGTATACTGAAAATATTCAGAATTCTAACCTGGTTTCTGTTTTCTGGAACTCTGAAAGGAAGTATAACACATAAATCCAGACCAGGAACAAACGAATAATGTAAATTATATTTGACTCTATGTTCTTACCAAAAGGCGTCACATAATCCTTTAATATCCATGATCCTCTGTAGATGATCATAAAAAACATGCTGTTTAATTGATGTGTTTTACACTACGACCAATGCATTTTTAGTTTACCCAGTGTAGAAGAACCTTCAAACGAAGTGAGAAAGGTAGAAACTAGGAAAACCCAGGTGTTGACAAAGAGAAGAAAGGAGAATAGATGGAGGCCCAAAAAACCCAAGGCCAAACGGTGGAGAGTCTATCTCGTTCTCACATTCGTCCCAACGGGTAATGCTATTTATATAGACTCAACAGCACAAGTTTAGTTGACTCATGATGAATTCGAGACTTAATAGGTTAGTGGGCCTAAACAAGGACCAAGATTTAATGCGCCCACGTAACTGTACCGTCAAGAAACAAAGAAAAGATATATGGTTCTCGACACCTACTAACCTAATCTTACTGCATGGACAACGTCAATTGTAAAACTTCTCCATTTCCTGGATTTCCTTTATTTCTCATACTTCACACCCTTAGCCAACCATGTTACATAAAGTACCCTGAGATCCCGTTCATTTATAGATTCATTCTGTAGAATCCAGAAATTAATATTACAATGGTCAGTAGGAAAGGGGATGAAGGGCATGCTTGAAGAGTATCTTTGGTGAAGAATACCACTTTTGTACTCGATACTACTAAAAGAGCATGCAGGCTTTCACTATCATCAAAGAAAGTATTCATTTATCAAGTCGATATTAGGTTCCAGGAATGGAAACCTTCCGACTTTTGAGGGAATATTCACAGAAGGTTTGTGCTTTCAGATATCAAAAGAAATGGTAGTCATGAAATTATCTTACACCAACTCCCAAGTATCCGTTACATCATAATTAATGCTCGTTTCAAAACAAAGAAGAACAAATACAACATAGAGCAGCCATTCTCCAATGCATACATGTGATGCATCCCACACAAGGTCTATTTAATAAAAAACAGATGGCTTTCAATGACATAAGGACATAAATCTTTTAGACAATGTATTAAACTAAGCAACCAGAACAAAGACGATTTGCTTTCCCCGCTGGGGTTGGCTTTGAGGACTGGAGAAATCGTGTAACTGGCACATGACAACCGGAAGCAGAGGGAAGAAATTAGCTTGAACGGGCAAAAGCAATGAATTAATGATCTTCTCCTAACTATGAATGCTAGAAGGGCTACGAAATCTGATAGAAATTGACGCACCTCTCCACACTGAACCTCCTTCCATTGAAAAGAAAGTGAAGAGTTTACAAGAAGAATTTCCCTATTTAATGAGGAACGAACAACGCCAGTTGAGACTAAAAAGAAAAGAGATTTGGTACTTAGTGGAGACACGAACCAACTTCGTACAATACAGTTTATGCATCACGTCAATTTGGCAAGGCTACAACTTGATCATGTAAGATTCCCCGTAATGTAAACCTTTAACTAGTGTGAGTCAGCTTTTGGACGCAGTGAAACTATATCATGTATGTGCCCAATGATAATATAAATCAAATAAGAGAGATTAACGTCAAATCTAAATAATGCCTGTCAGACACCTTTTCATTTGAAGGGCATTAAGTTGGTTCTGAATTTCCTCCATTGTCTTTACACCTTGCCCTCTTGCATCAAGCTTATATTCCAAATCCTCAACCTGCTCTTGTAAATTTTGCATGTCGAACAAAAGTTTATCTGCAGCTTCCACAGGTTGCACTAAAATCTCAACAGCATCCTTCTCAGCTTTAACATGCGCTAGAACACCTACAAGCTGCATCAAGAAAGAACATTACATCACCGATGCATCCAACATTAAAAATCAAATGATACACATACCCTGGTAAGTATTAACAAATTTAAACATACAAATAACTAACCAAATTTATTCTAAGAAGCTTAACAAGACGACTCGAAAAAAAACTATGTTGGTATTCTGCAACCAATAAAAGAGGAATATTAGTAACACAATGTCCTTGGTAACCAGTTGACAGTTACCAAGGATCAAGAAATTGAATCTGGTATCTGAGATTGATAGGGACACAATCCAACCAATAATGAATTATGTTGGTCTAATTGATCAATGAGAGGGAAAAAATAGCGCACATTTATTTTAACAAACCTAAGGGTCTTAATGCGACTTTTCAGAAAATGATTGAAATATAAAGACTACTTCTGGCCAAGATAAAGTCTAGTAAAAATGTTCGATTCATCTATACTATGACCTGGTGAAGAAAAGGGAAAGAAAGAATAACCAAGCAGGGAATGCAGTGGTAACCACAAAACGTAGAGATACGGATAGAAACAATGACTCTAGATGGCTGTGGAGGATGGCATCAAGCGAGATTGGTGCAAGGAATGGAGATGGCCAGATAAGACGTAAAATAATAGAGACGGGGGTTGTCTATGAAGCACTTTTTTCCCCAAAGAGGTCCAAACCACCCAATTTTGATCCTTTTTGCTTCATATTTGGGACCCCTTGAAATTAAAAAAGGATTGACCTGTTCAGAGTAAAATTGGTCGATCCTGAAATCCTTACTGGTGGCATGGAGGCAGCTCATCTTAAACAAAGTGTTAGAAACAGCGATCAGACAAGGGAGCTACCCAATCAGCTATATTTATTAGGATCTAGGGATATATACATGATCAATTTGACGCAGACTCAACTCAGGATCGGGAAGCTTCACCAGATATCCGTGATTTGCGTCACCCTGCGTTATGCTAATGATATAAAACAAAATAACAACTAGTCCAAATCAGACAAGCCTACATAGGCAGACGCCGCAATGATAAATTTCCTATTCATTTCTAGAGAATTGGATTTATTCGGTAGATCATCCAGAACTGACATGACACTCCCCAAAACAAGTCAATTCCATGACTAACTAAACCATAAATGAAAATAGCGGGAAAAGCCTGGCTCAGGGCTTCAATTTTTTATTTCTTGATTGAGATCCAGATCAACCAGTCCAAACTCAGGTAATTTGGCCCTAATTTAGTTCATCTTGATGCTCTTCATAAAATAAATCATCCAGAAATAAACAGAAGAATGAAACTAGATTCATAATCTTCCAAAGAGCATGAAGAACCCAAGTATCTTGGTACAATCACGATCAGATGGCTTGTATCATCCAATTCAGGGTAGAGAGCTACCTCGGCTTACAAAAATAAAGTGAAAGATACAAATATTACTAATTGAACGTAATTTTTTTTTAAAATACTTTGAAACATTGGCCTTTTAAGCAAATTTCATCATTCACCAAATTTTCCCTCCATATCTCTCCACTGATCCTACACAATTTACAAGGAGGAAAGCAGTCCAAGGACATGAAAGGTAGGAGCAAACAAAGCTCAGGACCAATAGGTCATGCTGAGTGATGGTCAGAAACAACACTAATGGTCCTTGAACTTGTAAAATCCTTTAAAAGCAAAATGGAAGCTTTTAAAAGCAAATAAATATTGAGCTAATTGATTTTACAAGAAAGAAATGATGTGCCAAGTCTGAAAGCAGATGATACCAATCAAGTAACATCACTTTCTTTTAAAATATTTAACCAGTAAAAATGAATTATTCGCGTTCATCATAAAGATAAGTTGAACGCCGTGGAAGTTGGTCGTCGAAAAATTCCTAGGTTGTAAGAATATAATTCTTAGATCACAAATGAACATTGTCAACATGAAAACTATGATGGAGGATGAGTTACATCATCAAGAGCTTGTGATTTCTGCCCCAGGTCTTGTGTAAGTTCTTTCAAATTTTTCTCAGCTAAGGGAATAGTTTCCTTCCCAAGCTTAATGTACTCCTCATAGAGCATGCGTAGCTTGTCCAACTGCTGGAAATGAGAATCAGCATTTGACGATTCCACAGCTAACAGCTTCATGTGCTCTGCGGAGCTAGTGTTTTTCACTCTTTGCTGAAAGTTTGCAGTAAGTCAAGAAATGCACAAACAAAAAATAAAGAGAAAATAAAGCAAAAGCCTTAAATTTAGGATCACGAAAATTAAAAAAAAAAAACAAAATACGCAGAGAAAATGCTTGCCTTCCTGACAAATTCATCCTCTTCCTCAGGAGAGAAAGAACGCTCGCAACAAGGACAAATATGGTGTGCACGTGCAACTCTTTCAAACGGATCAAACATTTGCCTCATTCCATCGGCAATGTTATATTTGCTGTACATAAGTTACCTATGGTGAGTGTTTTCTCTTGAGAATGCACTTGAGAAGCTACATCTGATACAAGAAACAAACCTTTTATGTATTTCTCTTTTTTCCGTTGCTTCAAGCAGAATACCTGGGAATGTATCAACACTTGAATATCCCGGAACCGAAGACTGGAGTTTTGAGTCAATGAATCTCCGCTTAGCTGCATTTGAATCACAATAATCATATATTCGGCAAGTAAGCTTTTACTCAGAGAGATCAATTAACAGAAAAAAGAACTGTAGAGAAGATCCTTGAAGCCATGATGGCTTCAATTCATAAATGGAAGCACTATCACTTCTCACATCCCTTTTTTCGTTTTTTGATTGAGTTTAGCCACGTGCTAATCAGCATCTAAGTTTTATATTTCAGCATATAAGTCTGTATTCTACCAAACTTATGAACATACCCTAGGAAGTATAGGAACATGACAACCATTCTCAACCCTAGCTGATCAGTTTAATTCAAATTTGATGGGTTCCACTGGTTGTTTCAGAAAGGGTATTTTGAAATATATGCTGTGTGTTAACATTTTTATCATATTGTATCACGCAATTGAAATGTTCCATATCCACCGTTGTATCAAGAACCTGCTGAATGCCCCAAACTCAGCATTCCCCACGTGTGCCTAATCCGGTGAAATGTTAGGTTGGCCCCAGCAAAGATTTATCATACAACTGGGAATTACTGATAAGTGACCTCTTGTTTTCAGACGTGATAGAATAAAGGCAAGGTCAGACTCAACGTACACATCCCACTTACTAAAATAGTGTTACTACTGTGTCATAAAGCTATGCACTCCTCCAGTGTTATCAAACTAAAACATCAGACACATCGCTCATGACCAACTCAGAAGCCCTTATTCCACGTGCTAAATGCAGCTGCCTAAATAGTCGAACATCATACACAAAGTTCTCTAAATATCAGACATGAAAGGCCAGGTGGTTCAGCGATTTCATTATTGAGCCTTAACAAGCTTCAGTATGAGTTTGGAAGTATGCAGATCTACCAGCCGACTGCATAGAAAATAGGAGTATGACACGGAGACATTAACGACCACATAGAAGACTCGCAACGTATGCATATGCTCCGAACTTACCATCCATATCCTTCTGAAGCTTTGTTATGTTATTACTTGTGTCCTGCATTTTCATCTCAATCACTTTCACTTCTTTCTCAGCATCTAGACATTTGGAATGCAAATCATCATACTCCTTTTTAAGAGTCCTGCACAGACGACAATCACATTATTTTAGAATGATAATCCTCTCAACCGAAAATTTATTGGAAAAAAGTGGTTGAACTTTTATCTTTTCCTTCATATCAGTCTAATAAACATTGACAAACAGTCATGCATGTATATCACCAGAATAAAATTACTGTGAGAGTAAAGTCAAATGACTGCTATGTAACTGAGAAATATGGAAGGAAAGTTGCTTTCCTTGCCAACAAAACAACCAAGGAGAGAAAGGCAATCAATCTATCCCTTCCCTATTCAGGATACAATCTATTTCGTGGCGAATAACATGAATTCTGATGTTACATTACATGGTCCATTTCAATCAAATCTTTAGAGGCAAGTTTAATCAAATTTAATAGAAGTTAGAGAACAACCTGGAAGCATTTATCACCTCCATCTTTAAATCCTTATCAGGAGGAAGCCTCCCCTTGAAAACAACTCGAATTTTCTCCTTGTGCTCATCCAATCTAAATATTAACATACAAAAGTTAGATTGCACACTATCATAATTCGACAAAGCCTCATAAAAATACGAAAACTCATAATAGGAAACAGAGGAAATTACATTTTTCTATGTTTCATCCTGCAGCCATCTAGTTCCTCCCTTTTCAGCTCCAATTTGACTCTGTCTTCAGAATCACTAGCCATGACATCTTTCTCACGATGAAGGGACTTAATCATCTGTTCCAGTCTAAATATTTCCGTCCTTTTTTCGTTTATTTTTTCTTCAAAATCTCTTTCTCCAAGAACAACGGTCTTTCTCTCAACCTCAATTTGCTAAATAACAAAATAAAGGTTAGTCTTAAACATTATGAAAAATCACATTAGTAAAGGTCATATGCAATAGTGCAACATCAAAAATATACCAAATGCTTCTCTCTTTCATCTATGTGTGACAGATTAAGCTTCGAAAGCTCATGCTCTGCAAGATCACGCTCATTCTCCCTCTCTTTTTTGCGCTTTAAAATTCCTACCTGATCAGAAATTACATCAATGTACTTCCATTAGTATGTGGCATACTTTTATAAGCAGAAAAAAGTAAATTTTGGATGAATGACCCCAAATCGTCAATAACACACTTTCGTATCACTTTTTGCCTGCTTCTGACCCTCAATTTCACTACAGCGAGCATTGGTTGCCACATAGCGTTCCCATAGAGCTTTGAGTTTCATGTCATTTGATTGCTGAGAAGAAATCATGTTTGAGCTTAATCCATGAAACAAGTATAAGAGAGAACAAAAATGGAGATTGCATACAGCTTTGCAACAATATTGTACAACATTTGTTGTAAGAAAAGACCTCCAAACGAATATTAAGCCAGGTAATGAAAATACAAAACTATGATAAAATCACGACCAGATCCCAAGAAGAAGTACAATAAGGATTGGTTATGCAATCCTTATTTGAGAAAAAAATTATTGGGTATAGGGTATCTTTCTGGAAACTTCTCTGCCACTACAGCACCCATGCATTTAAATCATGAGACCTCACAACCTGAGATAATCTCCATGCCCCCAGAATCTCCATAGGGTGATCAAGACAATAACCACCCTTTAGAAAAGATATAGTACAATTTAAATGATTAAAGAACTTCACGCAGAATTATTCATCCACGACACTGAATGGTGCATATAAGAATATAAAAATAGCAAGATTTCTTAGCTTTCATTATACAAGCCCAAAGCTATTCCTCTCTATTTTGTTTAATTTCTAATTTACCAATTCCATCAATGTGAACACAAGATTTTTCATCTTAAAACAACGTGACCATCACTCTTGGAACTCGAGAATAAAATATTAAATATCTACTCGTTTGAATAAGCAGGATATTTTAGAAGCACATCTTGGATCCTCGGGACAGAATAATTCCAAGGAAATCAACTCGAAAAATTTGTAAATATTGAGAGCTATAGTAGTAAGAAACAACGATAAACATGCAATAGCAAAACATATTGTTCCAACCTTTTTATCTTGGAGGTCTTTCTCAAGATCCAATAACCTTGACTTGATTCGGTTTGTAAGGTTGAAAGCCACTTCATTGGTGAAAGGAATACTAGGAAGCAGCCCAAGGTTCTGCCTTGTGAAAAGACTTTGGATGGTTAAATCCCTTTCACGCCTCAAAGACAAATAAGCCTGGAAAAAAAGAGGTAATGAAGAAGATATCAACATCAAACTGCCAAATACAGGAGAAAGAGATGAGCTCAACACAGTACATCTGTTTCAGCTTGCAGTTTTCCTATCTCCCTGGTTGAGTCATTAATGGTCTGCAAAAGAAATGAGCTTCTCATCTCAGAGTCATTCAATTCCCTCTCTAACTTGCAAATCTTAGACTCCAGAAGCGCAATCCTTTCTTCAAACTTCATTTGCCATTCCTTTAGTTCTTCATCAGTATCTGAATAATAAAAGGCATAACACATGCTCAATGCACCGCATATACACGTGTCAGTGAAGATAATGCTCTTACAGAGAGTGATCTTGTAAGATTTACATGTCAGGCAGTTATACTAACACAGAATGCTCAGTTTGACGACTTATCCAGAGATAGAAGCAAAGAAATATTCTTAGAAGGATTAACAATGTTTAATGTTTGGATCGTCAAATGGCATAAAATACTCAGAAAACCATCAGCTTAATGACGACAATAAAATTGAACCTTTGTTGACAATAAAAATGAACAGTCCGCTGGTATACACGATTTAAAATAACAAATGATGCATACAAAGAAAAAGAATATTTATATTTCGTCAATGGTTGCTTACTGGCCTTCATTCTCCTCAGCAAGAGCAGCATACTGTGCTTGTTGAAGTTTAAATAAAGTGCTTCTTGTCGCAGTATTAGTAGATATCTGATCCTGAAGCTTTCGCAGATCCTTCAAAGAGGTTTCTGTTTGAAGGATCTTATTCTCGACACTCAGAATGTTAGATTCGAGATCCTTTGTTTGAGTCTTCAGTAACTCGGTTTTTTCAAGATCTTGAGCAATGCTATCCCGAAGCTGCAGGAAGAAAAGATCCCTGGTCATGGCAAAGCTTTAGGCCAAAAGAATTTCACATTTCTTTTGTTTGATCACAAAATTTGAGACGGACTGAGAAATCTGAAATGGCAGATTTAGTGACTTATCTCAAATGCTAATCTTTGAGCTGTTTGGATGGAGAGAAACCAACTTATTTTTAAAGAGGAAACCTCCTCAGCGTATAAGATCTTTTTGCGGGATTGTGACAAATTGAATGAATGGGTGATGATTTTGCACAGCAGTGGAGGTGGTTCTACTATTTTGGGGTCGTTTGGTGTGAAGTTCTTCATCTTATATCATCTGCCTTACAGCTGTAAGAGTATTGATACACAGTTTCTTTTCGAGAGGTCACATCTTCCACACCTATGCATTTTTTCTCTTTTTCTATTTTTCTCTTTTTCTATTCATAATCATGTGGTACTATACGCTTTCAAAAAGAAGAAAAAATGTGTGTTTTCAAATACTAATGACTGGTGACCCGTCATTCCACACCTGGCGTTAGTATTGTCGCAGACCCCAACATGAACCCAGTGGTCAAGAATCAATCCGCAAATTTATATGTGAGAAATGATGCTCTCTTAAAACATAAATAAACCGTTTTAAAAAATATATATAAAGCTATAACCTTGTACGCTGCATCCTTCAGTATTTGAAGACTCTCCAACTTCAGTTTATATGTCTTTATCTCCTGAGCTTGCTCCTTGTGAAGCTTCTTTATGGCCTCCAAAGCTTTCGTATAACTGGTTGTCGAAATTAACAAACGAAAAAAGGTCAGTCCTGACTTCAGAAGCTCACAGTCAGAAAACTAACAAGAAATAAAAAATTCTAGTTCTGGATAACATCAACAATTGAACTAGGCACATGACAGTACAGAGCTCTGGGTCGATGCTAATGAAAGAGGTGCCAGTTTTAACGTAAATTATATGAACAGTATGACGATATGACTATAGGAAAACACCTCCAATTGCATATTCAGGGCATAGACGCAGTAAACAGGAGAATACTATTTAGATATCTGCGAAGAAACTGGCAGGCTAAACGTAGCTCCAGTCATTTTCGTCTTCCAAGTATCAGAAAGCACAGAGAACATGCCATCTAAGGTAGACTCCATAAAACTATGGACAAGAGCAAGACAATGGATACAATAAGATGCTATCAGAAGATAGTACGAAGAGCCTGGATAAGAAAACTGCCAGCAAAAGAGAATAAAGAATTTGTTAATAAAATACATATATTAAAGGAGAAGCAAGGAACGAGACATCATATCAACTAACATATCCAGCCCACAGGCGAATACATCGTATGGCTAAGAACATAAAATTTCAGGAGTCGGATACAATGTGCTCTTTCGATTTAATACCGCTCATTTGCAATCGTCCTTAAGGCAAAACAGAACTTTTCTAAGGATGGAAAAACAGGGAGATTTAAATGAATAAATTATAAGACAGCGTCATTTATCAACATATATTTGCTCACTTCATGTAGCCCCTTCTATGCAAAATATTTACATAAAAATTTCGAGATAAATGAATAAAGAGTGAAATTTTCCATTTTATATTATTTATTTATTTATTATAAGGAGAAGGTGATTATATATAAAGTTGGGAACGAATCTGTATTTTATAAGAATATACTAATCCACAAAAGACCATAAATTCCACTCTGTCATCCTCAGGGGAAAGTCTGAAGCAACAACCCACAAGTATTCAATATGGTGTTCCAGAGTTAATTATAACAAAAGTAAAAGACGTTCAACTCGATCAAAATGGTAAAACTAAGGGAGGCTATTAGGCAACTCCGAATAACTGGGAAAAGGTATAAACGTAATGAAAACGATTCTCTGCAATAGTTTGCAAATACATGTCAGACTGATCAAACTTCAATTTACGGACTTCTTGGCAACTATGGCCCAATATGACCTAAACAATGAGTTGTTTTTTCACAGCAACATGTGCAAATTCGAGAAAGCACTTTATAATGATTGATGATTACCCGATGATTCAGGTTACCTGTGTTACAGAGCGAGGTATGAAATGGTGTTTCAACACTGCTAAAATCTCAATGGTCGAAACATTAATATGACCTGTAATATTGATCTAAATATTGTGGCATTTATCCTATGGCAGACTTCTCATATAGATTAATGATGGGCAACCATATTCAATGTTTCCAAACTCAATACAGGTTTTTTTGGCATTTATTTTAAACAGTAATTATAAGAAGAATTACGTTGGATAAACGACTCTATTTGGTTGAGGTCTTTCTAGTAGTCCTGGCCATTACGTAGCTGGCATTCCGTATTTCGTTTGGATTAACGAACCAAAACCAAGGTGTGAAGCTACATTGATTCCTTCCAGAATTAGAAGTCCAATTCCATATTTCTTCTACTTAAGGACGCGGAAAAAACTATGCCACGAATAAAATATGAGGGCACGGAACTACCGTGTAGCAGAAAATATATCGTCAAACTTCTTTTTTAATGTTGACGGGTCCTGCAGGGGCCAGTTGGAGTCATCCTGGTGGACAAATATGACATTCTCGAGGACAGCCTTTGACACGCCCATCAGAGCAGGAATCTCCCTATCCATGTCGGCACACCTGTAGCTTAGACAAACCTTCTGCTATGGAGAGAAGTTTTAGTTGATAGCAGAAGACGTCCCAGAGAAGGAAATGAAGATATTAAACATGCTGTTTTGATATTTGGGGATGGACCTCGCCAGTATGCGGATTGATGGTCTGTAGAACACTCTCGATGGCCTTGAACTCCATTTTGGAGGCCTTCTGTGTCAGCTGGAAGGACCTTATGCACACCACGTCCTTCCCCGCAGCTGTCTTGAACCGCAACTTCACCTGTGCCTTAGTCTCCGTCTCTCCCGCCACCTTCAGGCAACCATCGAACTCACCACAAGGCCGGAAACAGATAACTCACCCAATCCGGCAACGGAAAAAAGAGAAAAGAAGGAAAGATCGGGGACACCTTGGGATCATGGATGAAACTATGCCCGGACCTAGCGTTCGGAGGCAGCTCCCCGGTGCAGGACAGCTTCAGACACTCGATGATGGTCTGCCGTAACAGCACCAGATGACGATCAGACGCGACTTAACCAAAGCGGGAAAAAAAAACGTCACGGTAAACAATCCAACAGACTCCCGCGATCAGAGAAAACAGAGGCTCGAAGGGCGAGGCCCCCAGCCTAACACAGCACGGTGACAACTGCGAAAAGGCGGGCTGCCAGGGGCCTGTCCTTACGGTCTTGCCGGCGCCATTGGGGCCGACTATGAGCGTCAGAGGTTTAAAGAACGCGATGACGTGCTTGTTCTCCGGGTCGAAGCTCCGGATCCCCTTGATGAGCATCTTGTCCACGGTACTCATCCTCCCCTTCCTCAGCAAAACAGCAGGAGACGGCGAGAGAGAGAGAGCGGGAAAGAGGCAGGAGGAGGACCTGCGGGAGAAACATCGCAGTGAAGCCCCGCAAAAGGGTTTATATATAGCATAGCGAACCGGCCCAGCGAACCGGGCCGACTCTCATCCGGTCCGTTTCCGTTACTCACCATACACGCCGATAAGCCTTCTAATCCCATGTTAAGTCCTCTCTCTAACTGCCCAACGGTAGCTCAGAACGAAAGAGCAGCCAGAATACTAACGAAATCCTCCCCCTGGGCATCGCCCTCCCTCCCTCAAGCCCACAGAGAGAGTGAGTACTAACGAAATCCCTGGCCAAGTAAGCTACCTTCTACAAGGGGAAGAAACCCACATGAAGGAACATCCATGGCAGAGCCTGTATCTCTCTCTCTCTCTCTCTCTCTCTACATCTTGCATCAAACAACTAACTAGGCTAAGAGGGCAATGCCTCCTTGGGGATGGTGAAGCAAAAGCCTTTCAAGAGCTCTTCGTCGTCTCAGTTTGGGGAAGGAGGATGCCGATCAGCAGGAACCCACCATTGATGATGATGACCTGCAGGTTTCAGAGATCACAGCGGCCAACAACGCCATTAATGGTAGCTGAAGAGAGGCCGACGTAGAGACATGTACCTAACAACAGCGGGCCTGCTTAAAGGCCAAGCTGTGCAAAAAGGAAGACAAGGAGGGCGAGAGTTTAGAGGTCTTATCAGATGAATTCACTTTACTACCAAGGGAAACATCATCCTGTCGCCTTCAAGGGCTATGACATGTGAGCATAAACTCTTCCCCCTCATAAAATAGCGTCCTGCGGCCCAGTGAAAAGAAAAAAAAAAGGGGGGGAGGGGGGGAGAGAGAAAGGAGAAGAAAAAAAAAAAAAAACGAGGGATGAGCAGAGAATGTTATACATACACCCGTGATCAAGCGAGAGAAAAAAGAAAGATATGAGAGGCAGTACATGCAGCAAAGTGGTGCTCCTCATGAAAAGATGTGTGATCTTCTCATTCTTCTGAAAATCAGGCGGCATTCTATTTCTAGCAAATCACATCTACGCGCAAGGAGATTCGATGACTAGGGCTAATCATTGGAGATAACCTTGAAAGAAATAAACCTGCAGGAGAAGAACTGCGGTTGGGAAGAAATTGGTCAAGAGGTCCGCAATCAAATAGCAGGGGATTTCCGGGAGCAAAGTCAGTCCCCAGTCAATCCCCACCTACATGTCATACATTAAATTACATGAACAATTTTGGTACAAACATTTAGTGATAACCTGTTTCTGAAGATAGCAACCAAGAAGAATAACCCATTTTATATAAACCAACACATCCCGCTCCACATTCCGCTCGCCAACCTGCAAGGACAAACAAGCACAAGGGCAGCGCTACATAACCACCAAATATATTGCATCAAAGTCAGCGCGGGTAGAAGAAACACAGATGGATAACTTCTGTTATAGAGCCTTCCTTGGGGCAAAAGCTTCAGTCCTCAGTCGAAAAAATAATTGCAATAGTTGTAGTACGATTTCATGTTTTCCAGGTCCAGGATGGGCACTCGTCAACCCCACCACAACACTGTGATCGTCAACTCCTGCATGCAAAACACTAGACTCAGGTCCAAAGCAGCACCCATGTTAGACTGCAGCTGATTGCCTCCTGCATCACCGGGGAAAACACTATATGCTCTCTCTGCGTCATGCTCCACCAGACGGTAAGAAAAATGCAACTCTCTGCCTTTATATTCAGGAGGTCGAACGATCAACTTGTTCTCACCACTTGATTTAACAAGTGTTGTAAAGTTCATCGCCATGCTTGGATTCATCTTGCTTCACGGTGCCTGTCAAATCCTGAGGCTCACCACATTTTAAAACCGAAATTTCCGGGATCTTGGAAGAATTGGATGTATCACCCCCAATCGATTCAAAATATTCATGGGGAGATGAGGTTTCGTCATCAATGGCTTTACTGCTTTCAAGTTTCTCCCCTTCCTCTCCAGTCGCATATGTTCTGGTTAAACCATCCACATAATTTAACGTTACACTGCCAGGCAACATAAAATGATCTTCTCCGGTTATCACAGTTTTCCTGATCATGCGGCTCTCACATCCAGTATCATCTTGAGGTCTAGGGATTGTAGCCATTTTAGGTGAAGAATAAACCTTAGCGTTGGATGATTCATTATCAACATGATCTTGATCAACAGAAGTATAAGCATGTTCTGAGAACATGTCAGTACCTCCATTCAGATTCACAAATGGTTCCTCGTGGGATTCATCTGGAGATATGGACTTCGACAGAATTATGCAGCTTCCACCTCCAACATATTCTTCCGAGATATGTTCACTATATTGAACCTCCGTAACAGGATCCGAAACTTCCTTCACACGGTGTACCGAATTGGGTTTCACACGATGTTCACCATCATTGGCTTCTTCAATCTCCAGCTTTGATTCTACTTGCTTTCCTTGATCGTTTACATCTGAAGAGAAGGATACGTACTCATCTAATACAGCAATTCTGCAGCGTTTCTTCAACTCATCATCAGCATTAGTGTGTTCAACAGAGTTGTCTGCATTGATATCTACTCTACTCTTCACGTCCGTCAGTTCATTGACACAATCTTGCGCATTATCTATGCTGGAAGTTCCATTATCTGTTATAGACGTCTCATGCACTCTATAATTTTTCGGTGTCTTTATGCTTCCAACCTCAGGAGATAAAGAGCCAGATCTTTCAGCTTTCAACACAGAAGACTCCCTTCTTTCTTCTCCAAGACCTGAATCGGAGTCAACATACCTAGATTCGTCAGTGGCTGCACCTCTTTCACGGTTTCTGTGGTCACCTTTTGAATTATCTCCTCTGCTGCGATCTCCAGCATCTTCAGAATATCTTTCATCCGAACGCTTAGAACTTCTCTTGCGAGATCTAGAGCTCGAACTTTCAGAAACCTTTCTATCATCCCCAAGCTCCGTCCCCCTGGCAACAGTCTCGTCTTTGTCATGGCTTCTATGTTTTGAGCTTGACTTGTCATGCCTCCTCCGATCTGCAAGATCATCCACAGGAGAAGAACCATTTCTATGGGACTTTGATGTTGGTGTATTTGTTGACCTCCTATCATTCCCTAGATCTTTCTCTCTACCGGCAGTGTCACTTTTGACATGACTTCTATGTTTTGAGCTCGATTTCTCATGCCTGAAATTTTCAGGATCCTCAACACATGAAGAATCCTTTCCATGTGACTTTGGTACTGGTGAACTTTCTGCCCTTTTATCTTGCTTGTCGTCGGAGTTATCAGCAACAAGATTTGGATCCTTAAGTGTAGAGTCTATCCTCTCAGAATCCTTGTCATCTGTTCTTGACCTTTTATGTTTGCTATGATCTTTTCTATTCCTTGAGGCTTCATCCTCTGATACCAAGGAACCTCTCTTGTGGCTGATTGAAGACGAATCTACATCCTTGTCTTCCTTATTCTCTCTTGGATCTTTCATGGTATTCTCACCATCTTTCCCAGATAGCTTACCCGGGTACGATTTTCCATCATCCAGTTTCTTCTTATCAACTTTCGACTTATCCTCGCCATCACTGGAATGATCCTTTCCATCTGGAGACACAGATCCAGAATGTCTACCACGACGAGAGGAAGTCCCATGGTTTATGGTAGAACTATCCACAGCCTTGTCCCTTCCAGTTTCTCCTGAATCTTTAGCAGCTCGACTCTTTCTGTCTGCCTTCTCAGTTTTCAGACCCTTCCTGTTAGCTTCAACTTTATCTTCCTTCTCAGGAGAGCGATGTCTCCCAGCATTAGACCTTGATGGAGAGCGCCTATGATGACGAGAGCTTGTTCCATGGCTGCGTCTTGGCGATGACTTATTTTCTCTATGATGCCTTGGTGACTTTGAAGCTGCACGAGATGACTTTCTCGATCTAGGACTTAAACTCTCTCTATGTCTCCTTGGTGATGCTGATCCTGCCCGAGATGACTTTCTCTTGCGTGGACTTATGCTCCTACTCTTGTTTCGCCTTGAAACATAAGAATAGTGATCCCGAGATCTTTCTCTTTCTCGTCTTCTATGATCTCTATCATCTCTATCATCCCTGTATGATCTTCGTTCAGAGGTATAGTGACTGCGGTGGCGAGATCTTACTGGAGTTCTTGATCTCCTATCTCTAGAATGCCGAGCTGGTGATGCTGAACGAGATCGTCTACTTCGGCGATGTTTGGTCGGAGACCTTGATCTAGATTTGGAACGAGGGCGAGGAGCAGATGGTGACCTGAAAAATGATCAAGAAGAAATCAACAATCATTTCTCAGCAAATAACATATGATTCAGAGAACAGATATAAAATATAGGCAGAGACGCCAGCACAGAACATCACCAGGGTTTGCATCCAATGGAATGGTCAATGAGAAGTTGTTTGTTAGATTATATCACTAGGTAACAAATTTGAAAGAACAGGATATCAGATCCAAATTAATCCACCCGATGGCATTACAACTCCTTTAGCGCAAAGTAGATTCGAATCATAATTATTTCGTTCTCCTTTCCAGCGCCTAAAGTATGAAACCGAAAAGTAAATTCCATCGATAATATGATGTAACTTAATGAAGTAGTTGTGTACACATACCTTGTTTACGCATTAGCAAAGAAATGACATCAACAAGTACTATTCTCTTTTTATGTCACAAAAAAGGGGGAGATCAAAAGCTCATAAATACATATGTTTCAACTCAGGCAAGCATATGGATACTTATCTTTTCTTTTCAAATCTCTACAGCAACACCAAATTGTAAGATTTTCCCCTTTCTTGGTAAATGCAAAATTATATTTTTTTTTCCTTTGTTCATCAATATCTATTTAGATAATACTTTCTTTCCACTTTTTGTTCTTCTGAAAAGTCAAAAAACGAATAATTTTATAATGAAGCAATACAAGCAATTAATATCAGAGTAAAAAATTATCACCTGGATTTCCTGGTCTCTTCCTTGTCTTCAATTGGCATATCCGCTTTAAGCTTCTTGCTTATTTCAGCAGCTCTTGCTGATGCCATTTCTGTGGCAGACTTCATCGTAGCTGCACGGGTGGCTGCCTGCTGTGCAGCCAAATTTTGTTGCATGATCAATGACTGCTGGAATTGCATCTGTTGCATAGCAACTGCCTGTTGCATCATTAATGGAAGAGATGACTGCTGGACAGAAGAGCTTGACACGGCAGGTTTAGAAGGAAGAGATTTTGCCATTTCAACATTTAGAGGACGACCACCAACATCCATGTTGTTAAGGTGCAGGGCAGCGGCAGCTTCTTCTGGCTTTGAATATTCTATGTAAGCAAAATGCTTCGAATCTGCTATGGTACAATCAACAACAGTTCCACAGTAACCAAACAGCTGTTTTAGATGCTCCGCTGTAAGAAGAGGACTCAGATTGCTAACTTGTACTGTTTTCCTCAGCGAATCAGTTTTCTCTGCCATTAAAAATCCCGAGAAGATATGTAATTAGAACAGAAGGAGACTAGTAAAACATGAAAAATGGAAGCATACTGAAAGTAAAAGTAAAAAATGAGTATCTGGTTAAAACAACAATCTTCCATTAAAATAGTGCGTTTCAGTGCTCGTATTGGTACCAAGATTCCGAGCCCTACCAGGAAATACAAATTTATTGGGGATACTATTTCATGAATGAGCATAAGCAACCCTGAACTGACCAGCGCTACAAATGTGCATGCAACTCCTCACATATATATTAAACTCTCAGTCATTTTCTTACGTATACTTTATGTAGACATTTATTTGTGTAATTTTAAGATCAAGAGGACATAACATGTTAACCTTACTGTTCCAATATTTGATAATTATTTTATGTCTCATAATCATCTTTAGTACACTTAAAATACAACTTCACCTTATCAACTACACACAAATGGATTTGATGATTGCTTGGGTAACCTTAAAAGTTGCCTTTAAATCCTGGCGTGATAGAAAGAAATTGGCCATTTAACTCCTCAAAATTTCTTTTAAAAGTGGCCAAAATTTTCATTTTAACAATGTTCATATCGACCAAGGCTCGTAGGTCACCCTAGAAACAGTATTTGGTAATAGCAGTAAATTAGTCCTTCTTAAGAAGACCCATGGTAAGCCACAGTCTCACCTGATAGCTCCAATATTTTTTCCTCGTCAAAATGCACACGAATCTAAATAAATCTACCAGATGTCTTCAAAAAACCAACCATCCAACCTTGAGATACTTATTTTCTTGACAAGTACGCCCTGTCTCACAAACGAATAATCTTCATCGTACCATTAACAACAAAATATTGAGGCCAATAGGAAAATGCAAAGAAAACAAAATTGTCATTAATTTTAACTGAATCACCAAAGACATGACATGTTTTTGCTATATAGAGAGAGACAAGAAAAACTACATTTTTATACAGGCAAAAAACAAAAAAAATATGCTACAGATTGAAAGAGAATGGATGTGGCTTTATATAGCACAAAGACCATGCGCACACCTCAATTTCTGAGCGACTGAGATGCCTCAAACAGATGAAAATTGGCATTCAACAGTAGAATGAATTATTTGGAGACAATAAGCAAAGCTTCAACGAGAGTAGGAGATGATAAGAAGTTCCACCTAAAAAATATACGCGTCTTTTTATCATAAAAAGGACAGGAAACTTCGATGTCATTAAAGATCAGTTCACATTAAAAATGGTATACAATCAATTAATGGTTGGTAAAATTGTAAACGTCACTTGTCATGAACTAAGAAAAACTACAATGCGGGCCTCCGAAATCAAACACACAAATGTAGCAAGTTTCAAGCTTATGAGCCTGTCTTTTGAGTTTTTTTGGATGAGATGTAAATTTAAGTTTTATTTTACATGTGAATTCGTATTCATATAATAAGTCTCGTTTAATAGATTTAATCTCAATTTTCATTCCCCATTTCACAGATGGCCCTTGCTATATTTAGCAATTATCGATGACATTGGCCATTTTCTCCCAAATGACGATTTTTTTTAGTAAGTACTTCATTCATTCTGTGGCAAATTTCGTATCTTTGGTATCTCGTAAAAGAAGAATCAACATATACTTCAAAGATAAAGACAAAGTCGAGGTAGATAACAAACCAAGTGCATCTCCCTTGGATTTGGTATGTGCCTGCACCTGAGCAGCATGTGCCTGAAGTGCTTGTGCAGCAACAATTGCCTGGGCAGCTGCCATTGCAGCTGCAGAAGGCGCCATGGGCTGCTGGCTCAACGTTCCCATGGTAGTAGTCGCTGCTAATGCCATCATGAGGAGATTGTGAGGAGGGTGAGCGTACTTGCAGTCACTCTTGCTGCACCGGCCACTAAGATACTCTCTGCATACTTCCCCTAGAGATGCACCGATCCCTGGCAAGACTAAACCACCGGATACACCAGGAACAGCTCCGGGAATCATGCCCAGCAATCCAGGAAAAGCCCCAGACACCGAACCCGAGTAATTTGGCATGTTTGGCATTGTCTGGTTGACAAGGTTTGGGTATGGAACCACCGGTGCAGGCGCAACCGTAGACCCTACGGCTGGACCGGTGCTAAAGAACACTGGAAATGGGCTTCCCATGATCGGTTTTCCATCGCACTCCACGCTCACCATGTAATTACCTCGCTTTGGCACAGCATAAGTCACGGTATACGTCCCATCCCCCTGATCCTTCACAACCCCTTCCTGGTCGGACCCGCCTACTCCGAGCCCGGGGGAGATCTTAACTCTCAGATTTGCCCCTCCCGTTAGGACCTTCCGGCCGTCAGCGTCCTTCGTGACCACCACAAAGGACGACGGGGCGCAGGCAGTGCCTCCGGCGATCCCGGCCCCCGCCGCGGTGCACTTGGCAGGATCGACGGGACCCACGGGCTTGCTCTCCAGGTCCTCTTCCTCTTCTTCCCCTTCGGTGTCGGAACCGCCCGGTTCTTTACCTTCATTGGCGGCCCGTTCGACACCCTTGAAGGTGGCCTCGAAAGCTGCCTTCGCGGCAGCCGCCTTCTCAGCCTCACTCTTGAGTTTTGCCTCCTCTGCCTGCTTCATCCATATTGGCTTCGCGCCGGCCGCACCCCGATCCGACATTGAAGCCCTACCACGGAAACCCTAATAAACTCGCCCGCCAAGACCGATCGATGGAAAAAAACACAGAAGGTGTAGATCACCAGTAGCCTCCCACCATCCCGATATCAACCCCGGAGGGATCTGATCTTGAACCACGGCTAGGCACCAGAGGTTGCCGGAGGTTTTCCGACCCTGGTCGGCGCGCCGGAAAAAGGGAGCGGGAGGATACGCCGGGAGACAGCGACCGTTGGGTGTACCTCTATATATGTATTTTTCTGCACCCGGAGAGAAGAAAACCCTGATGGAATTCGTGATATTTCCTGGAAAATCAATCGAGACCGTCCAATCTGTGGAATCCCCCTCCAATTAATCGTGACCGTTCCAATTGTGGAACTTTCACAGGTAAGAAGATCAGTTCCAGTGAAACCACGATGAAAACTGGTCGGAACGATTACTAACTCTAATTATTTATATCAGAATTATAATATGCTACCATGTATCCCCCAGAAAGTTCCGCATGTTCGAAAAATATTAAATATTTAATTTTTATATATAATAAATCATTATTTTCAAATTGCGTTTGACGTCGTTTAATTATATTAGACAAAAAGAATCACCAAGTCTGATAAATAGCGGACAAAATTTTTTATTTAAACCCTTCATCTATATCGCCTAATGAAAATCTCATGTCATATTATTATTTCTTATTTATTGGTTTTTTTATGCAATATAATACATCTTAAAAAATAATTTATACCCTTCAAGTATGTGCAGACGAGTAGATCGATGTATCCCCCCACCCACGTGGCACAAATAACCAATAAATAAGAAATAGTTGGCGTCATAATGCGTCGAAACGTGGCACAAAAGCAAAACACCCAAGTCACAAATTTGAAAATATCGGGTATTTTAACAACTAAAAATAAGTTGAGTAAAAGTAAAGTATCCGGCTGACAACACGTTCGCGTCTGATGACGTGGTGGATGACGACCATTGACTGGCGGGTTGACTCGAATAGAGGTAGTATTGACTCCGGTTAGTGCAGTAATGGAAACGTGGTATTTGACCCTATGGGCTGGACGACGTCCGTTTCCGGTGGGAATCGGAGAAACTGGAACGCCGCAATCTACCACTGTTGCATGCCATAGTCGTGTCGGCCTGATCGGGAGGAAGCTGTTTCCCATCCCCCTCTCTCTCTCTCTCTCGCTCTCCCCTCCGCCTCCGCCTCCTTTTTTCTGCAACCCGTCGTCGCCATGGGGAAGCTGAGGGCGAGGGACCCCGTCAACGTCCTCTTTGGATGGGTGCGGAGGCAATCGGTGAAGGTGAAGGCCTTCCTCGGCGCCGTCACAGCGCTCATCGTCCTTGCGGCGCTGAAGCTGACCGTGCGTGACCACAACCACTTCTTCGTCGCCTCGGAGGCTGTCCACGCCGCCGGGATCCTCGTCCTCGTCTACAAGCTCGCCCGCCAGAAGACATGCTCGGGTGAGTTTCTCCGCGAGCGGGACCCCTACCGCCCGTCTCCTATTCGCGTGCTTGTTTTTGGGAATTATTTTTCTGGGGAAGGGATGGAGGGTATCGTGCTTGGTTTTCTGGATCGCGGGATTCCCAACTATTCCCGTCAGGTATCGTCGGATCGCTGATCAGGGATTTTCGAAGTGGGAAATAATTTTTTACTTCCAAATGGGTTTTTCTAAAATAAGGATTCATATTGAAATATATCTAATTCCCAGGTGAATCAGGTGATCGACGTGATGTGTTCTTTCAGGTGATCACCAGGCCATTTTTCAACGACTCGCAGGTTCCAAGTGGGTTAACAGATAATTATTTCATGCAAATGAAACCGCGTAGTCGGTCTTCTGGGGCATTGTTCGATAGTTCTAAGATTAGGCACTAAATTAAATTAAATTAAATTTCTTCGTATTATTCTATGCCGAACTTCTGGGTATCCTAGTCACTAGGTAGGTGCAAAAAAATCAGTTCCCACTGAGTATTCACTTTTTTTGCATTCCCCATCTGTTATTATTTTGTTGTATATAATCTACGAATTCTTTTTTTTATTTTCTATACTCCACCCTCAGAATATTCCCCATCGGTGTGTTAAAATCACAAGAATCCAGGTCAAATATCGACCAGGATTCCACTCAGGGGAACATGAGATATCTTCTTCGAAGCTCCCATAATCTGATCACGAAAATATTAATTTTTCCAATTTCTTTTTTCCTGCAGGTCTTTCTCTGAAGACTCAGGAGCTCACTGCGCTGTTTTTAGCTGCGAGGCTGTATTGCAGCATGGTGATGGAAAAGGACATCCACACAGTCCTGGATTTTACGACGCTTCTCTTCACCATGTGGGTCATTTACATGATGCGCTTTAAACTGAAGTCAACCTATGTCGAGGACCTAGACAATCTGCCGAGATATGCTCTGGTAATCATGCCTTTCCATTAACTCTTCGAACATAGTCAACTCTGAACATAAAAATAAATATTTTCTATAAAATATTCCTTCACTGAACCTGATTTCCCTTTCTTTTTTCTCTACCAAAAGTCGGAACTTGAATTCACGGCTTGCTGTTAGTCATCAGATTTTTATTTTTTCTTATGGCCTCATTTTTAATTTTTTTTCAAACCGTGTAATATCTTCTTCAGTAATTGGGAATATTCTTTAGCTGAAGCTCATTTCCCTTGTGTTTCTCAAATAATGTGATGTTTCACCTCGCATCCCAGTCGGGGCTTCCTGTTAGTCTTCAGCTCTAATCTCTTCCATCTCCTCCTGAGAGCTTCAATGCTCTTCCATCTCCTCCTGACTCATGAACGATCAGCTGTTCCCCAAGGAAAAGAAAGAGTCTTCTCATAGAACCTGGTTATTTTTTAACGCGCCATCTGCATCTGTATTTACTGGGGATTCCCCGCAGGTGGTTCCATGCATACTCTTGGCCCTCCTCATCCACCCATATGCCCAGAGCTTCCGGGTTAGTTACATCATCTGGGCTTTCACCGTGTACCTGGAAGCTATATCGGTGCTGCCCCAGCTTCATGTGATGCAGAACGCAAAGGTACGATATGCCACAGCTTGCCATTTTATCTGGATAATTTCCATTTATTCACGATGATTAGTTTATCTAATGTTTTCTGGTGAGTAGATGGTCGAGCCTTTCACTGCCCGTTATGTTTTTGCGCTGGGGGTTGCAAGATTCTTGGGCTGTGCGCACTGGATTCTTCGGGTATGACATGCATTTTCTTGCATATTTTTTTCGTACATTTTTTATAATTTACCCGAGCTGGATCTTGGGAGGTACCTAATATCTTTCTAATCAATTGAAAACCTTACTAAACACGTATGAAACTAAGGTGTGAAACCTAGGTACCACTCATGAATGGATGCTCGGATATCCATTAAGACAGTAATATAGGCATTGTCCACCCGGATATTCTGTGGACAGTCTATAATTTCTGCTTGGATATCCATTAATGCATGCATGAGCTCAATCTTTTAAAGGTCTGCTATGATACCTAATTATGTGCATTTTATCTGATTTAAATAATTATTTTTTACACTAATCATGTAGAACCAACATGCTGGATAATCAAACTCCATTTGACATGAAAACTTAGGATAATCAGGGTCCCCGCAGAGAAATTGGAGGAAATAGAGGTGAATTAGGACCCACCCTTTGCTCATCTTCTCGCAAGGATCTTTCCCCGAGAACCCACCCGCAAAACGTGCTCAGATGCAATCTATTTGACCTCTGACGATCATCAGGAGAGAGGCTCTGTTCTTCAGTTCTACCTCTGAACCAAGGTTGTTGATTCACCCCAGATCGTCGAATCGCGAGGAAATTTCTTCACGGATTTGGGGTCTGGAATGTTCTGGGTACCCATGGTTCTGCTGGCCGAAGTCGTCCAGACCTTCATACTGGCCGACTTCTGCTACTACTACGTCAAAAGGTCAGCCCACCTCCCCCTGAACCTTCTCCACTCAAGATAACTGATGGGCTGCCTACTGAAGTTGACTCCCCCTCTCTGTGACAGCGTCATGTACGGCGACCTCCTGCTGAGGTTCCCCTCTTCTGTTTGAAGCTTGGAGCCCGTCTTCGGTGGCCCCCCGGGAATATCTGCTTAATATATCGCTGACTAACCTGCAGCTTTCAAAGTTAGCGTATCGTTGACTTTTTGTTGCTCGTGGAAGTTTCTATAGAGGTCAACGGAGGATCCTCCCCATAAGTCAATGGTGTATTCCATGAGAAGATGTGGTGGGTAATCTGTGCACATTTCTAATGTTAGTTCATGATCTACCGTTCCGGCACAAGTGCTTGCTAAAATTGGCAGGTAATGATTTAATATTGGCGGCGTATATTATATTCAATAATATTAGTACTATGTTTGAGCGATTTGAGGCTTTCAAGCTGATCTCAAGACAGTATCAGCGCGATAAGGGGCGATTTATCTTGTGTCATACTTATCGTATTTTTAATATATAGTTTGTATTTTTGTCCATCGCTACCTAATTAGGACAGAAAATATTATATTATAAAAAATTCATTCATTCTTCCATCTTTGAGTAGGGGGTACCTACGTTGTGGGCCCTACACAGTGACAAGTTGGGCGGCGCCACATTTGAGAGCAATTAGAAAGAGAGAGAGAGAGAGAGAGAGAGAGAGAGAGGGAGAGCTACTAAAATCTCCCTGCCAAGCTGGCACAGATCTAGATGGGCTGTGGATCCGCTAATGCTCGTGGTCCTAAAATATGGAGAGCCCTCTCTCGAGCCACGTGTTCCCCGGTGACTCTTCGTAGACGAAAATAGGCATGGGCTCCAGACCGCCACGTGAACGGTCAACATAGACCCTATTGGAATCGAAGGGACGGGATGAATCAGCTGTCACTTTTGAATACTTTATTTTATCGTGGACCCCTCTCCCGCGCCGCCCCCCTCCCGCGGCGTTCAGGGAGGGCATTAGTTAAATGTGGCGGAGGAACAGAACCCTTGCTTTATCCGGAGCTAATCTCGATCAACGGTTCCATCGGCCCCGGTTCTCCGCCACGTGTCGAATCTTACACGAGGCGACGTCCACGTGGAGCTCCCTCGTCGTGTACCTGTTTCTTTTCCGACTTCATGACGACCCCCCATCAACGCATCGTCACCTTCTCCCTCTCTCTCTCTCTCTCTCTCTCTCTCTCTCTCTCTCTCTCTCTCCCCTCTCTCTCTCTCTCTCTCTCTCTCTGGTTTCCTCAGCGATTGGTAGGACGAAAGCTGCTCCGAAGACGATGAAGGAGGTTCTATGGCGGAAGATCGTGCTCTAGGTGCGTGCCAATGGAGATGCAAACGGAGAAGATGGGTTTCTCTGGTAAGGAAGGCGTGGAGGAGGAGGGAGGAGTGGAGCTCAACCTCTGCCTGTCTATCGGTGGCGGTACCTCGCGTATGGCCCCGAAAGCGGAGGAGGGGGAAACTAAAGGATCTGCCGGTTTGCCCCCCTCCTCCCCGCTGCCACAGTTGACGCTGTACCGCCGTGGGGACGCCGTCGATCGGCGAAGGCGGCGCGAGATGCAGTTGCTACGGCGGCCGGAAGCGCACGAACAGAATATGGGGATCCAGCGAAGGAGGAGGAACGGTGCGACCCCCTCCCCCTCGCCGGCGGCGGGGTTCTGCAGTCTCTCGCCGTCGCTAGACGACCTGTTGGCGCCGGAGAGTAAGGAGGATGATAGATCAAGGGTCAGTAGTCGGGAGGACGGAGTGGAGGATGCCGGCTCTTCCAACCAGAAGACTAGGGAGGACCCCGAGAGAGGCTTGGATTCCGAGGTTAAACCTGAGCTTCTCCCCAATGCCAATGGTAGCCCTAACGCGGACGTCGACTACGGACCTACCTTCTGCCCTAATTCTCTCAACCCTAACCTTCCGGTATTAGCCCCTCGTCCCTACCCAGTGATGGCCATGCAGTCCCCGTTCCTGCAACTGCAGTGCCTGCAGGTTGCCAATGGTTTTGGAATCCCCTACTTGATGCCCTGGTGGGCTCCTGCCATGCCGCCGGCCGCTGCATTTCCTGCGGTGAATGAGGTCCGGCCGATGGCTTCATCCCTCGCCGGCAAGGCGGTCGGAACAGGCGGGTGGATGCCCCACGGGAGCAGCAGCTGCTCCGCCATGTCGGACAATGTGAGCCATTCATTCCGGGGTACGCGCTCCTCGCTCTGATAGCTCGTCGAGTGACCTGAAAGAACATGATTTAGATCTCTGTTTGAGATGCGCACCAGAGATTGGTCTCGTTCATATCTTTGTTCCGATCGATACAGATATTGTGAACGAAGTTCCCCGTTCAGGGGAGAGCAGCGGCGGCGGCGACGACGACGACGACGACGACGACGACCATGTGAGGAGACGTTCGAGTCATCATTCCCCAGAGGAGAATCCTCCGCTTGGCTCGTCCGCTGCCGGGCCGGCGGCGCTGCAACAGATGCCCTGCGTGTCCACGACGGGGAAGGGACCCAACGGGAAGACGATAACCGGGTTGCTGTACAGGTACACGGCGGCGGAGGTCTCCATCGTCTGCGTCTGCCATGGGAGCTTCTTCTCCCCCGCGGAGTTTGTCAAACACGCCGGGGGAACCGAGATGGAAGCGGCCAACCCTCTGCGGCACATCACCGTCGTCCCCTTCTGAGATCCCAAACAAGCGGTCTTTCACATCCCGTCTGATGATGTTCCTCCTGGTCTGTTTTTTCATTCTGGTCTTCTTCTTCCTTCTCGTTTGTTGCACGATGGCGGGGATTTCTCGCTGTTTTCGTGTCATCTAAAGGAGACCCACCAACTCGATGATGCCGATTTAATATATGATTGAATTTATTCACTTATTTCTCCGTAATAATATCACGGGAAAAGATGATTATCGTTAAATATATCTACGCGGGCATACGTCCCACACGTGAAGAGGAAGAAAGAAGACGCGGTCAAATGAGCCTGAGCCATGCTGAGCCATCAATGGCGTCCATCCCCGGCCATGATGGCTCGGACCTTCTTCCCCGTACCACGCTCACCTCGTCCGGCGACGGGTAGGACGAGAAAACCCTCGACGGGCGCAACAGCGAGAAATCTCCGTCCGTTGCCGCCGTCCATGGCGGCCGCGCCACCGTCGTGGGGGGAAGTCGACGACGTCGAAGCCTCCAGCTTCCCCGACGATGCCCGTCGGTCGACTCCTCTACAGAAGCTGTGCCGCTCCGGCGGCCCTCCTCCCGTTTCGCCCTTCGCTTGGTGCAGCGGATCCCGCAGATGCCAAAACCCAGAGAAAATGAAAATAATTCGTCGTCGCCGCAACGGTGTTGATGTTGATCCACTTAGCCTCCTCGCCGGGGAACCTGAACGTGTGTTTTCGCCGGCGATCTTCTTGCTTGCGAAGAAACCCAGGGGCTGCCCGGTCGGTCGGGTTGAAGCGGCAGCAGCTCCGTCGGAGTTCTGAGACGACCCCGAGGATGACGGCCCCACGTCGTCTCTCCGGGCGAAGAGCAAGGCGACAACGTGCAATAAAGACAGGTAGGAGAAGTGGGCTCATCCGATCCGGCGCGTTTCACTTGTAGCCACCAAGAGAGAGAAAGAGAGAAAGAGCGAGAGGATTTATAGTTTCCAAACAGAATCATTTGTACGGTTCGTTTACTGTTGAGCAGGACTTTCCAACATAGCTATCTGTCTGTAATGCATTTGCATGAATGATGACAGGACTTTCCGACGTGGCGTTGGCGGCAAACATCAAACGGTTAGCCGGCGTCCAGACGCCGAGTTCACGACTAAAGGAAAAAATAAAGTCAAATTAAACCAAGAGCGGCGACCAAAACGAGCTCAATGAGCTCTTCCAGTGGGATAGAGAGGGAGAGAGGGAGAGAGAGAGAGAGGGGGGCCAAATCTAGCTTCCAAAGAAAAGAGCTAAGTACAAATGTAAATATATATATATATATAGCTATGCACGTGCATTTGGGGGTTGATCTTTCACGACCAAGCGGCTTAGAAATGAACTCGACAGAAGAAAGGCTACTCAAGGCTCGACGAGGAAAAGAGGGGTTGGTTCCACATGCCGGCTTCTACATACGAGTCATCTCGACCAACAAAAATTGAGCAACTGGCTGTCCGCCTGGCCAAAGCGCCCACAACCGACGTCAAAGAGATTACCTGCGCCGAAGGGGGGAGGAGGACGCTATGACCCACTACTCTCTTCTGTTAGCACGCCACCCGCCTTGACGAGGGAGATAGAGATAGAGATACAGTGAGAGAGAGAGAGAGAGAGAGAGATCTTACAAATCTTGCGCGGGGGTCAACGGAAAATCCTGCCGGTGACAAAGGGCAGGTGGGTGGAGCGCGGCTCTCGGTTGTCGGGAAGTCGGCGCGGTCACGCGGGAGCGGACACGCCGGGCGCGGCCTCGACGCCCTTGGAGGACCCCGCGCTCGCCGGCAATCCCGCGGCGCGGCCCGTCCGGCTGCTGTTATGGTCAACCCGCTGGTACCCGGCTTCCCCCCGGCCTGACGGCCCACCACGGCCGCCGCCGCTGACCCTGTTCCCAAAATCCGGGCGGCCGCCGTAGTCTCCCCTTCCGTAGCCACCCCTCCCGCCGCCGTAGCCTCCGCGCCCCCTGGGGCCGTCGCCGCCGCGGAAGCCGCCCCTTCCCGTCCCAAACCGGCCCCGGCCACCGACTGCAAGCACCCAACATGATCCACGTCAGCAATGAGAGATGATGATCCACCGAAGTGGCTCGGGCCTCAGCGTCTCCCTTTGACTCACTTCTTGAGCCGGACGGGCGCTTCTCCTCCACGTAGGCCTGGCGACCCCCGATCACGACCGGCGAAGCCTGCAATGCAACACCGACCGAGAACATCACCGAATTGTCAACGAATTCCATACATAGACGAGCAAGACTCGGCAGCACAGTGCGGATCAGACAAAGGGATTCCTAAAAACGGGGGAAAAAACCAGGCGAGTCAAGTGGAGAAGAAGCAAATAACACCACTTGGCGTTTACTTTCCTGACAGACCGTGACAGAACATGACGGCATGGGCAAACCAGTCGTGGGGCTTTGAATACTGTTTTCAGGGTCAACCTTTGAGTGGAACAGCTTTCTCCCCGAGACAAGAAGACTCTCAGCCGTCTTCGAATCGACTTGGAGCAAGTCCACATTGGCAGCGGTAATCTGTAAATTCACCCTACGTTGCCATCTGGTATCCGCAAAAAGTAGGCACGCAGAAAAAAAGTGAAGGTGGAGGTGATGACAGCAACGACCCAGGCGCCAAAAATGAGTGGGTGGACCCAGTGTGGAGAGTCAAACGTGAGGTGGCAACCCAATGAAATGGAAGGATGAAAGATGTCTGAGATGCTGATGAAAACGCTGCAGATAAGATCGACAGAAAAGGTCAGATAACCAACTTTTCTGAGATGTGTATACACACGTGTGTGCGTGTGTGTGTGAGAGAGAGAGATTAATGCAACGCTAATCCCTCTCTTTCATGCAAGTTTCTTTCTCAGATTTCAATCAGATTTTTGGCAATCTGATTGGGAGAGGGAAATTTGATCCTCCCATGAACGCCCAAAAAGACAAATACCTACAAAAGTGGCCAAATTTTCTGGCTAATCACTGGTAACCTCTCATCCATCCCCCTCTGCCCTCCCATCCATTCCTTTCAGCAGATTTATTGCACAAACACTGCGCTTAAATTTTATCGTTTCATGCCCTTCCAAGAAACATGGACCAATGCCCATTTTACATGTTTAATCGGATTCAAGCTCCTCCAATGAATCGGGCATCCCTAACTGGATTGGATGTGCACAAAATGACGCAAATCCAGGCACCCAATCTGATCCCGGGGACAATGCGTCTAGTCGATTTATCCACATTTACCCATACCAATGGGAAAACGAGCCTATTCGGCAGAAAAGGTCTGAGAAATTGGAAATTATGTGTTATAAATTTCGGGGTTCGATAATGTTAAGTTTTGTTGCCAATGCACCGTTCAAGTTATGGATTCAGCATTCATCATCGCCTCCTCAAGTGAAGGTCTTGAGAAGAGATTTCTTGGAACTAATGCAATTTGGTATGTCAATAGCTGTATCTGTGAGGCCTGTTTATCCTCCTCAATAGAATAAACAGAAGATAATTAAGAATAAATCAGAAAGGAGTTCTAGTCTCCAAACCTCAATTCTGTCTTTTCTCACCTCCATAGTTTGGGGGGGGGGGGTTCAAAGGCACGTTTCATCGAATATACTCAAATGCACAAAACCTAGCAGCTAATCAGGGAAACAAGGAAATAGGAAACAGGAGAACTAAATAAACAGTGGATTTAAAACGGAAAAGTCAATAAATAAAACTTTCGAGCCCAACAGAGCAGCCTTTGTCACAAATTCCCTTCTCTCAATACCCGAGTGCTTGATTTTTTAGTTAGAACCCTCAAAATTTACACTCACTTAGCTTTACATAACAATTGTTGTCGCATTAAAAGCAACATGAATGTGATGTAAAAAGAGCTCACTAGTGTATCCATTTTTCCACCGTTCACACATCACGATTTTGCATCCAATAAATGGTTTTCCTTCAACAAGCTTGAAGCAGATCATCATTTCTTCACTATCAGATTTTCACAAGTTAAAACCTGACAATTTGTTCTATGTTGCGATATTTCAAACCAAGATTTAATCTCGTCGGAAAGATTACAAGTGGGTAATGCTTGAACTGTGTCTAAATATAATCCATACAGATGACATTCCCAGTGGGTGGGTGTTTCAACATATTAAAGAAGCAAGTCAAAAGTGGTCCCATGTTGACTCATCTAACATGCATATTAAAAGTGTGCATACCTTGTCAAAGATGATTTGAAATTCAACTCATCACTCAATGTATATAAACAAATAAACAGCCAGCGAAACCACAGGCACTTCAACCAGTAACGATGCCACATAGGTACAAATTTGGATGTATCTGGATGATAGAAGCAACAGGGACTCCGCAAATTGACTTGTGAATAACAAGGAACTACCATGTGTATATTATATACACACAATACACACAATATACATGGAGACGTACGTAAAAAAGACACGAAATTGAAGATATTTATAAGTTATTTTATATCAAACTAGTGATATTTCAGTTCGTACTGACGCCATGGGAGACAAATTTGATGCAAAAAAAAAGAGAGACAATAGCTAACAACGTAAAAACTAGAGGACATTTCTGGCATTAAAGAGAGCCATGATGCTTTCGCAGACTATTTTTTAAAAATATGAATGAATATCTATCAGTAAGTCTACTTTCAAACAATACCAATCCAAGAACGCAGAAAAAGAAAACCAGAGTATTCTCAGCCGAGCTTCATTTCTAACTAGGAAGAAAAAAGAGAAGAGTGCGTTCTCATCAGTAGAGGTCTAACAAGTCTCACCTCTATAGCACTTTGAACGGCACTAGCCACCTCAAACTCCACAAAACCAAAACAAAATCCTTGTTGCTGCATTAAAGACATAATAATATATTTGATAATCAAGCAGAATAACAAGATTAAGAAACCAAAAATAAAAAACCAAAGAAAAGTAAGAGGCAAGGACCTTGTGGCTTCTAACTTGTATGCCACCAGGCTTGATGGGACCAAACCTCTTAAATTCCTCCTCCAGCTGTGCTGCTGTTGCATTTAAAGGCAGGCTCTTTATATAGATCGAGTACCCGTCAGCTGAAAGAAGAGATGAATTAACAAAATTTTCAAATTAATCTCAAACTAGATTATGAACATGGGATTGGCAAAAACCTTCTGCCTCTTGAACATTGCCAGTTTCAGGAGCATGTGAACCGGAGGAAGGAGCTTCAAGTTTTGGAGGTGATGATGTGGGAACAGGAGCAGGCTGCCATTCTGGATTCACAGGAGGTGGCCTGACAGATGAAGCTGAAGGCACTGACGATGGAGCTGAATTCTCTCTCATAACCTTGACCTGCATACCGTAATATAGTTAGCATACCACAAAGATAACTTCCGTTGTCAGAATGTAATCGGCACGACTACCTTGTAGTAGCACATTCAAATTGATATCATAGCATGAAACATCAAAATTTTATTATGGCTACATCTGTTTCGTAAAACACTGCAGAATTGGACCCTTAGTTTTCAAATGTGGTCAAAGTGGAGGGCAGACTTTTTTACATGTATATTAGAAGAACCAGCCTCACAGAAAAAAGACTCTCGATATCAGTTGTAAATATAAAAGTACATTGTCCTTGACAAAAAAAAATTGCTATCGTATGGTAATTTCCTAATTTCTAAGGAAAAAACACAATCTAGGCGAATTATACTTCTAGGAAAAGGTACAAACAGTATAATTTCTCATAAGATGCTAATATACGATATGAAATTGATGGCACAGCCATTAATAAGTTTCACATTCTCTTCTAAAAAAATTGGCAAGGCATGAAGAGTAAAGAGGACACCAATCGAGCATCAAATTACAACATGATAACTGAGAGATAAAACTAGAGCATAGAGACTGATATAAGGAATTTTCTCAGATACAGTCTATTTTTTTCAACGAAATATCTTACAATTGAAGCATACGACTTCTTTGGCGCTTCTTCAATCGCTGTAGCGGGATTCGAATCAACTACAACTAGTGAACTATTGGGAACTTCATCTACCACGTCATTCACAGGGGCTTCCTCGTCAACGACTGATCCATCCCAATTATCTGAAGGATTGTAAACTTCCTCAATATTCATTTCTTCTCCTTCTTCTTCCTCTGGAGGTGTTACTGTGCCCTCATGAATCCCCTGCTCCTTGTGTTCCGATGCATCTATAAAAGAAAATTGATAACTTTCGGTCAGTATAATAACACACAAAAGGAAGAAACGGCAAAGAAAAGTACACCTACCCTGTTCGTGAACTGATGATGTTTCATCTTTATCGGAGCCTTGGCTCCCCTGCCGTCCCTGCTGCTGTGGCTGCTGCTGATCAGCTGCCTCCACATACCTGAACATATCATTCAGAACAAAGTAGCCCTTCTCCTGAGGTGCCAGAAAGAAAGTTTGGGTGAAGTTTCTCTTGATGTTGTCCTTACCAGTGAGGTAGCCTGTCACAAGGACAAGCACCCCACCGCTGTAGGACTCCTGTGCATCCACGGTCTTGATCTCTGCTCTGTAATCTTTGAACTCCAACGACAATATCTTCTCATCAATTGCCTTATCGAGGAAGTAAGCCAAGTGTCAGAAAAAGAAACATGCACGAGACAATTACAATAAAGTGCGTGGAATGATTTGAGCTTTATGAACCCTAGCAACCTACAAAAAAAATATGTTCTTCCCATACAAGACAAAATAACCAGATTTCAGAAATCCGACATCCTCGACAAATGCCGATGCCAATCGGAAAAGAACACGCCTTCTTACCTGCGTGGTAGTGATGGAGCTCATCACGCCCGCAGAGTCGGGGCGGCCGAGCTTACTTGTGTCCTGGTAAAAGTGGTGAACAAGCTCGGGGGACTGATGCAGTATATGATAGTATTGTTGAACGAAGGCGTTCCCCACCTGCCGCAGCGAATTTCCAATTTACAATAGCCTCATAATCACGATAATAAAGAACAAATCAGAGAACCAACATCTCTAAGGTCTCAGGAGAGAAGAGATGAAGTCAGAAGGAACAAGGTAATAGACGAGCAGCGATCAAGCAGAAGCCCCGTACCACGTGCGGAGGAGCAGTAACCGCCTGCTGCTGCTGCGACGCCATTTCCGAAGACAACCGCAAGGAGCTCGAGCGGTGGATCAGTGTTTCGAAAATCTACCAGATCAAACGAAACACCTCCCGATCAGCCACTCACAGGGAGTCGAGCTCCATAGATCCGCCATACGGAGAGATCAGCGAAGGAAAACAAAAAAATGGCCGGATCAGGCGATGCTCTCACCTCCCCTGCGGCCACGATCAGAGAGTCCACCCCCCTCCCGTCCCTCCTCCCCGTCGAGCCCCTACCTAGGGTTTCGCGGGACCCTGAATCGGGAGGACACGCCGAAACTACCGAGAGGAGAGAGCGAGCTGCGAGAGGAGACGCCGCCCAAGCGCGCGGAGAGTAGAAGTCGAACAAACTGAGGGCTCGCCTTTACTTATTCGCCGATGTTTCCTATTTTCGAAATAAATATACATATACCAGTGGGGACCCATCTTATGAGGCCCGAAAGCCAGTCAAACCGGACCGAATCGACGGGACCCGGTCCACCCGGCCCGCTCAGCCCATGCCTCCTCCACTGAAGCAGGGATATGGGGGGACTCGGTGTAGCCGCTATGCTCTCCTGATTTTATTTCTTTATCCCTTCTTAAAAAATATTCCCATTCCAATCATTTTTCCTTTTATTCTCTAATACGAGGGCAAGGATGCATGCCATTTCTACGTGTTTTCGATTCACACGAGCCGTCTGTGAGCACGTGTGGCCAAGTAATGGGGCGTCATTAGCTTACTAATTACGAAGCAATACATAGAAACATACCGTCAGCGCCTGGGAAGTTGACTATTTGTCTGTGCATAAAAGTAGTCAACGGTGAGACCGAGCCCCCCTGCTTCCCCAATCGCAACCCAAGGATGATTAATGCATGCTCTCATTTTGATAACAAAAATGGAATGTAACAAATGGAAATATATAAATATTTTTCCTCCATATGTTATATCTGTCATAATATCCATAGTTTGCATGACGTGCATACGACCGTTTCAACCTATTTAAGTCAACTTCCTAGACCATGCCAGTTTACAAGTTTTATGCCAAATTCAGTTGTGCGGCGTGAGAAGTACGGAGCTGTCCGTAAAGCGGGAAGTATCTGACATATTTGTTGAAGTCAACCACTCTTCCGCTGCCGGTTACCCGCGGGTGAGATTACCTTCCTCGTCCAACTTCCTGGCCATTCAACACTCCGTCCGATGGTCAAGAGGAAGAAAGGAGGCGTCCTATTCGTGCGGTGCATAGGGTATCCCGTAGGGGAAGGGTGGACGGCGTGGCGGGTAGGTTGAGGTCAACGCCCTCCCCGCCGCAAGACGATATTCACTCTCGTTACGTCACACACGGCATCATAATACTACTCTTACGCCCCCTTTCGCCACTCTCCACGCCTGCCTACACCCGGCAACTTGGACGGTATGGGCGGAGAGAGAAGGAGAAGACGAAGGGGGGGGGGGGAGGTTATCATATCGTTGGCCACCTTTCTACTCCCCCAACCACTACGACCCCCCGACCCTGGGGCGCGTCGGTGCCTGCCGCTTCTAGCTGAGTTGTCTTCTCTCTGCCCTCTCCCTGCTCAGCCAACCACAAGACGATGAGGACCAGCAATATAATATTCCCATAATACCCCCAAATTACCAGCGATGGAAGGAGGGCCGCCGCAGCCACTGGGAGGGATCTTCTTTCTTCCTCCTTCGAGTGGGTTCTTTTGATGGGTAGCTCTTCCGGGGAGAGAAGGTCAAACCCAGGAAACCCTAATCTTGATTTTCGCACTTGGGCCTGGAGGGGGAGGTGGTAAGGTTCTGGCGACGGCGGTCAATCGCGGCAAGGAAGGGGGTAAATCGGGAACTTGGGGGTCGAAGCTCATCATGGCAAGCCGGGTTGGGGCAAGTTGGAATATTCAGCAGGGCGCAGGTCCCAGTTGGAGATTTCGAAGGTGACGAATACAATATGGAGGTTCCTCGCATCCCTTCCCACCACCCCTCTCTGCAGCACCACACGAAACATTGCTACTCTTGTTGTTCTTGAAGAGGCGAAGAGAAGGGATAGAAGAAGAGGGGAGAGGGAGGGGGAGAGTGAGAGAGAGAGAGAGAGGTGGCGGTGGATGTAAAACCTGCTCCTCGCCACCCTCTCTTCCCACAGCCGAGCGTTCTTCGGTCACCCGCCACCTACTCCCCTTCTCCGAGGCTTGTCTACTGGGTGCTGACCTCCTCTGCACTTCCCGCCGCCACCTTCCGGTAAGCCACGAAGCCTCTTCCTCCTCTCTCTCTCTCTCTCCTCTGCCTCCCGTGCGACGACCGTTTTCGCCGTCCACTGTCAACGGGAACTGTCGCTTGCCGGTTGTTCACGGCGGAGCCTCGCTTCTGGTTCTGATGCGTATTGACCCTGTGTTGACTGCGACGGGTCTCGGGAGCGTAGGTACGGTGACGAAGCTTGGGGTGACGGTTCTCGTCGGATCTTTCTTCCTCCTTGAATTTGGGGTTCTTGTTGGTTGGCGGCCTCGGGCTCTGGCCGGGAGATGGCCGCTCCCGCGCAGGCTCATCCCTCTTCGGGCCTTCGATTTCCTAATTCTTTCAGATCTTAGAGCAGAACATAAAATCCTCGTGGTCTCCTTGCTCCCTGTTATAGAAAGGATCATCTCTGAGAAGGGGTCAATCTTGACGGCGGATCAATTCCGACGGAGTTCTGCCGATTGATAGCCGCCGAGGATTCATACGAGGCTGTCGGAAGGTCCTCTTTCAAGTGTCTGTGATCACCTTTCGTTACTATTTGACGGCATGGGCCTCTGTAAGAAATTGGTAGATGATCAAGAGGGAAGTAAAAAAATATTAGATTCGGATGCGCTTTTACTCTTGTCACGGGATTTTCCTTGTTATATCATCTGCTTTATGTCTCTCTAGATGGCAATTTTAGTTTGTTCGCCTTTGTTTAAACGCGCTGTCAACGACAATCACAAAGAAAAATTAAGTCACCAAGGGACTTGGTCTTCTCAGGCTTTCAACTCAGATTCATGTGAAGATCACCTTGCAGAAAAATATCTCTCTCATGTTTAAGCACTCACGTGAATCGCTGTCTCTGAATCGGGAATCCTGGTCGTGAGGCCCCCTCCATCTCATCTGAAGCTCTCAGCTGTGGACTATTTACGTCTTATTTGAGAAGGGTGGTCTACTGGTTTAGTGTTTCACAGTTTCTCACGAGGGTTGGATGAAAAAATTATTTTCTAACCGACTAATTATCTCGTTAAAAGATTTGACGGGATATTATTTTTGATCTTTAAACCTAAAGTAATCTTCATCACGTGTGCAGACTATACAAACATTTTCAACCTTTATTTTTTTTCATCTCTCTTCCTATTTATCATATTAATAAGTGTCTGGTAAAGGAAATTCCGAATATAATTTTGGAATGAGGTGATTCGCCCAGTTATCTTTATCTCCTTGTTCCCCAGCAAGGAAGCATTCCACGAAATCTTCCTTGCTTGCTCTAACCCCCCTGCTACTCCCTTGTGATTCAGTGATTCCCTGTGGTATTTTCCTACTCCTGCAAATTATTTGAGAACTAATATTTTTTACCTGTTCTGTGTACACGATTCGCAGGTATTTTTGACAAAAAAATATTGCTCATATTTCAAACAGCTTTATCTAAATTTATCTCGTCGTTATTTGGACGTCCACTGCGATTTCCATGGAAATCCACAGCTTTTAATGATTGATTGTTTAGTTTTTTGGCAGTCCAGGAGAGTGCAGCTAGCAATGGTCAGTGTTCGAAGACGCAAACTTTTAGGGCTCTGCACTGGTACACGTTCCCCAGAATGCGGCAAAATCAGCCTGTCTCTGTTGGTTCATTACTTTCAAATGAATTGTAGCATCTGTTGGCTTTTTGTGTCGGTATCTTCACTTTTATCCTGAATTAGTGTTTTTTTTCTCGAAATAAGCTTTCGTTTCAGTTGACTACCTTCACATCGTTCCTAAAATCGATGCCTTCAGCGCGTACCCAGTAAAAAAATCATTATTATCAGGAATTCTTTTAAACGCGGGGATGAATTTTTCTTACACAGCTTCCTGATCTTTGAAAAAAAGTCAACGGTGGGTCTGACATGTTTCTACTTTTACAGGAAAAAGTGCCACTTCTGTCGAGCTCTCCACATCTAATGAGAACGAAACAATTGTGGATAGCCTAAATGAGAACGTCAAGTCAATTTCGGTGCATCCTGAGGGGTCAATTGATTCATACGAGCAGAAAGAGGTATCCCCCAGTCTTCAGTAGAGGCTGCCCAATTCAGTCTACTTATACCGACTCGAATCTTATTTTTCCTTTAGTCTTAATGATTCGTTTTTCGGAGAGGGATTTTAAAACAGTAATTTTCGATACAACAAGATTTGCTTTTTTAATTTCTTTTCTTCTGGGATTGTACGATCATTTTAATTGGTATTATATCAATTGGGTTTGCCAACTGTCTGTTTCTATGAGTTTGACCAGTTTCTTGAGCTTTGGGACATTTTGGTATTTCTTGGGATTGACCAGTTTCGTTCTGCTAGAATCCTGCCATGACCAGTCCATTGCAATCTAGCTCGAAGTCAACGCTTCCCTTCCTTTTTGCCCTTCCAGGGTCCGGTATCAGATTGATACTTTTATTTTGTGCGCCATGAATCATGTAGTATGAGCTTCCACATTGATTCGCATAGTGATTGCTTTAAAAAACTATGATTTTCACGAGGTTCTGAACTTCTATGGCCTTCTCTTTCAACCAAACGATCATAAACGTGAAATTTATCTTTCCATTTACCGTGAAATTTATCAGAGAGACGTGCTGCAGATGTAGTTCTTCGCGTATGCTTCGCCATTTAAAGACATCACAGGCCCTCGTTTGAAGAAATGGCGTTATTAATAGGAAAATCGTGAAGTTTTGTGCTCAGATTTGTGTATTATATTTTTTTTCATCGATATTCATTCCCTATTAGGCTTATGATTCGGATGACGATGGCTAATCTCAGAAGAAATTCCTCCGCCAGTTGACTTGTAGGGTCTATAGAACAAAGTCAAAGGGAGAAACTGTGCTAAAATCTGGTTCTGCTCATGAATAAACCCACGTTATTGTTCAGATAGAAAAAATTGCTTGATTCCTGCCCACACACTCGTATGTTCTTGTATGTATTGGGCTTGGGGATCTCATATTTGATATTATTCTGACTTTATTACATTCAGTGACGATTGATTCTGTCTCAACTCACAGGTCGACGTTTTAGAGGCATTTCCTGCATCTGCTGATGTTTCTAGTTCTAGTTATATGAAAGAAGAGCCAGCCCTTCAAGAACAAGGTAGATGGTGTTTCATCGCGCTTTTTTTCCCGATTAATGATCGCTTTTAATGAGCTTCCATTCGATCGATGGAAGATTCCGAACGAAACATTTTTCCAGTTTAAAACCCAGAATCGAACCTAAAATGCTGGAGATTCCCTCACAGAGGAACACCTATGGTCTGGGTTGACCTCTGAGATCTCACACACGGGCCCGGCTTGACTGAATTGGCCGGATCAAAGAAGGAAAGTAGATACTAAAAGCGATGCGTTCTTGGTACCCCTGGTGTGGTTTTTTCTCTGAGATCCACCGGTTACTGCTGCAGTTCCAGGGGTGAAACGCAGAAAGAGGCACAGGAGGAAGCACGTCGAGAACCAGGAACCCTGCACCATGAGAGGGGTCTACTTCAAGAACATGAAGTGGCAGGCGGCGATCAAGGTCGAGAAGAAGCAGATCCACCTGGGCACCGTCGGATCGCAGGAGGAGGCTGCCCATTTGTACGACAGGTATCCGTGAACCGCTCCGAGATCCTCCGCCGATTTCGAGTCATCCACTCAAGGAGAATCGGCCAGATTTTGACTCGGCCTTGTTGCCACCGCCCAGGGCCGCTTTCATGTGTGGGCGGGAGCCCAACTTCGAGCTCTCGGAGGAGGAGAAGCAGGAGCTGCGCCAGTTCAAGTGGGAGGAGTTCTTGGAGATGACTCGCCGGGCTATCTCGAGCAAGAGTGAGCGGAATCATCATCATCATTCTCCTTCTTCTTCCTCTGGGTCGCTGGCTTCTGCGATTTTCTGGTTCTTGGTAGGCGATGATGGGCGATGTTTTCTCTGCTGCAGAGCACCAGCGGAGGGTCGGCTCTGGGCCTCGGAGGAAGGCCGGAGCACAGCCGCAAAGCGACGGGGAGGACGCCAGAGCGGCTTCAGCGTCGGACGATGTTGACGGCGACAGGTGAGCGACGAGGCCAGACCTTCCCAGCCAACACAAGCTTGCTCCTTCCTGGGTGCAAAAGTATACAGGTGGTACATATAAATAGTTATATATATATATATATAATCCACATGCAAATATATATAGTTTTTCCTCATTAATTTGATTATCTACGACGGCCCTCTATTAGGGCAGATGGGTCTGAGCTATCGACTACCTGTTCCATCAGCTCTCCAATAAAGATGCTTTCTTTCTTGCTCAGATCAACTCTTTCTCTCCCCCTCTCTCTCTCACTCTCTCTCTCTGAATGTTGTACGTGGTTGGTAAATGGCATGAGCTCCTCGGATAATGTTACGGAATTCTCAAGTTTGGTCTTCTTTAACGGACTTTGTTTAGTGAGCCGGGGAATATGAGGTCATTTTCCTGGGCCGAGTCGGGACTGGGCCCAATCTGATATCCGGGGCCCCCTTATCCACATTTGGTCTTTTCATAGGGGAGGTAAGACGGGTGGAGGTGTGCTTACCGCCGGTAGGTCGTTGGGATTGGACCCTGGGCATTGTTCTTCATGGTCAAGGCTTCTATTGGTGGGATATCAGTCTGATGACGTCATCTAGCTGCAACAGCGCCGCCTTAGCCAATGGATGGTCAGAGTCCCTCTCTCTCTCCCCCTCTCTCTTTCTCTCTGTCTGATGGTGGGGGGAAGAGGGTGTGGTCACCGAAAGCTCCGATCCCTGCGATTTCTCGGCAGGAGGACCCTCGGCCGGCGGGATCGCCCCTCCGACGCCGCCGTGGGGGTCCTCTGTCTGCAGAATACGAAAGAAGAAGAAGAAGAGGAAGAAGGAGAAGGCACTTTCCTCCATCGATTGGAGCTGGTGAGCTTGCAGAGGTAGCTGAATCCGTCCTCTCGTTTCTGAAACCAGCTGCCGCTCGGAGGTCCAGATTCCCCCGGAGATTCTTCCTCTCGTTTTCTTTGCTTCTTCTCCAGCGTTGCTGCTCGCGATGTCGCTCCCGTCGCCGCCCCCGAGACAGGCGGCGGCGGCGGCGGCGGCGCAACAGCAGCAGGTTGGCGTGGGGTCCGCGGCGAAGAGGAAGAAATGGACGGAGGAAGAGGAACGGAGCCTGATCGACAAGTACGCGGAGATGCTACAGGAGGGGACGCTGGCCAGGATGAAGACCCGAGAGAAGAAGTTCCGCCCTATCGCGGCCCACGTCAACGCCTCCCACCATGCCCTTGATCCCGTCGCCTTCCCCTTCCAGTGGTCCTGGAAGGACGCCTCCACCAAGGTCCAGAACATGCGCCACCAATACCTCCTTGTCAAGCAGAAGCTCCTCTCCTCCTGCGCCGTCGTCAGTGCGAAGGCGGCGGCGGCGGTGCCTGCTCCCGCCGATGCCGACCGGCCGGACTTCCCCTGGGACGACGGGCCTTCGCACTGGGCCAACTTCCTCCGCTACAAGGACGTCTTCGGCGATGTTCCCCTTCCGAGCACCGGAGCGGCTGATGCAGCAGCTCCCGGTCCAGCCGCTGCCGGAAATCCTCCCGGGAGCTGCTTCGATGGCGCCGCCATGGCGATCGAGGACGATGTCAGGGACCTGGGATTAGGTTTTGATTGTGATGGAGATGAAGGCGATGAGGAAGGATTCGACTACGAGGAGGTGGATGTCCCAGCCCTACTCCCTCCTCCCCCTCCTCCTCCTCCTCCTCCCCCACCTCCTCCTCTTCCTGCGCAGCCAGCATTGCTGCGTGGGGCAGTGTCGAGGAAGAAACGGAGGAAGAAGATGGAAGGAAAAGCGTGGGCATTCATGGACGCGCAGATCGCGAGGTTGAAGGAGCGGGAGGCAAGGCTGGACGAGTGGGAAGCGGAGCAAGAGGGAGAGAGACAGAGGAGGGAGCTAACGAGGGTGGAACTGGAGGAGAGGGAGCAGGTGCGGCAGCAGATGCGGCGGCAGCTGGAGGAAGACTGGGAGGACCGGTGGAGGCGGCAGCATGAGGAGGACAGGGAATGGGAGCAGAGGGCCGAGAGCCGACGGCTTGAATGGAAGAAGAACATCGAGGGCATGCTGAACCAGCACCGAATCGAGATGGACCAGATGCAGGCCCGAGTCCTCCATGTCCAACAGAGCATGATAGCTCAGATAGTCGGTCTTGTTGCTCAGTGGTCGGTCCCCAACCCACAGTCTGGACCCCTGTCAGACGGCGCAGGCTTTCCCAACCATCACGGCCACCACCACCACCAAGTCTATGTTTCACAGATGATGCAGAATCTGCACCATGTGAATGGGATTGTCCATGGAGACAACAGAGTGGACGGGGAGAGCCAGGACGACCAATTCATCGTCGATGATGGATGAACAGGACGACCCTTCCCCAGCTTCTGCATGTATATTCGTCGCAGGTTTCTCCATACCGAGGTGGGTTTTCAGTAATCTGTAATATTCCGAGCTTTGACCTCGAGATTTTCACCGGTTCTTTCTCCCTGGTTCTTCATTCCAATTCCGGATGAAAGAACACCACACCCTCTTCATCGGATATTCACCAGTCTTCCCTTGATTACGAGGGCTCTCTGGTTCCTGGTTGCTATCCCATCCATGTGCACGGTGCTGCTCCATGAGCCACCATGGCTTCAGATTCTATGGTACCAGGGGAAGCTCAGGCCTGATGCTTCAGGAACTCGGTGGGTAATCTTTCAGCTTTATCAAGGATCCCACAGGTGGGCTCTAAACAGTTGGATTCATCAATCTGTATAACTTTCTCAGAAAATTGAGATACTTTGTTTTTTTTTTTTTTGTGATTGTGGGAAAAAAAATATTTTGATTTTTATTGGCCCTTCTTAATCGTTCATCTTAACTTGTTCTCAACTGTGTCAATCCAGGGCCCTTCATGATCTACACACCCTTTATCATTTTGACTTATTGGGTGTCTAAAAATGGCAAGCTGCTTGGAGACAGTTGCTGAAACCGGTGCTGGAACTAGACTGCGATCAACTGCTCGGACCCAGAGAGTTTAGTCCCCAAGAGGGACGAGTTCTTGCCAGATTTGTGCTTCGTTTGTGAACTAGTTTTTCTTCTTCTTTTTGTTTTTCGCCTCTTGCTTGAGTGCATTTATCCATCTGGATTAGAAGTAGCTGAGGAGGGATCCATGCCTTAGAAATTTTCTGCCGGACTGCTACTGGTTTCTGTCTTATGATGAAAAAAGAGCCGATCTTGTTACGATCCAGATCTCGTCAGGCAAATGTGGGCTCCTTCGGTGGTGACTGGGCATTAGGTTGAGCAGGAATGGGGCATAGAGGAGAAGGAAAGAGGACTGGAGTGGCAATTTCTAGGGTTCTTCAAGCACAAAATGGCTACTGAAATGGGGTGATAGTTTGTTAATCCTATGTTTTCTTCTGGGCCAAAAATCACCTTGAGATTGATTTCTCTGGATGATTACTGAGAAGCCAGTGTGGATCTTCTATTGCTCGTGTGAAGAATCTGCATATTTTGATTTGCATAAATATTAATTGTCGAGGGAAATTTATCACTGTCTTTCATAAAAATAAAGAAAAATCATCCTCAGACCTCTGTTCTAGCTATGAATACTGGCAAAAATTCAGTGACAGTGACGGGAAAAAAATGAAAGAATTGGCGTGGATGGAGTGAGTGGCGATGGTTTTCAGCAGCTATGGCCGAAGAACAGTCGGCGGCTGTCGACGGCGAGGGGGACGGGGGAGGGAAACTCAGGGAAGAAATCGCCGCCGCCGATCTCGACGCCTCCCCCGAGGAACTCCTTCTGCATGTCCTCGTAGATTTCTCCCCGGCGGTGAGTCTCCCCGCCGTGGACGACGGCGCCCGGATGCTCCCCCCATCCGCCACCCGGCGACCAGGGGGCAGCCATCAGCGCCGTATCCGGCGAGGCCTGTGAGGGAAACCCGATGGCAGTGCCGCCGTCCAGGTAGGAGTTGCCGGCGATGGGTGCGCACAGATAAGCGGCAGGGAAGCCAACGGCGGAGTACGTCGCCGCCGCTCCGCCCTGAATGAAGTAGTCCTGCAGAGTGTTCAGCTCCAAGTCTCGGAGAAGACGAGAAGTCTGGCCGGCGACGAGGCTTCCGCCAATGTTCTCCGAGGTTTCATCCTTCGGGAGGCAGCGGCCGTCGATCTCGCCGCAGTCCGGCTGGAGATTACTTCGGAGCCGGGCCATCCTATCCTCGATCTTCTTTAGCATCCCGTCGAGCCGCTTCTCCATCTCCGGCAAGGGCAGCCCCCTCACCTGCTCCAAAAAATTCCACGGCGAGGGGAGCTCCCTGTTCTTCCCTTCCTGCTCTGCGGTCGCCGTCTCCTTCATCACCCTGTCGCCGAGGAAGGAGGAGATGTCGTAGTTGCGCTTGCGGCGGTCCTCAGTGGCCACGCTGCGATAGCGGGCGATGACGTCGAGGGCCTGCCGGCGGTCCTCCGGCCAGACCTCGAGCTGGCCCTCCGGGCCACAGCAGAGGACGAGGGTGGGCACGTCGCAGAGCGTGGCCAGCTCCGCCGCCTTCTTCTTCAACCCCGCCTTCCTCTTCGTGAAGGTGGCGTTGCGGCGTTTGCGGTCGGCGATGAGCTCCAGTGAGGGCTTGCACCGAACCATGGCGGCAACGGCGGCGCGAGCTTGAAGATGGTCGGAGAATCTTGATGCCGGTCGTCGACTGTATAAATAAGCAACAACAAGAGAATTTTCCGGGCCCACCTCCGAAAAACTCGCCGGCGCCGCCGCCCGCCTTTCCTGTTTCGGAGTTTCCATAAGAGGGCGAGGGGGGCTCGACGGGGAAAGGAAACTCCTTTCACGGGTCTAAAAGAAGACGGCGAGAAGCCGCCGGCGCCGGTAGCCCGGGAAGCGGTCGAAATCGAATAGACCCATGAGAATATATATGTGGTCCGCTCCCGTTGACGAACTCAAGGGTCATAATCATAAACCCATCAGACGAGCCTCAGCATCATCCCCCAATCAAGAAAAAAAACGCTCATAAATAACGTTCTATGGCTGGGAAACATAACATCATACGAAGATCAAGTACCACAGTTGACTGGAAATTTTGTCAGCGTTCTACTTCCTCCTGGAGTTCTTTGGCTGCCAAGTCAACGTATATATATATAATACAAGTTATAGCCCACAGGGGATCACTGGATGAGGGAGACCAAGGAGACAAACTCGGAGGTGATCTTCCCCCTGGACCTGATGTTGATGACGAAGTGCTCCGGGTACTTCCTCAGCAGGGTGAGGAGCCCGAACCAGGGCCGACCTTTGGCCTCGCCGCCCGGCCAGTCCTCCGACGTGAGGTACCGCCGCACCCGTGTGTGATGCCATATGTTGCCATACTGCTTCAATAGCTGCCCCAAGAACAAGATGGGCACTTTAGATCATCCAGAACAGACGTACCGATTTTTAAAAAAAAAGCTATTTTGAACCAGAAATCGCATAAAAGAAGATACTGCCAGCAGACCTCTGAATGAAGCTTTTCCATGGGCATCCATTCTCCGGGGCCGCAAAGATCAGAAAGGACGGTAGCAACAGAAGAGACGACATTTTTCTCCTCCAACTGCAGAAGCTGATGGTTGTCTGCTTCCCTGTCAACTCTTGACCTCACCTCCGATTTTTTCTCTGCAAACGAGGAAGGCAGGCTGTCGGGTACAAGAGAACCGTAATATTCACTATTGACTAACAGCAAGAACATTAGCGCCGGGATCTTCTCACACAAAGTCTGAGACAAGATACCATCAGTAGTACAAAGGATAAATTTATTTAAACGTATCTTACGATTTGACAGACCAGAAATATTATATCGACCGGAAACTATGTGTCTTTAATCAGATCCTTAAACAGTCCTGACCTGGGACGGCATTGGAAGAGATTTCTCAGCCAATTAACAAGCACATGCACTAAAAATACCCATGCAAATCACGCATGAAACATGTGACAATATCACTGTGTCAACTTGCGACATCGACACTATACAATCTATTATTCAACATGAGAACTTAGGAGGGACAACCGTCAAGATGCTACCAGAAAACATTCATCTTTATGGATATCATACCATTCAACGAGGAGGATGAAGAATCTCGGAACTGAACACGGTCTGTTTTAAAGGTACACATGAACAGTAGCAGCTGGAATGGATGTACTTTAAGCTAAAAGAATCCAATAGTAAACAATAACAGCGCATTCAATTGTTATGATATTCCAGCCAGCAGCCTCACTGGCAGATTATATAGACCAAAAGTTGCGTGAGTAGAAATGAACGTGATCCCACTCACAAGTTCCTGAAACCCTCCTTCAAGGACTTATGATTGATGGGTATATAGCATGCTCGTCTCCGCTAATTCCGTTTTGAGCAGAGGATGATTGAGTACATCTGAGCTCGTGTCAAAGGGGAGATCCAATAGTTCCAGAGAAACATGCTTTAAATAGAACGAATTCATTTCAGAAGAAGGATGCTTGATCCAGAAGTTTTCGCAACTCAATCAGGTATTATGGAGTCACCAAAGATCTGATATTTCATAACTCCTCTCTGTAATTTACTGGAGGGTTGGGAAACAGAGATGTAGACAAGGATTGAACGGATGAACTCCTGAGTATTTGTTCACCTGATATCGTCATCATCACCTCAACAATTAAGGTTTATTAAATCAATTAGTAGACTGTTTTAAACCTTCCATCAGTTACTGAAATATTCAGATCGACTTTGATCACAAGCTTTAATCTAGAGATCGAGCTATCAGCACTCTACATTATGCTGAGGCTCTTAACACAGGAAACTCTGAAAAGAATGGTGGTTTGTCTTAGGTCCTTGAATGAATCTCGGGTATAAATGGAACGTATCTAAATGGCTTCAAACTTTTCCTTGAAGTTGAATTCGATAATCTGGAAGCACCTACATACTGTCAATCGAAAATAGAATAGAACACGTGTTCAAATGAAAATGAGATAGAGGAACGGTGGGAATTCATCTTTTTTATCAAAGACACCTCTCATGTATATAGGAGAGGAAGGAGGATGGGGACAGTTAGTGAACCAGGCTGACCAAGCCCATTATTCTAGGGGCTGATTTAGAGTTGCAAGAGTTCATGAGATGCTGAAAAATTTGCAGAAAGAAATAAGTGAGAAGCAAGACAATATTTTTTACCACAGCTCGAGGGGCTAATAGTAAGTGACCTCCTCCCATAGTTCAGAAGGCAGAGTTACATGAGGTTGCCAAGGAAAGCAAGACAATATGGCTAAAAAGGAAGGTAAACTTATTTTATTTCATTTTAATTTAATTAGCGCGAGAAGAAAGGCATGATTGAAATGTGATGGATGGGTTAAAGTTGAACTAGAGATAGGATGACTTGGAGAGGACGGGTATAGAGTTTCTGAAGAGAAGCGAATTGTAACATGGCAAGGTGAAAGACTTGTGCAGTGATCAAAAGAGGAAAATTGGTGCAAATTTGATATGGAATTGAAATTGATGTTCTATATGTTCAAGAGAATCTTGTCAAAAACTTTCTGCACAGCTAATGAGAGAGGTCGGAGGCTAGATATTATCAGGTTTGATGGAGTGGAAGAAAAGGATCAGTAACCATTTTTGGAACCGAGAGATGGATTTGAAAACCGCAATTGCTGAAGGTCAGTAGAATTAGTGTTCTCTGTCCCATCAGTTTGTAGGAGATGGTTACACTCATCACGACCTCCTAGATATATCCCCAGTTTGAAAGAATATTGTTCCGACCATTATTGTTGCTAGGATCGGCCTTAGGCTAAGAAGAGGAATGGGAGATCAAATTTTTTTTGGATCGACCCATGATATTGGCATTCACTCAGGTTTGACAACTATTGGAGATAGCTTGGTTCCGGATAACACCATACAGTAAAAGTTCATATGCTCGTCTCTGCCACAATCCAATTCCACATCCCCAAGGCCTCTCATTATTCAACCTTATCTTATGCTACATGTACATCAAAGGTCTGAAGAACGTTAATATGCCTCCCAGACTGTAACAAGCTACTCCATTCTTCTTTTTGTCTCAAGTCTTCACGGACCATGAGGAGTATGTTCCCTAATATCAAGAGTTTGGCCCATATCAATCACGATACAGAAAATGTACGACTCATGACGAGAATCAGAAAATGAGGCCACTACTTTAACACCGTGGTTGCTGTAAGGAGAGGAGAGAGGTGTCAGATTTCCTGAACCTGAAAGGTTGAAGCTACTTAACCAGGACGATAGTTTCCAAAGAGAAACCTATCTTCTGTAGATTCTTGCAGTCTCTCCACATCCTAAATTTCTTTAATTGAAAGTTACCCAAGGACTTGGAAGCATATTTTTGGAGGTTGTCACTAGCCAACAAAACCTATCAAAACACTTAATGAATCCTTCATTGGGTCAGCCAGACACAAATCGATATAAGGTTTCTGATAATGATAAACATGATTATTTTATTTTTTAAGGCGAAGAATATTTTCTTATTTATCCTGTATCCTTACGCCACAGCAACAAAATGGATAGGAGTTTTCTTCAAGAGCCATGTGGTGAACCTCAGATTAAAAAATATATAATTCCCTTGTCAATCTATGAGAGCAGTTGAAAAAACACAGTCCAGTCTCATCATTTCAACCAAGATTTTTTGTATGAAGTTAAAGATTTCTTCGCAAGTTTGTTCTATTTTTCCTATTTTGACCAAACAGGCTTTAAAAGTATCTCTGGTTACATGCTCCTACTAGAGACAGCACTGGGCTTTAAAGAACTGCATTATATGGATATCTTTAAAATTGAATAAGTGATGATGGGCAAAGTATTGCCACGAGTAAACGGACGTGTATAAACTCCATTTCTGCCGAGAAACTGAAAATGGCTCATTCTTCTGTCCACCTATTCCTTCCGGGAATGTCATAGAAAAACGCTCCAACTTATGGATTAATCTAGATGCATTCTCAGAGTTCCAAGTTAATTTCCAACGTTATGTAATGCTAAAACGCACCCTAAAGATGATAATTTCTTTCCTCGATGTAAAATGATTTCCCATCGTCAATATCTGCCTTGTCTCCATTCGTGAAAACATGCAAATCCTATTATACCCCCCCACCCCGGCCCTTAAAAAAACCGCTAGTAAGGAAATTACAAGCTTACAGACTAGATGAAGACAATGTAGATAGCTAAAATATTCGAACATTTAACAGGGCAATGTACTTTCTATATGACAGAACCAACGGCAGTAGAAAAGGTTTCATGGTGTACATGTCTATACTACTTAAGATCCCACAGACCTAGCGAACACAAGATTACCTACATACAGCGCAGAAAGATCCTTGAAAGGCACCATGGTATGCCAGAATTAGTCTATAAACCCAAAAAGGAGTGACCGGACGTTAATAAATAAGAAATGGTCGAAGAATTTATCTTACCAAATTGCCCCGACGGTCCAGCCTTGCTCGTTAGGCCGCTACCCATGCTATAGGTGGCAAATCCATCTACCTGCCCATCTCCAGAGGCTCGTCGAAGCTTCTTTGCAACACCAGCTGCCATCATTCCCCCCTCCCCGTCGTCGTCGTCGTCGTCGTCGTCGTCCTCGTCCTCGCCGCCATCGGGATCCTCACCATCGCCATCCTCATCGCCATACCCAGCGTTGTTATAATCCGCCAATGGCATCCTTGCACGCCCCTTCTTTACATATAGCCCCCCGGACGCCGAAGCGGGGGGTGCCGCGGCCGGAAGAAACATCTGTCGAGGAACGGCAGCAATGGGTGACGGGTGGGCGGGGGCATGACGAGACACGGCGGCCCCCCCAAGGATGGAGCGGACTGGGAGGAGGAAGTAAAACTTCTTGTCGCCAATTTGAAGCAGGTCTTGGGAGTCAAGCTTCACTGGGGGATTGCCAGGAAGATGGAGGACGCCCTCGACGAGGCAGCCGTTCTTCCCCAGGACCTCCAAGGCAAAGCGGCGGCGGGGGAAATCGTAGAAGATACGAGCGTGGACGCGGGAGATGTTCATTCCGCCGCCGAGGCTGGCGAGGTCGACATCCACCGTAGATTTTTTGCTGTTGCGGCCGAGGAGGATGGAGTAGGTCTGCATATAGTACTCGAAATCCTCCCCCTGCAGCTTGGCGAACCCCGCTTCCACGTCGCCGCCACCAGCGGTCACCATCGATACCTCTCCTCCTCTTCCTCCCTCCTCTCCGATCTGCGAGGTTGAGAGCGAGACAGAGAGAGAAGGAGAGAGAGGACTCCGTCTGGTACCCTTGCGGGAGGGCACAAAATCAAATACTAAGCATAATTAGTAACATTTTGCAAACATTTAGCAATTAATATATATTACGATATTTAATTTACACAATACTTTATCAAGTATAATCCAATCGTGATGGATGTTACTGGATCACTCCGAACCTAAATATAAGAAAAATTTAAAATAAAAAATATATATATTCTCTTTAACATTGGCCAAAATTCTTTACATTATGCATTAATTTACAACCATTTAGTTTTTATAATTAATATAAATGAGGCATCAATTTGAGTAAGTATGCATTCTCTCATCTGTCGTCTCTTTTTCTCGGTCAACCCCTACACACGTAGCCCTCCAAACTGACTTCTTAACCATAGTTGAAGAGGGTTGACTCCCCGAGCTGGTATTGGGCTTTATTTACGATAAAATATATATTCGAAGAGAGTGATATATAATATGCAAAATGTATATAAAATACTAATTATATGTAATCCATAAACCACCAAATAATCGCCACAGGTTGGTGTTATATTGCAAATTTAAAAAATAATTTTGTCAAAAAAAGGCAATGTTGGTTTCATGAGAGCATGTTTTCTAATGAGCGTAAATAATATTTTATATTATAATAATATTGGTTTTATTATCGATGGCATATTAGGTCCATACGGGGGCTTCTTTTCCAAACATCGAGGGGATTAAATCTCAAATTTATTTGTCTAAATTGTTTGGATTTACACACTATAATTATCCCTATAACTAATATAGTTCACCGCAATTAGAGCACATTACCTAAATAAACCCCAAAGATGCCAATATTTTTCTATTTACTCACATATTAATTTCGTATAATTAATTTTTTTATCAAAATTTATCGAATTAATACCCAACAGACGGATACTAATTATTAATGTTAATTGAGGAGCTGGATAATAGTGAACGACTAGTTTTATGGTTCATTGTCAAAGTGCCCGGTTTAATTAATTAACAACCCCACCTTCATTTTAATTAAACATATCCCTTGAGAAACCGTCATTACTTATTAATTTCGAATGTTTTTTTTATATATAGTTATAATTGTAGCGTCCTCATTGACTTTCGTAACATATTTTATGAGTATTCCTACAATTAACTGACAGGCGAGTCAGCGGTTGAACACCTCCTTATGAATAATTGTGAGAGAACCCATTTAATTAATACTCACTCTAGTGAACCCTTATAAGAAAACAATTATTCTGACACCCCCTCACACCGCCGCCCACCTCTCTCGATCTCTCTCTCTGTCTCTCTCTGTCTCTCTCTAACACACACACTCCCGTCTTCTACCTCCGCTCATTCTGTCTGTGCTTCCCGCCGCTGGGAGAGCATTTTCCCGAATCAGAGAGACTCCAGAGGGAGCACCGGGGAGGGGGCGCCTATTCCCGGAAGCGTCCGGGTGGCTGCTACAGAAGGGCGGAGTGTCTAATGCCTGGAAGATGCAAAACGCGTTTCAGGACGGGGACCCTCGCGGAATGTCGGCGAGCGGATTACGGCGATCCCTCTGATCCGCTACCTTGTTGATGATTTCTGCCGAGGGTGGACGCTAGGGTCTTCGAGAGATCAGGGGAGAAAGCCGGGGATGGGGGTTCTGGGGGAGAGGTCGTGTTGCTTCTGCTCCGGTGGGGGGCGGTCGGAGAGGGTTAAGGCTGGCATCTTCTCTGGAAAGGGTCCCGCCATGGCCCTGGTGTCTGGTGGCGGTACTGGCTTCCTTATACACCGGAACCTCCTGCTAACTACTCATGCCAGCCTCCCGTCCGTCGCGGCCGCTGAGGCGGCCGACATCCAGATCCATCAGGGTCGCATTTCCGCCCGTCTAGTTCCCCACAGGTCAGTTCTCCATGGCTCCCTTTCTGTAGATTTTTGTCTTTCTATTGCTTGTTTGAAACCCTATTGCTACCCTTTCCACCAATGTACTCCCAAATTTCTCTAGTTTCTTCCTGCGCACGCTTTTTGACCTACTGAAAAAACGGGGGTGATTATGCTCCTTTTCGTGGTCACGTGAATGATGTGCGTGCTCAGCGATTGTGACTTTTCCGTTGTGATATGTCCAGGTCGCTACGTCTTTCTTTCCTATCTCTCTTTTCTGCTTATTTTTTCACGAGCTCAATGTTGCCTTTTCTTTTTCTTGGTGTGAAAATGGAAAATGCCCGCGTTCTTCTTTCTTCTGATTGAAGATCCATTGCTCTAGGCAATTCCTGCATTAAATTACTGACTCTTGTTCTTCCAACAAGTCAACGTTGGTTGATAAAGTGATATTTCGTGATTGTGATGACGATAACCTATTGCGTCATGGAGGAGATGGTGGGGGAAAAGTTTTGGATATTTACACGAAGAATTTAATTGTGTTTCACTTGGTCGAGAAGTTCTCATTTAAAGGTAGGAAGGACGACAGGACGACAGTTAAATATCTTTCCTTGTTGCAGCATAGTTTCTATTCAAGTGATGCCAATTTTATGTGTTAGATTATAATAGGAAAGATGGTGTTAGTTATAAAGGGCTTTATTAACTGGGAAGTTTCAGTGTAATCCAGTTTTCTTGAATCTTGTAGGCTTACAATCCGGTTATCATTACACTTGAAGTTACCCTACAAACATTGGATTATGTATTAAAATTATCCTATTCCCGCCGAACGAAGATATTCCCCGAAAGTTACATAAATGGAGTTTACAACCATGGAGTGATTGCAAGAGTCAGTTTTCTACTTTACCTGGTCGGATAGTGCTATCATTGGACGCAGATTTGTATGAAAACGTCACATCATTATCGTGTAATTTTATCCTATCTGTTAGTTCTCAACTTGTAACTCCAGATTTCAGTCACTTCAGTTGATTGTCATAATTATTACTAGGAAATAGCTCATTCTCCTAACTTACAGTCGAAACCACACCACGGCAGAGAAGATTTGGTGTTGATTTGTCTCAATATTTTTTATAAATAAAAAAATAATTTGATTTTTATATCAGAGTTGGTGCTCGGGTTGATTTAACATGCAGGCAGATGGATTTGTCGCTCTTGCTTTCTAAGCATATTACAGTGATTTAAATCCACAAGATAATCTCTTTGTTTTGCTTGATTTTCATACTAATCAGCTACCGTTTTCTACGGACATCCCGAATGAGGCCTTCCAATTGTAGGTGTGATTGTCAGTGGGAACTAATCACCAATCTCTTGTGTGGAGTATCCCCGTCCATTAAAAAAGAGATTAAACTTGAGTTATGTTACTGAACCGATTTCCTTTCTCAGAAGGTATATAGAAAGAGCTGTCATTGATTGTATATTGTTGGATGTTACATAATTGTGATGTTTGGAAATAAGATAATATTAATCGTGTGATTAGATTTTTTATTTTATGGTATCTTCCAGTCATATCGCAGAAGAAATATGGCTCTGTTATCGATGTCCACATGCTAAGTGGAGGCAACCAGGTTCACTTTTTTCAGCTCTTTTGCTTCAGAATTAGGCTGGGGCAAAGTTTTAGGCCTGACTAGAGCCTCATAAAGACCTGATCCCCAGAAGCCCGGATACGCACCTTACATCAGACCCAAAAGCCTTATCCATCTCATTTCATCGCCCTCCCCCTCCCCCTACCCCTCCCTGTCCGGTTGTACCTTTTCCCTTCCACTAGTGACCTCTACCTTCCCCAGCTTCTCCCCTCCCTATGTCAACTCTCCTCTCCCCATAGTGCCCTGTTCTGAGCCCCACCCTATGCTTTTGTCGCAGCCCGCAGCCTCCTACTCGTACCCCTTCAACCGATGCAGTCCCCTGTGGTAACCATCATGGGGCAAACATCTGGAGATCTCTACTTTGGTCTGGACCTAGGCGTCATCGCTCTTAGACTCAGTTCCATCAAGGGGAAAGGGATGGAATACGTCTTCCTTTTACCACCTAGGCGTGAATAACGAGTCGGGTAACGAGGTAAAAAAATAACAGATGCTATTAGAGGTTATACTATACAGTTTGAAGGATCATTGGTTTCTTTCACTGTCATGTGATGTATTTTACGACAAATCTTGAGACAAAATGTGTCCAGGAGAACATGCTGTTGATTATATTTAGAGGCAGTTGTTTTTGCACACATCTCTAAACATCTGCTATTCGGGCAGTGGCGGGAGCAGGCTAAACATAACGCGGAATTCACTCTTCTGTGTAAAATTGTAATTAATTTTGCCCAAGACATTTCGATATGCTGTATATGTCCCTTGTATGAAAGCTCGTCTCCTTATGCCGAGGCAAATGGAGCAGATATTGCACGGTTTTTGAAGTTTACTAACCAGGATTAGCTGATCATTGATCCATTATTAACAATTACAGTACCAATATAGCACAGAACACCGGGATAATCGGTGCATAATCCATCCGCTGTATTTTGCACCCCTTAGGGCTTGTTGTCACATCGAAAAGCTTGCAAGATGATGATACGATCCTCTTTGGAGGGGCCGAATCTGAGTAAAATCGAATATGCAGAATACTTGTATTGAACTCACGGAATCTTGTCAACGGCGAGAGATAGAGCGTCAGAATAATAGTCTATGAAGATACAAGAAAGGAAGAGGAAAAGAAGAGAAAGGGATGGGGAAAGTGTTCGAGAGGACTCCCCCACCTCTCCAAATTCCCTCCTATTTGCGCTCTATTTATACCCCCCCTCACAGGTGCCGAACACATGACTCCTTCTTACACCCTCTATAGGTCAGCAGGGGGATCGTATCAGATGATTTCCATCTTGGACTCTATTCCCAGGATTGCCCTAGATGCAGATTGATCAAGGTGAGGGTTTAGCCCATCCCAACCTGGTCAGAGGTTTGGTTGAGGTCAATCAACCTGAAACTGTACCCAACCCCTTATACTCCATATTGTCTCTAACCCATTTGATTGCTGGCTCTACTGGGTAGAGTTCGATTACAAATTACATCCATACATGCTAGTATCGAATGAATAAATAAAATCAACTTTTCCTGAGCTTTGAAGAATTATGTTTCAGTTTCCTCAAATGCGTATTATTCATGTTGAGAAGATTCATGTTGTTCTTCAGACCTTGTGCGGATCCAGTGGAGTTTCATAATTGTTTTCTTGATCTTAAAGCATGGGTGGGGGGTTTGTATGTACTATTTTGCTAGCAGGTTTTGCACATAGAGATCTTTCTCTGAACTCGTGAAAACTCGGCTATTCGTCACGTCCTTCACTCCCAACTTTCATGCAGGTTTTTCATCACCAGCACGGTTCTTGATCTGACAATTGTGGGGATTGACCCTCTCGAGGCCGACTCAAATTCTCAACAGCCACATTGCTTGAAGACAGGTTCCATCCCAAGCCTGGAATTGGCCAGCGTGGTGTATCTCCTTGGCTATGATGACAGAAAGGAACTGATGGTTGGGGAGGGAAAAATAGCGGTGGCCACCGACAACCTGATCAAGCTCTCAACTGGGGTAACCTGGTGCCCTGGTTCTGCTGGTTTTGACGTTCAAGGTAACTTGGCCTTCATGGTGTGCGACCCCATGAAGCTTGCCTCGTCTCCAACGCTCAGATCTTCATCTGTTTCCTCTTCCTCCTCAACTTCGGCCAAGAAGGACCTCCCCATGCAGTTTGGGATCCCCATTCCCATAATCATGGACTGGCTGTACCAGCACTGGGAAGGGAGTCTGGAGGAGCTCTGCAAACCCAAGTTGCCCCTCATGCGGCTGATGTCAACGGGGCAGAAGAGTGACCGATCTGGTGCTTCTTTCACAATGCGGCGGGTCTTCAAGGACCCTGAGGCGGAGAACGACGCCATGACATCATCATCAGCGGTGATCTCGAGGCTCACGGGTCAACTCGGGTCGGCTGGTTCCGCAAGTCCAAGAGGAAACGCAGGTGGAGAGCAGGACCATCCACGTGGCGATCTCCGGTCAACACACGATCGGGGCATCCGGGTGCCTAAGATCTATGAGACTCCCAAAGTGACGTCAGGGCCGCTTCTGAGGAAGGATCATCCCCCGCTCCAGCTCCTGGACATCAACTTTCCACCAAAACTTCCAAGGGCCGCCATGTTGCCGCTCCCTGTGAGGCAGATGCTGACAGAATCACACCGGAACCAGGCCAAAGCCCCCAGGCAAGGAAACTCCCCAGCAGAGGCCGGGCCATCGCGGAGAAGGAAACCGAGGAGTTCTGAAGACTCAGCGGAGGTCACTCAGCCCTGCCCGGCTCTAGCGGATTGCCACAGCGAGGTCCAATCGAGCTCGTCTCCATTAGCAATCTCTGTGTCAGCAGACGAGGGCTACAGATGCAGCAGCGATGGGGAGACGATGTACTCTGCGGAGACGATGGAGAGCAGAAACTATGCCAGTCCCAAGCGAGATGCCTACCGGCAGGTTGGCAGGAGCCGCAGCTGCATGGACTACCAGCGGTGGGGCGGCGGAGCTCAGATGAGCTCCGCCACCGGAAATCTTGGGCTGCCGAAGCAGCGCAGTCTGATCGCCGCAAGGAAGACCCCTGCCCACTCGCAGTCGCAGACTGTTCCTGCCGGTCAGAAGAATCACATCTACCACAGCCCCACGGTTTCCTCGGCGATGAAGAAGCGGGGTGGCGCTGAGCAGAGAACCAGGCCCCGGCGGACGGTGGCTCAGGTCTCCCCCAGGTGGATGTTCTAGCCGGGGAGGTTACTCCGTCCACTTAACCTTTTTCTTCTTATACGTGTATCATCTTCTCTCGGTGCTTTCCTCGCTGAGTCTTTGCGTATATTATGGTTACATAGTTGGGCTTCTTTGCCCGCTATTTATATGATCCATATGACGACGTTTCAGCCTTGACTTTTTTTTTTTTCCCTCCCATCCAAGACGGGATTCTTTCAGGTTCCTGTTTGCAGAAGTTCTTACCCACTTACTGAAGTATATGACCCTCCAAGAATGTTGGGCAAACTACCTGTGATTAGCAGAAATGCCGGCTTGTTATGTTTTCTATGTAACGTTGACTTGTGGTTCTTCAAAACCGAGAAGTGTCGTATGGTTCATCGCTTAAGCTCAGAGAGAGAGAGAGAGAGAGAACGGGAGCGAGAGAGGGCAGGAGGGAGAGAGACAGAGATCAGGTCAACCAAGAGGAAATGAAACCCATCATCATCTCATTAAGAAAGTTGAGGGGAGTTGCATACGCCTGAACTCTGATTTTCCACACAAAGCGCTGAGCGCGGGGCTGCAGGTGGTGATTGATGGGGTGCCTAAGCGAGGAGGATGGCGGCGATGGAGCAAGCGAGTAGATGCGCCAGCGGAGGAACAGCGGCGGCGGCGGGGGAAGTGGCGTCCGTCGTTCCGGGCCCAAAGCCCGGCTTCAGCCCTCCGACCCCCGCTCCGCCGAAGCTCGGAGACGTCGTGGTGGATGGGGCGGCGGTGGTTGCACCAGGCGCGGCTTTCGGGGTGTTCATTGCCGGCGTGGCGGACGACGTCGCCGGCGATGTGGCTGCGCCGGCATTGCTGTAAGGCGGAGGTCCGGGAGACCCATCAGAAGAATCTTGAAAGCAAAAACATTGGTGACGAGGGGAATCTTAAAGGAAGGAGGAGGACGATAAAGTATTCAAAGGGCACACTCCGTCAAGGCTGGCCTCTTTGAACATCGGCCTCCATCTCTCTGCATGAGCAGTTCACGATAAAGCGTTCCATGTGCCGGTGGGGATATCAGTGCTTTTGCAGCCATATCTTCCTGTTTCCTCTTCCCAAGTACCCTCTCCGTCCTCCATCTCAAAGAGCTACTGGGCTTTTACAGGAAGAGAGAGAGAGAGAGAGAGAGAGAGAGAGAGAGATAGAGAGGTACCTGGGCGAAGACGGGTATGTGCATGAGCCATAACCTGCACCAACGATGGTGATGAACGTGAATAAGGACAGGCGATTGAATCAGAGCGTATTTCGGGAGACCGACACGACTCCAGCGAGGTGCAGATGCGAAGCACCGTCACACAGGAACTGAGGAGACACGTGTGGGGAAGCGAGGGGGCTCACTGGGGTCGGTAATGGTGGTGGTGGCGGTGCCGGCGAATTCACAGCTTCCGGGGGCGTAGTTGCGACGCTGGTAGTAGCTGTTGAAGGCGTAGGACGCGTGGGCCTGCAGCGTGTTGGGGAGGTAGCAGAGCCCGCTCGGCTGTATGGGCGAGCAGTCCGCCCCCGCGTCGCACGCGTAGTCCAGCGCCGTCTGCAGCGCCACCGGGCTCGCGCTACTCCGCGCGATGCACCAGCTCGCTCCCTCCGCCGCCACCGCCGCCATCGCCACCACCACCAGGACCGCTCCCACGGCGACGGAAGCCCGGCCCCCGGCGGCACCGCCGCCGCTCATGCGTCTCCCTCCTCCGCCCACCCACATCACCGGCCGGGAGAGCTGGCGGCCACCGCCGGAGCACCTGAAAGTGAGATGCTGAAGGAGCTGACGAAGAGGGAAGGGCATCAGCTCCACCTTAGCGAGAGAGAGAGAGAGAGAGAGAGAGAGTTAATCGTTCTGGAAAAGGTCCATAATATTCTCTTTTTTTATTATTGGGCCGGACTTTATTCGATTTAATTCGAATAGACAGACAGGAAGGTGGTGGTCTCGCTAGGGCCCACAGGCCCATTACAGAAACCCTCAAAAGTAGACTGGGCTCAAACGGGCCCTCCCGTGCCGTCGCCATTGAAAGATGAAAAGAGGATTCGGGTTCTCTACGAATCAGTTTTCTAACGTGGGCTCCGGGCCTAGCCCATTAATATGAATTGTTAATGGGCCCATTTGTGGCTGTCTCCTTCGTCGTCCTCTTCCGCCTCGTTTCTCTGCTTCTCTTCCCTCCAGGGGACGCAAGACGGATGAGTTTAGCCTTCTGGTTCTCCCTCTCCGGCGCGTCTTCTTCCCTACATTGTCTCGGATCGGCACCTCCGTGTACCACCCGCAACCCCTTTTCGAAACCCTAACCCAAATCCCCGATTCAGCGGCTGTTCTTTTTCCTCTTCAAAGATCTGATTATACAGCAATGGAGGAATCAATCCTTCCTACCAGTGGAGCCGATAGCTCGACGCCTGCATCAAGGGATGGGCGATGTAGGCACCGACGGTGAAGAAGCTGATGACCAGGTAGGGCAGACGGAGGAACTCCTTGTAGTAGTCCTTCGGCAGCTTCTGACGGCCGTCGAGGATGGCGGCGAAGGGGAGCACGCTCGTCCGCTTCTTCAGCAGCTCGAAGGCCTCGCCGTGCCGCACCGCCAGCCGGCGGTCCCCGTTCCAGACGCCGAACAAGTGGTGGGCGATCAGGCCAGCGGAGGCCGCCACCGCCACCGTGTTCCCGATCCACAACGTGTGCGCCAGGCACCATATCACCTGCCCGACCATCTGAAAGGGAAAAAAAAAGGGGGGGGTAGCGGCATGGAAGAGATCGAGATCTGCAGACCAGATGCACAAGAAACCAAACTTGGCATCATCTTCAAAAGAAAACCAAGAATCCGTAAGCTCAGAAGATGCAGAGTCGTTCATCCACTGAGACGAGCAAACCAAGAAAACTTCGAAAGAAAACGATTAAAATCTGGCAACGAAGGAAAACCCGAGAGAAAAAAGAGCAAAATAGTCATTAACACTGACCCAGCTCAATTTTTGTCCGCTTAAGGTTCAAAAAATTAATCCTCCATAGAAAAATAGCCCCGACCCAGAAACCCGGATCCCATTTGGAAGATCATCTAATTCTCTCCCTCTCTCCCCTCTACTGGAGATTGAAACCATGATTAATACGGAGAAAAAATCACTAGATTTCTCAGAAAAGGCGTTCATTTACCTGCGGGTGCCTCGTTATTCTGATGATCCCGGTCTCCCAGAGGTGCATCTTCGGCTTGTCCACAGCGGCCACTTCCAGCAGGTTGAAGGTGGAGGGGTACAGGAAGAAGAAGGAGACGAAGGACGCCACCCAAACAAGCTCGTGGATCCCCTGAACGCCCTGCACTTGCCACAGCTGCGTGCCGTCGTAGCGGTGGTTGATGAAGTACACCTGAAAAACAAAAAGTGGGAACGAATTTAAGGAGAAGAACTGTCCACGGACTGCGCAGGTCCCACAGAAAAAGCCCGGATAATGGGTTCCCAGCTCGTAACAGAGCAACAGAGAGAGAGAGAGAGAGAGAGAGAGAGAGAGAGACCAAGAAAGGGCTCTGCCTTGGGGACCAGAGCTGATTCTAAAGCCCAATTAACCAGGATTCCTGACTACTGAATAGGAAAGCAGCTAGGACAGGAAGAACAGACTGAGAAGGAAAGGCTCACAATACTCACAATTGTTGTCAAGGCCAGCGGAAGTGAGACCCCTGCAAAGAGGACCCGGTAGGCCCGCTCGCCGATCAGCCCCTCCCCGGCATCTCTCAGGCTCGCCAAGCCGCTGTGGACGGTGGCGAAGACCGAGAAGAGAACCAGCAACACCACCTGTGATGGAAAAATTGAGGTCGATCAGCGGGTCAAGCAAGGGAAAAACATGAAGGATTGCATGCAGCCAGTCAGCTCGAGCATCGCCAAATTAGCTCGCAGGAGAGTTTTGAAAAATTTAGAGGTTAGAAGAAAAAAATTACTAGACTTAGAAAATTAGCAGCCCTAATATTGAGAAACTACCGGGGAATGATTTGACTACATGCTGAGTTTTGAGTCGTGTTGGCTGTCGCAGTGGATATACAGACCAACGATTAAAACCAAGAAATATAATATAGGGATCCGTATTTTTCTCATATGCATTAAAAACATTAGAGAACAAAATTAATGAGACAGAACTATCGACAATCAGCTGTAACCCAGGCAAGAACCACTTCACTGTCTTCGAAAAAAAATATCTGAAACCGCTAAAAGAGCTCTTAATCCAACGATAATTATGCCATTAGGGTAATGATTCAAAGGAGCTCATTTCTAAACACCTTCAGCTGATTCCGAAGGAGTTCTTAATCCAACCAGAATTGTACTCTTTGGGTAACCATTCAAAGGAACTTATTCAAAGGGAGTTCATAATCCAACAGGAATCATACAACTGGGTAATGATTCAAAGCAGCTTATTTATAGACATATTCTACTATAAATAAGACGATTTTCTTTTTGACAGATTTTTCAGCCATTTATCATGCGTACCGCCAGAAACTATCAACTTATAGCGAGCACAACAGGCACATTGAAGGACGGGAAATAGGATAATGATGATAATGCACTTAACCCGAGTGAGTTTCCTTTCATGTGATTATCTTTAAAAATGACCCAAATTTTAATAGACTGGATGGAAAATATTCAAAGGGGCGGTAGATATTCATCCGGTTCGATAATCTGAAGAAGAAGAAAAAAAAACGAGTAACAGGGTCGACTGCCCCAGGAACAGCTAGATATTCTATAAACGGGATTTTTGGATGATTGGGGCCAGCAAGGTTGCTCACCTCGGGGCTGTTGGATGTTCTTGAAACGGCGTTGATGAAGGCGGTCCCGAAACCAGTGGAGGGATCGATCCACACGACGTTGAGAGCGAAGAGGACGGCCCCCAGTATGCCGGTGAAATACACCCACGAGAGAATACTCTGTTTGGCCAGCTCGAACGCCGCCGAGTCCTCCCCCACTGAAACTTCCCCGAGCTCCCCCTCATCGTCCCTCTCCCCGACGGAGGCACCGCCGCCGGCAGGAACCCTCGAGCAGAGCCGCGACGGCGAGCCCAAATACGAAGCCCTGTTCCACCGGAATTTGAGGAAAACCTGGCCCTGCGTGAGTTGCCTCCGAAAACAGCTTAGCGAATTGGCGCTGTCAGGTTGCAGAGGGTCCACCCTGCGGCCGGCGATGGGTAGAAGAGAAGGGCGGGCCGATACCAGCGAGGAGAGCGCCATTCGACGGCCGTGAGAAAAACGGATGAAAAGCGCCGCCTTCCTTTCTTGAAGATGGATAGTACATACTGCCACGTGGACCAATCATAACCGGAACCCTCTCTCCATCCTTCTCTGTCTCTCTACAACCCCACGTTGGAGGGAGCGGGCGAGTTGCCCAGAGAGCTTTCGCGAAGTGATTAGAATTATAAAGGATATATTTCACGTGTGTGAGACTGGTCTCAGAGAAGGGAAGGAAACACGCAGAGCCCAAAAGTTCTTCACCCCACCCGGCTCATCCAGACTTGGTCCTGGAAAGGACATACTCTTCCTAAGGAGGAGACGGTGGTGCGCCCCCATTCCCTCCTCCGGCTTTTCTTGCAGGCTTTTCTTCGAGCACTTGGCTGGCGCTACTAATAAATGAGCAGTGACTTCTTACTTCACTCTCCCATGGAGATGGGAGCTCAGAGTCTTTCTACGGAATCTCTTCACATGAACTGGCCAAAAAGCTTCCAACTCCAGTGGAAAACGCTCGAATTCCTCAGAATTACGAGGAAGAGACTCGAAAACAACCATCCATGCCTCCTCTTCTTCCCTTCGAGGAAAAAAATGAATGGGAGGAGCAAAAAGCGCCTGCTCCGTTTGGCAAGACGGGACCTCCTTGGAATCCCTCCGGGTAGAAGGCTGTAAAAATGCCTCCTCAGGAGTCTTCGGGAGCTAATACCGCCAGCCTGTGGGCTGGCAAGGTTGTCCTTCCTCTTACACAGTTGGAATGGGGACCCAATTGAGCCCGAGGCAGGCGCCCATTGGTCCACAGCCTGGCAACGACTCTGGCTCGCGCCCCACGGATTTGGGCTCGGTGGGCCCGAGACCGTGGGGGTGTGCGCCCCGAGGCCTGGCCGCCACCAGCTGGGTCTGCAGTAGTGTGGATCTAATCTGAACGCAACACGGCTGGATGATGACCGACGACCGCCCCGAGATCACAAAGATGGGAACTTTATGCCACATAGGCTGTAAAAATCACATTTTCACGAGACCCCATCTCCCATCTCCATCACTCTCCACCGCTGCCACCGCCGCCCTCAACAGTGGTGGAGAAACAGGACGTCGAATAGTTCACAGGAAATTAAAGAAGGGCGACGGCCACCCGCCGCCGGAGCTCCGCTTCTCCTCCTTTGAGAATTAGAGAGAGAGAAAGGGAGAGAGAGTGGAAAGGAGGAGAGAAATCGAAGAAATCTGTCCGCTCAGTTTCGAGATTCTCAGGCAGCGAGGCAATTACCGTTCGAAAATACTAAAGCAGACTGTGATTCTTCTGAGGTAGGAGAGTGGGGGGGGGTTGTTCAGAGATTGCATTCTAAGCAGTTGCAGGATTTGGGAGTGAAGGAGCAGAAGCCGAATGGCCTGTTGGGGATGTTGCAGTTGATGGCGTAGCAGCAAGGGGAGGGCAGGCAGATGCCCCGTGGTCCGCCGCAGCAGGTGCAGAGCGCGCATATCTGGAAGCTCCCCAGCCGCCGCCGGGTCTCCTCCAGCAAAAGCGCCCCCGCCCCCGGCGCCGCCGTCACCGGCTTCATCACCCACGCCCCTTTCTCCGCCGCCGCCTCCACCACCTGCTCCAAATACAATCACACGCAGAGGAGGGCGAAATTTAGATGGGGGCAGAAAGAAGAAAAGAAGAAAGGGAAGGGTGAGGGGGAGGCAGGCGGAGAAACCCACATGAGCCGAGCACGAAACCCCGAAGATGGAAGCCGCTAGGAGCACGACGAGGAGGAGGAGGTGAGAGAGAACGCCTCCAGAAGGCATCTCTGCTCCGGAGCCCGCGGCGGCCCAGAGAAAGGGCGGTCGACTGGTAGAAGAAGGCGGAGTGAGGTGGCACAGCCACTGACTGTTGCTCCGAGTAGTTAGGGAAGGGAGGGGAGGGGGAGGTCTCGTATTAATGGTTAATTATGGAGGCGCTTCGGAGAGGGCAAGGGGAGACCGGAGAGGGGAAGAAATGGGGGCCCCCAGCGGTGAGAGAGAAAGGAAAGAGGTGGTAGTGTGCGAGGAGGCGTCGGCCCACAGCAGCGGTCGCCCATTCCGGGCCAACAAACACGTGAAGAGCTGGCTGATCGAAAGATAGAGCTAGACGGATAGAGAGATAGAGAGAGAGAGAGAGAGAGAGAGGTTGAACTGGTTGGACCTGGAGACGATCCGTGTCAGGGGTAGCTCCCGGAGAACGATAAGGCCACATGAGTTAGGCCCATTTTCTTCTGGAACGCAGATTTATGTTGGGCCGGCGGGCCCACATTGGCAGTCTCCGTCGTCAAATTGGACCTCCAATAATAGGCCGAATAAATTTAGGCCTATTTTTGTCTAGAGTTTATAGTTTGACGTTGGGCCGGTGGGCCCACGTTGGAGGCGTCGTCAAATTGGGCAACCGATAATGGGCCATATATATGTGTGTGTGTGTGTTAAGCCCATTTTTATGTAGGTTGATGTTGGGCCATTGGGGCCCACATGTGAGTCTCGTCGTCAAATTGGACATCCTATAATGGGCCAAAATGTAGGCTCCATTTGTATGCAGAGTGTGGGTTTGATGTTGGGCCGGTGGGTCGAACATTGTGAGCCTCCGGTCAACAAATTATACCTAAATAATGGGCCATATCAATATAGGTCCATTATCATGTAGAGTAAGATGGCCCCATGATCTTTCTTATACATTAAGCGTCTGGTATGCCGCAATCTCGCCCTGTTATACTTCTCTTGAGGTGGGAGGGGGTTGATGTTGGGCCGTTTGAGCCCACGTTGGGAGTCTTAGGTCGTCAAATTGGACCCCCTATAATGGGCCACATGAAGAGGCCCATTTATGGTGTAGGATGAGCCCATCATCTTTCTTCCTCAAAATCTGGGCCTTTTAGATTTTTTTGAGATGGGAGGGGTTGGTGTTGGGACGGTTTGGGGGCCCAAAACGCGAGTCTCGTCAAACTGGACCTCCATTCGTGTCACTCATATAGCGGGGGATCTTGGTCTGCGAGTGAGGGGTTGACTGTTGATCTTGATCTTGGTCTTTGAAGGTTGATCCGACGGCAATGGAGATGCGGCGGCGGGGGGGAGGCGCTCCGGGGGACGTCGGCGACGGCGACGGCGACAGTGAGGCTAGGGGGAGAAGGCGGGTATCGTTCCTGACGAGGTGCGTGGAGGCAGTCTTCGCCTTTGTGAAGCTGGCGGAGTTCGAGATCCTCTTCATCCTTTTTTTGGTCGTTGCCTTCCTCATCTTCAAAGACCTGGTGCGTTTTTCCTTTTTCCATTTTATGCAGTCTGGTTGCGACTCATCAGGCTCGTGGTTCTTCTCTTGAATTGACTAGTGAATTTGGATTCCTCTTTTATCCGTATGGCTTGAGGTGTCGTCCCGCTTATAGACGTAATCTGTGCTTGATTCAGCGGTGATGATATAATTATCAAGGGACGAAGAATCGAAGATTTTAATTTTACTTCCATTTATAGTTACTTCTGTTAATGTCGGCGAATTTTGAGTCCAGAAGATAAGGCATAGTTTTTCGATATGGGAAGACTGGTATTAAAAAAAATCTCCAGGAGAATCGATTGAAGTGACATTGAGATCGAGGTTTATTTTTTCTCGGAAAATTTTGAGCATATTTTATTTAAATCTATTTTTTTCGTTAACGAAGAGCATTTGGTGCGCAATGTCTCTGAAATTCACTGGGTTAAGATGGTAGAATTTGTTTCAGATTTGTGTTGAATTGGCCGTCAATATTTCCGTTGTCTTCTCACCTCTCAATTGGACTTTATTAGTTCCCTGGGGAGAGTAATTTTATGGTCTAAGGGCTTATCTGCCTTTGGATAATTGCCTTGTGATTTCTGTTGGCTTGAGGATTATCTCTCAAGTCAACCTCTAGTCATTGAGATATTAATGGAAGCTATTAGGTGTGGTGTCAGTCCGTATTTTTCTTAATTTATTTCATTATCTCATTAAGGCTGAACTAAGAAAAAAAATTGAAATTCCTGAACGCGCTGATATGTGTTCCATAGATAAATTAACTGAAATGAATGGTAATTTATCTTTGCATGGTACTATCTTTGTTCAAGGGAACTTCGTGGAAATTATGGCTTGTTCTTCTTCCCTACAGATGATGCAATTAATTTGATTCGGCATTTCTGATTTAACGACTGTATCGTAGTCAAGAAATGGGCTTGAGTAGGTTTTGGGATTAATGTTCATCTATAACGAATAAATATTTAGATTAGGTTTTATTATTTAAGTTAAATTTTAATTTACAGATGATCCCCGTCATGCTGCATTGGATACACCTTATGGAATGGCTTATGGTGATAAAATATTTGGTCATGAACCTTTTACTGCCGCCGTTTATATTATACTTTTGAATTAGCAGAACACCATCAGCTCGTCCCTCTTCCTTAAATGTCAAGACCAAACTTCCCTGGACTTGTCTTTCTCAGATCCTTGCCCATCGTCATTTGATCATATCTTGTAACACCGTGCTCTTGATGGAGAGAAATCCAGCATGGAGCAGAAGCAAGGAATTAGGTATCAGTCTGCAATTCAAGAACGGTCTTCTGTTTTGTTTTGCGTCTAGGGGGATTGATGTAATCGCCTCCATCTCTGTCAGTCGATAACCCGCCCTTTCTCATTGGGTGTCATACCCTCCTTCCTGTGACGATGTCAATGTAAACTCAGTTGACACTTAAAAATGATATTTGAAATTACCAATATCTTTTTTTATTATCATCCAAAATATGTCATGGTAAAAAATAGGGAAAAAATGCTTTTTTATTTATTTCCCGTCATTTATGTTATGATGATTATCTCATTCTTCTGTTCCTATATTTGATGCTGTCAATCATATGCAGACTTCACAGCCTCGTTACAACCAGATTCTGGTGAAGAAGCCGGGTGATGATGATTTTTGGCCTTTTCCCGCGTTCCAACGTAAGGATTAAAGATTCAGCTCCCCGATGATGTGCATGGCTTCCCCGGTGGAAGCCAAAGCGTTTACCCCCTTGCAGACGAGGATCACAACTTTCCATGCGTCAAAGTTTGCGCCAGTTCCTTTTTCACTTTGTCTTTCTCTTCTTGTTGAGAATTGTGACTCTTGTCTCCTTTGTATATTGGTTTACTCCTTTAAACGTTAATTTTTCTCCTTTAAACACAATAATGTTTATATCTATTCTTGTGATAATGTCTGATTTGGAAAAATCCCTTCTAGTTTGTGAATCAAAAGTGTGCTGATCCAATTCCGTTTTCTGTTTCCATGGACTACTTCCCCTATACACATCATGTACTAAGTGGCGGATTCTCAAGAAATGCATCATTTTATCCAAATCACAAAGATTTTTGAGTTGGAGCCTTCAGTCGTGCCTTGGCCTGCCTAACTATTTCATTTATTTCATATTAGCAATGGATGATGCGAACTGACTGTTTCTGATAGGTGACTAGAAACACGAAATAAATGTTCTTAAAACGTGTATCTTAGATGTTTCTGTGTTTGGTTTTTTTTTTTTATAATCGATTAAAATATATTTTCTCTTTTTTTCGTAGATGATATGATGTAAAGGTGATGAATGATAGTGTCTCTCATCAAACAGTGCTGCCGTGAGTTTCCTGTTATTTTGACTCAAACTTTCGAATTTAATTCAATAAACATCTTTTTTTCCCCTGCAAACACACATCAGACATCAGCCAGGGTCTTTGAATTATATTTTAAATGGCGGATTCACGCAGGAGATTTATTTATTTCGTTGTCTTAATATGAAGTGGATTATCTATCAAAGTCGAAAACTGGTAAATCAAGTCCGTATGCTATTTCTGAAGTGAAAAGCTGCTCTGATATTATTAATGCCTGCAGTGATTTGCTCCCTTCTCCTGCAATCCCTGCCAGCGCCCACCTTTCCATTTGATCTCATAAATAGACCCATGAAGTAACTATTTTTAGTACCCTGGGCCAGCCCGAGTCCAGGCCGTGCCAGCCCTTGTTTTAGCCCAGACATCTTTTATGAGGCCCCGACTTGCCCTAAGTCCAGAGAACAACTCTAAAAACAGGCCTTGGTTTTGAGGCCCTTACTCCAGCCCGGCTCTCCAGATGCTAAGGTGTGTGTGTGTGTGTGTGTGTGTGTGTGTGTGTGTGTGTGTGAGAGAGAGAGAGAGAGAGAGAGAGAGAGAGAGAGAGATGGGTTCTAGACTTTATGGCTGGATCTGGCCCGGAAAGGGACGGACACACCGACTAAGACTCCTCTTCCATTGCACGATTTTCATTTTTTTAAATCCAATTGACGTCCTCACACTGCCTTCTTTAATTATACTTCATTCTCTCTCCTTCCTCTTCAACTGCATTTGTCTGCTTTTCTTTAGTCAGCCTGATTATCCTCATCGTGCCGTGTATCAATCGTTTAAATTCATCTGCATTCTCTCTAGATGTGTATCGAGTGGCATTAGGGCTTTTATGGTCTTTGGGGAAAGATGATGGTTTGATAGCCTTTTGCCAGGATCTCTCACTAGAAAACTCACCCCCTTGTTTCACGTTCACTGTCGTTGATTCGAAGGGAACTTGGCGGCAACGCTTGCAAAAAATGGCTACATGGAGAAGGAGCAACTAGAAATCATCAATATCAAGCGTGAGATTCTTCATAGCTATCACTTTATCCCTTAAAATTCCTCATCATTCCCTCTCTCTCTCTCTCTCTCTCTCTCTCTCTCTCTCTCTCTCATACAGATGTGTTTAGAATGAGGTCTTAAAAAGACGTCCTCTGGATTGGACAGCCTACTGGCGCCAGGAACCTGAGGATTTCAACGGGGACGTCAGAGGATCTTCAGGGGACAAAGGGCAGTGCAACGTGAACAGTCTAGGGACAACAAAGGGCAGTGGCATTGTTATCTTATTAAATAGGCAGAGAAAGAAGGGATTCCGAGAGGGTACAGACTTGGAGCACCAAAACTGACGACTCAAAGTGGAATTTTTACATGGAAAATGTGTGTACAGCAGTTGGGTCTGGTGGGGATGAGAAGCCTTTATTGAGCAGAAATTGAGTTCGGGGCACAGGTGAGACATGACTTTCAGTCTTTTTCTTCGTTCCTCTTCCGCTGTTGAACAAAGGCTTTATGTGCACACATTTACATGATGTACCAGCATTCTGGTCTTTGAGTAGAGTGGAGTCTTCACCTAAATAGGATCGACTCAGTAAGAAAGAAAGAGCACCTTTTCAGTTGAAGAACTCAATTCCATGGTTGACTTCCTCACCCACCCTCTTCAAGATGGTTAAGAGAGAGAAGAAATTGATCCATCAATGTTCTCCTTGCCGGTTATCCTCTGCCCGCCTAGACATTCCAGCAGCCGCTTCAATGGGTCCTTCAGAGGACAGTGGCGCTGTGCCACTTGGCAAAGACCCCATCAAATGACGCCTGCCTGACTGGTCAGCCGAGGATGATGAGGAAAGGCCATAGGTGAAGGCACCCATGGGGTGGTCAAACTTACAGTTTGAACCAAATTTGCATATCCCATATCGCAAGTAAAAGAGGCACGGAGTTTCTCCCTGTCAAACAGAAAGCGATGAGCAGCATGAAAATAGAAGATATGGATGCTATGGAATTGGCCCTGCCATAAATCCACAAATTGCATCAATCTGGAACATTTCTATATCTGAGAGGACCATCATGGCCATCAAATCCGATGAATTAAAATGGGAATAAAACAAATGTATCCCTAGTGAAGCCTAAAGCAGCCGTTTTGAAATCACTATTTTGGTTTTTTTTTTTTTTTTTCCAGTGCGCCATTTTTATTATGTCGCATCAGGTTAATCATGGCAGCATTAAGTTTCTAGTATTGGAAAGAAACATTTCATGATAACAAGATCACAGGTATTAACTAACGATCAAGGCGCCATATTGTTCGAGCAGAGCTTAAAGCGCACACGATCTTCAATCCAGGCAAGTATCAAGCATTAATGGATAGCATTGACGAAATCCATAATTCCCCCCCAAAGAAATGGGAGAGTGATGCAACACCACATACAGATGAAACAAGAAATGTGTGAAGGTCGTAGAGCAGAGTAAGTTTCTCGTCGCCCAGAATATATGCATACGACGATGGAATTGGAGAGGGCAACTTACCGGACGCAGTGGAAGGCCCAGGGGACTCAGGATACAGTCAGGAACAGGAATCACTCTTTCTCTAGGATGATGGAACCGACACACTGCACCAAACTTGCAATCCCCAGTCTTCATGTAATATTGGCACTCCGGTTCGCCGGGTCTCTCTGGAAATAGATTCTCCTTCTGAAATGCATATACCCCCATAGGGACGGAGTTGACTTGATATGGGGAAACTGAGCCTTGACCTCCAGAACCAGTGATCTCACTTTGCTGGGAGGACCCATAGATTTGACTAGTTCTGGGAGGAGTCTGCTGCTGGTTCCCAGGGGATGAGACAGAGGAGCCCATCTGTCCCTGGAGAGAGATTCAAAATTTTTGGCATTTGAAACTGGCTAAATTTCCATGACCAATCCCGCTACCGGGTCCAGTTTCTTCGACGGAATGCAGAAAATAGAGAACGAAATAGGACTTACGGGATATGCATTCCATCCAGGAACTTGAACCATCCCCTGAGGAAGAATAAGCTGAGCGTAGCTTGAAGGGCCTTGCCAGCGTGTGCCCGCTATGAAGGAAGCTCTTGAAAGAGGCCAGTTTGTCAACCCTCCTGAATAGGGCTGTTGACCAGGGATTGCCGGAGAAGGCACAGTAGTATAAACAGAAGAACCGCGTAAAGAGACCACAGTATTAGATGGCTGTGGATGGTGAAATTTACAGGTATCCCCAAACTTACATAACCCAGTCCTCAAATAATATGCACACTCCTTCTCATTCTGCACAAAGAACAGCAAAAAAAAAAAAGGAACGGCAAAATATAGCTAAAGTGAGTTTCATACGCTGAATAATTTCCCACATTCGAATAAAATATTTTGGGCAACACAGAGCCTAAGCAAACAGGAGGAGCGAACCGGTCGAAGGGGGTAGCCTAGAACATTTAAATGAGTTCTCCCAGAGTCTGCTGCGATATCTCTTGGGTGATGGAACTTGCATGTTGCTCCAAATTTGCACGTTCCTGTCTTTAAATAGTACTGCACAAGTTCAAACGTATCTCTTAGCTCACAAAATTGGTAATCAGTAGGAGAAACAAAACTGTAGTAAGCAAGAAATTAAAGACCAGAGCTTCGTACTAATTATAAAAAAACACAAATAATGATTAAGAGATGTGCCCAACATCACACACCCTTTAACAGAGAGCATGGGACTCGGAATCTATGTTCCGGAACTTAAACATGTGGCAAAGAGTACTCAGATCCTAGGAATCGAGAGGGGTAAAAAGGGCAGACGAAGTCAAACTTTGATTCCCACTATCGAAATAATACTAACTGGAAGTTTTGGAGTCGGTGAAGTCTAGAATTTGGATCGCCTGTCCAAACTGGAAGCTTCATATCAATAGATACGGTGTAACAGAGGAACATAAGACCATATGTATACGCTGCACTGAGGATGAACTGGCTCTTGGCAACCATCACATTTACCATGATTACTCAAAAAGCACAAAACACCGGCACTTCCATCAATCCGTATTCATAAATAGCCCACACATACCTAGCATGTTTTAAATTTGGGTGGGAAAACCTAAAAAAGAATAATTGCAAGGACCACTTTTCTGCATTTGGGATGGTTGCAGCATGCAATATGTTAATCACGCAAAAATCCTGTCCTGAAAACACTATAATTAGTACCATCCCCGTGCGGATTCATGGTTTCCTCAGATTGCATTGGTTGCAAGATCACTCCCAAGTCAATGTGGCCAAAATACAATGAAATAAGAGAGTACTACATAAATTTAAAGGCAAACATAAGGAGCATGTTTTAAAAGGAAAGTACATGATTTTCATGGATTTTCATTCAAAGCAAACATTTTCATTCACCAACTCAAATCCTTCGCGGCCCAGGACTTAGTGAGAGAGAGAGAGAGAGAGAGAGAGAGGGGGGTTGACGGAGGAAAGGAAGGGAAAGGAAAAGCGAAAATGACGGATGAAATAACGAGTAGGCTCCCTCCTCGTCTTCTCTCTACATGGCTTTCCTACCTCCTCTTCCTCTGGCTCTCATTCATGTGGCTACATTTCCTTCTTTCTCTAATGAGAATTGGCCGATCCCACAAACTTGACTCACAATTAGATTAAAACACTTAGATAAAGCATGTCAATATTGTAAGTTGTGTTTACATGAGATTTACAAACTCGCACACACACACACATACATATGCTGTATTTGGCCATAATGCCACACATCGTCACTTGTTGAAGATCACAACCATCTCAACAACTGTGATTATTCAGCAAGAGGCATTGTTTTTTCTTGCCTGATTCTCTCACTGCAAATTTCAACATGCTTCAACCACGGATCCATCTATTAATTCTACGCATCTATTAGAAACTCGGGTACTTGTTCAAGATGCGATCATATTAATGATTTACAAGGAAAGCTGGCAACGAATTGGCCGTGAAATGAGAAAATAATAATAAACTTACCTGACACTCAGGCTGTCCAACTCTTTCAGGAAATACCCCTCTAAATCTGGCAGCAGCGGCGGCCTGAAATTGTGTAAGACCTAATCAAGCCCAAAAACTGACCATAAAAAACGAAATTAGGTGTACTAGCAAAGATGTATAAAACAACAACATTCTGGAAGAGAGAAACCAACGGGATGAGAGAAACAAGTCTTCAGTTCAACTTAAACAGATGAACAGTTTATGTACACTGGTTTCCTGTGACCCACTTTACAGATAAGCAATTAGATTGCGAAAAGGAACATATAGCTCTTATTTGTTGTATGATCCCATGAAATGTAAGTAATGCAGAAGAGTTCAGAATGTCTGTTTTGGTTCATAAGATACCATTTCGAACCTTGGAGAATGGTCGGCAATGAGGATAGTAATAAAGCTAAGCAAGAGACTGATTAACACAAAAGGATCGGTCAATGCACTGCTTGCATAATATAAATTGCATCTGGAGAACCTCAAGGAATATAGAAAGAGAAGGAGAAAATAAATACGAATAGATAATTAAGACTTGCTAAGGAGAAAATGAAGGGGATACTCACCAGCGTTCTATCGGGAGGGTGGTTAAATCTGCACGTAAGCCCAAATTTGCAGAGGCCAGTCCTGATGTAATAAGAACAATCTGGCTCTCCCAGGCGTTCGGGATATGGCCCACGTTCAATAGCTTCGTCAGCTCTCATATTCACTTGCCACATATTATCTGGATGGAGCAAGAGCCAACCACATTTTGAACGCTTAATATAATCGAAAATTTCTGAAATCCACGAGAAATCATCTTTTTATTCCATTGGTGTACCTAAATCGTGATAACGTTACCAACGATTTCTGCAGACGAAAGAAATCTTCGAAATAAATGAATGAAATAGGAGGAAAGGAAGATATTCTTTTAAAGGGGCTGCATATAAATAGTTTCCACTGGCCAGTCAGGAAAGGTTTCAAAATACGAAGACAAATTTCTAAGTACGTGAGAGCACGGTGGGGTTGAAGAGTCGATCCTGGCAAATACGATTTGTAATCTTCAGATTCCTTCGCCATTGCATGTTCGTTTTAGGTTCAGGATATGGAGAAATCGATGGGAATTTCAACCCTTGACAACTTGGAGAGCATAAACCGGCATTTCTTCGAATTGAGGGAATAAACCTACGAGAAGCAAAAAAAAACATGCGGACTCCGAAGAAACAAAAGCTTTTTGAAATTTTCTGCGCCGGCCTTCATGTATGAAATCTGAAAGAAAATAAGGCAAATTCCTCGAAAAGCATCCCGATCGCGTGGGTAAACCTGCCGAATCGTACGCGTTCCAAGTTCAAAACGAAATACAGATCCTTAAAGGGAATCGATTACAATGGGCATGGGAGGGCAATTTCGACTCCCTGGAGACCCTATCTTCCCTCATTTTCCGACCGCGAAAACCTAACTAGAGTATTAAATAAAAAAACGCGATCAGCACCGCCGAACGGAGCATGAGTGGCAGAAGAGTCCCCGGAACGAAAGGTCTGGCAACCCTAACCTGTATCGTGCGGGGATCCCAAAGAAGAGGACACTTCCATCACGGCCGTCGCGGCCGCCGGCCTAGCGTCTCTAGGCACCCGAGCTCCGGCCCCCTCCATCTCAGAAACGCCACCATCGTCGTCACCGTGGACACGAGACGCGGCCGCGGTTGCAGCCGAGGGGGACCATTCTCGCGCGGCCCAGAATCTCCGCCTCCGACAGCCACGCGCGTCGCCTGACTACTAGATTAAGGTGGAGGGATAGAGCTGGAAGGGGAGAAAAAGACGGAACGAAGATGGTGGACCCAGAGGTGGCAACCAAGATAGAAGAGCGCAGGCCTTCTCCTCTCCACAAACTTAAATGCCCACGCAGAGAGAGAACGAGAGCGAACCACAGAGAGAGATAGAGAGAGAGAAAGAGAGAGAAGAGGGAGGGGGGGCCGCGGAGCCAAGCCAACCTGCGAGAAGATGACCGACAGCGCGACCCGGCCAGTCGCTCGCCTCCTACCACTTCAGTCGTTAGTCGTTAATCAGGCGCCAGACGGTGTGATACGGATAGTGAAGAAATATGTGGGAAAAATAAATAATAAAATAATATAACTATTCTCAATACGTGTTTAACTGTGGAGGTTCGTAGATATTCGGTCAATAAATATTTTATTTTATTTTATCTTTTTTCACTAATGAAAAATTACACAATCTCTCGCACTCATCTAATCCTTAATGCTTCTGAAAAGTGGAAAAATATGTGTATGCTTATTATTTCATTTTAAATATATTATAACATTTTAAAAAATGATGTCACATATTTTTTCAAATATGTCGTTGATAAATAGGACCCAAGTGAAGTCGTGGCAGGAGCCCGAGCTTAGAGATTTTTTTTCTGAAAGGCATAGGATAAGTGACAAATTTATTTAAATGGTTATATGTGGTTGCAAGTAAGTGCCTAGTGGAAGGTGATGTGGTAGGGCCCCAGCTCTGAGGGAGTCGGATGAGTTCTAGCAATAAGCTCATGGTCAGGAATGATCACCCTTATGTAACTCTTATTTAACAAAATGCCCTGAAATTTACTTTAAAAATCGTAATGAAGGCCTCGAATAACAACGGCATGTGAAAATAATAATTGATTAAAAAAATGTATTTTTTTGTTAGTCTTATATAATCCAACGACGACTACTTTGAAGGTTTGTTTGGGTAAAACTTTGACCCCGTGGTGCATACTGGGGGCATATCTAATATATTCGATCTTGTGGGGCGATACTTGTTAAATATTAAACTTAAATGTGACTAAATTAAACTCAGACGGTTTCTCCGACGCAAGCTGTGCATAAAGTAGATCGAATCAAAATAGACCGCCTTAGTCTGCCATAAGTTCTCTACCCCGCCACCTTTAAAAAAGGCCTAAAGAAAGTGGGCTCAAAACGAGATGAGAGGATAATATTTATCTTGGAATGTTTAATTATATATACTATTAAATTTTATTTATACCCTCGCGGGGCGGGTGGGACCGTCGAGGAGGGGAAGTTTTATTTCTTACGGGGAGAAAAATATCGAAACTCAAAATTTTCGAGAGGATCACGCGCCGTCCTGTCAGAGCGTTGACTGAAGATATCTGCCACGTGCCTGATCCGCATCTCGGCGGTATCAAGCGGGACCAGTGTAAAAGTCAAAAGCTGAGAATAAGACACGCGTCCTCTCTGGACTAAGCCGGTGGGCTCGTTGTTTGCCATCCGTCCAGCTCGTCTCTATCTGACACCAGCTGCGGGAGGGGGGGCCCATATTTTCAAAAGACCCGGATCCGAGCGTGGGGAGAATGTCCGCGGGAGGCTCATTAAGGACTTAAATCATATTATTCTCCCGATAACTACGTTTTTTAATTATTAATTACGCTTCCCGGCGGCGGCGCCACCCGCAGCGCGGATCCCCACCTTTCCCGCGCGCATCTTTCATGGGACTGCAGCTTTGTTGTATTATTTACGGTCATGCCATCGGGGCTGCGCCGCCGAAGACGAGGAGTGGCAGGGACGGTATTAATGAGACATAAAAGGGCCTTTTATTTTAATGCGGGCCGAGGCTGTTACTTGCGGCAACGGCCTGCACTTGGCCGCCTGCGGCGGGACGAAATGGCTGCGTCTTCGCCCTCCCCTGTCACACGTTCTTCGTGCCGCTTTTGCGGGTGTTGCCCTCTGACACGACTTCCAGAAACGCCCGGACGACAGAGATTGGAGAGAGAGAGAGAGAGAGAGAGAGAGAGAGAGAAGGGATTCTTGTCCTTACTGGTGTTGCTCTTTTTGGGCAGGTCTTTGATAAGGAGGAGGGGGGGGGGTTGTGTTTGTCGGAGTGGTATTGTTTGTGGATGCCTGCTGCTGGTCTCCGGCTCGCCACCATCGAGTCCGGCCAACGCTCTCCGGCGAACGCTGCCGCCTGTAGCAGTCGCAAAAGACGGGGAGGATGAGGAAGAGAGAGGCCACCTTGTGCTCGCTGCTGTAAGCCTGTGAGTGTGTTCCGTCGATCCCTCTCTTTCTCTCTCTCTCTCTCTATATATATATATATCTCTCTCGCCGTCTTTGTATGGTTTCTCTCGGATGAGCTCGTCTCCGCTCTCCCGTCGTTTTTGTTCCTCGAACAAAGATGGAGCTTCTCCGCCTTTTAGCCGGCCATGGCTTCCGCTGATTCCTCCCAGTCGTTGTTTTTCTCTCTCTGGACATGCTCTTCCGATCATTCTGCCTCCCTCTGCTATCTGCCATCGCGGAGCGGTCAGTTTTTGGGGTCGGCCTTCGGTTGATCGTCGTCTTCCTACCTCTGCAGCGCCGCCGGCGCCTCGTCCCCACCGTCGACGTGGGTGGGATTCCCTGCGCATTGCCCCCATTTTTTACGAGAGCAATCAATGGCAGATGACGACTCCTGTCATTTTCCCGTGCCTCTGTAGCTAAGCATCTGGTTCTCTTTTTCCCCCGCTTTTCCTCGACCACCTCTCCCTTCCACCGCCGCCCAACGCTTACGCCCTTCCGCCAAACTTTCCGCTGCCACACAGATATGGCGCCTTCTTTCTCCAGCTTTCTATGACAGATTCTTTCTATATCCCGTCGTCTCCTCGTTCGCTCCTCCCATCCCCAGGCCTCTCCTTTTCTGCGAGGTGGCAGCTGGTTTTGGGAGCGTCCCTCTCTTTCCATCCTTCGTTCGCATCAGTCGTAGGGGTCTTAGGGGGCTGTGTAGACGTCTTCTTCTTCGGGTGTTACCTGCTCTCCCATGCCCAGCGCCATATCCGCTGCAACCTTTTTCCCTTCTCGGAGGTCTTCATTTACTGCTGCGAGTGCCTCGCCTACGTGTCGTGAGATACTCCGCCATTAACGCTGTCCAAGCCCCAGTTTCCATTACTAGCACCGGGAGCTTCGTCCCCCCTCCTCACTCTTCGTAACTTCGCCGTGATCATCTCTGTATGCATCTGACATGAAAACCAGGTTTCAGAACTTCTCGGGACGAGGGAAAGCGGGGAGCGCGAGAGCTTTACTCTTCCACTTCCAGGTGGTGCGAGGGAGCTCTGCGGCGTAGTCCGAGAGATCCTGGCGGTCGGTCGCCGGCGGCATCTTTCTTCTTCTGTTTCGCGCGAGATATCTCGTTCACGCCCCCATCTGTCCGCCGGATTTTCCAACCTCCGGAACGTCGTGGTCTTCTTCGACGGAGGTGGTGCCTTCTGTCCGGTAACTTCCCGTGTGATCATGGCGTCGTCCTCTTCCGTGTGTCTGCTTCTGCATGGAGACAGTCTGAGTTGCGTGATCTATCTTCAGTGAGTTCAGGATGGTGACAAGAGGACGATGGACGTCGCTACTGGTTTCTGTTCTCTGTGTGCTGTCCTGTGAAGCGACCTTCTTCGGCGATACTCGCTTGCTGCACACGCTGAGGGACGCGCTCGCGCAGAGGAGATACGCCCTTCCAAGCTGGTTCGAGCCGCAGATCCCTCCCTGCAACTGGTCCGGGATAGTCTGCGAAGGTAACCTAGTTTACGGCATCGACTTGTCGGGGACGGGGATGGACCTTCCGATTCCACCCTGCATGGGAGACTTCAGAGGCCTGAGAAGGCTCAACCTCAGCAACGGCGGATTCTCCGGGCCAATCCCGGAAACTTTTGCGAACCTGCTGAATCTGCAGTCGCTTGATCTGAGTCACAATCAGATTTCCGGAACCCTGCCGTCGTGGATCTTCGATCTGAGAATGCTGAAGGAGCTGGTGTTCGATTCCTGCGATTTCTCCGGGGAGCTTGTTTCTGCGGTGGGGCGGCTGGGCAACCTCACGAGGCTTTCTCTCTCCGGGAATTCTTTCATCGGGAGCCTCCCAAGCGAGCTCGGGAACTTGCAGAGCCTGGAGTATCTTGATCTGAGCATGAACTCTTTCGACGGGAATCTGCCTTCGGACCTGGGAAACCTCACCAGGTTGCTTCATCTCGATGCCAGCCGTAATGGCTTCACTGGATCGATCTTCGGGGAGATAGGGTACCTGCAGGACCTTCTTACTCTCGATCTCTCGTTCAACTTACTGACAGGATTCATTCCCCCGGTGATCGGCAGGCTGAAAGCCCTAGAGTCCCTCTGGTTGGGATCGAATGGATTAACGGGGAGCATCCCCCCAGAGATCGGGAACCTTTCCCGGCTGAAGATCATCGGCATCCAGGGTTGCAGGCTGACGGGGAGCGTTCCAGAAGAGATATCTCATCTGAGAAGCTTGCTAGGGTTGGATATCTCCGAGAACAGTTTCGAGGGTCAGCTCCCTGCGGGAATCGGAGAGCTGACGGATTTGGTTTACCTCATCGCCGCTCACTCTGGACTCAGCGGCCGCATCCCGGAGGAGCTGGGGAATTGTCGGAGTCTCAGAACCCTAGATATCTCCTTCAATTCCTTATCCGGTTCTCTGCCGGATGCTCTTGCTGCATTGGAGTCGATCGGCACGTTCATCGTCGAAGGGAATCAGATCTCTGGTCCGATTCCCGAATGGATCAATGGCTGGGAAGAGATCAACTCCATAAGATTGAGCAAGAACATGTTCGTCGGATCACTTCCTCCGTTGAAGCTGCCATCCTTGACGACATTCTCTGCGGATGCCAACCTCCTAACTGGCGAGATACCGCCGCAGATCTGTGGTTGCAGGTCGCTAGCGCTTCTCTCCCTGTCGGAGAACGAGCTCACCGGGAACATCAGTGGCACCTTCAGGGAATGCTCCCATCTCACCGATCTAATCCTCGCCGGTAACAGACTATCCGGCGAGTTGCCGGGTTATCTGGTAGATCTCCCCCTCGTCACCCTGGAACTGTCTCAGAACAACTTCTCCGGCGAGCTTCCGAGCCAGTTGCTTAGATCGTCGACCATTCTGGAGCTGTCGCTCAGCAGCAACCAACTCGCCGGCCGGATACCGGACGCCACTGGAGAGACCTCCAGTGTGCAGCGGCTGCAGCTCGACGGCAACCTCTTCGAAGGATCCATCCCGAAATCTTTAGGCAAGCTCAAGAATCTCACCAATCTCTCCCTCCGCGGGAACAGACTGAGCGGTGAGATTCCTGCGGAGCTTTTCGGCTGCACGAACCTGATAGCCCTAGATCTGGGGGGAAACAACCTCTCTGGCCCGATCCCTAAGACAATATCTCAGCTGAAGCTTCTGGACAACTTGGTGCTCTCTGGGAATCGTCTCTCCGGCGACATTCCCGGCGAGATCTGCGCCGGATTTCAGAAGATGGCTCCGGCGGACTCGGAGTTCACGCAGCACTATGGCGTCCTCGACCTCTCCGGCAACGCCTTCACGGGACCGATCCCGGCGGGGATCAAGAACTGCGTGGTGATCATGGAGCTGAAGCTGCAGGGGAACAAGCTCAGCGGTGGGATTCCTCCTGAGCTAGTGCACCTCGTCAACCTGACCTTCCTCGACCTCTCCTCCAACCTTCTGACGGGGCCCATTCCTCACCAGCTCTTTCCCCTGAAAAATCTTCAGGGCCTCGTCCTCTCCAACAATCTCATCAATGGCTCCATCCCTGATTCCCTTGGTGCCATGCTCCCCAGCCTGGTGAAGCTCAACCTCTCGATGAACAAGCTCACTGGCGGCTTCCCCTCTTCGGTCTTCGCCGTCACAAGCCTCACCCACCTGGACGTCAGCGCCAACTTCCTCTCCGGGCCGGTCGCCATCCCCGGCGGTGTCGCCGGAGAAACCAGCTCCCTGCTTGTCCTCAACGCCAGCAACAACCATCTCGCTGGCGGCATCAGCTTCGCCTTCTCCAATCTCACTTCCATCTCCATCCTCGATCTCCACAACAACGAGCTCTCCGGCAGGCTGCCGCCCTTATTCGCCAACCTCGCCTCATTGACCTACCTCGACATCTCCGACAACAACCTCGAGGACGCCATCCCCTGCGGCATCTGCAGCATCGAAGGGCTCTCCTTCGCCAATCTCTCCGGCAATCGATTCACCAGGTACATGCCGGAGAATTGCGCCGCCGACCGCCTCTGCCCTTCCAACTTATCCGCCGACCTCCTCCTCCTCCCGGTGGTGGCCTACCCGGGCTCGGCCCGAGCTCTGAACCACTCGTCCATCTTTGGGATCTCCCTGGGCGGGGCCGTCGTCTTCCTCGCCCTGCTACTCGCCCTGCTACGATGGAAAACCCGCGGGCAGAAGCCTCCCTCCGAGCTCCTCTCCGCCACCAGCGCCAGCAAGTCCTCCACAGTGGAGCCCGCCTCCACGGAGGAGCTCCTGGGGAAGAAGACCAAGGAACCTCTGAGCATCAACATCGCCACCTTCGAGCACCCGCTGCTGCGGCTCACCCTGGCGGACATCCTCAAGGCAACAGAGAACTTCAGCAAGGCCCACGTCATCGGCGACGGCGGCTTCGGCACCGTCTACCGAGCCGTCCTCTCCGGCGGCGGCAAGGTGGCGGTTAAGCGGCTCACCGGCGGCGGCGGCCACTTACAGGGCGACCGCGAGTTCCTGGCGGAGATGGAGACCATCGGGAAGGTGAACCATCGCCACCTGGTTCCCCTCCTGGGCTACTGCGTCTTCAACGACGAGAGGTTCCTCATCTACGAGTACATGGAGAAGGGCAGCCTGGACCTGTGGCTGAGGAACAGGGCCGACGCGGCGGAGGCCCTGCGGTGGCCGGTGCGTCTGAGGATCTGCCTCGGCGCCGCCCGGGGGCTCGCCTTCCTCCACCACGGCTTCGTCCCCCACATCATCCACAGGGACATGAAATCCAGCAACATCCTCCTCGATAGGGACTTCCAGCCGAGGGTCTCTGATTTCGGACTCGCCCGCATCATCAGCGCCTGCGAGACCCACGTGAGCACCGACCTAGCCGGCACCTTCGGCTACATCCCGCCCGAGTACGGGCAGACGATGAAGGCCACCGCCAAGGGGGACGTGTACAGCTTCGGCGTGGTGGCGCTGGAGCTACTCACGGGGCGGACCCCGACGGGGCAGGAGGAGGGCGAGGGAGGGGGAAACCTGGTCGGCTGGGTCAGGTGGATGATGGCGCGGAGGAAGCTCGGCGGCGTGTTCGACGCCTGCTTGCCGGCGGCCGGCGCGCCGAGGGAGCAGATGCGGCGGGTGCTCGCCGTCGCCGTCGCCTGCACCGCCGACGAGCCCTGGAAGAGGCCTACCATGCTCGAGGTCGTCAGGCTGCTCAAGGAGATCGACCTGCTCGCCGCTGACCCCCCCGCCACCGTCGCCTGAACCGGTGCATGCAGCGCATGATGTAAATAAGAACTTCTATCAGGTCAGATGTCTCGTTATGGTGATTTTTTCTGTTCTTGCGTTTCAAACTTTAATCTTCTGTATAGAGAAGAAGCCCGACCCCCTTTTGGACTGCCCTCAAGTCTGCTCCCTGACGGGCCCGGCGCCGGAGAGGTCGACTGGCTGAGATGTCGGAGCTTCTCGTCTCTCTCTCTCTCTCTCTCGCTCTATCTCGCGCGCGCTCGAGTTCTGTGGACGTACATGAGGGCAGTGATTATTGGGCCGGCCCGGTTGCCGCTCTCCCTCAGTAGGCCCATATTATCCGCTAGATTTCCCGATCCCGATTCGGATCGACCAGTCCAAGCGGATAATATGGGGCCCAACTATATTAACGAGGAATATCTGCAAAAACTTTATACGCGACCAATATTTCCGTCACCTTTCAATCAACGGCATTTTATAATTAAACATTAAATAAATAAAATCAAACAGCACACAAAAAATGATCGATCCCAAATACCGATATACGATTTTAACATAGAGTTATTAGCTAAATATTACCACCCGGTGGAACAGAGAGAGAACCCACCCTACCCAAGCTTCAGTAGAGAGAGAGAGAGAGAGAGAGAGAGATCCAGATCATGTGGTGGTCTTGGTCCGTGGATAAGATTGGGTTATGAGGAAGGGAGGGCCGCCCAATGAGGACCGCGCATTCGATATCTCGGGGCCCACGGGAAGACCCGTTGCCCCTCTCCCCTTCCCCTTCTCTCTCTCTCCCGGGGCTCCGGAATATTATTATCACCCTTCCCCCTTCCCTCTTCCCTCCGTCGCTCGCTCGTCCCCCCCAGCAGACAGACCCCTCCGGATCCCTCAGCAATGGCGACAGCGTCGGCCTCTCCCATGGCCAGCCAGCTGCTCAAGAGCAGCCTCCGCTCCAGAGGCCTCGCAACGCCCAGAGGCCTCTCCGGCGCCGCCCTCCCCTCCCGCCGCCGCTCCTGCTTCACCGTCCGTGCCATCCAGGCCGAGAAGGTGAGCCCAGATAGATAGATAGATAGATAGATATCTAGAGAGAGTGTGAGAGGGATTTTGAGGGAGAGAGCTGATCTCGATGGTGGTGGTGGTGGGTGTTGTGTGTGTGGATGCAGCCGACGTATCAGGTGATCCAGCCGATCAACGGGGACCCGTTCATCGGGAGCCTGGAGACGCCGGTGACGTCGAGCCCGCTGGTGGCGTGGTACCTCTCGAACCTGCCGGCGTACCGCACGGCAGTAAGCCCTCTGCTGCGGGGGATCGAGGTGGGTCTCGCGCACGGGTACCTCCTGGTTGGGCCGTTCGTGAAGACGGGGCCGCTGAGGGACACGCCCATCGCCGGCGCTGCCGGCTCGCTGGGCGCCGCCGGACTGGTGGTCATCCTCAGCGTGTGCCTTACAATGTACGGCATCGCCTCGTTCAAGGAGGGAGATGCCTCGACGGCACCGTCGCTGACGCTCACCGGCAGGAAGAAGGTCGCTGACAAGCTCCAGACGGCCGACGGGTGGGCGCAGTTCACCGGCGGGTTCTTCTTCGGGGGCATCTCCGGCGTCACCTGGGCTTACTTCCTCCTCTACGTCCTCGACCTCCCCTACTACATCAAGTAGACGGGGCCCGTCTTTTCGCGCTGGTGTGTACATTTAAAGACAGAAGAACTCTGCTCCTGCTGCGCCTTCTCTATCTCATCTGCTTATGAATTAAAAAAAAAAAAAATCCCTTTTTTCCCCCGCCCAATATGACGATCGATTCTTTGCTTCCGAAAATAGAAAGTAATATTAACTTGGTATAATCGGACAATAAATTTTCTGTTAGGTGACGATTAATGTAGACTTTGGAGCATCATAATCATAGGTTTTTTCTTTCTCGATGAATTAAGGTGACATGGATAACTATTTTCGGAAAAATCCCAAGATCTTGAAGCGAAAATTTCCAAGTCTCTGATCAAACCCCTAAATTTTTCTTGTTTTTACCTCCCAAAGCAAGTTCAGAATGAATTCGTTCAAAAATAGGAAAATTCCTCGTCAGGCCATTTGGCAAAGCCCTCAACTAACCTAAATAATAAGCACCTCCCGATTCCCGAATAAGGAAGAATACATCGCTTGGTGAAGTTGGGGGTTTCATTATAAAAGCTATTATTAGAAAGGATTTTCTTGGGCATTATCGTACCGAGCAAAATCGTTGAATCATATCTTTTACTACCAGTTCAAGGACACCTCAACTGCTGTCAACTCATAGTTCTTGAGTCAATCGTTGACTCCAAATGTTTGGAGGGTCAATGGGATGACAGGCCCCACAATTAATCTCACTAACGGACTTTGTCGCAATTTTTCATTGACTACATTGCCGTCAACCAATCAGCTATGTGGTACTCCCTCTCTCTCTTCTCTCTCTCATCCCCACCCATCAGAACTCAGAACCCTGAAGGAAAACACAACCCATCAGAAACTAACGATATCTAAACATTTATAGGACGAAAAATTAATGACACAGGAGCATAGAAACTTTGCACTGAGCCCTAATTAGAGATTGGACATCGTTCAAGCTAAGGAAAACACAAATATTGTGTACTGAGTTATATATTACTAGCCTAATTAAAGGAAATATTGCAAGAATTGATACCCTGAAAAAATCTTGTGAATAGTCCCAAGCAAGCCAACATGGCCTCGTTTAATGGAGAAAAACATGGGTTCCATAAACAAACAAAAAATCAGCACCATTCGCCATTCGATCTGGTTTGACGATCAGTCCACGTGGACTGGGAGATTATGAGAACTCATCCAGGCTGGTGGTGCCTCGGCCTTTCCTTCCAATCAGTTCTCATGCAGAGCTTTCGTGAGGTACAATTTGCTCAGACTCTGACCGACGACCCTGAAGATAATCCTTATGAATCAGCATCTTTCCTTCAGAGAGTTTCATCGATTGGTTAATATTTGGGAATGATGAAATAATTGGGCGCTCTTTCATCCGTTGACAAGCTACAGAGATAAGATATTGGGGAGGAGTCGAGCCAGCGTACCCGTTGATCTGGTTGCAGTAGTTGGAGATCTGGTTGGTTATCAAAAAGCTGTCTAGGCGTGACGGCTCAGGTAGAGGTTTGAAGAGCGGATTTGCAGGATCATCCTCGGGCAGTGGTTCTTCTCCCGCGGCTTTCCTCGCCATGTTCTCTGTCCTGTTGAATGGGAACCCATGGACACAATGAAAATCCAACCGTATCAAGTTGAAGATTATAACTAGATAGAGAAAAATGTACAGATGAGCGCCATATCAGAAGGATGAAAGAACCCAACATCGATAAACGGATATATGATTACTATTTATGGTAACAAGTTTGCTAATTGCAACCTTGATCCTATATTTTAACAAGGCCCAAAAATATACAAAAGGAAGAAGAAAATAGACCGACTAGCTGCAGCAAAGAGTGAACGATGATAAATGAGGATAACTATGATACAATGCATATTTTGAAGGAATTCAATAAAGTATTCACGATTTAAATCATATGTTACTCTTCTGTATCATCAAGAGGATCAGAAATGGAAGTCCGTATATGTATGCAGCCTTACTCCAGACTAAAAAAATATCTTGCTGTCCTACCGATTAAATATAGGGACACCAGAAAAGGTTGCAAAGAGCAATAAGCATATCAGAAGAAATAAACACATTCCAATAACAACGAATAAATGATAAAATAAAATAAACAACTGATTACTATACATGAGAGAACATAAAATGGTTATAATGCGAAAACTGTACTGAATCGGAAGTACTTCTTTTAGCCAAATCCTATCCACAAAATACTTTATGCCAAGCAAGTACCACCTCCACCACAGCTAACATTCATTTGGGCGTGACCAATGCCAAGGGCATGATCAATACCTTCAGGTAGCGTACAAAGTGAACTGTTCGACGGCACATTCATTTTCAGACCACTACATATGGCATTCCAATAATTAGGGTTCTGACAGTCCACTTAAACAGCTTTTACCTTCTTTTCTGAAGCCACGATTGCTGCTGGGCTTGTTGACGTGAAAGGTTTCGGTAGTAGTATTGGAACTGCAAGAGAGAGGGAAATTAAGTAAAAGAACGAAGAAAACACAACCGGAAGAACTTCGGGATCAGTGAGATATATAGAATGGAGAATAAAATTGACCTTCTGTTGTTCCATGGTCAGATCTTCCATGCATTCAATCATAAATTCCACGTTCCTCTCCACAAAAGTATTAGTAGACAGTTGTAGGCGATCGAAGTCACACTGCCAAAGGAGAATTCATTTCAAGAATCGGAACGCAGATTCATACAAGTAAAACAAAATCTCTATTAAAGACATTGGGGTGCTGAACCTGAGTGACGGGGGCATCTGTCTCTAGATCGGTCATAAATGCACTTATAAGTGCAGAATTGGACACTTTAATCTGCAATCCGAAAGGAGGAGAAATAGAAAGCCACATGCATAGAGTCAGTGCTGCCGATCTTTCAATTGGAGTCGCGAAACATCAAATCCACAAGAAAACCAGTCAATGAATAAAATCCAGTCTTGAAGAAAAGCCTATACAGGTATTTCTTCAAAGATATCCACCCATGTGAGATGTTTCTCCCTTAACCTGGACAAAGAATAAGCATACGAAAATAAAAAAAGAATTCTGCTTTATTGTTTGTGGGACATTCCAGTGTCAAAATATCCATACTTCTCTCCCGTGAAATTGTTATTGCGATAAAGATCCATGAATGAATCTGAAAGCCTCATGGCCTTGAGAGCTAAAGCCCCTTGATTTGACCTTGACGGGTCATATATAATGCAGACGCAGCGTCTAATGTTCTCCTGCGCAAGGAGGATATCAGTCCATGATTCAATAAGAGTGATATCAGTGTGCATTCAGGTATTGCAAAAATAAAAAAACAAAAAAGGTAAGAACAGTATAATGCCACAGTCCATCGACCTACACCAGATAGCCCAGGAAGTATTCCTCCTACCAGCATTTGTGGAAAAAAATGATAGATTTTTAATCACATCAATTTATAACACATTATATGCATCAAAACCCTTGGTCAACCACTTGAAGTTCAAGGCAATATACTCCAAAGCTTACAAACATGCTCAACGGCAGGGGTTTTTCTGCTTCTACTCAGCTTCATCTTTCTTTTATTATTGCAATAACCACCTTCCCCCACTGTTTACAGACACGGCAAGCAGCCTGCTTTTCTTCAATTCTTTTTCATCAGATCTTTGGCAATAAAATCTAATTAGCCTATTTTCAGGAGGTAGTTCCATTTTAAAGTTTAAATATGTTATCAGGGACGACAACCCCCAATCCCTCAACATATCTGATTGCCGAGTCCCAATTCCACAGATCGTTATAACAGAACATTCAGGCCTTTCACTTGTTACCTATGTGTCAGCTTTTCTACGAGGCGAGGCCAGGCAAGGTAGCAATATGACAAACTCATATGCCATGCTGTTCCAATCAGCATGTAATTATGCTACGTACTTAAATAATTAACAACTTAGTAAGGCTGTGCTGGTGAGACTCTGCTAGAAAACAAGTAACTTGTTAGGCATAGTCAACATCGCTGCACAGGAAAAAGATGTCACCTGGTAATTCATGAATGTCTCGATCAGCTCCACTGTCTGAAAGGACCCAAATAAAGTTGATTGATACCTGAAAACCAACACAACCACCATAACAATCATAATGCTAAGAAAGGGAAGGAGAAACATATACGCATAAAAAAAAGAGCCAAGTTCCATAAATAAAAATACAGCGGGATGAGGACAAATATACATCTATTTAAAGATGATATAAAAAATACAGATTAATTTTGGACAAAATTAAAGTAGGAAAGACATTTTTACTGCTAAAAATAAAAAAAGCTTAGTTTAGTGATCCAGACTCATTGTTAATTTGAGCACAGGGAATTAATTCAAAGTCATATACCATAAAATCAATAAATACTATTAAGTCAAAGGAAATGGTCATTGTCAGGTTCCATCATGGCATTCCGCCATACTGGAAATGTCTCCAAAGTTATTCAGACCGAGAACTTGTATGCATTTGAAAAATAAATAAATAATAAATAATTAAATTACCTTGAACACATCATGTGCATGGAAACTATGATTATTCATTTTTTTTGAAAAAATAACAAAAAAAGAGATTACCTTTGGGGGACTAAGCACTCAATTCACAATTCCAGCAGAGGGCAGGAGTAGTGGAGAACGAATTTATGGTCTCATTTAGGACAGGAAGTTACGTCTATGATTACAATTAACTGGATACCTAATCACGATATAATGATGGCAACCATAACCTGATCCAATGCGCGCAAATCCAAGAAGTCGAACAAAAGCACACCTGAAATGGGTTAGATCAGGATGCCTCTAGTGTAAAGTTCAACGGGGCGCATATCAATGCCTGGCATATTTCTCGAGGGATCACATATACTCACAACACGATCCCACCTTCTTCGAGGAGGTTCCACAGACGATGGTCAGCTCTACATTGAATGGTCGTTTGGGTACACATTTCCTAATTAGTTCCCTGACTAATATCGAGAATAATGAAAGGAGTGGCACTATCGCCACTACTCAAGAAGTGTAGGTGCAAAAACACGGATTCTCCATCCTACAGAAAAATGGCAGCTTATGACTTCCAAGGAATAGATACCCTTCTTTTCATATGCCAATAATGATACTAATATTCATTCCAAATGAATGACTGCCTTGAAAAAAAGATGAAGTTTAGTATAGGAGATACACATTTAGAAATAGGAAGACTCTCGCTCTCTTTCAGCATTTCAATTATTTATAGTGCATTTGTCAATGTCATAAGTTTTCTTCTTCTTTCTGAGTCACCAAACGCTACCCTACTTGATGTAGCAAAAGATTTACCTCAATCCGGTTACCTAAATTAGAAATAATTTTTGACCACGCAAAACCGTTAGTAGGGTAATGAAAAAAATCTAGCTTGAAATCACAGTAAGGCAATACTTGCATACATAAAATGACTCCAAATGCAAAAATCGAATATCAGAAGGATATCATGTAAAAGTCAGAGATGGAACGTACCAGCCTACAGTATTATTATCAACATTGACCTCTCTTAGGCACCTCATCATTTCAAGCTGATAACTAGCTCCGTCAGTTTCAATCTCTTCATCTTCTTCTCGAGTCTGAAAATTCAAGCAGTTAGAATATTCTTAAAAAAAAAAAAGAAGCTTTGAGAATGTAGAGTTCATTTTGAACTTCACGTACTGGGAAAGGAAAGCAATTGGTGACTTCGAGCACACTGCCAACATCCAGACCAAGAAGCTGTCCAGTAACTAGGGCTGGAGAAAATTCCTTGCAGTGTTTAATAATTTTCAAAACGGCCTGCATAATGCCAACGGGCAAGAAAATTAATAGATGAAATAGAGAGTTCATATCATGAACACAAGGCAAAGTATAGGCAGTGACGAAAGATTCCCATTAGTAATAATGAAGTATAAAAGTAGGTGCATGACATCATGTGGCGCAATTCTCTCGTACTAGGATAGGCGCATTTATTTTCTACATACTGATATGTTCCATGGCTAATTTGTTATAAATTCACATGGGTATGTGCAAACAATTCATTTCAGGTTCATTTTCCGGGAGGTGACGGATACACCAATCAAAGAAACTTACAAACAAAATAACTCTGATGATGACAATCCTCCATTTTCTCAATTCAATGGGTAAATGATGACCTTATAATATTGAACACGTTGCTTTCTATTTCAATTAAGAATGTGTAGTCCTACAGAACTCATAGTCTTCCAATTAGGATAGATATTGAACTCGTAGAATGCGTTGGCTCGAGGAAAGACCGAAACAGTCTTATTTTTATAAAAATGGATAAATATAAGTTACCCCGATACAACTATCGTTACCCTTCTGCCTAAATATCCATTTGTGTTTACAGGGGACCAATTAACGCATCTGGACTATTCACAAGAGCGAGTATCATCCTAACCATGACCACGGCTCGATCTCATTTTTCAATACATTTCAATATGTACCCTTCTATCCGATGAACGGAGCTCAAGTTAACCAGTTCAACTGGAACTAACCACTTACGGAGAGACCGCTGATCAAACGTAACAGCAGGTAGAGAACATGAGATACTTCCTAAATCGTGTCCTCGACATCCACGGTGCAGAAAAGGAACCAGCCATGTTTCGTCCAGAATTCCTAGGCTACAGTTATCACGACATTAAAAGAAACCGTACCATCCCTTCAATCTGAACGACCCTAAGGGGCAAAGCAACCTCCTCCTTCGTCACCGCTTGCAGGAACGACCGCACCGCGGCTGCTCAACAGATTTGCCAAAGAGAAATAACAACAATAGTCCGTCAGCCGATGTATCAACAAAGTCATCACACCAAGATATTGCTACGATTATCGGGAGAAGCTCGGGAAGAGTGTACGGACGGTTCGCCATGACTTTCTTCCGGGGACGAAGATGGGGAATCAGAAGGGCGGCGAGAGGGTCGAGAATTAGGGCAAGGTGGGGAAGACGGGAAGAAGGCTTGCACGTGCGGTGACTTCTTTTTGTAAACTCCCTAACTATGAAATGTACATAAATTAATAATCTAAAATTTTATTTATGATCATTTAAAAATAACGAGTAATGTATATTATATTTAAAAAAATTGTACCGCATCAAGGGAAAGCGGCCACGAATTTCAAACATATTTAGGAATAAAACATATACGAGATTTTAAAATAAATTTACCCAAAAAAGAATAAGGTGTCTATATACACATAAGAAAAATACATCACTAAAATAAATGTGTTTTCCCAAAAAAAACTGTTAATAAATACCACTGAAATTTCAAAGTTGAAAATGTTACTGTAAATCGAAGCAACCTTAAATAATTTATGCTGCGAAAAAAATAAATATCATAAGAAATAAATGTTTTGCAAAAAAATTATAATATCTAATAGGAGGTATTAATAAAACATTTATCTGTGAAAAAAATGTATTAAAGAAACAATATAAGACTTGCAATTTTGTAAAAACTGTATGAAAATAATTTTAAGAATGTTTTTTTATATAGTTGATAATTATTCAGGTGGAGAGCAGTGAAACCCCCGACAGAATTGGCAATGTATATGCGACGATAACTATTTAATTTGATGTCAATTTTTTTAAAATAAGTAAAATGTGTAGACAGTAATGCGGTGGGGATGATAATTAGACATGGTAATAGGTAAATTTTGCCGGCTAGGCTTCCCGGACGATGGACATGATCTGACGGCTGTCGGGGACGCGTCCCTGGTAGTTATTAATAAACAAATAAAAACGACGTTATTAATAAACAAATAAAAATGACGTTATTAATAAACAAATAGGAAAAGTCTGAAATAAGTGATTCAGGCGGCAACAATCGCTGAGAAGTGGAAGCGGAGATGACGGGAAGAAGAGGACGCGGAGATGAAGAATTAGGATGCTCGTTTTCCTCTCCAGCTCCCGCCGGCGAGTACGGGCCCGCCGCTGGCCCCTGCTCCGGCACGCAGCTCTTCCTCCCTCCGAAATCGCGCCTCGCAGCTCGAGGTAATTCTCCTTCTCCTACAGCTCCCGTGGGTCGACCCCTTGGAATTTTGAATTTCATCATCGGTGAATGAGAACTTGATTCGGAACAATTCGTTTCTTCGAATCATCTCTCTTCGAGTCTCTGTAATATCTGTCTTTTGATTTCCTTTTACTTCCTAGTCATTGGGGAAGGAGATCCAGAAGCTGGGCCCGGGGACGAGGGGGAGGTTCTCAGGAATTGGGTTCTATTCCGATTGCTTTCTCTTCGTCAGTTCGTCGGCCCTCTTTCCGCTGTTTCTGCAGCGCACCACGTCAGGAGGAGATTCCATTCCTTCCATGCAATATCTTCCCACTCGTTCTTATCTCCGTTGCCATTTCCATCGATCTTATCCACCTGCTCGCTAATCTCTGGAGGTCAGGGCCTTCATCCTCGACCCTTTTTTCTTAAATTATCTGCTAGAGAACTTGTAGTGCAGGATCGTTTCATCGACATCTGGAACTCCTCTCCTCCCGGAAAACGACGCTGCCCCCATGAATTTCCTCCTCCTCCCTCCCCTCTTCTTCTTCTTCTTCTTCTTCTTCTTCTTCTTCTTCTTTCTCTAGCAGGATTTTCAACTCTACGAATAGTCGGCCTGGCAGGTCCGGAGGTCTCTAACGTCTGATTCTGTCCAGATATACCGACCTATCCTGTGATTCGTGTTTTCCAGGTGTTCTTCCGAGATCAGAGAGATAATATAAGAACCGAGGAGACAAGAGCGAAAGAATGGAGTATCCACCCAATTTCTATCGTCTAACAAGCTTGCAGATCGGGTGAGCACGCCCCTTCCTACTTTCATTTCGACGAATTTTGTTCGCTGCAACGAAGAGCAATATCGACCTTGAGAAGATATTCAGTAATGTTTTCTGACGAAAACCTGCAGAAATGTTCGAGGCTATCCTTCTTCGTCCTACCTGTATTCGGCTCCCGAGAGCAAGAAGCTTCTCATCCTGGTCGACCACCGGCCGTCGTCAGAGAACGAGGGCTCGACGAGGACAGATCCAGACCAGAGCGAGATCCTTAGCGGCAATCACAACCAAAGATCCGCCATCGGAGCCTCCAAGATATTCCAGAAATCATGCGCCGTCTTCAACGCCGCGAAATCGAGGACTAAGCACCTGCTCGCAGTCGATGATCTCGGCAAGAGACGCCGTGGTATTCTTGTCTTGGAAGTGGCGTGGAAGGACGTGTGCGGCATGAAGTACCAGAACGACCTACTGGTAGCTCGTCGACTCGATTGTTCTAGCGCTCCACTTTATCCGATTCCTTTCCGAAGGGGCTTATGCAGGAAAATTCTATGCTTACAGACGGACGCATCTTTCGCTCTGGAAGCTAAATTCATGGAGCAATGGGAGTTCGACGGGCCAGACAGGGCATCCAGATACGTATCCTCGTGGTTCTCGGGAACAGATTCCGAGGTTCGGGCGCTAAAGGATTGCCTGAGGTGGATCATTTCCTCCGGGAGGACTGACTCCAGTGAATCAGTTCCGAAGGAAGACGGAGATGAACGGGAATCTTCCTCAGGAACAGATGATCGTCACCAACAGGACAAAGTATTAGGCGACAATGCCACTAAATGCGGCCAAACCTTCACAGGACAAATTATTAGGCGACGAAAACAAATGCGGCCAAACCTTCATCTTGTTCAGATTCGGGGACGAAAACAATAATCCCTCCGCTGACCTTAGGAAGACGATCCTCGACGATGTGAGACTTCCTCGGCTGCTGGAATCGGGTCTCCCTTCTTGGGCAATCTTCTTCCAGTCGTATCCCCCGTTCTCGCACTGCTACCGCCCTTGGCTGCGTCATCTGGTGCGGACAATCCACGGGCTGATCTTGTTCATCTCCTTCGTCATCGGATTCTACGATCTGTACAGGAACATCCCCCTCATGAAAGCGGACCTCTCCCGGATCTCCGGCTTCCTGTGCCTGTGGATGGAGGCCTGCGGGAGGATTATCTCCCAGAACTTTGAGAAGGCCGTCATGTGGTTCCTGCGGATGGGGAAGCTGCTCGCTGAACCTCTGGCAGTCGGAGGCTTCGGGATGTTCCTCGCCCCTCTCTGGAGGAAGTGCGCGGGAACGGCGGAGCTGATGTCTACGGTACTCTCCTACGCCATCGCGTCTCTCTACCAGTTGATCGGGGTCTTGATCAACTGGCCCTGGGAGATAATCTCCTCCTCCATGGGTAAAACAGGTGAGATTTCTGTCTGCTGATATCCTTCCAGATCCAAAATTCCTTCGCCGTAATTCGGTTATCTTTCTCCACAGCGGCGCTGATCCGACTGGCCTTCACCGCGGCATGCGAATTCATTCGTCCTAAGCTCCGGATCTGGGGCCCATTCTTCGGGTGGCTGGAGGCCGGTGAGGTGTTCAGGTTCCCCTACCTCGGGACGATGCTCCTGATCCAGAACTTCGAGAAGGCCGTCAGGTGGTTTCTGGGAACGGCGAGGTTGCTCGCCGAGACTCTGGCGGCGGCCGGCGTAGGGAAGCTCCTCGGCTGCGTTCGGAAGATCTGCGCGGGGACGGCGGAGGTGATTTCTTGGGAGTCCCTCTCCGATCCATTTCTCGACCTGTTCAAGGACCTCTTCGAGCTAATCTCCCCCGGCATTGATGAAACAGGTGAGATTTCTATCTGCTGGCATCCTTCCACATCCGAATTCCGTGCCCCGTCCAATTGTCTTTTTCTACAGCGACGTCGATCGAAGTGGCCCTCACTTCCGCGTGGGAAGTCCTCCTCCCTCGTTTCCAGCTGGTTCTGTCGTCGCTGAAGCTCGTAGTCTCAGAAGCAAGAGCCAGCTTGCCCGATCTCAGAAACCTCTGGGACTCGTGGCGATTGCTGTTGAAGCTTCTTCCATCATTCTCAGGCGGGGGCCGAGGGAACAGCTCCAGGATCACAATCTGGACTGATCTCCGCAGAGAGTTCCTCTCCTTCCAGGTGCTGCTCTACAAACCCTAAAAGACCCAAAGTCGGGAATCCTCACACCTGGACGAGCCCTAAATTTTGCCGTGATTTCAACACAGGTTCTGGGGTCCATGAAGACGGTCATGAATGGTCTAGTCACTTTGCTCATCTCCTGGAACCAGACTAGCCAGAGGTGAGCGGCGCCGGCTGTTCCTCTCCCTCCATCCGCTGCAGGATCTCCTCTTTGCTAAATTTCCCACCCTGAAACCACCACGGTCTTCTTTGTCTTCCTCCCGCGACTGATTTCACTCTCCTGGTCGCATTGCAGAGACCGCGACATTGCGAGGGGACTACAACATCGGAGCCCCACCGACTCCTCCCCCCCTCCTCGGTCTTGTCCTTGCCGGCATCCCCAGGATCACTGCGACCGCTGCGAACAGGAAGCAGAGCTCCCGCACCGATGAATAATGTTTTTTTAACTTGCAGATGAATATACGTAGATGGCAGATGTGCATATTCAACCAACAGAAAGACGTACAGTAGAGAGAGAAAGACTTGTACAGTAGAGAGAGGAGAGACATGTACAGTACAGAGAGAGAGAGAGTCTGAGCCGGATCCCAGTTCCCTGCACCCTGATGGGAGTCCACAAAATGGGCTGCAGGTCCATGCGGCCCAATTATGTATCCCCGTACTTCCGAAAGAAGGCCCAATTGTTACTCGACTGTATTACCCTCATAATGTAAGTATATAAATTACGTTACTGGAAATTTAATTGATAATAAAAAAAGTGTGAAGATAGTAGATTAGAGAGTTCGTTCGTGTTTAAAAGATTTCGTGGAGGCTGAAACGAAAAACGGTAAATATCTGGGAAAATATTATTATTATTCGAATATTGGTATTTATTCTTCATTATTATCGATTTTTATAGCTTGGGATGGTCGAGGCGGATGACGTGGACTAGTCTTACAGCTGGGCCAATGGTATCAGGTGACGTGGGTCGGTGAAGGGAGCCGCAGTCCAGGCGGGCCAGACGGGTACAGATCCTCGGACCCAACAGAATGAAATGGCGGCTCGCGGTCTCACAGACGCAGCAGCTACTGATGGCCGGGTTCCTCCCCCTCCTCCTCCTCCTCCTCTCCAATGTACTTCTGCGGCCGGTAGTCGCCACCAGCGGTGGATCTTATGGCCTGGGCGGGGGACCGGAGGAATTCACGGAGGAGCTGCTGCTGAAGCCCTTGCCCGATCGGAAGGTCCTTTCCCACTTCCACTTCGAGAGTAGGACCCCTCCGTCGAGCGCTAATGGCCGCCACCACAGCCTCTTCCCAAAGGCCATCGCACAGCTGGTACGAGTAATCCTCACTGCAGCCGCTTCCCTGGTCCCTGAATCTTCCACGTTTTATGATGTCTCGTTCTGCACACTAATCGTGATTAGTGGAGCTCGGGAATTGGACATTAGTTTTTGCTTGAGTGCGCTGGATATATCGCGAAAAACTTCGGTATCAAATTGGCCCGACCTCCTTGCAATTTTTTCCCCTCTTTCTCTGATCCGTTCATGATTTGACTAGGGTTGTGGACTTCTGCATTCTACCTTATAGTTTCTCTTGCTCACATTTTGTGGAAAATTTCTTTCGATCTAATTATAGTTTTAGGGTATTTTTTAAAAAAAATCCTTCAATCTCAGTGAAGGAATTTTCATTTCTTTTATATCTCAGCGTATGATCCCACTTCATGTCGAATTGTTGAACCTAGATACTTGGAATGATGTTTCGAGGAAATATCTATTTATTAAATTGAATAAGATACCCATTTGTGTTATCAGATGCCAGGATTTGGTCTGTTTCTGAATTTTATCAAATGGTGGAAGTTATGAGTTTGGCGTCAAATTTGCATAATTCGCCAATCAGATTCTGCTAGTTTGAAACTTAGGGCACTTAATCACGAATTTTATTGCCGTTTCGTTCCAATCCTTCAGGAACCTTGCGTATTTTGGTTATTAATAATTTTACTTATTCCCTTTTGTTTCAACGGTCCGAAACAGGCCAATAAATTTCGAATCCAAGAGCTGGAGCTGTCATTCACTCAGGGACGTTGGAACTACGAGAGGTGGGGTGGATTGGATTACATATCTAGTGCCAATGCAAAGCCCCCTGGGGTTGAACTGTGGGCCATTTTTGATCTTCCTACTGATCAGATCGACGCCACATGGAAGAATCTAACACATGCTCTATCAGGCCTCTTCTGCTCTTCCATTAATTTCCTAGAGTCAACAACTGCCTTCTGTGCTCCTAGATGGAGCTTCAAAGGTCACTCTATCAACTTAAGATATGGTGCACTGCCCCGAGAGGCTGTGTGCACTGAAAATCTCACACCCTGGTTAAAACTTCTGCCCTGTCGAGACAAAGCTGGTCTCGCTAGTTTATTGGATAGGTCATCTATTTACAAGGGTTATTATCACTCTCAGAGATTGCATCTGCTTTCAACTAAATCGACTGGAATAGTACTTGAGCAGACATTAACTGTTGTGATTCAACCCAACCCAAAAACAACTCCAGTTTTTGCAAGTGAGAAACTACTTCAGCCTAATTGGTCTGTCAGCTCAGTTTTCAAAAGGGCTATTACGGGAAAATGCGCACTTTCTAAGTCAAGCAAGGTGTTCTTTGAGTTGGAAAAGGGTCTAGTTGGTGAAATGGATAGGTTGGTATCAAGTGGCTCGTACCTTGGTGAGAGTTTTGACTTGTCTGTTTCACCAAATACGATTGTCAGAGAAATGGATGCCTTGGATGGTCACAGAGATTCTGTCTTTTTTGAGTACAATATTGCCAACCACAGTGAGACCAATCCTTTAGATGTTGGGATTACATGGAAGCTTCCGCTCGTCTGGTCAAATCCCCAAGCACCTTTTCATGCCAATAGATTTCTAATGGGAAGTGGAAATGAGAGAGGCTCAATTGCCATTTCTTTGCAGTCTACACAGACAATAGAATTATCAGCCTATGCATGTATGATGCAAGTTGTTATTTTTCAAATGGTCCCGTGGTATGTCCGAGTTTACTATCACACTTTGCAAATTCTTATAGATGGAAAGCCTCAGAATGTCTCCGACATTGTTGCGAAGATACTAGTCTCTCCTTCAGAAGACAAAGTGGCTCCTGGGATTATGGAAATTATGCTTACAATTCCTTGCACTACTGAGTCTGCAGTATTAACCATGGATTTTGACAAGGTTTGTCTGCCATCTTGTCTTCTTATGTTTACATCATTTTTCTGAGCAAGCCTACCTTAAATTGTTAAAATAATAAAGGTTATGGTTTTCATTTTCTGTTATATCCTTCTTCTGGATAAAAGCATCTCTGTGATGGAATATTATAATTGTTTTCCATTCCTCATTTTCACTAAGTTTTTTTTTTCAGGGCTTTTTACACATAGATGAGTATCCCCCTGATGCCAACCAGGGATTTGACATTCCAGCAGCAATTATTAGTTTTCCTAAGTTACCCGCCAAGGATGGCATTCTTGAGGGGAACATGGATAGATCGCCTTTACTATCTAAATTTCAGGTACGATTTCAGATAACTCTTGTGTTTTTTTTGTCTTGGGTAAATAAATGGATGGTGAAAAAAGCACATTTTGCTCTCTCGTCTTTCTTTTTTATATTTCCTCTTTTTTTTCTCTGCAGGAAAGAAATCTTGTGCAGTCGTACACAGAAGTACTGCTGGTCCCTTTAACTACCCCTGATTTTAGCATGCCTTACAATGTTATTACATTCACTTGTACCGTTTTAGCGTTATACTTTGGGTCACTTCTCAATGTCCTGCGGCGGCGGGTTGCTGAGGAAGAGAGATTGTTGTCCAAAGGTAACTCTGGGGTTTGGGTATTTAAAATTTATTTCCAGCACGTTGGTAACAAGTTGCATATTTTTCGTGATGGCTAAAGTTCTCTATCATGTTGTCCTACTTTTATTTTTCAAACTTCATGTTTTTTTAACAGCAGTGCACGGGTATGGTGCCATTTCGTTATGATCCATTGAGCAATTTTCACCTCAAGGATCATATATCAACTTTCAGATATTTTTCTCTGTTTACAGCATATTAATTGTATATTCAGTCAATCGCATTTATCTCATGTTTGCCAGAATTCTCTATTATATTATCCTAGTTTTATTTCTTAATCTTCATATTGCTTCAACAAATATGGCACAAAGTGTATGTGAGCATTGATTTAAGATCAATCTATCAAGATTTTTTTGAAGCTCCACGTTCTGCCCTTCAGAAGATTTGCCCGTATTCTCACTTTCCTCAGAGAAAAGAAAGCCTAAGAGTAGATGGCTTTAGAACTTTGTAATTCATTATGCTGCAAGGTGATGTCCTACTGCTTGAAAAATGATGCTAGAAAGCGGCTACTAGCATTATACTCTTCTTGGCTGAGTATCTGGTGCTTTAGTCAACTCTTACTTCGTCTCATAGGTTGACATTAGGAAGTGCCTATCGGTGAAAGTCTTTTTGGAAACCGGAACATCTGAGTTGGGCGATTTCTTAGGGATCAAACTGAATGATCCTAGGAGTAATACGGGGGGCCTTGCTGCTATTGACATCAGAGACTGAGCTTGATTTCCAGCCTTTCTCATTATATACTGAAAGAGCTCAGTGCTGAGAATGCTAAGCTTCTTCGAAACATGATACATGCTCCTTTATTCTTAATGAAACTCGGAAGTAGCGTTCCATTTTCCGTCGTGTTTTCAATAAATTGATGTGTGCCTTTTCTTCTTTTTTTCTCCTTCTGGCAGCGGCCACCTCACAGGGATTGCTTCGCAAGCTCATATCAAAGTTCTCTTCCAAATTTCTGGGAAGAAACCCGGGGTCAACGCAGACCCAATCATCTCCTCCTACAGCGGGCTCTGGGGTGTTGTTTAAGGTCATTGCTGTGGCGCTGTTAGCGGTCATTTGGCATTATTTTCTCAGTGACAGCTCGAACTGACCCATCAAGGTAGCTAGACTCTGCTTTTCTGGTGAAATCTGGAACTTTTGTTCATTAGATCCCCAACTCTAGCTTCCCGATCTGTATAGGTTCATTCGCTATGCTTTTTTCGAGCTCATTTAAAGAAACTTATTTCTTTGCTAATTATGCAAAGTCTCGGTATCCAATCAGGTGATGCTCTATTTCCTTTGAAAAACCTCTTGGAAGTGTTAATGGGAGATGGGTTTGTGTGGTGTGGAACGGTGATCTCTTCTTAGCCTCAGTTTTACTGGAATTACTCCCTTTCCGATTTCTAGAAGGAAACGGTTCAACTCTGGGGTTTTAGCTAGCACACAGCCTTCTCGGCTCCTGGGTGACAAGTGGGTGATCCTCTCCATCTGGAGGCTCACCTCGTCCATCTGCGTTGAGGGGGAGAGAGAGAGAGAGAGAGAGAGAGAGAGAGAGAGAGAGAAGGGGAGATGAAGCGTTGATGGGGGTGGGGGGTGGGGGGTCGTCGAGAAGTCGACACGTAGTAGAGGCTGCTTGTTCCGATGGAATCGTTGCTCGAGATAAGCTCTGAATGGAGACCGGATAAAGCAAGCGTCTACTCCTCCGCCACATTCAAGAGAGAGAGAGAGTTACATCCTAACGCGTGATTCTTCCTATTTTCCATCAGATGTAAAAACCTATGCCATCAAAAGGTAGGAGGAGAGACCTGACTATCGCCGGACCAGTGTCTCGCGGACATGGCTCAGTCTTTCCTCTTTAACAGGCTTTTTTTATGGTGATGGGGAGAGAGAGAGAGAGAGAGAGAGAGAGAGAGAGAGAGATTTAGGGTTATTTTCCACTTTTAGACGTTATCGAGGTATGAGCGCCATGTCCGGCGGGACCTATGAGGGGAACGTACATTTTCTGGGAAATTTCTGGAATCTAAGGTGATAACACCACAATCTGCCGTCCACAACTCAAATTTCTCAAGGAAATTACCATTAGACCCCCCAAATATGATGAAGGAAATACTTGTACTCTCTCCTTTCTAACCCTGGTGCAGTCTGTTAACCCCCTCCTCTGCGGGATCTCTGGTGGGGCCCGATTGTCTTCGATCAAAGAACTCCGAAGAAGGGATTGTTGATGGCAGAAGTCAGCTCTGCGCCGGCTGAGTTTATCACCGCCATGTCCACCTTCTGCTTCGGCAGAGTCAAGAACTCGTCTCCTTCGACCTTCTCGAACCCGCAGACCTCAAGAAATTCAATGCCGCCAGTCATGCAGCCGACCCTGTCCTGCAAGAAGGAATAGAGGATGGAAGGTCTGGAGCAAACAGTGTCGGCTATGGATGAAGAAGCTCTGTGAGATTGTTCACCTGGAACGTTGCATTCGTCATCCGAATCCTCCTGAATTTCTCCTCATCAGGGTTCTTGGCGACGTTGCCCACGTAGGTGAGAAGCGTTTGGAATGCTCTCTTCACCTTGGCATCATCATCCTGCCGAAGTCAAAGTGAGTAAATAAATACGAAGAAGACCATTAGAATGCTGAGATGTTTCTGCATCATAGAAGACGACTGCCATCTGGTCAACCCGATCAGAATATTCTGCCCAGGTTATGACTTCGGCATGAACAAGATGCCCACTCATGAGAGATCGTCTCACAGATCCTCCTCTGCCCAGATTATTACGTGGCATCTCTTGCAGCTCCGGCATTATTTTTCAGCTCAAAATGGACCCAATGAGGGAGAAAATATTAAAAAGTTGGATAAAGAAAATCCCTGCAATGCTCATTATTTTGTGCATCCTTCAACCTCACAGCCGCAGGATGACAGAGATGAGGTATTCGGTACTTGATGATATATTCCATGGCAATTGAGGAAATCTAGTTAAAGCAAATGAGCCGAGAGGAAATTACCTTGTGGGCCTGCTTTAGCGATCTCAAACAGTCCCTCATGTGCTCTGTCTTTGTTGCAGGTTTGATGGGCAGTGCGCTCTAGTTCATGGGTGGAAGTGAGGAATAAGCTGTTATGTCCCGAGTAGAGTATGTGGCTTTGACATTAAGAAATGAGGGCATTACCTTCCTTTCCCTCATAGGGGGTGCAGAAGGTTTCGAAGTTCCAGGTTCTTCAGGTGGTAGGCCAAGTTTACGCCTTCTCTCGGCCTAAAAAATATAATCAACAAGATACTATCAGCCATCAACGATCAACCATACCATGAGGAACTGGCTCAGTTTTTTTTCTGGTTTGAGCATGAAGATAACGCCAGAGCCAGAAACTATGTTCCGCTAGCCTGGTCTGGAAGCCCCAAAGTCTCTCTCTCTCTCTCTCTCTCTCTCTCTCTCTCTCCCCTCCCCCCTTGTTTCCCACTGTAATGTTGCCTGCGTGCACCCCCACTCCCTTCTCTTCCTTACCTCTCTCTCCGTACCTATTGGAGAGTGATACCCCCTGTCCATGCCATACTTCGATCGCCAAATGGGACTCCTCACGCCTCCCAACCCCCCAATACAAAATAAAGTAAGATAAGCAGTAAACCATGTTTTCACCAGATGTTGGATGTTGATAACATTGACAGGAGCACAGTACGTGCACACAAGAAATTTGAGTTAAAAACATATTTTCTGCTAAAATACTCCATTTTGAGATTCTGATGTGCTATTACAGTCTATTTTCAATCAAAATAGTGGGCATCCATTCAACTAACATTCTTTTCATGATCCCATAAAATTTACGGTTTTACTTTGATAAATTTAGCTTGCTGATAACTAAAGACGTGTTTTCACTCACTTTAGCTTCGATCACTAAGTACCCAAGTGGCACTTTCTTGTTGACTGGAAGAAAATGATTGTTATGCTTTGGGAATTCTAAGAAGACCAGAAAATAGTCCCATAGTTGACCTTTTCCAAACTTCCAATGGTTTGCGCAATGCTCAGAAATTTCTTTTTACTGATAATGCTTCGATTTAAATAAAGAACACACGCATAAAAATATAATGCATCATTACACAAGATGCGGAAAATCTATGAATTAGAAATTCTATTGATGAAAAAACAGAAGTGAGCCTCACTCAGACACATCTCTCAGTTCGTTCAGAAGAAAAAGCAGGAATTTTTTAAAACAAAAGACGATAAGTGCATTAACGATTTTCATATCTTGACGGTGACTGGGCAAATACTGACACCGTGAAAAAATGTAAAGAGATAGGGGACAAGAGTTTAAGACCTTATCTTCCTCCAACTTCTGACGGATTTTCTCCCTGGCTCTCTTCTCTTCGTCCTTCTCGGCTTGTCGCAAGGCCAACATTCTGAAGGACAAAAAATAGATGATTTCAAGTAAGGCAGAGACTAGTCAGAGTAGAGGCCCGGCTATCGAAACACTGCTATATTCAGTTACCATACTCCGTGGAACAACAAGTTTCACTGACCTTTTCCTCTCATTTTCTTCTTCAATTCTTTTTGCTTCAAGAAGTTCTTTTCCAATACGAATTCTCTCCTATGATGCATAAGAAAAAGGCAGTCAGATATCATTCAGGAATTGCCGTAAACATCAACTCAATATCACCAGAAACTGCGCATGCATTCAAAAATTTATCAGTACCAGATAATAAAAGATAAGAATCAAAGTCGAAGCTTCCTTCTGTCGCCAACAGAAACACAGGCAACGTGGAGTTTTAAAGGTCAATGAGGTTAAACGGGAAGAAACAGATATGGTAAATTTACTGTCTTACTATCATAAAAAAACAAATAAAAGATTTGCTGTTAGGTCCCCTCCCAGACCATCTTCTGAACCCTCTACTGGGCCCGTTCATGGACCCACGGCCCACCCCCGTTTCGGGATCACTTACTCCCATAAAGGGAAGAGTGATATAAGGGAATCTCTCACAGAATCTCTATTTTCTTCCTCACCTTCCATAGTTCCATTATTTGCAATATTTCTCTTCTCCTCCGGCCTGAATCTACCGGTTGCTGAGAACTTAACAAGAAAACTTTAAGCTTCCAAAAAAGCCGATATAGGAGGCCTTAATCTTTGCGGTCATATGGTCGTATTAGTCCACGCTAATTCAAACCTGGACATTCTCCTGCCCTTTTCTGTGATAACGGTAGACATCAATGGAACATGTACAGAATCAGATGCAGGGTTTGTCCCCCAAATTTCCAGAGTTACCACGCTCCATCTCCCTATTCTTATATGGAACCTGGCCTCCATCTTTTCCCGTCACAGCCACAACCTCAATGTTGACAAGGACGTAGAAACTAATGTTTTCCCAGTCGCCTTCCTCCTTCAATAATGCACTTCTGCCAAATTCTTCTCTTCCCAAAGCACCTCACACATCTTCTGACCAGAGATACTGGGCCCTATTTTCCTATGACTACTTTTTATAAGATTGTGATAAGATGTACGAGTACTTCTGTACGCGTAATCTTTGATGACAAAAATTATTCCATGTGATGCTTCCGGATTCAGAAATTGATCGAGATTTTTCTTTTCTTGTGGATTGCATATTACTACATCTCAGATCTGGCACCATTTTGTATCCCAATGAAAGGTAAAAAATGGCAAACACATTTTGATGGGCAATCCCAGGATGTTCATAATTTATACCCAAATTGGAATGAGAGTTCAGGCACTCTGAACCACCACCACACGGTAGACGACACTATTTATACCTAAACGGCACTACCGGATCTCATTCAAGTTATCTCTCTTGCCATTCTTATCACCGGATACTGAAATAAAACAGGTACGAGAATCATAACAGTTACACATCCTGTCAGTGAGATCATTCATGTGCCATCTTTTTAAAGATTTTGTCCCACAAATATTCTGGAGAATGAAAAAGTTAGTGCTACACGAAAGAACTGTAAAAAGGTGTTATAATACCTTCTCTCTTTCTCTTTCCATTCTCCTTTCCTCCTCTTCCTTTTTCTTGCGTGCCCGCTCCCTGGAAATATAAATGAACTTAACCAATATGTCAAGTAGTATTACATATTAATAAAATTCACGTCAGAGTTAGGAGAATTCAGACAAAACGAAAAGGATAACAAATAGAGTAGGTAAGTCCATCAAATATCTGAAGACGAAAATCGAAAAATCCGAAATAATTGGTTCCTTGCGTTATGCTAGCAGCTTGCTGCTTAAATCACATAAACAACGATGCATAGAATAAAAAAAAGTTGACTAAAACTAGAACGATAGTCGCTTATCAAACTATCCACAATGGACAACTTTTTTAACGGAATTCCGAAGATATGGATATCAGAAGAGCTATAAATGAAAACCAATGAGGAACATAAAACATTTCAAATATTTTAAAGTAAAGCATGGATAGACCTTGACAATAAAAATACCAAACTTGGTTGAATCAACAAAAAATGAGAAAAAAAAATCGCCATCTCAGTCATTCTCAAGGTGGATAGGCCACCCCTAGGAACAATACAGCATACAGAAAATGTGGGACCGAAGACCGAAACACTGCTTTAGAGTCAATGCTTCTACAACCTTCCTGTTCTTTATTGGTACACAGAGAATGAATGGTAACTTACCATAAAATAAAGGATAAAAGGTGAGTAATAAAAATGAGCGTTCCATAGAAAAATAAAATGATATGGGCATTCAATAGCAACCCTTTATAAAACAGAAAGCACTAATTTCATAAATATCCTACAATTGAAATATGCAAGTTATCCCATAGTACTTAAAGCCAGAGATACAATGTAAAGTCAAACCTTAGCTCTTGTGCTTTTATCTTAGCTTCCTCTGGTGTCAAGGATCGTTTGGCAACCTCAGCATTAGTTTTTGCAGGTACCTAAAGGATATAAGCTGCTTAGACACTATAAACTAGGGAACTAAAGAATCAAATTTTAATCTTGTACAAAAGAGCGGGAGCCTAGAAACATTGACATAGTCATGCCCATATCAAGCTTCCAAGAAGATTCCCAGTTAATAGAAAACGCTATTATTATTTTCAAGATATGTTGACAGAATTATTTCATGGTCAGGCAACATGTTCATCCTAAATGATGTGGCGGATGAAATATGGAAAGAGTCAAAAGTCTGAACCTTGGTTTCCTTTTCCTCTAAAAGGATTTGCAAACTTCATCATGATGGACAGCCAAGGTTTTTAGTTGAAATATTGCATGACCTAGTTCATACAGTCTAGAGGATCTAATAAATATTAGGAAATACCCTGAAACTGTGTTTCTTTCTGCTCTAAAGGGGTTGGCATGACACAAACATGGAAGCAGTCGATCCCATTGGGCCGGAACGGACAGAAGGTAAGATTGGCAAGTTCTTGATGAACCGGAGTAGAAAAAACAAGAGGAAGGTATATTCCATGAGGGAGGTACGAGTGGTCCAGAAGAAAATCCAACACAGGAATGATGATCAAATGATGGAGAAAAAAGATTATTAAATCTAACCTGGATTTCATTCAAGAAGAAACGAAACATTATGCTTGGAGCTTAACAATAAGATGGAGAATTTAAGCAATAATTGTAAGGTGTGGACCACCGGATTAGGCAGGTATGGAAAGAATAACACAATTGTGTCAATTCTCCAAGGTCAAAAACGAAATTATAGATGAGAAGCTGAAATGGGCCTTTCTGGGCAACAGATTACAAGAGGTATTTATTTTCTGGTTCAAATGAGGGGCAAACAGAATTCCTAAAGTAGAAGTTAAGCGAACCTATAACTGATAATATCCTGATGACGATAACCAAAAGTTACCGGTACATTATAACTGAATTAAAATATAAGTACTTGTATTTTTGAAAGAGCTGAGTGTCAAACAATGAAAACCAAACAGCACAACTTGTAAGCAGATATGACTCAATTGATACCATCAATGAAAAAAAAAAGGGAGAGAAAGTTACCAAAGGCATCTCGTCAATATCTTCATCATTCTCATGATCAGCAACCCAAGTTAATGGCAGATTCAAGACTGGCATTACCTAAACAAGAAAACAAATAAAATATTGCCTTAGAACTGATTGAGTGGCAAAATTTTCCGCAGAAACAATGCTTCAAGTGGATCACACTGTCAATGATTTATCTTTAGTCCAGATGACAGAAAAAATCTGAGGATCCATCAGTTAGACGTGAGAAGAAGAAACCATTTTTCGACTGCTAGCACTGTCCCTACATTGTATAATCAGTAATAAAGTACTGACAATCAGACCAGTTTTAAACAGAAATATATCGGATAAAATTTAATGTTTCCCCGAATATACCCTAGTTTGATTTTAGCATTCTTATATACATTCAATTGCTACAACCTTCCTAAATCAAACAAAGGACAGCCAGGTTTAACTGATCTCCATTTAAATCAGGACTCGTCAAAAGCCCAAGCCCAGATTCTACGAGTTAGATGCAGAGGGTAAACCCAAAATACAATGAACTAACTACACCATGCATAGCCTTTTCTAATCATTGCTAACACAACAAGAAAATCAGATCTTCATTCCAAGCCTTTAGAAGAAATGAACTATCGGCAAAAACAGTAAAGTCTAATGCCTACACCTCTGCATATATTAATTTTACAGACGTACTTGATTTTGCTCGTATAGTCATACAAGATAAAAATAGATCCTGCGAAGTAGAATCAACTATAGTTTTAAGAGCCTACCTTCATTGGTATCAAATATAAGTTAGGCGTTTATATTCTAACCCTCATTAAAAAAAAAATCTTTCTCAAGACCAGTTTAAATTTAGAGATCTAGGAACCATTGTAATCCCATCAATCTTTGGAGGCAATAACTCACCAGAGAAATGAAGAGCTCGTGTAGCACGAGCAGTTGGAAAGCCCATGGACTCTAGCTCCTCGAGTAGTTTCTTGTCAATCTCTGGAACAACCATCTCTGAAAAGAAATGAAGCACAAAGAGTCAACCAACCGAGATCCAGGATATGATTCAAACAATGGTACTGACGCATCATATTTCAAAATAATAAATCATGCAACAGACAAGGATTCTTCCGTTTTATTTTTCTAAATTGAAAAGAAAGTTCATAAAAATTATACTCTTTCAGTCAATTCAGCTGAAATTCAACATATTTTCAAAACATAAAAATATTTTATTGAGGGGGAAAAATGACATCCGTGTAATATTTCTCTAAACAGACGATCAGCTATTTCATAAAGAGCATCCATCAATGCCACATCAATACTAGTGGAGTTATATTTTTTTTATTTATGAAGTGAAACCCTTCAGTGATATCGGCTAACATTAAATTTTTTCGTTGATTTTAAATTTGTCTCCAGATACATCATCAAAAGCATTCTATACTTAATCCCAAAACCTTATGCTTTACTTCTCTCATACCATGCATTACAATTTTATCCGTTTCCCAGTGATTTATTCAACAGACTGACGTTAAGATTATGTTTCACTTCATTACTAGAGCCACTTGCTCTCCTCTCCTGTGACTCTACAAGCCTTGACTTCTTTTATCGACAAGAATAATATACATGATATGATAGAAACTGAAACGTTAATCATTGGAAGTAAAGTAAAGGGTCAATAGAAAAGCATGGAATAACACCAAAAGTAGAAGACGAGGATTAGAAGGGAAAATCTATAAAGTTCAGTTGAGAGTATCGGCAAAAAACATTTACCTAGTTCTTCATATCATAATTCAAATACTCGGATAGATTTCTGAACAAAATTTAAGGATTTACCTTCCGAATTTCTGCTCTCCGAGGCAGTGCTCTCCTCCTGAGGGCCATCGACTTTAGCCTGATGCGTTCAATTCAAGGGACTTTGCCTCCTCCATCGTTTTGTCCACGAAATCAGAATGCCCGGTCCTTTTCGTATGCAGATCGCTCTCCTTCGACACAAGAAATAGAAAACAATGAACCAGGGACAGAAAATTATCCCCGACTTCCTTACCCAGACAACATGGGATTAACTAAATTCACCCCGAGGCCGATCTGTGGGGGGCAAGAACTAAATGGACGCCGACGCTGTCGGAGAGAGAGAGATTAAAGATTTCACATACGATCTTTGTTCGGCAGGGCTTGCCGCACACGGTGCAGACGAGATTGAGCACGGCCTCGGTGGACTCGGAGAAGTTGGTGTGCAGCGTGAGCTCGGCGTGCTCCTGGGCCTCCTCGACGCTCTTCAAGTGGGCCCCGCAGTCACCACATCTCAGTGACAGCCCCGCCATTGCAGGATGTGGAGAATAATTTCCTCGCAGGTCCACCGGGAAGGTAGATGAAGAAGAACGCAAATTCAGTCTTAACGACTCCTCACTCCTCTTTCTTCGCAAGGGTAGGAGTAAGATTTCGGGTCTAGCGCGGACCCGACTTCGCATTTGAACCCGCCCGTTATGAACTGTCGAACCACGTTTTACAGCTCATTGATTTCTGCCAATATCGTTTTATTCTAATTATTGAATAGCAAAGTAATGAGTTTATGGGCCACAGCAAACAGCTTCCGGATTTTTTAGATGAATTTCATAAATAATTCGCATCCTATTCATTATTTCAACACTTTTTTATAAACCTAACTTTATAGGTTTTTTATTTTGATTAGTGTAAATTTATTTAAATAAAAATAATCAAGTGATGAAATAATGAGCCGGATCTAACAATTTTCCAGCTCTTTGATGCATATCGGGAAAAAAAACTCTGTACACTAATAATTATGAAACTATTTTTCAACGATCAGGATTTACTGGTATTTGAATTTTTGTTCTATACCTTATTTTAATAAATGATTGGGAAAATAATTTGTTATGGGCCGAATGTTACAATTTCCGGTCTTTTTAATCAAATTGATAAAATAATTAGTAAACTATTAACGATTAAGTCCTTCTACTCATTTTCTGTTAATACATTTAATTTAAAATAATGCCATAATATGAAACTAGGAAGGTCTTGTCAAAACAGAAACAACCCCGCCCCCCCCTCCCCCCAGCCTTCGACTTCAGAAACTTCCGGAAACTAAAACAGATGTTCTTTCTGTCTCTCTCTCAACTCTTCAAGGCGAGCTCTCTTGCAAATCATTACTCTCTTTCTCTCTCTCTCTCACACACACACAGATGATGCTCTGCAAAGGACGCAGCGGGACGACGGTTCAGTTGCTGGTGCTACCTTCGCCCGCCGCAACGGCTGCCAGAGGCGGCGGCACCGCCGCAGCAACCGGCGTCGGAGGTGGCGAGCTCGTCTGCCTGCAGCTCGAGGAGGGATGGGAGGAGAGGGCGGTCGACCTGGGGACCATCGGAAAGGCGCTGGCACTGGAGCCCCTCTCCATCAGGCTTAACGGCTACATGCTGGGAGCCACAGCCCCAGACTTCGTCGCAATCTCCGTCACTTGGGGCTCCCTCCTCTCTCACTTCTCCGCTCGCCGTTTGCCCACCGGCTGCCCCGCCGCCGGCGTGCCCATCGTCGTGCAGGGACGGCCGGCTTCCATTTCTGCCGCCGGCGGCAAAAGGAAGGCGGCACCCAACAACGAGAGGCCCATGAAGAGGGAGAAAATCTGCATAAAGATGACGGTGACTTTAGATGACGACGATGGTCCAGCCAAGGAAAGGAAAAGCGTGGCTGGTTCAGGTGGATTGGTGACCTCAAACGGCGTGTCCTCCTCCCTCGCTTCTCGAGGCGTCGCGTCGAACTGCCTCGCGAGGCATCGGACGAAGCGCTCCAGAGAAGGCGACCTGGTCATGGCGGCGCTCCCTTGTAAGAGGGCCGCGTGAGAGAGTTTGAGTGCTTTCCTCTCCCTTCCGAGTACTATCTAGACTTTCCAAATGTCTACCTAATTTCAAAAGCTACCTCTCTCTCTCCCTCTCTCTCTCTCTCTCTCTTTCGCTTCATATATGTACAGTACGTGGAAGGGCTTTGGAAGAGAGGAAATGGGTTTCTGAAATGGTAGCCGGGCAGATAGAAGCTCGGCCATGGGGAATCTGCGATCTTGAACCCATGGGAAGAAGTAATTTCTTCCTAGGACTATGAAATAAGAACCATCAAGAGGAACAATGAAGCAACCGTGATCATGCCTCATAGATGCAGAATGCGAATAAAAGGAAGGGAAAAATGAGACAAAGAGAAAATCAGTGTCCATGAAACTGCGGAATCCAGTAAGGCTTGCTCCAGATAGATGACTTGCTCTGGATGATGTCGTAACAGCAAACATGACTGTTTTATCGTAGCTGCTTTAAACATAGGTAGAAAGTGATCTCACAATTCATTAGTAACATGCATGTGTGTTAAATCAATCAAGCATGCTCTAATTAGAGATTGTGGATTATAATTTCTGAAAAAGAAATTGTGTTGTGCTCAAAATTTATCTGAAATTTCACCACTGTTGTGTTGTGGATCCACCAAATAGCTTATACAGAACTTACTGGCCAGGTCAATTTAAAATATCTTGAACAGGAGATTGTTCGTGATTAACTATCAAGGGTATTTAATTTAAGACAACTGTTCCGTCGGAGTAAACATTTGTCACAGATTAAGTTCCATTAAATTAAAAGCTTCTGAACAAAGTTTCATCAATTTAACATTTTTAGCCCAGTTCTTTGCATGCCAACGAGGAGAGTTTTCATGTAAATACAATGTCTCTGTACTGGATTCTACAGATTAATAACAAAGTCAGTTCACTTATCAGTGACTTATAAACGCTAGAGCTACTTCAGCTCAACAAATGGAATCAGGTCATCTACCAGTCATAAAGACTAAAGTTACTTCATCTCGACACTACAATGATCAAAAATCGCTCAACCAAACAACATAGGAAGCGCGTCACACTCGAACAATTTCAATTGACGCTTGAAAACGCCTTTGTAGTGTTTAGTCATTCACTAATTGAGCTTAAATCTAGACAATGATCATTACCTGCTTTCAAAAAGAATGAAAAAAGAATTATACTATACAGCAGATGAAAGTTCAGCGCTGACGAAAACTCCGGCGACAGGACTCACCAGTCCAAAAACTGCAATACTCCGGTCGCAACGAAGTGTAAAAAAAATGCACATAACTAACCTCCTCGCACCTTTCCTACGACTTATGCGCGCCCTTGATTGACCGCAAAAGCTCCGCCTCTTCTTCAAAAAGACGCTACGCAATCCGCATGCATCTATCTTCCGGAATATAACACCAGGAAGCACCCGGAGTTATACATTAAGTCGCAGAAAACGTAAACAGTTCCCTGCCGGCGCCTCGAAGCCCCAGATCTAGGGTTCATTCGCGGGGATGGAGAGCCGAGGAATGGCGGGAGACGGAGAAACGGGAGACAGAGTGGTGGAAGAAGAGCGGAAGGCTCGGAGATCCTAACGGGGCCGTTAATCGGATCAACTCTTTGATGGGTCCTCCGCTCCCGATAAGAAAACAATGCCTCGCCTGCAGGGTTTCCTTATCGGATCCCGACGCTTCTCAGAAGAAATAGCGGGGCTTCGAAAGATGGTTCTGTAATCAGACGGTTCTGATGCGGCCATCGGCAGAAAACCTGTGATGGACGTTCTCACAGTGCATTTATTGCAAATAAACTACATATATAAATTTAATTGCTGATAAATCCACATACTGAATACATGCATTACTCCGATTTCCCTTCCCCTCGATCTTCATCGGAGGCGAGAGCAGATTGTAGTGTCGAATCTGCGGAGCCCTAGAACAGGAGGTGGAGGAGGAATTTTCGTGATCATTTCATGCCGGCGATGGTAGGGCGCGTCTGAGTGACTACGGAGGGATGGGGAAGAAAGGAGTGCCGGAGTGGTTGAACAGTTCCCTGTGGTCCTCCGGTCCTTCCTCCACCAGTGTCACCGGTGATCAGCACATCGCCCGGTACGCTGCCAAACCTTCACCGGAGATTCCAAAACCCGAGGCGCCTGCACGCCTAGCGCCGCCTCCTCTTCCCGTAATCCCGTCGACGCCGCCGGTGCCTCCCCCTCGTTTGGAGCCACCCGCGGAGGTGCCCAGGTCAGAGATTAGGGATGTTGGATCTGAACCCAGCCCTTCCCGTTTCTCGCAGGAGGACGTTTCGCGTCAATCCCAGCTCTTGGCGGAGGTGGTGGAAATTTTTTAGCCCATTGCTTTTTGTGATTTATTCCTCTCAGCGATAGTTAAGAATTTAATTGTGCGTATTATTTTCTTAACAGCTTTCGAAGAAGGTCGTGAATCTTGTGGAGCTTCGAAGATTAGCAACACAAGGAATACCGGATGGTGCTGGAATACGTCCCACTGTGTGGAAGGTACCAGTCTCCTTTTTCTGGATTATTTGACCCTACTTGAAAGCTATTAGAGTGGGAATTCTTCAAACTTTTGCCTCAAGTGAGATCATTTTATTCGAAATTGGGAAATGAAACGGCAATTCAGCAGAGTTTCCTTGACTTTAGAACTTCAAGCACTTGTAGTTATGATAATGGAGGGTTGCATCCCATCCATAGGGTCTCGCTTGTCACTTTTAGTTGATGCCTCATCTTAATATGATTGAATTACTCGGGATTATTTTTTTAACTTTTTACTTTTCATCTGATGATATTTTTAGGCTTATTCGCATTTGGTAAATAACCAACATTTTTATTTTTATTTTTCACCATGATTGGTTGAAAATATGCTATCAGAAATAGTATTCCCCATACTGACAAAATGCCATTGTTACGAGAGATAAACACAAAAAATTATATTTGGAAGATAAATTCTTTTTGGTAGGCTAAGAATTGTAGATTTAACATGGGATTTTATCCTACAGCTTCTTTTGGGATATTTGCCCAATGATCGGGGATTGTGGGCATCTGAATTGGCCAAGAAGAGGTCTCAATACAAGGCTTTTAAAGATGAGCTTTTGGTTAATCCTGTAAGTCATCCAAGTGCTTTGGTAACTCTAGGTCATTTCACCTTAGAATATGTGCTAATTAATCGCTTTAAATTGATTTTCTTACTGAATTATTTTAAATTTATTTGTCGACGTTATTTTTTTGTTATATATCCGAACTCTTTTGGGGATTCTGTATATATCGTTAGTAGTCAGAAGTTACGTGGAGGATGGATGAATCTGCTGGCCTTATTGCGACGGAAGTGGCTTTCAGGTAAGTCCAAGCACCCTTTAGCCTAGTGTGTGGAACCAGTTTTTTCAGGTAATATTTAAGAAGTATTTATTACAGTCTATGATGTGAAGAAATCTGCACAGTCTTTTACGTTTAATATTGTTTTTTAGAATGTAACTCGTGCTCTTTCATGAGTGGTAGTTTCCCAAATATACGGATCTGAAATTTAAACGAAAAGCCAATGCTTTTCCATGAAAATTAGATTAGAATATGCACTTTGACAACGTATGTCGTTGAAAATTAGACCTCAATTTGCAGTTCCATAAGACCATTTGATGATCAGTAATGAAGGTTAGGTCCTGAGAGAGTTTGTTAGCTGAGGAAGTTCGAATGTCATGTGTATGCTATGTATCCAGTATTGTTCTGTAGATTGTGTAATCATGAACCACCGCTACCAGTTATTTTCGTTCTGTATGCCTTCAAGAGTATGAAGCCAATTCCTGCATGGTTCAGGGTCTGGGAAGAGACGCATGTCTCTGAACTACCAAACATTTAAGACTTGAATTTCGATTCAAAAGTAGCAGTTCCTGGTTACATGTCTGTGAACGTCTATTTAATTTTTAGACTCGCGTACATAATGTTTTCCTTATTCACTGTCAGGATTCAGAGATCATTGAGCAGATTGATCGAGATGTCAAGCGCACGCATCCAGATATGCATTTTTTTTCCGGGGATTCTTCCTTTGCAAAGTCTAATCAAGTAAGAATTTATCATTCTCAGGCGATAGTGGCGCTAAGATGAGCTTGCCATTTCATTAGCTGTAGTGCTCACTCCAAATGTTTTTTTTATATTATAGGAGGCTGTAAGGCGAATCCTCATTATCTTTGCAAAACTAAATCCAGGCATTAGATACGTACAGGGAATGAATGAAGTTTTGGCACCTTTGTTCTATGTATTCAGGAATGACCCGGACGAGGATAATGCCGTGAGTAAAGATTAGCAGTTTATTTTCTGTTTTGGTTGATGTCTTCCGTGAACTGTGGTTTAATCCTGGGAAATTGTAGAATATTGTTATTTTTCCATGAGCGCTGATGGTTGAAAACGTAGAGCATTTTTTCAATCAAAAAAATTATAGTCAACGAGAATTAAATGGGTATGTTTTCTACTTGAGAGTAGACTTGCATATTTGTATGCCATAAAAATTTATTTCTTTTGTACGTTCCTGCATAGTGGAATTTGATGGTTTAGGCATTATTCACCACTAGTCTACAAGTGAAGGAGATTAAGATTATACCCAGGAAACCAGTGACAAATAGTGAGGTTATTCTTATTTCTCTCAGGAGTTGAATGTATGAATCCACTATCTTAACGTTGAAAAATCTAATATCTGTCTTATACTAGTTAAAAGAAATCGTCGAAATTTCTTATTGTGTCAATTAGTTGGACCCATCCATGATTTTGCACTCATCCTCGGATATGGAGTGAATAATAGGGAAACATTTTCCAATATGGCTAAACGGCAATGATGAAAATGAAAGAGAAATCCTTCTTTTACAATGTCCCTTTGCTTTTCGATGATCTGTAATTGAGGCCTGTCATCTTCATGCTTCGTTTAATCCCCCAGTTAATCAAAGGCCATATTCTTCCGCTTATTGTCTTCTTCTTATCTTGTTGGTATATTTTGAGATATTTTCTTAAAATTTCGGCTTTTATGAAAAATTTGGGCAATTCATTATTTTCGTGTGAAGAATGTTTGAATGTTATCTTTGAATCTCGCTAACTTGTTGGCGCACATCATTTAGTTCCTCTTACCACTACTTCCAAGAATATCAGGAAGAGCTGGATTTAATCCAATCGCCGGAATTCACTGTCCGCTGTCCAGATTGTCATGCTTTGCTAATTGTTTTCGGACAGTGAATATCAGTATTTGCATGCCATTTCCTTCATACCGGAGAAAACCTAAATCACTGAGGTTGATTAAAGACTTTTAGAACTTATATACAATGCGATCATTCTTCTCTTCTTTGCAGGCATCAGCTGAAGCAGACACCTTTTTTTGCTTTGTTGAGGTTTTGAGTGGGTTCAGAGACAACTTCTGCCAACAACTCGACAACAGTGTCGTGGGCATTCGCTCAACCATCACAAAGTTGTCGCAGCTTCTGAGGAAACACGATGAAGAGCTTTGGCGCCATCTGGAGGTCACAACAAAAGTAAGAACTCTGATGAGGCACTCTCAACACCAGTCTTCTATTAATGGCTTTAACAGGATTCAAACCCATGTAGCCATTGTTTTCTTCCATCTTTGTGTCGCCTGTTCTTCATTTCCGTTGGATTTTTTAATACTATATACGAGATTATCTACATACCCATCAGCTATAATATATATGTATATACATGTTTTGTATTACCAAAAAATTCGGTTGTATTACTTAAATCTCTGAGCATGATTATCTGTTCATATCCAGATCAACCCCCAGTTCTACGCATTCAGATGGATAACACTGCTGCTGACCCAAGAATTCAACTTTGCCGACTGCCTTCATATCTGGGACACGCTTCTGAGTGATCCCGAGGGTCCTCAGGTCCGTAGTATCCTGGCACCCCGTTTTTCAGCAATGCCCCAGAAATCTTGGGTTTTTTTTTTTTTTTTTTTGTTGAGATAATATGATAACATGATCTTGATGCAGGAGACCCTGCTTAGAGTTTGCTGCGCGATGCTGATTCTCCTCCGGCGGCGGCTCTTGGCGGGCGACTTCACATCGAATCTGAAGCTCCTCCAGAATTACCCGCCCCCCAACATCAGCCACCTCCTGTACGTCGCCAACAAGCTGCGAGGGACGCTGACCGGATGAGCCCCCCTCATTCGTTCTGCTTCCCCTTGACGTGTATGTAATCATTTCCTCAGAAAAAGTGTTCTTGAATGATTTTCTTTATTGCATGGATAGGAAACAGAAGGACTATTATATGGGCGTTTCCTTCAATTGTTTCCCCGCATGATTCCTTGTTCACCTTGTTGTTCTGTGCCTGATATCTGGTGTTAGCTCACGGTCAAAGAGTGGATAAAAATGGCGGTGCCAAACTGTTGACTTGAAGGTCAACGTTCTAAAGGTGTTTACTGTCTCCTTGCACCGTACATTTTTTTTTTAGAAGATCTGGTTTTTTGGGATCGGGGGTCAACGTGAAACACGGCCGCGAGACTCTACGGAGTGGGGGAGCTGCTGTGGATTTGGGTTGACTATGAGGGACCACTGGCTGACGACGTGGCTAGGCGAGCCACCACGGGCACCACCATCTCCGCCTAGGTTTCATCGACGCTACCGACGCGTTGACCTCTGCAGTGTAAATCCCGCCTTGTCTTTTTGCTGTAAAGTCCCCACTCGATAGGAGAATCTGGAGGTAGAAGTGGCGGGATGCTAAGCCCGGCGACCCCAACCCGCTCCGCCGCCGTGGGTTCACTCCCGCCGCTGGCTTCCCGGCGGTGGCGGTCACCGGCGCCGCCCTTCCTCCCTCGGGCCATGTGCCCGCCGCAGCCTCCCCCGGCCTGGTCAACAGCGGCATCAAAGCCAACAAAGTCGACGACGGCGGAGAGGCTGAGACTGGGGAGGCTGGCGGCGGACGGGCTCTCCTACTCGGAGAACTTCATTGTCCGGTGTTACGAGGTGGGCACCAACAAGACAGCCACCATCGACGCCATCGCCAACCTCCTCCAGGTCAACTCTGACTCTCTCTCCTCCCCCTCGGAAGTTCCTCTCTCCTCTGCAATAACAGAGCCTCTAAAAAATGGTAACTAGTCCAGGAAGTGGCGTGCAACCACGCTCAGAGCGTAGGGTTGACTAGGGACGGCTTCTCGACGACCACCACCATGAGAAAGCTGGGCCTCATCTGGGTGACTTCTCGCATGCACATCGAAGTCAACAGATACCCAGCTTGGTGAGGCCTCTCGGCCGCCGTTTTCTCTGGTTCTCCTGGGAAGCTGGAGCTCACCCTGGTTCCTGTTCAGGGGCGACGTTCTGGAGATCGAAACGTGGGGTCAGCAGGAAGATAGGATCGGTACCAGGCGCGATTGGATCGTCAAGGATTGCTCCTCTGGCGCAATCATCGGGAGGGCCACGAGGTGAAATATCTGCCCATCTCAGCTGTCTGTTGTTCTTCCTCCGTTGACTCGTGTGTGTAAAAAGAAAAAGTCTGATTTGATCTGCTGCCGGCAGCAAATGGGTGATGATGAACCAGGAGACCAGAAAGCTTCAGCGGGTCAGCGACGAAGTCCGGGAAGAGTTTCTGACTTTCTGCCCTCGAGCCCTTCGGTAGGGGAGATCCTGTCCCACGACGTTGACGTCGAAGTTTATGCGTCTCTCTTCTTACTTTTTTGGAGGGGATTCCTTGAGAGACTTCAAATGTAAAAAGGTCAACGGGGCCTCTGCAAATCCTAGATCGTTTTGATCTAGCAATGCATTGATGACAATTAAAAAAAAGCAACTTCAACGATCAGCTGACAATAAAAAAAAGAAAAAAAGCTGACATGTGGAATTGAGACATTCATGAATAATTCGAATGATTTCAGATTATTATGCATGCACATTATTTTTTCCCCATATGTGAAGATAATGATATTATTATATCATGGGTCTTGCACTAGAAGCCAATGTGACCACTGAGTCAGAGACATACTCAATAAATGTCTTTTATGTTCATATGTTGTCCATTTTCTTCTGTCCAGGCTTGCGTTTCCAGAAGAGGACAGTGCCAGCTTGAAGAAAATTCCCAAATTAGAAGATCCCGGGCAATATTCTCGACATGGGCTCGTGGTAAGTTCTCTAGTAAATCCAGATGGAATCCTATAAATTGCTTAGCATCCTGCTGAAACCACTCACTGTTCTTGGAAAAATTGCCAGCCCAGGAGGACCGACCTAGACATGAACCAGCACGTAAACCATGTCACATACATCGGATGGGTTCTCGAAGTAAGTTCAGCTAATGCCTTTGTGTGGATGTCAACCTCTTTCGCCGGATATATGCACATTCTTCCACTGTCATGGATGAAGTTAGGCTTTCATGCTGCTGCTCCCCACCGTATATTTCTCCTCTATTATCCTAAAAAATATTTTTCTCATGTAACAGAGCTTGCCACAAAGGATCATAGACACCCATGAGCTGCAAGCCATTACTCTCGATTACAGGCGGGAATGCCAGCACAGTGATGTGGTTGACTCACTCACTAGTCTTGAATCGGAGGGGATGGAAATCAAGGGCATAAATGGGTCTTCTAATGGAAATCCGTCGCAGGAAGACTACTGTCAGTTTCTTCATTTCTTGAAGTTGTCCGGCAGTGGACTGGAAATAAGCAGGAGTCGCACAAGGTGGAGGCTGGTCAAATAAAGCTCTGGCATTGACTATTTCCTTGACCTTTGACTGCTATGAATTAGTGCAGAAACTACCCAGAGGATAAATAAGTTGCCTTGGGAGCCCTGAAGTCTGGAGAATTATATGTTTTGTTTGTTTCGAGATGGTCATCATTTCTGCAAAGATTGTGTTCTTGAGATCTCTCTCTATTTCTGGTATTAAATTTGGACAAACAGGGGATTACTATGATTTTGGCCGTTCATTTCTATTCACTGCTATTAATTCCCCTTTACATGGCAGAAAATGCTCACCACAAATTCTCCACCAGAAGGGATGCTCCAATGTGTGTGATCAAACTTCCCTGCAGAAGCTCCTGTTGTCAAGATATTAAAAATTCCTCGAGAATTGGAACTAAAGATATTCTGGTAATAAAAAGGTTGGGTATCATTGGTTCCAATTCCAACGGTGATACAATCAATTTATGGTAAGGATTGTAAAAATTTGTTCAATGAAAATTCGTAATATTAGCATTTAATAAAAACACCTGAAACAAAAAAATGACTTTATTTCATTCCTGCACATCTATACAATATTTCAATAATGTTCTTTAAAATATATGCATGTCTGAACTCTTTTAAAAGAGAATGTATAATTTATAGACCTAAAGTACAAACCGCTGGTAATTAGAAAATACCTAATCCCCGAAGTCGAGAGGAATTAGAATGAATTAAAAGAGAAAAAAAACCATACAAAATTTATAATGCATCACTCTCAGCGGGATAGCTATGTTGTCCACTTGCAATGGTAGGATTTCACTATCAACCTAAGAAAATATCCTCACATAAGGCAGGAATTAAGGCAAACAATAATGTGGCAGAATACAGAAAACCCCTAGAGTATATATATTAAATTTCGGCTCGGGATTGCCCTTCTTTCAATTCCCACATCTACCTTACCTCAAAGGTCGATGTGATAAATAAATAATACAAATATTGCGATATCTCGAGAACTTTTATAAGCATGCAGCCAAAGGCACAAGGAGATCAAGAAGAGGTCTACTGCACCGAAAAAAGCCAAAGGGTGAAGGGATGAGGGCATGAACACTCTACACAATGAAAGAATTGAAGAATAAGTTCCGTCAGGTATGTACACGTATTGATTTGGCATCACATTATACTTGTGTCATCACTTACATGGGGGGCACAATGCCATCCCTAGAATCCCAGCATGAACAATTACAAGTTCAATAGCCAGTCACGAGGGATCTGGTTACTGGCAGCACAGAGTAACTATGTGTGTATATAATTTTCCTTTATGCACTGGAATAGTAAGCACAAAAAATAGTGATGCACCATGGGAGTATGACTAATGTATCTTGCTTCGTACCCTTTGGCAGTCTGCAGCGGAAGTCGCGTGAATGGTCCATCACATCATTTAATTGTTGACGAAGAAACACCATTGACAATAACCACTGCATTTATGCAGAAGGCTCTCCATTGGATACATATGGCTTCAGTTTAAGCTCTCTGTGCAGAAATAAAAGATAATTAAAAGCTATGAAGCAGACAGCAGAAAGACAACTAAAACTTGAAAAAACGAGCTCGGGAACTCGGGCTTTGAGGGTCAGCATGATGAAAGCCCCCACCCCCCTCCCTGGACACCTATGAATGTAGGAGAGAAGGGGAGAAAAGCTTCTCAGACATCATGAGGGAGGAGCAGGTTGAAAGAATTAGTAATGTGAAAATGAACTAAAAGTTTCTTATATTGACTTTTTACTGAAGACATGTTAAAAACGCCTCAAATTTATACGACTATTTTATGCTTTGCTAACTGAACCGACTTGGGGCGACTTGGAATGGGTAATAATGAGATAAAAGAGACTGAGTGTAGCAGATTTTTTACGAAACTGGCCTGCTTTGCATATAATTAAAATTGACTCGCCTTGATCCCCCAATGAGATGATTGACTTAGTGGATTTCTGTGTGGATTGAGTGAGCAAATGCCAACTCGAGAACTTTCCCAACCAATGCCTGTTTCCTCGGTGTTTCTTCCTCCTCACTCAAAAGTGCGAATTGATGCCCACTGGCTCAGTCGGTGACAATGTTCGTAAAGATGGCCCATGAAAAAAACTTGAAAACAGTAGGAGTGTGGATAATAAGGCAAACTATATGGTAGCGTGACATTAAGAATAGGATTAGAAAATAACGATGCAAGAATTCTTTTGGTCTGGACCTGTCAAAGCTCCAAAGAGTATACTGTGATTGAGTAGCTGCCAGCCGTGGAACAAATGAAGAGAGTGTGACCTTAGCGAATTCAAACAATTCACTCAACAGCACAAAAACCTTCCTGTACCTTTTTTATATTAGTTCCCCTTTGAAATATTTTCGTCTGTACAGTAAGCTTTCTCAGGGAATGTGTACCCTCAGAATATCCCTTCTGACGGAAACAAGAAAAATAGGTTGCGTTATCTTCTATGTTTTCTTTCTCCATTATCCGAAATTGATTCCTCAAGCCCACGTTAAAGAATTATCCATCCATCAGCACTTCTGATGCCATATTATAAAAGAGTATACTTCTGATCCATCCATAGTTTCCGTTGCTTTTAGGCTTTAGTTTGTAAAAGAAGACACGTGATTGACTATTGCCATTTCTTTGTCATTGTTGATGAAAAATCATGGAAATCTTAAGTTCGTAACGAAGCCATCATACTACACTGCTTGTATTAATTTTCAATTGTTTCCACGTTGGCAAGTTCTAGAGTCCCATTTGAATGTCATCCAAAGTGGTTGGTCATAAATGATTCTTTTCCAAATAAATAAGCTTTCTGCTAAATGCATGTCCAGGTTGTACTCATTTATTTACAACAAAGTTTACAATCATGTAAATGAAACTATAACACCAATGAACCACAACACCCTTCTATTACAGCGCATCCAATATGCATCCACTGACCTCATGCTCAAAAGTAAACTATGCGATCGGAACTGGGGAAAAAAGCCTTGTTTGCCAAAAAAAGAAATGAATGGCACCTCTTACAAGCAGAACCAATGTCGGAATCCCGATATCAGAACCATGCCCATGAAGAAGCCAATGTAATAAAGGATAATAAATAGAACCCCTCAACTAGGTTCCTGTTGTGCAGTTCCTGTCAGATAAACAAAAGAATCATAAAGCGAACGACAACACCTTTGTCGGAAAAAGACATTGTAAAAGAATCAAATTGATAAAGGGAAAAAAACTTAGATGACTTACCAGCACAACTTGCATGTCAGGAAATTTAATGGTTGTTATCACCCGAGAGCTCATCCCAGAAGACAAGGGGATCCCATCTTTCAACAAATAAGTGGACATTGATGGGAGCCACGGCATTTTGGTCCAGATCTTTAGGCCAGTGGCCGCAGAAGAAGGGGATATGTAAAATATCCAAGGCAGAATATCATGAAATCAGATCTGGAAGCTTGAGAGAAGAGAATTGGCGATCAGGAGAAGCTCATGAAGCTGATTGGCAAAACTCTAATTCATTCAGACCTCGGATCCTTCTTAACCACATTTTCAAGGACAGAGATAGCTTCTTTTGGACATCCAGCAATAACTAGGCTATCAACTAGTGTGGTATATGTGATTTCATCCAAAATAATACCCCACTGAGAAATCTGTTCACAAATGCTAAAAGCCTCCTCCATTTTCCCTTCTTTGCAAAATCCCAAGATCAAAGTGTTAAAAGTGACAATATCTGGAGAAACGCCCCTATTTACCATTTCATGAAGAATATTTACTGCTTGCCTAACATCACCTAATTTACAATAACCATCTATCAAAACAGTGTAAGTGACTTTGGTGGGGGATAAACCCCTTTTTCGCATGTTCTCTAAGACGGTGATTGCTTCTTCCATTTGACCTGCTTTACAATATCCACCAATCAAGATAGTATAACATATGACATTAGGTATCAAGCCATCGTCTGTCATTTGATTAACAAGGTTGTTAGCCTCTTCTACATGGCCAATATTGCAAAATCCATGCATAAGCGTAGAGTATGTCACATGCGTAGGTAAAATACCCTTGCTCCTCATATCAGAGACTAGTCTAGAAGCCTCAGAGATTTTACCAACCCTACAGTAACCCCCAATAAGGCAATTATATATGACGCCATTGGCCTCAAGCTGCTCACCTACCATCTCCTTGAAGAACCTCTCTGCTTTATCCACCTCCTTGGACTTACCGTACCCATCTATGATTGCACTGTATGAAAAAGTATCAGGTCTTAAGCCATCTTTTCTACCTTCGTTCCAAAGCTTAATCGCCTCTTCCATTCTACCCGTACTGCATAGCACATGTAACTGCGAGTTAAATGTGCAAATATCAGGGTTGATTCCTCTTTTGGCCTTGTCCTCCCTGAGCCTAGAAGCTTCTTCCATTTTACCTTCGTTGCAACATGCTGAGATCAACGTAACATAAGCTACCCAATCTACGGTCATTCCTTTCTCAAGGATATCATCAAGAAGGCTAACTGCCTCTTTCGTGTTCCCTGAACCACAAAGACCAAGTGCCAATGCGTTAAAAGTAAACAATTTTAAATCGTGCCATTTCTCTAAAACCGTCCACCAGACATCAATAGCTTCCCTAGAATTACCACTTCTACATAGTCCTTCCACCATCTTTGTCAAAACGCCGTCATTTGGTCTCAAATTCCTAAGCACCATCTCCCTAAACAGTCTGAGTGCAGAGTCATATTTCAGTTTCACTGTACACAGCCAAGAGATTATTGAATTGAAGGAGCCAATGTTTATCGGTATTCCATGCACCAGCATTTCCTCCAAAAGACTCTCTGCTTTTTCCATCTCCCTTGTTCTGCAAAGACCTTTCAAAAGTGAGTTGTACGTGACACAGGTTGGGTTCATCCCTCTGGACTTCATCCCATCTCTTAATTTTAGTGCCTCTTGGCACATTCCAATTCTATAGTACCCATCAATCAAACTATTATAAACATACTCGTTGGGGGATATCCCTCTCTCGAACATTTCATGAAGGAGAACATTTGCTTCTTGGAACTTCTCCAACTTTGCAAGCCCGTTGATGAGAATACTGTATGTAATGAGAGTCGGGTTTATTCCGCTGTTCACCATTTTGTCTTTATACCAGAACGCATCACTTAACATCTTGTTCTTGCAGAGTCCATCAATAAGCGCGTTGTAAGTAACCACGTTTGGATTAACACCGGAACTCTCCATCTCCGAGAATATCCGAGTGGCCTCCTCTACAAGTCCTCCCTTGCAGAGCGCATCTATCAACGGAGTATATGAGTACACATCAGGGGAGACATACTTCTTCATTGCCTCAAACACAGAACAAACATTTTCATGACCACCTACCATCTTTGCCAACAAGCCCAGAAGATAATTGCAGGTCTTCAGGGATGGACATACGCCGTGTTCAATCAACATCATGAACGCATCAAATGCGCGCCGGAGGCCATCTGACTTGAACTGGGTACAGCAGACATGAACCAGAAGATCGACAGGGCCAAACATCGTTGCACGGTCCTTCTTCTCCGTGGTCCAGAAGAACTGAACAATTTCTTGGAACCGGCGGCGGGGATCCGCGCACGTTACTGGGAGGTCCTCGCCCACGCCGATCAAGCGTATCAGCAGCAATCTGGCGGGCGCGACGAGGTCCGCCCGGATGAGGGCGCAGACGAGGAAACAATACGAGCCAACAGTAAATTGAAACCCACAGCGGTCGGAGGCGAAGGAGAAGAACCCGAGGGCCGCCCTAGGTTCGACGACCCCATGCGTTCCCATTTCCCGGAGAAGGCGATCGAAATCATCGGGGGAGAGCTGGTCAAGGGTCTCCCTGGACAGAGCATGGTCGAGCCCAGGCCCGGAGAGAAGCCGGGAGAGCTTCTGCTTAAGACCACGGTCGTCCTGCGCCTGCGGCTGGCCTTTCAGCGGCGCGGGATTGACTTCAGAGGCAGCAGAGCTGTGGGATACGGCGGTGCAGAACAATGAGGCAGCGCAGCGGCTCAGAAGCAGGAAGCGGCGCCTCTGCCTCAGGACCAGGACGATCTCCCGCCTCCTAGCATCCATGAGGCCAGAAAAATCCGCGAACCCCGCGCACTACCAGGACGAGGGGAAGTACGAGAAGACGCCGACGGCGAACATCGTCTCATGGTGGCGCTGCCGCTCGGAGGTGGCGGCTGCCTGAAAATGCTTCGTCGGGAGGGCGGCGATGAATCTCCAGCGAGGGTTTCGTGGACGAAAGGGATCCACGATGTACCTCAGGAGCATCCTCAACGCCCGCGCACCAGCATGATATATATATATAACGTCGACACGTGGACGAGGCGTCTGCCCTCTGATTTGTCATCAACCACCTCTATCCGATCAAAACGGGCTGGGCCTCCATTATTGGGCATCACTGGGCCGATATTGGCCCACTCCCAGGCGACAGAAAAGCCCAGAAACATGGTAGTGGGCCCAAACCGGGCTGTGATTGGCTGGCCAAATCATTGGGCCCACCTCGGTATCTGCCGCGTGGCAAGACGGCCAGTCCAAAGGATTTAATGGGCTTCCACACGCACAGGAAAAGAAAGATCATCGTCACCAGGTTCAGACATACTTTCCAAATGCGGAGTGAAACTCCGACACCAAGTCAACGTTCTTACAAGGGTTGACCTGTCTCTGGGGTGGTAGATCTCCCAACTATTTTAGGCATCTGATCTTCCTGACTGAGTCCAGGATGGGCTCCGCTCTCTCCGGCCGGTCGAGCTTCAGCAACTCCTGGAATCTGGCGAGAGCATCCGGAGAACTTTCCTCAGAGGGCGACGGCGTGGCGAATAAGACCTCGTTGACGTCCTCTTCCAGCTCGAGCGAATGCAGGTGGTCAAAGACCTAAAATCCAAAGATGTGCCCATCTCTTTAGAGAGAGAGAGAGAGAGAGAGAGAGAGAGAGAGAGAGAGAGAGATCTATGCGTTCCAAGATACCCAGCGTTCACCAGGCCTGTTCTAAATACGGAAATTTCTGCAGCTCTCACCGAGTTCATTCTTGAAATGATCATCTCCCGGATTGCTTTTGACCTTGACACCAGGTTGACGATGAAGAGGCCCCTGTCTCCGACGAACTCCCTCGCCGAGGAGAGGAGCGACTCCTCCAAGAACTCAGCAGGCGGGCAGGTCAAACCAGAGCTGCGCAAGAAACAAGGACGACCATTGCGGCGACGGAGTTTTAGGTCCGAAGGGGGGGAAGAAGGGACTCACCTCACATCGGATGCATCCGCATCGATAACGAGTATCCTCATTTCACCCTCTTCCGACGAATTAGGGTTCTTGATGCGAGCGGCGGCACTGGAAGATCCCGGAGGAGGCGACCGTTGGATGTACTGAATCCCATCAGTAATGCGCACCTGGGTGATTACCCAAAGCATTCAGAATCCACAGGTTGCGTTGACCATGGAGAGCATGCTGATGGATGATGCATTCAGTAATTCATCTTGGATCAACATGCAATAATCCCTCAACATTTCGACCATTAAAGGTTATGAAATCTTAGTTAATCCACATTAGTGCCCATGTTTAAGGAAAAACAGGATGATGAAAACCGATCGGTATCTAGGTGATCACCTTCAGATTATCATCCTCTGTGAAGTCAAAATAAGTTCTTGCCACGTCTAGAACCACAGGATCCAGCTCCACAACCTGCGGCACACCCAAGAAGCTCGAGCTCATCCCCAAAAAGGGAAATTTGCGCAGGCCAGCTTACGCTGAGAAAGGAGGTGGAGACTACCTCCATGTCCAGGAAGGGCATGCACCCATGGAGATACATGGGAAGAAGGCCAGCTCCGAGGCCAACTATGGCCGTTTTAACCTATAAATAGATGGTTACAGTGACTCATAAGCAATTGAAGTAATTTTATTTCATTTTTTTCTGGAAGAAAAAATTACAGATAAAAATTTATAATCTGAGGTTATATATTTGATTACTTGACAGCTATTCTGCTCACCAGTTTCCCACATGAAGCAGCATCTTCCAGAGCAGATGCAACCAAAATAAATCCCGAAATTATACCACTGTGGTAAGAACTAGCCAGGTAGCCGTGATCGACCTTTAAATTGCTCCGGGATCCTTGGAGGGGCAAAGAGATAAAGTAAGAACAATTATGGGACCTTCTGAATCAAAAAAAATAAAAAAGCAAGCAGATTTCTTATCATAAAAAAAGAAAAAAAAGAATGATACTTAAAAAGAAATTAATCCACATCAAGGCACACTGTAACATCTGAACAGATCTCTGTCATTGACTGAGAAATCCAAGTAATCTCTTGTTTGATTAACCATGTTTGATTGTCCTTCTTCTAACTCTCAGGGTGACAAATCAAAACACCTGGGCACGCCCAAAAAAATATATGCAAAAAATAATAACTTAAAATAATAAATGGAATGCTAAATACTTGACAAATGAGGTAAAAACTACAATGTGTCTCCCTGATAAGAAATAGGGCGCCGGTTAAAGTCTCATTTGACTCTTTTTTTCAAGCAAACTGAACGCATCACGTGAACATGCATTCATGTTTGGCCAAACACATCATCTAGACAGTCATTATTTATGTCTAGACATAGTGAGGGCTGTGATTGTGGCAGAGACAAGCGCTCTCGAGACTACCAGGCAAGACATAAGAAGGAAATACTATCATGGGTGATTAACAGCGCACGCAACAAAAAATCAAGGTTCACTCAGAGCTGGCAGAACCAGATTGGATTTAGAACCAATAGAGTCAATCTGGTTCTGGTAGCTATGAGGTGAGGGCAAACCAAAGCCCAATAAGAAAAAGAAAAACATGAGACAGAAAAATTACTGCTCCTCCACGACCCCCAATCCAGTGGGATGTTCTTTGGGGGATCTCCTGGCTCACCGGAAAATAGATGAGCATTGAAAAATTGGCAGGTCCCTGGCTTCAAACCAGATATGAAACGGAACCAAAACCAACCTGGAGCAATCTATTTTTTAATTCTTAAGCGGAAACCATCAAAGCACTGTTTAGAAATCATTCCTAGAACATTAATATTTCGGGAAAGCCAGAACTAGGAATATCATCCATTCAGTTTTCCATTTTTTTCTTTCATGAATAATTTTTTTCAATGCATGTGCAATTTCTGGGATCAGAGAAGAAAGGAACTGACGAGATGTGATATCAAGTAATGACAAATCAAAAACCTTATTCGACACCGGACTGTCCCAAGAGATGGCCAATGCGGAAAAGTAAACCATGCTCTTTGAAACAAAGAAAGAAATACTCACGGATAGAACCCAAAACGTCACTACCCTTATTCAAGGTGGCTGATGGAGAAAATGGCCAATGTCTTAAAGAAGGAATGGCAAGGGTACATATATTCACTCGACAAACAACAATTGAGACGGATGACATTGATATTTAAATATCGCAGAGATAGTCCACCGCTTGGTAATATTACTGAATCATTCAATTTCTGAAATAAAATCGTAGGCAAAAGACTAAGAAGAAATCACAAGCTATATTACCCTTTATTGATCTATGTGAATCACCTCTTCTATGGCTACCCTTTTTCCTATGTCTGGAAGATGCACTGTTTATGTTTTTCTCGGATTTGTCCTGAGCATTTTTCACCAGCTCTTGAGAAAGTAAAGCTTCAGATTGGACCAAGCCCAAGCTTCTTTCAAATATAAGCCTGCGAAAAGTCGACTCTTGCTGTCTGGAATCACTGTCAGTATTTCCAAGCACAACATCTTCAATGATAATGGGACCAGTAGCAGTCGATGTAACCTATGAAACGAGAAATGTCAGAACACAGCGAACTAGGTAAATATCATATAAATGTTAAAAGTTTTCAACCGAGTAGACCTAATCAGAGGGAGCAAACTCTGGATTGGATAAACAGTTTACAATCATAAAGATTGGAAATAAAAGAAATATATAAGCAATGCTAACAAAGATACAAAATATATTAAAGCAGTCGGTTTCAAATTAAATTCTGGACCAAGCAGCTTATGAGGATCTCGAGCTGAACATGTGGTAAAATTGTGTGCTATATTTATATTTCTATGGTACCGTCAAAATTGACCAATAATCCAAAGGTATCTCTAAAAATCATACTTAGGAGCGACAGTCTGAAGACATGTCAGCTCTAACCAATACTCCTTTCCGCTTTACTTGTAACAAGCCTGAAGAAAAAAGGGTTCCAAAAAAGATCATGGGATTTGTCTCTGCAAAAACTGTTCTGTCAAAAAATTGATGAACAAGTACTTTATAACAGTGGGGATGGTCACACCCTGTTCTCAACACATCTGTCCTTAGATATAGAAAGTAGAGAATTTTACTTTCTCCAGTACTCTCTAGATTTATCTTGCGTAAAAAGCATATCAGCACGAATAAAGTTAATATATTGGTTCCTAATAAAAGGATTACTACAGAAGCCCCTCTTCCTTCCTTTTAAATAGGATTTTACTAATGAAGAGGAGGCTTGGGGTTTTCCCACCAGTCACTAGATTTAATATAGCACCGTACCAAAAATACCAATTTCCTACCAGGCAACTGTGTTTGCAAAAACGGCAGATGACACTCCCAATGCGTATTATGTTGAGGATAGCACAATGGTGTAGGGACCTTGTTGAGTCTTGGAATCAAAGCAAGACTAAGAGAAGCACTTCAGCCTCAAGACTTAAAGAACAAAATAATAGGTATTCCAGAAATACGTCAGAAAGCAGACTGCCAGGTGAGATGCAACAGTGATGAAATCATTTAACCTTCTTCACAATACTCCGCTCCTTGATACCATCATTCGCCATCATGAACCTGGAAAGGGAACCAAATATGAGTGGGCCATAACACCAGGCCAGAGCAATCAAAATTTCCTGGTGCATAATCACTTAAGTTTCCAGCTACCCATCCCCAATGTAAATGTGCTTACACTCATAAAATAGGCAAAAACAATAACTTACGGAATCGGAGTCTCATCAGTGGTATCTTCTGGCGCCAAATCTTTGACCAGGGGAGACAAATCTCTCTGAGAGAAAATTATAAGCATAAGTCAGAAACAAAAGATTCGTCAGAATCCAAGATTAGCATTATAATTATAAACCGAAGAGATTGCAAACCTTGATGGCATCAATACTGGCATGGCTGTGGCTAGAATCAAGGAAAACCTGTTTACAGAATATATGAGCAATCTAAGCCAATGAAATCAATCAAACAGACGCCAAGAAGAGAATCAAAACTACAATCACATGTGGTGGAGTTACCATAACTAAACGAGCTGCTTTTGAACTCTCTACAACCGCCCATTGTCCTTCTTCAGAGGAGAAAAGCCACTCATGAGCCCTATTCTGAATTCAAAAACTAAATTACATTTCTAGAAATAAAATAGTCTCGTGGAATATTAACTTTTCAGCAAAATAATTACAGAAGAGGGAGGCCTTCATTGCATCTAGAGTGACATATAATTAAAGAATCTCGAATATTTAAACAACAGATTTTGGATAAGCTAAGTGGGACATGAAAAAAATCATAAGGATGGACCACTGATGAAGATCTAAAACTAGAAAACATCATTGACGAATTCTTCACTCAACAGGAGTCTCAGCACATTCTGGCTCTATTTATTAATCGACCCAGCAATTAACAATAATCAACTAAGGCAGCATACTAGATCTAGTTTCATCCCCACTCCACCCAAAGGGGGAAAAAATTGGATGCTAAATATTCAGTGGTCCCTTGGATTTCCCCCTTTCAAACTGTCAAATGCACCAATTAGCTATTGATCTAAAAAGCGTGGTCTTAAGGGCAGTGGTAGGCTACCCAACATTTTCAGGTTTTCATCACTTTCATGACTTTGAGCTCCAAACCTAAAACTCGAGGGAAACCTCCACCACGTTCCATGAGACAGTGTCATTGGTGGATGAGATTCAGCCACAGATTCTGAGAAGTGATAACATCACAAACTGAAACATGTATCTAATCTCCAAGTCAACCACACTTTTCTAACTTTTCCAACCTCATCGATCTATAACACCTGAGGCGAGAGAGTTTCCAAATATTATTTTTTCTTAAGCTTTGATTTTGATTCGTGCACTTAGTTTCTGTCCAATGCAAAAAAATAATGCGTCGCAGGATGCTGTGCAATGAGAATACTAACCTTGGGCACAATAAAGATACCACAACGATATAGGAATGCATCAGTCCCTTGCTGGGCATCCAAAAGCACCGCATTATAGCTAAAACAAGAAACATCTTGTTCCCCCAGTATCAGACGGCACCTACGGCCAGGTAAAAGTTCCTTCAGGGTTCCTTTAGCCCCCGTCCTCAGGTCTTCCCAAGAATAAATCACATCAACACCAGAAGAAATTGCATTTCGAATTTTGTTCTCGTCGTCAATGGCTTCTACTAGAGTACGATTCTGCAGAAGATTATGGAGAACTGCTTAATGGTGCTTTGTAGTATACAGCTATTAAAAATGAATTGGAAAGTCAGAAAACAATTTCTACCTGATCTGTTGAATTATCTACATTAGTATGATCAAATGATGAGAGAATAGGGATTGGTTCACTGGAGCCTTCCTTTACAGCAACAACCATATAAGTCTGGAAGCTAGATTTTCTCTTGAGTTTATCGGGTATAACATGAATTGTTGTTTTCCATCCATGTCTGAACTCAGAAAGAAGCAAACCTACAAAATAAAACTGAACAAATGAAATTTTCATTCTGCATATAACCAAGAGGAGCAGAGGGAGTATGTAGTTCGTGGGAAAAATTATGCAAATAAGTTGAATAGAATAAATAGATGACAGCAAAACATGCCTCAAAACTTGCTGAAATAAAATGATACATCCCCAATATATTGACGGGTGTGCAACACATAACTTTTGACATAGCACAACCAAAGAGCCCGGATCATCGAACAATATCCTCGAATCAAATGATTCTTACCCAGAACATGAAATTCCGCCAGAGTAAGACAAATATATTTCCCTCCAAGTTTCAAAACCCTCTTTACCTGGCAAAATGAAATTCATACTCAACATTTCTTATACCAAACGGATGCGAAACCAAGGAAATTATACAACCAAGAATTAATGGAAACACGCAACCAAGGGCCAAGAAGAAATTCAACAAACCTCTTTAAGAAATTTGCACCCCAACTTTGCCCCAAGTTTTGGCTCCATGAGAGCATCAAGACCTCCTTTATCAATAACAGCATCAAAAAATCCATCTGCAAACTGATCAGTCCATAAATCAGAAAGATGGGAGCGCAAAAAGCTGGCCAGTAACAGTTTAACAATTGAAGAGTACATGAGGAAATTTTAACAAAACACACTGATGAGACTCTAAATTGATGTTAGATCAATTTATTCGAAAATAAGAATCATAGTTTACAAGCATGATGGATAAACATATACATAATAAAAGCATCTGGAGACAAAAGCATCTAGAAACAGCCGTTATTATTCAATCAAGATGGAAGAAAGAGAAAAATAACAAGAATACAGCTCTACAACAGTGAACTTCCATCAGAAGTGTTCACCCATCGTTAGGAGTTCACAAACCAGTTTATCCCCTTCAAAACATAATTCCTGAACGTAGTTTCGACCTGTGTAACACTAATCAGGGGTTTCAGGTAATTAATTTTCAGGTATATAACTCAAATTTTAGCAAAGTAGATGATAAAGTTGAAACTAAAGGAAAATTCTCGGTAGAATTCGATGCATTCAACATTAAACATTCATTTTGCTTAAAGTGTGCAGTTTTGGGAGAATTTATAGATTTTTCGTGTTGAAAAACGGAATCATAATTACAAATTTTGCAGAAATAGACGTGATGCTTATTTATTTATACACGTTTCATCCATAAGCACCCTGAACTAAAGAGATTTCACACAAATTATTGCGTTCGACGTGGCCATTGTGAGTAATGAAGTTTTCCAGCACAAATAGATGAAAAGTCAGAGACAGTGACTAAAATAACGCCTTTCCTCCATATTTTACTTAGAAGCCCAATTATGGAAACGGTGTTTGGCGAATTCTAATGAAATACCGAATTTCGAACGTCAACTGGGTATTTGTCTAAACTTCTGGGTGAATTTATTTTTTTCTTTTATCGAATAATCGCTACATTTTTTGAGTTTCAATGCCCATAGATATTTAATGGTGCCATGTTTCATATATTTCACGGCCAAAGTTGTCTATAGAAATATTCTCATTGAAAAATATGGTGCTTCCACTTTTAGCAGCTGCACTCTGTTCACTCTGAATCAAAGGTTCTTTATTATCTCGTCAGCCATCTTCTGCACAATCATAATTTCAGGTTAGTATGAGAAAATCTAAGTTCACACCAACCCCAGTATTCCCACATATTAACCTAATGGGTCATCGAATAAATTAATTGGCAATGAGTTCAATAAGCTCGTACTTTTTTTTAGCATTCGTAAGGACATTCATGATTGCTGTGGGGCTAATCTAACATGTCATTCCAAATGCGGCCAGACTTCTGGATTATGTCGTCTTAACAATAAACGCACGGCAAGTGGCCCACAGGCAAAATTATATGTTCTGAACAATCAAAATGTAAAGCCAGACGAAATGCACGCAAGTTCATCTATTTTCAACCTATCTTAGATAACGATTCTTCACTTGTGTATGGCTATTACTGCGCTGTGTGAAGGAAAGGCGAGCCCATCGAATGGTATTGGAGAGAAGGAATACGGGCCAATCATGGCATGGGTTGTAACGACGGAGAAAAACTCTCTCGCTGCACCAGCCTGCACTCCTCGATGGCTCCGTCATAAAACAATCCATGAGATATCATATGGATGAGGGAACTGGGGGTTTAGTTCAACGGACCTGCATCTCTGTCATGTCCATGGTCCGCCACTTCATTTCCGGCCGAACCCGGACGTTCCGGCGGAGCATGTCGGAGATTATGACCTTCGAAAAGTCGATGTTGGTGATGTCCCGATAACCGGCGTCGTAAAGGTGCTCCGACATCCGCGAGCTACCACAGCCGGGAACGAGAATCTGAACTGGGGGCGTATCACGCGTCTGCGCAGCAAGGTCGTCACATTCGCCTCCGCCTTCGTCTGAGGGGCGGCGAGCCGAGGGCATCTGGGAGAGGAGGGGGCCTCTGAGGCATGACCACTCGGCGTACCACTCGAAGGCGTCTTCCCCCCCACGGAGAGTGAAGAATTTGTCCCAGTTCTCTTTGACCGTGAAGTCTCCCAGACTTTGCAGCAACTCAACACCGTGCTCCTCCATCCTTCCCTTCCCTCTCCTCACCCGCTTCCGCCTTCCCCCCTCGTTGCCGCCGCCGCCGCCGCCGCCGCCGCTCTACTCGGCGACCTTCTTCGCAGCGAGCAGGCGGTTGAGACGAAGCTGAGGTCTTGAACCGGTTCGGACATGCGAGCGGTTCGACGCAGTTTCATCGAGCCCCCAATAAATCCTATAATTATCCTCTTTGTGTATTATTTTTCCCGTTTTTTACTAAAATTATGATTACTAGTGATAAAGCATATAAAAACACGAAGTAACTTCGAATTCTTATTTTCGACGGTTTATTAAAATATATTGACTTAAATACGGTCTGTGAAATAATATCCCATATTATACGCAACTTGGTAGCACTTCGTATTTAATTATTTTGTCCCGATAAATAATACTTATTTATAAATTAGGTAAATTACTGCGCGCCAGGGGGAGATAAAAATTAATTAATTCTCTCGTATTATTGAACTCGACAATTTTCTTCTTGGTCTGGGGTCGTCGCCCTCTAGTCAACTGTTCCAGTCAACGTTCTTCATGCTCGACGATGCAAAGTCAACCCCAAAAGAGTGGGGAAAATGGAGGACTCGATCAGAAGAAAGCGAATGTGAGAAGTCAAAAGGAGTGAAAAATTAAAATTTTCAAAAAAGTAATAAAATCCAGCGTCAGTCGTGGAAGCTCTCTCTCTCTCTCTCTGTACACAGAGTAAAGAGACGGCTGTTGACGGTGGTCGCCCTTCTCTCGGGAGAGAATCCCGCTCAGATTCAGCGGGTCCACTCTCTCTCTCTCTCCCTCTCTCTCTCTCTCTCTCTCTCTCTCTCTCTCTCTCTCTCTCTCTCTCTCCCTCTCTCTCTCTCTCCCTCTCTCTCTCTCTCATCTCGCCTGGTTCGGGTGGTATCGTGATCGCTCCTCACTTTCTCCTCTTCCATTCGTCCCTCCGGCTCTCATCTGCTCTCTGCTTCGGTCGTCTTCTTCCTCCTCCAGACTATAAAAGCTCGGAAATCATCACTCTTCGAGTTGTGTTACCCTTTTGGCTACCCAGCGGAACCCTTCCTCCCTCTCTGGGCGGCCCCCCGTCCCGAGAAGGCGGGGTTCCATGGGATCTGACGCGCGCCTGGCATTTCCCCACAAGAAACCCACGGCTTCCTCCTATTAATGCTCGCCGGCGTGAGGAGGTGAGGATCGTCCCGCAGAAGCCTCCTCCGCGGGTAATCGGCTTTCTCTCTCTCTCTCTCTCTCTCTCTCTCTCTCTCTCTACTAGTTTTTGGGTCACGCAGAGCTTTATTTAGTGTCCGTCTTTCTAACGAGCAGGAAGAAGATCACTGGAAGGGCCACCGCCATTGTCGAGATCACAAGCCCCGATTCCGGCCGCCGGAAGGGTAGGAAGGGTAAGAAGCGGATCTGGAAGGAGGAGGATGATCCATCTACTGTTTCTGGTGCTCTTCGCGGAAGGGGCGGTGGCTTTCCTGCTGATGGTGAAGATCGGGCCGCTGAGGGAGCTCACCATGCGAGGGCTGGACCAGCTCAAGACGGGCAAAGGCCCGGCGACCATGAAGACCTTGGCGTGCACCTTGGGAGTGATCTTCCTGTCGAGCTTGACGAGCATCATCAAGATCCAGAACAGGGGCGCCAAGCTCGGCACCGTCACTCCCATGGACCAGGTCCTGTGGAGGACCCACCTCCTCGAGACCTCCCTCACTGGTACGCTTCAGGAGAGAACGTCGCCCTTCTCGCCATTAGGGTTTGAGCATCTCTCTTCGAAGATTGTGAAAAACCTAGAAAGTATTTGAACGAAGGCCCAGAATGGAACAATGGAAGGACGAATGAAGGGAAAAAAAAAACTTGGCCTTTTTTAACCGTCCCCAAAAAAATATCTCGCATCATATGTTCCCTAAATAATCATCATTACTGGTGTTTTGATCGCTTCCTCTCTGTAATTCTGCAGGCTACGCCCTGTTCCTGGCCTTGGTGATCGATCGACTGCATCACTACCTCCGCAAGCTGATCGATCTGAGGGAAGCTGCTGGTTCCTTCAAGGATGACATGACGAAGCTTAGGAAGGAGCTCGGTTCCCTCAGGGGGAAGGACACTGAAGCTTCCAACCAGGCGAGGTCGCTCCGGGAGGAGGTGGCTGGCCTGGGAGAGACGTTGCGGCGGCTGAAGGCGGAGGCCGAGGGGAAGGAGAAGCGGGCGGCGGCGGCGGAGGCCCACGTCGCCGCCCTCCAGAAGCAGCTGGAGGACCTCTTGCTCGAGTATGACCGCCTGCTTGAGGACAACCAGATCCTCCAGAGCCAGGCTCTGGCTTTCAGAGGCTGAAGCCTCCGTCCCCCGTTTTAATTTTCTTGTGTTTCTTTCTGGGTACCCTTCAAGTGTATCGTCGGAATCCTCGAAGAGCGTCAGATTTTGTATGTTATTTCGCACTAAGAAGGGACTCACCTCGCTGATGTGTGCTACGATCAGTCGATTCAGTGGCCGGTGTGCTCAGCAGCAGGAGAGAACAACAACAAAGTTGGATTTTTTTCTAGATCACCAAGTAGGTTTAGATGTTTGAACAAGATATGAACTGTTCTCGCCACATCTTCTAGGCACTGAGATGATGATGCCAGACGACGCTCCCCATTCCGCGGAGATTTAGTCTGCGGATTCAGACGAATTGCTTCAAGAATTCTGTGGCCACAAGCCGCCCTCTTGTGCTCATTGACATTTTCAGCTCACTGATCTCCTTCTCGATGTCCTGCGGCGCAAGATGCATTAGACATGAAATAATGGGGATAGAGCAAGCCGAGGATATTATCACTGAGTGATACGGTTTATTGAAATAATAGAAAGAACGATACTTGGATAATGAGAGAGTATTCTCCCTCAGTAGGCTGTCCCCAGAGACTGCCGAGTTCTTGTACGGGGCCTCATTCACCAAACAGACAATCCGCAAGCTGGGAGGAGCATCAACCATCTCCCTCAGTTGACCTTGTTAGTCAAAGGGTCGGATATTTGTGTCAGATGCTTGCAGACACAGGAGAGCAAGTTGCCATTAGAGGTTTCTATTTTTGGATAGAAGATGCATTGATCGTATCTTCCTCTGTAAGTAGATGATGCAAATTCCATCCAAGGAAGATATCCATGTCTCTTGGTAATCACTTCCTACCATTCGATCTACTTCGAGAAAGGATGAAGTATTATCTTCAACAGCGTCATGGTCCAATATAACTTGACTATACCTGCCATGGGTAGAGTGCCAGAGCGTTTCCTTCTCCCCAGATGACTACATCGTGCGAATTTTTTTCTTGCCTTAGCTGAAATTTATATATAACTTGATTTCTCAGACTTCTACGTAATCGCCCTCAGTAATATCATCAAACTACTTTCAACATCGTCCTATGTGAGCATTTTCCGTTGGTCCGTGCCCTGAAGCTTATTTTAATATTTTATTACTACTTATTACCATTTTTAAACATGAAAAATACCACCTAGGAAACTGAAATTTTCGAAAAAGAATAGTATAAGATTTATCAGCAATTCTGATCCGCGTGGGTATATAAATAAATAAGTCTGTGCACAGAATTTTGGCAATTTAGATTCATCGATTATTGAATTAAATAACGGCGTAACAACAAGACATTACCAGTGGAACTTCATCCTACTAAATAGAAAATTAAGCAAGTAACAGGGCCAGAAGGAAAGACTAACCTCCATAAATTGCACAATAAAATCAATAAGCTTATGTTTCTGCATGTCCTCACAATGGTAGTTTGTGATGAGAAAACTAATATCATAGCCCTGAAAAAAAAAACAAATTCAACACCATTCAAAATTGTCGTAAATAGACTATCAGTTTTCAATTCAATATCAGAAAAAAAGATTTCCAAGTTTCGTCATAAACAAAGAGACGAATGCATTTAGGATTGTGATCCAGTTATCCAAATCTTTGAACTTAGGAAACCCACTGGTTAAGAGCAAGTCTGTGTCTGCGTTGGTGCAATCCGTTCAGGTTTTCAAAAATCAATAGATGGCACTCTGGGCACAGGGACCCATATCCGGCTTACCTTTTCTCATGAACATGAGCCACCAAATAGAAAGGAACGCATTGAGGTGAGGTTTTCGAAGGCTAAAAAAGCCCCAAAACTGGAAATAAAGTAACAACGGAGATAAGAGAATCAGAAACATCGAGTGTACCATACAGGGGCACAGCAAGAACACTGATTATCGGAGCCGGAGCTTATAGAGGTATTCCCAAATAAATATATTGGCTAGGCGAATGGTTTAATCCTCTAAATCTAGGCAACACATGGCTGATGAACTCGTGGGACAATTTCCAGCCTCTAACTTGGTGACCCTACTGTCAAGTGATGATGTTGTCCACCTGCTCGTCCATGGTTACATGATCAAACAAGCAACACTCGCATTTGACCATCATGTTCTCCATCAGTCCTCTTGAAAGACATACATCCAATGCTGGTATAAAAAATAACAATGCAGCGGGGGACAAATGGCTGAAGTATGTTATTCTAATTCGTTCTCATATTGTGGGGGGGGTATTGTAAAAGCCTGAGGGCATTTTGAGAAAGACCTTGTAGGGTTCCCTCCCTATTTAAGGGGAGATAAAGGCCTCAAGGAAAACACCAGGCCTCACCCGACAATGTTTTTCATAGTTTTCGTACTTTTTACATATCTACTTGAAAAAAACGCAAAAGTGATTCAAAATTTAAAATCATGTTGTTATTTGGATCGCCTAGTCCATTAGAAATGTCATCATATAATGGGTGGTCCGGATCTTCTTCATTGACCTAACCACCAAACATTAGTAGTCAAGTATAATCAAACCAGTCGCAAACTTATGTATGGAAATGATTAAACAGATAGAAAAGTGACCTGTACAGGCTTTCTCCTTAGAACTTGGAATGCTTCAGCTCTCATGGATAAAAACCGAAGGAACTTTTTAGTCAATATGTCTTCAAGCTCATCCGCCTGCCTAACCTGTGTGATAAATCTCAGGCAAAAATATTAGAACAAACAGAATGCATTCCGCAAAAGGATGCATGCTACATGATAGTTTTCACTATTTTCTCGTACAGTATCACTTCAGAAAAGTATGACACAACACATTCCGTGAGTTTCAAGTTAAGAATCCATTTTGAATTACAGTCGGGAAAAACAAGAAAAAGAAATGATATGTAATGCCCAAGCATCTGACGACTATGATTACATATATGATTGAAAATTCTTCAACAACTGAGGTGGAAGAAATTGTTAACAAGCTATTATTACAACGCCAGATATGCTCAATTGAGAATTCCAATTTTTAGGGCGAAGACCCCTTTCACAGAATCATGAAGCATAAGTCCATAATAAGCTGGGACAAGCAAAAGTTAATCCTACCTTTATACTCACACGGAGAGAATTTATTGATGTCTCTATCAAGCACTTTTCGGCCTCATTTCGGCATATTATAACCTTCAATCACGAAAAAAGTTGAATATGGAAACTAGTTCGGACGTAATTCAGTGACTAGTAGCTAATATTCAATGATAAAAAATATCGTGTTATCTCGCATCAGTCTATGAGTTACGAAATTACTAGGAAACCATCATCATGAACAAAAAACTGAAGGCAAAAGAAGTTAATTTAGCTTACATTAATCAATGAAAAAACATGGGAACCGAGTTTAATATGTGAATCGTCTGATTTATTCATGTAATAAATAATATGCATGAAGACATTTCATCTACGAGCTCGTTACAGGACTTGGACAAAGGTTTTTGCACATGTAGCACATTTCGCTGAAGGTACTAAGTACGGCCAAAATACATCCCTTGTATAACGAATGATAATTGGACTGCCGTACACCTTACTGAACTGGAGTAAAGATCCAGGAGAGATAAGAGAGAAAAAAACTGTTTATCAGTTAATCTTTATCCTAGGAAACAAATATAAACGGATAGCTGCCTCCTTCAGTCACATGTATTTGATGGTTAGGTGTACATCAGCGAATCGATTAAAATTCACACGGGAAACTAAGTTTTCTGTTATGCAGACACGAGTACAGAAAGTTATTTTATAGAGATTTTTATGAAGCAGCCAGACTACCACTTTAGACTAACATGGTTTTTGTGCCTCTTGTTTAGGTTGTCAACGAATTTTTACCCAGACAAATAAAAAATTAGCATAAGCTCTAATAAATGGATACGTAAGACAATAATACACCTCTTTTATTCTCTGATATTAAGGACCATACTATGTAAGGAAAGAATCAAAATTCTTCAAACTCTCTAAAAGTAAATATAAAACACAAAAAGATTCTGGTTTGTTCTACGATTTTGGAGAAGGGGATGTAGAAATAAAGAAATGGATCACAGAAAGTAGGCACAACTTGGTAACACAATTTCACTTTCAGCAAGCACAGAAAAACTCAAAAAACGAGCCAGCTTAAAATGTGGAAAGGAAATACAATGTCGGAAAAAAAGTGTATAAATCTATCCCTGCTCAAATATTTGGCTTAAAAGAGCCAAGTTCTAAGTAGAGATTAAGGCCTGCCCATTGGGAGTAAAAAATAATAAGATGATCACAAAGGAAGAGTCATATCTGAACACAAAAGAAGGCCGTACCGGGTTTAGCAGAAGTTCTGGGCACGTCCTGAAAAGTCCAGAGGTAGGATACCGATCAGATATTTTATGAACACAAAAAATCCATAAATAGAACACTGACGGGATTGGAAATTTCACATTTCCAACTTGACCCTGAGTACCACACAATAAATCAAGTAATACAATCTAAATGCCAATACGTTTGGACATGCTTCATGCGCCACTTTGTTGAAGGAACGGACTGAAAATTAGTGTATAGGAAGTAAAAGTACGAAAGGATAACCAAAAATATAGAAACCGATTTACTGGGAAACTTACTTCAGCTCAACCTCTGGCTTATCGTGCCGCTCAACTTCTTGGCAGGGAAAATTCTAAAAAATTACCATAGATGATGAGAATTGAAGGCGCGTAGTGATGCAGTCAGTCATCTTTAAGTATATATATATTTTTAAAATTCTAGTTGTATATAATAACACCCAAACAAGGGAGAGATTCCACCTATTGGCGGGTATAGAGCACGACAGGAATGATTCCCCGAATTTTACCTGAAGACACATCGCCGCATCCAGCGTGTTCCGTATGCAAGTTAAGTACAACCTCAGCGTGTTGGCCTGCCTCTCAAAAGAGGAGACAAGTTAATTGGTTTCCAAAGAGCTACACATGCATGCCCACGCGAGATTCAGGCTATTAAGCATAATAATACCGATGAGGATATCTCTCATGATTTAGAAATTGAAGGGCGAGCCGCCGAATGCGAACTCGCCGAATCTGACCTCTCTCCGGAAACTACGAGAAATTATGGAGAGAAAACATCATCATCTCTCTCTCTCTCTCTCTCTCCCTCTCCCTCTCTCTCCCTCTCGTTACCACTTAGGCAGCGGATGCGAAGTAAAAGTAAAGCATTCGGTGGCTGCCACGCAAAGTACAGGGAAGCAGCCGTACCATCTTCGCAGCGAGGAGGTGGTCAGTGCGGGAGATCAACCCGACGGTGGCGAACGGAGGAACTCGACCGCTGCGTCGTTCCTCGGGAGTCCACCGGAGAATGATAACTGTAAATGCCGACGTTAATGGCTTGTAGCTGTGTAGGATTCGTACTATCTTTGACGGATCCAATCGGTTTCTGATCCTGACGCAAACCTATCGAATACGATTTAAATGTCTTTTCTTCTTTCACAATTTATCGGTCGAAATAAACCGAGTGTGATATGAAGACAGCATTTTGGGGTATATTTCATGTACCTCTAGAAATTACGAATAAATGAACCCCCAGGTTGCCGGGCCGGCCCGATTTATCCAGCTTAGTCTTCATAATCCGGCCCGGATCGGTCTACCCCCGGGCCCGCTCATAGTTAATCGGGCCTGGCTCGAAGTCCGTCTAGTTCGGTTCCCTTTTCTCCCTGGCCTCATCCGCACCAGGTGGCGCAGAGAAGGTCCGGCCCGGAGCCCGGTCGGGTCGAGTTTGAGTTTTAAAAGTGTACGGCCCGGAGCCTGTTTGATTTAGGGTGCCCTACAAAATATATTGGGGGGACCATCTGTTCTTAGTTTACTGCCAGTCTATCAAATCAGACGACGGCCAGCGGACTTCTGGGGGAAGGAGGGGAGTCGGGAGTTGGTAGGTCCGATCTCAGAGGATCAGATCCCAGCTTTGGCCCGCATTCCTCGGGGAGGGGAGAGGCCTCTCAATCTCCGGCAGAATCTAGGGGATCTGGTCAGCATTTGCACTGCTGTCTCCGGTCAATTGCCATTCGAGATCTCTCCCTCCCCCTCTATTAGGAACTGTGCCGACGTTCCACTGCTGCAGATCTTAGATCATCCGCTCGTCGTTCCGGGTTATCCTGCAGAAGAAGATAGCGAGGGCAAAATGAAAAGGTATTGGCGCTTTCCCGGCGAATCGTGTCCGATGGAATATTTTCTTCGTCGGTTTCGTGATTTCTCGCCTGTGATTTTTGCAGGCCGGGGGATGCATGGGGTAGGAGACATACGCCAAGGATGCAGCCGCAGGCGAGGGCGTTGGGTGGTGGAGGGAAGGCCATGACGGGGCGGCTGTCAGTTTCTGTCCTCGTTATAGTGGCCTGCATTATGTGTCTCTTATCTACCATTAGCATTTACCGCGCGTTCAACAGTGTTGAGGTTAGGTCCTGTTGCTATCTTAATGAATTTACGTATTTCCGTAAGTCCTTCAGGTGGAAATCTGGGAGACTTGGCTCTTCTTATGCTCTGAATTAATTTGCACTGCCTATTGCTTTATCTCCTGTGTCTATTTCGGGTGAAAGTGTGAAAGATTGAAAAAATTGTGGGTAAGTGTGTGGAGTGTGGGTTCTTGGAGTCATAAAGGGCTTACTGTGTGCCTGTAATCCTATCTTGAAATGCAAATAGAGACCAACGTACACAAATCTTTACAGTGATGGAAAATGGAAGAGATCTGGTTATCTTATTGCATAATCTTGGTGATGTAAGTGTATGAGGTTGGTTTAGGAGAAAACTCATGAGCGACAATATCCAGCATGTCCTCAGTGCAGGGCAATTCATGAGTTCTTGTCAGATGCACCAATTTTCTTGCGGATGATTACATCCCAGCTTTTCATCGCCAATATCTTTATTTTTGAACAAAATATGGCCGCAAGATTTCTAGTAACCTATTGTCATGAAGTTAAGCTGTACGATCACTTGAGCTGCGTCATTACTTGGTAGGCCATGAAATAGGTTCCCTCTTGAGAGGTTCTACCACTGCAGCCAAGAGTGTTACACGTGACTATGCTACAGACTGTCCTCCCAGACAGGACTACACTAAATCTGCATGATGTCATGGATATAGTACTTGGTTGCCAGTTTTCAGTCGAAGGTGATGACACGATTTTAGGTTCACTTTTATCTGATTATGGACATAAGACTAAGCATAAACCGAACCAATAATCAAAACAATATTGATGTTCATCACATTTTCTATGTGACCATTATTTTGCATTTATGTTTGATCATGTGATTTCTTCTGAGCACCTGTATGTCTATCAAAAAATATGATTTAAAAATAGAAGAACTGGGCTTCAATTCTGGTATTGTTACATCACTGAACTATGCTAATTACTAGTTCACAGCTAAATTCATCCTCAATAAGATTCCTCTTCATTCTATGCTTTATAATTTGAGGCAATTAGTGAAATGACTGGTATCAAGCTCGAGTGATTGCCAAATTTCTTGATCCAATTAGAAAAATGTGATAGCCCTTCAAATTTTCAAATATTCATCGTTAACATAGTAAGAGGGCTGAATCAGAACTGAACATTTCTTTTCCGATTTTTTGGGCCTAGTTGTTGCATCATTTTGACAATTATTGGTTTTTGAACTGCTTGAAGAAATTATAATTTCTATTTGGAAGCAACCTAACTTGAGAATGGTGTTTGTGGTCAGAGTATCTGTTACAAAAAAAAATCCTGCTTTCTGTTTCATTGGAAATGCACCTATTCCAGTGTTGGATATTTTTTCAGTTAAATTATCATATCTTAAAGAAGTGGTACTGACAAGATCTTCAGTAAAACAACTAAGTATATCCCTAGCTAGATATCTACTGTGAATTGGCTTCCGCTTGATTCAATATGAATTGCAAATGAAGAACTTCTTATCAAAAAAATAAGATTTCTTGCTTTTCTTTTGCCAATTGTACTCCTATTTCACTCTGAATATGAGAACCTTGGGTATATAGCGTTTATACCTATTTGCAGTCTGTTGTCTATTTTTTGTACTGTGCATAATATATTTTTCTATTTTCTGGTTTCTAAATCTCGCTTATTTCTGTTTGGAAATCATTTTAGGATTTGGATTTGGATAAGCTTTGGCAAACTGCTCCTTCTGGGGGTTGGAAACCTTCATCTGCTCCAAGATCAAACTGGCCTCGTATGTGAATTTTTCTGAAAGTGGATGGTGCATGCTTCCTGTCATTTATGTTGAAGAACTATCTATCTTTCGTTCTTTTTTCCAGCTCCCCCAGAAGAGACCAATGGATATGTACGAGTTCGGTGCAATGGTGGCTTAGTTCAACAGCGCAGTGCGGTATGTTTAGCTGTTCATAATAATTTACGCTCCTGATGACCTTTTAGTTTATCAGGCAGATTTATGAAACAGTAAAGCATTTTTGCCTTTCTTTGTAAATGTCACAATTCATTTGTTGTTGTTGACAACCTTTGTGGAAGTCACATTTTCGTTATTTTAGTTATTTTTTCAAAATGTAAATTTCTCAATTCATTCGATTAAATTTGAATAACAGGTATACAAATCAGGGAGAAATGCCGTCCTGATCATAAAATTTTTGTTTAGTAAAACTAAAACGTGTTCATTTCAATAAATTCCTTCACTTACCCATCTTCTGCATGAGAGCCAGGTCATTTAGGTTCCTCCTGCTCTCGTGCCAGTTATTTAACTTTTTTTTCCTATGCTAGATTGTATTGCTTTCTCATCATATACGTCGCAGGACTTGGGTATTAACATATGCTCTACAAGTTGCTGTCTTATTTAACCCAATAGGCGCTGTCCGATTATGTCACTAGTTAAAGTGGGGCCTGAGTTTTAGACATCTAATTTGAAGGCATTTGCAACCAGCCTCAGTGAAACACTCATAATGCCACAACTGATAACCGCTACAATTGGAAAATTCACAGCAGTCACACTCATGGAAGTGGTGGACTTCTCCTGCTTTTTATTGAAAGTTGTAAAGTTGAAATGGCGAACCAACTATTTCAGGCTTTCACAAAATCTCAACTTTCTCTCATTCCCTATTGTATTTGTGATTGATGCTTCTCCTACAGTTTATGATCATATACTTGGCATTTAATTATTTCCCATTATTTGCCCGTACTACGAAAATTTAAGGAAACCTGGATGGTTCGAGGCATCAAATTTTCACTTTCTAGTCTTGCCGGCAATTGGTTTCCTTAAAGTTCTTTTTCCCTCATATCTTCAATTCATTTTTTTAGTAAAGCTCTGTCTGACTTAGGAATCCCAAGCGATCCCATTTTATCCTCTTTTCTCTTTTTACTCTTAAATCAAAGCCCTTCTCTTATCTTTAGCTTAGGTGCTCCCTTGCCATTTTGATTAGAAACTTTCCAGAACTAAAGATCTTCCCATAGATTGAATCCTCTTTTCTATCGTCTGTGGAATTTTGAAAGCATATAGGGTTGTTAATAACGACTTTGATGGACTTTTCGCCATCAGCCAACCAAATGCTTTATCATTTTTCTGTGACCCTTTATAATTATGATCTTTAATGATATTTTTTTCGTTGTATCTTCAGTTGTGAGAAATTCCGAATGTTTTAGCCTCTAGGTTTTCCTGTCTAAGGAATTCTTCAAATGGTGAATACTATTTGGAAACATTTGGCTGGAAGTGGCTATTGTATATCTGTCACACTCTCTTTCCATTTTCAAGTTGAAATTGTCAGACAACATCAGTTTAGAAAAATAAGAAGCAGAGTAGTGTTTAGTAGGCTTGCCATATACTTCCAGGGGTGCTCATAAATTTACTGTATTTCATATATAAGTATAATTTATCGGAATATAGAAAAGGCTTGGGTTTGCCACTTGTTAAATCGTTTTTCTTCAAACCGCTGTGGTTGTTCTTGTGAGCTAAATGATAGTGCATAAGAGTTCAGAATAAGCACGGTTCGTAGGGGAAATGGTAGAAAAATCTCATTTTGGGTACACTGAGTCTGTGACATAGTGTACTACATCTTGGTGTAGGCTTCGGTTCTTGTTTATACAGAAAATTTTGTAGATTTTTTTCAAATAAAATATTAATGTGGGACCACCTGCTTTCTAAAAAGTTCGTGAAAGTAGAGAAAAATTCAACCATTAGATTGGCTACTGTCATCAGTTAGATCAATAAATATTAAGGATACGTTACACTAATCTTAGAGATGATGAAAATCTACCAGCTGCCTTAATCTCTTGTAGTCCTTGATGTCCTATCTGATTCATAGATACTTCAAACTGCTATTTAGCTTCATTTGAGGACACTTTAATTTCGATGCTCTGAAATAAACAGCAGACGAGGAAGAAGAGAAAAGGGGATGGTGTTCACATCGTGTATTATGCATCCTCCGAGAAAGGTCCTTCATCTACTTCTTCAATCTCGGTCATCTTCCCACTCCTTCAGTTTGGTTGTGCCACCTCTTGAGTGAGGAGAGTACCGAACCCCGATTTCAATCATTAGACCCAATGAATACACGAATTTTATGCGTATGCTTCACCCAAACAGGATTAGGCTGATTATATGCTCTTGCAGAGTTCATGCTGTCAAATTAAACCTCTTCCAGAGGGGATTAGATGACAGAGTAGTCGCACTAAACTAATGGCGTTTATACTACTGCCCCTCCATACAAGTAAAAAAATGTATTGTTGATGTACACGTCAGTATGCAGCCAAACCAAGAATAAAGACGCAATTCGTTGGGGTGGTGGGGAAATACAAAAATGTGTTGATGTATTTGTTTTTTTTTTTTTTTTTTGATACGACAAAGACGATCTGATAGACAAGTTTAGCTACACAACAAGCATATGTAGTTTAAGCTGCCATATGCAAGATATATTTAAATAATCAAAAGTTTTTTTTCAATGAGAAATTTCAATGAGAAATTTCAGCTGTGGTTAATGCTTGCTTTTTTCCCTGTGTGAGAAAATAAATATGTTCTTTCTTTTCTCCAGATATGCAATGCAGTTGTTGCTGCAAGAATCATGAATGCTACACTGGTGTTACCTGAATTAGATACCAACGCATTCTGGCATGATGACAGGTATTCGTTCCTTTATGTTATTTGACTGTATTAAGGCCATTAATCTTCCCTTTTTGGCGGATGGGAATTGCAAAATCATTTTCCCCCGAAGTGAGAAACGGTGTGGTCACTTCTACCTCTTGTTGATAAGGAATTCATTTCTCATCTCTTTCCTGTGGTGCAAACCACTGAATCCGCGTTGTCCGCTGGTTTTTTTTCAGTAAGAGTGGTTTAAAGAGTTAAAAGCCTATTGTTCTTAGATAGACACCTTGCAAAGCCACGGATATGATCGGCAAGAATGTAAACGTTAGTTATCGGCCAGTAACAGTAATGAAAAATTGACGGCATGCTTGTATCAGCTGGCGTATGTGAGTATCCATTTGTGTTCATTCAAGAACCTAGAATGCATAGCTTGCTATAATTCTGCATTTCTTAGACTGCAAAGGGAACGATGAGGAGTGTTTCTTGCTGATTTGTTCTTGTTGGACATTTTGCCGGAATTATTCTGCATTTATATTTTCAACAAAATGGTCACGCACGTGCTTTCCAGTTTAATCATAAACTCCATGACAAGGATGTATCAACCATCACTTCTCACCGTGTCTACCTGTGCTTGTGGTTAGATCAAGGATGTATCGACCATATCGACCATCACTTCTTACTGGGTCTTAAGAATTTAAGAACGTCTTTTAATTTGCGTAGGAGTACCTCATGACTGACAGTTTTTGATATAAACAACGTCTTCTGTACTCAGTGGTTTTTCAGGTACCTACGATGTGGAACATTTTATTAAATCTCTGAGATATGATGTGAAAGTTGTGGAAAGACTGCCTGAAATCGATTCGAAAGGAAGAACTAAGAAGAGAAAGTCCTATCAGGTAAGATATCATACTAATTACCTTGATATGATAACATGATATGGTTAGGGCATGGCAGAGAATTCTGTACCAACTCTACTATTCATTTGACGTTATGCCTAAATATGCTGTATATGATTTCAGATTCGCCCACCCAGAGACGCTTCCCCTCATTGGTATGCAACTGAGGCACTGGAGAAATTGAAGAAACATGGGTCTGTTTATCTTACACCCTTTTCTCATCGCCTGGCCGAAGAGCTTGGTGATCCTGAACTGCAAAGGCTGAGATGCCGAGTTAATTACCATGCGCTCAAGTTTAAGACTCACATTATGGAACTGAGCAATGCCATAGTGAATAAGCTACGAGCGGAGGGACGTTTCATGGCAATTCACCTTCGATTTGAGCTGGATATGCTGGCTTTCGCAGGGTACGAGCTTTTTCCCATACTCTTGCACTCTGGAATCGTTCATTCTCAGGAAGTTTCTGGCAAATTTTGAATGACGAACCGTCTCCAGCTTCAAACGTGCTCATTCCGAATCTCTTTATTCTTCATTTTTGTGTGTTTTTTCTTCTCAAAAACTCGCAGATGCTTCAAAATATTCTCACCTGAGGAACAGAAGATCCTTGTCAAGTACCGGAAGGAGAATTTCGCAGACAAAGAACTAGACCACGAGGCCAGGAGAGCCATGGGAAAGTGCCCATTAACTCCAGAGGAGGTATTCTTCTCTACTCTCTCTCTCTCTCTCTGAGCTGAAGGAGTGGTGCATGAAGTTTTTGACTTTGGAGTATCCGTATCCGTATCCGTCCTTTCCCTGCAGGTGGGTCTCATCCTGCGGGCCCTGGGGTTCGACAACAACACCAGGATCTTCCTCGCCGTCGGCGACCTGTTCGGAGGGTACCGCTTCTTGAAGCCGATGAAGGACCTGTTCCCCCGTATCGACAACCACAGCTCGGTGAGCGTCATGCAAGGGATCGACGATACCACCAAGGGCCTTCTGGGCTCCGCCGTTGACTACATGGTCTGCCTCCTCTCCGACATCTTCCTCCCCACCTACGACGGCCCCAGCAACTTTGCCAACAACCTCATGGGCCACCGCCTCTACTACGGCTTCCGCACCATCCTCCGCCCCGACAGGAAGGACCTCGCCCCCATCTTCATCGACCGGGAGAGGGGCCGCGCCGCCTACTTCGAGTCCCGGGTCCGGCGGGTCATGGCCAGCACCAACGTCGGCGGCCCTCGCTGGCGTGTGCCGAAGGAGTCCTTCTACACCAATCCATGGCCGGAGTGCTTCTGCCAGACGCCGGCGAGGTACCCCGCCGACGCCTGCCCGGCCGACGACGCGCTGGAGCCGCTGGACGACGGCCTCCTCGGCGAAAACGGCGGCAGAGCGGCGGCGTCCAACCGGACGGAGGTAAATTCCGGCCCCGACGATGAATGATGCGATCGAGAGGACCGAACGTCCTTCTTCGTTTCGCTGCTGGAGTTTGGCGTTGACTTTGGTTCGTCGGCGTCGTCTATTCTTAACTCGCCATTTGTTTGTGTATAAAAGCATGGAAAGAGATCCTAAATCGGATTCTCCTCTGATTTTGGAAAGAGCCCTCGCAGAGCATGACTAAGCCACGAAGCGTATTTCTGTGGCTCCTTGAAATAATTTTGGTAACCAGGAGGTTATCTCGCATCTTGGCAGAACGGATATCCATTGTTTGAAATTCTAGACGGGCAGTGCTCCACGAGGAGAACAAGATACACCTCTCTCTCTCTCTCTCTCTCTCTCTCTCTCTCTCTCTCTCTCTCTCTCTCTCTAAAATACACAGGCAGGGGCCTGAATGCTTTTTTGAGGGCTGCTTACGGAGCCCATGTACTCAAAGCGCAGAAGCTGTGTCTTCTCACCAAAGAAAAAAAAAAAAAAAAAACTTCGTATGAGCATGCAACTCTCCTCTGTACAAACAGCCAGCCAATTCACAGCCTGCCCCAGCATTCAGTCCCATCACAAGTCCATAAAAGCGCAGCCAAAGAGAGAACCAGCACTTTGAGAGGCGAAGATTACTTTCGCTTCTAAGAGATGCAAAATGATAGTCCCCCCCCAGTGATGGGCACCCAGAGCTAGGAGACCCCCTTTATTTCTTCCTCTCGGCGAAGTTGAGGCTGTGAGTCAGACTGGGCAGGCAGCAATGCGTGGCCTTCTCTCCTCCTTCCTCCTCATCAGGGACAGATTTTGGGAGCTGAACTGGGTTAGCCCCCTTTGGGATCCCACCGGGTTGTGGCCTTCCTTCAGCAGCACCACTTCCCGGCCCTGCAGGTTCCCCGGGCGGGTTCTCCTGGAATAATTCAGCCAGCTTCTTCCGAGGAGAGGGCTCGGGTTGGGATTCTGGAAACCCATTCGTGTAGATCTTGTTGCCAAATCCTTTCCCCGTTTGGTAGTTTGGAGTGCTTCCACGAGACGGCGTAAAATCTGAAAATCAGAGCAAAAATGGCGTTTCTACAGTCAATTCAGCAGTTCCAAACGTCTCAAGAACGGTCCCATACTGATTACTATTCATATTTCCTGTGAAATAGTCCCACTTTGCCTATTATAGAAACAAACCTGTGATAGTAAAGATATGTTGTCCACATGAGAAAGCCCAAGAATATTCCCGTACTGATTATGCCAGAAATAAAGTCTTGAATATGAAAAAGCGTCTCGGAAAGACATTATTTTTTATTTAGAAGGGCAAATAATTATTCCACCCATGTGGTACTTCGTTAGGGCTATTGGGCAGGAAGATCCAGCGCAAAACCGATGACCAACGATTGGGATTAGGAATTGGTCACAACTATCTAACATAATATGAGATTGCTCATAATCCATGTGAAAGAGTCAGACTATCCAACTCAAAGCCAATTTGCAATTTTTAGAGTGAACCCATCGATTTTGATCGCAAGACATTAATAAATATTAAAATATTACTTTGCTAATTATGGTATAATCCTAATTTTCAGGCTCATAATCAATGGGAAAGAATCAAACCATCAGACCCAAACCCGGCTGACGATGAGCAGAGTGACCAGTAAGCATTTATTTAAATCGCAAGATATTGAGTTATTTTTTCTGATACAAGTAAGCAAGCAGAGTCCTAACCTCCATTCACACTGTAAAAGTCCTCGCAATCGGATTCCAGCCATGCCTGGGAATCAAAGAAGATCTCATCCCTGCTGCCTGCAACATACGCACACGAAGACTCGTCAAATACAAGCCCACGCATCCCAGTTTCTATAACTGGACCACAAGCAACACACGTCTCAGGAAAATCAGTCGAATCAGGCCCAAGAATTTTCCTTTTTGGGTACTCAGTCTGGTCTAGTTTAACATGGAGTTAGTTGCCCAGATGGCCAATTAAGTTGAGATCCTTTGGTCGTAGGTTTGCAACCATCCCCAGACGAAAAATTTCAAGTCCACTATACAATAATATATGCTATTTAGCTAAAAGAAAGCTGACGCGTTGATCTAAAAAAAATAATCTTAGGAAAAGAGATCATTGATGGTGGCTAGCAGACGCTTGGCAAGATGTCAGCCAAAATAGAAAAAAAAAAATTCGGGCACTTGAACTAAAAGAAGATGAGTTGCAGGAGAGCTTAGAACAGGGGAGAATGAGCAGGGCCTCAGGATGTTGAAAGAAAACTAGAGACGAACTCCGACTTCAGAAATTCATTCATACATAAAATAAATGAAAAACCCAAAATGTTTTGCAGTTTTGGATTTGCCCTCCTCATCCTCAAACCGCGAGTGAATACCGTGTGCCATTATATATAAATTTTTTTCTTTTAATTCAAAGAATAGAGCTCGTTCACAGTTTCCACAAGTCTTACAGAGAGAAAGCGGTATCAGTAAACTGCCGCAGGTTTTAGCATGATCATCATACTCGATTATCGTGAAACAGGAAGGAAACTTGGATTCTAGAAGTCAACCCAGGGACCATCATTGTCTGCAGATACGGGTCAAGGCAAAGCATGAAGGATGAAGAGCTTAAACACAAGGGACGATCACGAGCCCCATTAGTTTGGACACTCGGGCTGGGTGATCTCGAGCCCAAAAATCGTCTCCTCGAATCAAAGATTCTACCGGTTCATATCACTCGAATGCACCGTGGAGAAGGTCTCATATCTCCTCCTGATCGCATATGCCCTTATAGGCAACTTTCATGAAGCACAAGTCGAGCAAAATTATCTTTCGAAGAATCAAAACCTTCGGGAGTCGGGTAAGAAATCGCCCATCGATCCCATCTTAATGAAAGGAATCATAGTGAAATGAAACGGATTAACGAAGGAATATGTGGTAGAAATCCCCATTTTGTTCCCTTCTCAATCTAATACAAAGAGAGGATCAAGAAAAGCCATCGTCGATCGCCAAAGCAACCATGTCACGCAGTTGTATTCAATCAAATGGAGAACTATTGGAGAGATGGAAGCAAAGAGAAGATAGTCCGTACCGAAGCTCGGGCTCCAGCGTGCCGACGCGGCGTCCACCTGCTTGGTCTTGCCGTCATCGAGCTCACCGGCGGCGGCGCACTCTACTCCCTTGGGGTGAGACGGAGGAGGGTACGCCTTCTTGGTGCCGACGGCCAGCCGAAACCTCATGTTGGACTTCGGATCCCTGTGGATGGAGACACAGGTGCCCATCCCCGACGAACCCTCTCTCAGATAATTCTCGAGCAGCGACGGAAGCCCCCTCGTCTCCCCCCTAATGGAGTTTTCCAATAGTAATTCGTGGCGGCTTGCAGGCGGAGGGTTCAACCCGATTTACGAGGGGATCAGAGGAGTCATTGTCGACGAGAACACAACAGCATCTTTCTCGCAGAGGAATAAAACGGACACCGCGAGGGAGAGAGAGAGAGAGAGAGAGAGAGAGAGAGAGAGAGAGAGAGAGGGAGAGGGAGAGAGAGAGAGAGAGAGGCGGGGTGGTGAGTAAGAAGAGGCGGCCTGAATGCGAAGCTACTGTGCTTCATCTGCCTCCACTGAGGGACCCTGTACGTTGCATCAGCTTCTTCCACCTCCGCGGGCCCACGGGAAGAGAAAAAGTTGACGGCGACGAATCCGGCGATGAGGAAGGACGAAGAATTAATTATATGGAAAAAAAATGATACTTTTCTCAAGATCGTGGATAAATATTGGCGCCCCCGCTCCCCCAAATATCCCGATCAAACGCAGAATACCGACAAAACCAGACACGTCGCTGCCCAGGGCGGCGGCCGCCCCGCGTATGAGCTATCAGTCGACGACGGCGGTGGGCGAAACCGGCCGACGCCGAAAACCGCGCTGCCATTGATGAGCTCTGAAGCCCTCTGTCCTCGCGTTGACTTTGTTTTGAAATTAATTGGAAAATCCTTCCTCCATCGTACGGTGTTTTTTCAGAAGAAAAATGGTTGTGTTCATCCGCTGCCCACGTTTAATTAATAATGGAAAATTCTTTGGAGATATGGGAGAGCTGGGACTGGCGAGTTGACTAAGCCGTCAGGTTGTCGGCTATGACTCATCCGCAGGTTTTTAAATTTTGTCTTGACTCGTGTTAGCCCAACATGGACGACGTGTAAGCTGGCAACCCATTAAGGCGGCTGACGGGTAGGAAAAATCTGCCGCCGAATTACATGGACCTTTGGCTTGTCCTCAAATTAGCACGTGCCGCCATAAGAATCCACGGATTCACCCGTTGACCAGTGAACAGAGTTTGTGGCTGACCTAACTTGAGGTGCTCGTGGGCCGAATTACCCCAATACCACAACCGACTGGGCCCATTTGTTAATGTAACATCCAGCCCATAGCAGTGATGTTTGGGTGGAAATTGTACGTAGTGGTCCTCAATTCCTGTGGTCCGCCAGGGCGACGGGAGCACCGTGGACCCTTCCGAGGTTGGGCGGCGCCGCCGCAGGCCGGGGACCACTCGTCGTTCTGTCGGAACGTTGACGAGAGGGAGCCGTCCCAAAGCACAGGACATGCAAGCTCACTGGTCGCCGGTCCCCCACCCCCCCTCTCTCTCTCTCTCTCTCTCTCTCTCTCTCTCTCTATGTATGTTTCTATCTACCTCCCTTTGCCTCTACACTCCCACAGGCCCATGAAGCACCAGGCCAAGTTGAACGTTTTTTGGCAAAAAATAATCAAGAGAAGAAAATTAATTGCCCATCGGTTTCGGTTTTCGTATGATATTTTCATAGCATAAGACATGAAGCGGATTAAATTATTAAATAATTATTAATCATCACTGATTTCATATTATCCATGAGTCAATACACTTCTGAAGTCAATGTCAATGGGACTTTCCAAACACGGCTGGTGTAATGGGCTAGCATGGTTTGGGCTTCATCATCTTGGGCCTGACTTGGGCTTTGGCACGCCAGCCCATTAAAGCCAAAACCATCATCTTCTTATCCCCTACCTGAGCTACCTCTTCTTGCCAATTATTCCCCTTATGATCTTGCCCAGCTCTTCTCCGAGATCTTCTTGTGCATGGTGCCCAGCCTGGAGAAACACGAGACAAGCTGGTCTTATTGGATGCGCGAAGGCTGGATAGTCTGAGATCGAAACAGAGATACGGGCAGAGATAGAGATCATTAGAAGGCAACTGAGTGCCTCGAAAGCTCCAACCATGGTCTATCCTGGTTCTTTCCTAAAGTGAGAAGAATTTATGCCTTATGGGTGATTTTCAATGACGAACAGGCGTCTAGGTGGCTGGGTGTATGACCATTTTCCTCGCTGGACATGATAAAGCGATGTACTAACTTTGGAAGCTCAACTTCTTCCACGAGAAAAAAGTCAAGCTTTCATAATCTGAATATTCGTTTTGTGTGGTTTCTTTACTGTTCATCCCCAGAATCACCGCTCAGGAGCTGCATTTTTTGTGAGATTTCATTGCGGTAATTGGATAGAAGGCGTAAAAATAGGCCCAAATTTGGAAAGAAGAAAAAGAAACCAGTGAGGTTGTGTGCGAGCACAGATTCTGCCTGAAAAAACCCGGAGGAAATGACTCCAACCATCATACATGGGTATGAACATGAATCATGCACTTAGCTTTTTTTCAATATTTCGATACTTTTACTTGATTATTTCACATATGGGAGACGAATAGGATGATTTTCGGGGAGATTTTAAAATAATTTGTAGCTTAGGAGAATATTCATTTCAAATGTAAAGGAGCACTTCTGGATACGAGTGAAACATACCGTCGGTAGCTCTACCAATCTGATGTTTGAACGACTGCAAAACTCCTCGACTCCATCGTAATCCAACCACCGATCTCTCTGGCCCCAGCATATTGTCGTTTGAATTTTCCATGATTCACTTGATAGTATGGTTCTCATTTCTTCAGTGTAACTCTGAGGTTCAAATCATTAAGAAGATAACGCCAAAAAATTAAAAAATTGTTTTGCGCATTCGAATCCAGCTAGAATCTTCAGCTAGAATCTTAATATTTTTGGGAATGTGATAGATTTTTTAATTTCTTTCAGAATGACATATTAAAAAGCTAGTCAAGTTACAATTATAATGTCTCTCACAGAAATATTTCAATTTAAGATGATTTCTAACCCAATAGCGAGGCCTTTAACTCTCGATGAGGGTATTTTCAAGATTTGGGCATTGAATAAAAATGTCCAAAAAAAGGGTACACAATAAGATGAGCCACCCATCATCACTAATAAATGCTACCAATCAGCAGTGTGTTTACTCATAAATGCAAACGGTTGTTATGTGAGGACTCCTAGTTGGATGACAGAGTTTATGCAAGGACAAGACCAATACCGAAGTGGAAAATACAGATATGTATTCTAAAGATCATAGGCCTAAATACGTTAAGAGTAAAATATACTGACAGGGATATATGAATGGAAATTTAAAGTCAACGTTAAGGATAAAGATTCAAATCTGAAAAATGTGTGCCAAAAACCTAAAAATCAACCGATGAATGACTAAGGTATGCGAATCTGTAAGAGAGTAACTTGCCTTCAGTTCCTTGTTCATGGCTTTGCTAATTGCATTCAGTGCAAAGCCAGACGATCCAGATGTGAGATATGGCCTTCTATAGACCATTGCATCTTCTTCTTTCATCATGTACGGCCCACAACTAGTCAAGACTTTGTCACTTGCTCGCAGTGGATCCTGAAAAAAATAAAATTGCACAGTGAGAGAGGTAAAAAAACATGAAAGTTATCTTAGTATCGGAAAAACATTACTCATCATTCTGATTTCCATGTAGGGAACTGTTTCCTGACCTGAGAAAAAATTTCACCCAGCAAAAAGTTGCTGAAAATGGAGAGAGTTGATGGAAGCTTTGCATGCTTATCCATCAGCTGTAACGCAAACATTAACCATGTCAATTCACGCAGTGTCGCAGTCATGATTTCTGTAGCTAAAATACGTCTTTCTAGACCTTTTTCTATCTGTCAGCACATATCACTTAGCATATTTCCCTAAAATCCATGAAAAAAGTTTCAATGAAGAAAACTTCTAACGATATTTATATAATATAAAATGATTAGGAAGTTCTTACTGGAGGATTGATGAGTATGATATTTTTCAGTTTTTCTTGATGTAAACTTGCATATTTTACAACAACCGGAGCAAAGTATCCCTGCAAAGTATTTAAATTTTTTCCGTTATATTCCCGGGGGAAAATACTAATATAGAAATAGATTTGAGGATCTCGCAACATACTTGAACGACAAGTGAAAAGTCATTGACACCAAGTTCATTTATGAGCGAATCCAAAGATGAGACATATTCTAAAAGGAGAAATGAAATGAATTAGTACTCAAGAGTGGCGATGGAAAAACTGCAGATTTCTCGTGCTATTTACCATTTAATGTGTAGTCAAAACCGTACTTTGGCTGAGGCTTATCTGAAAATCCAAAGCCTGAAAACAAAATACATTGACACCAAACGAACAGTATGCCCTTTTTCAGATAAACTGAGCAGAAAAACTTTAAACTTCACATTCAGTTTGAAACACTAACGAAGGTTTTGACTGGAATTATGAAAGCAAGGCGCGTGCATGGCCCGACCTTCTTGAAAATAAAGTTCGTGAATGATGTCTGAAGTATTTTAAACAAGTGTAAATAGTTCCCGCATGAAATTTAAGAAAAAAAATCAAAGAAACAGAGAAAAGAATTATACATATTCAATATGAAAAACATAAAAGTAGTGGAATAGGAGGATATTATATGTATCCTCTACTCCAACTAAAATATAATGGGTAAATGATTGATGATGATGAACATTTTTATCTGGATGATGGCAAAAAAAGTTAAACCATACATTGATTCTACTGGTGTTATGTAGATTGCGATAAGCAGTCTCTCGCATTAACGAACACCCTGCTATATACAGGATGAGAAGAGAAAAACCAAGCCTTAAGAAAATTTATTTATCAATAAAGTCGTCTCTGACTGCCGTGCTTATAAAATAAATCAATACAAACATGATAACATCTTGTAAACTCCAAAAATCCAACCCATTGAACATAATAATTCCTAAATTTTCGAAAAAAAGCGTAAAGTTCATTTAAAATGTTTATGTTAAAAAATCGGCTTATCTGCTCTCAGGGATTTAATACCGCATATACTAATATCATAGGAATGGAGACAGATTTGACTTAGTCACAATAGGCAGTTCTAGTGTATCGTATTTCTCACTTAAGCAAGAATAACGTCAGGTTTTTCTCTTAAATTACCAAAATAAAATGAGGTAAAAAGAATCATATAAATTATTAAAAAAACCCGAGATATCTAGTCGAGTTGTGAAGCTTACCAAGCCAATCGAAAGCAATTGCATGAAAATCTTCGGATAATTTGGGTAGAACTTTGCGAAAGGAATAAGCCTGGTGATCATATAGAAAAAATCTCAAAGAAGTGGGACTCTGAAATCATCCAACAAACTGAAGAAGTCTTCCCCGTTTGTCGCTAGAAAATGTATAAAATAATAATACTAAACAAACAGACGAGTGATTTGGTGACTATATTGTTATTCTGACGACATAATGGCTAGTTTATTTTGTTTCCTAGCCATGAAAGATGATAGTAGATAAATCAATTAAATAACAGTTTTTGGCAGGTTCACTGGTCGCATTCCCTGGACCAATAATAATGTTAAACCGAATCATCATATTTTTGTGGTAACCAAGTTTTAAAATAATTATTAAATTAATTGAAAATTTCCAATCCATGCTAAGCTGCATGCTTGATCTGGAGCTACATCATTTCTATCCTCGTCACTAGCCATCTTATGGTTTATTTAGCTAGGAATTCGATTTTTTTTCCTAGAGCATCCAATCATTTATCGTTTTTCCTCTTCTCCTTGCTGTCGCAAAAGAATAACTTCAATGAAGAAAAATATGAGGCATTTGGTATTGTAGGTCTTGCAGATCCTCAAGGCACAGAGATGAAGAAGAAAAAGGTCAGTAAACCTATAAGGCAGCCTTGTATGAAAACAGTAGCTGAGAGTATTCTTAAGAATCGAGTGATGACATCAAAGTAATGGCACACGCATAACACTATTTAAAGGGCTTTTTCAGCACAAAATTTGTCACCGTCTCCCATGAACCGGTGAAAGAAAATAATCCTTCACTATCTACATTTATTTAGGCAGCCTTTAAAAATAGTTATAGAGGTGATTAGGTTCCATAAAGGTTTTCTAAAAGCCAAAAAAATGCTCCAGGAAATCCGAATTATTGAGAATATGCATGAACAAACATTATAAGGGTTTCAATAGCCAATTTTTTTAATTACTCGTGTGCTGTTCCACAGAAAAAGAATCCTTACATTAAGAGAAACATCACCATCGCGATCCAACATTACCTGGGAGGGGAGCCCGTGGACTAAAATAACTGAAGAATTAGTAGAAACTCCAGTTTCAACGCAAAACCATCTACAAAATCACGAGAGCTGTTAGCCACATGACGATTTCTTCTAAAATTCCGTATCATCTAAGACTAATACATACAGGGACTTTATGATCTTAAAGTTCCTGTGAAAAACTCCAAATAAGATGATGTCCTTCCAATCAAAAAAATTCTGATCACCTGAAAACATCGGCTGATGTCTGGGAACCAGAACCCAATGTAAGACCAAAAATTGGGTCGGTTGCCTTATCTCCAATTCCGCGAACGGGATGAGCTTTGACCTGGTATAAAAATACTAAAATATCAGTTTAAAAGTTCACAAACGAATTTGACCTTTGGCTATAAGGGATAGGATGGTATCCATTTCCAGATTCGAAATCTCTTTTTGCTGAATTTTCACGCAATACGACCACAATTTCTTGGTAAATTTAATCATTTAATCATATGATAATATAGTATGTTGCTGGAAAAGGAAATACCCACAATTGAAGTCTGGAACTTGAGAGTCACGGTTGAGGGACCAAAACAGGTCGAAGAGGACAGGGACCAGGACAAAACCATGTGTATTGCGCGAAAATAATTCCAAATCTTCAAAAACTAATAATATCTAAATTATATGAGAAAATATGTAAAGAAAATATCGACTCACTATTTTCCCTTTCTTGAACCATTCGTCGGACGGATTCGGACCTTCGGAGTATTTTCCTGCACAACGGATCCAGAATTTTATGAAGATACGAATAGCGATTTAATAGATTTGAAAGAAAAAATCCAATGTGAAAGACAGCAACCGAGAAAATAGGGGGTGTGAGACGATGATGGGAATGACGTAGATTCTCAAAAAACTAGAGTTCACCTCCACTGAAAGAAAATCCATCTCCAACTGAGACAGGAGCATCAATCAAATAGTCCTGAAAGAGAAAGCCGAAGAGTGGAGATAATGTTTAACGATGCAATCATCGATATGCTCTCTAAAATATGCAGTAAGGGAAAAGGCAACGCGAGCGCAAAGTCATTGTTCGAGGCTCCCCCACCTCTCCTTCTTCGAGACCCGAACTGCATCTCAGACGTAGTTTTCCCTTGTTCACCTTCGTTTCCAGGAATCTCCCAGAGATCTGCAACGAGGGTGGTGATGGGCAACAGGGACCACAAAGAAAATCCGAGCGCCCCCGCGACCCAACGGAAGGGGCATGCCCTCTCATCATCGCCATTGTTGGATTGAAGGGATAACAGGGTAATTCCTGCACTGGCTGGTCCTCCCGATGGATGTATGGAAGAGAGGGGATAGTGTTTCACTGGTTCTCGCTGCTCCTGCGGATGGCGCGAAAAAAGGGCATTCATTCCTTCCCGTTGGTCTTAAACGTTCACAACGGTCACTCGTCATAATTACTGTGAGCCCCTTACAAAGTAAGTCGATCTCAAAGTTATCGTTAAATCTATAAATATTGTTGATTTAGGACACTACTAAAACTCACTCAGAATCGCAAAAACTACCAATGTTTTTTTTCACACTTTAAATTGAAAAATAATAAAATATTATTATACGTTATGAAAATTAGAACACCGAGCGTAAAAATTCGAATATAATTTTCCTTGACACGTGGTAGACTCTCTCCATCACCCCATCATTCTTTCCTTTTGGACGCTCCTTGAGCTTGATCTTCGTCAACGGGTTATGAAATACTAAAATTCAATTTTTATTATGTATATTAAAAATAAAAGGGAATATTTAAGATGGGCTGTTGGGATTTTTTCCTCTGTATTTCCCCATTTATATTTTAATGTTTTTAGTACCACAAAATTTACTAATATAGAAATTCACTGCATGATTATTTCCGTTTTTAGTATTGGTTGACTTTTCTGAGTTGGAGAGTGATAATTCGACGATATATTTTAACATAAAATGATGAACACCGAGATGATTTTCTTGTGACCCTGGTTTTGTAGGTTACACTCGAAAGTTCCAATATAATGAATTTAGAGAGAGAGATCGCGAGAGAGAGAGAGAGAGAGAGTACTCTGTCAATACTAGGAGCAGACCTGGGTCCACGTCACTAACACCAAACCCACTGAAGAAGACCGCCGGCCTAACGCGGGTTTCCTTTCCCCTGCCCCCGGCGGCTACCGACCTTGCAAAAAACACGGCGGTCCCCGCTGACCCAGTCTGTTGACCTCAAGGCTTTCTCTGGCCAGTAGTCTTCACGTTTTTGCTCCCCCCTTGGTGCGTTAGTCAGCGATTTTCTGGTCAGCCAAGGCTTTTCTTCGACATCTGGACAGTACACGTATACATATATATATAACGTTAGAAAGAGGAGGATGACAGAGAGAGAGAGAGAGAAGGAAGGAGATGGGGGTCATCACTCCGAGTGTCCAACCGCAGAACCTCGGAGATGGGCGTGTGGAGGAAGAGATAGAGGGGTTGATCAGGGTGTACGAGGGAGGACGCGTCCAGAGGTTCCCGGTGGTGCGGGAGGTGCCGAGCAGCTGGGAGACGGAGCCCGGAGTGACGTCGGGGGACGCCGTGGTGGACGCCTCCACGCGCGTCTGGGCGAGATTCTACGTGCCGAGCCACGCCGGGAGGCGACCCCTGCTCGTCTACTTCCACGGCGGGGGCTTCTGCCTCGGCTCGGCCTCGTGGGAGTCCTACCACAGGTTCTCGGCGATGGTGGCGGCCCAGGCCTGCTGCGTCGTCATGTCCGTGAACTACCGGGTCGCCCCCGAGGACCGCCTCCCCGCGGCCTACGACGACGCCGTCGCTGCCGTGCGATGGGCGGTGCGGGCGGCAGACTGCGGAGCGGAGGACTCGGGTTGGTGGTGGCGCCACCGCTGCGACTTCTCCAGGGTGTTCCTCGGCGGGGACAGCGCCGGCGGCGCTGTGGCGTACCACGCTGCGGCACGGCTGAGCGGCCTCCCTTTGAAGGGCATGATCCTCATCCAACCCTTCTTCGGCGGGGAGGAGAGGACGCCGTCCGAGAGGAGGATGGGGCAGGTGGCCGGCTCGCCTCTCTCCCTGAAGGTCTCCGACACCTACTGGCGCCTGGCGCTGCCTGTCGGCGCGCGGCGGGACCATCCATGGTGCAACCCCGCGGCGGCCGGTGCCGGCGCCGGCGGGCAGGAAGTTTGCCGGCTCCCGCCTGTCCTCACCTTCGCTGCAGAGATGGACATACTGAGGGACAGGATACTGGAGCTCTGCAAGGAGATGAGGAGGGAGGGGCGGAGCGTTGACTTCGTCCTCCACGGGGGGGTGTCCCACGCCTTCCAGGTGCTCGACAGCTCCCTCATCTCGCAGGACCGGACGCGGGACATGATCTCCCGCATCAAGACCTTCGTCGACAAGCATCAGTAGCTTGCAGCAAAAACCAGACACAAGGAAACTGCGCTCACAGAAAAAAGGAGCTTTCTTTCATTCTATTTTGGATGGGGTTTTTAACATTTTTTAAGCACTGTATTATGATTTCCCGAGGGTGTATTCATTAATATATTTTAAATATATAATTTTATATTATTTATATTTTTTCTTGTTAAGAATGGTCAGCGAGAGAGAGAGAGAGAGAGAGAGAGAGAGATCAGCCTCATGGGCCGGGATGGGCCTCTCCAGACCGAAACGAGGGAGTCAATAGATCTGGATTCGGGCGGAATAGAGTGAAGCAGGCTTGCGGCGCCGCCGGACGTCGAGCGCAGAGGCTGTTCGGGGTATTCGAGTGGCGGGTAGCCGAGAAGGCGGAAGGCGAGAAGAGCAAAGGGGCCTCGGGTCAGGAGGAGAGGGGGAAGACAGAAGACGCTGATATGAACACCGACATTACAGCTTCTGTGAAGCCAGAGTACCCAGTGGTGGATCGGAACCCGCCCTTTACGAAGACCGTCGCCAATTTCAGCACTCTGGACTACCTCCGCCTGACGACGATCACCGGTGTCTCCGTCACCGTCGGCTACCTATCCGGTGGGTCTTCTCTCTCCCAACTCCCCCCTTTCCCCCACTTTCGTTTCTAGGGTTATTCTCGCTAGAGGTTCTGGTGTCTGCAGGGATAAAGCCGAACATCAGAGGGCCATCAATGGTTACCGGAGGGCTGATCGGCTTGATGGGGGGCTTCATGTACGCGTATCAGAACTCCGCTGGACGCCTCATGGGTTTCTTCCCCAACGACGACGAGGTCGCGCGCTACAAGAAGAAGTAGAAACTATCTCCGGTTTGGGGCTACTCTGCGTCCACCATTTGGGTCATGGTGCTTTTGGGGAGGCTATTTGGCTTTTCCAATGAATAAAGGTCCAGCTTCCACTCCAGTGCTTGTCTGACCTCTTGTCCTTGAGAACAGTTTTTGTGACTGGCGTTGTGCCCATTGTCGCTGCTTCTTTTCTGGTTGATATAGTTACAGCATGTAGACTTCCGCAGATAATTCTGTGCCGGATGTTGCTATGTCGTCTATTTTCATGTTCTTTGAGAGAAATCCCTGGAGAATTGGGCCAGAGGTTACCGGCAGATGTAGGCGAATATAGGGATTGGAATTCACAATTTTCTTTATGAATCCTTCCTTCACTCTGAAAATTGTTGTGTTTGAGATTGTTGAATGAGTGCAGAGTATCAAGGATACAAACGACCAGTCTCTGTGAAAAAGATTCCTCCTGGCCTGCATCATGTATGTCGACTCTGAAACCTTGAGTAAAAAAGTTGAAGGGTAATGAAGGAAAAGTCACGAAGTAGAACCTGTGGCTGAGCTTTTGGAAACTCTAATTAAAGTTCTTTCGATCAAGCATCTTATGCTTGAAATATATACAGTATGAATGCAGCCCCGGACCATATGGAGTATTGGTGCTAACTTTTTCTCTCAATTATGCAGTTGTGCCGGTTGCTTCATATCTAGATTGGAGTGAGTTTCACAATTTCTTTGGGTTTATTTGTGTTTTATACCCTGATTTCATAGCTGATAACTTCAGGCTGGTTCTCAGATATTTTAGATTGTCCAAGATTCTCTCCTTGAGAGTTGTAAAGGTAAGTGTTTGTTCATGATTCGATGCATCATTCTGAGTAGAAAAAGGGAAAATGAGCGTGCAGCAATTGACATCTGGATGACAGTGTTAATAGCGTCTTTCGGAAATGTTATGCAACGATGGGCAACAACGATGATATCATCTTTGCTGCTGACCAGAAGAGAAGTCTCGTTGTGGGCCTCGTTCTCAGGATGCTCAGGGTTTGTCGAATACCAATGAGATTGATGCAAGTGAGGTGATCGAAAAAGAGGTACAAGACAGTAGGCATAGATCTTCTTCCCAAGCTCTGTTTTTTATCTTCATTGGCTGCCTCTTGAAGGTCAACATGTTGAGGATCATGTACTGATCGTAAAAGGGTGTCTTCGACCTAAATCACGTGCTCACTTCAATACTGATCAATCGGGACGAAGGGGTTCTTAACCTGAACCATCTCTGAGTAACCCGGAAGACTGAAGCTTGTGTGGAGGTGGGGGGTGGGGTGGTCTGTTTGGTGATCACAGAAGTTATCCGGAGAGGGATGGCGAGTTGGGCCGCTCAATATGATCCTCTGAACTGGGATCGGAGGAAAGCTTGTGCCGTTTTAGCAGCTGAATATTTCCATTTATGCGCATTAATGCGGAACATTTGTAGGCATAAAGTTGGCTTAATGAGAAAGTCCGAATATGTTGTCTTCCCTGGTTCAATTAATCTTTGTTCGATCCTTGATATTTATTATTCCATTCGATTCCTTTCTCTTTGCTTATTCTCCCGGGTTTTTGGGATATCATCATAGAATGCATTTTTTCTAGCGGGATTGAATGAAGCCTTTTGGAGTAGATTCTAAATCGCAGCGGCTCCATAGTCCTCTGGTGTGGGGGGGAGGGGGAGATCTTTTGGGAGACGAGTGGAGAGGTTGATGAGAGGGAGAGGTTTTTGGGAGATGGGTAGTGCGGAGGGACTACCTTCTGCCAGTTCCGTGCGCAGGGGAAGGAAGAACAAAGCGGCGGCGACGGACTCGGCATCGAAATAGATCTAACAGAAAATTAGTTCCTTTTCATTATCTGGATACGCTGACGAAGCCCTGCTCGTAACCAAATGGCTCCCGTCGCCGTCTTCCTCCTCGCCGCCATGGCCGTACGGCTGTCTCTTCATGTTTCTGCCTTGGGTTCGGGTGCTGCGTACCCGCAGAATGCCGGAAGGACGGACGTTGGGTCGTCGCCGGCAGCGGCGAGAAGGGAATTGAAGGCTTCGGCGTACTCCAAGAACTTGTAGGGCCTGAACCGCGCGGGGTTCTTCTCCCCGTCGACGAGCTCCGCCGGGGCTTCTACCACCGCCTCGTCCTTGGGCACCGCGAACAGCATGATGACCATCCTGATCTCGCCACCGGCGACCGTCACGCGGTGCGGCGGCGCGTACAGCCGTCCGTTGCTCCACGCCTTCAACACCGGCGGCGCCGCCGTGTCAGCCAATCAATCAGAAAGAAGCTCTCACGGGAGGAGGGAGGCGGCGGAAGGACGTACCCTGAAGGCGTCGCCGTTGATGAAGATGAGAGAGCTGGGGGAGGAAGGGTTGACGCAGACCCAGGCCCCGCTCTTCGTCTTCACCTCGAAGCCATGGACGTGGTTCTGGAGGGTGAGCGTGGTCACGCTGCTGTCCGTGTGGGGCGGCAAGATGAGCATCGCCTCCCCTTCCGACGCCGGCGGAGCGTACTCCGACAATCGCACCTTGTACTTGGTGAACCTCGCGTGGAAGCCGCAGTACTTCTCGACTCCCAAGCTTTCCAGCACCATCCTCCTCACCGCTCCCTCCACCGCCGCCGCCGCCTCGGCGAAGTTGCAGACGGCTTCGCTGGGAAGGAGAGGAATGAGACGATCGAGCTAAGTCTCAGATCTTCACGATGTGGAGGATGGAGATGAGAGTTTGGGGGGTACCAGAAGCCGGGGTTCCCCTCCGGCCACATCAGGTCGGTGAAGCCGCGGGCCGCCGCCGGGTCGAGGGCGTCGTCGACGGCGAGGCTCTCGTATGGAAGGCCCCGGATGTCTCCGACGTAGCCGAGGAAAGGGCCGGCGGGGACATTCCGCCGCTTGGTCTCGACGGGCAGGGAGACGAGCTCCTTCGCGGCGGCGAAGGCGGATTGCCGCAGCTCCGGCGAGATCCCGTCGTAGATCGCCTCGAAGCAGCCGAACTCCTCGAGGGCCCCCCAGACTTGGGCGCGCGCGGCTGCCCAGGCGGCGCTACCCGGCTGCTTCAGAAGCTCACTAGAGAGGAGGACGATGGGGACGCTGGGGGCAACCTCCGTCGCAGCCATGGTACCAAGCATCCGGCGGAGGAGACCGGGGGAGGCGGCAGGTAGTAGTAGTTGTGAAGCCTCCCGTGATATGAACAGCGCGGTGACGTGGCAACGGCATGGACAGGCTCGTGTTCGGACCGTAGGATTTTCACCCCCGTGATACCCGGCAGAATCCGCGCCGCTGGACCTTTTCCGTGGACTGTTAGGAAGACGACGAAAGCAGAGGGTCAACAGTGATGGACGAATCGGTCAATAGTTATAGCCAATGTGGCCTCTGCTTTTTTATGGAAATTTTATTTAAATAGATTAACGCCGCTGATGAAGGCGGTCCAATTGAGGCCCAATTTCCCGCTATTAGGGCCAATGGTAAAGCCTCGAGGCCCACTCATCACCCACAAGTCGGACTTTTCTTAATTCCCGCGGCTCGCTAGCAATCTGATCACTTTGACCATTTATTTTAACTGGATAAATAAAAATATTGCACAAATATGAACATTTTTAGTATAATGTTTAATATATATGATACCATATTAATTATTTTTAAAATGAAATATTGGTAATTACGGAACTTGGGTTGGGAGACCAGAAGTTAGACCCCCGGTTTGATCTATGTTTGGGTGTATTTGGGAATCCTTTGTGGGAATGGATTCCCAGAAATCCCTTGAAGTGGGGGAGGAGGGGGGGGGGTTGGGAGCTGGATAGTGCAAAGTGACTATCTGTCACCTCTGTGTATTGGGGAAGGAAGAACAAAGTGACGACAATAGAATTAGCATCAAAGCAATTGAAGAAATATTTATTATAATAGAAAATAATTCCTTTTTTTAACAAACCTGAGATGTAATTTGGTATCGTCATCTAGGTGCTATCATCAACGTTCATGTAGTTGGGCTGCTCAACAAGAGCTATGTAGAGGGGTCATCTTCTAGGAGTTAATAGTCAATGGTCAATACTTGACATTTTCAACAATCAGTGATCGATGAACAACTCATGAAAAATATATCTATGAATCAAACTCATACTCCATAGCTCATACTTAAGTAGCAACAGTGTAGAATTATATTATCACTACTCAAGGATTGCATGATAATAACTATACATAATAGATCATATATGTCCATATTTAGTTCAAAGGCTAAGACAAGATCAAATACATCATGAATGAAATACTTTCTGATTCAGTCAAATTGGCACAATAGGACTAGTAAGATATTAACCTTTTCAGCATATTATGAAACTCTATGGAGCTGAATATTATTAATTTGTTAACTCATCTTTTATTCAAATACCTAACTCATTATGAGAAACTTTTTTTCCAACAAGTTCTTTGGATTCCTGAAAATAGCAAATACTATGTTCTACCATTATGTTCCAAGTACCCTAATGACTTGTTTCCCTAGGAGGGCCTTGAAGTGTACATTAGATGCCTTTCCTCAACATCCATACTCAAAATGTTTTGCCTCACTTGTCCACGTACCTTTGACCCTTGCTTAATGGTAATCAGGTTCTTATCACACCAAAACAAACTACTTTATTTCTTTAGACAATAAAGGGCATGGTAGAAGTAGGTAGCTTTTTCCACACAATGTTTCTCCTTCTCCTTCTATACCTCTTCTTCCTCCTCTTTTTCTTTTTTCCTTTACTTCTTCTTTTATTTTTTTGAGGTATGAGTCAAGAGAGGGAGGGATTACTGGCTTTTGAAGCTTTCACTCCACTTCCTCATGGCTTCTCCTCTTCTTGTACTTCTTTTGTTTTATTTATTTTCTTCATTTTTTCTTTGGTAGCTAACTAGGTGCTTCAAAGTACCAAAATTACCAAAGGAACAGCTATAGGTAAAGGATATGTGGTGCTCACCTTGTTGCTCTAGTTGCTGTGTAGGACCACCTCAACCATGTCCTTTGACCCACATCCAACATGGCATGGGAGGATTGTTGGTACAGTCACATTGTGATGTCTACCTTGTAGTGTTGTCTTCATTCTTGTAAAGGCATGTAACAAGTTTTCATAAACAAGTTTCTTGGAGGAAGATCTCCTCTTTCCTCATGGCATGTTAGAGATTGGGGACAATTCTTCCCATGGATCGTATCTTTCATCTTAGTGCTTATGTCTTGACTCTCCCTTCTTGTCCCTATCATAGGTTCCTTATAGACTTTCGTCTAATATTGGGGATCCCAACCTATCTAGGTTGCATAGTCCTTTCACCTCCCATGAGAAAATCATCATATCTTCATACTTCATACTCCTTAAAAAAATAGAGTTACACAAAGGAAACATAGGCATATCATTAAAATTATCCACACACTTCTACTACATATACATGTTCCTAAAAATTATAAAGAAATGTTGTACTTACAACTACTTGATCAAAGTCAATAGCATTTGTCGGTTGACATAGATCCAAATGATTGATGGAAGAAACACCAGACATATCCCATACTTCTTACTCCCACTAGCTGACTAGAAAATGCCTTTTTTTGGAAAAGTATATTACGTTGAAAGCAAGGAACCAGGATGCGTGTTCAAATGCCTTTTGGGACTATCCTCCAAAAATATATTTTTGAACCACTACGAACTAGTTTACTAGGATGGAACCATATAATTGAACTCATTTTCCCTGCCGAGGGGGGGGGGATTCTTTCATTAGTTTTAGAGATAGGAACAGGGAAAGAGTCATCGAGAAAAAGCATGACAGGCTTACTAATAATAAAGATAAGGCATGCATGAAGGAGGTGACTCAAGAATGAAGCTCCTTGTCAACAATTTTATGTGTTAGGCAACAAAATTACTTATTCTTTCTTTCATCCGAGAGAGTCATTGTATAATTTTCTACTTAAGATATTTAGATATGTCTATTTTGTACACAAATTAAGAGTTGAATAAGATAAACTTCATCCAAAATATATGAAGTATATCTTCTTAAGATATTATTGTATTAAAAAAGATTGTTACAATCCATCACTTCATCGACAAATTGTTTATGCTAACATTATATTTTTTGGGGGTACACTTTTCTTTGATGAGTTTCTATGAACTATATCACTAGAATAATCTATGTCTACTAGTTATTATTAAGTTTATTTCTACTATCAATCTAATATTTGATAGTCATGTTGAGTATGTTAGTCAACCTTCTATCACATTGATATACATAGTAGAGAGCTCCTTGAACTTAGCTAATTGTTATCAAAGTACTCAATCCACAATCAATCAACTCTATATCTAACAATTTATCCGAAAATATCTTTACTTTAGGTAATTTAAATATACTTATTGCACTACAAAAGATGAGTCCTTACACCTATACTCATTTGTCTCCAACCTATTTTACCTTTATCTCAACCTTATCGACTTTACTTATCCCTAATAATGTTTTAGATTGGTCATTTTGGGTGGCATGCAATTGTGGAGCAAGAGATAATTACTCTAGAACAAAATGGTACATGGTGTCATTTGGTTCCATAGTCACCTATGAAGTATGTGGTTGGATGCAAATGAGTATTCAATGTCAAAACTGGTCTTAGATGACTCTATGGATAGATTGATTTAATAGTTAAAAGATCCGCTAAATTATGGTGAAGATTATTCTAAGATATTTTCTTCAACTACCAAAATTACTTCAATAAAGATCTTCTTAATATTGGTTGTAAAGTTCTTTTTGTCTCTACACCAACTAAATATCAAGAATGTATTTCTTTATGATGACTTACAAGAGTAAATTTTTATAGAGTAACAATTTTGTTGTCTTGAATCAACTAAACTAAGCTCGTGAAGCAATCTCCACATGCTTAGTTTGGTCAATTCAATAGTACTATAATGAAGTTTTGTCTTCCAAAATGGAGCCTTGACTATTACTTTTTATAGACATTTTTCTATTAGATGTATTATGTTGTTGATTTTATGTTAATGACATTATTATTATCAAAGATGATCACGAAGTCATTTTTGAACTCAAATAGTTCTTACAAAGATAATTGATAACTAAAGATCATGATAATCTTAAATTTTTATTTGAATTGAGATTTGACCAACCTAAGAAAGGAATTCAAATCAATTATTTCTATTTTTTTCTATTTTTATTAATTTTCCTAGCATTTTCTCGAGCTATTTCTGATTTTTCCCATCAATTCTTGCATTTTCTGGTGACTTTCTAAGTGTCTCCAGGGTTTTCCAAGTGTTTATGTATTTTCTTAGATTTTTTTGATAATTTCCGGGCTTTCTTGGGTATTTCTCACATCTTCTGCTATCTTCTACTTGTCAATCCATTGGATTAAATTGTGGATGATACAAGATATTAGACCTAAGTAACCCACTTGACAAGCAGGTCAACAGTCAATCAGCACTCCACCAGACTAGTGGTTGTCGAACCTGCACTCGCCAAATCAGTGGTCCCAAAACCTACGGTCTGCAAAAGTTGTCCCACATCAATTTTTCCTACAAATTTTATGTGAATATAAGTTTGGGTGCTGTTGTCAATATAAACTCCTCTGATAAATAAAATGATCAAGAACACTTGGGGAGAAAGTTAAACTAGGTGGTCCGCCCATTTGTACACGTGTAACAAGATCATACCTTCCCCCATGCATGGGTCCTTACCCAATGACGTGGAAAAGTGACACACACATGTACATGGGTCCTTAGCCACATGAACACCAGCTCATGGCTCCCCCAATCAGTGTCCACCTACTCACGTAATCTCCTATTGAGTGTCGTCTAGCCAATAGGTCATTTTCTCATAATAAACTCAAAATTTCAGAAAAAATATCTTTAAAATTCCAAGAAAAAAACCTAAAATTCAGAATAAAATCCCAAAAATTACAAAAAAATAGAAAACATCTCAACTCATTATAAAATTCTAAATATTTAAATTTCTTGTTTAACCATCACAACTCACAAGAACAATTATCATTTTATTTTCAATTTTTTTTCAATAAATCAATATACATACAAAAACAAATTTACAAATTATATCAATTTATATTTTAAAAAAAAATAAAGTATAAACACAAATAAAAATTGACATCATAATCATATAATTCAAAGAATTATCAATGCTTGATACAATCATATGACTAACAATGAATCTTAGTTACACCCTCTAGATATCTTTTTTATTTTGAAATAATACAACACAATATTATCATAATATAAGTACAAAATAACATGTATCAATATGTGTGGTCTCATTTTAGAAAAGTAAAGTCACCCACTAGATTTGAACATGACACTTAAGTATTGAGAAGACATAAGAATTAGTGTAGAAAATGTATGAAACATCAAAGAAACACAATGCAAACATAAGATTCAAACTCAAGATTTTTAGGAAAAATGATGATCAAAATATTCAAATATCATACACATCAAAGTATAAGCAAAATTTAAATTCAAGAATCACCATAATGATGGCACAGAAAGCTGGTTGATATTCATAACAAATTGACATGATCAATGACTAAAGTAGGATTCAATCTCTAGTCCTACATGATAATTGAGTTAGATTGTTCACATGACATAAATAATGAAGTAGAGAAGTCTTTGTCATGTAACCAATACCATGACATGTCAGAGTCTTATGTGGAGAAAATGAGAAAGTAAAATAGCAAACTTCAACTTAGTATTAAAAGTAAGATCATCTGTTGAAGTATCACCAATCTACATAAAGAAATTTCAAAGATCATTTGTAACAATCAATATAGTCAATATGTTGACTAAGTGATGGATTATTAAACATACCCTTTCCTAATGTGAAAAAATATCCTAAGAAAATAGACTTCATATATTTGGGATGAAATTTATCTTGGCCAACCCTATGTTTGTGTACAAAATAGACATCTAAATTTTTTAGGTAAAATATTGTACAATAACTCTCTAAGATTAAAGACAAAATGAGGAATTTTGTTGCATAACACAAAAGATGGCATGCAATTGATCTGTTATAACTCACTATGATTACAACATTTCTTCATAATTTTGTAGGAACATACATATTTAGTAGAAATGTGTGGGCAATTCCAATGATAATGTTCATGCTTCCTTCAAGTGATTCTATTTTGTTGAAGAGGATGAGAACATTATGATTGATGAAGTATCCCATAATGGGTTAGATATTGAATAAAAGAAGATATCAAATATTCTTTAGCATTGTAAGGACATAGTACACATATGGTTTTATCATATGTATTTTTAATTTCGATGCAAAATGAGTAAAAGATAGAGAATAGTTCAGATTTGTCTTTCATGAGATATGATGATGTAACGTGTGAGTAATCATTGATAAAAATAACAAAAATACTAGAAGCCAAGTTTAGATGTGGCACAACTATGACCGCACACATCAGAATGAATTAAATCAAACACTGACTCAAGCTCTAATGTTTCCAAACTAATAACATAACTCACATCCTTAGGTGTAGACGATTGTGAATTCTCCCAGATCATTGGTGGGTTTTTGCGGTATTGATTAGGGTCCAAGTGGAATGGATGCATAAGGATGTTGTGTTCTGACCCTCCTGAAGAAAGTAGAGAACTTTGGTACAGGGGTTTCGGCTTTGGGAGGCCCCCAACAGTATCAAGATCAACTGTCTTCCAGCATATTTCCAGTCCTTCCAATAATCTATAACAACCATGAAAATGGCTCAGGATTCTCCAGCTCGGAAGTTGCGTGCATCTGATTGGCAAATGCATTGAAAACGTAGACGCTTGGATTAGAGTCCACTGGATGCAAGGAGGGCTCCTTAAAGCTTCTTGGATATCAATCTTCTTCCTCACAAGCGCCGCATCCACTCGATCCCTCTCTGGCAACTGAGCGCAGAGGGCAGACTCGGGGAGGGCCACCACCCGGTCGGGCAGCTACTTCTCAGGCATCTTCTGCTTCTTCACGCAGCTGGGGTCAACTCGGCAGCCTTGAAAATGGGGCTCATGTTGCTCATAGTTGGTACAGTTGGGCGGACTGGGGGTTTCTGCATCGGCCTTTTTATCCCTAAAGAACCAGGGGTTGACAAGGAGGGAGACGAGGCACCTCCGATAAGACCTAAAGGAGAATTCTGAGACTAAGGCTGCATCCGTACCTGAAACGGGCTATGTACCTGCGTCTGGTTCTGGGACTGCACCGCCAAGAGGTGAGCATGACCAAGAACCTGGGCGGCTTGGGACTGGAACTGAAGGGATGACTGGAACAGTTCCTGGAACGGGGAGGCAACAGACGCCTGCGGCTGCGAGACTGAATGGGGATGTGGCGCCTGGTTCATTGCCGGGGACAATGCCATCATCTAGGGATTGCCCAAAGTTGGTAGACCCGCCACGGGCCTCCCGGGCATGTTGCTGCTGTTGGATGCCATCGGCTCCACGGGGAACCTCTTTTAAACCCCCCCCAAGAGCAACCCCCGCTTTCCCGTTTCCAAGAGTCCCTGAAACCCTATTCTTGAAGGGGAGGACGACGTGCCGGAAAAGAAGCCCAAGCCCGCCAATTCGATCCTTGAACTCCGAGTTCAGACGCTATTGACCTTCGAGGAGCAGCATTCACTCCCGATGTGAGACCAGAAACGCCGAGCCGGTCCCTTGACCAGAGTAGAAGCCTCGGAATTCTCCAGAGCGTAAATTGCAACAGCCCTAGATCATGTTTCTTCAATCAGGGATGCGCCTGACCATCTTCATCAGATGTCTTCTTCCGCAGGACAAGAGCCGCCGAATGGCGTGGCGACGGTGGAACAGCGAGTGGCAACAGTGAGGGAGGGGCATAGAAGGCCTGCGCAGGCAGATGAACGACAGTGAACCCTTCCTCTCTTGTCCCCAAGCCCTCTTCTCCTTATTTAATTGCTTTCTGGGAATCCATTCTCACAAAGGTTTCCGGAACAGACCCGAACATAGAACCAGGCGATCTAACTCGCGGTCTCCCGATCGAAGTTCCATAATTACGAGTATTTCATTTTAAACTTATAATTAATATTTTATCATACATATTAAATATTATAGACACAAATGTTCGCATTTGGTGTAATTTTTGTTGGCCTCGAGGCTTTATCACGTGGCCCAATAGCGGGAATTTGGACCGTCTCCAACCACGGCGGTAATCTGTGTAATTAGTTCTTCGATAAAAAACCAGACAGGCCACATTCGGCCATAAATCCGGTCTCCCCTCGGCCGAGTTCTGATCGATTCCTTACAATGATTGAAAATCCTACGGTCCGAATGCCGTTCACACCTACTACTACCTCCCGCCTTCGCCAGTCTCCTCCGCCGGAGGCTTGGTGGAGGTTGCCCCCAGCATCCCAATCGTCGTTCTCTACTGAGAGCTTCTGAAGCAGCCGGGTAGCCCAAGTCTGGAGGTCCCTCGAGGAGTTCGGCTGCTTCATTATTAACTTTCTGACTCTTTTGTTGGTACTCGTTACTAGAGCTTCCGATATTCACAAGTCTCAACCCTCAGGGCCGGGTTTATCTTGCCGAGATGTTCTTCTCAAGATGATGGGGACATTGGGGGCAACCTCCGCTGCAGCCATCAAGTGGCAAGATACCACTGAGATTTTTAGATCATGTCTAGCTTAATTACTGATATGTCCCTTGATGTCCTCAAAGATATTTTTCTCAAGGGACTCGAACCCAAAATTCGATCCGAAGTCCACGTGATGGCTCCCATGGATCTTCATTAAATCATACAAGTGGCTCAATACACTGAGTGAAATCTATTTTTCCATAAAAGAACGAATTGACCAACGTCTGCCTCATCATCCAGCTCTCTACTTTATCTCATCGGGCCTCCTCCTCCCCAGTAAAACCGTACAGCTACCTCATCCACGGTCAGCAACGTATACCATTCCTACACCTTCATCGTCATCTCTGCTGGCCCCAACGCTGAATGTCATGAATGACGTTCTAAAGGATCATGTTTTTATTACAACAAACGATTTCCTCCTGGCCACAGATGTGAGCTCTACATCCTTACTGTTACGGACAAGAGCTTTTTCGTCTGGACGAGAATGAGCTTGATCGGTTCATCCTTCAGATTCAATTATTCCATCAACACTCGAGGAAAACATCGAGCTTCCCATGAATTCAATGCTGGGATTTCAAAATTCGGGCACCATGAAGCTCCGAGGAAAACTCTCTCGCGCATACAACTCTATTCCTGGCCGTGGATTCTGTCAAGGCATTTCTATTCAACGACAAGATCATAACATCCAAAATGATTTTCTTTCTCTTCACGTGGGCAACGTGGACTGCATTCTCGACATGGAATAGCTCGGTATCTTGGGTAAGGTGGAAGCGGACTATCAACACCTCATTGTGAATTATTAGTTGTCGGGCACATCCATCGAACTTCGGGGTGATCCTAATTTATCCAAGCCTAGCATATCACTTAAGTTAATTGCTTAATAGTGGTCTTATTGAATTACAACAGCTCATAGCTGCCAATAGTTCTCCAGTGGCATCTGACGAGTTTGAGGGTAGACCGGCTTTCTCTCTCCAGCTCTAAAAGTACTTATCCACCCAGTTCCTGCAGGTGTTTGCCGCCCATCACGGGCTTCTAACTCGGCGTGCCGCATACCATGCTATAGACTTGCTTCCAAATACTACACCCATCTACATACGGCTATAGTGCTATCCTCACATTCGGACAACAGAATTTCGATAGGGAGTCATGCAGACGGAAGAACTCTCTCTTCGTCTGCTAGGGTTTCGAACCCGATAATCTGGTACCATGTAACAAACTTGAAAGGAAAGACGCACACCCTAGTCGACGAACCCTATTATTTATACTTGGGTCCAAACTACTACGTGTGGGCCGAGCAGGCCCGTACCAGACCATAGCACAACTGTAACACTATTATCTGGATACGCTGACGAAGCCCAGCTCGTGAAATCTTCGTCTGTCTTCCTCGCCGCCACAACCGTACGGCTGCCTCTTCATGTCTCTGCCTTGGGTTCTGGCGCTGCGTACCCGCAGAACGCCGGAAGGACGGACGTTGGGTCGTCGCCGGCAGCGGCGAGAAGGGAATTGAAGGCTTCGGCGTACTCCAAGAACTTGTAGGGCCTGAACCGCGCAGGGTTCCTCTCCCTGTCGACGAGCTCCGCCGGGGCTTCTACCACCGCGCCTCGTCCTTGGGCACCGCGAACAGCATGGCGACCAGCCTGACCTCGCCGCCGGCGACCTTCACACGGTGGGGCGGCGCGTACAGCCGCCCGTTGCTCCATGCCTTCAACACCGGCGGCGCCGCCGTGTCAGCCAATCAATCAGAAAGAAGATCTCACGGGAGGAGGGAGGCGGCGGAAGGACGTACCCTGAAGGCGTCGCCGTTGATGAAGATGAGAGAGCTGGGGGAGGAAGGGTTGACGCAAACCCAGGCTCCGCTCCTCGTCTTCACCTCGAAGCCATGGACGTGGTTCTGGAGGGTGAGCGTGGTCACGCTGCTGTCCGTGTGGGGCGGCAAGATGAGCATCGCCTCCCCTTCCGACGTCGGCGGAGCGTACTCCGACAATCGCACCTTCTACTTGGTGAACCCCCCGTGGAAGCCGCAGTACTTCTCGACTCCCAAGCTTTCCAGCACCATCCTCCTCACCGCTCCCTCCACCGCCACCGCCGCACCCGCCGCCTCGGCGAAATTGCAGACGGCCTCGCTGGGAAGGAGAGAAAGTAAACGATTGACCTAGTCTCAGAACTTCACGCTATGGAGGATGGAGATAAAGAGTTTTTGGGGGTACCAGAAGGCGGGGTTCCCCTCCGGCAACATCCGGTCGGTGAAGCCGCGGGCCGCCGCCGGGTCGAGGGCTTCGTCGACGTTAAGGCTCTTGTAGCCAGGGTAACGGATGGCGGCGTAGTTCTGCTGCTTGGTCTCGACGCGCAGGGAGACGAGCTCCTTAGCGACGGCGAAGGCGGCTTGTCGGAGCTCCAGCGAGATCTCGTCGTAGATCGCCTCGAAGCAGCCGAACTCCTCGAGGGCTTCCCAGACCTGGGCACGCGCCGCTGCCCAGGCGGCGCTACCCGGCTGCTTCAGTAGCTCGCCGGAGAGGAAGACGATGGGGACGTTGGGGGCAACCTCCGCCGCAGCCATGGTATCAATCACCCGGCGGGGGAGACCGGCAGAGGCGGGAGATAAAAGGAGTGAAGCCTCCTGTTCGGGCCGTAGAATTTTCCCCCCCGTGGTACCCGACAGAATCTGCACCGTCCGTTAGGAAGAGGAGAAAGCAGAAGGTCAACAAATTGACCAATACCCGCGAGCGTGGGAGGACAGGATTTATTGAGGAAAAACTAAGATATGACGCCGTGGATAGAGACGGTCCAATTATGGTCCAATTTCACACTATTGGGCCACGTGATAAAGCTTCAAGGCCCAAAAAAACACCAAATGGGAGTATTTCTGAGTACAGTATTATGATAAAATATTAATTATAACCTTAAAATGAAATACTCGTAATTATGGAACTTTCGTCGGTAGACCGCGAGTTAGGCTGCCCGGTCCAGTCTATGTTCGGGGCTGTTCCAGAATCCATTGTGTGGAATGGATTCCCAGAAAGCAAGTAAAGAAGGAGAAGAGGGATTGGGGAAGAGAGGGAGAAGAGGGGTTCACTGTCGTTCATCTGCCGGGGCAGGCCCTCGTTCTCCCTCTCTCCCTTCCCCTCCCTCACTGTTGCCACTTGCTGTTCCACCGTCGCCTCGCCATTCGGCGGCTCTCGTTGTGCGGAAGAAGCCATCAGACGAAGATGGTCAGGAGCTTCCTGATAGAAGAAACATGATCTAGGGTTGTTGCAATTGACGATCTGGGAAATTCCGAGGCTTCTACTCTGGTCAAGGAAGCGCCTCGGCGTTTCTGGTCTCACATCGGGAGTGGCTGCTGCTCCTGGAAGGTCGATAGCGCCTGAACCCAGAGTTTCAAGGATCGAATCGGCGGGCTAGGGCTTTTTCCGGCACCGCGTGTTCCCCTTCAAGAATAGGGTTTCAGGGACTCCTTGGAAACGGGAAAGCAGGGGTTGCTTTGAGGGGGTGGGGGGGTGGGGGTGAAAGAGGTTCCCTGTGGAACTGATGGCGTCCAACAGCAACAACATGCCCGGGAGGCCCGTGGCGGGTCCGCCAACTTTGGGCAATGCCGGGATGGTGACATCGTCCCCGGGAATGAACCAGCCGCCACATCCCCATTCAGCCTCGCAGCCGCAGGCGTCTGTTGCCTCCCCGTTCCAGAATCTGTTCCAGTCATCCCTTCAGTCCCAGTCCCAGGCCTCCCAGGTTCTTGGCCATGCTCACCTCATGGCGGTGCAGTCCCAGAACCAGACGCAGGTGCATAGCCCGTTTCAGGTACGGATGCAGCCTCAGGCTCAGAATTCTCCTCTAGGTATTATCGGAGGTGCCTCGTCTCCCTCCTTTTCAACCCCCGGTTCTCTAGGAATAAAACGGCCGATGCAGAAACCACCAGTCCGCCCACCTGTACCACCTATGAGCAACATGAGCCCCATTTTCAAGACTGCCGAGTTGACCCCAGCTGCGCGGAGGAAGAAGCAGAAGTTGCCCGAGAAGCAGCTGCCCGACCGGGTGGCGGCCCTCCTCCCTGAGTCTGCCCTCTACACTCAGCTGCTAGAGTTTGAGGCTCGGGTGGATGCTGCGCTTGCGAGGAAGAAGATTGACATCCAAGAAGCTTTGAAGAGCCCTCCTTGCATCCAGAGGACTCTAAGAGTCTACGTTTTCAATACATTTGCCAATCAGATGCGCCCAACTCCCGAGCCAAAGAATCCTGAGCCACCTTCGTGGTCGTTAAAGATTATTGGAAGGATACTGGAAGACGGAGTTGATCCTGATCCTGTTGGGGGCCTCCCAAAGCCGAACCCCATGTACCCAAAGTTCTCTGCTTTCTTCAGAAGGGTCACCGTCACGTTGGACCCAAATCTATACCCCGAAAACCCAACAATCATCTGGGAGAATTCGCGATCGTCTGCACCTCAGGATGGCTTCGAGATTAAGAGAAAAGGTGACAAGGAATTCACCGCAGGTATACGCCTTGAGATGAACCATATACCCGAGAAGTTTAAGCTTTCACCCCCTCTGATGGAAGTTCTTGGAATCGAGGTTGACACTCGTGCACGAGTTATAGCTGGGATTTGGCACTACGTTAAGGCTAGGAAATTGCAGAATCCAAGCGATCCTTCTTTTTTTGCTTGTGATCCGCCTTTGAGGAAAGTGTTTGGGGAGGAGAAAATGAAATTTGCCTTTGTCTCACAGAAGATTTCTCAACATTTATCAGCTCCACCGCCCATACATTTGGAGCATAATGTTAGATTGTCGGGCAATGGTGCTGTTGGCAATGCTTGCTATGATATCCAGGTGGACGTTCCTTTTCCCCTGCAAAAGGAAATGGCAGCTTTCCTTGTGAGCACTGAAAAACACAAAGAGATTGAACAGTGTGATGAGCTTATTTCTGCATCCATAAAGAAGATTCACGAGCATCGCAGGAGACGTGCATTCTTTCTTGGGTTTAGCCAGTCACCTGTCGACTTCATCAATGCTTTAATTACTTCACAGAGCAGAGACTTGAAACTTGTTGCCGGGGAAGCTAATCGGAATGCTGAGAAGGAACGCCGTTCGGACTTCTATAGCCAACCATGGTATTCTTTTGCTTCTATGTTTTCATTTTTTGCTGTTTAGATAGTTCGCATGGGGAGATTTCCACAATCTGACTTGTTCCTTTGGCAAATGATCAGGGTTGAAGATGCTGTCATTCGCTATCTGAATCGCAAGCCAGCATCGGGGAATGATGCTCCTGGGAACACGTGATAACTATGTGAATTCACTTATCATGATATTGTTCTTCCTTGTTTAGAATAGTTTTGCATTAGCCTTGCTAGGTTCACCGATTTGAAGTGAGAATCTCCTTGCTGAGATTTTGATATCAATTCGTCGCTGGGGGTCTCCCAGCTAATGTAGTCTCACTTACTACTTTATGAACATATTTCATATTAAAGTCTACTTTCTAACTAAATAAATGTGACAAAATAATGAAGCATCGATGGACGACCAATTGGCTTGCTACCTTCCTTGTCTTCTTTTTTGGAGTAGGCCTGATTTATTCCCATTCAATTTAGTATTTTTCGTTCAATGTTTATTTGCCCTGAATAAATTCCTTCAACTGAGCACTTTTGTCGATGAACCATTTAGCTGCACAAAGACTTGCATGAAGATTTCCAAACCAAGCGCAAGGTTTTTATGATATATGTCATATGAATGTGTAACAACCATATTCCACATTATCAAGGTAGATAATTGCATAGCCTTAAAGGAGGAGTGAACCGCATAAATTACTCTGATTTCTTCTCAGGTTTTGATCCTTTCCACCTGTTTTGGGCGGAGGTTTTGATTCACGAGTATATCTCCTACAACTTGGAGACGTCTGATGCACGAGTCAAAACCCTGTGGAAGTTGAGTAATGGGTATCCCCCGCTCATTCATCAGCCAATTCTGGACAGACTAATCGAGAAAAGTCAACTAGTATTTTTCTACAGGAGTTGTCGGATGCTCAAAATCAGAAAGCAGATAAGCAAGTCAATAAACGACTCGTTGATTCATCGGTCAATTTTGCGTGATGATTAGTTGAGAAAAAAGATATTATTTTTTGTCGCTAAAACAGATGGGCAGAGAACCATGAACTGGTTGAACAGGTTAAGGAATGGGCTGGATGTTGTTCCCTATGGAACAATCATTTTGCATGGAAAAAAGTAACCCCCTTGTATCTGATCAAACTAGGCTGGGTTCCACCACTAGTCTGCATGAAATCCACGCCTATTGCATGCTTCTTCAGGCTGTTGACATTTTCTCTGTGGAACAGTCATTTTGCATGGTTTTTGTTTGATTTGTTTTATAATTTTTTTTTTACTCCACTAATTATCTTTTTCTGTGATGAGTCTGTTGCTTTATTTTTTTTGCCTATCAGTATTCAAATAGGTATCTCTCTTCAGGATAATATATCAAACAAAAATAGGAATTTAGAATTATTAAGATATGTGGGATAAAAATTGAAAAAAAAAGGGTTTGATCTGTTTATGGACGTTCAACATTCATAATTTGTATATGCATTTACCAGTTTTAACTATATCCAACCCTGAACCAGCTTTGACTTTGCGTCTAGTAAATGAGGTAGATGTCCAATTCGACGGTTTTCTACCTGTTTATAGCAATCATTCATGGAAACATAAGGCTCCTCTTCTCTGGGCGTGAATGGATTTACCAAGTGGAATTTGCTTTCAATTTTATTTTTATTTTTCCTGTAGTCAAATGCATCCTTGAAAAGTCAAAGCTGTGGCAAAGGCTCTCAGTTCTTAGCTTAGCTGAAGTTCATCTGACTGCTAGATTTTGGTTAAATTGTTCCTGCAGATTGATCCAACACCCTAAGTTCTTTACCAGATGTACTTCTCCTTAAATGCCATGTTATCAACAAGACGTTGACTTTTTATCATATTTTTAATCAGGGTTTAATCTGCTTTGCGCAATGATCTCGTTGTTGTTGTCGTCATCATCACCATCACCATCACCATCACCTTTGAATGACCCCGCCAACGGATTTGCTTGATGCGTGAAGCTAAATGCGTAATGAGCAAACGAGTCTCGCGTATTTTAATATGTAGTTATCTTTTTTTTTAATGTAGGATTATTCTCTCTACCAAGTGAATACTTTAAATGAGATGAGGAATTCAATGTCATAATAATCGGTGCTGATAATATATTAAAAAATGTATTGCTTAATTCAAAGTCAGAAACATTTATTGCCTTAATTGGTATGGGGATTATTCTAAACTGGGAATTCTGTCAAAATGAGCCAGAGATTATTATAAATTGGGTTCTCGCGATTGGATAATCCGTAAAATAATATTTAATGACGTCATTTAGCTAAGAAGACGATGCCGCTCGGTTCAATCTCTGAGTCCGAGTTGTTTACTCGCTGAGTCGCAACGACGAGTCCCTCGCAGCATATGAGGCCAGAGGAGGAGAGAGAGAGAGAGAGAGAGAGAGAGGGATACTTCGAGAGAAAAGGAGAGGCAGAAGAAGGTAGTGAGGGAGGAGAGGGGGGGGAGAGCGGATGGAATTGGTGGCGAGAACTCTGGTCGCCGCCATAGTCCTGTTCTCGGGGCTTGTCTTCCTCGTCGTTTTCTTCTCCCCGCTGGATCTCGGGGCCCAACTCGCCGCCTTCTCCCTGTCTCCTGCCAGATCTTCCCCGCTGAAGGTCCGGCATCGCCCGCCCCCTCTCAAGGTCTACATGTATGATCTCCCTCGGCGGTTCAATGTCGGGATGCTGGAGCGGCGCCGCCCCGATGCCGGGGGGGACGTTCCTGTGGATCGGGCTTCGCTGCCGCCTTGGCCGCAGAACTCGGGGCTCAAGAAGCAGCACAGCGTGGAGTATTGGATGATGGCATCGTTGCTTGCGGAAGAGGGCGGGGCGGGAGGGGAGGTGGAGGCGGTTAGGGTCCTGAAGGGGGAAGAAGCGGAGGTGTTCTTCGTGCCTTTCTTCTCATCTCTCAGCTTCAATACCCACGGCCACAACATGACGGATCCTGACACCATGATCGACCGGCAGTTGCAGGTATACTTGGGACTTCGCTTCCGTTTCTCCGAAACGATCGAACGCTTCATTGTGATCTTTCGCGCCATCCACTCGAATTTGACTGACGATGCGGATGACCTCCAATTCACCAACCTAGTTTTCGAGCCATGGTATTTTGTCGATTGATCTCCACATTATTTGTAATCTTAACCGATGTTCTGGCGGGAAAAAGCGCCTCATTCTTTCATCTAGTTGCGTAATTTTGCGTTCTGCGTTTGCAGGAGGACCTCCTGACGTTCCTGAGAGGATCCCCTTATTGGCAGCGATCTGGGGGGAGGGACCACGTAATTCCCATGCATCACCCGAACGCTTTCAGGTTTCTTCGCCAGCAGGTGAACGTATCTATTCTGGTGGTTGCAGATTTTGGGCGATACCCTAAAAGCTTGTCCTCCCTTGGCAAGGACGTAGTCGCTCCATATGTACATATCATTGATTCATTTGTAGACGACGATCCCCCGGATCCTTTCTTGTCCCGTCCGACTCTCCTCTTCTTCCGAGGGAGAACAGTCAGGAAAGATGTACGTATGCGAGCCGTCTCTCTGTTGGAAGCATAGTGTTCTTCCAGAAAACAAAGCTATTTTCTGATGAGACCGATGTTTACTTGGATTCAGGAGGGAATTGTTCGTTCAAAGTTGGCCAAGATCTTGAAAGGCATCGACGGTGTTCATTTTGAGGAGAGCCTTGCTACTGGGGAAGGCATCAGAGCGGTAGGTCTTCTGCGGTTTTCGTATCGCTATTGATTGCGTGCATTTCTTCTGGTAATTCTTCCTGTGAATTCTTTCAATTTGCTTAAATCGGCCTGGATCATAGCCATGTACACAAGAACATCCAAAAAAATAAATTTGTCCCGATGATTTGCTTAACGACTGAACCGATTTTACCCATCACAATATGCCTGATTTATGTTTAAATTATGGCAAAGCTTCTGAATCTGGATCATTTCTCTGGAGTTCCGTCTGCAATTTGTCATCTGACAGCTTCATGGAAACATGCTGCTGCTAGGATTAGCTGTGGCCTGTTCTTAGTGAAAGCCTTTGTAGGCCACAGGTCTCTTTCCTTGTTGGTTACCTAGAAGTTGGCATGATTCGAATAATATTATATTTGATTGAGGGAAATTTAGACATACAATGTAGATAGATCTGCCTCTTTCTAGACCTAGTCGGTTTGGAGCTAGATGGCCCAGTCTATTAGGATAACATCAGAGCTCGATATTATATTCCTAAATTGCATGCATCTCATTTTTACTGTCTACATGAGTTGACTCCAAAAAAGTCAAACGCCACTAATTATGGCGCATCAAGCCTGCGGCTTAAGCACGAACACACTCCTCTCTTTTGTGATCCAGTTTTTTCTACTCTATTCATCGATTCCCATCGCCACTGTATCTAATGCTCACTCTCTCTCTCTCTCCTCCATCCTGGCAGTCAACTCATGGCATGCGGACGTCCAAGTTCTGCCTGCACCCAGCAGGGGATACGCCCTCCTCTTGTCGGCTCTTTGATGCCATCATCAGTCACTGCGTCCCTGTGGTAGTGAGCGACCACATTGAGCTCCCCTTCGAGGATGAGCTCGACTACCTGGAATTCTCTGTATTTTTCTCTGTCCAAGAGGCACTGCGGCCGGGTTTCATGGTTGACCACCTGAGGCAGATCCCCCAGGTCCAGTGGGCCCGGATGTGGCGGCGGCTGAAGGAAATCTCCTGCCATTTCGAGTACCAGTACCCCCCAAAGAAGGACGATGCTGTGAGCATGCTGTGGAGGCAGGTGAAGCATAAGCTCCCGGGGGCCAAGCTTGCCATCCACCGGAGTCAACGGCTGAAGCTTCCTGACTGGTGGAGCCGGAGGAGATGACCCCCGTCTATGTTGACCTTTCTCTTCCTTCTGGACTTTTTGATCTCAGGAGGTGATGATCTTTGGCAAGTTAATGGAGTGATAGAGGCAGCCTTGGAGCTTTCCCTAGGAATCTGGTCTCCACTCCATGGATCTTTCTGAGAGCCAGCCAAGAAGTTGTGTCCGAGAAACTGGTCTCCACTTTCTCAGAAGCTGCTTCTGATGGTCAAGTTTGACTGCGATGATGTCAACAGCTGGAAGCGAATCTTAGGTGTTTCACGATTAAGAAATCCGTGTGTGAATATTTAATTGGCAGCGTCGTTTGGAAATTCAGGGGAGAGAAGCAGCTAGTGATGCCTTCATTCCAGGGAACACTGTTTAATTGTTCTCAAAGCCGTTGACTATGATCGCAATGAAATGATGGTTTCCTTTAAGGTGCGACACTGTTGACCGGTGATTCACGTTTAACTCTTCATATTGACTGACCTCGGAGTCAAACATGCTGCTGCGTACTCGAGCACACGAGAAGTGAAGAATCTGGAAGAAGATTAGACTGGGCCCGATCTTGAGCTGGTGGGTCAAACCCGAATTTTGATTTATTAAGAGTTTACCAACTGGGCAATGATTCCTACGCGAAATGGCCCCACGAGACCTAACTTTGCCCCCCCGCACCCCCCCACAGGAATATAGAATATATATAATTTTTGTCTTGTTTTGGGCGGAGAACGTGGCCGCCGCTTTCACACTCTCCTCGGCTGGTCGTCAGCTGCCGTTCTAAGCAGGAACGGTCAACCTTCCCAGGGCTACAAGACGTCCCGTCCAATTGGGAGGGCTTCCAGATTGGAATCGGTCAAGCTGCCTCATCTGTATTCCACGAGCTGAAAGTCAACTTCACACCTCAAGTGGGACCAGCTTGGACCCACTCTCTGAGCATGCTTAATTAATACTTTAGGGGTAGATATACCCTTAAGTCAAAGGCTCGGGCGATCTAATTTTATCATCCGGGATTTGATAATTTTCATGAAATTATATAATCCCGCGGTGATCTGACCATTCCGGTAACGGTAACCCAATCTTTTCCCACTCTTGGACAAAACGTGCACAGTACATTTAAAATTGCGGCTTTTGGTAGCGTGGGGATTTCAAGTCAGCTTACCGGACAGTCAAATTACGCCAGACCACAGGTGGAGGCCAACAACTCTGGACCTGGGGCGTGCGAAGACTTTCTCAAACCCGCCGTCCGCTGAAAAACCAGACGCAGTATTAAACGATTTCTCATCAGGGGCTAAAGTTGCTCGCCGCCCTCGCCGCCGGTGATCTCTCTCTCTCTCTCGCCTCCTCTTTCTAGGGGTCCGGTAGTGGTCGGGAGGCGGCGAAAATTCCGAAAGGATTTGGCCGGGGGGAGCTTCGGGGGAGAAGGAGGGTGGTGGTGGTGCCAGATTCTGCCCCATGAAGACCTCGGTGGACGGGGAAGAGAGGGTGATGGCGGCGGCGCAGCAGATCGTTAGGAGCCTTGGAACCTCGAAGAACATGAAGGAGGACATGCTCCTCATCCTTTCCAGCTTCGACAACCGGTTCTCAAACATCACGGACCTCGTCAAGGGTGGAGGGAACGCGCGATTGGCGGCCGCGGAGGAGGTCATCTGTCGTTGGGGGGATTCCTCGTCTGGGACCTCCCGCGGCTTCATCCCGTGGGAGGATTCGCCGGACGAGGTGGCCGAGTACCTGGCCGCCGTCGACGATATCATCTCCCTGACGGAGGGGGCTGGCCAGGAGTCCGCTGACGACGCTGAGATCCTCGATCGAGCGGATAACGTGCTACAGATGGCCATGGACCGGCTGGAGGAGGAGTTCCGCCGTATCATGATCCAGAACACGGTGCCGATGGACACTGCCAACCTCTATGTGTCCAGCCGGAGCATGTCCCTCTCCTTTGCATCTAGTGCCGGTGTGGGCATCGATGACTACGATAACTATGTAGAGGAGGAACAGGATGCTTACGTGGACGAGGGATCGGTTGGCGGTAGCTTGTCTGACGACTTCCGTGTTGAGATGGTGCGGTCCGAGGCGGTACCTCACCTACAGAGCATTGCGGACCGGATGATTCGGGCAAGGTACGAGAAGGAGTGCTGCCAGACCTATAGCAGTGTCAGACGGGAGGTCCTTGATGACTGCGTTGCCGCCCTGGGGCTCGAGAAAATGAGTATTGAGGAGGTTCAGAAGACCGTGTGGACGGATTTGGACGGGAAGATGAAGAAGTGGGCGCAGGCAGTGAAGGTCGTTTTCCAAGCTCTTCTGCTCGGTGAGAAAAAACTTTGTGACCAGATATTTGAGGTCTCCCCAGTGATTGGAGATATTTGCTTCACCGAAACCGCCAAAGGGTGCGTGATGCAGCTGCTGAATTTCGCAGAGGCAGTTGCAATTGCACAAAGGTCACCTGAGAAGCTGTTCAGGGTACTTGATATGTATGATGCTCTATCAAACGTCATGCCTGAATTGCAGGTAATGTTCCCCGAGGAACCTAGAGAATTTTTATGTGGCGAGGCAGAATTGATATTAAAGAGGCTGGGGGATGCTGCAAAGGACACACTGGCTCAGTTTGAGAAAGCGGTTCAGACTGAGACTTCGCGGAAACCTATGATATTTGGTGACAACCATCCTTTAACACGTTATGTGATGAATTATTTGAGATTGCTCATGGATTATGAAAGAACTCTCAATGATCTTCTTAATGAAGGTGAGAGAGATGTTGACGATCTTCCAGAAGTGAAGAATAATGAAGAAAATCAGTTTGGAGGGAGCATGTCTCAATTGGGCCACCATGTTCTTTCAACAATCTCTTGTCTGGAATCCAATATTGAAGAGAAATCCAAACTTTATGACGACAAAGGATTGCAGTATGTGTTTCTGATGAACAACATACATTACATTGTCCAGAAAGTGAAGGATTCTGAGCTCCGAACCGTGCTGGGGGATAACTGGGTTCGTAAGCGCCGTGGTCAGATACGCCAATATGCTAGGCTCTATCTTAGAGCTTCTTGGAGCAGAATCCTTTCTTACTTGAGAGATGAAGGTATGAGTGGTAATGGAGGCGGTAGTAACACGTTCAAGGTTGCTCTCAAGGAGAGGTTCAAAAATTTCAATCTTGCATTTGAAGAGATTCACAGAAACCAGACAACCTGGAATGTTACAGATCTTCAACTCCGGGAGGAGCTCAGGATTTCTATATCAGATATGGTGATTCCGGCTTACCGTTCTTTTACAGGCAGGTTTGGCAGCTATTTGGAGGGTGGACGAAATTCAGCGAAGTACAAAAAATACACACCAGAGGATTTGGAAAGATGCATATTGGATTTATTTGAAGGCTCATCTGGGGCTTCTAGCTATTCGAGGAGAAGACACTAGCCAGTTATCGATTTGATGCTGTCACGAATGGTACAGTCCCACTCTCATCAGGATGTGATTATCAGTTCAGTTGTCTGAATTATTCAAACTGTAGCTTGTTGTTTGTTGTGATTATTTTTAAACGACAGGAACATTGGACACTTCCCATGACGTCTCCTGTGCTATGTAATACCATTGTATATGATTAGCTCCCCACTTTTTCCAGTTTTGTCACTTTCAGAGTATCTCTATTGAAAGGTTGCCACCAAAACTTGCTGAACCTTTTATAGATATCGTGTTCATTTCGACCCGTTTAATTGCTTTATAAAATTGCCAATCTGTAGAAATTTTATACAGACCAGTTTAGGTGGGGTTTTCCCTGGTGTTCTTTCGAACATTAGCACGAATGCTTGGTAAATGTTAATATCTTTTGAGATATGAGTAACGTGTGCTTCAATATAATTATCTGGAGTAAGCGTTCTAGCTTGTTTCCAATTCACTGCAGCTTGATCGGACCTAGCCGCTGCAATTTCAGGATCACCCTGTCGAGACATGTGAGTCAATTCCTTTCCTTAGAACCGTACTTGAGAGTTTCCTCGCCTCATACGGGTCAGCAATCAGTCCTTCAGGTTGCACATCTTAATCTACCCTACCTAAACTTAACTGAATTAACCCATTTCTAGGGTTTAACTAGAAGAACTTAATTACGTAAGTTTCAAACTGTAATTTTAATCAATAGATTTGTTTTATCTCGTCTCCCATCTCTCATAAAAGAATGCAAACAAAAATGACTTGAATATGTTGAGGACACATTCATAGAAACTGTAAATAGTCTGTACACTCAAAGAATCAGGTTAATAATACCGGATTTGCCATAGCATAAAGATTTAACCCAAAGTGTGTTTCAGATGGCTTTGATGGTATGCTTGCTCTCTTGTCGTGAGGGCTGAAATTTCCAACCATGGAGCTGCTCTCTGGTGTCAGATGAACGTTCATTTGACTGTAGGGTCCTCATGATCTGAGAAATGGATAATATTTTTTAATGCATTATGAGATGGAAATGGTGGATCGGATGTGGTGGTATATGCCCTCTAGTTTTTGTGGAAGTTCAATCGTGGCCAGTTGGTTGGTTTTGTTAAAGCATTATGCGTTTTCTCCTCCGGTGGGAAACTTTAGTTTATCCGTTCATTTTAAGAGATACCATTTTTTGTCATGCTCCTCACTGTCTAATTTGATCTGCAGTCAGAGCACGTTTTGGTTGACCGCATCTTGAGCAGGTACGCTATAATTATGAATTAACCTTTTCAAAGACTAACTTGACGAGCTTATCTGTGGCGTTGCTCTGTTGCGATGAGGTTCCGCAGGGTCAAATTTGGGAAGTGGCCTGTATTATTCACGTTTGACGATATCCTAATCTGTGCAAATATTATAATGATATGCTGTACATGTTGAACAATAGGTTTTAGCTATCATGTTATGAGTGGATTATTTAATTAGTTTCTCTGGAGTGCTGTTGGATTCATCACATGCATTAAAAATAATTCCCAGGACTAATTCGGTTGAACTTTCTCTGTATGACTGATCTCAACAACTGAAACTGACTGAAAATTAACTTCTTCCATGCTTGGATGTTCTTATTAGGGTAACCTCTCAGGTCTACCAAACTGGAACATCTGAGGCACGGTGGCATATTGGCAAAACTGTATGAAGCTTCCTTGTTCTTGTTGTTCACCCCCATTTTTTCTTCTTAAAGATGAAGCTCTCTCTTCTCAGGTATGTTGTGCACCCAACATACCTGTGAAGGTAGTCCCAGACATTACCCAGATGAGGATCAACTGATCCCATTAGCCATCCAACCTTTTCCTCAGATCGAACAGTTTCACAAGAGGTTGATGATCGGGTAATGATTTTCTTGCTCTCACTGGCAGTTTATTTATTTATTTGGGTAATTTGAGCACAAAAGAAGGGAGATGAATAAAATATTTATCTTCCTTGTTCCTCAGCTCAAGGAGATAATATCACAGGTGGAGCAAGATCTCGGGAATATATATTAGAGACGCTTCAGCATCATGATTCATCGTATTCTGTCTCTCCCTCTTTGATTCTGTGTAATTCTATAAGTTTCGACCTCTTGATAAGTATTGAAATTCATCGTATTCACAAATAATTGACTTTATTCTCGGGTCCCTGTTCAACCTGGCAATTCCTGTAAGCAGCTTGATCTACTGTTGAACTCCAATGAGTAGCACAAGTCCTTTTCCTTCCTTTAAAGTCAATTTCTTTCCAATAAAGTTGCAGTAAATCCTTGGAGGTGCATTTTTTTTCACAAAGAAGAGTAGAAATATTCCAAAAGGTGATTTCAAATCTGACTCTCCGGTTGAATTCCAATGAGATTTCGTGATCTTGTCTACTTTCTTCATGCTTTCCTTTTATTTCACGCCACTGCTTGTAACATCTGTTGCCATTTTACAAAGTTGTGGATTAATTTTTCCTAACTACACTTTTGTTTATTCTCATCATTTCCTATTCTAATTGCTATCTGTTTATCCACCTGTTGTCGTTGCTCTAGGCCTCGTGCTTACAGTGTGGGTGTGCTCGTATCTATTTATGTTCACAACAGCCTCATCATCCTAAGTTTGTTCTAGTAATGACTGCATTCTTCCTTGGTATCATCTCATGTTTAATTACCCCTTACTGCCTTCAATATCCAACTCTGTTAACTGCTCCGCGATGAGAATAAATAGTCTAAATAGCCATTTGCCATCTGTATCTAATAAATAAAAACGAATTCTCTCAAGCAGTCAGAGAACATCCAAGCATGGAAGAAGTTAATTTTCAGTCAGTTTCAGTTGTTGAGATCAGTCATACAGAGAAAGTTCTACCGAATTAGTCCTGGGAATTATTTTTAATGCATGTGATGAATCCAACAGCACTCCAGAGAAACTAATTAAATAATCCACTCATAACATGATAGCTGAAACCTATTGTTCAACATGTACAGCATATCATTATAATATTTGCACAGATTACAGGAAAACTGGCTGGCTTGTGAAGGACTTGAGCTCTCTCCTTGGTGTCTTCCCTTGAGGTGTTCTCTGATTGCTTGAGAGAATTCGTTTTTATTATTAGAAATAGGGTTCTTGGTGGATCATTCTTTCCCCATCTCACTTCCACGAGTAATTCGATCAAAATTCTTTATTATTATTATAGGGTTTTATGGGGGGATTCGATTAGTAAATAAAATTTCTTTCTTCACCGAATTCTGGGTTTTTAATAGATTTATAGACGTAGTTGAGTGAAAACGCATGACCGCGTGAACACGGCCCCACGCTGCGCAAGATCAGTGAGGCTGAAGGAGTTTTCGTCTGACGACTTGCATGAAATAGAGCAAAATTTTATATATTTGGGATACAATATTGTGGCTTTGGATCGTGGATCCATAATCACTAGTTGCTGATGATGACTACCCACTTGATCGATTTGGGGCAATCATGGTAGACCTCGTATGGATCTGAGATTTATGATAATGGTAGTTTTTTTTTTTGTTCAGTATTTGATTTTTATTATTATTCATGGATCAAAGCAGCTTGCTACCTTCTCTGATTCGACCCTCCAAGAATTAGGGATTTCAGTCCAGCGAAATCCCCTTTTTATTCAAGATCCTCGTGTGATGTTCAAAAATTTAGTGTTTTGGGGTCGAATGAATAAAGTGATCTGTTTTCATGCTGCCCCCACCAAGGAAAGGGCCACTTTGATTTGTATAGTTGCGTTGTGGGTAGAGTGAATCAGAATCGGGCTTTTCTTCCTTCCATTCGGAGCCTCTCTCGCCACCGGGGGCTCCTCCTCCTCTGCCGCCGCCGCCGTCTCCTCCGCCGTGTACATTTTCCCCTCCTGATGATCGCATGAGATGGGTCGGGGCGAAACTGCGGATGCTCCTCAGGAGGCCGCCGACGGCGGCCATGCCCACCTCCCGCCGCCTCTCGGGCGGCGCCATCTCCCTCTCCGGCGAGCTGAGAATGGTCGAGGAGATCCGCACCATCCTGGACACGGTGCCCGACGCCATGGAACCCCATCTGGACCAACTCGCTCCTCTGCTCACCCCTCACATCGTCTCCACCGTCCTGGACGAGTCCACCGCCGTATCCCCGGCCTTCCGCTTCTTCGTCTGGACTTCCCGGCGGAAGCGCCTCCGCAGCTGGGCCTCCCACAACCGGATCATCTACCTCCTCCGTGGCGGCGGCTTCGACTCCGCGTGGGAAACGCTGGAGCACCTCCGCGGCGGTGGCGCAGCGCCGCCGCCGCCGTTTGAGGCGCTCATCTCCGCGTACGCGGCGGAGGGGAGGACCGACAAGGCGGTGGAGTGCTTCCAGAGGATGGGGGCGGAGTTCGGGTGCCGGTCCAGCGCCTTTACCTACAACACGCTCATGCGGGTCCTGATCGAGGAGGGCATCTCCCTCCTCGCGCAGTCGCTCTACTGCCAGATGCTGAAGGTGGACTGCCGCCCCAATCGGTCCACCTTCGCCATCCTCATCGACGGCCTCTGCAAGGATGGCAAGACCGACGACGCGCTGGCCCTGTTCGACGAAATGTCGCAGCGGCGCATCCCACCAAATATACTCGTCTACACCGTCGTCCTCTCCGGGCTCTGTCGCGCTGGCCGCCTCGCCGACGCCCATAAACTCTTGGATTCCATGGCGCAGGGAAACCTCCGCCCCGATTCCGCCACCTACAACGCGCTTCTCAACGGGTTCTGCAAGCTGGGCCGCACCGACGAGGCCTTCGAGCTCGTCTCCCGGCTCCGTGCCGTGGGGGTCTTCTCCCCCGGCCGAAAAGCCTACAGCTCTCTGCTCGACGGGCTGTTTAGAGAAGGGAAGTTCGATGAAGCCCACCGCTGCTACCGGACCATGGTGGCGGAGCAGGTGCCCCCCGACTGCGTCCTCTACACTATCATGATCAGGGGCTCGGTGGAGAGCGGGAGGATCAGGGAGGCGTTCGCGTTCCTGGGGGAGATGACCGACAGGGGGATCGTACCCGACAGCTTCTGCTACAACACGCTGATCAAGGGTCTCTGTGACGCCGGCCACCTCGACCGGGCCCGGTCCCTTCAGCTGGACATCTCCGGTAGCGACCGCTTCCCCGATGTGGCGACCTACACCATCCTCATCTGCGGGCTCTGCGACCGGGGGCTCGTCCGCGAGGCCCAGAAGATCTTCGACGAGATGGGCCAGCGCGGTTGCGCCCCCACGGTGGCGACCTTCAACGCGCTCATCCGGGGGCTCTGCAGGGCGGAGCTCCCCGAGGAGGGCCGCCACCTCCTGTACAGGATGGAGATGGGGACCAACCAGCACCTCTTCCTCCGCCTCTCGCAGGGCCCCAACCCGGTCTCCGACCGGGGGGGGCTCCGCCGGGAGGTGGACCATCTCTGCGACTCCGGCCGCATCGTGGAGGCCTACAAGCTCCTCCGGGGGCTCGCCGACGCCGGCGCCGTGCCAGACATCGTCACCTACAACATCCTCATCGACGGGTTCTGCAAGGCGAAGAACATGAACGTCGCCATCGCGCTGTTCAAGGAGCTCAGGTTCAAGGGCTACACCCCCGACGCCGTCACCTACGCGACGCTCGTCGGCGGGTATCTCGGGGAGGAGAAGGCCGACAAGGCCGTCGAAGTCTTCCACCACATGGTGAGGAACGGCTTCGAGCCCGTGCTGCCGGTCTACAACATCATCATGAAGGAGCTCTGCGGGACCAACAGGGTCTGGCAGGCGGTGGCCCTCTGGCTCTTCTACCTCTCGGAGAGGAAGACCGAACTTCATCGTGATGCCGGAAAGGCGGAGCTCCTGGCGGCGGCGCGGAGGAGCTCCGATCGGGGATCGGTGGGGGAGGCGGTGCGGTGCCTCCTCGCCATGGGCGGCGGCGACCGCGCCCCCCTACTCTACACCAGGTGGATGATGGGGCTCTGCCGGGTCGGGCAGATAGCGGAAGCTTACACCATCTTCTCGGCCCTCTGCGAGCAGGACGCCGACGTGGGACCTCCGATGTGCGCGCGTCTCATCCAGAGCTTCTGCAGAGGGGGGAGGACGGAGTGGGCACTGGAGGTCATGGAGTTCTCGTTGAGGAAAGGGATCTCCTTCGGGAGGCCTGTGGGCAACAGGGTCCTCAAGTTCCTCTGGGACAAGAACAAGAAGGACGCACTGAAGCTCGCCGGCCGTATGAGCCGCACCGGATATGCTCTCGACGTCTACCTTCGGAAGCCTATGAAGCATCACCTACGCAGCTACGGGCTCTGTGCTGACGTGGGTTGACGAGGAATTCTCGTCATCGACGGCCTGCGCTGACTTTTTGTTCTCTTTTTTCCTGAGTTAGATCTAGCTCGTGGCGTTCGTCGACCATGCTCATTCATTTTTCAATACGCCAGCATTTGGATTTCCCTTGAGAAGGTGTGGCTGTTTATATGCCATCTGCCGGCCGAATTGATTCACTTTGTTACCTACAACGAGTCGTACGCATGCTAACTCATCTTCCTCGGACAACCAACCAACCACCGGTGGAACCTCTGAGACTCTTGTACCCAGAAGAAGGCCGACGAAGAAGGCTTTCCTTATCAATAGTCAACGCCATACAATAGGATAAGTCAAACGCCGCACAAAAGTTCTATCATCGGGGGAGGGGTTGACCCAGGAGACCCTGAATAACGCCGTTCGTGGGATAGGCCCATCCTCTCATGTCTGGTGTCTTTCAGACTCGGCTGTTCTGGGGCAGGGGGACAACCCCGTCGAAGAAATCCCCGAAGTAGTGCCGTGGCTCGTGGACCAGCTTGGAGATTATGTCCCTGAGGGTGATCACCCCCTCGACGAGGCCCTCCTCGTCGACAACGTAGATCCTGTGGATCTTGTGGGCATCCAGCCGCAAGATCACATCTTTGATCGTGTCGTCTCTCCTGCAGGTGATCACGCCGAGGAGCATGGGCGATGTCTCCCCATGCTCCTCCAGGTGCTTTCTGACGGCCGTGAGGAAGTTCTTGGCGGTGATCGATCTGCAAAAGAGTCGGATAATTCCAATGGAGGATAAGATAAGGTTTCCCATGAAAGCAGGAGGTCAGTACTTGAGTTTTCATAATCTGGTTTTCACTGATCATGTCATTACATGCCTGCCCCATTGAATGCAGGAGATAGAGATGAGAGAGAGAGAGAGATGAGAAAGAGAGAGAGAGAGAGAGAGTGCAGACCTGTAGTCCTTGTATATCTCAGGGGCTGTGAGAAGGTACTGGACATCTCTGATGCTAATGTTGCCCACGGGCTTCTTCCCGCCATCATCAATAACGGGAAGCCCTCCGATTCCCTTTGTTCTCATCAACTGGAAAGCCCTGAGAACTGGTTCGTCCTCTCTTACCTGCAGAGCTCATGAGGACATGTTAAACATTGCTGATAACCACAATGCCTGGTCACAGACATCTTCAGACTCGCATTTGAGATCCAAACTGGCCAATCTAACTATAAAAAGAAACTGGTGGGTAGTTGGCCATGAGAAAAAATAGGATCCATGTGAATGAACAGGGGCTTAGATCCAGGGGAAGAAGGAAGAACCTTGACAAGTTTACTGGGCTTCATGATGGGGAGCCCGAGCTCGAAGAGCCTTTTGGTGCCCCAGTTCTCAAACCAGTGGAGCCCAACGCATTCTGCAAGCATGTGAACTACAGAAGACTGGGTTATGATGTTGTCGATCTTCCCCTCGCCAAGATCAACGACCGGAAGGCTCTTCATTCTGTACTTGGACAGAAGCAGGAGCATTGTCAGAAGAGAATCAGAGCTCTGCAGGGCAAGAAATGGCGCCCAGCGGAATGATCCTGAGATGTCTTCAACCTGTAAAAACAGACACCTTTTTTAAGAAAAATGTGATGCCTTTAGACAGAAGGTCTGATAATTAGATGGGAATCCAAAAATTAATTCCATTCATGATGCAATCACGAATTTGACCTTCGTAGACTTGTAAATTTCCGAAGAGGCCAGATTTTCAAAGAAACTCCCCCCCATGGATTCGGCTGCTTCAGGTCCAGAATCTGCAGGTCCAAGTGCATCACTGATTCCGCCAGCAGCAGCAGGGGCATTGCTGGCTTTTGAGGGCGCTGGTGTTCCCAACGTCACCGAGCCAAGGGCTGCGGCTAACCCCCCTGCGGCTCGTCCTGCTTTTGGAGAGCCAGCCATGATCTCAAGAGCCGCGACTTCAGACTGCAAAAGAGGGCGAGCCATGAAATCTCCAAGTTCCCAACTGAAGGAAGTAAAGTGATTTTAACCTAAAACAGAAAAAAAAGGAGGGCATGCATTTCTCGTAGCACGATTTCTAAAAGCTTCAGTCAGAGGTGCCTGAAAAGACAGTAATATGTTTTACACGAGCCCATGTTTTAGACGATCATAATATATTCGTAATTCTCCAACTCGTATGTGGAATCCTACCATCTCGTGGAGAAGATCATTCACGCACACAAAAAAATCCACCTCTGTGTTTTATTCAAATTATATAAAGCCTTATATTTTATGTGAAACCTCCATCCACCTGCTCATTTATCATCTAAATGTGTCATTCAATAGGAAAAGTTCTTCAAGTTATTGCTGATTACCAATATGGGGAAGAGGAACCTGTAATAGTCTATCCACTTACAGTTAATTCATCAACAGTTTGTTCTGCCAGGGTTAATCCATTCTTCTCCCTAACAAAATCATTTCCGATAATAAACGTTGTAGGCTGACTCAATCAATATTATGCGGAATCAAAACCATGATTACTGACGAAATAACTCTTAGGATTCACAACACTCTACCGGGATAAGAGCTCTTCAAATTTATTTTTGACAAAGTAACTAATTTCCCAGATGAAACCTAGATTGGTTGATTTGAATAAATAATACCTACACCTTCACCTGTATACAAACTTTCAGCCAATTTTATTTTTTTTTGGCAGTTTTAATAAGAGTTTTTAGTGGTAGATTTTCTTTTGTCGTTCATAAGTAATCTTCCGACTTAACATACTTAAAACCATTTGAAAATTGCTTTCTTTTGAAAATATTTTTCCTTTGTGGTAGATTTTAATAACAGTTTTTGGACATGCAGAAAACTTTTGTCGTTCATAAGTAATCTTCCGACTTTACATACTTAAAACCATTTGAAAATTGCTTTCTGATTTCACATACAGCTTACACTGAAACAGTTTGATGTTCAAACCTGGTGAAGAAGCCATACGGCAATTCCTGCAAATTCAACAATGCCAATGTACCGGTCAATCCAACTGGCATCTTCTGGAGAATTTACATTCCTCACAGGTGCACTAAGGATTTTATGCTTGGACAGTATTTCAACAGCCGTGGCCAGACTGGCATCCGAAGGGATCTCGATTACTGAATAGACGGTCAGAAAACAAAAAGATACAAACATCAGATCCAACACTCAGTATCATTTATAAATATTTCAACGAAACCAATTTACTGAAAACATAGCAGAGTAGTGAAATTATGTTCAGATAAAATGAAGAATAAATATAGTAGTCGAACCAAACATCAACCTTAACAATGAAATTAATCTATATTTAGTTTTTTTTCTCTCTTTTGTCTATTATACAAACCATATTTCTCTGGCAAATAAACTGCAAACAAGTTAAACATGCAAGATGATGTTTTCGCAGAATAGAAATGCCCATGTAGACACCAGTCTTCAGGATACCTGTGTGTATAAGTATTGAATACGTTGATTCCTTACATATTAAACCTTCAGTATACGAGAATATACATGCACACGAGCATAAAAGATACAGCCTAGTGTTGCTGAAATCTCAACATAGTAAAAAAAATATATCTTTTAGTTCTGTGATACATTTATCATTATTTTGCAAGAGCAGAATCTAAAAGCAGACAATGGAGGGATCTGGTTGGCATCAAACAATCAAGGATAGGCATACAAAATTTTGAAATATCCTGCTATATGGACTTTTTAACTGTTTCATTTTAGTGTCTTTAGTTCTTCTATCTAAAAAAAATCTTAGTCCAACAGGGTGCAACGTGTAGTCTTTTCGAGGCTTTTTTTCCTTAGACAACATTCCTTACGGAAATCACATACAGGATCCTATGCCTGGTCTCAGAGAGGTTTTCTGGGATGCTCAGCCCCCACTCCCCTCTCGCTCTATATCATCTGACCTGAATCCATGGGGGATGTGGTGCAGTCTGATACATTTATGTTTTTACTGATATTTAAGTCCAGACCTATCATTGACAGTGCCAAAAGCCCTGCCTATAGTTTGAACCTCCTTTTTAGCCATTAAATTCACCAGAATATTGCTTCACTGTGATCTACTGATAATCATTAATGTTATTGTACAATTTGTGCGGCATTTCTACCCGATCTTCTAGCGATGAGAAAATGAGTTAAAACGAACGCCTAGCACGATTATTTTCATTCTTCTCTGAGTTATCAAACGATCTCTACATTTGAAATACATTTCTCAACACTCAGAGCACAAGAAGAGGTACCACCGCTGAGTGTTCCATCGAAAAAGGCAAGAATAACTTTAAGACGGTAGTGAATACCAATTTCAGTGAACAGCACATCTATACCATATATAATACTTCCATATCATGTGACATGTGGTCGCATCGTACTCCAAAGAATACAAGTTCGGAAACAAAACAGCTCATCCAGGATCATACATATTATGAGTTCGTAATTTCACCTGTGGACTTATTTGAATTCTATAATAGACCTACATCTGAACATCGTGAATGTCATTCAATATTGATAAAGTTTCTCACCAATGTCTGAACTCCTGATCGAATGTTTATTTTCGATACCTCGTAAAAATTTCCTCACGAATGCGAGCATTCGACAACCAATTGTTCGATCTATGTCACCTTAATATGCCGTAAAACAGTAATCTTCCAAGTCTTTCAGTTATTTTTCATCGATGTACTACCCGCAGAGACTCCTATGCTCAAAGGCGGTGAAGAAAACACCGATCGGAGCGGGGGGGCCTAAAATTTCGATGAGTTAATTGGATAAAAGATAAAATAAAAAAAGGAGATCAGGAACTAGGAAAAAGGGCGACACATCAGTTCACCCTCCTCTACGAAGCGCAACCCTGCCTTCTTCCTCGAATACCACCCAACCAATGACACAGATCAGACACACGAGGCGAGGGGGAGAGACAGAGAGTGTGCAGAGGGCAAGGAATAGAAGAATCTGACCGACCTTGGGAAGGAACGGATGGGAAGGACGAGACGGGAACGCCGTCGAAGCAGGAGTTGAGCTTCTCGGATGGGCTGAGAAGGGGCTCAACCTGGACGTCGTTCCACAGATCCTCCAAGCGGTGGCCAATCTCCGCCTCCGGGCTCGCTGACCTCGCGCTCCCCGGCGGTGTCTCCATCTTCCGACAATGAGAACCTTCCTCTTCTCGATCACCACAGCCCCCCCCCCCGTCCTGTCTCTCTACAGCGGGTGCTGTAACGATCGCCGATGGAGCGGGGATGATAACAACCCCCCGACCCCCCTCCGCGCAGAGGACGGCGGCGCTGAGTGACGTGGCATGTCCGCTTTGTACCCGCGAAGGATCCGAAAACGTTTCCCGCCCCCGACACGGAGGACTCGGTCTTATCGGCGGCCGGGTGCCACCTGTCGACCGGGAAACCATTTTGGAAATGCTTTCTGAAGGCACCCTGACTGAATTTCTCTTATCATTAAATAATCCCCAATTTACTCGATAATGTCATCAACGTGCCAGCTTAACTTCCATGGTGTTAGAGTTCTCGTTAATACGCAAATCTTTTTTGCGGAGACTGCTTTATTTTTTATTTTTTTTAAAACAAAAGTCCTCGAAGGAAAGAATTTCGGTTCGCCGTGCACAGAGTCGGCACATGGTCGCTGTCTCCGACCGCTGCGGACAGCGGGTGTGACGTACGTTCGGTCTACGTGGGCTGCTCTCATCGGCCGTTTTGTATGGGTCGCATCTCCATCGCTACGGACGGACGATGGTGGCGCCTCTAGGGATGGGTCTGGTTGGCGTACTTGGGAGGGGTATGTCCGGTATTTGGTGTAACATTGGGGTAGGTTGGACATTAGCTTGAGTTTTTAAGTCCTGCGGAAACCGCGAAGACGCCGACGAGTCGTACTATTTTCTTGTTTGGTTTCCTTTTACGGTGGCTGCGGCATTCCCTGTTCCTCGTTTGTTTTGGCCGTGGCTGCTGTGTTCGTCTTCGGAGCAGATGGGCGCGGAGAGGAGCAGGGGGAGCTGCGTGGCGGCGATCCGCCCGCCGCAGTCTCTCACGAGTTGCGCTCACGCGGTGGCAACACCTTCAGGTTCCCTCCCTTGTCCTTTTCTCCGCTATCCTCGTCGCATCGGGGACAATGTTCTCGACTGATGGATTATTCTCTCGTGTCGATTCTGGTGAGTGTCTTGGATCGGTGCCGGTACCGATGACAGCTCGTTTTTTTTTTTTTTTCTACTTATCTCGTTCTCGTGAGCAGCGTGGGCGATCTGAGAGTGTTCCTTCAATATGCGTCAATTACGCGAATAATTTTTTCTTAATGCATCGATCGCCTCGCATTTTTCTCCTCTCTCTCTTGAATTCTATTATCTTTTTCTCTGGTTCCGAATTGCAACTTATCTCCTCTTGGTAATTGTGGAATGACCAGTGTTTTGTGTGAAATCTTCTTCAGATTTTACGGCTGCAGTATTTTTTATGCAAAGAAGAAATAAATCAGTCCCTGGCCGGCGACACCGTCGCATTTTTTTGCATCTTTTCTCCCGAGTACAAATATATTTTTTCTTTGATTCTGAATTACATTTTTTCTCCTTTTTAGGAAATCCTGTTAATCTTGAAATGGTCGGTGCTTTGTGTGCAATATTTTCTGATTTTACTTCTACAGTTTTTTTCATGCGAAGAAAAAATAAATCAGTTACTGGCCGGTGACACCGTCGCATTTTTTGCCTCTTTCCCCTGAATACTAATATTTTTGTCTGGTTCTGAATTGCAACTTATATCTTGTTTTTGAAAAAATAGCGGCAATTGAGGAATGACCGGCGTTACGTCTACTGTTTTTTTCATGCGAAGAAAATAGAAATCAGTCCCCGACCGGCGATACACACATTTTTTGCCTCTTTCTCTTGAATACCAATATCTTTTTCTCATGTTCGAAATTGCAATTTTTCTCTTTTTAAAAAAAATTGTGGTAATTGCGGAATGACCGGTGTTTTGCGTGCAATCCTCTTCTCAATTTACGTCTGCAGTTCTTTTCGTGCGAATAAAAAATAAATTAGTCCCTGACCGATACCCCTCGCATTTTTTGCCTCTTTCTCCCAAATACTAATATCTTTTTAGTAGGTTCTGAATTCGAAATTTTCTATCTTTTTAAAAAAATCCTGGTCATTGAGGATTGGCCGGTGTTCTGTGTGGAATCTTCTTTTGATTTTACATGTGCAGTCTTTTTCATGCAAAGAAACATTAAATCAGTCCCTGACCGACGACACCCTCACATTTTTTTGCCTCTTTCTCCTGAGTACTGATATCTTTTAGTCTGGTTCCGAATTGCGTAGAAAATCCTGGTAGTTGAGAAATGGCCGGTGTTTTGTGCGCAATCTTCTTCTGATTTTACATCTACAATTTTTCTAGTGCGAAGACAAAAGAAATCAGTCCCTGACTGACGATGCTCTCATATTTTTGCCTCTTTCTCCCTTATACTGATATCTTTTTCTCAGTTCCGAATTGAAAATTTTCTCTTTGTCCTGGTAATATAGGAATAACCAGTTTTTTGTGCGCAATCTTCTTCTGATTTTACATCTACAGTTTTTCTCATGCGAAGAAGAAATAAATCAGTCCCTGACTGATGACACTCTGGCATTTTTTTCCTCTTTCTCCTCTGAATACCCTCGCATGCGAGAGTCAACGACACCCTCGCATTTTTTGCCTCATTCTCCTAAAGACGAATATCTTTATTCCTAGTTCCGAATTGCTGTTTTTTTCATTTTTAAAAAAAATCCTGGTAATGGAGGAATGACCAGTGTTTTGTGGCAATGTTCCTCTGATTTTACATATAAAATTTTTCTCATGCGAAGAAAAAATAAATCAGTCCCTCACCGATGACACCCTGTCCCAATCAGGTCTGTTTTGGTGGATAATCGAAGCTTTTTATTTTACTGCAAGTCGAGAGAGACTTAGTACCTTGTTATTTTTACTTTGGTTAATTGTCAAAATATCTAAACAGTCGAAGTATGCATAGTTTCTGTTTTCATGTCTCTCATGTGAGACAGATTGTTTCCTGTCGATAGCTGTGGGGTAGGCATTACAGTTGCAATTGAATTTCCACTGTTGTTGCTGATTGTCGTGGGTGAGAAAACCCTCAGAGGATGGGGACAAAGGTGGAGAGAAAATGAAATCACACACTTAATTGATGCTAAGGTTTGGTATTTATACTGGACCTACATTACACAGATGAACCAGACCCATACCTGGCCAATTCAACAGTGAACCGGACCGGGCTGAACTAGTCTGAAGTAAGAGAAAATTCAACACACTTCAACACTAATAGTTCCAGTGATCACCGAAATTGCTCTTATCAGGGGAGATTAAACCTTATTCACCTCTCGGTATCAACTTTATGAGTTGTAAATGATGAGTGAACATTGAGAGTCAAATTTTCTATGTAGTTCTTTGTCGAATCAACTTTTATGATTCTCACACTTCCCTCTTCCCAGGGCATATAAATTTCGTGGGAAGTCGCAAAAGAATGCCTTTTCAGTTTTATGTGGTGTTGGTTTTTTTTCTGTTCTACTGTGGAATGTGTACCATGCACTAAGGTGCCAGAGCGCCGGCTCTGATGGTCCATGTGCTTAATTTAGTCCGATTGACCTCTACAATCTTTCCATAGCGTTTCTTGAAGTTTTCCTTTGCTTTTTGGCTGCAGATGATGCAACGTGTGGATCACCAAGATGGATTGGAAGGAGTCTTTCCTGTGTATGCATCAAACGAAAAGGAGCTTATGAGCGCATATGGGGCAATTTGACGCCGTTACAGGCACATTTCTTTTCATAATACTCCTTTGTTATTACATACAAAGGATTTTTTGGTTTATCATATACTGAGAAATGAGTCACTAAAAATTCTTTGATGTTGAGACTTGTATTTTGCATCCGTACTATTAATGTTTCGTGTTTCAAATGCTCAGTTTGTTTGACTATTCTACATTTACTGTAACTGTTAGTTTTGCCCCTTTGGCATCTTCAATGTCCACCTTTAGATGTCACAGAGTTCACCTAAATTATCCACCTTCATAAACTCTGAGAGAATGGGCATCCGCTGAAAAATTACGTGATTCACAAAAGGCACAACTGTTCCCTACTTGGACAGATTTATGCCTTAGGAGAAAATGTTCCCCTTCATAAATGCTAGCTTCACGAAAGTATTGGTGTCAAGAATGGTCTTCATGAATTCAGCATTGCATCAGATAGATCCCAGATGCCCTTGGGTAGTGCCAAAAGAAAGGATGGAAGACTAGGAGGGAACGGAGATGGCTCCTTGGGTAGTGCCAAACGGTTTGTGCATTTACAATAATTAAAAGGATTAGTGGCATCCTTGGGTTTTGATTTCATTAATGAACGAAAAAAATATACGAAAGCATCTAGGACTCTACTTCGGGAATTTGAATGTGAATGGACTGGAATGCCACCACGTGAAGCCAAAAGGCTGTACTATTTACCCTACATTATTCCACCGTTTCTTAGAGACATATTAGCTGAGATGTTACTCATTTTATCTGTTCGAATTTTAAAAAAGCTCGACTTAGCTATGGCTGGAGTTCTATTCCTTAGCGTTTGAACATTTGCTGGTTTTCTTACCTCAGGTTCCTTGATATTGGGCAAAAGACAATTTATTCACCTGGCTAACTCATAGTCTGTCATTCTTGTGTGACTGATGGAAATATTCAACTTGTCTTTCTGGACTGATTTTACTGTTTCAAGTATGAATCTATATCTCACGATGAAGTTTGATGCTCTGATTTTTTTTAATGCTTTCCTTTTTTTCATTTATGCTTACATTGACCTAGTTGATATGAATGTATCACAGGAAGAAAGACTAAAACGATTAAGGCAGCGTACACAGGTTTCATTCGATTCGTCTAGGAGAGATCACCAGGTGAATCTCTAGATTTCACTTCACGAAGTATCCAAGTGTATCGGCGCTTTTATCCCATGTTGTCGCTAGTCGCTAGTATTTAATGTCTTTCTGGCAAGTAATGTGATCACCGTTATTTCTGTGCCACATCTCTCCATCGGTTTCCTTAGCTACCCATAAATTTGAAAAATAGGTGTTTTTATCAGATAGAGGATAGTATTGCAAATCTTCGTTTCAAGCATACTCGCAACTGCACTCTTTGAGAAGTCACCGAGATATTGGTCTTTGTCTCTAATTATAGATTCAGAATCATGAAATTTCAAGAGTACGGCAAGGATTTTTTATTCATAAACTTTTTCTGACAGGAGGCATTAAAATCCCTTTGGTACGCAACATACCCAGATCAAGAACTCCACGGCTTGATATCTGATCAATGGAAGGAGATGGGTTGGCAAGGAAGAGATCCTTCAACCGATTTCAGGTTGATTTTATCTTTTTATTTCAGCATTATGTACACTTATGTTGCATAACTTTTTCTTTGCTAAGCTTTGTGATTCCTTTTGTCTAATAGGGGGGCTGGATTCATTTCACTAGAGAATTTACTTTTCTTTGCAAAGACATTTTCTGTAAGATCTCCACTCTTTGACCTGTCTATTGAATTTCCTTTATGGATGTTATAAGCTTTTTCTGTACTATGTTAACCAGGATTTATAGCAGTATTGTACTTTTTTCAGTCCATAAAATGTTTTCGACAACTTCAGTCGGGGTGTATTCCAATGGGAAGATGTCAATTAGTATCGCCAGAACATCTCAGTTGTGAAGTAGAGTCAACCCCAAATTCTAAGGCGTCGATCGATTAGTGGTTATTCAGACTTGAGGGAAAATAGATGTTTTATTTATTTATTATGTGAATGCCTTACAAATTGACATTACGTCCAAGTCAATCATGCTATTATGTTTCTCAATCCAATTCAACTTTGGATTTTTACAGGTATCTTTTCAGAGACTTTTAAATAAAGCGGGGGGAAAGCGAGCTACGTGGGAGTATCCATTTGCTGTTGCCGGTGTAAATATAACATTTATGATTATGCAAATGCTGCAACTCCACTCGTGTAGGTTATCCTATCCCTCATTTTTAGAAGTGGGAAAACTAAGAAATATAGTTGAGGGTACTAGATCTTGGATAAAAGCATGACACTATTAAGATTCTCTTTCAAAACCAAAATGATCTCATACGATGGTCTTTCATACAGTGTTAGATAATTAACTGGATGCACCTTAATTTCCGAAACACGTACTTGGATATTTTGGTACATCACAAGTAACTTGGATGCATCACAAGTAAAAATCTCAGAAGACAGTCTTAGGGCCATAACATATCAATTTTAGTTTCAAAAACTCTCATTTTCTGGGTTTTTTATGGTTATGTTTCCTTTCTAACCAGCACTCGCACAGATAATTAAATTGAAACAACTATAGGAGAGGGGAGGCACATGAGATTGTCAGGTTGAAGTTATACTTTTAAGTATTAGTAATGTTTGGGTTGCCTGAACTGAATTTCCTTTTAAATTCTTGAAAAGCATCTGTGGTTTGGATGTCTAGCGATCATGAGATTCAAACGTACTATAGAGATCAGAGTTTCATCCACCATCCTTTCAACCTTATCCCTGAGAATGATTTTTTTTTTTATCTTTCCATCAATATCAGGGGTGTCCGTGGGGCCTATCCGAAAAAACAACGCGGCTCAGGACCAAACCCTCATGAAACCAAGGTGTAGCCCAACCTGGCCCCCACACCTGCATTCCCAACAAGAGTGTCTCGGTGGTGGCTCGCTGGTGGATGCCGGGGCAGTTGCTGTTGGGGCTGGGGGCTGCTGGGCCCAGCATGCTGTAAAGTCAAGGAACTTCGTCAGATCAGTTTTCACCCAGATGCTGTCAGGTTGGTTCGCATATCTATGCATGATATTCCATGCATATGATCTATAATGTGTGATTTTTCTCATTCTTTCCTGATTTGGTTGGTTCCAGAGGATGAATGGGCATTCGACGTGCTCTACTGCGTCGCATTCATGGTCATGGACAAGCAATGGCTCGAAAAGAACGCCTCTTACATGGAATTCAACGTGAGTCCTTCAGCCATGGATGATCCCTCTTCTTCACCCCTGGTATTGTTCTCTCACCACTGATATTGCTACCCTCATGGTCTGCAGGATGTCCTCAAGTCAACCAGGGCGCAGCTGGAGAGGGAGCTGCTGTTAGATGACGTCCTGCGGATTGAAGACATGCCGTCCTTCAGCCTTCTTTCTTAGCGCGCCTTCCGTTTTCCTTTTGACACTTGAGTGCACTCGTTTCTTTTTCATATTCTTAGTGCACTCGTTGCGGATTGAAGACAGCCTTTTGACACTGGCCAGAGCTCGGAGAAACTTAGCTTGGAAGAAATTCCCCACTTTTTTTTCATGGGGGCGGGTTAATTCTTGTCATCATCTACGCAGCTCCACGCAGGGACCTTTCTCAGCCCGCCCTCAACCATGGTCTTCCTCATCAGCTCGACTTGCTCCCATATACCTGCTTCTGCGTACATATTCGACAGGACGACGTAGACGCCATGGTTGTGGGGCTCGAGGTCGAGGATCCTCCTGACCACCCGCTCCGCGACGTCGACGTTCCCGTGCCGCTGGCACGCCGCCAGCAGGGCCCCCAGCACGACGACGTCGGCTTCCCACTTCATGGTGCTGATCAGGTCCTCGGCCTCGGCGAGCCTCCCGCTGCGGCCCAGGAGGTCGACCATGCAGCCGCAGTGCTCGAGCTTCGGCTCCACGCCGTAGTCCCTCCGCATGGACAGGAAGATCCCCCGGCCGGCCTCGAGCAGCCCGGCGTGGCAGCAGGCGGACAGGACCCCCACGAAGGTCACGTCGTTCGGCGCCACCGTCACCTCCTCCTCCAGCTCCCGGAACAGCCGCAACGCCTCGTCGGCGCGCCCGTGCCTCGCCAGGCCGCAGATCATCGCGTTCCACGTCGCGATGTTCCTCTCCGGCATCCGATCGAACAAGTCCCGGGCCGTCGAGACGGCGCCGTTCTTGGCGTACATGTCCAGCAGCGCCGTGCCGAGGACGACGCCAACGGCGACGCCCTTCTCCTCCATGTACGCGTGGACCCTCTCCCCCGCGGTCAGCCCGCCAGCCCTGGCGCACGCCGAGAGCACGGCGGAGAGGGTTGCGCCGCTCGGCTCAAGGCCCGCCGCCACCATCTCATCAAAGAGCAGCAGGGCCTCGTCGGAGCGGGAGTTTTGCGCGTAGGCGCTGACCATCGTCGTCCAGACGATGAGGTTCCTGTCGGGCGCTTCGTCGAACAGCTTCCTCGCCTCCGCCATCTGCCCGCCGGACCCGTAGGAGCGGATCAGGTTGTTGACGACGTACACGTCCGCGTCTAACCCGCGCTTCTGCGCCTGGGAATGGACCTGCCGGCCGGTGGAAAGGGAGTGGCAGTTGATGCAGCCCTTGAGCAGGAAGGGGAAGGTATGCCTGCCGGGGGCGAACCCCATGGCCTGCATCTTCACGTAGAGATCGACGGCGTCGGACGGCGTCGGGCCTTCGGCGAGGGCACGGATGAGGGTGTTCCACATGAAGGAGTTGGGTTCTCGCGTCTGCTGGAAGAGGGTCAGCGCGTAGCGCAGGTCGCCGGAGGGGGAAAGGGCGGCGAAGGAGATGAGGCGGCTGGAAGCGTAGTTATCGTGGATGCGGCCGCGGACGACCATCTGCGCGTGGACCTGCTTGAGCTGCCGCATGGAGGCGCAGCGGTCGGCGAGGAGGGAGAGCGGTGAGCTCCTCCTCCAGGTCTTCGTGGCTGGCGGGATAACATGGGCGCCGGCGTTCTTGAATAGATGGAGCGGGCTAGGCGCGACCATCGGTAGGCGCTCGAGTGAGACCCTTAAAATGGAGTTGATTGGTAGTCATCTCATTCTGAGACAGCTACCTACTAACCAGAGGATGTCATTCGCCGCCGCATCCGGCTCTCCCCTTCTCCTCTGCAACTCCCGCCGCATCTGGCTCGGGTCCGGCCCGGCGGTTCAAAGGTCGTCGGCGGCGGCGCCGGCAACTCCCGTCTGCCTCCGCTTTTGCAGCTCCGGCCCACCTTCACACCCTATGCAGGATGAGGGGGATGCAAGTGGCCCGTCGCGCAAGTCCTTGGGAGGCTGCCTCTGCGGTCGCTGCGGGAAGAGGGGTCTACTGGGGGGACTCTCCTCGTCCTCCCTGGCGACCCTCCTCGGCACGCCGCCGGCAGCCGGCGGGGACGGACGTGGCCTGGACTTCCTTGACGAGAGGAACGCTGCGACGCGGTCCTCTAGGCCGGGTTGGTACAAGGAATTGTTCGCCAGGGTCATGGCTCAGAGCATGAAGGCCTACGAAGCAGAGGTTAGCCGCCGCCTCAGTTTTCTTTCCCAACGCCCGTAAGCAGGGCAGCGCAACTCAACCCTAGGTTTAAAATTACAAGGGAAAAAACGCTAATTGGATAACGTTTACTCAAAAAATAGTCAAATATCACAACCTCAGTGATAAATACAGATCCTAAATCTATCGCTGGATCCACCCACATCAGCAATTATATCTTTGAGTTCTTCAGAGTTGTGCCTTCCTGTTGTTTTGCGAACTTGAAGGTTGCAGGCTACAAGACCCAGATCTTTTCTCATCTGAGGGGTGAGGGCAATAAAATACTGGAGCTTGGTGTCGGCACTGGCCCCAACATCAAGTACTATGCAAACGCCGCGGGTGTCGTTGTTGGTGTCGATCCCAATGAACGGATGGAAAAGTATGCCCGGGTGACAGCGGCAGATGCAGGTCTCCCATCAGATCAATTTACTTTCGTACAAGGCGTATGTGGCATCCACTGTGTAGTTGATGATCTGACCCAAGCAATTTCCTCCCAACTGATGGAATTATCTTCTGCAGGTGGCTGAAGCCTTACCAGTGAAGGACAACTCGATGGACGCAGTGGTTGGAACCCTAGTTCTGTGCTCTGTCCCCGATGTTGCCGCGGCATTGAAAGGTACGCATCTTGGCCCAGACCCCCGGGCAATATCTGGGTTCTGCAATCTTATCGCAAACACTCAAATGTCTGCAGAGGTGAAGAGAGTTCTGAAGCCTGGTGGGTACTACATATTCATCGAGCATGTTGCCGCCCAAGGTGATAAACCAACGAATCTAATGTCTCTACTCTTGGGGACTCCCAGTTTTCTCATGCTTCGATCTTTTCTTGGCATCGTCAGACGGGACTCTCCTGAGGTTCGCGCAGAGAGCTCTGGATCCCCTGCAGCAGTTCGTCGCCGATGGGTGCCATCTTGCGAGGGAGACGGGAAAGAGCATATCCAAGGCAGGCTTCTCTGATGTTCAGATAAGCGCGACCTCCATAGACGTTCTGTCCATCGTCAGCCCCCACATCTATGGACTTGCCTGTAAGTAATCGAGGAATCAATCATCTGTGAGCAGCAATCACTATCAACGGATGCATCGAGCTACTGAATCCGTTTGCCAGAACCAAGGGATCTTTCTGTGGATGGTCTTCTGTGTTCTACGAGTAGAAACTGTGAGACTACCTGTGTTACAAGATTAAAGTATAAGTCATTTAAGGTGAAGAAGAAAACTGTCAGGCTCAATGGAAATCCAATAAAAATTCGCGATCTAGTAATCTAAATGTAGACGCTACCTTAAACATTAATGTGGGGAGTTCAAGCAGCATCTTTTCTTGTCAATCGATTTCTATGATGTATCTGCTTCCTGAGGCGGTGGGCTACCAGTTGGAGCATCAACCTGCGACATTCAACCACAAAAATGTCCTCAAACGTATACAATATTGCTTAATGTTGTTGATCCATTAGCAGTATATCAGTAATTTAGTGATGGATCATGCACTTACGGCACTATATAGCTGGTCTCTGATGCAGAACATGGACTTCAACATCGTTTGCAGAGTATCCTTGGTTAGTTGGACCTTCACCTCTGTGTCTTTAGATAGAGACTGCGCGTCACCTTGAAGCTGCAGATGAAAATTAAGCTTCATATACAGAATACCTTTCCAGTCGAGAGAGATGGAATCCACTCGTTTGGTTTTGGTGTTTATTAACACTAGTTTAACAAGAAAAAAAAGTTAATGAAGTTCATGATTGAGCAAGCTCCAGAGTAGAATGTGCAGTTTTTTTTTCAGATTGGCGAGGTAAGAAATGGTGCTGAATCACACAATGTTCAGCTCAACTCCAACAAGCTAACTGAGTAGACTTGCAGAGGGCGGATATTCAATATTAGGCTAAACAGGGGAACGACAGGGTATTCGATGAGCTCGACGGCACACCTTCAAGTTAAGCACGGCGACATGGCCGCCGGATTCCGTGTTCTGATCCACCATGTTCCATGTCATTGCCTTCAAGCGTGGAATAGAGACCTAAAACATCGGGAAATTTGTGAAGAAGAAGATGGGTTGCTCCCCCTATCGGGAGGGCGGGGAGAGGGAGATGCCGAATCTGTAATCCTGAGAGGGTTGTAGCAGTCGGCCGAACCTGGTCTTTGTGGGCGTCCTCACGCCACTCCCTCTGAAACTTCTGCAACAGCAGAGTGAGCAGCCTCTGGATCTCAGGCGTTACCTCCTCTGGAAACAGCTTTTGGATCTCGTCTCTGGGGACATTCCCATAGACGCACCTGCGTATCAGCATCCGGAGGCACACCAGAAGCTGCAGGAGAAATCCCACTGATTAATGTGGAAAAACACCAGAGACAGTTGACAAGTCCCCCACTCCACATGGCGATAAACTATTAGGGGGGAAGACGGAGGAGAAAAGGCAGGGTGGAGAGGGCGTACGGGATCGAGGGCGGCATCAGATTGGAGCTGGAGCATGCCCCGGACGATAGCACGGTCGGCGGAGTCGAGGCCCGTCGCCCGAGTACGCCACAGCGCCTGGAGGATATACTCCACCGAATCTTTCGAGCTGGCGCGCACCAGCAGCGGCAGGTGCCTCCACATAGAGCGCGCGCGCTCGGCGTCACCGCAATCATCCTGCTGCGGCTGCGGTGGCCCTCCGTCCATAGCTTCAGGCCCTACGCCGAATCGAGAGGAGAGAGGCAGAGACAGGGAGAGCCTGGGTTTTGCCGATGGTTTGCTATTAGGGTTTATACGGTGAGGTGGGTGTTCATCAAAATAAGGTGGGCCGAAATTAGAATTAACATAGTGGGCCCAGCGATTACGAGTTTACCCATTCGAACGTCGGCATTAGGAGGCGAAACCTGGAATGGAAGGGTGGAGAGGAAGGAGGTCACCGGGCATCCATGACTGATCTCCACGGTTGCAGTTCTTCGTCGGGTGTTCGCCGCCGGTGAAGGTGGAAGGGGGGGGAGGGGGAGATAAAGCCGATTGATTCTTCGTTGTTTTGGAGATGGCGCCGCATGATATCCGACGGCCGTTCAAGCGAGCCGCCATGTCCGACCAGCAGAGGCGGCGGGAGCAGGCGCTGCTCCGCCAGGCGCAGCACCGCGCCGAGGCCCAGAACCGGGCGCGGTTCCTGGCTTCATCCGTGTTGGGGCTTGAGGATCATTCCGAGCCTAACTTGCCGCCCGAGTCTACGTCAGAACCAGAGGAGGACGCCGACGCCATCCCCAGGGAGCTGGACGTGATACAGGCATCGAAGTTGAGAGGCTCCGAGGCGCGGCTGTGGTTTTCTCGCCAGCTCATGTTCCCCGAGTGGATGATCGACGTCCCGCTGCGTCTGGAGGAAGACTGGTTCGTCTCTTCCTGATTCCGGGGTTCTTTCTATTTTTCTCGTACAATGAAGTTTGTAACTTGCAATGGAGCAATGGGGGTTCCGAAACATAAACACAAAGACTATAGCTTTTGATTCCTCCTTGAATCGGTTGGTTACAACAGAGTGCATAGTTTTTCTGTGATCTTGAGCACTCTGCCCGATTATACTTTGCCAAAAACGTTTTATTCATACAAAAGTAGCGGCTTTCTGATCATTTCTTTTTTTTTAGCTACGGTCTTTTATAATTTTGGTTCTTGATTTTCTGTTGTATTTATCTAGGTTTTGCATGTTCCATGCACAAGCATCGTTGACCAGGAAAATGAGTTGCGATGGGTTCTGGGTTATAAGACGAATTAAATGCACTATCGCCTGTAAACTACGTAAACATCTTTAATATTTCCAATTTTGCGTGAAGATTAAGACATGGAAATATTCTAAAGGTAGCTTTCATCCAAGATAGATTCACGTGTTGATGATTTGCCTTTTTATGTGTATGGAATTATCCATCCAGTCCGTTTTTAATGTGGGCGTCATTATGTGCTGTTTTTAGGAGATGGAACACCTGCTGATATTGTCATTCTCACGGTGACTTCAGAGTTTTTGATGCTTTCTTGTACATTAAATTTTATGGGTGTCAGGGCTTAGCACTATAGATTTAGTCTTGGTGCAACTGTTCTTGGATGCAATATTTTTCATGATGATAGTAAACTTATATAAATTATTTTATGACCCTCTGCATTCGCATGGTGCTGAAATATTGATGCAAAATGCAAATCCCTTGCATGGCATCCTTTTCGATGCCCTGTGCTGGAAGTGATTCATGGTAGACATGATTCATGGCCTTCTGGGGGGCATGTTTATATTAAGTTATGACAAGATATTTTCGATTTCTGTGATATGAATCTTAGTAACAGTATTATGGAAGAATATGAGATTGATTTTGGGGTGGGATATGTGTTACATATTATTGTCCCAGAGCTTACTGTGACACCCCTGGCACTGAGCACCGTGTGACACTTCTCTCCTGAAAATCGCAAACTTTTTCTTTGTCAATTACATATTGAAGATAGTTTTTCTGTGTTGTAGGTATGTCTTCCCACGGCCTGAAGGGAAGCGTTGTTTTGTGGTTTCCTCTAATGGAACTACAATAAGTAGATGCCGTAATGGCTCTATGTTGCATCGGTTTCCATCTAATCTTCCCTGTGGTGCGAGGACAAGAGATGGTTCGGGGCCCAGTCAGTCGTATTGTATCCTAGATTGCATTTTTCATGAGGTGACATAATTTCACTGGCTATCTGAATTTTTAACTGTCCCATCTTTTGTTTATTTCTGGGCAGTTTACTTATTTAACCACTGTTTATCCTATGCAGCCCGATCAAACTTACTATGTAATTGATATGGTTTGTTGGCGAGGCTACTCGTTATATGATTGCAGTGCTGAGTTCAGATTTTTCTGGTTAAACTCCAAGCTTATTGAAACTGGAGCATGTGATCCTCCTTCAACATACCACAAATATAGATTTAGCACTTGCCCTATTTATGATTGTAGCCTGATTGGTCTTCAAACAGCTTATTCAGGTGATGTGCCATATGTCAAAGATGGTCTGTTGTTCTACAACAAGTGAGTGTCAATCTGTTTGAATCACATTTATAGCTGGGATTTACTTTTTATCGACAGAGTGCAGTGTGTTAACTTCTTTCATGGTATTATTTTGCTACTTGCATTTCAGGGAGGAGTGAAAATCTGAACTATCTCAGTTGGAGAACAAGAAGATAAAATTTATTAATTTATCCTTGCTGTGAGTGGAGAGACGAAAATATTGGATTTTAAGCCACACGAGGAGAAATAGGAGCGTACTATCCTATTTTCGCTGCTTTATCGTAATAATTTTGGTGATTTTCCAAAACGTATTCGTAGGCCTATACAGAATGTATTCATGAAAAATCTATGTAACATAAACTTTTCTCTCCCTTGAAGCATCTGGTGACTGTTGTACCTTTGATCATGCAAGTTGATGTCAGATATATACTTGAATATGAAATGCAGGACTCGTCTTCCTGCTGCATCTGCACCTAACCCAATCTGCTCTAGCAAGCATGCTCTCCAACTATTTCACCAAATGCCTAACACAAATAATTGTGACCTCCAACGAAAGAGCCTTCTGCTAACATGCATTATCTCTGAGAATTTGTTTGAAGTGGCATCAATGAACGTAAATGGTCTATGCTTTCTTTGGTTAGGTGTCCACATGATGATATCTGATGAGAACAACAATCACGATCTTGCTGTTAAAGTTGTCTCTTGCACTGTAGGTCTCTCTTCCATCTATAAGTATAAGATCGTGCTTGCTAAATGAAAATTCTTTCAACAGCTGTGCTCAACAGTAGGTTGGGTTCTTTTCTTTTTAACTGCATTTTAATTTCTCAACTGCTTGCCAAGGTTTTTAGACTATGTTTAAAAATACAGTGCAGACCTCCCTGGACAACGTGGAGTTTTGATACCGTGTTAAAGTATTTAGTCTTCAACTTCGGAATCAATATTTAGGCCCAAGTATTTTGACCACAAATTTTAATTTTTTCCAACCAATTTTAGGATGTTCTTCTAATATCTCTATCATATTAGACTTTTTTTACTTCATAGCTAAGTACCATGTTTATGACTCGAATTTACCTTCTTAAATTCTAAAATAGCCTTTGATATTTGGTTTGTAGGCACGCTCATTATCAAACAGGGAACACACCGTTGGCATTGGTATGGAAGGATGAATGCTGTAGTCAATATTTTCTTGATACAGACAGTAAAGGACAAGTTCCAGACCGACAACTGGTTTGTGTACTACAACAGAAATATCAGCTATGGCATTCCTGGAATTTATTTATTGGCGCTAAAATCTGCATAAATATCTAAGCAAGTTATTTCCATCTATGGTTAGAATGTGTCCATTATTTGTAGAGATTAATTTTACTAAAGTTTCTTTTCTTGTTACTAAAGTTTTACCAAATTCACATAAATTGGCACATAGAATGACTAATCGAAAGATGGACTGATAAAAATGACATGCAAAGAGCAGGGCAAAAGAATTCGACTTTCTTGTTCTTTATATCTTAATATTATTAGCAATCGAGATCATTATCCTCAAAGAGGGCTTGAGATCTTTGATCCTCGGAGATATCATACCCAAATTGAAAATTTATTGGTTTGTTTGACAACAAGGAGAAGAAAATGATCCTATTGTATAAATTATCATGTTTGAGGACAGTCCATTGAAAACATCACTCTACTTTCAGAAATAGAAGGAAAATCAGTGTTTCCGTTTTGATCTGATCTCTCTGTAGCCTGAGAATGTTCCAGTCATTTTACAATACGGAAATTGAACTCCAGAAAGGTTTTTCCAAAACGGAAATGGTTTCTCTTAAGGAATTCTCTAGTCATGCTGTAGTGTAGTATTCTGACTAGTGCGTAACTGTGGGACTAAGTATTCTGCCTAGTATTATGGACCAAGTTATTAAAGATGCGGGTAAGGCAGCAGCCTCCTATTCCTTTTTATTTATTTGTCAATGTATTGTCTTTTGGTATGACTTATTTGGGGGTGGTGGGGAAGCACTGTTTAAGAGCATCCGGATTTGGGGTAGATTAGAGAGTGCTGAGACACGTATGTGACGAAGATGGATGCCTTTCTTTCTCAATCCTCATGTTGATCGTGCAAAAGGGTGAATAAAGTGAACTTATATTTTCTACACTTTGACAACTGATCAGGTAGTCTTGGAGTTGCAAGAAGATGGAAAAGTAACGAGCTCAGATGAACCTCCTGTTATGTTTACTTGCCTCGGTGAAGAGTTTATAGAAAAGGTATGTTTCTTTGAATAACTTCGGCTACTATATCTGCTTTCAGATCGTTGCGTCATGCCTTGGCGAGGTGGAAAATGTACAAGTTTTCATTGGTTTGGTTGCATTTCTAGGGGTTGATGTGGATTTAGGAAGGCACGTTATCTTATTAGTCATTGTACAATTTCTATCTCTAGAAGAACATTGCTGGGATCACAAAATTTTGTTGAAGCAATGGATCTGTGACCATCAAATCGAGTCCAAGTAGAATAAAAAATTATTAGAAATATATTTTGAAACGCATCGGAACTTGGTAGATTCATCATTCAACAGTGGATGCAAAATTTCATTAAAAAAAATTGATTGCCGCAAAACTTCTACACAGGATTAGCTCTGGAATGCGTAGGTTGTTTTCGATCATCAGCTTAAACATGTGGCATTCAGCTAGAATTCATCAATCACCGTTGCTTGTGCCTTCCCTGATCTGATGTCTGATTTGAGCTTATTTTTTCCCAATTGGCAGGCAAGTTTACGGCCACAGTCTCTTCTACGCTTTGCTATTGGTGATGGCGGCTTAAAACTGGCTGAAGGAAGGCTCGAAATGGTTGATTTAATCTACATTGGAAAGTCTAACTCTAGACGTGGATTTGCTGATAGTTACTCCAAGGTAAATTCTGTGAATGCTGGTACTGTTTTTTTTTTTCATTATTGGAGCAGGTACAAGGCTAAATTTAAGCTGGCCAAGTTTCTTTGCCTCAGATAGTCACAAATACTGTTCGCTCAATAGTATGTTATATGAGAAATCATGAACTCCTCAATGGATGCTTTCTAGACCAGTATACTCGGAGCAGTGACGTTGATGCTTTGTTCAGTTTGTGACTTCTGAGCTCATTAGCATGTGACTTCTGAGCTTCCCTACTTTTTTGTTCTTAAAGGCCTTTCGTAATTCTTCCCTCTTTGGCCCATAAATATTATGATATTTATTTTGGAATTTCTTCGCAAGAGGAGGTGTTGACAATTATAAGACATCTTTACATTTTTTTTATATTATTTTGAAATTCAATGATAGGTTAATAAATAGCTTGCCAACATTCTCATAAAGCCTGTGGGATCCCCCACCCCCCCACCAGAAAACCTGAAAATAAAATAAAATTGGCCTGGTCTGGTACCTATTCGAACCTGGATAGATTCTAGATGGGGTTCAGGCGGAAACCCTGTAGCGCATCTCTCTCTCTCTCTCTCTCTCTCTCACTATCCATCTATCTGTCTACATATATTTATATATATATGTAGCTATGTATATGCATAGACATCTATATATCCAAGACGCCCTCTTTGACCCAGAGTCAGTTTCTTTGGGCTTTTCCTAAATCTTGCAAAGATATCCCAAGCTTGAGCTGCAGTGACAACCCTAGTATAGACGGTTGTGACTGACTGTTGACCTTAGCATAGGATACTCAGCTTTCATATAAATGCGTGCATTCAGACATTACATCCAGTTTCTTGTAGCCCCGGGGCATCCTAGATTATGCAGAAAGCCAAATTATAATATCCTTGGAGAAGCATAGCATTTAGGTTTTCTGATTGAAAGAATAACTTTATGCTTTTTTGTCCTCACCTTGACAATTCTACCGAAGCTGATGTCTATTTCCATTTATAATGACTACTGCACTATTGCACACTCAAGCTCGCGTAATTACACAGCTCTACTTCCAAAATCAGGTTTAGTGATTTCCAAGAAAATTCACTCATTTGGCTGATGAGCTGATTATGTTTTTGGTGTGCAGGTGTTGTTCCAGTTCACTGCTCGCCACAATCCTCTTCGTTTTGAAGATCTTGTGGCATCCCTGCAATCGTCTGTGGGTCAGTGCACAGAGTCTGAAGACATCGTGATGACTGAGTAGCTTCTTAGTGACGGCTCTGCAGATTTTTGTTTTGTCCTACAATGTCCTTTCTGCTTGATATTGGGAAAATATATATGGAAACTCTTGTAATTATATTATATTATAAATGGAAACTGTTTTTCTGTGCATGGATATTGTGTTATTTCCCAATTTCATTTTTATACGGTGTCTCCAACTATCACTCTACCAAGTGTTTTCTCAGGGTATGATGAATGGGTCTATATTTTGATCTCATTTCATGTTTTTAGGAAGTCAGATTTTCATACATACTATTCCTTTGCACAAGAACACAATGAGAATGCTGTGAATCTGGGTTACCATACGTTTTCATACTGGGTAAATATGAATTAATGAACCCCAAAAAACAATAATTAATCGAGGCATTCCATTAATTAACTGTGTATTCACCTTGCATAAACCTGAGAACCAGACTTGGAGAACGCTGCATCTGTCTAAATATTTACATTGCCATGAATAAAGCCAAAGTTCATATGGGCACATCTGCTTGCTTGTAACAACCACTTTTAGACTTCTTTCCTCGAAAATATGCCACAGTAAGACCAAAGTGGAAATATTGGGGAATAAGTGAAAAATAATAAAAAATCGTGCGACTTCGAATATGCTGTAAGGGTTTCCTACTACCCATATCACCCAAAGCTTGCACATATCTCATAGCTAGTAAGAGAAACTGAAACCCCTGAGCCAAATATGGGTGCTTAAAGCTCTGCTGCCCTCCTCAGGAGAGATCTGTATTCCTGGCTCCTGGACCACTCATCGATCTCTCGGGCTCTTAAGACAGGCAACGGGTGGGACAACTGCCTTGTCTGGGCGTTTCTGAAGAATAAAATCATAATTCTTTTATCATAATTTTTTCCTCCCACGGTCCAAAAATACAGCATTTTTCAACACCTCCACTTTGAAGGGAAAATAGGTTAGGGCGCTAACCTGATGTACCACCCAACTGGACTAGAAGAAGCTTTATCGTATGAGCGGGCTTGCTCCAAAAATGCATCAACATTAAGCTGGTCAGCGAGTGATGGGCATCCGCCAGCTAACTTCATCAAGACAGAGATGACCACCTCTTGATGGAATAGGAGAATAATGAACAGTCAGTCAGAGGATAATGGATATCAAGAAACTTTGCAAGTTTGTATCCATTTTCAGTTGAAGTTTAATTTTTACACATTTACGTTCGAGGAAAGTACCTTTAATTTTTTTAAAAAAAAATTAATCGGCGACATGCGTGATTTAAAATGGTAGTTATCCACAAACGTTATTTTTGCTCTTAATAAGTCAAACCTTTATTCCAAGCTAATAAACCCTGAAAATGATATAAACCGACGTGGTAGCTAGGTTATGTAAGTACAATCTTAGTTTTTAGCTACAGTTTTCATGTCTCCTCAAATAGTAAACCGGAAAAGAAAATACTGTCTTTGTTGCCTTGAAGTGGAAATTGATCCACTTACCTAAAACGCATGAGAGAAAAATTACTAGTTTCATTTCTAAAAGGTTATTTACCTTGGAATCTTGAGTGACGAGGAGAGCAGCTCGATCACAAGTTAGTTCGGCAGATCGAAGCCACCTAAAAAGCTGCTCTTCCAATCTCTGAGCAATGAACCCGCCAAGACCTAGGAGGGTAAAAAGGCGTAAAAAATGGACAACTTTCAGATTTTTTTTGTAAAGTAATGATCATTTATACCGAAAACTGAGCACGACGATTTACCAGGTACAGCATATGCCCCCATGGTAACAATATTTGCAAATGTAAGCCACACTCCATGATCACACTTCAAATGGCCCAATTCATGAGCCAATACAGCCTGAATTTAGAGAAATTATGCGGAATTTAAAGCTTGATTTCACACAGAAAAATGATTGAAATATTTAAATTCAGGTAGCTACTATCCAAGGCATCTAAACATTTATGAAGTTTTCCTTCAAAAGTTGATCTTATTACTCTCAGAGAGTTAATATTTTCTGCAATATGTTTCATTGAAGAAAAAAATCATAAAATGTTTTATTGGTATACATGAAACTATCAACTTTAATAAGACACATGGTACCAGGAAGCTTTCCTCCTTTTCCATATTCCAGCTTCAAATCCTTCTATTGAAAATCACACAATGCAAAAAGTTCAATTACAGCACCAGAGTCAGCGTAATCGCATATTATCAATATGTAGGCAGAAGAATTACCAATAAACTATCCCAATCAAACATAAATGAGAAAACCGGCGGTATTCCCGAACCAACTTTAAGTAGAAACATTTTTGAGTGCTCTTTTAGGTCAGGATTTAAAACATACAAGAAATCGTTCAAATCATTGAAACACCGACTAAAACCTAGATTTTTTTACTTGTATTACTAGGATAAATGTCAAGGATGTGGCTTCCAGGCTACGTACGCCACAATAACACGGGCCACTTAGCCACGTCAGATAAACCTGACATTAAAAACTGAACTACCTTACCATCTAGAAATTAGAGAGACAACCTTGAAAAAAAGGTATAGGAATGAGTCACATAATTTGCTCCTATGATTATGTAAAAAGAAAGATTTCGCGCTCTGAATCCCAAGTTCCTAGTGGATTTCTATCTAGGTTGACAGCCAGATGTTCACGATGAAAACTGTAAAGATGTTATCCTCGGTACTTTCAGCGTTATACCACGAGCTTTATGTACACTGCGTTGAGTTACAAAGTTCTTCCAAGACACAACATAAATCGGTGTTTATCCAAATATTCTAAACATTTCGAAAGCTAATCGAAGGATATCATTTAACAATAACAAAACTAAAATACATTACCTGTAGTTCTTTTCTGGTTAACAACTCTACAAGGCTCGTGTGAACAACAATGAATGGCTTCCTCCCGCTAATTGCCAGAGTATATGCATTTGGGACAGGATTTTGACGGATATACAGATCAGGAGCCTCAACATTCAGTATTTTACATGCGTCAATCAATAATTGATAAAGATCAGAAAGCTGCAATATGTTAGAGAGCATTAAAAGATCTGTGGTGAAATGTAGAATATCAACTTGACAACTACGAATAAATTACCAATAAAATTTAATGCCCAGTATTTCATTATAAAAGTCCAAATTTTCAAATCAAAGTTCAGTGGAAACCACATAGGATTTCATCTAAATCTTTCTTAGTGCAAAACTGCCCATTGAAAGATGATACATTGTAGGATTGTTGACGCTGCACATGAAAGGAGAGTTCGATTCTAAGATAGTATTCAACGTATCGTAAGCAGTGCCATTCAGCTAGAACAGCTACAAGCATGGAAAGATGACTTGAACCTAGGATGTGATCTAGAGATCCCAAAATCGAGCTAACACGAACCATATCCGTCGACTGCATGATTTTCTGTTTTTCAATTCGTGTATCCAACTCAATTTTCCGGGGGCTTTTTCCATGCTTTTGGAACCACAGAAGAAAGGAGAAAGTAGACGGAAAGAAGAAAAATGAAGGAAGAAGAGTGGAGAGAGAGAGAGAGAGAGAGAGAGAGAGAGAGAGAGAGAGAGAGAGATCCTGCTACTTCTAGTCAACTTGCTCGTCTATTGACTCTCCACGGACACTGAAAGATGCCAAAAGCAATGTAGCAGCTATTCTATGACAAATCTGGTGCATGTTTCTCCGTTAAGATCTGATGATGAGAATAACAATGAAGAACTCATTGAAAGCAGGGATGACAAAGAGAGTGCCAGGCCTGACACCCATATAAAGGAGGATATTGTTCTTTCGCCAGTTCCACGTTAGAGAAGATTGCACAGTAGTGTTTCATCAGTTTGTTTGGGCAAACGTCATAGCTTGCTGGCATTAGTCGAAAAACAATTCTTAGCATAGCCAACATTAAACTCCTAAACCATAATCTGCATCCAAAGTCTGAAGTATATATACATGCTTGATGCAAATATCCCCAGGTATCACGACGCGTTTAAGGGAAGATATAGCCTACGTAAATAGAATCCTAATACTGACCTGATTTTCAGCAACACGAACAGATGTTCCTATGTTCTCAAGAAGCATGACCTGCTCAGAAACGGGTCCTGTAGTGACAATAACATTCATGAAATCATGCTAAGAGATGTAACAAGCTAATAAAAGTAATGTCATTCCACGAACTAGGGTTTTCATTAACCTGAAAACGCATTAATCTGCTCGAAAAGAAGGAATTAAATGATTTGAAAAGTTTCTAAGATCTGTCTTCCATAAAAATCTAATAACAATTTGATGACATGGAAAGTCTTAATTCATTTGTAACCATAATAAATCAACTTAAACATAAAATTGAAGTCTTTGCAACATCAAGCGTAACAAAACGCTGAACCCACATCTACAGCTGTTAAACAATAGTTTCTTCATCGCTATAAGCCTTATCCCATTCATCTACAATTAGCCACGTCCAATAAAAGACAAGATATTCAGATGAATGAAGACAGAGAATTCAGTCCATACGTTTCTAATAATTTATGAGATATCAAAGGCCACACTCATATAAGATAAGTTACACAACAGAAACGCATATATAAGCAACTAAATAATAGCTTGATGTCAATAATCATGCAACAAGGGGAGACCAGGTGTATTTGAATGAGAGACCATGAAGCCGGATATACAGTCTTCGACCAACTCACTCAGCTGGATGAAAGATAAAAGATTGGGCACATTTTTCCCAACGAGTTACTTTAAATGCCATCAACACTTACATCATAGCGGTACTTGATAAATGTAATTCTGAATAGGGACTTTAAGAAAAGTCCTAAAACAATTGCTAGCACAAAGTACTAGTTTTTTATATTATATAAAGGGAGGACAGTGAGCAAACTTTCATCTAAACGTTAGAAAAGAAGCAAGACAGAGAGAAAATAGGTAGTTGGATACCCGTTGTTATCACTGCTCTGAAAAAATTAAATGAGACACATAAAGGACGACCAGTTTTGGGAAGAATACTGGATTACACATTCAATTTCCAATTGAGGAACTGATGCAATCATTACTGGGTTTTGAGGAAGCGGAATAGATTAGCCCCCCAAAGAACCATATAGCCATGTACTGATGATGCTCATCAAAGAATAAAATTCATATTGACTGGAAACATCTACCACTATAACTTCTAAATATCAAAGAAAGCCTAGGCCATCTTCCCTGGAGATGGATCAGATTGTATATGCCGCTTGAAAATAAATTAGATCCAATAGCTTTTTGAGTCGTGAGAAACGTTCACGTGGTTCAGTTATTCAAATTTATGCCAAACAGAGACACAAGGTAACAAAAGAAAATAATTCTACCCAGTTCTTCTCACTTTCACATGGACATAAATATGAATAATACGTTAGCTATCTTTGAAATTTGACGCAACAAACTATTAATCTGACCTTTGAGCATCAATCGACGAAGAGATTTATGTTTTCTAGACGTCACATCTTGGACCAACTCACAGAGAGTAGCTTACTAAATGTAACAACTCACAGGCACCATTGCTCCGTGACGAACATGGGATGAATTACAGTCTAAACGACAAGTAAAGTGCAACTAACGGCTACACAAATCCATTCCTTAAAAAAAAAAAAAAATTACTTCAACTAAGAAAACTGAGGTGAATTAGGGCTCCATAAACCAAGAACACAATGAAACGACGCAAACTACAGAAAAAAGAAACCAAAAAAATTGGAGATATTTTCATTACCTAACAAAGCCTTGCCAAATTCTTTCAGCCCAGGTATGGCCCTCAACAGCAATGTATTCTGCATTCGGGGAAAAAATGAAATGAAGGAAAGTTAGGATATACGACTTCTAGATATTCTGAACGAAAAAATTATCAGACTAAAAAAAATAAGTTTATGATAAATACGCTTTGATAGAATTCCGACCTGCTGATCAAGAGGGTGTCTGAAGTCATCCGCTTCAAGATCACGGAAGACATAAGTTCCAGAAGAAGAAGATGAGGAGGTATAAGCGGAAGTATTCGTAGAAGCCCCACAAATCACAGAAGCTGTTTTCAATCCACGTCTCCTCTGGCCCCGCAATTCGACATGCAGAATCCGGAAATCACATCGATCTCCCTGCCTCGAACTCGCACACGCCATTGGTATCAAGGAGTTCCGAGTGAGGCTGCAGGAAGGCAGAAGAGAAGACGCCATGGAAGAGTGAGGGAGAGCGCTATGGAAACAAGACTCGAGCTGTCAACGGTTCCTCTTTCTCGTTTTCTTGGAAGTTGGAAGAGGAGGTGCGGAACGCCGGGGTGCAGCATAAGTTGGCTTCCTCCGATCCCCTGCCCCGCGGATCGTACCATCCTGGTGCGTGATGGCGTCATACACCGAGGAAGATTTCACGCTCAAATCTGCTCCCGAGGGTAACTCGGAATAGCCGCCTTGGTGGCCACAACCGCGGTTAATGGCGCGGCTTTCTCGCCACCCTCCGACGTTCTCCGGTTTTGACTTTGGAGGCGGCGGCGCGCGAAATATCCTCGGGGGGCCACGTCGGTCGTCTGGCGACCAGGAGCTGGCTGCCCTGTTAATGGGCCGGCTCAGGCCAGGAAAATAAAATAAAATCTGCCGAAGCTGATGGGCCTGGTCGACCCGGAAGTCCAAATCAACACGCTAACTAAGAGCCAAATGGGCCGCAAGGACCAATACATTTCGGTCATTATTTTATTGAAAAAATGCATTGATTTCTAAAATTTTAGTCAAATATATGAAAAGAAAAACTTTTGAGTAATTCAGCCCCATTTCTTGAATATTTATATATATATAAAGGCCTTGAAAAAAATTACGGGCAGATGATACTTTATTAAATGAAGAAAAAAATTGAATATTTTTAGATCAGACCTCACCCAGAAGGACTGGTAGCTGGGAATTACTAGATAACTCGATGATATTTTTTATTCTTATAACCCTGCTCCTGAGCTACATACGACACAGTTCAAGGCGAGTATCCACTGGCAGATGTCAGGGAATGACCGCTGTTATGCGAGACAAGCAGTGCGGAAAGCTGTACATCGAATGCCTGCTGATGTCAGGGGCTAGGTGAGCGACCATTTGGGAAGTGGAGATGTTCTTCAGGCCGAAACTCCTACGCAGCTTCTGCTAATGGGTGAGAGAGGCGCCATCTTGCACGCGGCGGTCCATTTGTATTGTGGTACAGCACCTGCCAAGAGAAGCAGATCAAGAGGCAGGCTTGGGCAGCTGAAAATGCTCTCTGGGTCACTGCAATGATCCGGGTTGGAATCACCCAGTGGGGCCTTTCAAGGCATAAGATCCATGCCAATCCATGGAGAAGACGAGGAAGCTTACAACTTTCTGGTCATCCCCCCCGGTGGAAATGTACTCGTCGTTTGGTGCCACTGCCACCTGCCATTTGTGCAACCTTGTTAATGTTCTTGATCTGAAGGAGGTAGAGAACCAAAGCTTTCACAAAATAGATGGATAGGATGGGCATCATACAGTGTTGACGCATCGTGTGTGGCTTATCAAATGTCTGATGCAAGGTTTGCCCAGGGCAACATCCCACATTGCGATGCTGTAAAACGCAAGGAAACCAAAAGGTCAGGAGGATTTGGCATCAACACAGCGTAATCTATAGAGAACTGTTTGTGCACACCTGCCGTCGCCGCTCACAGTGACTAAAACTGATTCCCTCTGAAGCCACTTAGCGTCATTTACACCTTGGTCGCCCTCATCAACATGTCTGCAACGAAGTATGCAGGTCATAAAAGAATATGAAAATGGGAAAAGGGAGAAAATCATTCAGGAATGACCAATAAAAACGTTTTAAAAGATTAAACTTTATGGAAAGAGAACAAAACAAAGAAACAGAGTTTTGTTTGGACAAAAGGAAGGCTTAGACAACCGCAGGCTATGCAATCTAAAACAAAGTTTTTGTGCTATTCTAATCAGGATCATCGTCTTCTTCATAGTTGTGATTTGGATGGGCATGGTTTTCGTAGTTTCTGAGGCAAACCTCTACTCAAGGACGGCCAACCTTTGGTCCTAAAGCCCTTGGCCATGCTTTGGTTAAGTCACACCAAAGTTTCTATGATTTGGTGCAATACTTTTCACTTTCAGGCTCTGAATAAGATATTGAGTTGGCCGACGACATCCATGGCCAAAACGGAGCTTCAAGAAAATAAGCCATGTTGTGATCCTAGAGATAATTTCCCATCCAGGATATCAGCATCGTTTCCCACTGTAAGAAACTGTGATCGAGTAATCCAGGGTGACAAAAGTAGTCCCGAAAGTCATCTACTTCTTACTGTGTCACTTTGCATCTTCCTCGTTAAACAACAAGCTGGAAAACGCACTTTGATGGCACAAATTTTCTAGCATATGATTGGTGATTAAACGTTTAAAAACTTGTCTACATGCAACTTTCTTCACGTACAATGGAATGTAAGCCCATGTCACACAGCATGATATCATCGAGGAAGGGAGAAAAATGAAATGGGAGAAGGGAAGGGAGAAAAAGGGTGATCCATGGAGGAAATAATGACATAAAATGTAGAGCGGCACAACAGGTGACGCCTGAAGAGCATCTCAATGAGCTCAACGGTGTACTCTTTACACGAGTAATTAAACGATGCGTTAACCGAGAAATACATGGCTTGAGAAAAAAGAAATAAATTATGCCGTCTGAAGTTTAATCCAATAAAAATGAAGTGAGACAATAAACAGAAGAGGATATTTTCGAAGACATAGTTTTTATGTTTTCAGAATTGCTCAATACGGAGGGGCCACATGTTTTTTGAACTTCAATAGTCTTCACTGCCTACACTAATTGCCTTTCATTCTCGCTCATATCCCAATGACAAAATCTGGTCTAGTAATCTTTGTAGACTCTTCCCCTTGCGACACATTACTATGTGTGCAAATGCAAACATTGTCCTCAAGAATGTGACCACAGCATTGGTTCATCATACGACATACATCCTTCTGTAAAATTCCCATAAAGCCAAAAGAACTTGTACCCTTTCCCACTCCCCTTGTCATCTTTCCTGGACAACAGTACACCTGGTTGAGGAACTGTACCCATTTTCAGGTGACCAGCATGAAGAAACACTCGTTCCATATTACTTTCCCGTTCTATCGCAAACGTTTGCAGAAAACCCGCCCTCCCCCCAGCCCCAAAGGTTCTATGACACTAAGAGCCCATATAATTAGGCGAGGTTATTTTCCTCTGTGCAAATGGAGCATCCCATGAACACAGATAACAAAATAATGAGACAGAATTTGTACTCCCAACTAAGTATTTCTTAATGGTGGAATACCTTCACAAAGAAACTGCGACCGAAAACAAGGCCATTTTGGATAATGTGAAGTTCGGAAATTGTTTCTGAATTTCTTACAGGAGGTTCCTGTCCACCATTCAACTTGTTCTACATTAAACCGTCTCCAAGACGGGCCTTCTCTAGGTTTGATATTCTGAAATGGAACTATTTATACAGATAGGTCCAAAAACTTCCCTCATGAACCACGAAGAAATGCAAAGCAAAGCCTAGCATTGTCTTACTATAGACCAAAAAAAAATTTATTTAAAAGTATATGGAGAGTATTTGGCATGCAGCAAGACTAGTTACGAGGAACTAACCCTGGAAGCTGGCCTGCATGTTCTGCAGTCGGCATCTGCTTCCCATGGCTCAAACAGTGTAAAGGCCTAGTAGAAGTGAAGTTATTGATGGAAAAAGAGTGCTCATCATTGCTATGCCCACGATTCATTGGCATAAGCCGTGTATCCCACACCATTGTACTATTTGATGTGCTTGAAGCATGAAAGTAGGTGCCGCACTTGCTAAATGAAACAGAGGTAACCTGTACAAAAGGACATGTTCCAGTAAAACGCTAAACAAAGGAGTACAAACAGTATGGTTTTGAAATGCAGAGCCTTTCAGTATCGATATTCATACCTCATAGCTAGACCCCACTGAAAGATGAGAAATGACACCACATGTTCTGATATCATATAAGTCAACAGCCCCATCTCCAGCACCTTTCTCCAATATAATAATAATAAAAATCAAATGCTAAAATTATAACGAAGACATGACAGACACTATCTGTTTGTACATTAAAAATGTGAGATGATCCCACCAGTGATCACAGTGTTGCAGTCAGAGTTTGTTTTCAGGGACGTGATGTACTGAAAAGAAAAATTGTCAGCAGTTAGATTGAAATGATGGTGTTTCTCAGAGCCCCGAGAAATAAACTTACAGAATCATTTGCAGGGATTGATAAATAAGACTGAGGAGATTCAATGTCCCACAGTTGCACAACAGCAGGACCACCATGTGAAGAATCACTTCCACAAACCAGTAAGTTCTGGCTACAGAATTCCATGGCCTCAATGGATGGAGAGGCCTTACTTTTATGCCTAGAGAGAGGTATATAACAATCAGCAAAATCATAATTTGACATGGTTCCTCCAAAATTTGGAAAATAAGAGTCTAAAAAAATACATAATCTATCCAGAACCCGTTCGAAAATTAAGTTTACGAAGGAAGAAAAGTGTTTTAAGAACACTAATGCTAATACCTTAGGCTCCCATTCAAGTCCGCAGTAAGCTCCCCTGTCAAGGCATTCCACAAGAGGAGCTTTCCATCCCCAAGCCCACCGCTGGTCACTACAAGACCTGAAAAAATAGTAGTCCAATATGAAAAGGAAGAAAAAACCATCAAATATATAGCAATCCATGTCATTAATTTATTTTTATTCTACCAGCGTGACAAGGGAAAACACATCAACGTAGCCAAATCTAAGAGGATGCTTCAAAGATATAAAAGAAAAAAACTTGTTTTAGTAAAAAAGCTATATAAAAAAATGCTAACTGGTCAATTAGCTTGAAACTTGTAGAAATAAATTTAAAATCATTTGTGTTTTAACCTTGAAACTTGGTCTAACTAAAAACTAGCTTCGGCTTATTTATGCTTCAGTTGATAGAATTCATAGAATTAACTTAATTCAATCATCGTCTGGAATCATGGGCCAGCAAAGCTGTATGGTGGTTGAGCTGCTTGGTGATTGAATTATATCATAATTTACATTCATTTCATAGACCATCCATGTTTATATTTTTCCCTAAAACCACTGTCCGCAGAGTTTAATAAAGAAAAGGCAAAACAAAATGTAACTCACCGGTTTTTTTTTCTAAATGTAATAATAATTTTAATGATCCTATAGAAACATCACTATATGTAAAAGTAATACATTTCTTAGATGGCTTTGACATGTTGATATACATGACTTACAGGATTGGTAGTCATTGACTGTCATTGCACTGATTTTCTTCGTATGTCCAACTGATGCTCGGCCATCACTGACAGGCCCTAGAGTAAAAAGGCAAGAGCCTGTTGTCGCATCCCAAACCTATTTAAAAAAATGAAAATAAAAAAGAAGTAAAAAGCATACTAAGTTGTATTGATTAAATGCAAAATTATCCCACTAAAAAAAAAAAAAGAAAACTAGAAGAGAAAAAGATTATGCTCATAAAGTTTATTGTATTGCTTCAAGATTTGACAATTGGATTATGCTCATAAAGGCCACTCTATTTCTGTCAAACCCTGCGACAATGCTGATGACTTTGCATATGTGGAGAGATTGGGTAAGTATGATGACTACATAAAAAAAATTGCCGCCATAAAACGATTTCACTATGATGAATATGATGTCATTCGACATGTCTCAAGTGAGTATCAATTCCTAGATATGGAATATTTTTAACAAAACATAATCCAGACTAAGCCATATAAGTACCTTCATTAAGTTGCCACCGCATGAAACAATGCTTGCACCTCTAACAGCAAATTCAACAGCTTGAATCTGTCCAACCAACAAGGACGAACAATAATAAAAGCCTTTGCAACAATTTCAATGCAAAAGGAAGGGAGGCATGCTCCCCCACACAGGAAATGTTCATCAATTTTCTGAAGGTTTCAAAGTGGAAAAGAGAAGACGTTCTTGTCCCAACCACATTTATTTGGGATTTAAGGACGAGTACAAAAATTTTTACGGCTATCCCTAAGTATTTCTCATATGCAAAGGTGATTAATCGACCACAGCTAAAAAAAGTATAGAATGAAACTCCCAGCAGATAATATGCTATCCCAGAAAGCCAGACACAAGCTACTAAATCCAGATCAGCATTGACGTTGTTGATGATAGGATAAATCAACATAATTCTTGTCACACAATTCTGTAAAGCCTTAATATTCCGATAGAACCCAGCATCCAGAACATCCAACCCATCTGCATTTTTTATGACTTGCCAGTCCATTCTGAATAAAGGTATCTATATACAGTTCCTCACAAAGTTCACCCCTGAGACATGGATAAAAATTTCCATTCATATATTATTTTCATAAATTGAAAAATATCTTCAAGACACAAATACAGGCTCCCCCGCTTTTTCTTTTTCTTTTTCAAAACAACTCTTGATAAACTTTCATTAACTCGGAAGCGCCTGGAAGAGCCAGAAAAAACACCATCTGGAAAGTAAGGTAGCAATTAAGAAGAGAAAAACACACATCTGAGTTACGTTAAACATAACAGGGAAGTGGAGTAAGGATATCAAAAATTTATAAGAGAGAATCAACTAAATGATACCTGGCAGTTATGACCCGAGAGCTGGATAGCCCTTCCAGACAGAAGATTATAGAGAAGCAACTCATTTGGCGCCTGCAGTAAGACAAAAACAAACCAAATCAAAGAAAGACAAAACACAAAACAAGATAAATCAAAGGAAACCAATCAAATAAAGATCGAACTGAAATGGATCGTCATATCATATCAGGTCTTTGAACTTGGAATTCAATATTCTACCAATTACAATCCCCCAAAAGAGTTGAAGGAGACCAATATCCCATGAAAGAGGGCCTATCTTGCATTGACGAATTGAGTGCTTATATTCGTCCAAGCATGTATGTGAATCTCCTTATCCCCCAGAGGGGACTTAGGTGCATAATGCTCCTATCAAAGAACATGATCCAAACGTGATTCGACAAAGCAATACTTGTTCCAAAGAAAAGATATTAGAGGTCGTGTTAACCGAACCTTTCTTTAATAAAACAAGAAATGGTTAAAAAGGTTGGCATCTGTCAAGGTTTTTAAAACAAGTAGAGGATTACAGTCTCAAAAATTAGAGATAAGGTGAGATGACCATGCCTGGTCTTACATAATTGGAAATTTATTGTAAAATATGAACTAATGATCCAATCACTGGCAAACAACGTAGAGTACATACATGTGTCCACAGAATAATATTTTTGCATACAAATAAATATTTGCACTCAATAAAACCCATCAACTACTCAAATTATCCGCACTAAGTTAAATTAAAAATAAGTAAAATATTCATTCATAAAAAAACTTAAAAACATTCTTAAATGTAACGTAATATGCTTGTAGTCATAGGAAAACAACAATCTTATAGCATCATTAATATAATCTTATACATTTTGAACTAGAACATGTTTTCATAAAATAATAGTTGCAAATCAACGCATATATATGCTGTCAGAACACATAAAGAAGAAAACAGAAACAAAAAAATAATATTAATTTCAATAGAGTATACTCTAATAAATAATATTAGATAAACAAAAACAGAAAATAAAACTATAATCGTAAGAGTAATGACAAAATTGCTCAACTACGTTAATGGCATTCTGAATTTCATTCAATTCCAGCGTGCTAAGTGAAGTATTAATTATGGCAAAGGATTCGTTTCATTCAATGCCAGCGCATTAAGCAATCACCATTATGGCAAAAAAATTGCATTAATTTTGCCGAAAGCTTCGTTTCTCCATCTTTAGCAATCACATGCCACAATGGTCACAACTATACATTACACATTAGGGCAAACACGTGAGCATCTACTGTTTACTTGCTGTCATACCAAACTCATAACACGATGGTTCGTTGACATTGTCTGCCAGTTGGCACAACCATGAGCGAAATTATATGCTACAGCTGCCCAGACAGCCCAATGTACATGCCTAACACCTAGATGGCTCCAAGAGCACCACCTAGACAGTTTGCCTAGTCCTAATGTCCAATAGTCCAGTGGCAAAGGAAAATAATAATAAAGAGTAGCTGCAGACAGATACAACGAAGGAATTTACCTCATTCGAGCTACATACGAGTTGAGCGAGTCCTTCGGGATGAAATCTCACATCTAGAACCTTCTGTACACTTTGCTGTGAATCATGAAAACAAAAACATATTATCAAATAAGATAACAAAATTTATCATGCAGTGCAAAAATGCTCGGATTTCATTCATCATAGAAAATAGAAGAAAAAATAATAGCATTCTATCCCTGGCATGGCTTTATGACCTAATCCAAGACTTTGGGAAAAACATTGGTCATTTCCTAGCATTGAGGATTTTACTCATTGCCCTAGTGAAATCCTTCAAAAGACAACTGTCTTTAGTAACTGAATTTTGCACCCATTAAATTTCAACTGTATTAAATTTAAAAAGTATTAGAAAAATGGACAACCAACTATGACATTATCATGAGCCTAGCAGATCAAGACATAGGCTGATAAAGAAGTCATTATTGACATCAAAGTAAAGAAAAAAATGGTCCTGCCACATATCAGACAGCAAACCACCTGTACGGTTGGAACATATTAGGACCTCCACATCCACAACACAATAAATGGCATCACTGGACAAAAATATCATGGATGATTTACACGTTTCACGTTTCAACTTGTACCATCCACGGGCGAGATGGTATTCAAAGGGAAAGTACAAGGGCTACTGAATTATCTACAAAAATAGAATGCTATTTGGTCATCAGTCATGCATTTAACTAGGGTCTAAAATGAAGCCATACAGAAATGCATACAATGCAAGCTTGTAAATCCACGACATCGTGATACCCGTTTCCAGTGCAGTGGATATCAACCGACATGGAATTAAAGGCTAGGATCAGGAAAATCTCATTCATACATACAACTACATACATCTGTTCTCCCAAAAGGCTGAGCAACAGCAGCACTTGATGTGTACGCACACCAAGTGGGAACCCATGAGGAATAACTTCTTCGTTCAAACAGCACAGAAGGCCCTTCAAATTGCCTCCCAAGAGAATTCCAACCTGTTATCAAATAAATAAAGCATGGTTGAAATTTAAAACCTTAACACACTTTCTGCTACTGCAGCAAAACTCTTGTACTAGAAAGACACAGAAAATTAAACATTAATGCAAAAAATTCAGCAGAAAGAGAAAGAAGACGTGCCTTCAAAGAATGGAATCCACTTTTCCTTATTCCTTCCAGCGTAGGCACCATTACAGCAAGCTACCCAGCTGGAACCCCATTCCCGCCCTTGCAAGCACCTGGTGATGTTTTTTGTTGACGTTGTTGCAGACTTTCCTGTGGATAATGGCCAACATGAATCTGACTTTATGCCTCATTCAGAAAGTATTGTTTAGTTGTTTCCAGGATTTAAGCTCAAAAGATCACTCAACCTTGGAGCATTACTTCGTAATCAAAAGCATACTAAAGGTGGCAATAGAAAGAGCAACACCAAATGAGGCGCACATCCAGCATTAAAAGTTGTATGATTTTCCAATAAACAAAAAAAAAACTCTAACGGAGATTAGAAAGTTTAATCAAAAGGTCATACCTTACAGAAAGATTAAATAAAAACAAATCATTCCACAAAAGATCTAAAAGGTAAGCAAGATTATTCCAGGATTCCAGAGAAAATGCAGGTGTGAACACTGAAGAGTGCATCCAATATTTCTACTTTTATGCCCTAATGCAAACTTCAATTAAGAAGAACAGTAACTTTATATTCCTACCATCAACTTGAATAAAATGACAAACGACAAGCAGGGTAAATCCAGCAGCCTTAAGAAAAACTAAAACAGGCAAGCAGCAAAGTGTGTTTTGAGCGACAATTATAGATGATTTCTCTTTTGTCATACTTAGGGTTTTATCCACTTATGTAGCAAAAGCTGGAGAGAAAGTCGGACCTTGAATCCTTAGTGAACGAATTCTAGAATCTTTAAATCCACAAAGATTGATGAGAGAGATCTTTGAATCCACAAGCATAAAAAAGGGCCCATTGAACGACAAAGGATTCCTCGAATCCACAATGCGAGAGAAGGATTGAATTAATACAGTGTGTGCCTCTTTAGATAGACAAAAAATAACTGCAGATATATTAAACAATATTATATGACAATAAATTCTCTAACAATTAATATTTCTCTGACAGAAAGGAAGCAGTTACTAACCCAAGAAAAAAGAAACGCATATCGACCTTATAGGCAGCCTAGACAACACTATTTGACACTTCCTCGTTTGATGCATTGGAACCCTCTGGGCTACACCTTCGATGCTTCTCCAGTTTCCTCTGAATCTATTCAGCATCAATTCTCCTAATCCCAACTCAAGATGTCTCTAAGTGTCAGCTATACCATCTGTTTTTTTCTCTAATTTTCTGATATCCCTCTCTCCACATTCTACGAATCTTCCCTCCACTTTCACTCTTTGCCCTTTTATTTCTCTAAACTTTGGCCTCTACTGAGCTCCGTTTTTCCTTCCTTGCTCTTTTGATTCTCAGTGTATCATATGTTTCCTCCGTTTCTACTAATTCAAAAAAAAATCTATTTTACTAAATCTCATTTCTGTTCCATTTACAACTCGTCAAATTGTTTTAATTCTCCCAAAACTCTTCTGTCTAATTCACCTAACACAAGCCTCACTCCAATCCCAGTACCCCTTGGTTCATTTCTTTCACTATTTAGTTCAAACCACACTGTTCCTTTCTACCTCCTGTATTTCATTATTTTTTAGTCTTATAATGATTTTCCTTAGGTTCCCCGTTCTCAAATAGCACAGAGTTTGGCTTAATTTTCTTCAAACAAAACATTATAAGGGTATTTTATACAATATGGCTTAATATCAGCTCCCGACCAACGAAGAATCCACATAGTTTACCTATTCAGTTTGACATCTAGCAGATCATTGCTTCTGTACATTATCTGGTGAAATGCTTCTCACGACCAGAAACAAAAAATTCTTCACCTTGAGAACAAGATGAAGATTTTTTTTGTTGTTTGACCAAATCTTTATTTCTAGCTCGATGTAATTAAATTAAGTAAGTTGCTTCAAAAACAAGAAAAAAATCTTTCAAAAAGTGTCCACAAAAATTCTGGTTCTTGAGATATCCTCGGAGTCAAATAAATTGGAAATCAATAGGCGATCATAAACACAGAAAAATGGAATTAAATGACTTTATTATACTTCAACAGGGGAGATAAAGCTACCAGAAGGTACTTCACAATATGACCACGCTGGGGTGAAGACAGCTTTAGTCCTCTTTCTTTTTGGCCCAGCATTCAACTCTGACCGCCCAGCAACGAGAAAGTTCTCTGCATTATGAAAATGAGGTTCCCCAATGCTTATGGCCCCTTTATTCTCCGTTTCTAGATCACCAACTGAAGAGCTAACATTTTCTACAGATCTCTGTGTAGCAAAAGCAGGGGAACGAGATTGTATGCGGTCGATCACACGACTGCCCTTTGAAAGAAGAATTTCAAGTTGATTCTGCAACTCAGTCAAACTAAAAACTGATAAATGAGCATGGAAGACGAATCCTGAAAAGATTTTCGTATGTTTTTCTCAACTTACAGTTCATATCTTCGAAAGGCTTCATCTTTTCTAAATAATCTTAGATCCTTGCCCTCTGGTATTTGTCTTGAATCTTGGCCTAAAAAAATGAATAACTTTAAAACAAAAGCGAACCAACCAGTAAAAAGAACTTAAACATCTTCTCTTAAAAAGACAAATCTTAATAAGGCTCGTCTGAAGGACATCAAAAACATTCAGACCTCACACGTACAAGATTGTCCTGTGACACAATTGCTTATCAAAACATTGAACAAAAACGTTGACCAACTGGCTTAGAAACATTTTCAGAGAGAGATTCAAGACACTGCTAACAGACGATATCTAAAACTTGACACTACACCAAAAAGATGAGCTATAAAAAGACATGGGCGCCAGAAACTCCCCACAGCATACAGTGTGTGTGTGACCCTGCAAGGGTCAACACGAGATTTAAGTGACTTCGTCAGCCAGGATCTGCACTATTTTTAGCTGGAGTCACTGAATCTGCAAGAATGAAGAAAGATAACTCCACGTTTCTCTTTTTCATTTTCTATCAGGTTGCTCTCACTACCACTTTTTATAGTGTCATGCAACTCATATGTTCCTTCTTCTCACCCAATAGTTTTCCACTCATATCCCACTTTTTTGTTCCTCCCTCTAATTTCTCCACTTATTTTATTCTATCTCTCTCTCTCGCTCTTCTCTCCCTCCTCTATGTTAATTCACGCATTAATTATCTTCTCCTTCCACTGCTGGTCCCCCCCAACTTTTCTTCCCTTATCCCTTGTTCTCGTTTCAAATCACGATCAACCAGATATCCGTTGTATGAAGTTGGTGATAATGTCAATGAGGAAGAGAAGGTCGCAATGTCATTCTCCATTTGCACATCCACAGAATGTCCTGTTAGTTAATAAAGTAGTACATGGTGCTAAATGTTTATTTTATTTTAGTGTGCTCCTTCTGACGGTGACATAACGTTAATAAATCCCCAAAACAGAGGAGGAATAAACAATTCGGACAAAGGTTATGGAATATAAATGAAAAATGGCATAATTGGAATCTTAGATAATAAAGATTAATAAATGAACTAAAAATAATTGTGCAAATGAAGGTCCAATATTCGCACCAATGTAAGAATATTTTCTTCATTTTCTTCTTCCTTTTCGCAAAAAATACCAAAAATTTAGGCCCACACCCATTATTATCCCCAGGCAGGGCTAGATACAACTACGAAATGTTGAATAACAGGTATTTGATGGAAATCCAGAAGAACTTGGTCAAACCCTTGGCCGGACACTGTGGTATATGAAATATGCACGAGACAATGCAATGTATTTCGCAAATGCCGTGCGCATGACCTCAAATCTGCTTTGGCTAAAAGTACCTACTCATATCGGAGTCACTTTTCAATGCACATCTTTACAAGTTCACAGGATAATGAAACAAAAAACAAAAAGATTATCCGCAAGTTTCCCCACTCAGCTGATTTACATTAATGTGAACTGCGCAACATACTGCCAAAAAAGATTTCAGTAAAGCATAACAACCTGATAAGAGAAAGAAACTTTTGCCTATCTGAAACGTAATGAACATTTTTTCACTGGATATGGGAAGACATACATGAAATTAGGGCTCTTTCTGGCGACCCATCACTGTAAATATTCATTGCTGTCCTCGTTTTGCCTATTTGCGAATCCTGTTTCCAGAAAGAGGGCTCGGAATTCATTTCTTATTTCAAAAAAATGTATGAAAAATGCAATAAAACTGGGATGATTTATGGATTTAGTTTTTGTATTTCATTTATTAACTTTCTAAATACCTTTCTTCCGAATGAGTCATTTAGTGGCAAGAGTCCAATAATTTCTTTACTCACAAAATTTTATTCAACATGAAATCATTGAAGACTCTCAGCATCTAGCCCAAAAGTGAATAGGTGTAGATTCACAGTAGGAAATGTAAACATATGATCAAAAAATACAAAAGGATCTACATATTAGCCTCTCTAAAATAAAAAAGGAACTATATATGATAAAAAAAATCCTATGTGCTAACGATGTATTAGAGGAAGTTAGTAAAAGAGAGAAACAACAACAGCACGACTTGCGTCAGATTCAAATGTCAGTGCAAATAATTCAAATGGGAGCTTTATCTGTCTTATCATTTATGTACAAGGTAGAGGATGTACATTTCATTCTGATTTCTATTATTCATATTCTCAGAATTTCATTATTCACGTCTATTATCATAGAAAAATGACAAAATATGTAATATGCACAAAGTTATGTGGGGCACTCAATCACCAACTGATCCATCTCCCCCTACATAATTATAAACGATAGCATAAAAAGAAACTCGTCCTGTGAAAGACGGCATTACAATCGAACAATAAAGAATACCAGACAAGGTAAATTTGTCCACGGTAAAGTTAATTTTTGGTTTCCAAGATGGGTTGTGTAGATATAAGGTCCCTGGGGTCCACTATAAGCTAAGAAATAAGAAGTTTCAGAAGCCTATCCTGAAGTCCATGAAAAGAACATAAGCCATATACCCATTGAATGTCCTTATCAGAGAATGAAAAAAAATAATCGAACTTTCTCTCTTCTCGTCTATTTCTAGCAACTTTTGGCCTCGTGTGGTGAAGCTATTTCCACCATGTTCTAAAAATAATGAATGATGGAAATCTTTCAATGAAACTTTACTTGGTGATTTTTTTTAGAATAGTTTTGGGTGTAATTGCGTAGTAATCCCCAATTCATCTTCTCACTGTGAATGATATCGTCATTTCATCCACAGCGGAGATATAAGAAGCAAATGAGGGATGACGAGGAAGAAGATGTAGAAGAATTACACCTTCTGAACTTTTCCCTTCCTCCTCAATATCTTCATGTGCACTCGCTGTATGTAGTGCAGTAAATGGTACCGCGAGTTCCGAGACAAGTTTTCTGCGATATCCGGATTCGCCAGGAACCAATCCTTGACATCTTTGCCGCTCACCACTTCCTTCGTGTCCAGCGACTCAAGCCACGAGTACACAGGGCTCCAGTGCTTGGCCCGCCGGAACCTCCCCCGTGATCCGTCCATTCTGTCAGCGTCGTCCCCTGCGGACTCGGGAACACCTTGGGATCGCTGCGGCCGTGGGGGGGACGGAGGGGACGGAGGCCCCTGGCTCGTTCCGGGGAACAGTGTACTATGCATACCGATGATCCGCTGGTGGAGCTCCGCCGGGGTAAGCAACCCCAGGTCCTCCGGCAGGGGCGGCCGCTCAGAATCGAACCACGCCTCAGTCTCCGCCTCCGAAGGGCACCTGCACCCGGCGAGAGAGCAGAGCCACGCGCGCGCTCTCGCTTCCCACTCCAGCATCTGCACTACGCGCGAGGAAGGAGGCAGGAAGGGTAGTAGAGGACGGGGCATCTCCTCCATCCCCTCTTCATACGGAATAACCCCACCAGCACCCGCCATTCTTCCTCCGCTTCTCCCGCTTCTCCCCCTTTTTCCCCCCCTCCGAACTCCCCGCCGGCGCAGATCGGTCAGTTAACCCAAAAAAAAAGGATTTTTTATTGCCCTTTAAAACACCGGAATATGGTAATTATTTAACAAGCGCAAATCTCAATCTAACAAATTAATTTATATCTGAAATGCCGGTTATTTAGTGCTTCGAACCCAGATTATCGAGCGCCCATCAAAATCTCATCGGGCATTAGACTTGAATAAAAACGTTGACGACAAGAGTCGGAAAGGTTCCAAAGCAGAGAGCTTGCCCAAAGAGGGGTCGGAGGGAGGGAGACAGCCTTATCAGAGCCACCATAGCTTCTTCTCTCGGGACTGACATGGGCGGAGGCTGGCTAGATTGCAGCAGCTATCTTCTGCCGAAGATTGAACTTATTGGCTATCAGGGGTCGAACATCTTCCACCCCCACCAAGCTCTCCAGAAATGGAAGCAGGGAGAGCAGCTCCTTGTCGGAGCGGTCGTCGAACCAGCTCTCGATGGGGATCCCGTTGTCCACCTGAAACCCAAATGCCTGGAAGAAAAGTAATGGGGAGTGTTAGCACCGAAACAATGTCAGTGGGTTCATCAGGAATCAAGAACGCGAACGGGGGAGAGGATGACTCCTGCTACCTACCTGTGGGGAGTTGTCGACGATGATGACTCGGGCCAGATCACGCCCAAGAACAGAGAGGTCCTTCACATAGTTCCCCTCCACGAAGAGGCAAGACTCGCGGTAGACGCGGTGGCGGAAGAGCTTTCTTTTCGGGTCCAGGACATTGAGAAGCTGCTCGGCGTAGATGCTCTGGCTGGCCGTGAAGATGATGATCTCGAAAAGGGTTGACACCCTCTCCATGAAATCCCTGAGATGAGGGCGGCAGCGCACGTAGATCGTGTGCTCTCTGAAGTTGAACTTCACAGGGAACGTGAAATCCGCGTCGTCGCAGGGTTCGAGCGAGGAGTGCACCAAGGTTTCTGCCCAATCAGATAGAACAAAAGATCAAACGACAGAAGATGAAAGCATAAAATCCTTCAGAGAGCTGGTGGGGGCTTCTTACCGTCCAGATCCAAAACAAGGGTGGTCGAGGGGCAACTCCGAGTTTGTTTAGGGAGGAGCATGGGGCGGAAAGTGGGGACGATGGCCGACAAATCGGGCAGATTCTTGATGAACGCATAGGGATTAAAATCGTCGAATTCGTCCAATTCATCAGAGTCCATGCCATCGGTGGCCATTGGATCATGCGAAGGTTCATCGAGGCACTCCAATTTGGAGTGCTGCATTGCAAGATAAATCGCTGAAACTTCAGGAGACAGGGTGCCCAAAGTCTTATCTTCGATGTACATTGGCAGCGCCTCCACAGTACCTCCTCTCGAAACATTATCCAGTTTTCCTGATGATAATCGACCATTCCATAGCTCAGCTCTTGGTTCATCCAACGAATGGTCTCCACAGTCCATCTGATCGTCCTTGTCGGCGAAATCCATGAAATGTGCTGTAAGAATAAAGAGGAAAGATGAACACAACACTTTGCACCGAATAAATCACACTCAAATGGATCATTTTAAGAGGAAAATACAAAGAAAATCGAGCCGAATGCATTATGACAAGAACTAGACAGCAAACAGAAGATTTCTTTTTTTATAGGATATTGTTTCCTCGTGTAGCATAATGCAGTAAATACTAGATTCACAAAATTCCTTGAAAAAATTAAAATGGCAAGTATTAGCATACCTTTGTCAGATATTCCACCACAGAAATCATGAGGTAAATGATATTTTGGAGAAAATAAGGTGTCCAGGACGCACTGGGAGTCACTCTCACCAAATCTCTGCAAAATTTGAAGTAAACTAACTAATTGAAGGAAATGAGATAATCACATGCACGAGGGTAAATTCACATGAGCTTGGTATCACACAAACACCCATTCTGACCATATACATGTCCGATCCAATATTTGATATATGAGGGATTCACAATCGAAATCACCCATTCGGACTAGTTTGCTTCTAGAGTCCAGAAGCAAACTAGTCAAACAATGTGGTAAGAGATGGTTGTCTCAGTTAATCCCCAGGTACTCACCCTTTAACATGAACAACAGGTGTTACCTACGCCATAGTCCAAGAACTACACACCGTTCTGCGATAGCCATACCATAGAGATTATAATGGCAGAAAATAACATTTAAAATAGCAGTCACTTATAACTTGCGCTAAAAACGAACTGCATTCTATGATGGGCATAAACATAATTGCCCTCAGAAACTGGATTCTAGAGACTAGCAAACTAATGTAAGCGAACGTCAAATATACAGCTTTAGGGTAGCTACAATGATCTGGAAAGAGGAGAGAATTAATCAAGTTATCAACGATAATAATCTAGTGGCTTGCTGAAGCACTAATCAGAGGAAGTATGAAGAAAATGTACCAAAATAATGGGATTCTATTGGATTATGATGTAACATTCTAGGGGACATGGAAACCACTTCCATAGAGAATTGCAGTTATATTGGAAATAATAGCATGATTCAGAACCAACATTAGCAGCAGCTTTCACATAATATGGGCACTACCAGACAATGTTTTCCAAAATGAGATGCAGAATGAAGGTCATGAAGACAATTTCTTTCATCACAATTTATCACCTTGGTGTCAATAGAGCCATCGCAGGGTAAATGACCCTGAGATTCTTCTTTCATTGGTAAGGAACCAGTGTTTGTGTTGTTCTCATCTGGTTCATCCCTACTTGTCTTCTTTGAAAGAAAACCTGTCATGGTTGCAAAGGTGAAGGATTAGTTCCATCAGACAACAAAGATAGGTAGCATTTATTAGAAACGAATAACGCGAAGAAATGAATTCAAAAGTGTAAACAGAATAGAAAATACTGAAGAATTCTGTATGAGAAATGAACAATAAAAATTACAAATTTAGAGTAATAAGTACAGAAAAAATCGGTGCAAATGATAGTAACAGTATTAAAAAAACCCATTGACGCAAAGCAAACCATACAGATACGAAAAGTGACGTTTGACAATGAAAATGAAACGAGAAAAAAAGTTTTTTGGGCCTTTGTTCCCCCCAAAATGATGAAACGGAAAAGTAACACGTTTATATATGAGTACCTGGTCTCTGCTTCCTCGCCGAAGATGTGATCAGCTCTGTGACCTTTTTCTCTGCAGAAACAGTCGTCTTTTTCTGTTGTCTAGATGGTTTAGATCCAGCATCCTCTATTGCAGTATTTTTTGCAGCACATTTCTTTCTTGTTTGCATAACGTGCTACTTGATCAAGAAAACCACTGCTGTTGTAGCGGTATTTGTCACAGAGAAACCTGCTTCAGCACACCAACGTTAGGAACTCAAGTTGCACTTCGCAGCTTCAATTAGAATAGTTTCCACAAGCAAAGTAATTATGAATAGTAAACTCCCTATTAGAGTTATGTTATTGTCTCATATGGACCGGGTCAGCCCATATATCAGTTTGGGCTAAAGCAGCCCACTTATGTACATTAGAACCCTAGTATAAACACTAGGTTACATCGATTAGGACATGTGTGTTTTCTCTTTCAAGATTTTTTACATGGTATCAGAGTAACAAGTTCAAAATCCTAGAAGTGGAAGAGAAAGTTCTTCATATTCGTGTCACCCTGCCATCCAATGGTGCTCCCTGTCTAGCGTCACCCCTCAGTTTGGCACCGGCCCTATCTGGCGTCATCCCCCTCTCATCTGGTGTCAACCCCCCCCCGCATCGTCTAACGTCGGGCCCCCGTCCAACGTTGCCCCCTACCTGGCACCTTATGGCTTAGCATCACCCCTTGTCAAGATTTACTTCAAAGGTCAAGGCAACACCAAGCACCTTACGGATGAACCACCCTCCAATCAAACCAAATTGGGGCAATGGGAGTAGCAAGATGCCAAGCTTCTAAACATATTACGAAAAGGAGTTGAATATTACTAATTTGGTAAATCATCTTGACACTGGTAAGAATGTTTGGGGCCGTCTTTCATTTATGTATTTGAATAATATTTTAAGGAGATGATATGACTATTGAATATTATGAGATGAAAAAATGAGACAACATTTTGAGCCAATAATTCAGTGAGCTGATCCAACTCAATGATGATCTTCATGGATTACTGTTTTACTCCAGTGATGCTCAGGTAATGTAGAAGCAATGTGATTAGATGACTGTTCTTAAGTTTCTTGGTAGTCTTATATTATTGAACATAATGGAATTCATAGTTAAATTTTATATGGAGCTGAGTTATCACCTCTTGCTAAGACCTAACAATATATATCTCGAGCCATTCTAGACCAAGAGGGTACACAGACTATTTCAGCACATGTCTCAATACCACTACCTTAGCATTTACTCAGACTATTGTGGATACCTCTTTCTTGCGGTCATGGCCATGGTACTCATGTTAGCTGAGGGAGAGGTGCAGGCAGAAATACTGGAAGTCGTCAAAGATTTGAATGTACCCATTGTGGTCAAAAGAATCTATTGAAAATGGAGAAACAACCTCTGTCACGGAGGATAGAGAGGGAGAACGGCAGAAACCGCCTCAAGATTCATTCACCTCTAACCCCCATTATATAGGGAGGAACTTTACACAATTTTTCAAAACACCCTCAGTATGTTACATAATTTTCTTGTGACCTAGAATTTCTAACACTCCCTCTCAAGATGAACTTTGAAAAAATTCATCTTGACTAAGTTGCTTATGACGAAAATCTTTGATCGCCAGACTATGGAAGACATAGGACTGATGCAGAACAGAGGGAGACAGACTGAAGAAGAGACACTAGACTAAGATAAGGGTGGATAAGAGAGGTTGATTTTACCTCTCATAAAACGCTGATGAAGATGGAAACAACGGTAATAGACCTAGATATTTCAGCCTTTAGATAGAAGGCTTGATGCAGACAGAAATGATGCCAATGAATTTGAAGATGTCGTTGACGAAACTACTGATGATGAACTGAGATATATTGTCAAATGACAGATGAAGATCACAGTAGAAGAAACGAGACAGAGCAATATCAGTGCTCTCTTGTCGTAGAACTGCCTCGCCAGCAGAGGACCTCGCTGGAAGAGGAGATGACAATGGACTCGTCATCCTAGACTAGAGGACTGACGGAAGTAGAACCATTCTGAATGGTGGAAAGAAAACCTGCTCGAAATGGTAAGATATCACACTTATAAACGGCGGAAAGATAATATGCCTCCAATGGTGCAATAAGTTCATCAAGAAGACACCATAAGAAACTCGACAGAGGTGGAAGGCCTCGCCTGAAAGACACTCGGCAGAGGCGGAGTTTGCCTCACCGAAAAGACACTCAGCAAAGGCGGAGTGCCTCGCCAGAAAGATACTTGGCAAAGACAGAATGCCTCGCCGGAAAGGTACTCGGCAGAGGTGAAAGGCCTCGTCAGAAAAAAAACTCAGCAGAGACGGAATGCCTCGCCGAACAAAGAGGGGTTTGAAACCCGAACCTGTAACCTGTCTGTCACCAGATCCCAGCGATGGTGGCATCGACGCACCCCCAAACAAGAAACGCCAAGCAGAACCTATGCCAAATAGAGGCGACAGCAGCAGATAGAAGATGCCAAATACCACCAGACTCCAGTGGTGGCGGCGATGGCACTCCCCCAGACAACAGACTTTGGACATGGCTGACGAAACCCTAGTGAAACGAACCCGCTTTGATACCATGTTGAAAATGGAGAAACGACCTCCATCACGGAGGAGACCGCCTCAAGATTCATTCACCTCTAACCCTCATTATATAGGGAGGAACCTTACACAATTTTGCAAAATACTCTCAGTCTATTACATAATTTTCTATGACCTAGAATTTCTAACATAATCATACCAAAGATATTTGCTACAATCTTCATAGATACTGGAGTACTTAATCTAGCTACTTCAAGAGAGGTGGTGGAGATTAGAACCAATAACTAGATGGTCTTGTTAGATGAAGAGTACTCAAATCCTTCAATCTCATGTTGTCCAACAGGCATCATCGGCAATTGCATCTCTTGTTTAGATCAAGTCTACTACTTGCCTCTCTTATGCATCTCATACCTCGACAAGTGAATCATCATCTTAGATCCTTGACACAAGCGCCATTGATCATATAACAAGTATATCTAGTAGGTTCACATCTTATTCTTCCTAACATCACATCAGCTGATGGATCTACAACACTTGTGATAGGTATAGAGACAATGTCTCTTTAACTTGTATTATCTCTCAAATCAATTCTTTATATACCCAAGTTTCCTTTTAACCTTTGTTTCTATTAGTAAACTCACCCATGCTCGTCAAATTGTTATAACCTTTTCTTCTTGACTCCTGTTTCATTTAAGACTTAAAAGGCGTGAAAGACAATTGGAGAAGGATATGAGCATGGAGGACTATACTATTTGAGTAAAGCCTCTTTTGTCACAAGCATTGATTGATGTGTCACCACTTCAAATTCATAGTTGATTAGTCATTTGTCTCTTAGTATGCTCAAACTATTAGCTCCTAGTCTTGCTAGTTTAGAAACATTAGCGTGTGAGTCATGTCAAATGGGAAAACATTTGGGCCACAAACTTGTAAAAAAAAAAAAATTAAAAAAAAAAAAACCATGTTTGATTTAGTTTATTCAAATGTATGGGGTCCTAATTGTGTCACATATGAACTTGGTTTCAATTATTTTGTTATCTTTATTGATAATCACTGACATGTTACATGGTTGTATCTCATGAAGGACAAATCTAAGCTATTTTCTATCTTTTGCTCATTTTGTGCTGAAATTAAAAACCAATCTGAGAAAACTATCTATGTACTATGTTCTAATAATACAAAAGAAAATTTCAGCTCTTCTTTATACAATAACTAACCCCTCATGAGATATTTCATCAATCATCATGTCCTCAAACTCCTCAACAAAATGGAGTTACTGAAACATAAACATATCATTGAAATTATTTGCACATTTTTGCTACGTATGCATGTTTCCATCAAATTCTAAGGAGATGATGTACTCACAAAGTAGTCACTTGATCAATTGAATACCATCCTTTGTGCTAGACAACAAATTCCTTACTTTGTCTTTCACTTAAGAGAGCCATTGTACAATGTTCATACGAAAATATTGAATGTCCCTATTTTTTCTACATAAACTCAGAGTTGATCAAGATAAACTTTATCCCAAATTTATGAAGTACATCTTCCTAGGATATTCTCATGTTCAAATAGTATATAACCGTTACAGTCCATCACTTTGTTGACAGTCTTTGCTAACATTACATTCTATGAGGGAACACTTTTCCTTGATGACTCTTCACCAATTGTGTCATTGGAAGAATCTCTATCTCTACTAATTATTATTAAGTCAATTTCTATTGTCAATCCAATAATTAATAGTCACGTTGAGTCTACTAATCAACCTCCTATCACACAATTATACACATGACAAAAAGATCCCTGAATTTGTCTAATAAATAACAAAGTACTTAATGATTTCTGCAACCAATCAATTCGACATCTAATGATTTCTCCAAAAATATCTCTAATTCAAGTATCTTAGATCTACCTCTTGTCCTACAAAAGACGAAATGGTCTTATACTTTATGGCCCTTATCTAACTTTGTCTTGTATAATCAATTGTCTCCAACCTATTCTACTCTTATCTTGACTTTATCAAATTTATCTATCTCTAAGAAAGTTTATAGGTTCCATAGCTACCTAAGAAATCTGTGGTTGGATGCAAATAAGTTTTCACTGTCAAAGTTGGTCTAAATGGCTCTATGGATAGATTGAAGTCCTATTTAATAGCTAAAGGATTCACTCAAGTATATGATGAAGATTATTATGATACATTCTCTTTAGTTGCCAAAATTTGCGTTAATAAGGATCTTCTTCTTATTGGATGTATGGTTCTCTTGGCCTCCACATCAGCTAGATATCAAGAATGTATTTCTTCATGGTGACTTGTAGCGAAAGATTTTTATGAAGCAACTACTTGGTTTTAATGCTCAAGGGGAGTCTAATTTGGTCAACCACTTGAGAAAATCTCTTTATGATCTAAAATAATCTCCACCTGCTTGATCTAGTCAATTCACTAGTATTATATTGAAGTTTCATCTTCACAAATGTGAGGTTGACCATTCTATTTTTTATATACATTCTTTTACTGATTATATTATGCTGATCATTTCTGCTGACAACATTGTTATCACTAGAGATGATCACAAAGGCATTTCTAAACTCAAGTAGTTCTTACAAAGACAATTTGCAACTAAAGATCTTGACAATCTTAAATAATTTATGGAGATTGAAATTTGCCCGATCTAAGGAAGAAATTACAATCAATCACCATGTTGATGAAGATGACATGTTGGAGGATCCAAAGAGATATAGACTACTACCTAGAAAATTGAATTATTTGACTATCACCAGGCTAGACATCTCTTTTGTTGTCAATATAGTAAGTAAATTCATGAAATGATCACAAACAAAATAACTAGATCCAATTATGCAGATTCTGAGATATCTCAATAGAAATCCAACTAAAGGACTAATAATGGTCATCTCATTGTCCAAGGTTTCTAGATGCAAATTGTGTTGACTGAAATCTAGATAGACAATCTATAATTGACTATTGTATCTTTTTTGGTGACAATCTTGTTTCTAGGAAGAGTAAGAAATGATTTATGGTCTCACAATCAAGTGCATAATTAGAATATAGGGTAATGGCACACACTACATGTGAACTTATATAGCTCAGACATCTTCTTGAAGAATTGGGTTTCCCTCATCTAGGTCCTATGGAGTTGAATTGTGATAACCAAGCAACAATTCATATTACATCTAATATTGTATTCCATGAGAGGACAAAACATACTGAATTGACTGTCACTTCATCAAAGAGAAAATCTGAACACAACTCATTACTACTATGAATGTTAACTCCAAGGATCAACTTACTAATATGTTTACCAAGTCATTGAATGGTCATAGGGTGGAATTTCTCTATAACAAGCTGAGAGCTCATGATATATATGCTCCAGCTTGAGGGGGCTATAAGAGTTATGTTATTGCCTAATATGGGCCAGGTCAGCCCATATATCAATAAGGCACATGTGTTTTCTCTTTCAGGATTGTTTACACTTCCATATAACAATTGTTGCCCTTACTTAATAACCTTGGATCATGAGAAGACATCCATGTTATCTGAATAAAATATGAAGATAAACATGAAAAAATAACATAAATATTATTCAAACTATTATGCAGCACAAACATCAGAGCAGAAGAACAAGATGATTGTAGCAGCAAGGCAACAATTAACAATTTTCCAAGTAATCAGAAATTTCTGATGACATTTCTGGAAGTATGATAGCACCCGACAAGGTAATCAACACCCCATGGTGGCACGAAATATATAAAGTGAATGAATTTAATTGCATATCAGCGTAAGCATGAGTTAATCCTATCCACGTCGTCTATTAAAGCAAAAATAAATGATGTGCTGTATCCGCCAGTAATTAAAAAACTTCCTATTTGTTTGAATTGGTAAAAAATATGGCTATGTTAAAAAAAACTGACCACAAATGCAGGGTTCTTGTTCACCTCCAAATACGTGTGCACAAGATGGGGGATAGAGTGAAACTTGCAATGTTTATCCCAAAATTTGGCACACAAGCTATAAAAGAAATGGAAAATAATAAGCTTCTCGTTCTAAACCTTGGAAGACAAAAAATCATAGCATAAAATGGGGAAATTAAATTTCATCTACTGAAACACCTCGATAAATGCCATCAGGCAGATATAGTTTAACATTTTTTATGGTTAGAAGCAATAGAAAGTCAGGCATAGAAAAGGCTAACCCTGAACTAGCATAACATAGACACTGCAAATCACTTGCTCCAAGTATAAAATATCCAAATATGAGGAGATGGGAGTTAATAAATCTAGAATTTCCCTATCAATATGGAGCAAACAAAAAGAATGGTCGTTCTCGCATCCACAGCCTCCAGGTAGCATGATTAGATTTTTCTAAGAAAATGGATAACAATACCGGGAATCATCCTGCAGAGACAAACTAAACGCCTATTACAACCTACAACGAGATTGACTCCGCATGAAATGCAGATGGAATCAATTTACATGAGACTAATATTCCAAAACAGCACATGTGAGCCATACCAGGACTAATTAAAGGTGACAATAAAATTTACAGAAAAGAATACGCCTGGGGGCATCAAAGAGAGATTAAATCAAGTAGTATTAGTATACATAGATATATGCTCGATACAATGGAGTAAGCTAAAGATTGACAGATGAACCCCTCCCCCCTTAAAACTTGTTGAAATGCAGACAACGATTTTGTACACCTGATGTTTAGGAAAGTGATCAGAATCCACCGTTTCACTACCCTGCCATTTTTGTCTTTTTCACCCTCAATGCAGATTACTGGCATCTCTCAATCAACGCTAGCATTTTCAACCACGATATTTAAATTCGGGGTTCTTACTTTTTCTGCCATAGGATTAAAAATTAAAGGATACCATCCAGAAAGGATAAGAAAATAATCTATTTGACGCACTGAGATTTTCCAAGCATCAATCATGGGCAAAGAAAACGTGGGCTAACGGAATAAAAAGTGAACATAACACGATAATAAACCTCACATACTGCCCGGCACAAAATGGGAAGCCCAACGGCCTTCACAGAACAACATAAATGGGAAAAAATATCACAGAAAGGTGAATTAGAGGGCTCCTCTGTCTCCCTCCATTACTTTCAAAAACCAGGAAGAGCAGTGATAAGCTGAAGCGTAGCTTGCCAACGAAAATAAGAGAGGACAAAACATCAATTTTCAAGACGTTAGATGTTTTAATAGACACTCTTCACCCAGAAGAAATACAACACGGGAAATATTAAGTGCTGGCCCGAGACAGCATCTACATAAGGAAATCTAAACCACAAGGGAATCGCAGGAAATGGCCACAAGGCTGGAGAAAACGAAAGTGCCCGAAGAGTTGAGAGCTCTTACCTGGTAGGTCCCTGCCGCCAATGAATCACTGAAACGGGGGCGACACTTCCCCAGCCCGGCGCCGATTTCCCGGCATGAAAACTGGGGAGAAGCGCCGCTATGCCACCGCGAAAGAGGCGTCAACTCCACCACTCGTGCTAGGGTTTTGGTACACTGAGACGGAGGCAGACACGGATGGAGCGAAATAGCTCCTGCTCCAGCGGCGGCTGAGCAGCTGCGTACCTGGGTTGTTGGTACTGTCCAGGGTACAGAGAGAGAGAGGGGAGAGAGAGAGAGAGAGAGAGAGAGCGCTAAGTTGAAGAAATCTAGGAAAAGCGCCCTTTTTCCTATTTGGTTTCCGCCTCCCGGGCACGGTGGAAGCAGGGGGAGAAAATAATAGTAATAAACAAATACCACATATTATTTATTCCTCGGCTGTTCTTATCCCTGCCCTCTGCCGTCACGACCATTATTTCCCCGCCGCCGACAAACTAACCTCTCTCTTTCTCCCCCCACTTCGGCAGCCGGTCCGAAGGCGGGGACGCGGATAGTTTGAAATTTGGGCCGACCGAGCGGACACGAGCTCAGCATGGAATCATATTTTATTTTATTTTTTGCTGACGTTGGTGTGGAGATTCCTTGCTCGAGCTCATCCGGTTTGCCACGTGTGCTGCCCGGAGATGGACCCACCGCCCAGTAGAAAATAGTAATACCTCGCAGGCCCAATGCGCTGCACTCTTGACCCTAAATCTGGCCCATTGTGGCCCGGTTTCCTCGGTCATTTCCGGAAAATCAACGTCGTTAACAGTGATTTAAAACTTTTAGAGGGGCTGGAAACTAAAAAGGACAATATTTTCTGGTCCACAGTATGTTAATGGCCCAGGCCCATTTTAAAGACGAGTCGGACTCGCCGTTGGATGGGCCCACGTCGGTCATCGTCCCTTCCCTCTGCCTCCGTCTCCGGCCACTCCCCATCGGCGAACGAAGGCGAGGATAGCAACGTCCAGACGGAAGTCGTCCACGAGATGACGGCAGCGGTGGCGTACGTCGGCCGCTGAAGTGGCTCCTGGACCGCCGGCGGGTCAACCGGAGAGACGGCGAGAGCTCGGAATAAAGTTTGAAAGATGGTGAAAGCACCACCAGTTCGGCCACCGGCGGAGTCATGCCGGCAAAAGGAGAGGTCCAGAGAGCAGGAATGGGGCAGTGGACGGTGGCCGGAGGAGAGCGGGGAGGTGACACGTTGAGGTCGCTGGCGGTGGAAGATTCCGTGGGGCCTTTCGTCACCGAGATGAACGAAGGGGTGGTTGGTGACCCGAAGGGGGAGATGAGGGGAAAGGGATGGATGCGCGCTTGCGATGGCGGGGGAGGTGTTCGCGACAATTCAGTGACCCTCATGATGCTGGGGTGGGGGGTGGGGGCTGTGGTTCGGAAAAGGCGAAACTTTGGGCCTCGCAAAGGTCTGTGATGCTCGGGCACGATGGAACTTTCTTGAAATCAGTCGGAATCTTCTCTCCCGGTCGCTTCTTCAGGACGCCAGGAGATGCCCGGTTCATTGACCGGGGAACAGTGGTTGTAGGTTGACGAGCATCGTCTCATATCCACAGACACACACACAAACAGACACAGAAGGGAGAGGGGACAATGGAGAAGGATGATGGAAACGGAGGAGGTGGTCTCCGTCAATGGGTTTCGATATCTCATCCTCGAGAAGCTAAATAAGAGAGTAGTGACAGCTATATATGGACAGCTAGATAGACAGATGGAGCGAATCAGTGACGATTACAGAGGGCAAGTGCCCATTTCGGAGTTCAACGCGACTGATGGTTTTTTTCGAGTGATTGGCGACTTCTTGAACATATCTGATGTGTTACAGAACGATCCTCAAACTAAACCAGAAGAAAATTTCTTTCCTCGTCTACATGTCTACTCGACTTTGCACTCGCAGTCTCATACAAACTTCTCCATCAGCCTAATACAAATACCCTAGCTTACGCTTTATACAGACCAGAAGCCAGAGTTGCTCCGCCAAGACCACCAACCCCTCCTCCCAGCGCCGCCACCGCCGCCGCACAGGTCAGCGGGGCACCGCCCGGCAGGCCAGCGGCTTCTTCATCTCCATTGACAGGCGGAGCTGCTCCGCAAAAACGACGGGCCTCCCAGGGGACCAGGAATAGTGTTGCAGGAGCCTGGCGAGCCACAGGTTTACGGTGGCGAGGCCGAGCGCTCTGCCGGGGCAGACCCGTCGACCGGCCCCAAACGGCGCCAACCGGAGATCGGTGCCCATCACAGGCACCGCCTCCTCCAGGAACCTTTCCGGCCGGAAGGTCAAGGGGTCCTTCCAGATGGAGCCGTCGTGGGTGATGGCCCACATGTTGACCATGGCTGTCGTCCCGGCTGGCACGAAGGTCTTGCCCACGTGGACGTCGTGGACCGCCAGCCGGGACCACGAGAGCAGCGGCCCTGGGGGGTGCAGGCGGAGGACCTCCTTCACGACGGCTTGCAGATAGGGGAGAGAGGGCATGTCGACATCCCTCACCGACCGGGAGGCTCCGGCGAGGCAGCCAGCGATCTCCTCCTGCACCTTGGCTTGGACCTCCGGATGGACGGCCATTCTGGCCATTACCCACTCCAAGACGATAGCGACGACGTCCGTTCCCCTGAATATCATCTCCTGCAGCAAAGATACACATAGATAGAGAGAGAGAGAGTAGATTTATCAGATTAGAGAGGGAAGACAGTCATGGAGAGGATTTCTTCTCCACGTTCGTACGGGTTTGGTTCGACTTTCCCCCTACGTCAACTCCCCCTATAAACTAACTCAGCTGCTGGAAGGGGGCAGTCCTTGTCGGTCTTCTTCTCATAAGAGCTATGGGTACAACGACAAGAGGAAGCGATATACCCCAAGAGAATTTCAGTAGATATTCTGATGGTTGGGAGACGTCAGTTAGGAAGCCACCGAGAAGAGGACGGGGCTCCTCAGAATGGACCGCATCCTCATCCAACCCTAGCTCTTACTTGCCTACCATTCTCATTGGTCATCGGGTACCCCGAGGAAGATTGATCACTAGTGCTGTGACTACAAGCAGAACTCTCGGAGAAGTTCAGGGCCTGCCTGGAGGCCGATTTTGGGAGGGGAGACCCATCTTCCACCGTAGGAGTTGATGAGGTCAAGAAGGCGTATGATTTTATGTGATCTATACTACTATGACCAATAAAAGTGGTTTTCCTTACCCAGAGGACGGCTGTGATATCGTAGTCGGAGAGGCTCTCCTCCTTGGGGAGCGCCAGGAGGACACTAAGGAAGTCATCTCCCGGGGGGGCGCCGTTGGTCCTTCTCTCCTCTATGAGTTCCCCCACGAGGCGTCTGACCTTCTCGGCGAGCTTCTTGCACCTGCTGCCCACGCCGTGGAAATCGAGGAGGCCTCCCAAGGGGAAATGGTCCTCCCAGTTGAAGACCCCGATGAGGTGGTACCCCTCTTTCACCATCTCCACCAGCTCCTCCTCTCTCTCGCGCCCCAGGCTCTCCCCAAAGACACTCCCCAGAACACTCTCCAAGGATCCCCTCTGCAACACCCCTCTCAGCTCCACGACCCCTCTCCTCTCCATCTCCTCCCTCACTCCCTCAATCATCCCCCCCGCCACCCTCTGCCGCAGGCCCTCAAGACCTGCTATCCTCCGGGGGCAGAACATGTTGGTGGCGGCGACGCGGCGCAGGTGCCGCCAGTAGTCCCCGGCGGGGGAGAACCCGATGGCGCGCTCGAACATGAGCAGACGAGCGGACTCCTTGGCTGGCCTGTCGGTGAAGGCCGGCCCGCAGAGGATCTCCCTCGCGGTCTCCGGGTGGCTGCTGATGATCACGCGTGTGGTGCCAAGGCTCAGAGCCATGAGCCTTGAGGCCCCGTAGGACTGCGCGAGCTCGGCGAGCCGACGATGGGCGAGAGCCCCCATGATTGGGATGCTTCCGAGCAGCGGCCACCCCGCAGGGCCGGCGGCCGGAGCGGCGGCGCGCCGCCATGCAAACCCTCCGGGGACTCGGCAAGCACTGTAGACCGCCGGTAGAAAGGAGGCGAGGAATAGGAGGAGAGCCCACGCGGAATGGCCGGAAGATCCGAGCCACAAGATGAGCAAGCATACGTTGGCCACCAACTGAGCCTTCATCTCTCCTCTCGTGCAGAACCTTCTCGCGGAGGAAAGAACCCTCGCTGCTGTCGCGCCACTCCCTCCTTAGGCTGCCCATATATATAACCCATTTAGTGGAAACTATAGCAAACCAATCTTCTTAATCGCCCCCTCCCCATAATCCAATTCCAAATATGCAATTACATATTCCCGCGTGCGCGTGGGAGACAACGAGTGCTGGAGAATGACAGTGAGAGTGAGATTCATACAATATCTACTAATTTTCCAACTATATGTATTAACTTCCATCTTATCCCCTATCTATCATCCTTTCATAAACAATCTCTCTCTCTCTCTCTCTCTCTCTCTCTCTCTCTCTCTCTCTCTCTCTCTCTCTCTCTCTCTCTCTCTCTCTCTCTCTCTCTCTCTCTCTCTATTTATCTATCTATCTATCTATCTATATATACATATATTCTCCTTGTTAATGGAATTTCTGACCAGCCCCAAGCCACGGTTAAGTGCCCATCAAGGTTAAGTGCCATGGCAGCGGCGCCGGGATTCCTAAGAGTGCGTGGCTCGATTGCACGAACCCCCTCCCTCCCTCCCGGTGCTGGAGGGCCCCAAAGTATTTTAGAGATAATGGGCCCGAAGGCTTTGACTTAAAGTCGCAACTCCACTAATGGGCATTTGGGCCCGTGGGCCCTGGTTAAGGTGGTTAGTGGGAGAGGGAAATAAAGGAAGCTAGAGTTATGAGATGCTCACTGGCCAATCAGATTATGCCAGGAGCCAGGGATTGACTTTGACCAATATTCCAGACCGGAGGAGGTAATTCTGATCCGAGTCACATCAGGATAAGGAGCGCCCATTAATGGGTCCAATAGAATAAAAAAATCGAGAAAATTGTCCTTCTGAAGGGAGTGTCTATCCTGAAATGAAGGCCCAGTGGTTTTATTGACGGCGGTGAATCCTTTACGAGTGTGCAATTGAGATCCCCGGATCTTAAGCTTAGAGAACAGCCGAGAAATTGAGCTCCAGGGCAGACCCATCATGGAGCCCAGTGCGGATACGTACCAATCTTCTCTCTTCTGACGTACCAATCAGAAACAGAGAGAGAGAGAGAGAGTAGAGCATCCACCGCGAAATATTAAGGGTTTCTGAATTTTCGGGATAGAATTTGTTCGAAGACTAGATTCCACTTAGCTACGGATAAACTGGGATGATCTTATTTTCCAGACAGCCACAAATCCGGGTTTCAGAGATGATGGACGAGCTATCTTATTAGTTTACCTCTCCGGACAGGGACTTGCGCTAGAGACGATGAGACGGGTGTGATTTTATATTTACGTGGAATTTGTTAATATCATGCCATTAAATGGTACCCGTACTAAGAGGAAATCAATAAATTTTTGGTGTGATATGACCTCTCTTATTCTCTCGAGTTGATTTACGTCTCGTCGGAAGATTGGATAATAAAGAACAAAAAAATAGGAGTGGGCTTGGAAAGAAAGCCGAGAGGTAGAAAATATTGAGCTCGAGAAAATCGAGTATAGTGGTGAATTTCTCAACAGGAGGGGGAAGGGATAAGCTCATCCCGAGAGAGTCCCAGATGATGTCCAGCATGAACAGCATCGATTGGGGGGAGGTCGCAAACAAGGAAGATGATGATAGAAGAGGCCTGCATTGGTCGTGATAAAGATGAGAATTTATTCAATGTAGTTAAAGTTTGAACAGATCCTGTCAATGTCCTCGTCAGTTAGGCCTGACTTTCGGTCTGAATACCCCTATTCAACATCTGATTTCTGCCATGAGAGCTATCATCTTCAGGACGAAGTTTGGAGATTTCCCCGATGGGGAGGTGGGCCGCGGCGGCACCGACGACCAGCGGGCTCCCTCCCCGTGCGAAACAGTTCATTGGAGGGATCCATCTCCGTCATGCCGCCAGGGGCCGGATAGTTGCTGTCATGAGTGGAAGAGATGATGACACCGCGCACTTAAGGCCCGCTTGGGAGCGGAGGAGGAGGCGGGGACGGCGCCGCCGTTGTGGCCCGTCTACCTCGTTGAGGGGGCTGTGGGGGTGACGGTGCGCGGAGTCCTGCCGGAGCAGCGCCGGTTATATCTCGGAGGCAACTAACCGCCATTTCCCGTCGGTTCAGCGAGGAGGTTTTTATGCATGAAAGCGACGCTCGACGTGCCCCGGCGGAAGCTGAGTTGGTGTCTGTTCATTTGTACGCTGGCGCAATGCGGGACAGTAGGCCCCTCTTCTCCATGCAGAGAGAGACAGGAGAGAAAGAGATAGATGGAGATATATATATTTAGAGAGAGAGAGAGAGAGAGAGAGAGAGAGAGAGGGAGGGGCTGCTAAGGGAGCCAGAGTCATATTCTGGCAGGTCTGGTGAGACCCGGGAAGCCAAAGGTTCCAGAAGACTAAAACTTCGGATCATGATGATGTTATCGTGGCATTGCCAGTTTTCCTCTTTGGGTTCAACTAGAAACCAGAAAACCCGCATCTTGAGGGCAGATTTTCTAGAAATGAATCATCTTTGCCATCTCTGACTTTAAGAAAACCCTGCCGACTATCCTGATCAGGCAATTCCTACTAGTTTCTCGATGCCATCAATGACCAGCATGGGCACCAGGGCCATCTGATTTGATGTGGACCAATTAGCATAAGAATATTCGAGCCACTGGTTACCCAGAATAGAAATAATAATCATGATAATGACGCTGATAGACGCCCTTCTCATAATGTCAAGGAGGCGCTGTAATTCAAGTGGCCGCTGTGCCCTTGAAGGATATACACGTGTTGGACATGGAGGACATTTGAAGAAATGGGGCATCAATGTCTCCCCCTCAGAGGGAGAACCCATCCTCGGTGTAGGCCCGGTTGCCGTCATAGATAAGATCTAGAGAGAGAAAATGGAACGGAGGATCTCCACAGGTGGGCCCGGAGCATCTCTATCAGGCACGAGGGATATAATCGTCTGTCATTGTCTACCGTTTTAAAAGCATCAATTGGCCAGGTTCGCGAAGACCCACTCGAGGCCGGTTGTCTTTTCCAAGGTCTGGACTCGGAGGGATGCATGAGTCTAGATTTGGACCCATCACAAATACAAACACATGGAGAGAGAGAGAGAGAGAGAGAGAGAGTTAAACGATTCAATACATTAATATCGGAGGAAAAGCTAAGCTGCCGACATCTAGACAAGACCCATTCAAATTCGGCCCTGTTCAAATCAGAGAACCCATTAAAGGTCCTTAGTGGCGCATGGTACGAGGGTGATAGCTTGAAAAGATAATAATGGGTTTAGTCCGAAGAAAAACTTGGAAGATGAGATCAAGGTTGACAGGAGATCTGTAAAGATATGGATTTAAATTTATCACGGCTGATTAGGGTAGGAGTTGCCCATTCTGAAGCTGAATCGGATGCCTTGACGTTCTATCAGATATTTTTCGGGCCATTCTTAGCCGAACGAGATGATTATTATTATTTTTCGTGCCACTAAATAAAAGATTAAATAACAGATTTAATATTAGTTTTAGGGTATACGGCATCTTTCATCGGATTGGTGGTGTGAATTAAAAAGAGAAGAGTCGGTTTATGTTTCTCTCTCTAAGGAGTTCAATTAAAAATGCTCGGAAATGATTGAGTTGATTAAGTTCTTACAGAATTGATTTGTTTCTATGTTAATTTCAACCGCAAATTCAGAGAGGCGAAAAACTAATCTTGAGAAATATTGATCGGATCCCAAGCTGCATCAGCCTAATTTCATTGGAAATATATCACCTTGTAATCAACACACATGCTTGATTAAAATCAAAACACCAGAAATAGCAGCCATCGTCCAGCATAATTCATTAAAATAAAGATGGGTTTACAAGAAAAATTCAAAAATTCCGATCAAAGGCACTTACTTATTCATACTGTCCATCACATTATTGTAATTAACAAATGAAAATATCTCTGAACGAAATCAGATCGTCCTAAAAAATCAAGGAAACCAATGCACCCACACAGCCCGCCTGGCCTCCTTTTAGTAAATTTAGCCAAAAAAGGCTTGAAGAAACGTTGAATTCCACGCCAAATAACATAATATGGTGAAGATCATAAGATTGGTTTGTTTTCTCATGAATCATACAAGGCATGCCACTTCCACCAGCAGATTTTTGTTTCTCCCTGTTCAGATAAAGCTTACACCTAATCGGATGCCTGTATAGCCACCGCATAATATGAATGAAGGAAGCTGGATGCTCATCTTGGCGGCGCTGGCGGGGGTGGAAGGTGAGATTTTGCCATCCCCACCCAGACGACGATACCAACAGCTAGAATTATCCATCCACATATGTCATACTTGAGATCACTGCTTTTCTTATTCTTGGACACCTGAGGTGAGCAGATCATAACTTGTTTAGCATTCGGACAGTAAGTAATAGCAAAAAACACTCAAAACTAGGGTCAGAAGACAGCGCGAAATTGACCGAAGGGGCTACTGTGTTTGATTGGCGTTTCAATCAATTTCTGAGGTGATTAATCCCTCCATACCAAGAGGTCCAAAATATTCTGTTCCAGTCAGATGGGCCAAAATATTAGAGAAATCAAATGTTCTCCTCTAAATGCCTGTTTTAATACTGGGCGGGAGCGTAGGCAAGTGGCGCAAATCATTGAATTCGATTTGCGTTCCCCATGCTCTTTCCTTTTGTGACGTGTTGTGGGGTGGATGGGGGCTTGAGAGGAGGAAGTGATGCAAAGAGAGGACAACTTGAGAAGTGGAGCGGGGGAGAAGGAGGTGAGTGGATGGAGATGGACAGGGATGGGAATGGAGGGCCAGGTTAATCCAAGCAGGTCAGTTAAGAATACATGGCAACAGTTTTCGGCCGAGTAGAGTTTTAAGCAGGTCATGGAGACTCGGAGCAGGCCCAACCCAACGACACAACTAATTTCCCTGAAGAGATCATTCTAAAAGAAGAGCGCCTAGTTATCATATGATTTTTGTCACTCAGATTTGAATAAGTTCCAAGACATTGAAATTTCTACACCGCAGAGAAGCTCGGTTGGCCAAGCTCTACAATGATTAAAATAAAATATTTTCATTTTTTAAAAAAAATCCAGTCTAAGATATTGCAGTTCAATGTGTGCCTAGTAATTACCAACATAACGCGGAGTGTTAATAATAAAATTCACTAAGACACGGAAAACACACGGAAAATTCACATAAACATTAATGGAATACAAACGATGCCTAGGTAGCATGGTTTATCTCGTGTGGCAGAGGTTCTATGAAAATGGCTTGCGTTGTTTGTGAAATAACACTTTCCCATCATTCATCTAAGGGTAGTATTTTTGCACCTTTCATAACCGAAGGGAAACATAGTTCAAAATGATGGATAGGTAACATCAGTAGCTTTAGTCGCTAAACGTGACAAGACTTTGGTGAATGGTTAGTTTCATTGCAAGACTTTTTCTTCAGCATAAATCCTTGAGTGGTGCCAACATGAACTTTATAGCAAAAAGAAGCCATCAATCAATTGCCGGATGAATAATGTAAACAATCAACTAATATTAATGTGCATGAAAAATGAGAAAATTTGTGGAATGCCAATATATTCCTATCCACAGATCTTATGAATAGCTGGTAAGCAGTCTCATTGTGAAAAAGCATAGAGCCAAATGGAAGAAAAGGACATTTTCCTCGCAAAAGATGGGTCTCTTTCCATTCAAAATGGAGTAATGAAATTTAAGAAATAAATAAATTTACGAACCCCAGGCGAGAATGAGGATATATATTTCTTGGGCACTTTGGATTGTTTTCATTTTATTTTTTGGGCTTTATCTACTAAAAAGGAAGACCAAGCATAAACAAGTGGGCTTTTTATGATCTTATTCAAAAAAATAGATTAGATCCTATCCTGCAGTTCATTATACGACTAGTGCTGTAATGTCTATTTCCAAATGGTCTACTTCCCCTATAATGGCAGCCACAACGATGATGATAATGTAAGACAACCCTAGCGAGGGAAGCAATGTGAAGGTGCTGTGGAGACATTGACAAAGGAGAAATGGAAATTATACAGAGCGTGTTGCTGAACAGCTGGAGTGATGGGCGTGCAGGTAAATGATAGAATACTAGCAATCTTAGTGCTAAGATTGGGCCCTCTTGACAGCGGTTGAGGAAAGTGGTCCCATGACTGGTAACTCATCTCCTTCCGTCATGTCCTCAGGAACCAGCATTTATTTAATGGCATCATAATATTGGATTTATTCTATTTCCTAGACTCCAACTGACTTGAAAATCCAGCCAGCCTAGACAGAAAAATAAGGGAACCCAGTCATCAATCCTACACACCGCAGTTGATATTATGGATTGGAAAAGAAAAACGACCTAAAGAAAGCAAAAGTATGCAGAAGCATCAATTGTTAAGATAAAGAAACAAAGGAGGGGCATTATTGATCCAGTCAGGTCGTAAGAGATATGGAAAAAAGAGAGTCCAGTAAAGTAAGTGGATCACCTGAATGAAAAAAAAAAAAAAAAAAAGTGATACCTATATGTCTAAAAATGACAACATGCCAACATGTGTTTCGATGGGCATTCAGAACACAATCCAGCAATGTTGCCTGCTCCCCACCCAGGCGAAGCTTATAATCCACAACTCATATGACGAATTGGGTTTGCCGGTCCCTCATTTACAACAACAAATGAGGGCGAACAACAAAATCATTCCATTACAGGGAGCAAGATTCCTATAGCGTTCAAACTGGATCGCAGCTGGTCCCCATATAAATGCATGGAAAGCCCCCTGATCTTCAGAAGTGAACAAAGCTACGATTTAAGGCCACAAAAACCAATGGCATTATAGCACGATTAAGATTGATAGCATATACAAAGTGGAACATATTTTGCAACATAATGAACATAATATAAGATTGAAATGCTTAACAGGCAAATGCCAGATGAGTAAAAATTATGGGAGCAGAAAGCATATGCAGATCTTCGTAAAGCAAATGCTTACATTCGTATTTGAAGTGGAGGGTGTTGCTGGGGCAGCTTGTTGACTGATAGCTTGCCTTTGGATCTCCAAATGAAGGTCAGGGGCCTGGGAAAACTTTACAACCAAAAAAAACCATAAGCAGACAAACATATAGAGGTGGCCACAGAACAGAACCCAAATTTAGAAAGGGATCACAGCTCAGCAAGGTAGACTGCATCAAAGGCAAACTCTGAATACCAAAAACCCAATATTTACGTCATGTTTCGGCACCTATGTCATTTCAAATATGGGAGATTATTTCATGAAATGTTCTAGTCACATGGAAAATGCTGTAACTAGCTGGAAAATGATGTGTTCTGCGAGCATACATGAGATCAAAAACAACAAGCTGAATGACTACATGATTAGAATATATAATGAGAAGGACCGTTGAATAGGGAATATTTGCTTATTTCAAATGTTGACTAGGATTAAGATGAATGCAATACATCAAACTCTATATCTGCTCCAATCACAGCCTTTATTTTGTACTGAAGCATCATAACAAGGATGACTAGTACTGTGTCCGCAAACCTGGTAGTGAAAAATATCTCAAACAGAACCAAAACACACACAAGAAGGCTGCATAAAAGATATAATAATATTCTAGTACAAATATAAGACATAATTTGGCTTGATTTCTGCAAATTAAAGGTGACCAGGGTCATTTCAAATTTTCTTGTCATTATAATATATAATATATATTTAAATATACTATTTCTCCACAAACGGGACCAACCAATCGCAAAGAAGGGAACACGTAGAATGTTTTCCACGTAACTCTAACGCAATTCAAAGAATATACATTCTTCGTGTACAAGAAAGAAAACTCCCATCATGACAAAGAGAAAGCGACCAGAAAGGCTTTTAAAAAAAAAGAAGACAAAAAGTGTGCATTCTATTTCCTGTAAGGGATGAATGAGGCTTCATAAACTCGCGACCATACACTACAATTTTATCGGCTGTCCTGCTGGGAAAAGCCAGTATTCACGTGAGAATAAAATCTTACGCCATAACATGCATTCATTTAGCCGCTGCAGTCTAACACATGTTAATTAAAAAAAACCATTAGAACATAACAATTGTTTGTTAGAATTGACAATGACATTGATACTTGACCGGTATATTTCAGTAACAAGTGAGAACAAAAAAATGCAAATGGAAACGCATGCATGTAAATGGCAAATATCAACAGAAGGAAAAAAAAAATTGCAGTTGAAGGCCCCCTTGAAAATACCTTTGCTGCGACTTCCAAAGATTTTAGATAAAGTTCATTCCCAGGGTCCTGTGGGAGATCCATTATTCATAAAACAATTGTCAGTATCAGAATGTCTTAAATGGATAAGTAGAGGACAAATCACCTCTTCCGCTGCTTTCTGGAAACATTCAACTGCCTTCGTGAAGTACGACTTCGCCATTTCCTGATCTACGGCGAGAAAGGCGTTGGAAGTGTGAGCGTTCCCCAAACACCAGAGGGTGTCATGCTTTCTCGGGTTAACCTCTAAAGCCTCCTCCAACCTCGAAATAGCCTCTGTCAAGAGATCGACAGTAAAATAAATCAAAGAAAACATTAAGAAGATCCGTTACATGCTACAGAGCAATTGCAGAAAAGCTTTTCAGGTACCTCTCGTCCATAAAGCCAGTACAAAAAAACAGCAAGGAAGATGAAGATCAAGTTACCCGTCAACATCTTTATACACTCTGGACCATTCTGAAACTGTGATAACTCGAGAAGGGCACCTCCCCATCTCGTAAGATTCTGTATACGATCACAACAACGTAGAAAAATGGAAAATACCATATCAGAAATACCGGACCAAGTAAAAGAAGAAAAACGGAATGTCGCACGCCGAGAGGTAAACAAATCATAGTCCGGGTCCAGGGAGTATAGCGGCGGCACTCACGTCCGCATCGAGTGGGTTGCTGGCGTAGTGCGCCTCCGAGGTCTTGCGGGCGTGCTCGAAGAAGAGGAGCCTGTCGAACTCGCTCGCTTGCAAATCCATACTCGATCCTCCCGCGCTCCCCTCCACCTTCTCCTCCCCCCTCTCGAACCCTAATCAGAAGTCACCTTAACTGACCTTTCAGCCCCCTCCCCCGGGCCGACCGCCCAACGGTCGAGCGGCCGGATCGGTCAGACCGGGCGATTCGACTTCCTCTGAAAATAAAAATAAATTAAAGTTAATATATAATCATATTATTCTGTTAAGGATACTAAAAATAAATTTCCAGACGAGTCTTTAATTATCCTCCATAAATAAGGGTTTTCGCTAAAAACCCATTTTTGGTCAGCTTCTATTCTTTTCGCCCATTACGTTGGCCTCAAATTAGCCCACTAAATTGTCAAAAATGGCCCAATTAGCCCAATTAACCACCCGGAGAGGCGGCCCAATAAACCAGCTCTCAGCCGTAAGTGATAGATCTATCCGGCTCTACGAGATGCCGGAGTTGACATTCGGTGTTACTGATGTCGTATCGGGAAATCTTGCTGGAGTCAACCCCCCGGGGTCAAATACGCATGATTTTTACATTTTTTATATATATTTTGAGACGAAAAGGGGCTTCCGGGGCACATTTTATCCCAAAGCAATTTATTTTTAGGGCCACGAAGATAAAAAGTAAGAAACAAGATTGATCTTCACGACGCCAGACGACCTATCTAACGTGGTTTGAAACGTTACATCCGAGGGTTGACTTGTTAGCTACTAGCGTCCAACCCCGGATGCGATTTTGCTATTTCCAGCAAAAACCACCCTTCGAAACCACATGGACCCAGAAATCAAGTCACAAAACAGGGGAAATAAATTACACGGGTTGACCGTGTTGCTCACCTTACGCGCGTTCTCTCTCTCTCTCTCTGTGGCCAGAGCATGGGAGGCTCCATCTTGAAGAACGAAAACAGAGGGAAGGAGACGGGGGAGGGGGGGAAGAGGTGGAGTCAGTAGGGAGCATGGCTGCCGGTGTTATTCCCTCCACACCTTCTGACTCTCCGGCCGCATTCTTTAATCCCCCGTCTAAATCAAGTGCCACCATTATCCACCGCCACTGGCCCCAGCATTCCGGTCGAGTCCATGCCGGAGCGTGAGCCCTCCTTGACTGGTTCAACATGCTTCCTGCAGCGTCCCTCTTCCTCCCCTCCCTCTCTCTCTCTCTAACTACCTCTCTTCCTGTCCATCTCTGTCGCTATCTCCACGGCCGGGAAAGCCGGTCAGAGCTCGACGGCTCTTCTCCGCCGCTGCCTGCCTGCCTTCGTCTTCCCCTTCCTCCGCCGCCCCCCCTCCGCCTCTCCTGAGGGATTGATGGGCGGCGTAAGGAAACATCGCCGCAGCACATGCTCTTGGCATTATCCGCGGCGGTGGCGGGGCCCCGGGAGGATGGCAGAGGCCCTGCCTGCGGCGGCGATTTTGAGGGGGAAGACCCAGATTTCCGTTGGATCTCAGAGAGATGGGGCCAGGACTGTAGATGGTGGTGGCGCCGCCGTGTTCAACATACATCATATGCGGACAGTCTCTAGCTGTTTGTTCTACGGATCGAAGGAAGATAAATAAATAATTTGAGAGAAGAACGGGGGAAAAGGGGGTCTTTTTTTCTTTCTACCCCACCCCTTCAGTCGAAGAGAGGGCCGACGGGCGGCGCTTCACGGGGGGGGAAGGCAGCGGCGCCGGCATCCTCGCCGTCGGGAGGGCGCCACCTGTCCAGGGGGGCGCAATAGCGTTTGTGGCGGAGCTTCCAGTCGAGCGCCTGGCAGGCGCGGGAGCAGTAGTTGACCGCGCCGCAGACAGAGCACCGGCGGAACTCGTGAGGCCTCGTCTCCGGCCGGCCGCAGGCCACGTGAGAGCAGAGCCGCAGTCCAAACCGGAGCCCGTTGACCTCCTTGAACCCCGGGGAGCCGAACCAGTCGGCCAGGAAGCGGTTCGCCGGGTGGGGCTCCGGCGCCGGCACGTTGCAGCCGAAATCGCTCAGCAGGGGGCAACCCGCCGCCGCCGCCGCCGCCCGCCAGCGGTGGGCGTGCGGCGGGCATGCCGCCGTCCACGGCGGTGTGCCGCCGGAGGAGGACATCACCGAGGCGAGCTCGCTGGCGTTGGCCTGCACGAGGAACCGGCGTCCCTCCGCCACGTTCTGTCGGACCCCGTAGCCGTCCTGCAGGCAGTGGCCGAGCTCGCGGAGGGCGTCGACATGGCCGAGGAAAGCCGCGCGGGCGCAGAGCGCGACGCCGGCGCGGAGGTTCTTGTCGTTCTTGGATCCGCCGCTGCCGTTGAACTGGATGACCGCGAGGGAGTAGAGCGAGGCGGCGTGAGACCCGATGGCGGCCTTCGCCATAAGCGCCGCCCCGCTGCTGCGGCAGTCCGGCAGGCAGTAGAACCGGATCTGCAGGGAAGATGAAGAGCAGGGATTCCTGAGGATCGCTCCCCTATTTCTGAATACGGATTCTGGGGGTACTGCGAGGAGGGATTGAGATGAACGAACCATGCCCAATATGTAGCAAGCCTCCAGGTTGCCGGCGTCAACGCACATCTTGAGGAAGAGATGAGCGGAGGGCGACCAGTTCTTAGCCCGGACGGCGAGGGACCTGGCCGAGGCCTTGGAGAGGACGAGGGGATTCGTGAGCAAGCCCCTTAGTCTCTTGCATCTGCATTCAAAATATAGCGGATGAATCAGAAGAACAGAGGGCAAAATCTTCAACCCAGAAGCAAAAATACTGTCGCAGGGCGCCTCGCCGTACGTTAGCATCACGTTGACGAGATTGGAGGGGGCGGAGGCGGCGGAGCTCAGCCTGCAGAGGATCGACACCACGATGTCATCCGGCAAGCCTTCGAAGAGGTCCAGGCCGGATGTGTTCTCTCGAGCGGCGGCGGCGGCGGCGGCGGCGGCGGCGGCGGCATCCCCCTCCTGCTCTCTGGCGAGCCCCGCTTCGGACAACCTGTTCTCTGGCGGGGGAGCCCTCGGCCTTTTCCACCCGCCACCGCCGCCTTCTTCCTCCTCTCTCCACCGACTGCAGGGCCTCCTCTTCCTCTCCCTGCAAGGGCAAGATGCCCCTCCCTCTCCTTGGGTCCTCCCCTTCGTCTGGCTCGCACCGTTCGGCGACGCCGGAGCGCCGCCGGCTTCGGCGTCGCCGCCAGGATAGCAGAAACTCCTCGTTCGCATCACGGCGCGCCCAAGAGATACGACCATCTCAGTGCCCGGCACGGCCCTGGAAGGAGAAGCGCTTATATATACCCTTACCATCAACTGAACAGAAGAGAGAGAGAGAGAGAGAGAAAGAGGTTTCAGAGGGGGTTGCCATAACACGAAATCAATGCAAGATGAACGCCCGGTCTGGGGTCGTTTCCATTAGGAAAACCTCTCCTGCCGACGAATATTTTAAGTTAATAATTAATATTACTTCGCGTCCGTCGGATCTTCGCCGGGGGGAGGACGAGTCACGACGGACGACTCGTCGACTCGACTCGCCGGAGTGGGCTGACCGGGACCAGCGCGAGCGAAACCGGTTTCGTTATGCTGCCGTGGCCCTCGCGACCCGGAAGACCCGACTCGCCAGGGTACCGCAGAACGAAAGCTGCCATCCCCGACACTCTCTGCCGCCCTTCCCTTCCTCTTCCTCCTCGTTCAATCCGAGCAGCCGTTGGAGGACGAGGATCTCTCCCTCTCTCTCTCTCTCTCTCTCTCTCTCTCTCTCTCTCTCTCTGACGGGCTCCTTGCCATTGCTTAACACGTGAAATGGGATTTCCGGTATTTTTTAGGCTACGGGAGGGGATCCCGATCTCCTGGTACAACGGGCGACTGAAAACGAGGAGGGTAGGAGGAGGAAGGTTGTTCTATTTGGGGGGGAGGGGGGTAGCTAGGCGGTCGGAGGCGCCGGCACGGTGAGAGCCCTTCGCGTGGAAAGATGGCGGGCGGAGACGAGAGAGAAAGAGAGAGAAAGAGAGAGAAAGAGAGAGAGAGGAGGGACGGCTGGGCGGCCGTCGAGACGTGACGGCGACGGCGTTGCTCTCCTCCTCTTGCCGTCTCCACCCTGAGGAGCGAGGAAGCCGCAGGGTGGTCCGGCCACATGCGCGGCGGGGAGCAGTGAACAGGGCGCCGTTTGTCTGGTGCGGTGGGAACCGGGGGTAGCCGGTGGCACATGCGAAGTTGGTGCCGGCCGCGTGGAGCAGGTTGACCCGTGGGTAGCACTTACAGAGGGTTCGTAATACAGCCGGCTCGTGGAGGGTGAGACCTGGGGGGGGGGGGGGTTCTGCTGACCCGATCCGATTCGTCTCAGGAAAACTAGGTGGACTACCCCAAGTTTGTTTGATCGATCGGAAGTAGAGAGTGGACAGTTTCTCGAGTTTAGCTATAATGATCTATTTTTCATTTGACCTCGAAACATTTTTTAACTGATTTAATTTGGCCCAAAATCAGATTTGCGTCATCGATGAAAACCCATCTTTCAATAAACGTTTTTTTTTTATCTTAGAAATATTTCCAGTTAACTTCTGCAATTAGAACCAAAAGTGGGAATTAATTGGTTATTTAATACTGTTATTGAGAGCCACCATGGCCCCGGTCCGCTCCTTCTTAGATCGCAGAGAGAACTGTCAAATAGCATCGGGCTCGAGAGGATGACGGATTCCCTCTCCAAGCTTCTCTTCCTCGCATTTATTCGGCGAGATCTCCAGGCAATCTTGCCGAGTCCTCTCGACTGCACCTCCGGTTTTCTTATTACCACCCTCTGGGAGAGGGAACCTCATCCGGAACCTCTTCTGAAACCACACGCTACCGCTCCTCACCCTCCCGTTGGTGTTTCGCTTTTCAGAGCCGCCGCCCTCCCCGGAGCCCCTCCTGATGGCGACGGGAGAGTGGAGGTTGAAAGGGGAGGGGGGAGAGAGGGAGATCCTCTCTCTTATCGGGATCTCCCACCGCGCTGTGAAGCCGGAGAGTCGCCGATGCCTAGCGATATTTCCCCGGGGGGGGTTGGAGGAGGAGGCGCGAAGGGGACGGGTCACCGAAACTCGAAGAAATGGACGGCGGAGAATAAGAGGGGAGGGGACGATACTCACGAAGCGCTCCGCCGCGGAGGTGGAACCACCGACTCGGGAAAACTCCACGCGTCGGACGACGACGGCGTCATGGCATCTCAGGATAAGGAAGTCGATAAGTCAACTCCCGGATGGGGTGGACATCCAAGGAGCCCTCGGATTTTCAACCGGCTCTCTCTCTCTCCGCCGGTGCGAGTTCCATTTATTATCCTCACCGGGGATCACGTGAAACCTACGGGGAGACATCAATTCCCCCATCCCAGCCCCTCCCTGCGCTTGAGTGGCGTGGAAACCACAGCCTAGGACGCCCTCGAGGCGCCGATCCAGAGGCTCCTCCGCCCCCACGGCGGCGCGCCCCCTCCCCAGGGGCAGTCGCTATTGCACCGGCGACCCGATTCGCACCCCCGTGACGGAAGTAAGGGAGGAGTCGTTCCGGCGAGGTCGCCGGCGGGGGAGAGGGGGACTGCCGTCTGACCCTAAATCTAGTCGGAGCGTTGACGTTATATATTGCTCTGATGGTCAGAGTGTTGACGTCAACCATGTTGGGGCCGCGCTTCTGTGTAGGGTTCTTGGAGGAGCTATAGGGGATGCCGGAGGTTCGGCAGACAGCTCCGCTGCGGTCTGCGGGAGGGGCACGGCTCCGTCGTCCCCGTGGTTACGTGGCGCTACTGGGTAGCCGCCCGAGGGTGGGGTCCATAGATTTGTATTAACAGATGGTCGGGTCAACAGCGTTGACCATACGCTAAGTTAGCTGAGGTATGACTGAAGGTTGGGCCGGAGCGGTCAGCCGAGTGGGCTCTCACCCCGACGGCGCCGCGATCAGCGACTGCGTGAGACTCGCGTCGTTCGGTTACGTAGGAGAGGTGGCGGTGGTGGCGGCGGCGGCGGAATTTCCTATGCATGGCGTTGCCATCCGTTACGTCCGACTTCTCATCCGCCGCTGTCTCTCCTCCACCTCCTCTGCCTTCCACTGTAAGAAATATTCCTCGCGGCTTCGCCGGGGTTTAAACCTCGGCCTGCGCGGAGGAGGAGAACCGGGCGACCGTTAAAAGAGGCTGTAAGAAAAAAGGTTTCTTGGGGGGCCCGGAAGGAGGAGAGGACAGAGGGGGACATTAAGATAGAGGAGAGCGCAACGAGACACGGTATTTCGGTTGAGGGCTGGACCAGACAGCGAACCCCCTGTCCAAACATGGACGGCGCGAGTGAGTGAGAGAGAGGAGAGAGTAGACCTGGATTCACTGTAGACGAAGGAGAGAGGGTCTTTCTTCTGAAAGTAGGGTTTTTTGTTTATCGGTTGTGGGGGGTGGGGGTGGGGGTGGCATAGGGATGCTCCTCCTGCCAAATTCCTTTATTCCATCATTCCCTCAAATTCCGTATTGCGGTATTTAATGTTCGTGTCATCCGCAGCGAGGTGGAGGATTAAGAAAAGAAGAGAAGAACGCCAAGAACAGTGCTTCCGAAGGCACTAACATGGGAAGTCGGGAAAGACGAGGAGGGTGGGAGGATGTTGCTTGACGCATCTGGTTCTCCTTCATCCTGCATCGGCTTCTGGGAACATAGCAACCCTAGGGTTCTTCCGCACACGTGATCCCGCGAGCATCATGCGTGAGCTCTAAGATACAAGAAGCCTCTCCCTCCGCCCCTTTTCTCTCCATCTTTAACCTATCTTCCGTTCCTATCATTAAAGAGGAAGGCATCATAGCGAACCCTAGCGGCGAGAATCATGATCTTCGGGTCCTCAGTGTCTTCCTTTCAGAAAGGAATGGCGTACGGAACCCTAGGGGGTCTCGATGTGAACAGAAGGATTGAGCGAACTTAGGGTCTTCTTGTGGATCCTCAGATGGAGATCCGGCGGAGTGGAACCTCCGGCTAGATTTCTCCGGGCCCGACCTTATCCTGAGATTGAGGTAGCTATCTTGCCCTAGAATGTTACGTAGAAGAAATGGGAAGGGCGCCGTTGAGGTACATGCAGCGGTCAGCATCATTCCTCTGCTCTGCCACTCCTCGGCCTCCAGCCGGGCCTTTCTGTCTCCGAATAGAGAAGCAGGCCATGGCCACCGGCGGAGCTGTCATGTCCAGGATTCCCCCTACCCTTGCTCCAACTTTACGTGAAGGGGAAGATTTTATCACTGCGGCCTACATGTCCCTCTCTCTCTCTCTCTCTCTCTCTCTCTCGCAAGCTGCCATCTCAGGAGTTTATGTCGTCCGATAATGAAAGAGGAAGAGAGAGAGGAGAGATAGGGAAGGTCGAGAGAGCCGTCAGGCACCACGTTTTCTCTTTTGCTTTATTCTCGCCTTCCTGCCTTCTTCGTCTTCTCGGTCTCCTTCTCGTCTTTTGACGGCAGATAGGACTGCACCCGAGGGTAAGCAAGCCGAAGTAGCAGATAAGGACGAACATGTGGAAGGATTAGTGGCGAAGATAGGAGATCGTAGAAAATACCAACGCCTCACCCTTCCGCCCTGACCTCCCACCTCACCCCCAATCAAAAGAGAAAAAATTGGAGAGAGAAACGTGCCCGTCCAGACAGAATCCCCCCGTTGATCCCAGGGGCATTATCCCGATTTCATAACAAATCCGGTCCTCTGCGGCGGTGGGCCCGTTCTTTCGTCAGCTCATCCCGGAGTCGGCGGCGATGATAAGACAACGATCGACGGGAAAACTAGGCTTAACGGGCGACTGGTGGAGGAAGGCAGAGAGAGAGAGAGAAAGGCATCGTAAGCCGGTTCTCGGCCGTCGACTGTACCTATACGTACGTAAGCAGGCTGAGAAAGATAGAATCATGAGACCGGCCTTGGTGTTTAGATACGTCCTGGAGATGCCTCTAATCACTCCACTCTAGATAAAAAAAATAACATAGAAAGAGCATTTATTCTTTATCACCGTATTTCGCAGCATATGATAGAACTTTTCGATGTATACATAATATCGAATTCGTCCACGTAACCCGGCGGTAATTTTTTTAAAATGATGTAATAAATATTTAATTATATATTTTAATTATTTTCATCAACTTTAAGACTGTTGGAACGTTGTAATAGAGCGCAAATAAATATTTATTTATTTTACACACATATGCATGACCCAAGTATTTTAGATTTTAAGCTTTTTTAACTCCAACAAAATGAAAC